GGGGGAGGGTTCCCTGCCCATTGCGAACAACCCCTTTCCTGCTCAGTGTAAAAGTCTTCTCCATAGTAACGGGGCCCGATCATGCCGTTGCTTCCACAGCGGCGACTGCAGGGGCAGTCTTTGGTCGCCTCCCAGATGCTCTCTCCGATATCTGCCCCAGGATCATGTCCCAGGTTTGCGTATTGAAGTGGACCGCTGGCATCTGCATGGGGTCGTCTTCTTCCCTTTCAACAACCATAGCTTGCGAGGCTGCAGCCCGTAGGGAAGGCTCGCTGCTTTGCTTTGTCGGTGAACTGAGGTCCTCGGTGCTGTTCTTAGTCTGTAAAATCTCCTTGAGTGTACAGACCGCATCGCTGGTAGGTGTGATCGGGTAGAGGTCACTTTTAGAACTCGCCTTGGACCAATTGCTGCCGGTAGAGGATGTGGAGGACTCCCGAGACACTGACTGTGGGCTGGTCCCCGAATCGTCAGAAGGCGGCAAGGGAGGTGGTGCCGCAATCTCATCAGAGGCTAGTTCATGAACAGAGTCGCCCACAAGTTCGTGAAGCTCGGTCTGCTCTTCTCGGACCAGATGCTCGACTGACTTCGGCTCTGCGGTAAGCTCCACGACTCCTTCTGTAGCAGCTTTCCCGCTGTTGACTTCATTCAATCCGTTCCCGTAGCCCTCGACATATATTTCGCAGAAGGAAGGCCGCTTTGGAGGCATCATTTCACCGACAACGGACTGTGACCTGCGCGACATCAGCCTCCGGAGTGAGGAGGATCGGGAGCCCGGAGGAGTCTTGCTGTAGAATGATACCGTCAACGACCCAGGTAGATGGGCTGGAAGAGTCGTTCGACGACGAGCCTTGGCTGATCTCCCTCTTATTAGGCCCTCGCCTGTGGCGGACTTAAGTGCATTGGTGTGAGAGTAGCTCGTATCAGGAATGAGCTGACTTGAGTCCCTGCGAACACTGCGAACATCTGGTATCTCCGTAAGTTGCCATGGCATTCGTTTCGGTGCCTGGCAGCAAAGAGGATATGTCAGATTAGCGGTGTTGCGGACCTGCTTTGGGGGTTGTGCGATGGCGTAGAAGGTCTGCAGGACCGCATAGACCATGAGCCAGCGCACCTTGCGGCCTTCGATCACCGACAAACCTTCGAGCTCGTCGTCGACTGTGCTCTCTTCAAAAGCTGAATACTCCCGGACCAAGGGACAGTCCATGAGCAATAGATCTCGGTTCGACGCTGTGATCAGGGCCAACTTGTCTTCGGCCTTGCGTGCCTCTCTGTCCGCCCTTCGCTTTTGGATAGGATTCCAGGACATTCGTCCCTGGAGCCGTTGACGCTGGTGGGAGGTTGCTTCTGTCACTTTAGGAACAAGAGGAAGCGGGTGGACCAGGGGCTCGTAATGATGTTGCACGTCAAAGGCTTGGATTACCTGATGGGTGCATATCCCGCCGTATTTGGTAATGTCACTGCCATCCAAACTGGTCGACGACCCAGGGTCTACCAGGTGTTGGTAGAGATTCTTGAAGTCAAGGAGCATAGCTGAGTAGACTGTTTGTTGAAAAGCCTCATCCTCGATACTCTTTGGGGGCCAGCAGTCATGTTTCTCGGTATAGAACTTTTTGAGAAACAGGCGGAATTTGGCGAGATGATCCCTTGCCGGTTGTGGGAGACCAAGGAAACCACCTGTTACCTCGCTCTCAAAGAAGTCGACAACTGATTTTCGGACGCGGCCCAATCGAAGATCCATCTCCAGGCGAGCTCGATTGATCAGACCTTTTGACTTTTTACTCACCACCTAGACACCAGTTAGTCTCGCGTCCGAGTCTGCTAAAGCGAACACACTTACCTCGTATTCGATGCTTGAGCGTAGGCCACGATGGCTCATGCCCACACAGTGAGCAAACGCATCCACCCAGAGATCCTCGATTTGCAGCATCTCCGCCAGATACATGGCTGCAAGAGCATGGTCCGCACATTCTCTGAAATCGAGGTACCTCTGATGTTCTGCATATGACACCACCTCGAGCGTATTCTGAGAGCCATGATCCGGTCGATACACGTCAATCCTAGCTTTCAGCCCCATCAAAGATTTTCCCAAAGCCCGACCAGCCAGTGGACGATTATACAGCCAGGCAAAAAAGTTCCGAGTGGTCAGGTGATGGTCGAAGATGTCTTCAAGTCCGGCACCCTGAGGAGCTGGAATGTAAAGCTCTTGGAGCGCCTTGTAAGGATCACAGCCTGGACAGTTGGGAAGAACGCATTGGGCGGCTGTATGGATTGAATTTCTCGTCACACAGCGGTCGACAAGAGAGTCAAATCCTTTGATCCTGAGAAAAGCCGTGTGGACTCGAAAGGCAGGACCTCGACTCGACTGGCCGGGCTCTCGCAAATATACCAGACAGTCACCAGTAGGCCAACAAAGCTCAGGATCCTGAACAGCAAATGAGCCCTCGGTGGAAATAGTCTTCACGAGCTCGCTACTTACATGAAACAGGTTGGTCCAGTCTGTAGTGACTCTTGCTCTCCCATCCCATCGTTTCAGACCAGCTGAACGGATGTCTTCGCCAGTCACACGGCCCTGGGTGTGTCGCATGATTATTGGGGAGAGTGCGTGTGCCAGTTTGGGGGTGCGGTTGCTATATGTTATTTGAGTCTGAGAGTATGTCTCATCCCTGCGGAGAACACAGGCAACGAAGCGACATGCGTGAACGAAGGAGAGCTGGAGATGTTGAAGCTCCTTGAGCTCGGAGAGACCCTTTTCTGTCCACCATCGAAGACCAGCTGTGGTGTACGGGGTCTGGGCCCCTGTTATGAAGAAGAAAAATTGCGCAGGCGGCGCGAGAAACTGTCGACCTGCAGACGTGCGATTGACAGCACTGCAGGCAAGGAGCGACGAGCAGGGGGAGGCACCCACTGCAGCAAGTCAGGTAGGTTGGATGAGGAGACGAACCCTGTCGACGACAGCCCGACAGCGAGCGGCCTCCAGTGGTCAGGTTCAGGCAATGGCTGGACAGACAGAGCCATCTTGGGAAAGGGAAACTTGGAAAAGGCAATAGACGCAAGCCATTGTTGTCCGGGGTCGCAGCAGCAGCGGCAGCAGCAAAGGCTGAGACGCCGGGGTTGATTATCGTCAACACAGAAACGGAATCATGACGACGACACGAAGCTGGAGCTCTGGGGATGTCCGGGTGGCGCCCAGTGAGAGGCAGGTGCCTGCGGTTAGGTCAAGCCCTTGTCAGCCTCAGGTTGCAGCTTGGGTGCTTTGGACAGCTATCTTCACGTCAGTCTACTCGCTTTTACTGTGGTACGAGGTGTTGATGCCCGGGATCACCCCGTATCTAAAAGTCCGCATTGTAGATCCGCCAGCCAGCACTGACCAGGTCGTCTCAATGTCCGACCAAAGGGATGTGCAGCAAACCCCCCTTCGAGCTCCTCCGCATCCATCGTCTTCACATCCCCCGGCGCCATCTCTGGCCCCGACGACGATGCTCTCCCTAACTCCCCTACACACGTAACCCTTCGCCTTCGGTCGATACGGCTACAGAGCAACGCTGACTTCTGGCGCGATAGGTGGCTGTCTGGAGACGCCCACCCCATCCTATACCTCTCTGGCATAGCCAACCATTTCATCACTACTGCCTGTTCGAGTGCTCGATGCTCCTTTACGGGCTACTACGGAGGCTATCCCACGCCTCCCCTGGCCCTGGCCCAACGCCGATCGGCCACCTCCCCTTATCCCTGATGGCTTGATGCCAGGGTCCAATAGTCATGACAGGCGCTGCACACCTCCACCTTACTCTGTCACCTACTACCTAGTTCCTAGTCCTCAAGTACATCTCTGGGTGGAGCAATCCTGGCAAAAGCATCTCAATATGACTTTATTTCAACAAACCTTCCAATATTTATAATATTCTGGGGACAAGAAACAACGTGCGAAACTTTGGAAGAATGCCTACCGCTCTGGTATGAATGCCTAGAAGCTTTATTGCGGCCTTTCTTCAAGGAGACCTCGCTGTGGCATCGGAGAAAGAGTACGTGAGATACGAGAGCGCTAAACAGCGGTTGGCTGATTGACTCCGACTTGTCTGTCTGCATTTGGATGGCTGGAGGGGGCGTCACCTAGGGTGATCTCGCTGCAGAGAGACAGTCGTTGCCAGTTGTACACTCACATGTCTTTCCACCCAGCCTTGGCCGTTGGAAAGCAGGCTAATGATCCCATCTTGAATACCCAGTGTTAGACTCTGGAGAAGATATGAAAGTTGCCTGACAAGGGTCCTTGACCTATTTGTCGTCTAAGTACCGAGGTCACAACCAGTCCCGATCTCGTTTTCTGTCAACTCAATCTGCAGCAGTTGATCTACTCCCAAAATGTCTCGAGGATTGGGTGTTGGCTAGTAGGCTTGTGTGGCCACATCTGTGTTGTTGTGCTCAAGCCTGCTGTCCTCTGTCCATGGTTATGGAAGGCCGCTTCGGCGGTCACATTGACCTTGCCTTTTGCCAGACCCTTTCGAGCCTGGCTTTGAGGTTAGTTGCAGCGATCGTCATTTGGAACTCCCACAGGTTCTTAGAATTCTCAAATTGAATACCCTTCGAGCTCAGCAGGTTCGCCCATGTATACTTTGTAGAGAGAAGCGGTCCGAACTTGGACAGATTCTGGGTACAAGCATAATTGGATCATACTTCGACGAGAACCCTGACCTCCCCATCCATCCAGTCAACCACACCAGCACTCAAGAGCGCTACCATCCATTCGCCGTCTTCTGTCACTGTCACCAGGCCGTCAGGCAGCCACACCTTCACGATAGGACTATTCCCTCTTTCTGGGACAGTCTCTTTCCGTGGTACTTTGTGCTTTCTCTCCACTTCGGCAACAAGACTGGACAGACTAGGTGCAGATTCAGGTGTCAAGGTAAACCGCGGGATTACCCGTCTGAGCGCACCACCAGTGTTCGAGACGACATTGACGTAGAGCACAATAGATTGCTTGAACGCTGTTGTAGGGTGAGACTCGCTGGCTGACATCGTAGAGACATCGCGATCCGGTGCCATACGTGAATCGGTGTCGCTCTCGGCATGTGGAAAAGTAGTTTCGTCTCCATCGCCATGCATGGATTGAGAAGCACCGTCCGGTGCTGGGGAAAGCTCATCTTTACTGCTTCTATTGGAGCCTTGTTTCCTCGTCGCAGCAGCATAGACTCGTTGGCGCTCGTTGGTGACCATCTTCCGCATCAAAGGCATCATAAGCTTGATGATGGTCTGACTGTCTTGAGGCCATAACAGTGTGCGGGGAGGAGCGCCAGGAATGCCAGCTCCAGCCCCAGGACCGAAATATTTCTCACCGTATCCGTGTACCGAGAGAAACTCTTCAACGCAGTTCCACAATTTCAATTTGGCCACATCGGTTCCCCCAACGTTTTTCTTATGTCCAATGACATCCCTACGCTCGGGGTGGGCTTCATCGAGCATGAAGGCCTTAGCGGCGGTTTGCAGTCGTAAGAAATTCTCTGGAGCCAGTTCCAAGGACGCAAAGACCTTGCCTAGAGGCGGCCTGCTGTATTTCCTGCTCTTTGAGGAAGGTTCGCGAAAGAGGACAGACGCGGAGCTCGGCAGCTGGGGAGAATTGGAGTCCGCTGCCGGATCAGGTGCATCGTTGATCAAATCTTCATGCAGCATTGGTATATGCCCTACAGCGCTGTCGCCTCGTTTTCTCTTCCCCAGCAATGACGGATTCCTGGTCTGTTCGTCGGCGGCAGCGGTCGCTGCTTGCACCAGACCTGCAAACTGAATGTCATCGGCATAAGCTGGATCTGCCATGATTGCAGGTGTCCACGCTGCTAGGCGCGGGACCAGCCCAGGCGCTGCTCGCCAGCGATTCGGTCAAGTCGAGGAGTATAGGGTAACGCAGCCTTATAGTGGGGAGCGGGAAGGCTGCGGTCAGGAGATGTTTGCGAGGTTTGTGAGGTTTGTAAAGGAGACAAATTCGCCCAGCCAAGAAACGATTTACAACTTGGCAGTGGCGTCACGGGGCTCGGAAGGAAGCGGCGCCGACCTCCGGCTGTGTCCGGAGCTAGACCGTAAACTTTGATCCTCTAGCGCCAAGCCTCTCTAAACGACCTCCCAGTTCAAGTCCACGCTGCACCGGCTTCAATGACAGCCACTACTACTGCTCTACCTACGTTGCGAGACTCCGGAATTCCAGCGTGTAACATGGAATGTGCTCGGTCCGGATGCTGACGATTCGGTAGACTCTGAACCATTATATCAAGGACAACCCTGCATCGACTGTTCAACTGTTCAACCATGTTCACAGCTACCAAGTTTCAGTTGGCTACGTATCTGCTTGGTGTTTGTCCGTTCTCCATTGCGTTTCTCGTTTTCCTCAACTCGGCTATATCATTCGTAATCACAGACCTCATCGGCAGGGACCATGGCGTTGGAGATGCTGTGGGCAGCTTGGGATTTGCCGACGAGTTGGTCGCACTGGTCGCGTGCCCGGTGTGGGGGGTGCTGTCCGATTATATTGGCTTGCGATTTGTGAGACCATGATTCAGGCCATATCTAAATCGTCTTGCTAACCTTTCAGGTTTGTGTCTCCGGATATCTGATCATATCCCTGGCACTGGCACTATTCGTTCAGGCCCACAATGTCTACCCTCAGCTCCTACTGGCAAGACTTCTTTTCAGCCTTGGGGGTGCTGCGGCCTCTACCATGGTCACGGCTATTCTTCCAGCCGTTGCTGCCAACACATCTGAAAAGACTTCCTGCAGGGGCCCGTCAAGCGCGGTTCGGACAGGTGCCGGCAATGGACATGTTTCGAGTCCTTCAATTGCTTCTGAAGTTACAATTACTCCAGCGACATTCATGTCACGGGCCCAGAACACCGAGATTTCTGCCAAGGACGTGGAAATTGATTCGGACGTTTCACAGTCTACAAGTAAGATTGCCGGATTCGTCGGAATGTTTACTGGTTGTGGAGCTCTGATTGCGTTGACGGTGTTCCTCCCCCTTCCGGCTAGATTTCAATATGCGGGGGTAGGAGAGAAAGACGCCTTGAAGTACAGCTTCTACATCGTGGCGGCTGTGGCATTGATCCTTGCCGTCTGGTGCTTTTTCGGGCTTCGTCGGCTCCAAGAGCAAAGGCAGGACTCGCAGCCAAAATTCGCGCAGCATGAAACGGCGTTGTCAGCTACTCTCGGTTACATGCGTCACATATGCGACAATTTCGTAACGGCACTATCGATTGGCTTCAAAAATTCAAACATTGCCCTAGGTTATCTAGGTGGCTTTGTTGCTCGTGCTTCGTCTGTCGGCATTTCCCTCTTCATACCACTCTTGGTCAATGCTATGTTCATATCCTCGGGCCTATGCGACGGCAAAAGCTCCGACGGAGATCCGGCGGGACTCCCGGATATCAAAAAAAGCTGTCCTCGCGCATATGTTGTTGCCGCAGAACTGACAGGAGTGGCGGAAATGCTGGCATTGATCTTTGCTCCCATTTTCGGATACTGGACAGCAAAGACTTCCAGAAAGGAAATCCCTCTTCTTTGCTCGTCAATTGCTGGAATATTTGGCTATCCGCTGTTTGCCATCCAGTTCGACCCAGACGACGACAATGGAGGCCGACGAGTAGCAGCATTTCTAGCCGTTGCTTTGATAGGCGTCAGTCAGATCGGGGCAATTGTCTGTAGCTTGGGCACGCTGAGCACAGCTATCCTCCGGAAAGCACCCAATCAGAGCATCGCCTCCGATGCTATCGCCAGCAACAACGATCTGGCGACGACAGAAAGCGAACCGCTTCTAGAGCGTTCTCGCCAGCCGCCCAACGACATTGTGCTGTCCACTCTCAAGGGTTCCGTTGCTGGTGTATATTCGTTCTATGGAGGTGCTGCAATCCTCATACTGACCAAAGTAGGCGGCGTTTTATTCGACAAGGTGTCCTTAGCGGGCCCTTTCTACATCATGGCGGCCTTCAACGCCATCTTGATGTTCGCTTGTACAGCTTTGTATATCACAAACACAAGATCAGAGAGCCGCGGAGTTATTAGAGCGCCTGGAAACGCCTCATGACTGCCTACAGATATTGCAAGCTTAGCAGTCCCACTCATAGGTGACTGCCACGCTCTGAGAGACGCAGGGAATGCGGACAATTTACCGAACTCGAATCCTTCCTACGCCCAGACCCCCCTCGAGCAGGCATGAAGTCACTGACAAACTTCGAACCGGAAGGATACCGCCCTCCTTTCCCGGCTTCTCAGCGCTGCGTATCCCATCGGTTCAACGTACTCCGATCATACAGGTTCAGCAGAGCTATCTACGACTCATGCTATGTCGCCATCATTCGCCACATATGCTCTGCAGGGGTTCCCCGCAGTTACGGAGTTGACGATCATCAAAGCTTCTGAAGCCGGCAATGCAAAAGACGATGATGTTCGGCTTGCGTTTCGGCTTCAGCTTCACCGAATCAAACCCCTGGCTGTCGACTGTCATAATTACACCGAGCTTGAACTGCTTCAGACGGGTACCAGTCTTGAGGTTTATATCGTCCCGTCCACAAGAAAGTAAGGAACTTTTCTACGTGGCTCACCTATACTCAGGCTCATCATGTATCTTCACTCCATGCTCATTGCCCTCCTGCTCGCTCCCAGAATCCTGGCAGATCCATACGCACAATACATCCTTACTCCTGCCTCGAGGACAGTATACCCTGCATCGGTCTACAACGTCAACGGCACTGTGGAAAATGCAGTAGGATTGGTGGGAGCAAGAGGCTCAGCCAGTTTCAGGGGTCCGTCAGCGGTCACATATGACTTTGGCAAGAACATTGCTGGAATAGTTTCATTCGATTTCAACGCAAGTGCTAGCGCATCGGACCAATTCATCGGTATCAGTTTCACCGAAAGTTCATTGTGGATCAACGCCGAAGGCTGTGATGCGATGGCCGATGCAGGCATTGATGCGCCCCTTTGGTTTCCTGCCACTGGCCAGGGCCGGGCGCAAGCATCGAAGGAACACCAGCGTGGAGGATTCCGCTATTTGAACGTATACCACAATGCCAGCGGGGAGACCTCCGTCAGCAACCTCTCCATCCACTTTACAGCACTTCCCCAGAAAACGGAAGCCGACTTGCAAGAATACACCGGCTATTTCCACACCAACGACGAGCAATTGAATAGAGTTTGGTATGCTGGCGCGTACACCAATGAGCTGTGCACTATCGACCCGACTGCTGGCAATTCGTTGATCTATCTGGGCACTATTACATCAAACGACACCGAGACAACTCCGTTGCCTTGGTACCTAAATTACACGATCGCGACAGGGAAAAGTGTCTTGGTTGATGGAGCCAAACGTGACCGGCTGGTGTGGCCCGGCGATATGTCAATTGCGACACCTTCCATCTTCGTCTCTACGAATGAGTTAAGCACCATAAGAGACTCTCTAGACTCTCTCCTACGACTGCAAAATAGCTCTACAGGCGCATTGCCTTATGCCGGGGTACCTTTCAGCGAGGTCTTGCCAATATTCAGCTTTACTTATCATCTTTACTCGTTGATTGGCATTTATGACTATTACCTGTACAGCGGGAACCTATCGTACGTATCTTCCAATTGGGAAAAGTTCAAATTCGGTCTCAACTATTCGACAAGCTTTATCGACGCCTCCGGAATGGCCAACGTCACCACATCGGCTGACTGGTTACGCTTTGGAATGGGTGGCCACAACATAGAAGCCAACGCGATCTTGTTCTACACGTTGAATCTGGGCACCACCCTGGCCGGCGTTTTGAATGATACAACCGTGGGCGCCTGGTCCAAGTACGCAACGGAGATCAAGACGGCAGCCAATGCTCGACTGTGGGATCCGTCAGCCAACCTGTACCGTGACAACGACACGAGGCCACTCACACAGCTACATCCGCAAGATGGCAATGCATGGGCCGTTCTCTCGAACTTGACGACCTCACCTGCTCAAAACGTCAACATCACCACAGCTCTGGCTTCACGCTGGGGCAAGTACGGCGCCCCGGCCCCTGAGGCCGGAACGACCGTCTCGCCTTTCATCTCTAGCTTCGAGATCCAGGCGCACTACATCGCTGGGCAACCAAGCAATGCCATCAGGCTGATGAAGTTCATGTGGGGCAATTTCATGCTGGACGATCCTCGCATGACCAATAGCACCTTTATCGAAGGATACTCCACCAACGGTGACTTACATTATGCGCCTTATCTTAATGATCCCCGCATCTCACATGCTCATGGATGGGCTACGGGGCCAACTAGTGCCTTGACTTTCTATGCTGCCGGGTTACAGGTGACCAGTGAGGCAGGCAAGACTTGGAAGATTGCTCCTCAACTGGGAGGACTGAAGTTTGCCGAAGCCGGGTTTCAGACCTCCTTGGGCAATTTCTCGTCCAACGTCACCGCCATGGATGACGGTGGCGTGAGTGTCATGTTCGAAACACCTGTCGGGACGAGCGGAAGTGTTGTCTTCCAGCACGAGGCCACACAGGGAGGGCAAGCTATCGTCACGACTGCCGGTGGACAGCCTCGGCTTGTGAAAAGGACTCTCATTCAACGCGGCGGACCTGGATTTGCGGCAGTCCATGATCTTCCCGGCGGAAAATACGAAGCCAAGCTGTTGCTTGCATAAAAGCTGCATTGAAAGGACAAACACCAGTCATGCTGGCGGCTATGGAAGAGCCAGCACACTCTTCCTGAACGTCGACTGATGTGTCGTGGTGCATTACTGCAGATCTTGGGTGTTTATTGTCTATTGTGCATGCCGTACATATGTTATAGTGCGTCGAACGGGCTATTGCTACTTGTCACTCTCCATCGAGACCTGCCTCGATTGAACCCCGCAAACGCAAAGCATCTTAATCCTCTTTGAGTGATTAGATCTGTATGCTGATATTATGTGAAACCCTATGGCTAAATACTTGCTAGGTGTCAGCAGGTATCACGTCACTTCCGAAAGCGGACATACGGCGGACCCCGGTGGATTTTCCCCCTGAATCACACCTCCGACACGTGATCGCAGCCTCGTCGAATAGCTTAGTCATCGGAAAACCCAATGTCGACGACACGCTGTTGAACTGTTGAACAGCGGCTCCATGAATACCACTTGTTCGACTGGAGCACATGGGCGCTGGTCGATATGATCAACAACTTGAACATGAAGGCTGCTGGTGCCGATACTGTCGAGGCGGACGGTAGTATAATTTTAAGCAAAGACTATTCTCGGCGAGGAGGTAGGCTCCATGAAGAAAAACACGATATATTCGTTTTCGAGGTGGGGAAGTCTTCGGCAGATATCTGGTTCCCCTTACTACAGCACAGGTGAGTTCCCTATGTATATTTTCTATTATATTGGTTGACCTTGAAGTATACGCTATCTTCAATATTCTGTGTGTTCTATGTTAAGTATGAAGAACTCTTCAGTTACTTTACTTTATTATTAACTATCTACATCTGGAGTACTTCCTATACTCATCACCCGCACCCTTGCATACTCGCTGGTAGGATCTCTATTCCGAAATCTACACAAGCACGGAAAAGTCTGAGGTTTAGTTCATTGTACTCGTTCAGCCCGTATTCACGGTTTGTCTCTATCTCTGTCTCTGTCTCTGTCTCCCCAGCCCTCCAGCCCCCCGTTGCTTTCACAAACTCAGACGCTCCACAACAATGCCCTCCTCATCCAGCAAATCTTCCAGCGCCTCAGCCGTGGAGTCCGGCCCGCCACACTCTTCGCGACAAGGCCCCCAGCACCGTGGCGAAAAGTAGTCATGCCCGACCAGCCACAGCGCATGGGTATGGCCCCGCCGCTCCCAGAAGTTGCGGATATTCACGACCGGTCTGACGCCGTCCATGAACCACTGCAGAATCAGCGTGAAGTGGGCGTCTGGCAGGACAATGCGGTGCCGCGTGGGCTCCATGTCCGAACAGAGCTCGAGGGAGAGGAGGTATTCTCGGGCACGAGTAGTGGTGGTAGTAGTTGTTGTGGCTTGCTCGGCGTCATTGTTTGTGTTCCTTGTTCTTGAGTGTCGTTCTTCACTGGCCATATTCACAGGTTCGTTTGCGTTTGCGTTTGCGTTTGCGATTGTATGGAGATCAAGAATGGTGAAGAGACAGAGGTAGCGCCATGAGTCGTCACTGCCTGGCCGTCTTGACGCATGGCTCGCAGTCTCGTCGTCAGAGTTGGATTCGGAATCAGAGTCGGATTCAGATTCGGATTCAGAAGATGTTGATGCAGACGCAGATCCAGATCCCCACGTTTCTTCATCATCCAGCATATCCATCATACGTCGTCGCCGGTCGAAATGGCCGACCATTACAACTCGTTGACGCAGTCGTGCCACTTCTCTGACCTGTGCGCTCAGAATGGCGGTGATGGCATCCAGATCGGTGGGCAATTCCATATTCCGCCCCGTGGCTTGTGGGACTTCAGGCACCGGAGGAGGGATGGTGTTTCGATTCGAGGCCATTTTGAGATCGGTACGAGCGTGGACGAGGAGTGGTGGAGGTTGTCGCGGTAGTGGAGATTTCTCACTGAGAACAGTCGCGTATGTTGTCGCGATTGAGTGTTTTTTTGGGTTGTGAGAGAGCTGTTGGTGGATGGATGTCTGCTTCTTTCAGGGGGAGCGCGACAAGGAGTTGTGGATTGTCTGTTGCTGAGGAAGAGGTTTCGCGAGCGAGGAGGATCAATGACTTTAGAAACGCCCAGGCGCTCACTGAGATCGGTAACGAAAGAGAAGAAAGGTCCTTGACGGAAGTACCGATTGATCCCGAGGTTCTGATCAAGAGAAAAAACTGTACACAGTCGCAGACCGGTAGACAGTATTCACGGAAAGGGACGAAACGTGTTGATGCTCTCGCGAAGAAAGGTCAACAAGATCGAAAACCGCAGTCGTAAAGTGAAGAACCATGTGTGTTATGGGAAGCAGTCTGCAGATTCTCTCCGAGCAGCTAGTGACATATATTCACTGCTCTATTGTGCAGGGCTGTGAATACATCTATTCTTAACACAGCATACGCTTGGCGACAAGATGAAGGAGGGCACCCACATGGCACAAGGCTGCAACTGGACGGGGGTATGGTTCAACATCTGCCCTTGGACCTTGGACCTTGGATCATTCGTGTCGGATCCATGGGCAGATAGATGCTAAGGTAGGCAGCCTACTCGGAAAACAGCCCTGGGTGGACTGATCCTCGCAAACATTGAATACGTCTTGTCTCATGGTAATTCACTCGCTCTGTACCGAAAGCTCGTCAAGATATTGTTGAACGGGCGGAGGAGGCGGAGGAGGAGGAGAGGGGATCCACGAAGATAAAACCAGCAGTATAATAATTCATTAGTGGTGACCCGGTTCCATACCCTCCTTCGAAGATTGAATGTTGTGATTCCGTCAAGGAGCGCTGCGTTCTTCGCAACAGTAGACCGCTGGGTGTTGAACTAAATCACTTCGACGACGTGCTCGAACGTGCCCGTATAGTACTCGATTTCCCAGGTCTGAGTCTCTTCAATTTTCTCGAGTTTGCTCTGGGTCTCGCCGCTGCTCAACTCGCCGGAGACGGTGACGCTCCCTTCTCCTTTCAAGGTTGCGATCCCTTTTGCGAGCTCTGCGATGAAGTCGACCAGCTTCCCACCCGCGCCGAAGACTGCTGACGGGTCTCCCTCGATGCTAACACTGCCGCTCGACTCACCGCCCGACTTCCGTCCCTGGTTGATATCGTTGGACAACTCCTTTCCCGTCGTCTTGGAGGTGGTGACTTTGCCGTGCATGGCGCGCACCGTGGCCGTCACGGAGCCGTTCTGATCCAATAACTGGTCGGGGATATTGACGTTGTTAAGTTTCTGTTCCATCCATGCTGGCTGGGCAGGTGTCATGAACCCGTCGAAGATGTAGCCTTTCACCAAAAGGGTGTAGATACTGCTGTGGCGTCCGCGAATGCGCGGCAAGACCATCTTGACGATCCCGGGTTCGCTCAGGTCCTCACCTTCGCCACGGGCTATCTCCACGAGTGTGTTCTTGTTGTCCACAAGACGGACCTGGCCGAGGGAGCACTCCCAATGGCCGGCAAGGGGCCGGTCACTGATCCCAACAAACTCGATTGTCAGAGGATACAGTTTTTCGGATGGGGCTGGAGAGCGGCCGCCAGGAAGATTCCTGGTCCGCTTCCGGATCCCGTCCTTCTTCTCCTCGTTTGTGATGTTCCCCTTCTTCTGCTCACCTTCGAGGATCTTGATGACTTCTCCACACTCCCTCGGGGTGATTTCTTCACTGGCCTTTGGCTGAGTCGGAGGTATGCCATTCGAGTCGGCTTGGATATCTGTTGCAATCTGGCTGACTACGGCCTCATCCTTGATCAGTTCCTTCTTGACGGCCCGTTGAAGTGTGGCCAGTTTGCGATCCGCGTTCGCGGTGGCCGATGTTTTACTGGCCATCTCGGCCAATTTGAGTGCAGCCGCCTGATTCAAGGCGTTGGCTGCCAGGCCAGAGGTGGTTTCAAGCCCTTGAGCCGCCAGTCCCTGAGTGCCAGCTAGCCCGGCCATGTCACGGAACAAATTAGCGTTGCCAATGGTGCCCAATATACCATCAAACCCTTGCGGGGCAGGAGCTGGGCTGGCATTCTGGAGGCTGATGAGCGTATCTGGAAGCTTGGTCGGGGTGGTCCCAACATTTGGATCACTGCGGCGAGAGGTCAGCAAATTTGCGTCAATAGAGCCCAGCTCGGGGTCGGCATCGTTCAGTGCCCAATCAAGACTTCCATAATGCTCCTCGAGCGCTTCACACTCGTCCATCACGGTCTGTGCATAGAGGCCGTCAGTTGGCAGACTGATGTGCATTGGGTCCGCGGGTGGGCCGCTGGATCGGTACCAGCTGTCAAGGTCGTTGGCAGTCGGCAGCTCTGGCGTCCCAAGGAAACATCCAGCTGAAACTCGGAATATGAGAGAATTGCCAGCCACGCCGAGCGGGTTTCTCTCTACAATGTTCGCGATACTTGTTTCGGGCTTCAGGCGAGGGACGTAGAAGCCATCCAGAAGCATGAAAAGTCTATCCCGGTCCATGTACCACCAGATCATGCGATGGTAGTACTCAATATGTTCATTGAGATGCTGCAAGAGCTCCATAGTGTCGTGAACCAATTCCATCCTGAGGTTTTGCGCTTCGAAGAGCGTGATGGGCGATTGGAAAGCTGCCCCTTCGCGGTCGACCCCCCCACTGGTAGGGTCCACCAAATCATTCGCACCTTGGCCGAGAGAGATGGACCGAGTCACATAGTCGGTCTGATATGTGTAGTTGATGCTTCGGACATTCGCAAGGGAGCCCGGAGGAAGACCTCTAGTCGCTCGGACGACAAGTGTAGTCAACTGCGCTCGACCAAGGTTCATGTTACTGGTGTCCACTTGGAAGTCGACCCTAACTTGTCTACCAAAGACATGGCGAGTGGCCAAGGTAAAGTCAGCCTCCAAATTTCGGTTTGCTCCCCAGAGTTGCAGAGAGTTACACCATTTGGCTGCGATCCCCGGGGCATATAGTCGCTGAAACTCGGGTTCGCGATTTAGATCCGAAAGGCCTGCCAAAGATTGCCAGGTGGCTCGAGTGGGAAGTCCCAACAAAGACGTCAGTGTTGTCCAGGAATCCTGGCTGAATTCCCCTTTGTCGTTGTCCATGGGTCGGGCTATGCCGAGTTCAATGTAGACGGACCCATACATCGATCGTATGGCATGATCCGCGCGACGACCTGGTGGGATTGTGGATGACCGAAACCCGGTGAGCACGTCTCGGAGATATTCCATTGCATGGTTGAACCGCCTAAACGGATTGGCCCACATTCCTCCAGTAATGCGTAGATATAGATCACTTACCTATCTCTCAAAATGCGTCTGATAGTCTCTCTCCAGCGATATGCCCTTGCCATGGTGAAAGGCTTCATGCTGAAGGGGACGAACAAGCACTCTCTCACCCCGGCAAACTCGGTATCGACCCGCTGGTGCCTCAGTATGTTGTGGTAGATGACAGTCAGGCTATGGGCATAGTTGATGTTCCGGACGACTTCAACTGTGCCGGTGACTTCCTCCTCCTGGGCCACCTCTTGCACAATCGTACTCTCGAACTTCCTGACCGATTCCCCATGACGCTCAATCGCACCCCGCCACTGCCCTTCTTCTTTTGCAGAAGCGTCTCTTCCCCCAGACTGCTGGCTACCGGAAGTCGCAGTTGATGTAGCTGCACCTCCTCCGACAGCGATGGGCAGTTGACCAAGGATGCCACCAGCAGCGAAAGCCGCGGCTGAAACCTTGCTCTTAGAGCTACCCTGAGCCCATTCAGTGAGATTGGCCGCCACCGCATTCTCGTAGGAATTTTCGTGGCTCACAAGGTCGTCGACAGCGTCCTGAGAGTCTTGTGTCTCTGCCCGGGAGCTTTGTTCTGCTCTAGACCAGGAAATCTTCTGAATTCCTGCAAGATGTTAGAGAGCGAAGGAGGCATGGGTGCTCAGAACACTCGACTTACGCTTCGTCTGCCGCGGTGCAAGAGTTAGAGTCTTTGCCACACCACCTAAGCTGTACCCATTGCTTCGAGTACGCACACGAAATTCCAAGATGTGGCCACGAGCAACAGTGGTGGCTTGATACCTGGTACTCTCGCTATTCCACTGCAGCGGTTGTGTTGCACTCATCTCCACCCGGGAATGACTTAGTTTACTGTAGTGTTTCTGAAGCTCCTCGGGCAGGCGATCAAGGTACATTGCCAGGCCCTGACCGATGTCGGTACGGAATCCCTTGCCTGTGGCAACGGTTGGAACCTCTGACATGGTCAACGTAATGGATGGAGCAATGATGGCGGAGCTTGTGCTTTCCCTGAGTGCAGCCAGCATATCTTTGGGAGGATCGAAGTCTAATTGAGCAGGTTCCTCAAGTTTGACTGACGACTCTGCTGAGATGGCAGGCATCTCCGTACGCAGAACGGAGAAGAAGGATCTTTCTGACAAAACCCGTTGGGGATTGCTGAAGGGTCTGCAGAAAGCTCCAGGGTCCTCAGTATACACATCAGGGTTGGTTGCGAGCTCTGCAGCCGATACATCCACTGGTACCCTTCCCCGGCCTGTCTTCGTTGGTTGCTGTGTGGATGGCGCCGAGGCTGTGGTCTTGGATGCTCCATCATCAGAACCGGGTTGGGCTTCAGACCTTTTGGCAGGCTGAGGCAGAAATATCGACCGAGTTCTGTCAATTGAAAACGCCAACGGCTCTACAACAAGTCCGATGATCGGATGCTGAGCGCCACCACCAAACAGCATCCAAGCCCATGCATTCCAGGAGCCAGGTTCAAAGGTTGCAGTGAAACTGCCGTCGACCGCCACCCGGGTATGCTTCCAGTTCAAGCCAAGTATGGCATCAGCGATGGAAGTTTCACATATCTTGGAGCCAGTTACAGGTTTAGATCTGGGGGTTTCTGATCTCACAATGTCTTCGAAGCCAGAGCCTTTCCACTGTGTTGGGGTCGTCTCCCCCAGACTCGGTTGTCCACTTCGGCTCTTGCTGGGATCGATCGGGTTGCCAGGAGGGAGATCGTTGAATCTGATTGGAACGACCAAGAGTTGGGCGAGCGGGAAGTTGATCTGCTGAAGCTGTGGGTCCAGTGACACCAGCCGAGCCGATCTTTTGATGTCGCTTAGCACTTCTCCTGGACGCGATGGGATCGCTTCCATACGTTCGATGTCCTCTTTGCTGAGCTCTATCGTTGTGCTGATCGTGTTCTCGGGTGATCCGTCAGTGTCTCCGGCCGGGTCCTTCCTCAATATAGCCGTCTTCTCTACGGCAGTGCGACCATCTGCGTAGAGGAATTTGAACTTTAGTGGCTCGCCTAGATAGACGTCATGCAAAACGACATCCTTCCCGAACGGCTCACTGCGTGTAATTCTCAGGGAGTCGTGGATTAGCACTGGTTCCTGTGCTGGAACATCTACCTGGGTGCTACCAACACCTCCATCTTCATCCTGTGGGTTCGCCACATATTTACGAACAAAAGTGACATCGAAAGAGAAGGTCTTGGGAGACGACGCCTTGATCTCGGCGCCTGTTTCTGTCTCAGTGCCTTTCTTTGGGATGATGTGTAGTGTCACCTCGGCGAAGTCAAACTCGGTTGGCATACTGAACTTGCACCGATGGTGGATATCGACTGTGACGATGAATGCACGAACCTTAAGTTAGGGTAGATATACAAAACCTGACTTTTCAGCACCAAACGGGCAGGGTTTCAAAACCAGCTTGGACCGAATTTCACCTCTTAAGAGCATTTTCAGCTTTGGGTCTCGAGATGAAGCAGGCGGATCTTCCCAGCGGTGCCCATAGCATGTCCTGCGACCTCGTACCAACATGTCTGCCAAGTACTGCTACAGCAACTTGGCAGCAGCGTGGCCTGGTCGGGAGCTGAGTATCGTTCTGCCCTCCAGGAACTTCAACTCCAAACTTTGCAGGACCGTCCCTGCTGGCGCTGCTGCTGCTGCTGCTGCTGCTGGGGTGAGCTGCATTGCAGCAAAGGACGATGTGCAAGGGAAGGAAAGACGTGTCAGGCCCCCAGTGGCTTTCTGTATGACTTGGCAGCCGAAATTGATACGAGATGGTAGATATAGTCTACCTCCCAGGCTGCAGCGTAGTGAGACTGTGACGTGAAGTACGGGCACACTCAGGTATCGGGCGACGCAGGTGAAGGCTTGGAGAGGGGGACGTATGCACAGTAAGTAGCCTCACGCACGTCGCGATTGCCGAAAGAGGGCGAGTCCGGGGCAGATTCCACCTGTTTCCAGAGGCTGGGCACTTGGACTGTCGACACGATGCTCAAGTCATCCCGAGGCCGAGGCCGAATCCGAGTCCGAACCCTCTGCTGTATGGCGCTGCATCGGGCATGTGACAAGAAATCTAGACCCCTGGGCGGGTGCGCAGCCCGATGCAGCCTGTCTTGGGCAGACTCGACAATACGGGGCTCCCCGGATGGACACTCGACATTTGACCATGCTAGACGTTGCTGCAGGTGTCTGCGAGTTCCTCAGGTCTGGAAGCAGAAATGGGCTTTGGTGAGGTGGATTTGGGCCGAAAAGGATACTAACAGGACAATATATTATCTGGAAGTGGAGACTGATAGAGATGATAGAGATGAGAAAAAAAAAAAGGGGGCACGCAGCCTTGAGCATCTATATCCATTTCCTGCCACCACAGTTCCTCTATTGGTCGCCTCTTAGGTTGAATAAGCTTTTCACTGAACATCCAATGCTACTTGTGCCCTCTTCAGGCACTTGATGAGAGGACACACAAGTATAAAGGGTTTCGTATGGCTCGACAAGATACATGTCGGGATATCATTGTGTCCGTCCTACTTGGAAGGGGACGAATGCAATACGTTCGGAAGATCGGGGATGGCGGGCAGGGATATTTTGAACCCTGACTAAGCAGTACCTCCCATCCTAATACCATCCATCCGATGCATGCAGTACGTTGCTTGTCCTGTGTCCAGATATAAGGTCCGTCGCTGTGCAAATCCCCTGGCTATCCACGGGACTGCCAGTCCCTCAGATGCAAGATCTAGTTCATCAGTCCTTCCACCAACCCACCCAGCGCACCGGTATCCAAGTCTCTCATCAACCCCTTGACACGATATGGTCAAACGGAAAGCAAGATAAGCCTCCCTTGCAGGGATATTCGAGAGCCACCACTCTTGCTCCTGCATCTTCACCTTCACCTTTACTGCTATGCCGCTTGCTGTAATCGATACATGCATGTCAGCGCCGTGATGGCTGTGACTGTTCTTTCCGTTTCGAGTCGTGAAGCTATATATTCGTCAATGCCGCCAGGGTCGGGTGGTCGAGATCCTTGTCGTAAATGACTGTTGACGGAATACAGTCAGTCTAGAGATTTTCTCCTCTCACTTCCCTCGGGCAGCTCCTATCCACCCTTGCGGGTCGATCCTGGCAAGTTGCCCGCCATGATATCTCGACCGCCGGGACCAACAGGACCAGCAGAAGCGGAATCATCCCAAGGACCTTCACCGTTGTCTCCGTCCCACGCAGGCTTCTTTTTCGACGGTGGCGCCTTGACTTCCAATCCGGCATTGAGGATCTGAAGACGTAGGAGCTTCATGTGAGCCTCCCGAACGAACCCGTCCACCATGTCGACAGCAGCTTCTTGAGCTTCGGCGCGGACATTGTGTTCGACAGCATTCAAAACTCCACGTTCCAGATCGATCCGTGCATCGAGTTTGCCATCTTCAATCAAACCAATGATTTCGTCCAAGAAACCCTGCTGGCCCGCGGGGGTACTGCCCCCTCCTTGTGTGGCGGTTGGATTACCAAACATCTCCTCCATACTGGCCAAGGTGACTTTGCTGAACGGCTCAAAGTACTGGATGATGCTCTTGGTGCGTATCTTCTTATAGATGTCGGCGACCAAGGGTTGAAGGTAGATATCCAACAGATAATCTGCGCGGTAGGATTCCAGGATCTCAAGACATTGACTGTACTTGGTTGCGCAGAAGAAATTGATGGCACGGCGGATGTGAGGTTCGAGTTCGAGGAAGGAGCGGAAACTGGCATTTTCGAGAACTTTTGTCTGGAGTTCTGAACGAGTCATGGATGCCAAAGCGCATAGACCGCCGTAGACTGCGACGTCATTGCTGGTTAGAACCTCGCTGTAGCTGTCTCCCAGAGCCGGGTCGGTGTTGAGGAAGCTGATAGCAGCCTCGTAATAGTCCCCTGTGGACATCTGTTGAAGACCCATGGCGGCGAAGGTTTTGGGCTGATTTCGAACCGTGTCTTCGGGCTTCATTTGGAGGTTGCGGATTTTGTGGACTTGAGATTGAACGGCCAGCCAATTTTTCTGTTCGATAGCAACCGCAATGATCCTAAAGGCGGTCGACGCAATGTGCGATGCTGTCGTACAGTAGTCACGCATGCGGGAGTATGCTTTGACTGCATTGTTAAGGTCACCGATGGTGTAGTAATGATTCCCCAGGTCCTCGTTTCCCATCTGTAGTGTCTTGTCAGCCATGACTCTTGCAACCACCTAGTCCTGAGCGCACTCACACGTATGCTCTCTTTGATAAGGTTATTCTTATAACCTTTCAGTTCCCCTTCCAGACGTGCTGTCTCGGCGGTATTTTTCTTCTCTTGTTGGGCTGCCCACACGGGATCCAGAAGTTTGTCGACCTTCTTGCCTTGCGAAGCCTTTTTCAACAGTGCCACAGCCTCGTGATAGTTCCGGACGTCACTTCTCTTCTTCGCTTCGATGACAGCCATCCGAGCCGCTTCCTCTTGCAGGGGGACAGAGCATGAGGCAATGAGGTGGAGTCTGCGGAAAACGGTCCGACCTGGCAGGGTCAGAATCAGTCGATAGTATGGTACAAGGGGTCCAGGGCGTCGGGATTGTACCTTTGTAATTGGCGATGTAGGAAGGCAGATCGAATTTAGGCATTTCTGTTCCCAATGAGTGAGCTGGGGCTTTTGCGACATCGGAAAGTGCGAAACACTCTACCATTTACCACGACACCATAGCTGGGCTGTTCTGATGCGAGAGAGTCGTCTGCCATCTTGAACGACGGCTGGCGCTGAGGCCGCGGCGGGAAGGGAGTTGGTGTAGGCTATGTAACCAGGCAGACTCAAGACACCGCGAAGGAGATGATAGTGCTGGCGAGACTGTCGGTCTAGCAGGTGGAGGAGGTCTTGATACGAGTGAAGCGAAGGGACGGTATGAGGCTGATGGAAGCAAGAGGAGTATTGGTGATGAATCGCAGTAGACCAAAGCAAGCTGCTAAGAGCAATATTGATTAACGTACGTAGTAGTAGTAGTGAAGCCTTTACGCGTGCCGCAAAGGTGCGCACACGTCGGCGTCTGTGAGTTCAAGTTGCCGGTGAAGGCTAAGGCCCGAAGAGCCTCTTAACCTTGGCGACCGCGGGGGACTTGCAACTCCGCACTGCGACCTGTCGAGACCCTCCTACCTTAGGGACCCTTTTCATATAAGCCCCTTAGCCTCTAACACAGTACTAGTAGACAGACAAGTGCCACCTAAGGAAGCCCAAGACTGCACAGCTTTAGGTGCCTTTTGCTCTACCTGATTAGGTTACTTAAGTACCTTTTCAACCCTCTGAGCTGCTGGAGCACCTCTTCCAGCATTCGTGCTTTCAGTCGTCCATGTAAAACGAACTACACTGTGGGCATGTCGATGAAAGGCTCAACCAGAACTGATAGGTAGACAAGCTATAGAGGTAACTTATCCTCATGAACAATATCGATATAGTCGAAGGACATTCATCCAGTCCACTATTATTGTCTGCACTATCATTCCAGCGCTCAGCGCTTTCAGGTCCTATGTGCCCAAGATATCTATCAGAAATACACAGCCTTTTCCTCCATCAAGGAGGGCCCTTAGGCTTGACTGTTGGGTATCATTCGGGTGCTTGATTCGAGCACTGCTTGCCCCTCCCACTCGCACTCCCACTTTCTTTCTTGACCTGGATTCCTCAAGGACGATCCATCGCTGGGCTGGTTTCCAGGCGGTATTCATACCCAATTCGTGATTTCTCCAAAGCAGGGAGAACTGTCCTCTGTTCAATCAGATTTCCACATAACACGCTTTTCTCGCTCATCAAGATTCACGTTGAGCAGTCCAAACAATGACCCGAGAAACTCATTCGGCGTCCGGCACGAACGCCGAAGGGCCCATCTGCGTGGCTCACACATTCTTCCAACATACAACGCTAGACGCTCAGCTGGAACAGGGGAAAAGCAACAAATCAAGCCATCAGCGCATTCAAGTCAAGCAATTGCCCATCGTCCTCGGTGGGAGGCAGCCATGGTCCCTTCTCGTCTGCAGAGGCATTGTGGAAAGCCTCGGCTCGCTTGAGTGTGGCAACATCCAGGTCGGTCACGTAGCCCTTGCCGTCGGGCAGCATCATTCGAACTTCAAACTCGTTGTGCAGCATCATGTCGTCTTTCCACAACCGACGCGGCCCATCGTAGACACAGAGAACGCGCTTCTTCATCTGCATCTTCTCGGCAGACATGCCCCAAGACGGTGGATAATGCTTTCTCTTCTTGCGGCCCTTGCCCAGAAGAGCGACGCCGCCTTTGGACCAGGTCATGCTTTTTCTGGCCGACTTGGTGGACTTGGAGACTCCACCAGCGATGATGGCTCTCCCCGAAGTGCCGGGTTTGTTGGGTTTGATGGAACCTTTCGCGGATCGGCCGGTGAAGGACGGATCCTCGTCTTCGTCCTCCTCATCTTCCTCTTCGTCGTCGTCCTCGTCGTCATCTTCAATTTTAGTGGGAGAATCCTCGGTCTTCAGCATGTGACGATCCAAGGTCTCCTGCACGCTGGCATCTTGGTCTATGCTGGAGAGATGATGCGCGTTGATGGCCTCACTAGGCTCTTCCTGCTGTACAACACGCAGCACACAGTCATCGAGATGTTCATAGAAGTCCTGAGCATTGTTGAAGGTGGCCGAGCAGGTTGAGCACTTGCCGGTAGCATCTTGGCAGTAACTGGTCAACTTGCGATTGTTGGAAGTGGGACTTCGTTTCCGGCTGTTGGGGGCTGTTTGTTCGACACCGTGGACCGAGGTCAAGTGTCGCTTGAAGACATCGGCGCGGTTGAAGCTTTTCTCGGCAGGCGACCCGGATCCGGGGCAGAAACCGCACACCATGGTACCCTTGTAATGGGTCAAGGTATGTCTGTTCTTGTCGTACTTTCGAGCGAAGCCTTTCTGGTTGTACTCGCATGTCAAAATGGGACATTTCTCGGGCCGCTCGGCTTGGTGGGTGAGCATGTGTGCCTTCAGGTCCTTGAAGACTTTGCCGCAATCGGGATGTGGACACTGGCCCTTCTCTCGACCCTCTTCGTCAAGTTCCGAAGCTGGGCTAGAGTGTGAGACGTTGGAGACATAGGAAGCCAGAGACGGTCTTCGGCTGAGGTGTTGTGGCGGCGGGTAGTAGTTGTTGTTGTTTGCAAAAGGTTCAGGGAACTGGGTGGTAGAGGGGTACATGCCGTAGGGTTGTGGCGAGGGGGCCGGCGAACCTGATGGCGACGTGTTTGAGAAGGTGTGAATGCCTTGCGGGAAGAGCCCTTGGGGAGGGAAAGGTGTCTCCCCATACGATCTTGAAGCATGAATCAAGGATGGATCTGTGGACACTTGGTGGTCAGTCACGGTGTCTGTGCTGGGGATGGTGTCAATGGCCAGAAGAAACACGAGCTGTGGAAGGGACAAGATGGAATGAAGAACCGGAGAGATAGGAAGGCAGGAGCAATAGAATGGAAAGCGTCGGAAGAGACGAAAGAGATGATTGAGGGGTGGGACGAGACTACCGTTGGCTTGACTAAAGAAATGAGATTGGAAGCAATTGACAGAGAGTTGACATGATGCATCATGAACATCATGGGGAACCATGTGAACAGGTGTGGTGGAAAGCAAATGTGATCTTGCATTGAGCGGGCAAGTAACAGAAGAGAAACGCCTTGAATGGGCTGAAGCTGGTGTCGTGGGTGACTTGAAGACCGGTGGTGTTGAGGGAATGTGATCATTCTTTTTCACGGGGTGGGCTGGAAGAGGGAAGAGACCCGAAGTGGACGCGCTCAATGGGTTGGTGGAGACGCCGCGATCGGAACGGGTAGGGATGGGCAGGACCTCGGGTAAATCTGTCAAGGAAGCGCCGTGACTGGCGTGACGGGCGTGACGGGCTTGATCCGGTGGAGGAATGTGTCCCAACCGGGAATTGGGCTGAGCAATAGTCCCCGGAATTGGGGCTGGGCAAGAAGAAAGATCTGCACACTCACCCACATAGCTTCTGTCCGAAAAGAGCTTGTCATGGTTGTTGTCATTATTGTTGTTGTGATTCGACATGGACAAGTCGGCTTCCATCGGAGCTCCAAGGAGATCCTGGTGGAAGGTGTCCTGACCAAGCGCGCTTGACAACACGCCTAAGCCGTACGACGCACCGAGGTCAAACCCGTCCTGGCTGGCAATGGTGTGCGAGGGTCCTGAATATGGTGACCCGATCGTGGACGATGCAGCGCTTTGGATTGATGGTATCGAACTTGAAGAGACGAGGGCCGGGGGCATTTCGTGAAGCTGGTACATGTCTTCCTTGATCATTTGCATTGGCTCGGTCGCGAACATGGATGAAGTCTCAAAGAACGAGTATTGGAGCGGACGGAAGTTGAGCATTGGATCGACCACCTCGTAGGTGTCCATGGTCAGGCCGGGGAACGGCGCTTGCGGTTGAACGCTGTTCTCAGGGTCATAGGTTGGTTCTGCAACCTGTCGACGATGTGAATGCTTAAGAACAAGCATCGTATGCTGGAGTGTACAGTTCGAATCAAACAAAGAACATGTACAAAGCCGAACTCGGGCGGGAGGTCGAGGTCGAGGTGTCTGGAGTGATATGGTCCTATGTAGTTGTTGAAGTAGAGGTGAATGTCTAGCTTATGGGCCAACGGAGCCTTGACGGATTTCGATTGTGTCTCCTGGCGAAGGAGGCCCGGGGGACAGGTCAGCGTGCCGAAGCGAGGGTTCTAGGTCTTTTCCGGCGGCGTTAGGATCTCGATAGCACCTGAATACGAAGGATCAGGTTCTAGATGCAGTGCATGGCAGCCCGGACGGTTTGGAACAGAGAGACAGTCGTGAGGCTTGCTGAAGTTATGTCGATCAGTACCGGAAACAGTAAAGGGGACTGGCGGAGAGGAAGACGAAGCCGCGGGATCGATGGCAGGTCGGTGACAGTCTTATAGAACTCCTAGGGTACTGAGACTGTTGACCAGAGGTCAAATACAGACAGACACAAAAGGATGACGACAAGGCTTTCGAGGAGAGTCCGTCGTAAACGTGTTTGGAAGGTGAAGGTTGATCTCAGGCTGGCTTGTCGAGGGGGGCGAAATCGTGAGATATAGTCGTTTGCTTCGGAGGCAGACCATCTGGATGGATCTTGCCGAAAGCGGGAGCCCTGTCGCTTGTGATAAAGATGAGCCCACCCTAGCCCTACGCTCTCCTGCTGGACCAGGGTCCGGCAAAGCGCCGGGGGGCAGTGAGATGCATTGGTGCCAGGAAGTGAGGAGCAGGGGGCCCGGGGGGGCCGTGCAGCGTATGTTCGGTGTGGGAGCGAGGGCGGCTGTACCATGGATACGCGAAGAGAAGTGTCATTGTGACAGCTAATGTACGTGCTAAGGAAGTTAGCTCCCGGCAAGGCCTGAGCAAAAGCAGAGCAGGGCTGCTGTGTCAGTTGTCAGTTGTCAGTGCATCCTCCTCGATCAAGGAGACGGAATCCGCGGTTCCCATGATGATACTCTCCCATCTCTGAAGGAGTATTTGCTGAAACACTTGCCCACCTGTGGCTGTAGGTACTGGAATCGAAAGCCCCCAGGGTCATGATTGGTATTTTCGCAGTGGAATATGCCGTCCAACACGTTATTCACGTGGTCAAGGGGGAGAGGTTGTCCTCACTTCGAACCGGATTCGTAGCATGCGACGTAGCAAATGCCCATCATCTTCCCATTGGTCTGTAGAATTTCTGTCCTGTCGTGCTATTCATATCTTTACTCCTTTTGACCATTTCCACGAGGTAACAGTCGCAGTGATGGAGGTCCGCATGACGAACCATAGGGACAATTGCAGTCTTTGCTCGTGGTCAGGAAGAGGAGCTATCATCGGTAAGGCACAGGACACGGGTTGTCCAACGGCAGGAGAAGGTTACAGGCTTCTGCCTGTCACAGCTCCAGGAACCCGAAGCTCAAAGACAGCATGACGGGGCAGGAGGGGAATCTCTCTATGGTGAGAGTTGGCGAGGGAGGTGAGGGAGGGGCCTCTGGCTGGAGATGCTGGTTTGGGATGAGTAGATTGTGGAAAAGACAGGGGTGCGTCACTGGTGCACAGGTTGATTTTTGGGACAGACTTGCTCCGGCTGCCAGTTCGAGCGATGACAGACCCGCCCAGCGCTGATTTTGGTTCTTTTGCTGGCAGTTTAAGAACTCGAGAGAGCCTACCACCTTCGCCTAGCGACCTTTACGCCAGTTGATGTCACATTTAGGGAGAATAATTAAACTCAGCCCAATTCTACTAAACTGACCACTAAAGAACACACTAGAGACTGGTGGTAATAATACCGTACAGTATCCAAAGGAGACGAGGTAGATGCGATTGGCGCCATCGCGCGGATGCGGTCAGCCATGGGGACGGACCAGGGTGCAAAAACGTGGCATCCCCCGAAGTGAGATCTGTCATTGGCAGGCAGCACTCGGAGCGTCCAGGATGGGGGCGCAAAGCCACTGCCACATCTTGTTTCATTGGGTTTTAGGTGCCTGAGCCACGGCTTGGTGGAGGCTAATGCTATTTTTTGACCGCTGATGCGGATGCAGTTGAGGCTGTGATCCTGCCAGTCGACCCTGACCCTGGCATCCGCAGTCACCGACACTTGAGACCCATTTCCTGGTGCAATGCAGAAGTTTCCAGAGTGGTAGTTAGCAGCTATAATCATCGTCATCCTAATAGCAGGTATGTAGACTTCAAAAGTGGCTTGACGACATGGTGAAGTCACCGGGGGGTTTTGTAGGCTTCAACCGCCTATGGTACATACTACCTCCTGCAGGCCCAACCCCCCCTAGGTGCCCACCGCAGGTATGATTACTCTCTCATCGGTGCAGACCCCATGCCCCGGCAGACCCTGGAAGGTCGGCTTGGAGCGCATGGATCACCAGATGACAGTTGCAGCAGTGCAGTAACATTGTTGAGTGCAGTGGTCAGTTTGGTCCCTTGAGGCAGAGTTCTTGATGACTTGGATTTGGTCTTTATGGTCGTTCGTGGCATGTGCATGTCCTTGTTCCGCTTCGCTCGGTGCATTGACAGTACTAGTCCTCTACTCATTCACCTACCTAACCTTAGGTACCTGGGTACTGATGCGACAGGCGCTCACCAGGCGGAGAGGCTCAAGGCTCCACATTTGCCGGGACGGGATGATAAGACGCTGCCTACCTGCCTTACCTAAGGTACCGAGGAACCGTCTGGAAGACTGACTTTCAATGATAGTTGACTTACTGTGTAGTGTCTGTTTCTCGGTCAAGGAATCCTTTGCCGGCCTAACATTTTCGTTGATAACACACCACTGGCATGCAGTGCAATGCAGTGGGAAGTGACCCATTCCCACCCGAAGCCCGAGACGTCTCTCGACACGGGAAGATCAGAAGAACGGATTCGGCCAGCGCCGTATCTTTTGTGGCTGGTTATAGTAATAATTATTACTGGTGAGTAGTATCGCGCTCCTTGCACCCATGTCCTTGGTCTACTAGGGATCCCCCCTTCCATAGTCGTTCCAAGCTTCCGTACTGCCTCCTGGATTCGACAAACTCGAATCACTAGTAGTAGTAGGTGCATGCCACCTGCCTGCAAACTGGGATAAAGGGGAACCCTTCCTCTCGTAACTCTGACTTCAAAAGGACGTGAGTTCTCCGTTGGCCTGTCAAGTTTCAATGCTTACTGCTCTGTACTACGTACTGGTACTGAGCATCCTAGCCCTTGCTCGACGCTTGGAGCACCCAAGATGTGACCATTGAGCATGGCTACCACCTTTCCCGTATGATACCTACTAGTTATGAGCAGTCGCCTATCTTCTCAGCTTTCAGTTAGACTGGGGCTCCCTAGTAAGGCCTGGCATTTATTGCTGCTACTACTTTCGATACTACCTGGTACTTCTCTACTGTACCCTGTCGTTCCCCCTTGTAGCAGACCTTGTCCTACTAGTACTACTACGACAGAGTTCAATGTGCTTACCTACCTAACTGTACGGTCATCGGTCAGTGCTCTTCTGCAACGTATCGTAGTAAGAAACGATTGTCACCGCCCCCATCTCTCCTCCTACCACCCAATGTCTATGGCATCCTCTAGCGCTATAAACTACACATTGCATTCCGCCCCTAGCTAATGTCCTTATCTAATTGTGACACCTTTCAGCGGATATTTCAGGGACTTCTTCATCGTAAGGCTGCAGATTTAAGCGGCCAACCCGCGGCGTCGGGCTTTTTGGACTGATTCCTTCTCGAGATCCTCCGCTACTCATCCTGTGTTTTGCCTGTACCCAGACACAAACCCTGTGGCAGAGGGGTTGTTTATGGATGCACCAGCATGCCGCAGCATCCCGTATAGTGTCCTTCCTGAGACCCATTGCGCTGCAATCGAATCCCCTCTTTCCCGCGCGTACTAGACTCTGCTGAGAAGCCCTGGTCCCCCAGTAAGTGCACCCTTGCTCTGTGCAGGGTCAATCTACCATAGTCCTCATAGTACTAGTAGTATGTTATCTGCAGTTGAGGCCTCTCTTTCCAAGCCCATCCGGTCAGTGTCAAACTTTGGGCCTTAGCCAGTGTGTAAATGGTCGCGGCGGTCTGATATGATATCCTCTACCTAATCACGCTTCCGCTTGCGCCAAAGGTGCGAGAATTGCGCTCTCTTGATTATTCCTTGCTCGCCCCAGTGCTGCCTCTACACCGCTCGTCTCAACCACCAAGTAGGACCTTGCCTCGAGTAGTTGGCACTGGCATCTCAAGTCATGGAGAGTTCCGTGCTGCTGCAAGCTGCAGGGGTGCCGACCACGAAACCTCGCCCACCCCTGCTTTCCACGGGTCTCTGCCGCTAACCCATACGCGTGGTTCATACCTTCCACTGCGGCGTTAAGTAATTCACTGCCCAAGGCCAGAAACAGTGCACAAACCTCTCCAGGATGTATTTCTCTGGTTGTCCTCTCCTCATTTGTGACTTGAAAAACACTGCTGTTCAGTTGTCTGCCTCCTCTGTCACCGTCACAATCTTCTTCGCGGAGGTCTAGATCGACCCGTGCGCATGCAGGGAGTCCCTATTGAACCTGGCTCGAAGATGGCTCGCGGTGGCCGGTGATTGCTATAGGCAAACCACCTGCCAGAAACGATATGAATGCAGGCCGGAGGGTTCGCAGGCTAGTACAAGTGGTCCTAGCGAGACTTCGGATAGGCCTCTGGCTTGGACTGCAGTGACTGACGGACGGGCTTGAAGGGCGGGGAGGGGTAAACGAGGTTGATGGTCAATTGACCGTGTCACCGCAGTCACTGACAGTGACCTGCCAGTGTGCAGTGCCAGTGCGGTAGAAGATCCAAGTCCGTGAGTTGTTGGCGTCCAGTGCCATCAGCCCTATGAGTTAGCAGCGACTAGCGTGCAGCAGCTAGTAAAAGCCCCCCTCTTTCTCCTATTCTCTTCTACTAGCACAGCAAGTACGAAGTATCCTGCCACTTTCCTCTTCCTCTTCCTCGTATCCCGCAACTAACCCATTTGGGCTTCTCGACATCCACTCCAAGCCAGAGTGAGACTTGTGGCTTGCGTTGTAAGCGAAGAATCGAGGTCTGGACTCCCATATTTCCTCCGCCCCTAGCCATGGGAGAAACGGGCACCCTGCATGTCTTAAGCTTGCGTTCTCAATTGATGCAGCTTCATTCGGCCTAGCATGGAGTAGATAGGCAAGGGCTCGACAATTCTCCCCAGAGGTCTTCACGAACTTGAACCTCGCTGCAGCGCTGCTTGGCATCGTGTCCCATTTCAATTCAAGTTTCGCAACAACTGCTCCGCGACCCTGGAGATGGCTATGACATAGTGCGTGCTCATCTCCCAATGCGCTGGCACCCAACATACTAGTCCTCGCTTCTGGCCGCGGTGAATGCGGTTGAACAGGGATCGACGCCAGCCTTCCCTCGATTTGTTCCCAAATCGTCTTTGACTGCACTCATTGCAGATACCTGGGTGCGGAACCGTGCTTTTACGAGCAGGTCGCTCTCACCGTCCCTGCCAGGTCTTCCAAAGGCCTGCCAATGGACGGCACCTTGCAGTCTTGCCTTCTCATGAGCCCCCATTTCGTGTCGAAAACAGTCTCCATGTGCGCCATGATCTGCTTGTCTTCAAGGATGAACTTGAATATTGTCACTAACGTACCGTGATGGTTGTGCACACTCATAGCCGTGGATCACTGTCGTGGTTGCGAGCTGAGAAAGCGACGAGCGCCACGTCTCTGCCGTTTGACCCTTGACTTGGCGAAGAAGACTTGGATGATTCGAAGTTCATTGGCAAGGTGCGTTTGACGACCTTTTCAAGGCTTGCCAGAAGGATCCTCGCTGTCGCGAGACTGCTACTGGATCTCGATCCCACAGATTGGCTGCGCCCTCATCTGCAGAAGGTGGTCAGGAGGACTCTGAAATGGAGTTCACCAAAAATAACCACATAACCTTAACTTGTACTTTCGACAGGAGTCGCAAAGCTCTTTGGAGCCAGTGTACAGTTGTTGAGACAACACTTGGGGTCCATACTCAAGAGTTGTTGCGGGCGAATCGTGTCTGTGTCCAGAGTGTGCAAACATCCTTCTTCTTCGAGGATCTCGATGACTTGATCGCCCACTCTCTGGCAGACTAGCACTGAATCTGCTGGTCGAGGGTCCGATAGAGCTGGCAGATGTTCATCGTTTTACTGTCGAAATGCCCGTGTGTAAGTCCTCCTCGACCATCTTTGGCGGCAACGAGGAGTGCGGTACTTGCTTTCATAATTTGATTTCGTTGCCGTTGGGTTCCCACGATACTGGCGGGTACCCGACGCCCGCAAGTATGCCGTCGAGTAATGCATGATCATGCCGGAGTACGTCCCATTCCACTTCGTCTTTCACCATCAGTGTGCCCCCAAGTAATGTGCCATTGAGAGCGACAGAGCTTGTTGCGCCCGATTCCGGCATTGCTACCGCCTCCCTACTTCTTGGGCAAATAGCCAGTATTCCAGTAGTCATGGCTAGATTGTAGCTGAACACAGCCCGGCCGTCTTCCTCGACTTCCAAATTCTGATGCAGCGGTTGGTCTGGAAATCGGACCGCCGACATTGCCGCATTTAATAAAAGAAGGTATTTCGAGTACAAGTCCGTCAAAGATAAGCCATCCTCAAGTGGTGTGGAGAAATGCAGGAATGGTAGCGACGGATCCTGGAAGAGAGGCAGTTCGGGGTGAGCTCGAACAGTCATACGGTCAAGAAGTAGCTCCCAGGCTGGGGCCTCAGGGCTTGCCATATCTTCCACGGGGAGGAATTGAAGATGGCGATGCGGCTGACTGGCACCACTATGCTCTCCAGAGTTGAAGAAAGCAAAAAGACGCGAAGAGTTCTGTCCGTGCTGATCATGCTGATCATGCTGCCATGCATGGAGACAAGCGTGAGTTATCCCAAGGTCTTCCTTTTCCAGGATAGCAGTCTGAGGCTTGTTGGCCTTCGTGGCAATGATGAAGTGGTTGTGAATGACAGGAAACTTATTCAGGACCAAGATATGGGATGCTTTGTTCGCCGGAATATTGGCCACGAGCAGTTCATCAGGAGGATCCGCAAATGGATCGAACTTCGGTCGTGCTGGCTCCTTCTTTTCTTCCGCTCCATCTGCTTTGGGCTTCTTTGCCAATGCTGGACAATATCGCAGTTGAAACTTAAGGACCGTGAGCCAGTTTGTAACCAAGACCTCTCTTGGAAGCTACTCACCGGCGCCCCTTTTTGAGTTCGCAATAGAGCTACTGCGGTCTCTGAAAACAGGATACTTTTGTCTTTGTAGGCGGTGCGGAACTTGTCGGCCACCAGTTTCTGCAATGGCTGTGCCAGAGAAAGCATCATCTGTGCTTCGGACATGCTCTAAACTACCGTCTGAGCGTACCACCCTCTCGGCGAGAGTAACAGCGGCAAGAGGCTGATGGTTGGCCGGATGACAACCATCCGGATATAGCTGCGCTGCGTCAGGAGCGGCACCAAAAGTCCTCTCTACATACAAACACCACATATGCTAGTTCGGGATACACTGCACAGTTATGGCCTCAGATCCGGCTACGCTGACTTCGGACTCGACCTGAAGGTGCTGACCTCGTCGTCGTTTGTCGTTTGTCGTTGTATTGCATTCGGACGTCAAGCTCGAAGTCGAAGTGTTCACCGGCTCTTCTTCGGGCTTGGCAATACTACCGCCTTATGTTATGTAATCGTCGACATCAACCTCGATCGACATCATGCTCACCAACTCGAGTCTATCAGAAGCTTGAACTTCACACAACTAGTGCATCTCTTCTTGCCAGAGCTTGTCTCTGAGATATGAGACCTAAAGCAAATCATGTACTGCTTGTTGGTTTGCCTTCCTTTCTCATTCTCAAGGACCTGTTCTGTGGCTATTTGTGGCCGAAGTGGGCAGTGCAATTGCTCTCGGAATCCCCCATAGACCTGACCTAAACTAGAGCTTGTACGACCGCAAGCTGCCACTTTGGACGCACAATGTATCAAGGCTGCGATAGCCTACTCCTGATCCGAATCGCTGGGTCTTACTCAGTGGCCTCTATCGGTTGTGCGGGTATTTGTTGAATCTCGGATTTCATGAGGTCACAAGGAAGCTCTAGAACATATGTGCTGTGTGTCTCGACGCAGGCGACACAGCGCATGTCGGCCACGTTCCTCTGACCCTGTCGAACCGTGTTGGAGGGTTTCGACGACCGCTCAGAATCTCGACCAGAGAATCTCAAATGACGACCCGTCTCCGTTCCGCTGCATCGTCCCGATGCCCAAGCTCCACCACATTCATACTTCCATGCCAACATGACCACCGCAGTCCGCACCGCAATGGACTCTCCTCACACAGCCTCAGACTGGTGTGATATGCCTATCGTTACGAGAGAAGTTTCCGGTGCCCTATCAAGGCTCGAAGACACGAGGCTCCCCGGGCGGCGGACCCGCGAGGTATACGAGAAGTGTTCCTCCATGCCATAACATGGCAATCCATCGCATTCTAGTTGCACAATGCCTCTCGATGTTTGCTAATGCTGTGTTAGATCTTCCGCTCGGTGATGCCGTCGGCACAGCGCCTGGTCAGAAGCCTGGATACGTTCACGGGCGCTTCGCCTCTGGAAGTTCAAGCATTATCAGGTGATCCTCCTCGAAAATGAAAAGATATTTCCTGAAACATATGCTGTCAGAGCATAAGGCCTGTGGACGTTGAATCCAAGTATTGAAGGCTGGCTACTATAGTTTGCCATCTTTCCGGCAAAGCGCCTGGCATAAAGCCCTCTTGCAGCACTGCTATATTATGACTATATCTTACCTGCACCAATCTATGCTAACTAGCAGATACTGAATTTGCTACTGCCATATTCTGATTTGAGGAGCCATATCTTGGGACGCAAATCGAGGTGAGACACAAGAATGATTGGGTAAGTCGGATTCGATCGTTTGAATGATTTCCTAAGCTCGGGCGAACGAAATCGTCCTTCTCGGCGGATATGCTATGGTCTCCAGTGCCCCGGGGTCTAGCCACTCACTCGTCAGCAATCTTTGTGCCACGGACCTGCTATTCGATGTTTGGCAGACTAAGACATTATGTCTCGTCGAGCATCAAAATTCTGCAGGAGAAGCAGTGGTCTAGGACGATGCTCAAAAATGGCCTGTGGTAAGCGCAGACCATCTCAGAAGATGTGCGCTGGGTCGTCTCTTTGGAATTCTCGATTTGAGGTTGAAGCCTCGGAACGCCTTTGTTTGTATAACGAACAGACCGACTTTCGTTCTGTGGATGACTATACCAGCTATTGATTGTAGTGACCAATGAGTTCGGGTGAAAACGAGCGTGCTCGCTCGAGCAATCGTGGCTTCCATGCTTCAAGCTCTTTCACTGTCCGACTCTAGCTAACCACCTGATCAAGTCCTTTTTTCTCACTGGACTCACCCTAGGAAATGGCGTCGATGAACGGAGACTTCCAGGTCATGGGTGTCAACGGCGATGGACAGGCACCAAGCTGTGCACCGAGTCATTATTCATGTCACAGAGTTGGATGGGCTTCCCCAGATATATTCACTACTGGTGGAAGTCAGCAGTTCCCAGCAGCACCCTCTGACGCACGAAGCTCCTGTCACGGCTACAGAGCGCCTTGTCTAGCATCGCATATGGCTTTCAACGACAAACTTCTCTACCAAAACCCTCATGCCTCTACGCTGACCGCCACGCCCACGATGCAACCCCTGAGATATCAAAGCTACGCTTCGCCGAGTGGCTACCGTTCAAGACAGCCAGCCTGGTCTCCACCTTTTCTTGCTGGGAGTTCCATTGCAGACGCTGGTGATAGCGATTCGGGAATACAACTGGGCATGAGAAGTGAGAACGTAACATACTCAAGCCTCCCCAACCCCCCAGAGGCGCTGCTCGGCGCCTCTCATCGTGAAAGATGTCAAGAACAGTTCCCGACAAATAGCGGCTCGGCCGCGTCGATGTCCTTTGGCAATATACAAGCCTCTTCATTTCCACCGCATCCGGTGTTCGAGACTGGACCGGAGGCCACATCATACCATGACTTTTCTCCAGGTGGCTCTAAACCATATCACTCTTCTGCTTTTCCAGATGATTTATTCTGGGATATTACACAACACGATTATGGATTGGGGTCATGTGAGTCGGACTATGCATTGTTGGACGACGGATCGACTACTTTGGACAACTGGACCTCGCCGAACACTTTCATAGACCCGGTCACCCCGTCGCAGAAAGGACAATCGTCCTGGCCCGCGCCAAACACCAAAGAAAACAACCTTGGTGGACAGCCACTGGCAACCTACGACTTCCAGTCCCCTCAACTCGGTCATGATCTGGACTTGTTTGGCATTGGGAGCAATTACATCTCGCCCCAGCAAATGAACCTCGATGCTCCAAGGCCAGATTACCCGCCTCTACCGGAATTAGAAGAACCTTTTGAATACCCTGCGCCGATGCCAGGGGCCCTTCCGATCGCTTCTTCCAGCCCCTATCTTCCCGCCTGGCCTCTTGCAGAAGACGTGCCAACGTGGCTGGAACACGAGCCAGGAGGTCAAACATTGTGGGATGCGGATATCACAACAACCACGACTCAGAACGCCTCAACAACGACCGGGAGGCCATTTCTGGTTAGGGGCGCACTGAGGGACACCTCGAAAGACGAGTACCTTGTGCGATGCAAAGAACAAGGGATGTCGTACAAGCAGATCAAGGAATCGGGCGGCTTTGACGAGGCCGAGTCGACTCTGCGTGGGAGATACCGAGCATTAACAAAGCCGAGGGAAGCAAGGTTGAGGAAACCTGAATGGGGACAACGAGAGGTGAGGATCTTATGCCTAGATGAACTCAGAGCTGACGCTATTAATAGATTGACTTACTTTTCGAGGGTGTCGCACACTGTTCGAAGTCGAGTACTGGTAATCTGCTACCGGGAACTGGCGTTGATGCTGCCACTATTAGCCAATTTGTCAACAAGGTACCTTGGAAGCAGGTTGCCGAATACATGGAGAATCGAGGGGCATACAGATATGGAAATGCGACCGTCAAGAAAAAGTACCTCGAAGTCCTCAAGGCAAGAGGCATTTCAGTCCCTCTCGATTGAAACGGCCCTCGCTCTTCGCTGGAGTCAAGAGCAATATCAGTCTACACGACCTGGAGATAGCTGGATTCGCCGCTCGGACGACCGTAACGAGGTACAGATGAGCCGTTGCTAAGGGCCACTGTACCGAGTTATACGCCTCAGTTCACCCGGGATACCTTGCTGTCCTGTTTCAGACTCGGCATTTGTGCCACGGATTCTGTCCGATCATCATTGACCGAAGCTGGCTTCTCCCTTTTGACTCTACACCTCCTCAACAGCTGCAGGGTCTGGGTGGGCTTTTAGTGCTAAGATTCAAATGCATCGGTCACAGCCCGTCTTATGAGACAATACTCTACGAGGGATCTGGCCCAAGGGGCCGGGCAAGTTTTTGCACATACGATGCTGCCTTCGAGACTCCTTTCATACGGTCACCAACGTCCAAAGCTTCTGTCCAGTCACGGTCGAGTTACTACCGTCACCCGAGATATCCATGTCACCGTCACAACAGCCAGTCACGGGCTACGCAGCCACCGATGCTCTGCGTGAAGTTTTGGTGACATAAGCACTCACAGAGCGAATACAAACTCTACGCATGCTCACACCCACTGCGAGTCGTGACTGGGACTTTTCAAATCTGTGACTCGTACCAGCAGGCTCGACTCACGAAAACAAGAAAAGGGCGGACTGGATCTTGGATTTAAGATGTCTCTTTGAAGTTTGAACTCCAACCGACCTTTCGCTATGGGCCGTTTCAACTCTCCAGCTCCCAGGCCTGGCATGATTCTGAATCCACGTGTCCTGTCGAACCCTCGCCCCTTTCGAGAACATTGACTAACAATTTGTCCTGGTGCTTCGGCATCCTGGGGACTATCGGGGCCATGATGGCATCATGTAAAGGTGCTTTCCGGACACGAATGGTCTGCTATTTGAGGATGTTGCTGCTCCGGTTTTTGCGATGAGGACTACCTACCAACATGATATTGAAGTGGATATGATCAACTGAGAAGTGATGGAAGACGGAAGGCTACATGTAGTGAGCAGTCATGGAGCAGATAGGACGTTCAGATAGCGAGAGAATCAATGTAGCCTGTGTGACCACTGTGACAGATTGGCGAGACCTGCAAATGGCTCATGAAAAGTATGCTGCATGCGTAGATTGTACGAAGTCGTGCTATATCACGAGTCGAGACAAGGCTCTCAGGCGACGCCGTCAATCAGAATCTCGGAGGATATGCTACGAAGAGATCATTTCTCCTTTTCCACTCCGCCGAGTCGGCCGTGATAACTCCATCTCTATCTCGCCGTACTAGTACTACGTATACAAGGTCAATCGCGACTGGCCCCTGTTTCCTCGAGGCTATCCCCTTTCGAATACTGTTGTTTACACGTGAAATGGAGATTGACGGTGGTTGTCTGTTCTCCTTCACCCTTTCGCACACAGGGCCATAGCTTCGGCGCTGATCCTCACTTGGGAACGTATGACGGTCGGCAGAAGCAGAGACAGGTTATAATACAGAACTTTGCATACGCTCGTTCGTGGCGACATGGATTTATCTCATAATACTGGCCAGCATCCAACCTGGGGACCTCTATCGCAGGGATCTCGCAAAGGCCTCCCAAGACTATCAGTGCGCAGTAGTATACAGTCTGAACAGGGAGTGCATCAGATAGAAGGGCACTAGTTTCTGAGGGATAGGCAAGTGTTTGACACGATCCCATTTCACCCACCGACCCCAATGAGATAAATGAGTACCAGGAGGAGGAAGAAGGTAGCCAAACACTGTAAGTTATGAGCGTAAGCAACTTGCGCCGTCAGTAGGTACTGACCAATCCGACAAGGACTCCGACCAAGGGGACTTCCCATCCACCCACGATAGCGAATCCGTGGTTCATTGCATTTTGCTGGCGGAGAAATCGATAGGCGCCGACAAGAAGGAACAGACATGCAAATCCTTGACAGAGACATGCCTGTGGTTTGCCCAACACAAAATACCGGAGGGAGTTCTCTTGATTGGGGTGAAGATAATGTTGAATCCTGGACATTTGTGCAATGACAACACCGAGAATTGCCATACCGTCGGCAAGTGAAAGCCAGGCAAGAAAGGTTTGTTCGTTGGCTAGGTCCCCCAGATCAGCATCACCCAAGAAGAGTAACACCTGTGTTGGAAGCCATACAAAGATGATCGCGATTCGCAGATAGAGGAATGTCCAGAGCCACGTAGTTGCCCCAGAACCATTTCGTAGTAGACCATGTCCTCGCAGCCACGTCATCAGAGTCACCCTTCTCCCTTCTAAGGTCAGATGGATCTAGCCCAATACTGTTTGGGAGCGCAACATCCTCGGGCAACGGCGTAGTGGTAGCGATGGCATCGTTTGGCGCAGCCGGCTTCTCTTTTTCCTGAATGGCGTTGGTAGAGGATCTCCAGAAGGAAAGCCTCATAGCTGCAAGAATATCAACTGTCACAGTACTATCAAAGGGCATGGGGTGCCAATGTCCAGAACAGCAATAGATTGTGGATTGAAGTCGGCCCAGCTCCCAACGAAACTAAGAGTCGGTCAGTTCTTTCCGGTTTCATCATATTCGAGTGCTGCTGCAATAAATCAACAGGCACACATGTTCGTGGAAGGCACTCCCACGGGCGTGACAGCAATGGCAACCGCTATGCAAAGGGTTGAACATGACATAGACATGAACGACCAACACGCGAGAGAGGTGGCAGGGGAGATGAATTCAGTAGAGGTTGGTGAGAGGTGCGATTGTCATCTTTTGAGAGGCAGGTCCAACACCATCCAGAGCATTGTTTCAGGTGTTCCTCCCATCCAGCCATATAGACACTGCAAGGCAATGTTTGCTGCCGTAGGCATAACATAAAGAGCCGGCCGGCAGAGCGCAGGCATTCGGACATCAGTGTGACCATCGTTAGAGCATGGTTAGAGTGGGAGTTCATAAATAGAGCCATCACCACAGCATACTTTCGAGTGGAGGGGAAGGTTAGAGACTTGATTTGATCTGCGTCCACTGCTATGCTAGCGATTGAGAGGCATTCAATGAGGACACAATCGATCGAGATCACAGAACAACATCCAACGTCAAGAAGATGGACAGCGACTCACCGTCGATGACAGTGCAGCTGCGGTCACATGACAATGCGGTCATTTCGCCCTGCTCGTCACGTGTAAGTCCGACATCGCAGGCGCAGGCTCAGGCGCGACTGGCACCAATTCCGGCAACGACGGCGACAACTCCATCATCGCCTCCTCTTACTACTACTACACGGCTATTGCTACCGCTATCACTGCGATCATCACCACCACAACTGCCACCGAAACCAGCGGCAGCCCACGTCCGCCACGTCCGCCACGAGCAGCCTCTTGTTATTACTTCATCGTCCACTTCATCCCCATCCCCGTCTTCATCTCCATCATCCATACATACCACCGCTCTACCCCAGCATAAACCCTCAGACCTCCTTGAGAAGCCTCCGCAGGCTTATTGCCGTCCGCCTCACCTGGCCATCTCTGGTACCTCGCCCTTCACAGCGTCGTCCGAGACACTCAACGAGTGCTGCGCCCCTCGACTGGCGCAGGGCCCCTGCAGAACCACAGCCATGGGTCTCTCAAAAACATGGAGGATCATAATCCTGCTGGGTATAGACAGTGCTTTCTTCCTGGTTGAGCTTATTGTTGGTGAGTGACGTTACGCTCGAGGTGTTGGACGAGCACGACGACTGACGCGAGACCAGGCTATTCCGTCCACTCATTAGCCCTTGTGGCAGACTCCTTTCACATGTTGAACGATGTGTTATCCCTTTGTGTCGGCTTATGGGCCGTGCGTGTCGCCAATACCGAAAGTTCCAAAATGTACACATACGGATGGCAACGAGCAGAGACCCTGGGTGCGTTGGTCAACGGAGTTTTCTTGGTTGCCCTTTGCATGTCCATCTTCCTCGAGGCCATTCAGCGATTCGTCGAACCACAAATTGTCACCAATCCAAAGCTAGTCCTGATTGTCGGTTGTCTGGGTCTCGCCTCCAACATACTGGGTCTCTTCCTCTTTCACGACCACAGTCACGGCCATGGTGGAGAAGAGCATTCACACGACGATGCGATAAAATCTGCTGAAGAAGGTCATGCACATTCTCATGATGAGGCGGAGACGAATGCAATTGGAGACGAGCATGGCAACGTCGAAGATGTGCTTCCTTCAGTACGTGTGGCTGGGTACAAGGGCTCCGAGAGAAAAGGCTTCACCACTTCCGATGAGGATAACACCACAATCTCCGCGAGATCCTCCAACACCCCACATCGCAGATCATTCGCTAACGGCAACGAGGTCCATGGTCGACATCGTCGTAGGACATCAGGCTCACTGAGTCGAGGCTTCGGATCAGTTGACAATATTCATATCCACCCTGCCTCGTTTCGACAGGAGATAATCCATGCCGCACGTCTGGAAGAACAGTCCGAGGCATCTTCGGCAGAGGAGGAAGCTTTATTGGACGAAGATTCACCAAACGAGCAGCCGAAGATATTTGGGGACCACACCACTTCGCCCGGCAAGGGCTATGGCAGCATCGCCAAGCGAGCCAGCCATGATTACAGTCATTCTGCACACAATCACAATCAGACCAAGGACGACCACGAAGGTCACGGCCACGGGGGCGGACATGGCCACGGTCATGACTTGAACATGCGAGGCGTCTTCCTCCATGTGCTGGGGGATGCCCTTGGAAACATCGGCGTGATTGCGTCTGCATTGATTATCTGGCAGACGACGTTCCCTGGTCGATACTACTTTGATCCGGGAATTTCCCTCGTCATCACCGTCATCATTCTCTACAGCGCAATTCCGCTTTGCAAAGCCGCCAGCCGCATTTTGCTCCAAGCTGTTCCCGTCGGTATGTCGATTGATGAGATCACCCAAGACATCGAAGACCTTCCACATGTGGTTGAAGCACATCATCTCCATGTCTGGCAACTGAGCGACACGAAACTTGTTGCTAGTTTGCATGTCAAGGTGGATTGTGACGCTCAAGGAGCCGGGTCTGCTAGCTACATGCACCTGGCTCGTGAGATTCGCCAGTGTTTACATGCTTATGGCATCCACAGTTCCACTATCCAACCCGAATTCTACACCGATCAACCGGACTCTCCAGGCGGCTCATCTGCCGTCGCCACTGGCTCGGGTAACGGACAGCCGAGTCCAAAGGCAAATGGAGCCGTCAGCAGGACCGCCAGTGTTAGGAGCCACGAAACCGGCTGTCTTCTCGAGTGCAGCGACAAATGTGCTGGCAATAAGATGTGTTGTCCAACCGATTCCGGCGGGAAAAGTCCAAAGCCATAAACGAAGGCACAGGTTCCCGCGAGGGTATTGCGCAAATCTAACGGAGGATTGGGCTTGGACTTGTCCACTTCTCTACGAGAGCCGGCTGCGCCGGTCCGGTCGAAAAGTCGCCGTGTACAAAGTGTTTCCAGCCATGGCTTGTTTGACTTTCTTGATTGTCAACCAGAGTAGGTTAGTCCAGAATGGCCAGAATGATTCGCGCCTCTTCCAAGGTGACTTCTGGTCTAAATTTCGAATGGAGTTCAAGCCGGCGTTGGTAAAAGGTGGTTGCGATGGGTTGAATTCTTGTATGCTGGGAGCAATTTTTAGGGGCAGTGGCAGCACGAGGACAACTCGATCAGAGCAATCACAGACAGAGGCAGATTACGTTCATTGCTTTCGGCTAATCACAATTGGCCTGATTTCTTTCATTTGATATGCGATCACCGCTGTTCTGTCCTATTTTTCTTTATTCCGTGAGAGTGTTTGGGATTAAGCAAAGTCTAAACATCACGACGTCATCCCTTCCAGATCAACCAGACGTAAAACACAATAACAGGCCACGCAATCCGCCACAGCGATCTGCCAAAGAACGCAACCCGGCTTCTCGGGTTCTTTGCCATGAAGGCCACGCTTGTGGCTGCACCGCGGGGCATCCCCCAATCATCATCATCGTCGCTGTGATGATCGCGATTGCTTTCGTCCGTGGACAGTGGCTTCGAAGGTGACGGCGTCCGCGACGACGGGGCGACATGCCCATAGGCACACGTCTTACGCGTCGACAGAGACTGGTCGGGATTGTGGATCGAGGAGGTCTGCGAAGTAGCCGAATCACGGTGTTCCCGAAACATGGGGAGCAAAGGTTCAGATTTGTCCTGGTGCATAGCGGCCTTCTCGGTCGGGTTGTAGCGCGCTGCATGGACGAGGAGAAGGATGATTGTCAAGGCCAGCATCTGGCCGTAACGGATGAAGATGCTCAACTGGTCCGGGAGAAGGCAGAGATGATTCTGGACCGTGTCTCTCGGCGTGGAGAGAGAAGTGGTGCCGGACATGACCTTGTCGACATCCACGGGATTCCAGAGACTGACTAGTTGAACACCAGGGACTCGAATGCCCATGGCCCAGCTCACGCTTTTGACCGTTATTTCCTTGATCCGGCCGGTGAACTCGTTGTGTTCGATCTCGCAGTAATCGTGGTCGTCGCCGGAGTAGATCATGGCGATTTCTTCCGCCGTCAAGTGTTTGACTATGTCCTGCGAGATCAAGGGCGTGAGGACATTCTGGTACTGGTAGCCAGCCTGGAGGGGAATGGCAGAGCCTCGTTCGCGCATCGGCCCACATGAAGTAGTGCCAGACCGATAAAGGGGCACATGAGAGAGCACGATGGTGGGGAACTGGGACGAGCTCACCAGGCTGGCGGACCTTGATGGTGAGCCTGGGTCTGCCGGGTCAGAGGTCGCAGCGCGCTCGACGCTGGGAGCAAAGAAGTGTTGGTTCGGGTCCTTCCAGTCGAATCGCGTTTCGCATGTATGTTGGATCGCTTTCGCTCGGGTAGTTTTCGCTTCGGACAAAAACTCCTCGACAGGCTTCCAAATGTTGCTCGACGCAGTCGCAGCGGCACTCCCATCCCCTGCTCCCGAACTGCCCGTCTCTGGGTCGACCTGATCCATAGCACTCAACGACAAAGTGTCCAGATGAACAAACGAGTGGTTGCCAATGATATCGATCCGGTTCAGTGGGCCAAAATATGCATCAAATCGTTCTTTGACAGGAGCTTGAATGCCAGCGGCGAAGCCCATATCATGGTTCCCCGGGAGTGAAGCCAGTATCCGCCGCCCAGCTGGCTCAGCTGTAGTCGCGGACGGATACTTCAGCCACGACGTAAAGAAGATATTCGAGAAGCGGAGGTATTCTTGCAGCCAGAAGTCCGATCCATATTTCTCGTACCGTCTCTCTGGCGAGGACGACTCTGCGGTTCCCCATTCCCGTCCGCCATCAAACAGATCCCCCAGGAACAGAGTGGCATCGGGGAGCAAGTATTCTTGTAGATATCGATACGCGCGTTGCAGGTAGAGGTCGGTGTAGAGAACCGTCAAGGACGATAGGGGCCAAGGTCTGCCAGGATAGGTGTGTGGATCAACAAGTTGAGGGTCAGCAACGATGAGGACATGGTGAGGTTGAGCATGGGCTGGCTGCACACATTGAGATAGGTATTAGTATACGAGTTCAACATCATGTCGCGACATGAGTCCTCTACGTACCCATGTCTCCCATTGCTGCCACCGACACTCCCTCGCCCTCTGCTGGAAAACGAACCGTTCTCCCCAGAAAAGGATTAAGATCCAGAGGAGTATCAGGACAGATGGAACGCTCCAAAGTCGACGTTTGATCCTGGCAACGGCATGCGATCCAAATGCGGCATTCGCTTTCATTCTCTAGATTCTGGAGACGATGTATAGACGCTCATCGTGGCTGGGACGGGGAGAAATAGGCCTAGACGTCTCGTCCTCTGCAGTCGGTTGGTGCTCAAGTAGGAGTGCGTGGGAATGTCAACGTGCGAAGTCGTGTTCTGTGGATTTGAAGCATTTGAAGCAAATAGACGTCGAGGACAAAGACGACTGACGGGTTAAAGCGTCGTGGCTGTTGATCAAGGGGCAAGGGATGGAGTTTAGGCTCCTCAGGCTTAGATAATGGGGGTCAGGGGGTGTGCGCCTTAGGCGCTTGTCAGGGGACAGAATGCGGATCAGGAAGGGTTAGGGACTGCGTACTGCATTTGCCGAGGGGTTTGAGATGCTAAGACAGCCAACACACATCATCCTACATAGACTCCCTGCCACTACCATCCACGATCCATGATCCACGATCTACCGCTTCCTCCCCGCCGACCTCTTTCTCCTACTGGCAGCTAACAACTCAGAGCCCGGTCGAAGCCCCTACTAAGCATGGCGAACCCTGACGGCCATGCTGGCCTCCTAATTCTTACATATCCTTGCCACTCACATTAGCAGCTGGACTGGATTTATAGATTCGTGTCCCCTCCACTCGCCGCTAGATATCATCAGCAGTGCCATACCCAGTATTCATGGCTCCGTCCGCCGTGTCGCATGAGGTATGGACGGTGTTTCTGTTGCCAGTGGTGTGGCCGGCCTCATCACACTGGCCCTGCAAGTGAGTGGCACGGTAGTAGTATATGTCAACTCCATCAAGGAACGGTCCAAGAACATTCAAGAATTGCACAATGAGCTCCTACTACTTGGAGAGGTCCTCAGTGGCTTGCGTGACTTTTTGGAGAGCGAACGAGCCAAGCAGACCACGTTCGGGACCAACTCTGTATTACAGAAAGCCATCGTGGACTGTCGGACCAGAATTGAACGTATTGGAGACAGATTGGAGACTTCTCATGGTGGGAAGGTCGCTCGAACCCTGGAAAAGCTCAAGTGGCCTTTCGAGCACAAGGAAGTGGCACAGATGGTGGAAAACTTGCGACGATATACGCAAACATTCCAGTTCGCTCTCACCATTGAAGGGTGTAATCTTCTGTCCCAAACGTCCGATGATGCGACGAAAGGGCTGCAGAAGATGCTGGAGGAGTCAAAGAAAATCCGTGAATTGTCAGCTCAAATCGGCTTGTCGACTGAAGAAGTATCGAAACGCGCCGTCCAACTTGAACAGATCATTGCACTCGTACCCATGCTCACCAGGACCGCGACGGAAGTGACCGAGATTGCACAAGCCACTCGCCTGGCGGAACTGAGGGAACAAGAGAGGAGAACGAGCGACATATTAGATTGGTTGGCGCCAGTCACTGCGCTTCACAAGCACCGAGATCTACAACTCAGAAGGGCACCTGGCACTGGCAAATGGTTTCTGGAGCATCCAGACTTTTTGAATTGGGCAGATGAACGCACAGCGGCTGAACATGATCTCCTTTGCCTCGGTGGTCCGGGTGCTGGCAAATCTGTTCTCTGCTCCCTTGTCATCGATCATCTTCGCGAGAAGTTCAAGGACCGAGGGATTGCTGTTGCCTACTACTACTACGACTACTCAGAGCAGCAATCACAAACCTCATCTCATTTTGCCCGGTCACTTCTTCGCCAACTCTGCTCAAATGGCGGCATTGTCCCTTCCATGGTCGCCGACTTCTATCAGCGGACGAGGAATGATGTCAAAGACCAGACTTGGTTCCATGATCTGCTGGTAGTCCTGCGTCGGGTGGTCGCCACAGTCGACTGCTGCTTCATCGTTGTCGATGCCCTCGATGAAGCCGACATCCACAGCCAGCGAACCGGGTTGTTCGAGGTCTTGGATGCGCTCAGGCAATCGCCAGGTGGTGCAGTAAAAGTTCTGACCACTTTGAGACCACACGTGCTCAGTCTGGAAGGCAAGTTCCACGATCCTGTAACAATTGAGATCATAGCAGACCGTGGCGACCTTCGAAGATTTCTAGATCAAACAATTCAAGACACCCCGGATTCTGAATATACAATGGACGACGAGCTCAGAGACCAGGTCCTGACCACTTTGTGTGACACGGCAAATGGCTTGTTCCTACTTCCCGCACTTCAAATTCGAACCATTCTTGATCAGATCACCAAAGCTGATGTGAGAAGGACATTGAAGCATCTGTCCACAAACCTGACGGAAGCATTCCAATCGACGATGGACAGAATATCCAACCTTTCCAAGACAAGACAAGATCTGGCGTTTCGGACGCTAATGTGGGTGTCGCATGTTCGAAGACCTCTAATCATAACGGAGCTGCAACATGCCATGGCTCTCCGTGTGGGGGACAGCGATGTTGACAGGGACAATATCCCTTCACTCAGGGCTCTACTCGACTGCTGTTGCGGCCTTGTAGAGGTGGATCACGAGAGCTCAGTCGTACGTCTGGTCCATCATTCTCTCGAGGAGTATCTTCGTGAGCACGACCATGGTCTTTTCAAGAACGCAGATCTCCAGATTACCCGCATTTGCCTGAGGTATCTGAGCTTGACGCCTCTCAAACAGATCCCCTTCAAGAGCCGGTCCAATTTCACAACGACCATCGAGGACTTTCCGTTACTGGAATATGCTACCCTCGAATGGGGCAATCATGCGCACGAGACTCCCGTTGAATACATTACAGACTTGGCAATCCCTTTGCTGTCGGATAGTCTGTCTCTGATCAGTATGGCTAGGGTCCGCGATTACCGCAAAGCGTTCCCCTATTGGAAATCCCGGGCTTGGGCATGGGCTTACTCTGGTGGTGCTGGTATCTCCATCGCTGCATCGTTTGGACTGACGGGTCTCTTGAGGATATTGATCGAAAAGAACAAACAGAATCTTCGCCTGGATACTCGGAACCTCCACGGGAACACGCCCCTTCACGAAGCGGCCCTCTTTGGGCATGAGGAGGTTGCCGAGCTGCTCCTGGAGAACGGAGCAAACACGCTCATCACCAACTACAGTCAAAGCACTCCATTGTTTCTGGCAGTAGCGTATGGCCGACTGACCATGGTGAACCTACTACTCCGACACGGCCGCCCGCAACTCGACGTCCGAGGCCCTAAAGGTTTCACTGCGTTACACAAAGCTGTGGAGCAAGGAAACGAAGAGATAGTGGCTGTTCTACTGCAAGCCGGAGCATTGGTAGCGACGCGAGACAGTCAAGGGATGACGGCTTTACATCACGCTGCGCTCCGTGGTAATCTCTCTCTTGCAAGACTGCTGGTTCTCGCAGGGGCCTTCGTCCATGTCACGGACAAGGAAGGACTATGTCCGCTCGACTACGCTGCTACTGGAGGATACACCGAGCTCGTCAAATATCTCCTGCAGAATGGCGGCAGTATGTCACATAAAGGGAAGAGTGCATGGACGCCGCTTCATCGTGCAGCAAGAGGAGGGCATACGGAGACGGTCGCGTTTTTGCTCGAACAGAACGCCGACATACTTGCAGCGGATATAACAGGTAATATTCCTGTCCACCTTGCTGTGCGATCTGGACGCATCGCAACAGTTCAGACCCTTCTCGAGCACGACCCAGATTTGAAGCACGAGCAGATTTTCACCCGTGATCGCAAAGGCTCGACACCGCGCGTCGTTGCATTCTACACAGCTCACTACGACATCCACAAGTATCTCCGAGCCGCGGAGTGGGACGTCCTAGGGTACACGCCGAACGAGGCCAGTAAGCTGACAAGAGCGATCGAACTGGACGACATAGAAGCCGTGCGCCCTCATTTAGACGCGCACGCCGACGCCCTCACGCAACCCGACGAGGACGGCCAGCCACCGTTACACGTCGCACTCCAAGAAGCACGCGTCGAAATTGTCAAACTCCTTCTCCAGCGCGGCGCATCAATCGAGGCCGTGGGCTACCATGGCTGGCGCCCTCTACATATCGCTGCGTCGCTGGGGAATCTTGAGCTTGTCAATCTATGTCTCGCCCACAATGCCGATATCGAGACACGCACCAACACCAGCCAGACGCCCTTGCACAAAGCGGCTTCGAGCCACTCTGTCGCCGTGGTGCGCCGGCTCCTCGAAGCCGGGGCAAACCCGTCGGCGACCAACGAACGGGGCATGACGTCGCTGCATGTCGCGGCGCACCAGAACGATATTGCCATCGTGCGTCTCCTGGTGCTGGAGTACGGCGTGGACGTTCTAGCCAGAGATCGTCAGGGCTTGACTCCGGCGCTGTGGGCAGAGCGGTCGGCACATCTGGCGGTGCATGCTTTCCTGGGAGCCGCTGAGAAAAAGGCGAAGATGTGGAAAAAAGGCAGTGTTAGTTCTGTCCCACAACAGGACAGGACTTTGAATATGCAGGAACTGGTGGATGCGTTGGGTGAAACCGAGCTTGATGATAATCATGATGACGACGACGACGATTGAAGATAGATGAGCCTAAAATACTACGTAATACTACACCATAAATCATGTATACACCTCGACGACCGGATTTCCTGTATTCTGCTCTCCCGCATCTATTACGTACTAACTACTAACCCAGTGTGTTTGTGATGCTCTCCACTCGGCAATACAATCAATATCCTGCCAGCTGTCAAGTCAGTCAGAGAGTACCCTATTGCACCGTCCCGAATCGTTCACAAGTCCAAGCAATACTTATTGGATCCAAGTCTGCCGGCGAAGCACGCATATCAAGGCACCAACTATGGCAACAAACACAACTGTAGAACTGTTCTGGAACGGATTCTCTTTTCCACTGCTGGCTATGGGTCTCAGCCGTACTTATCGCTAAAAGAAGAGCAAGAGCTAGACTAGAAAGGAGTCGCATGCAAGTCATAGAAATACTCGTACAGAATCGTCATCATTTTCTCTCCCCCCAGTGACTGGCGCAACGACCGAACTGATGAACAGGTCGAATGCGAATTGCTTCCTCTGCCCCTGTTTTGGATCGTGGTTTCATCTCAGTGGCATCATTCCGTTCTGTAGAAACCCGAAACTCGAAACCCGAACGCCTGAACCTCGAGATCCGAACAGCCTGTTAGCAGGACAGGACAGAGCAGAGAAGACGACTCTGTATCCATGCCGAAGAAGTCGCTGTCCATCAGTATCCCATTCCACCAGGACAGCAATGAGGCCCCTTTTCGCTTCCAGGAACGCCATGATTCCCATTCCACTGATTCCGTCATGTTCATGCAACGCTTTTGGAAAATGGATACTCGTACAAACAGAGAAGAAAGAAGAAAATAGAACTCGCTGGAATTGCATGTGTCTTCGAGTAACACATTGTCGAGATTGAAAAAACCACTCCCCACGTGAACCCTCCATTGTCTCGGTTCTCGGGCGAAGAGATCTCGTGGCGTTCATTCATGGGAACCATAAGTCATTGCATGCATGCACTCATGCATGGCTGAGACACTGTCAGACAATTGACAACATCTCAAAGCCGTGTCGGTTACCAGAACCCATCGATGCGAGGAGATTCAGCAGACCACGGAGCATAGAACTTCGCCTGTCTTCCACCGACCTGGCTCGCGCTGTCATCGGGCATGACGGTACTCGCACTAGGCAGCGCTTCTTCAGCGACAGGGATCCGCGCACCGCCCATGCCGAGCATGTACCTCGAGCCATCGACGTCCTCGAAGACCTCTGCAACAGTGTTCAAGCGCACGCCGTGAACAGGGGGTTTGATGGTCGTGGCGATCTGGCTGGCGCTGCCAAACCCACCACCGCCGGCTCCAGCTCCAGCTCCAGACATATGGCTGGCCGGATTGGGATGATGCAACCTACTGACTGGAGGAACACCGATGCGGGTAGGAGCATGAAGAATAGACTTGCCCTTCGGCCCGAGCGACGCTTCCAGTTGTTTGCGGCGTCGCTCTTCTTCGACGTCGAGACGGAGTTGCGTGCCGAAGTTGTGCATGCCGACGAAGTCGATCTTGGAAAGCATATGTACTGCAATGTCAAGCAGCGAACGGATGGCCGCGCGGTCGACGAGAGATTGGCCGGTTGTTTCGGCAGGTGTGAGCTCGCCGATCACCAGCTCCTCGTTCTGAGCGAGGACTTGGTTGATCCCGGTGTGGACGAGGGACATCTCGTAATGAATTCGACCGTCTTGAGAAAGCTGCTCGTATTCTTCCTTCGTGCCCTCGTAGCCCTGCCAGAGCTTCTTGTCTTGAGGGTGCACCTTGAACATCAGGCTCTTCGACTCCACCACTTTGAGTTGTATGTCTTCGTAGCCGGCCAAATTACAGGCATGAAAGGTGACCCGCTTGACAATTAGGTTGCGGATTTGAACTTCATGGTCGTTGGGTTGACGGAAGACGATCATCAGTTTCTCGCGTTCGGGCACGATGTAGAGCGAGTTGACAAACGTGGCGGCGCTCTTCTTGAGCACTTCTGGAGGCTCGAACCATTTTAGATGACCCGAAAGAATGGCGCTGGCATCCCAGATCTGAGCAGGAACGTGCATATTGATCATCCCAACAGTGACGAGACCTTTTCGTAGCTCATGTTTGCCGGACTCATCGACCAGGATCAGGAAGTCCTCGTTGGATCGACTCTGACACGAGAACTCGTAGCTGACAGACTGGTGGGCCGGAGTAGTATTCCACAACTTGACATTGGCGCCTGTGGACGGCCCTTTCAGCTCAAGAGCACGATCGACATCTGCGCCGTTGGTTGTCAAGATTTTGGTGAACGTGGTAGTGCAAGGAGTTCTGGTAGGCTTCGGCTCAAACAGATCTTCCCAATCAATCACATTGTGGTACTGCTGGTCCGATAGCCGAGGACCCGGAAAGATCAAGACCTGACCAAAAGCCACCTCGAAGCTGACTCGGCCGTTAAAGGCTCTGCAGATTTCAAACAACGGTTCCAGTTGAGGAATTAGTTTATCGCATTGGCGCTTCCGAGTGATGTCTTCTACAATTTCAGGATGGCCGTCGGCGATGGTTGTATTCTTCCGGATCTGTCGCTTCTTCCAAGTACTCATGGGCTCCGACTGACTGTTCGAACTTTCAGGTTTAGGTGGTGCTTTTGCCGGTACTGGTCCATGTGCGTCCAGCAACGCTTGGGCACGTCGAGCAGCGGCCTCGGCCTTGGTCTCCTGCTTGACCGGCTTCTTGCCAGGATTCTTGCCTTGTTGTCGCATGGTCGAGTGAACCGCCGGCTTCTCTTCGTCCTCCGCTTTCTTGTTTGCTGAAGCCTGACCTTGTGCATTCCTTCTTGCTTCCACGGCTGCCATGGCGGCTTGTAGGCTTCTCTCTCTCAACACAGCTTGGTTCAGCTTGGGAACGTGTGTGGCTTGATAGTCAGCACCCTCGTTACTGAATCGGATGCGAGATTCTCCAGACGCGTGAGTGCCAGAGCGACTTCGACTGTCCCGCGGGTGGGGAGCATAGCCAGGTGGCTGTATAGGCTCGTCCATGATGTTCGGTACGGAGTTGGATGTCTGAGGTTGGCTTCCCGGCGAAGGCTGCGCACGAACCAAGGGCACATGCGATTCGAATCCCGGTGGGATTCTGGGGGAGGTATTGGTAGTCGGCGAACGGGTATCAACCAGGTCTGACTGGCGAGACTCTGCCCGACCACCCAGATCGCCATCACTCGATGCTGAGCCTGCCACAATTGGAGGACGACGAATGTTGCTACCTCGCTGCAACTGTGGTCCTCGTGGAATCGGATGTTGGCCTCGCGATACGGCCTGTGAATACGACCCGCCGCTGGTTTGTCCTCGTCCACCGCGAGTCGACGCCCGATACCGAGGATTGGTTCCCTCACGGCTACCGAGATGTACATTTTGACCACGTCGGAGCTTGGGTGAAGGTCCACCGTATGCTTTTGGATCAAAAGTTGGTCGCGGCGAAGAAGATGCTGCTGCATCGGCTTGTGGAGGTGTAGCTGGAGTTGACAAGGGGGGAGTTGGTGCAGCAGACTGCACAGCGTGCTCCGCCTTGGGTTCAGCCGTGCCTGCAGCTAGAGACAGAGACGCTGGCATGTCTGTGGCAGTCAAAGTCTGTCCAGGAAGCGGCTCAGTTGACGATAACTCCAGAAGTTGGTCTTCCACAATAGATGTTGGGAGGTTAGATGAATGGGAAGTAATAGCCACACGATCGCGGGTTGATGTATTGTCATGAGCTGCTACACGAGGCGGCGAGTCTCCAGACAACAAGTCCTGGTTGGCAAGGCCATTATATTCTGCAGTGGTGGTGATCGACGTGCTCCCAGTGGCTGGCTTTGTCGTGGAATGGGGCGAATCTGACACCAGGGAAACCAAGTCTGATGGCGACTCGAGACCTACATTCTGAGATATTGCCACTTTCGGAGAAGCTGTCGGGTCGTCGAGCAAGTCTTTCTGTATCGAGTCTTTGTCCACGAGGCTTCCCATGACTTGATTCGACACGGACCGGGCAGGCGATGACAGCAGAGACAACAAATCTGACGGTGGCTCGGGAGTGGCATTTCGAGGCATCTCCGATTGCTGAGGGGCTTTCATGGCTTGACTACCAATGAGCTGTGACTGGCCCATGCGAACTGAGGGCTCATCGTCCTCACTATCCGAGTCGAGAACAACTCTTCGACGTGTCGGATGTGTAGGCTCAACCGGAACTTCAGGAGCAATCTCAGGGTCCGCGCCACCGACAACCTTGGTTGTCCAAGCAGCTATGCGTTCCTCATCCGGATCCTTGACCGTGCCTCTGTCGCTATTGTCGGCGGAGGCTGGGTTGGACGAGATGATAGGGTCCATGTTGCCGGGATTGCCGAAGCTGTGGAACAAAAAGCCATCCCAGACTCGCGATGCCTGTACTTCGCTGGTGGGGGAGATGCCGTCGAGATAGAGATTCGCCGGAAGCTCGTAGTCGAATGAACGCGTACATGGGCGGATTTCTCCAATCACTTTCCTAAAGAGAGTCTGTTCCATCTTGTTGACTATGACGCGGGAGTATGCAGGATGTTCACTTGTAATGTGAACAAACTGCATCTTCGCATCCTTTTCTTGTGGAGGCCAGACGAGGAGATTTCCGCTAGACGTCAGGGATTCATTGTCTCGTTGCTTCTTGAACGTTTCCTGCAGTATGTTAGCAATATCCCACAGGCAAAGAATAGATAGTTGCAGTCAAAGCATACCAGCAATGGTTCCAATCTCAAGAGTTTCTCCCCAGCAAGGTTGAAATCACCCTGGTACAGACGACATCTCTTTTCTGCTTCTTCGGCAAAGATGTCTGTACCTGTCAGTCGAGTAATCTCTTGTGCGTACATTGGTAGGAGAACGGTAATGTCGCCACAGCGAGGCTTCCAGTATGCTGTGAGATGCTGAAGGCTCTTGAGAGGGTCTTCATTGTCGGATTCGTCGTCGGATTGGTATTCCAACAAGCCGTTGTCATCAGAATTGTCATCCCGCATAGGATCGTCCATGACGGTTCCTTCGATGGGATGAATCCGAGGTTCATCATCAAACCCAGGCTGATTGGTTTGATAGTAGTCAATGTAGCCAGCGACACGTGCGAGGAGGTGGGGCATGGTCTCTTTATCCGTCGCATCGATCTCGGCGGAAAAGGTCTTTGAGCGCAGTTAGCGAACTGGGTAGGGATAGGTTGGTAGATTACAAACCTGGGCTGTCTCATCGAACGTAATGAAGGGCGCGCCGTCTGGGTCATCATGGGCATCTCTGAGATACAAAAGTCAGCATTGAGGGCTCAAACTGCGGGGATTTGGACAGAAGTGTAGGAGGAAGACGCACTTGAAGTTGCTGATGACCTCGTTGGCCTGGAAAGATGGTTAGTAGATGTTGTCATAATGTTCCAGAGGCAATATACTCCAAGCTGGCTGAACCCGAATACGGATCCAACAAAGATCTTCTTGGTCGCCATCCCGGGCAGCTCTGCGCCGTATGAGCGCTGGCCTGGCCCGGTGGCCGAGGAAGGCAGGGGAATGAAGGACGAGATCGAAGCACAAAGAGGATGTGGACAGCTATAATGAAGGGGAAGAACAAGGCAATCTCTCTCTCTCCCCACAATCGACGAGGCAGAGAAGCAATGAGACGTGCGGAGGATGGAGAAAGAGAAGAAGGAGAAGGCTGAAGTTCGGATTAAATATCCCCGAAATCCCGAAAGGGGAAACGCAGCCTTGTGAAGGAAACCAACGTTGTGTTTATTCACTGCTGGCGGAATTTTCACGGTCGTCACTGGATGAAACGCGGTGTATTGAATCAGTGCGTCAGGTGGACGCCGCTTCACAAACAGAGAGTGAATGGCGATGTCTTCACCGCAATAGATAATAACGATAGACAGGGCGGCCTCCTGATCGATAATATAGTATGTCTCTTGAATTTCAATGGCGCGGCCACGGTATATATTAAATTCAAAACAGTCTATTATAGGTGGCCACCCCAGCACTATTGGAATAGATGTTGATGGCTATAGGGAGCACACTATAGAATGAAAATGATATTTGAACGTAATAGTGGCGCCTGTTCACGACAGGTCTCCATCTTTAGATACACAACAGGAGGTCGCCCAGACCAATACAGCACCAATAGATATGCCTATGGGGAGCCCACGGTGTTTAGATTATCATCACTTGAGCGCGAATATGGCGCCTGTTCTTGATCTGGTTTTCTCTTCACATAGTCGACGGGCAGACGCCATGTAAACAACAATATTTATTACAATATGTCTGTCTAGCTATGTTTCAGGACCCAGCCCGTGTCATGCAGAGTATGTCTTCATCACTTCGTGTCCTCATCAAAGCCCAGAAACCATCTCATTTCGAGACTTTGGCCGAATCATTGCGCCGGTGCTTCGTCAGAACTCCCTTGTTCGGACTCAGGCTTCTTCTCTTAGGCTCCGAGTGCCATCCATCCAGGCCGGAAACCTTGCTGGCTGATCTACTTTGAATTGGGGCGGTCGGCTGTCCTGGAGCACCATGATGATTGACGACATGGTCAATGTTCATAACCCATCGCATTCTGTTCGTCACCTCACTCAGCTCATCCAGCTTCTGGTCAATAGCCTGATCGTTGTTCTGCGCTGCCTCTCGGAGCTGAGTAATGGCCGAGTCGATCTCGTTCCTGTAAGCTTTGAAATTCGTGGTCAGCCTCTTGGTGAGGTCCTCCAGCTGGCCGATTGTCTGCCGCTGCTGCTCGGCAATGATTTCCAATTTCTTCTGCTTCTCCAGATCGTCCTCCTGTCGGCGCAGAAAGGTCTCGAAGCTGCTTTTGATATTATCCAATCCGCTTTGGTGTCGATCATAATCCATCTTGCGACATGCCACAATTGTTTCGTATTCTGCTTCTCTCTGTGCAGCAGAGGCCTTAGCCTGGCTTGCTTGACGTCGCCAGGACTCTTCGCTGGATGCTGCCACCTCTGCATGCGCCTCTGCTTTTGCTGTCTTCAGTTTCTCTTTTCGGAGATCTTCACGTAGCTCCTCCACTTGTCTTTCCTTCCTCGCCAGCTGTCGGAGATTTGCTTCATGGGATTGTTCGTAGTTGCTGTTGCGGTCTTGGAGGGACTGGTTTCGCGAGACCATCAATTCATTGGCCTTCTCAGCCTCCTCATAGCGTGTCTGAAGCAATTGTTTGTCCCTTCGCAGCCGATCTATGTCGCCTTGTAGCCGCTCAATCACTCTGCCTGATTTTCCAGTGCCAGCATGGCCGATCGCCGAGGACCATGGCGCAGGCTCGGGAGAGGGAGAGGTCTCGGAGGATGACATGACTGTTTGGTGGGATTAGCGGGTTGTGATCACGGTTGAGGAACCGAGTATCTTCCTACCTGACCGGAACATCGAGGCGCTGGCTACTCGCCCAGAAGGACGTCTGATGCCATCTTGGTGGTTGTGCTCCTTAAGCATTCCATAGGCCTCAGACATATTGTGAGTCGAGGTCACATCAAAGTGTGATGAGATTGCGCCTAGGCGAATGATGGAGTCAGCATGGATCCGGTTGCGGTTCAGAGGAAAGCGCAGCTGGAGAATGAGGCGTATCGGTGAGTTCGGTTCTCGAGTAAGGATCTCATACCCGCCTGAGCGCTCGGTTTGAGCGAGATGGTTGAGATGATGGGGACTGGCGAAGTTCCGGAAAGGCGGGAAGTCTTCCTCATGACACGCCTGTTAGAGAAGAGGGTGAGAGTTCACGAGCTGGGACTGATGCTCGGGGTGACGGCGGACAATGTCGGTGTCGTGCTTGTAGGGTACCGCGCTGAATGTGAGAGTTCACCCAAAAATCCCATTTGAGTCGACTAGGCACAGAAGAGACCGTTGTGATGATTTACAACAACAAACGGACAAGCAACGTGCCGCGAGTCTCCTTTCACAGGCTGAGATGAGCGCATTATTTGTTTGAGATCAGCCTGTGGAGACGGCTAAAGAGGCCAGGGTCCTTAGGCTTTCAGGGCAAGCAACATCCGGGCTTCTTAGTAGGCGCTCACCACCGGGGCGGGAGGCGTGTCAAGCGTCAATCAAATGGTAAAGAGCGACGAACCAAGGCCATAGCTCAACGACTCTCAGGCTAAGGCTCCTAGGCCATGGACTGGCGGCGGCCGTAGCCTGAGAAGCCTACTCGCATGCTTAAAGAGTCTCTCTAGGCCCTCAAGCTTTCTGCACAGGGATGAAAACCCCGGTCCCCTAGTATCCCCTTAACCCGTTATGATCCATGAGTCTTTCCATTCAGGAACGGACCACCACGCTAATGCCAGGGGCACGAAGCGATGGCTGTCTTGTCTGGTCTACCAATAGCTGGGGGAATCTCATAGGCTTGTCGAAAAGTGCCGCATTCTTAATCTCGGGCTTGATCCATCATGCGAATTCGGTCAGAATACCACGAGCAGCGATGCGATCAAGCTCATACCGCATGTCCAGTTGCCGGGCCTTGAACACAGAATGGTATGTCCAAGCCAGCTCGAAACCAGCAAGTGTCCCGGCAGAATTACTACTAATGATATTCAAATAGCCAACAATGTACTATATCTGTGAGCACACCCCACCCGTAATGAGATATCCCGCCGTCTCTTTGCAACGCCTTGCTTTTGAACCGAATTCCACCAGACAGAAAAGACTGTCCATTTTAACTGAGGCATACGATCGCTGCGAAGACCCCCATCACCATCGCCGCAGAACTCCCAAGGTGGGCAGTACCACCAGATGGTGCGCTTGTCGAGGCTGCGGCGGTGGGGGCGGCCGATGTCGAACTCTCTTCGCTGATAGTGCTGGTCGAAGTCTGGTGGAGGGTAGTAGCTGGGGTCAGGCTTGTGGTGCGTGATACGGTGGCGGAACTGTGTCGGTCAGCCTGAAGGAGCAGATTGAAGCTGTGACACCGAGTTACCTGAATGTGGTGTTTCGAGGCAGCGCAGTACCTGTCCCAGCCGAAGCATATGTGCCGACGTCTGTCGCGCTGGAGGTAGAATTGCCCGCTACTACTGCTGCTGTCGTCGTCGTCGCGCTCGTGGACGAGTTTCTTGGTGTGCTACTGCCTCCGGTGCTGGAGAAGAGGCCGCTGTAGTTGATGTCGTCCTGACCCTGGGTGATTTGGAGGGCATAGTCCCTGTTCTCCGTCAGTCTATGCTTCCGCCAACGGCGTAGTGCACTCAGACGAAGCAGCAGCGAGTGACTCTGACACATCCCAGAGGAAGAACTCATCTGTCACTCCGTCCGCAAGGGTAGTAACAGTCTTGAGATCATCTGGGTCCCCTTCTCGAAGAGTGACTGTGACGGGTGAGCCATCACCACCTCCCCATGTGATGCTAATTCAATGTTAGCCCGTCTTCTGAATCCTTTTTATTTCCTTTCACCAACTTGTACGACTCGCCGGCCACCGCGATAGCAGGTACGGAGGTGAATGCGATCTTTGTCTGGCCAACCGCGCACGCGACGAACGTGAGGCCCAGAAGGAGGGTTCCCAATGTCAACATTGTGAGGCTGCTCAATACAGCGATGGGCCTTTCAACACACAACGAGGCGGTGCGTATCGATACGAGGGTTCCCAACGATCGAAAGAGCGACAGACAGAGCAAGCGAAGGAGGATGTACACTACAAGACTACAAGAAGAATCTGGGAAACACGACGAGAAGAAGCACCACCTACACGTTGAGGACGGAGAGCGAGAAGCTTAGTTCCTAACAGGAAGGCCCCTTGCTGTCTACTTTCACTATGCGTTTCCATTCAACAGGGCCTGGGATGTCGTCGTCTCCAATGAGAGTATTGCAACCGGGGAGGCCTGGTTGAAAGGCTGAGGCTTAGCCAATGGTAGCTGGTCAAACCAGGCTGCGGCGCAGGCTAACCAAGGTAACACGGCCATCTCAATTGCAAGAGGGCTCCCCAGACTCAGCTTCTCGACGGGACGATGTAATTTCAATGTTTTGCATTTCACTCTCCATAGGTACATATCAGCCCATTTGTCGGTCCTGATCTTGCCCAATTTCATTGTAGCCAGCTTTCATGTTGCGTCACTATCGCCGATGGATTATTCAAGCTCCAGCCTCCCCAAGAAAATGCCTGTACTAGTCTGATCATCCCGATCATTGAGGCCGTGAAGCACCACAGGCCTTGCCTTGAGTGGCCGAGTCCTGCCATTGTACGGCCCCATACATGGGAAACCGATCCTTTGAAGTCGTGGGCACAACGGGTCTGCTGAAGACTGATATTGCTAGTCCTGAGAGGCTGCTGACCGGGACTTCAAGGCCGGCGGCTGTGCGCGCCTTCCAGTTCAGTCCCTTGCGCAACAGCGGCAACACTGCCCGTGGCGAAAGATCGGGAATGACACCTCGAAGTACACCCGCTGCCAGTGTATGGGTCATGGAGATCTCGCCTTGGACCTGGCCTGCCGGATACCCGTTTGGATGAAGGAAGGTTGCATTAGCAGGACTGAACTGAGCGTAAGTCCCGATGAGGTTCTTCGCTGTAGCCCATAACGAAGCCTCGGTCGGGGCATCACCCATGAAGAAGTCAATCGCGAAGCTCGTTTCTGACGCAAAACGGTCAACTATGACTGCGATAGACCACTGCCGATCGAGGTTGTTGACATTCATTTGTCGAGCCATATCAAGAGTCACGTCCCCAAATGAGTCCGCCAGGTTTGCCGATCTGGGTTGCACATTTCGCCGCACGTGTGCCACAGTTGTGTTCGAGACTGGATTGTACAGGGAATTGACGGCGCTTCGTACATTGGCAGCAAGCTGTGAAGGAGCCATTTCCCAGTCGGGCAACTCGGGGTAGCTGTAGCCGAAGGACTTGATGGAACGGACTGCCTCAGAGGTGAACATGGTGTCGCCATCATCAGAATGAAAAGGAGCCAAAACTGCTTCATGTCAGTCGCCGAGCCTTCGCGTGTTTGTGCAACACTCACCGCTGGTTTCCGAATCAACGAAGCCCACAGCCTCGTAGTACGACCCATATGCATTCACGGTTGGAACAAGGAAGCTGTCAGGGTACAGTGCTTGCCACATGGCGAAAAGGCGATCCACATTAGCGTGATGCAACCAGAAGATAGGATCGAAACCGGCCACTTCTGGGAATTGCATGTGGCCATAGCCTCCAACGCTGTTGTGAATGCTGTTGTGGATAGCCTCGATGTTGTTGGGTACACCGCCTTGGCCGCCAGGCCAGGTGCAAGAGAAATAGGTGTAGTTCGTCACTGATGCGAAAAGCTGGTACGTTAGTGACAAAATTCTAGCAGACGTAGGTCAGCATTGCTCGATCTCTCAGGTTATGATCAACCCACGTAGGAGCATTTGCCATCAAAGCCGCATTCGCTGCGGTCTGGTTGCTTGTCTGCGTGGTTGCACTCCACCAACGGACTGTCTCTCCGAAGTTTGCCATCTGCAAGCCGGATTAGCTTGCTTCCCATCTTCCCAGCACCTTCATATAAGCTTACGGGGTCAGAGGATGGAAAGCCATTCCCAGCAGCATCCGACTGAAACACGTAACTGTAGAGAGGATTCTTGACCGTGGCTCTGCCGTTAGGCGTATTGATTGAGATCTGTGGCTGCGTGACCACGGTCGGCAAAGCTGGATGGATGGCCCAATCCCAGTAAGGCACGCGCAAGCCGAGGGCCGCAGTCTGGTACTGGCTGCGTTCGGCACTAGGATATGTGGCTGCGATATCCTGCGCATGCATCCAAAGTACTTGCTGTCTCGTGTCAACTAGGATCGTTCTAGCTCCGACTTCTCTTACCTCAAATAAGGCCATGTATGGTCGATGCCATGTCGGAAATGGGGTTGCGGCATGGGTGCAAAAGCCTGGATAGCTACCAGAACCTACCACTCCATCCCATGGGATCCGAGGGAAGCCATGGATGCCTGGTCGAGGGTGAGCTTCGCTTAGGAACAGGGGGAAGCTTGAATACCTGAGATCTGGAAATAAGATAGAGGATCCGATTGATTAGCCTTCTGGAAAGCGATCAGGGACTGAACAAATAGATCGAATGCCGCGCCAGAGGTGGAAAACTGGCCGATCTCATATCGCAAGGGCCTCGCGCCGGTATTCCAGTCAACTCCTCCTGTGGCGCCTGTGACCTTGAAGCCAAATAGACACTCGGCAAAGACGAAGAGGACGAGGAGACAAGAAATGCTAAGCAGGCTGTGACCAAGGAGAAACAGCATGTTTGCAACAGGGGATGGGTGAGGAGGATGTAGAGTCATGGATACTTCATTTGAGGGAGCATTCTTGATAAAGGGACGGGTACTGAAATCGACGACACCATCTTAGCACCTCATGTCTCGGCTCAGAATGAGGATTGTTTGTTATATGGCAAGTTTGCCAGTACCTTGGACACTCACCGTCGCGCTGGGTCTGAGGGCGCGGGCAGGTGCATCCGTTGCTGCGCATTTGTAATGGTAGTGCAAGGCAGTAAAATGGACCCATATTCGAGAGAAAAGGAGTCTTTAGGTGTGCGCGACATGGCCAGCATGATCCTGTCTGAGACTGTCTCCATCACAATTCTACACAGGACCTGTGTACTGTTGCTCCAGGGAAACGAGATAGTTCCACATGGTTCCCAGCGACCAAACGACCGAAGTCGTTCTATTTTCAGCGGAATTTCGGCACGAAGGGACGTTGCACAAGGGTTTGGCCATGGAATAAATCTTCGGCTGGCTTTGGGTGACAACGATGTATTAGTGCAACCTGTCTCTGCAGACACGTCGCGCGCACCGCAGGGTTGCTAGGGAGAAGAGGACTATCGCAAGGGTTCCAGGAAGGCTTAATGGTGTTTGGATAGTTGATAGAATTGCGTGAAACATGGCATTTAGAACCAGACGCGATAGATGTATGCATGTTACTCAAAGAAGGGGTTGGAGAAGACGCAAGGACCGGAGAGAATGTGAATGGACAACGACGTGAATAGTAGTCAAGTTATTGATTGTAGCATGGACGTCAATCAATTCATGGTGTTCAGGTGGTCACTTTGTGGGCTTTGGAGACTTTAGTTGGTAAGCAATAACATTGTCGCGGTTGGAGAACCTTGCACTCCCCTGAGCCGATGTTTCCGCAGGCAGCCTGCGACCGCCGGACAGCACGGATGAAATTACGAACCCAAAAAAGACGCATTTATTCAGGTAGCAATAGTTACAAACAGACAATTTCCCACAGTCATTCTCTGGGTCTCTCTCTGTCTCTCTTCACTTTTACCGTCTCTTGCCTGCAATATCACTATCTCTGAGGACTTCTGGATACTTGACACAAAGCCGCTACCGCCGGCAGAGAATCCCTTTTCAACTTGAGCCATGGTTGAATACGTTCCTCCCCCCGAAGACCTTTCCCACCTCAACGCCATCCAGAGGTATATGCAAAAGGGCACTCTCGATAAACAGGATTATATCTGGCTCATCCTAGTTGTGTTTGCCTATTTTACTGCGAGGCCATACATACAAGAGTTGTTCAAGCGCTTTTTCAGTCCCGACGAGTACAAAGAGGGGGAGCAAATTCGTGAAGACTACGAGCAGTCCAAGGCAAAGGTGGGACCGAACTCTATACGAGGCATCGAGTCAGCGGAGTCGACTGCCATGACTGAACCATCGGGCGAGACTATGGCCTCCGGTAGCAGTATCGGCAAGGGCAAGGTCGTGAATCGAAAAACGAAAGACAAGTCTGAGGTGGACAAGCTTCTGGACTGGGATGACGAGCCACCAAGAAAGCCATCCGAGGGAGATAAGGAAGACGTTGTGGCATGGCTCGATAAATGGGGGGATGAATGAGAGAGAAGACTGCCCGGGCAACCATTGTTCATATCGCCTGGATTCAACCTTATCCTTCCAGCTTCGTCTGACGGAAAGCATGCGCTGTGTGCTTTCTTGGCGCAGGACAACCAAACTTGACCGCGGAGGCTGAGGACTACCTTGAGACCATGGTAATCGGCGTCCCAATTCGGCCAGGCCCCACCACTGTGCGCAAACGCGGGAGTTGTCAGAGATCATCTACCCGAAAGAGAAAGCTCTCGTCTGCTGGCGCCATGCTCGCTCGTGCACCATGACCGGCACCCGAACCCCGATGTTGAGCATGACGGCGTCTGTTCCCCTGAGCACACTGGATCGTGCATGGCAGCGATGTGTTCTTGACTCATGTTCATAGCCTGAAGACTCCAAGGCTCTTAGACGTGCGCTTGTCCATTGCAGTCATTGTAAGGACTGCTGCTTAGGCCTGGCCTTGCCGCCGAGTCATGTTTGTGTTTGAGGCAGCGATGCTCCGGTCAAGACGGAGAGGAAGAATGGAAGAATACACCAGAGATCCAATCGGATTCGTGGGTGTCTTCCGCTGAAGAGGCGATTCCAGACGTGATCTCGAAATTGTAGTACTACCTAGGTATCCAACTGTGGACATAATCAAGATACTAAGCGTCTGCTTTCGCTTCATGCTCTCAATCCCAGACCGTTCCCATAGGTTTTCCAGCGCTGGAGAACGCTACAATAGACTGACGTGGCGGCCCGCCCATGTCTCCTACAAGGCTGCGCAAGGCTGAGGCATACCGCAGCACTCAACAGGGGCAATGCTTGGCACGGATTTGGAGACGTTGCGGGATCGCGAACTGCGCAACCAGCTGCCTCACATCGATTGCGTTGTTCCAATCTTCCACTGCAGATTGTTCCTCTTCCTCGCATCCGCCTTGTTGTTCCTATCTTTTCGGCCGTTATGGCCGCTTCCACTCCCCTAGACCCTTTCCTTCGTGGAAGCACCAGTAAGAACACCAGGGGTCTGCTACGGATCATCATTCTATGCACCATCGCCGCCGCCGCAGTGTCGGCCCGTCTGTTCAGTGTGATTCGTAAGGAGCCTCTACTGCCCTGCCTACTATCTGATTGAGGATATCGACTGACTCTGGTGGTGTAGGTTTTGAGAGTATTATTCATGAATGTTGGTCTCTCTGATTCTGTTGCTCGACACCCTTCCACTCTGGCAATCACGAAGCCATCCATTCCGAAATCGAGAGCTGACACCGCTTCCAGTTGATCCTTGGTTCAATTTCAGAGCAACAAAATACTTAGTCAAGAACGGCTTCTACAGCTTTTGGGATTGGTTTGACGACCGTAGGTGGACCGTGTTGAACACATTTGAACTGCGAAACTGATGGAGGACAGGAACATGGCACCCACTAGGTCGAGTTACAGGCGGGACACTCTATCCCGGTCTCATGGTAACATCTGGCGTGATATACCACATTCTCCGCCTCCTGTCTCTGCCGGTCGACATTCGAAACATCTGCGTTCTTCTAGCACCAGGCTTCTCCGGATTTACGGCTCTTGCCATGTACCTTTTGACTAGCGAAATGTCCTCCTCTCCATCGGCGGGTCTGTTAGCTGCGGCTTTCATGGGCATCAGCCCCGGCTATATCTCAAGATCAGTCGCCGGCAGCTATGATAACGAGGCTATTGCAATCTTTCTCCTGGTCTTCACGTTCTTCCTATGGATCAAAGCGGTCAAGAATGGTTCCATTATGTGGGGAGCCCTGGCTGCTCTCTTCTACGGATACATGGTGTCGGCATGGGGTGGCTACGTCTTCATTACCAACCTTATCCCCCTGCATGCTTTCACTCTCATCCTTATGGGCCGCTACAGCTCGAGACTCTACATCAGCTACACGACCTGGTACGCCTTGGGAACGTTGGCAAGCATGCAAGTTCCTTTCGTCGGTTTCCTCCCAGTCAGGAGCAGCGACCACATGGCAGCACTTGGTGTATTCGGCCTGCTTCAGCTGGTTGCATTCTTCAACTTTCTGAGGGACCAGCTTCCGGGAAAACAGTTTCAGACACTGCTCGTTGCCCTCGGTGGGACAATCGTTGTCATCATGTTTCTCGGACTCGTTGCCCTGACTGCTTCTGGTGTGATTGCACCCTGGAGCGGCCGGTTCTACTCACTTTGGGACACTGGGTACGCGAAGATACACATCCCCATCATCGCCTCGGTCTCGGAGCATCAACCAACCGCCTGGCCAGCTTTCTTCTTTGACCTTAACATGCTGATCTGGCTGTTTCCCGCCGGCGTCTATCTGTGTTTCCGAAATCTAAAAGATGAGCACGTCTTCGTCGTGCTCTACGCGGTTCTGGCGAGCTACTTTGCCGGCGTCATGGTCCGCCTGATGCTCACGCTGACCCCAGTTGTGTGCTGCGCTGCAGGCTTAGCCCTTTCGTATATTCTCGACACCTATCTCTATGCTCAAAAACCCGTGGAAGAGTCGGCGTCTAGCGATTCCAATGGGTCTATCAAAGCATCCAAATTCAGCGCAAACTCTGCGCTACGCTCCACTCGGAATTCCATCGTCGGCATCTATTCTGTTGTCTCGAAGTCAGTCATCACTTCGATGGTGACCGGATTCCTCCTTTTGTATGTCGCTCATTGCACTTGGGTTACGTCCAATGCATACTCATCCCCATCCGTGGTCCTGGCGTCTCGCCTCCCTGATGGTTCTCAGCACATCATCGACGATTATCGTGAGGCGTACTACTGGTTGCGACAAAACACACCCTCCGACGCTAGAGTCATGTCATGGTGGGATTACGGCTATCAAATCGGAGGTATGGCCGATCGCCCAACCCTAGTGGACAACAATACTTGGAACAACACGCACATCGCCACCGTCGGCAAGGCGATGAGCTCGCGAGAAGAAGTGAGCTATCCAATCCTGCGAGAACACGATGTCGATTATGTTTTGGTTGTATTTGGCGGACTCCTGGGATACAGTGGAGACGACATCAATAAGTTCTTATGGATGGTCCGAATCGCCGAAGGCATCTGGCCTGATGAAGTCAGGGAACGAGACTTCTTCACTGCCCGTGGTGAATACAGAGTGGACGACCAGGCGACCCCGGCAATGAAGAACTCGCTTATGTAAGTCTTGTTCACATGATTTGTGCCACGTTCGACCCGACTAATCTGTTTTGGCCACAGGTACAAAATGTCCTATTACAACTACAACTCACTTTTCCCAGCCGGCCAGGCTCAAGACCGAGTTCGAGGTTCGTCTCTCCCAGCCCAAGGTCCCGAACTCAGCATTTTGGAAGAGGCATTTACCAGTGAAAACTGGATCATTCGCATCTACAAGGTCAAAGATCTCGACAACGTTGGCCGAGACCACCAAAGTGCCGTGTCCTTTGACAAAGGCCACAAGAAGAAGCGAAAGCCTGGTGCAAAAAAGGGCGTCAGGGTCTTGAGAGAAGAATAGGCGTCAATGCGAAAGTGTATCTTATATAGCGGGGCCTTCTTAAGAAACGGCCTGGCGAGCATGGACTTGTACGAAAAGCGAATCGGTCGCCGTGCTGCGATCATGTCATGACTATTCATTTACATAGACTCTAAAAGCCTGAAATCGAAAAGCTTCTGATTGGGTTTGGAATGATGGCGAAACACAGCGGAGTCTCCATCGGAAAGGCCAATACAATAGTCTCCCTGGTCCTTTTACAATGCAAGAACGTTGTGTGAACATATTGTTTCATCGTATCAAGCCCAGAGTACCATAGGTGGACTCTCAAATCTGACAATGCTATCTCAAGTACCGTACAGGCTCCGTTTCCTGGTGCTCGGCCATGTCTATCGGATATCAGACACATAAAAGTCTAGCCAGGCCAGGCCAGGCCATTCGGAGTCAGCTTGAGCCGCAGGGTGGGCAGACAGAGATGCTGGGATGGTCTGAGGCCAATGAAGTTGATGTAGCACTCCACCCTCAAAGTTAAGGGCCCCATGAACGGATTGGAGCTGTGTAGCCGTGCAGGTTGTGATCGCACAGCCAACAGTGGAATATTTCAAAATTTCGATCACAATCCCGTATGCCTCGGTGTTGCCGCGAACCTTCCACCTTCTTATGTCTTATTCTCATCTGAGTGCAAGCAGCCCTACACCTTTCCTCGCCCTGTCCACAGCGAGCCGCAGTTTCTGCTCCTCAACATCCGTCCATTGCACGCTCAACTCGTCCCACTTCTTCACCTTGAACTCCCGTCGATACTGCGCATGTAGTTGCTGCATATGCAAAACCGGCCTCATGTCGCTGGTGCCGCTGTACGCGACGAGCAGCGTGCGAGGTGGGAGAGAAGCGAAGAGCGTACGTAATCGGGTCAGAGTGAGTGAGGCGGCGGCGTGGAGATCTGCGGAGTTCGAGGTCGTGGTCGAGGTGGAGTCTGTCGAAGGGTCGTCGACTGCGTTAGTGGTGGTTTCTGTGTTGTTGCTGGTAGACGCCTCGCCTGTGGTTGATGTTGTTGAGGATTGCGGTAGGTTGTTCCAGCCTCGCACAGCTTCGAGATCGCGGAGACGCGACCAGATGAAGTCGACACCACCGGCCGGGATTTCGTCCGCTGGATGGGTGGTGCTGTCAGCTGGCATGTCAGGACTAGTGTCGCCACCATGAGCGGCTCGCAGCACGCCCTGGACAATTTCGTCGTCATTCTCACAAGCGATTTTGTACGTGGCGTCCCTTCCGAAGCCTCTCTCTGGCGTGCCGTACTCGACAATGGCCGTTTCTCTCAGCTTGCCTGATCCATCGGGACGCACACTCCGGCCGATTCGACGAAAGATACTCTCGCCATTTGCGTCCAGAGTGCCCCATCGTGGACCCTTTTCGCACTTGAGCCGGACGAGGTCGAGGACTGCACGAGCATCTTCCACCGAATCGTGCCCGTTGAGGCCTTGCTTCTGGATCTCACGCTTCAGGTATCGATTCGCCAGAAACTTGAGGGACGATCGAAGCGGCAGACCGCGTGGGTGCGGGTAGATGATGCTGGTGTCGATGATGAATGGGTGCGTGAGTTTCAGCGCGTTCAGGTCGGATTCCAGCGAGTGTCCGAGCAGAATTGAGTCGGGACCGAGAAGCTCTAGTAGAGAGCGCTGGATGTCTTCCAGCGTGGTTGTCACATCCTCCAAATGCCGTGGCGTGATGCCCGAATACTGCGTGAAATAGTTTTTGATCGGCAGGGCGGGTTTCACGTACTTGTCGAGAACGGTCTTGCCGTGCCAGTCGACCACCGAGATTCGAGCGAGCGAGGACTTGTCGTCGTCGGTCAGGACCATCTCGCAGTCAACAGCATATGGTTGGAGACCTTGTGTTACTGCGTCTTCGGAGCGAAATGTAGAGGGAATACGTGGCTGTGAGACCGACACGTTCGTATCGACCCATCCTGCCGAAGCTGATTGTGACGTCTGCTCTCTTCGATCTCTCTCTAGCTGTGCGTCTTTTGCGTCGGTGAATGCTGCGTGATGAATCGGGTATTCTGCTTCCCGAAGCTCCTCGGCAGTGTGAACGAAGGTTGCAATTGACGTCCTTGCCGATTGGAAGAACCTCTCGTCTTTGCCGCCTTCGTCCTTTGTTTCGGGGAGCGGTGCGATAAGCATGCCCTGCAACGGCGAGTGTACTCTGTTTGCTCGTGAGTCCCCGGGCGCTTTGACTTCAAAAACATGTTGGAGAAGACGGCGAGTCAATTCCTCCTCAGAAGGGATGTCGACATCTGGAGCGTCTGATTCGTCCAGTGAAGGTATGCTGGTGGATGAGACATTGGCCGACTCTATGGATCTGCTGTGACCGGTGTCAGGACCTGTTCCCCCGGCTGTAGAAGCGCTGGCCAATAGGTCCGACTTCTCAAGCAGTTCACGGTCAAGACCGGGTATCATCAAGACAACTACTTTCTCAATGCGGCGGGCGTTCTTGATTGCCAGCCACGAGGGCGCGGCTCCATCGGCCAGAAGATACAGAACAAGTTCTTGCAATGCCTTCAGTTGGATGCGGGCAGGTCTGGTATCGAGGAAAGCAATGCTGGGCTGACCTTCTGGGTCATGCTGCACTTTGCGCCTCTTCTTCCGCGAAGACCTGGACTCTGCAACCAACCAATCTCCTTCATCCTCACCTACTTTCGAGTCTTGAGCAGGGTCGGCCGACCTTGCCGTCTGCATATCGACAAATGGGGATGGTTGACGTTGAGGCGAATGCGGCTTCGGCAGGGGTTTGGTGGTATTCAGAACTGTCTGCCCAGCTTTCAAGGCTGGTGGAAAAAGTCCGGCGTCTGCAGCAGTTCGTTTGCTGCCCGCCACCATTTTCGATCAGGAAACAAATACGACCAGGGATTTAATGCGGTCCTCACAATCTAGAGAAAGTATTCGCCATGATTTACCAAACAGCAAGCGAGGATGTTCAAACAAGAGAGTATCTGGTACTTTCGAGTTTTCGCGAAGTATCCAAAATGGGGGACATTGCCCTGCCGCTTTATACACGCACGTGACACAGCCTTGTGTTTCAGATATTATCGCCGCTGTATCTAAAACCTAACTTGCGTAACTTGCGTAAGGCAGGAAGTAGAGGACTGTCTAATCCATACGGTTCAATATAAGAGCTGGTGGTCAATGACAAGCCCATAACAGCAGCAGAATCGTATCTTCGCTCTCATACCCTCGATGCAAAAGGCGTATGTTCCCTTTACTCACGAACCGCCCGCATCTTTGCCCTTGCGTCCACCAGCGGCTTTGTAAGCTGCTCCCCGGCGGCTGCTCCTTGTGGTGGGCCTCTTTTTGTGTCTCTTTTTCAAGCTGCCAGCATTGCCTTTGGAAGTACTACTGGCACGGTGACCTTCGAAGACGAATCCGGGTTTGCCGCCAGAGCCAGCCCGTCCCTTTCCCAGAGGACCTTTGGTACCTGGTCTAGAGTCGGACCGGGCGGGGGTCGTCTTGTGCTGTATTCGGCGGGCACGCATGACGCGAAGTTTTCGAGGCAACAATGGCGGGAACTTTTTGTCGTTCATGAGAAGCGCGCCTTCAACACTGTTTTCGTTCTCGAATTGGACGTAAGCAAAGCCTTTGCTGACACGTGTCTCTTGATCTCTGACCACTCGGACGCTCTCGATCTTCCCGATCTTGCTGAAGGTGCGCCAAAGACCCTCTTCGGGATCAGCGGGCTCCTTCGCCGATGCTCGTCGCTTCTTTGAGTCATCAGCATCCTCCTCATCCTCCCCAGCTGTCTCTTTGTTGACAAAACTGAGGTTTCCAATGAAGATGCACCGCCTATGGTCGGTCTTTGCGGGCTTGCCAAGGTAGTCTGCTCGCAGATGCCGCTCGAGGACGACACTCCCGTTCAGCGTGGCAGCAACGTGTGCCGCAGCAGCCTCTGTGCTGAACACCGCATACGCATTCGTGTTAGTGGTGGTCTCGTCCATCAACTCTTTCTTTGCGAAAGTTGCCTTCTTCGGTCCGGAGCCACTGGCGTAGGCTGTCGAGCGAAATCGTAGTGATTCAAGCTTTCCCAGTCTTTTGCCTGGGTCGGACGTCTTTAACGCCGAGCGCAGATGTCTGGTTAAAGTCTTCTTGGCCGACGTTGACTTGATAGCTTCCGTCGACACATTTCCCAAGAATACCGTCCTCTTCAACCTCTCCTCATTGTTGATCTTCTTGTCGAACACTTCATGGCGTGGAACATCTCCGGCATCAGATTGACTAGCAGACGTCTCATCACTATCGGAGGTTAATCCCCCGTCTTTCTCGTCATTATCGTCGTCGTTGTCGCCAGAACCTGAGGGGGCTCCGGTGGCTTTCTCTTTGACAGCAGATCGCTGATGCTCCTTCTCTTCTTCTTGCTCGAGGCGCTTGAAGTAGGACGCTTCAAGATCATCCCCATCGGCAACGCGTCTCCGTTTGCGGGGTCGCTCACTTGCCACTCTGGCTGTTGTGTCGACTTCAGATTCAGATTCAGCGTCAGAGTCGTCCGCAGCAGATGAGGCCTCGTCGCCACTAGAGAGTTGTTGTTCGCTCGCGGTACGCTTCGGCACTTGGGCAACCCTGGCTGGAATCTTGATTGGCCCAGACTGGCAGAAACAGTCAGCGGTAGTTCATTGCATAGAGTGTAGTGACTTACGCTCGAGGCAAACAGCGACGCAAGAGTGGGATCCAACGAGTCTTTCGCTGCGAGTGGGGCCGAGCTGGTAGGCGCCTGCTCGGAGGCAGACTGCTTGGTCTTGCCCATGGTACACGACACGATACGTCGCAGTCAAGACGTACTCCCAAATGCTTTGATAACGACCCTAGAGTCGTCAACGCAGCATATAAAATTTTCGAGGAGCGCTGGCCTGTTCAAAGTTGGAGAAGAACAAAAAGTCGAGGCGCCAATCATCCAATGATGGAGATAAACGCAGCTGCAGCTGCAATTAACTCCGATGCCAGCCGTCGCCAAGCGGAATTTCTCCATGACATCGCGGGCTTTTCGTGCCTTTTGCAGTCGCAGGTGAAGGCGCTCAAGCGCTCCAGGGCCCGTGTCAGTCAGTTCCAGTGCCTGCGCCTTTTGGGGGTTCTTTCACCATCTAGCAACGCCAACACGTCTGCGCTCGACATACTTCCAGTATACCATTACAACTCTCCATTTGCTATTTGCTATTTGCTATTTGCAGCTGAGAGTTCGACAGTCGCTCCAGAGACAATTCATAGCCATTCAATCCTGCAGTCTTTGTACTAGACTCGTCCTCAACCTCTCCGCCGCTGCTGCGACACCCACACCACCCACTCAACAACCCTCCCACCCGCTTGCGTCGACCTGCTTCCCACACCCAAGTATTGAAGCTCGCGACGCTCATTTTGTCCCTCTATCTTCTCATTGCGACGACGGAGAAACAACCGGAGAAAGGGGTTCAGAGCGACGTTTATCGGCGCCTCTGATGCTTTCCTGCTACACCTCCTGTCACCCAGCGCAAAGAGGTCACATCGACAGACCATGCCATTATAACTACGACTCATTCACCTTCCCTACCTTGTTGTATGTCACTTTCGTTCCTAGTGACGCGCCTGAACATTGGCTCTGCATCCATTTGCTGTGGTCTGAACCTCGACTGACAACACAGCATCCTAGTCACATCAAACGAGCTCTCATACCTCCCTTTCGCCCGCATCAGTCCTACCTAGCGAGAAATCAAAGTATTTGGGCACGCCTTATATAATGGACTCAGCAGCCGACTCCCTCATTGCTCTCTCCAACGTTGCTACAGCCACCACCGCAAAGAACGAACCACTCTCCGACGATGACCGCTCCAGCAGTCTTAGCGAGCTAGACGATGACCTCGACGATGTTGAAGATGAAGTGGTTCAGCCAGTTGGTGCAGCTGAAGGAGACTCGGAGGCTGAAACCGAACGTCTTCAAGTCACACCGGACAAACTTGCTCGGAAGCAGCCTTTGCAGATCAGCCCCAGCAAGCTAGCTCATAGGCTGGACATCGACATGAGGCCCGAAATAGAGAGCATTACAGAAAGTCCTGTATCTTCACCAATCTCCTCGCACCATGATTCAGAGATAGAAGACGGTGCAGATGTGGAGGCAGAGGTACAAACGGAACAGGAAGTGGTGAGAGCGGCTTCGCCAAGTAAACGGAAGAGAGAAGCCAGTGAATCAGACGCCGAAGAGGCTCCGACATCGCAAAGACGCCGGACTGGGTCAGTTGAAAGCGAGGATCAGAAATCCCAACCAGAAAGCGAAAATGGAGACAGTCGCAGCCAACCTACAAGAGACCCAACAGTGGAAGCTGAAGTTGTAGTGCCGCCGCGTGAAGAAGAAGAGGCAGAAGAACAGGAAGAGGGAAATCGAGAAGCCGAAATGCTCGACACCAGTGAGGATTCTAAAGAAAAGGCCAGAAGTAGGCCTCGCCGCAAAGCCAAGGGTGATGCTGCACGAGAACCTCGCGCAGAAGATGAAGAAGAAGCCGAGGCTGCGGAGGATACCGACGCCGTTGACGAGAACGACGCTGACGCAGCGGTCAAGAGTGAGGAGGAACACGCAAAACGAATGGCAGCAATGGATGCCTTGACAACGCTGGAGAAGCACTTCGCTGCGCTGAGAGACCGACTTTATGATGAGCGCATTGCGGGCATCAACCATGAGCTTGCACTTCTGTCAGAACCAAAACCGTCTCATCCCGAGCTCCTGCGACAACTCGAAGCCGTGAGGAAGTATCGCGATGAAAAGTTTGAGGTGGAACAAAAGCTCCTCGTATACAAGATCGGCGCCCTCAAGACCAGAGCCGTGGCAGAACGCAGCCAAATACACAGTCAATATTTCCAGACTGTGCGAGACATTCGAGAGAAGTACCTGGAGCGGATCAGTGAACACTTTTACCGGATCCAGCGAGACAGGTTTAAGACCGATTCTACGATCCCAAGCTTCACCATTCCGTACCCAGAACGACGCTCACAACAAATCCTTCAACAGACAGCTTACAATAAGGAAGTGTCGATTCTGTCAGGTATCGCCAAATATGTCGGCTTCCCCGCTGCCCCGGAGTTGGCTGCGTCGAAGCAGAAAGATGTTGAAGACGACATACAGAAGATGGGGGTACGTATGAGCACTTTGGCTACAATATCAACCCGCTAACGTCATCTCTAGATCTCAGTTGCTCAAAATCGACCTCTCAGACCTGCTCAAAGGCAAGCACATGAGATGGCAGGGGCGCAGATATCAGGTCCTCAAGCGGAAGAACAGTTCCTCGAACAGACCCCGTGGGCCAACCCACAGCATCCCATTCATCGGCTGAGTCGACAGAATTCCAATCGTTCGCCCATGACGGAGTTTGTGACACCTGCAAATCAACAACGCACAACAGACGGATTACAGCCAGCCGGGTCGGCTTCTACGATCGTGGACCCGGCGGCACAGATCTCTTCGGCCATCAACACACCTTACGACGAACAACAACAGAGCAGCACCACGAAAGTGGAACCCCAGCCTGGTTCCAGTGTGCACAACTACCGACTTCATTCTACGTCTCCGCTAGATACACGACGGGTGATATCTGGACCCGGAGTCGGCGCCGACTTCCAGATCGCCACCGATCATTCCGAGGCACCTACAAAAGACATGCTGCGCGATTTGAATTCCTCGCCGCTTACATCACGCGCGCAGCTGGCGGTGGGTTCACCGCCTCGGGCGGCCTCAGCGCGGCCGGACAAGGCTGCTTCGAGATTTGGGAGCAATGAATCTCCATTCAGACATGCGAGAGATTCGGGCATCACTGCAGGATCCGGGTTTTCTGGGACAGGGAGATTCAGCATTCGATAGAGAAAGTGGAGATTTCATTTTTGGTTATGATTGATGGCATGTACAATTCCCCATAATGCGAACTCCGTTCTCTTGTGGACCGGGCTTGATGTGGCTATCGTTCGACTGTATCAAGTCGAACGTTTTCCTCTTCCCGTGCATTTGCCGCCCACTGTAGATTGTCTCCAGTGTTCTGCTTCACTTTCGACTGTATATGATCCTGCCGCAACGATGAGACTTCTTTCCATCAATGCTTTTCCAATTGCCAGGGCAGGACCTTGATCATTTCCCTCCCATTTTTGAGGTATCCTCTGCGGACTTCGGAACCGACTCCAGGCTCCAGATAGATTCATACGCCCTATTCCCATGGTTGTAGACCTCCCTTTTACTTCTCCAGTCAAGGGGGCACACCGCCGACTCAACCCGACGCTTTCAACTCAACCCCCACTTTAACTCTTTCCGGGCCTGGTATCGGACCAGATTCAACCCGGGTTGAACCCTTCGTCAAGAGACAAGAGCATAGAGGCGTCCAAAAAGGGAAAAACACACTGCGGCTGTCGTTCGTCTGGACCAGCCAATCCTTTCGCAAGCTTGCTTGGTTTTCCTCGAGGTCGACATCACGAGCGCATCCCGTTCGCTTGGGCTGTAGGTGTCTTGGGCGGCTGTGCCGACTGCGCCGGGGCGTCCGGCACAATCACGTCGTCGAAGTTCTCTTGGCCGACGGCTCTGAGTGTGAATGCGACTGCAGTGGAGAAAAGACACACATAGATGAATTAGCGCAACTGTCCTGTTACCAGACGAGGGATGGAGTTGGAAGTGCTTTGCCGGGAGCACAAGCCACACAGAGGAAGTATGCGTGGGAGTGGATGCGTGGGTGTGTGTCTGCGGAACTGAACTTGAACTGGGTTGAAAGAAGAGGAGTATAGGGGATCAACATACAAACTCCAATGGCGAAACCGAAAATACATGCCCCGGTGATCAGGTTCTTAAATAGATATGGGCGGCGGGCGCGGTTCAATGCCGCTCCGGATCGGTAGTCCGTGTTGTAGTATGACGAGCGCTTGAGGCTGTAGTTATGGAGCGTGTTGTTAGTTTCATAGTCACTGGAAGTTTTGCTTTCGAATGAAGAGAGTGGAGAATGTAGGACTGTGGTGCGCTGGGATGCATTTGTTCAAGGGCTGTCGCTGCTGTCGCTGGGGGAGCTGAGACTCACAAGCCGTTCTGGAGGGGAAGCGTGGACCGCATGGTGTTTTGGACTCGAAGAGGCGTTCTATCGGATAGAGAGATTGATGGTGTCGAACAATGGAGCAGACACTGCTGGAGTTATGGTTGCTGGCGCAGATGAATGGACTGTGTAGCGAGTGTTTGTCAATTGTACGAGTGTCGAGAAATTATAGTGCTACGCTGTATCTGTGTTCGACCGTAGTGGATTCCTCCTCCGGTGGAGTATTTACATGCAAGTGGTGAGCTCTCAGCCTTGCCTCCTAGGAAGACTACCTAGATATTTCAATTTAGAGTACTGTGCTCGATAAGAAAGGCATGTGAAAGGAGACGAGAGAAAATTATGGACTGGTTCAAGAAATGTCTTGCCATCTGACACAATATATACCGAATACAATCAGCCGCTCAAATCTTGCTAACAGTAGACACGTATATAAGTATTAAATAATGGCTCCATCAATTCCCAAAACCATCACGAATCTCCAAAAAGGTGTGATACCTATTCCTCGTCCAGCGCCGAGCTTTCTTGCCCCAGATAATCATCGGCACAGTGGTCATGATGAAGACAAAGGCCAAAACGCCAATGGCGATAAAGGTGTTCTGAACACCACTGGCATCAATCCACTGGGACGTCACAAAAGAAAATATACATCCAATGGTGTTGTTGATTGTGGCAACGCCCACCATGCCCTCGAGGACCATGTCCGGATAGGCGTCCATCAGGTATGCCATGCTTAGATCGCCGGCGCAGCCCCAGCCAAATCCAATGAAACCGAGACCGACGTAGGGAGCAGGCCATGACCATCCGTGAGCGCTGCCAATACCGAAAATCCACATCCCCGTAGGGAAGATGCAGGCGCAAGGTAGCATGAGCCACAGGCGCTGTTCAGCTTCCATGACACCGCCGTTACGCTTGGTCATCCAGAGCACGAATTTGTCGCTCAGCCATCCGCCGTAGAAACAACCAATCACCGCTCCAATGAGGGTAGGGATCTAATCGCCATCTGGCATCAGTATTCATAAACTCGAGACTGCTTGGGTATTTTGGGAAGGAGGGAATCTGCGTACATTCATGTTACCGTCCTCGGCATCGGTATAGTACCACGGAGCCTCGTACCAGTTGTCCTCCTCGACAGTCAAATAGAAGGTAAGCCAGGCATCTTGCGCCCCCCACTGCAAACCAGAATATATGACGGCGGGGAAGGTGAAAACGCGCAGGGTGTGAAATAGGCGTTGGAAATATTGCTTGAACCCTGTTCCCCGTAGATTCGGGGCGGGAGTAATGATGGCGATGCGCTGCCAATATGATTTGGGCTTTTCGTCCCTACCAGAACTGCGCTGCTGTTCCATGCTGACTGAAGTGTTCGTCTGTTCAGCAGCACCAGCAACCTTCTCTTTGTCGTGGACTTCTGCTGCCACACTCGCAGATCTCTCGCTGTGGTTCCCGTTAACACCATCGATGAGATACCGGTCGCCATCATTGATAAAGTACCTCTCTCGTCGGAAAGTGGTTTCTTCCAGTCCGAAAAGAAAGACTAGGAAGGTTGAACCGGAGAAGATGGCCCCGAACCAGCCGATCCATCTCCAGCCGAGGCTGCTATCAGCGATATAGCTGGCAATCAGTGGCCCCAAGTATGTTCCGATACTGGTGGCCAGCACGTAAACACCAAGGACCGAACCACGCTGGTGCTGGAACCAAAGATCCATCAACGACAATTGAACGGTCGCTTCGGCCACCGATTCGGATGCACCAACGAAAAGCTGATTCCAAAGAGCATCACTAGTGGTTTGACCTCTCGCAAACCAGATACTCCCAATGACCCCCCATAGCATCCCGATAAGGTACAGGATTCGACGTCCGTACAGGTAGACAGCCGGAGACGAGAGCAATGTCCAGTAGCCAATCCCGATGAACAATATGCCGGCTCCAGTATTGAAGGAAGAATAGCTGATCCCGAGCTCGAGGTTCTCGTTATACTGCGCCGCGCCGGCATCGTTCGAGGTGGCCGCGGTCAGGGCGGTCACAAAACAGACCAGGAAACTATGCCAGTATTTGTGAGGCAGCGACCAATGGAGAGGATCATTCGGCGACTCGGTCGGCTGAGGCACCAGGACGATGTCGCCATGTTTTTTCAGGCCCAACTCGGCAGATAGCGGCGCCCCTTCAGCATCGAACAGGCGGCGCGTGCCCGGGAGCACCTCTTCGAACTCCATGCGGTCGTCGTCACACGGGAAATCGAGATTTGAAATGCAGTGGGGACGAACAGCAGGAGAGCTCAGGTGGTGAAGTCAGCCGGGGCCACTCGTCACTTATAAACAGATTAGGCGAAAGGCGTGGCCATATTGCCGGTGCGACGTCCTTATCGCATGGTGGCTTGCAGAGGTAGTGTGCCATTGAAGGATACAGCAGCGTGTTCTGTGGGAAAGAAAACCAGGATGAGGTCCGCCGTCCAATCCCCGCAGAGAGGAGAGACAGTGAGAGGGATCATGGCCAGCATTGATGGGCTTATCAGTGGCGAGTAGGGATTTGCATACGCGAGTGGGTTGGACAGAGGCGATGATGAAGTGTAGACGGCATGACGGATCGTAGCTGGCGAGATGGCAGTTGGTGGTGCTGCACATCTAAAAGTAAAGTGGAGGACAGCAGGCGTGTGGTGGGCTAAGCGGCTACTAGGGGGCACTTACAGAACCACTAGGGTGCGGCATTGGAAGAGTGGCACGATGCCCCTAGGTTGCAAGGTTACAGGACTTCCAGAAGCGCAGGGGCGCAGGTGGGGGTGGATTTGTAGGTGTTTGTTTAGCTAGCTGGGACTACGCACCTACCAGTGCCTACAGGTACTAGGTATCTACATGTAAGTACTGTAAGCCTACAATTCACTAGTTGCCTTAGTACACAGTACAATGTAGGTACACAGTCGGGTTTAATGTAAGGTGAATCGAAAGTCACAAGAATCTCATCAGGCTGCACACATAGTAGTAGACGGCTCAACGGCTAGAGCCTCCCTTTCTTATCTGTCAGATTGGGCCTTAAGCAGTGGAGATGAAGAGCTTGACCAACGCTTAGCCCAGAGATCGTAGAATTAGGGGGGGTGACGCGGGCTTGTGCGTGACGTTTGCAGCCCAAGCCCACTCGTAGGTACCCCAAAAGGCGCCTACAGATGGCTAGTAGGAGGCTGTTGTGTCTGCATGCGCGGATCCCCTTCGCCGATAAGCAGGAATCTGATTTCTGCGCCTACTACGTACTAGCAACCGCGTGTAGCTGCCTCAGGCGTCCTAGTGGCTCCTCCCCTCAACATCATCGTCTCTACCTCGCCTCTCGACCCTTGTTTTCCCTCTTTCCCTCCTTTCACATTCCATCATCCTCAACTACACAGTCTTGTACTGCTCGCCCAATCTCTTCCCTTGCGGACACCTTCATCAGCCTCGCGTGTTGATATCCCCCATACTCTGTCACACGCGAATGTCGACTTGTCAGCTCAAAATGGCTCAACAGTTTCATATCGCCCACCTTTCTAGTCACGTACCTAAGGAGTCCAGTAGTCCTTCGACCATTCTTCAACTCGCTAACCGGCTGCTCCCTGCACCTGCCGTGTCCAAAGAGTTGGAGGATGGTCGAAACCCGAAAGAACCTTCTGTTGTGAGTCAAGAGCTTTGGGATACACCCAGAGATGGAACTTCAAATCAAAACAAAGTCGTCGTCGTCGTCGGTGCCGGCATTGCTGGGCTTCGTGCAGCTTCCGTCTTGAGATCCCATGGGGTCCAAGTCGTGGTCCTCGAAGCTAGGCCTGACCGCATTGGCGGACGTATTTACACGAGTAGGAAACCGGGACACGCTCCTAGAGACATTGGTAAATATTGCCTCGAGCAATACTGACAATCGCCGTAGGCGTTTGAGATGAAGTCGTTAAGAGCGCTCATTGTTCGGCCACGACATTGTGGATTGTTTTCCTCCGTCGTCACTGTGCTCACACGCTTATAGGAGCTGCCTGGATGCACGAAACCGCCAACAACAAACTCGTCCGCCTTATTGGCGAGCTCAACATCGAGCATTACTATGACGACGGCACCCCATTGTATTATACCAAAGACGGTCGTCTCGGTTCTCAGTTCAAAGCCAAAAAGGTCGCCGATGAGTTCGCCGATTACTGTGAATGGTATTACGACGAGAACCCCGACGCCGAAGACAAACCTGCGTTGACCTTCATCAAAGAATGGTTGAACAATCATCCCTTGGTCACCGAGGATGAACGCCTATGGGCTCCTCAAGCTGCTCGTGAGGTGGAAGCGTGGATTGGGACCAGTCTCGAACAAGCTTCCTCTAAACACCTTGCCTACTTCGCCACGGAAAGAAATCTCTACATGAAAGGAGGATACGACAGTATCGTTGACTGGGCTGCGTCTACCCTTCGTGAACCAGAGATCATTCGCCTGGGCCATGTCGTGACCAAAATCGAGTGGAGTGACGACCATAACCCATGTGTTGTTCACACTGCCACTGAAGACGGGGAGAATCCAGTTTTCACCGCTGATGCCGTTGTTTGCACTCTCCCTCTGGGGGTCTTGAAACACAACCTCGTCGACTTCAGCCCCTCGCTTCCCAAAGATTTGTCCTTGGGCATTCAGAAGCTCGGCTATGGCGCCCTCGGCAAGATATTTGTCGAATTCGAGTCCGTGTTCTGGCCCAAGGACAACGATCAGTTCATCTACTACCCCGAACCAACCACTGACGCCATTGACGAGAGCTCCATCTTCTCTTACATGACAGTCACGAGTAACAACTGGATCATGAGTGGCACCAAGGAGTTGTCGGTGCAGATTGTGGAACCCCTTACCCAACGCATCGAAGCCATGACGTCTGATCAAGAGATCTACGCCTTCTTCGAGCCTCTTTTCAAACTCTTTCGTACCGAACCTTACAAGAAGCTTCCTCCGGTTGTGAATCTGGAAACGACACACTGGACGCAGGATCGTTTTGCAGGGTTCGGTACCTACACTGCCGACAAGACCGGTGATGAACCCGAAATTTGGATGACCGCAGTGGACAACAACAAGGGAAGCACCCTGCAGTTTGCCGGAGAGCACTGTACGCGGACTGGAAATGGATGTGTGCATGGTGCTTTTGCCGCCGGTGAGACTGCTGCTGTCAACCTTCTGGGTGTGCTGGGAGTTCCTCACAACGGTGGAGATCTCTACAGCCGACGTCCATCGAGGAGGACCCCACCCAGATATTAAGCGGTTGCTGTGAGGTAGTCTCGCGGTTTCGACGCTTGCTGGGAAGGACTATCTTCCGACATGGTTGACGACATTTGAAAGTGCTGGACTGAGATATGTCGGCGCTTATGCTTTTCCTTGTTTGCATGTTTTCCTCACGCGACAACCAAATTGCCTGGCTCTTTTCCACCCAACTTTCCCTTCGAAGCCAATCTTTGCTGTGCTGGTATGTTTGCAGACATTCTCTGCTGTGCTGATATGTCTCGGGCCCCGGACGGTCTTGTTGAGACTGACACTTCTGTCTATCTCCGAGACCGATCCTGGTGAGCTTAGTGCTTTAAAGCGAGCTCGTTCATAGTTGCCTCATTGTAACCAACGTACCGAATACAATTTGACATTGTTCATTGCTCGTTGCTCAGGGATCAGCCACCTTTTCCCATAGCGTCGTAGACTTGGTCCTTTAGGTCAGGCACTTCCCCGAGAGGCATCAAATGAAACACGCTCCCTCTACATATCTCCTCAACTATCATTTCTGCAAGCTTGATGTTCTTCTCCGGAAATCCCTCATCACGCAGACTTTGATAATACGCTGCGATCAGCCTTCTCCCTATTCTGTCCACATCATACGGTCGACCGGGATTTGGTGACTGCCGAATAACCCACACCAGTGTGAGCGGAGGATCGCCATCCTCCAAGCCAGGCTGGACATGGGGACTAAGGAGCTGGGCAGAGGAAGCCTTGGTTGGCATGTTGGCCTCGTCCGTGTTTCCGCTATTGTCTTCTGGTTGGGGTTCGGCCGCGATCTCTCTGCGCAACATCAACGCCAATCCTCCGGTGCTGGTATGGATACTCGATCGGACGCGCGCGTACGCCCGACTAGCCACGTCGTCGCCGTGGTCCGGCGGTTCTGTCTCGAACAAGGTGAACGGGACGGTGCGTCCGTCCCCCATTGCCAGAGCATCGGCCGAAGACACGGCCAGCACCATCGTATGTAGGACCTCCGACATGTCTTGACGGCGATTCTGGGGCCGGATGTAGAGATATTGCAAGTAAGGGACTGCGAAATTGGAGCTTGGGCTTCCGTTTTCAGGCACGTCATTTGATTGATTGTCTTCTTGTTGTTGTCCGTGTTGTTGCTCTCCAAGATCATTCGACAAAGGAAGCACAGAAAACTGAGCAGCACCGATCGCCTCTCCCGTCACACTATCTCGGATCCCAACGATCCTGTATGGCGCCAGTCCGATCCTCTCGCCGCTCGCTTGAGCCGCCAGCCGGTCGACGATCAAGTCGGACCGTTCGCGCTCCGCTCGCCGAGGGAACATAGCGGTGTATAGCGCGTCATAGTGTCGCATGAAATCTGGAGCCGACACAAGCTCGATCACGCCGATGTTTGGCAAGGCTGTCTTTTCCAGGCGGGTTATCGGGGTGCGGCTGAGACTGTCGATTGCAATGTTCGCGGCGGATAGCATGGAACGGAGGGCGGGTGAGAGTTTGGAAGAGAATATTGATGAAGATGTTCCTGTGGAAGGAGTTGAGCTTGTGGGTTTGGGTTTGGTTATGGTTGGGGATGGCTGGACCGGATCCGAAACGGATACAGAACTGTCTGTTACCGTATTGGCCATACCTGCTAGTCTGGCTGGTATGTTGTTTACCGGATTGAAGCAGCAGTGGTAGGAACAGGAGGGATAGTGGTAGTGGCTGTTGATGAAGTCGTGAGACGACCTGAGGGATAAATTCCTCTCTCTCTGGGTTCGGAAAGGCCCACAGCCTCGTATATCAGTGGATTTCCCTCTTGATGCCTAACATGGCTTTGATCCTGAATGTGCTTTGCTCTAAGTATGGAGACTAGGGCATATTGTACTTCTTGTGTCTTGTCTCTTGTGCTTCAGTCAGACAGTGATCTCCGATCCATCCTGCTGTCTCCACAGGCAGCGAGGAGATTGTTGATGCTGTGCTCCCGGTTTATAGCGGAAAAGGTGCTGTTCAAGCAGAGCAAGGGTCTAGTCGTATTTCGGAAGAAAGGACCTGTGTAATATATGAACGAGCAATACTTGGTTCATCAAGATACTGACTGCCTGTGCAGAAGAGTAAAGTGCTGATACCGCCAGCCTCGCGAGATATCTCGGTCGCAGCAAACATACCAAAAGCGCACTTTCAGAGAGTATTATTGTCAGACGACATCGTCCCGAGGCCAACATCCAAAATAAATGGCCCGGTATTCTGTCTGACAGCCAGCTATCTGCCTTGCCAGCCTTCAACCGTGTCGACAGTAACATGTAAGTTCAGGAGTTCACTTAAGGTCACTTCTTCCATGACGAAATTGGTAACAGACCACCGTACTGCTGGAACCGTTACTGCTACTCTTCTGGTCTGTGTTCTCCTCATTATGTCGAGAGAACTGGATCTAGTTCCTGAGGTGATCGTCTCGCTAGCACAGCGACCCATCTTGACGAAGGAAGGCCGATAACTCTTTCTGGGGAACAACTATACAGGAAGAACTGCCATATGTTAACAGCATCGAAAGTCTTTGAGAGCGAAGGAGACAGCGAAGGTCCTGAAATGCCTGTCGACGAGCTCAACGTAGATCCAAACTCTCGACTTACGCAATATCCCATGTTGATGACTTTGCCTTACCTGATGATGTGCGACAGATATCGCCGAATCAACTAGAAGAGGAGGATGTCGTGTTCATATCGCAGTCCATGACTCGGTCAAGGCACGTGTCGGTGGTTCGACGATAGAGCTCCTTAGGCCTAGGTCTGAGCCTGGGATGTCTCCAGGTCGCCGTTTTCCAGCAGTGAACTAGGACAAGGCACCTCCGTTAGTGGCCAGGATCCGCAATGCCGCAAAAATCGGCCTTTTTGGTCTGTGATTAATGGTGTCGAAATACGCAGTCGCCTGTGCGGCTGTTGCCCAAACCCATTGCAGCAAAATGATAACCCCCAAAGCCGGCTAATCGCTCAGAAGAAAAACATTTAACCCATTTTCCCCCAGATAAACCTTCCGGCGTCACCTGGTACAGTAGTCGTCGCTCTCCCCGATCCGTTTGGACTCGGCACTGATATCCAACAAAGCCTGATCGATTTGCTGTTTTTGCCCGCTCCAGACATAGAACGGCATAGCGGCATACGCCAGAATGACGAGAGCATACATCGACCCCAAAAGAGGGTCTTTGTGGACGATGTGCACTTTGAATCCGTTCCACCATCCACCTTCGCCAATAGACAAACCCGAAAACTCCACGGCGGCCAACCACAACATGGACAATGCGCCGACGAGGATAGGGGTGATGAAGTCTGTAGCGGCAACCTCAAGCTGCCACACCGTCAGTTGTGCAGCTTGCCAGATCACAAGTAACATGATTGGCGTTTCCAGGATTTCGACGACACGAGCACCCATGGCGGGTTGAAGAAAGGGTACTCGGGCTGAGCCGAAGAGGAAGCCCGTCAAGAAGACGAGCAGGAAGTAGAGGATTGATAGACGCAGTGATTCGTTGAGCACCTGCATCTTGTCTGAATAAACTGATGTCGTTCTTTGATTGTGTTCGGTGTTTTGTTTCTTTTGTATATTGAATCCGGGGTAATGGAAAGGGACACAGCAGCCATCGAGTCGAGGGTTGGGGAGACAGATATACTACCCACCAAAGGTCCACACCCCAGACTCGTCCAGATGCCATGCTCTTGGCACGAAGTGGTCAGCACCTTACCTGTGACCCGTATTAAATGTCTCAAGACCCAAATGCTCGTGTTTGAAGTGTGTATGAGAAAGAGAAGTTTCTCGTGTGTCCAGGCTCCGTTGAAATGTCTTAGATGGCACGTGACAGGCCCATATTAAAGCATATGATTGGCTCAAAAGGAACGACGCGGAAGCTTGGGATCATACGATGTCGACCAGATCAAGTTACAAGTGACTTCAAGCCTCCACAGTAATGTGTTTGCTGCTCGTGCGATTCGATTCTAGCTGACCATGTGACCACGCATTCAGTCCCGTGTGCCAACGTGCACCGAGGCTGGGGAATTCTTCAGAACAATGGAGACGCCGGATCCCCTTACCTAAATGTTGGGGCGTGGTCCCGACACTTTGTCTGGGATCTGAGCGATTTGTTACCAGGGTCAAGTAGTAGCTTCTTGTCGTTTCCTTCAGCGTGAAGGTGTGACCAAAGTTATCCTAGAGAGACAGGTATCCTTCAGAGAGTCTATCCTTCCTCGCACGTGTTCGCCTCGGAGAATTTCGTGTTGTTCGATAACCTTTTGCCTCGACATGGACACCACATTGGATAGCAAGCTCATCGGTAAGATGATCCATACGGACTACAACACAGATCATTGCAATGAGAGGCATGAGGATGGCAGCGGAAGACCACAGTCAGCCTCCATTTCCAATCCTCCCAACAGGGACGTGCAGCACACCACCCTGGATAGCAAGCTCATCGGCAGGATGATTCATGCGGATTGCAACACACATCATTGCAATGGAAAGCACGAAGATGACAGCGAAAGGCCACAGCCAACCTCAATCTCCAATCCCCTCAACGGGGAAGTGCCGGCGCCAGAATACTTACATTGTGGATTCTGGCCGAGGCCGCTGACCAACGCCGACGTGGACGAGGAGAGCCACGAACCGCGTGGTCTCCATGACCACCATTATATAGGCACCGGTCGGAGCAGACCGGTGGTGTTGACGTGGTCCAAAGGGCCGGAGTGGTCGACTAAGGCGAATCCTCAGGGAAATGGTCCGGCGGATGACGACGACGAGCCCGAGACCATACAAAAAGGCGGAGACCACCACTCGGTCGTGACAGACCAATTCTCCAAGGCGGTCGACACATGGAGAATGAAATTACATGGTTCTGACTCTGGAGAAGAGAAGAACGACGAGAAAGGTATGTGGTCAAACGTGAAGAAAAGTCCCCTAAGACAGAGCATCCCACAAGCTAACGTCAATTCCCGAGTTCAAGCCAGGAAGCCATATTCGGTGTTGAGACTATTCGCCAGACGGAGCGCCAACGACCGGAACACTGGCAGCATCGACGGCACCGTGGAGACCAGACAGAGCGTTTTTGACCAGGAGATTGCTGCCGAATGCCGGGCTCGCAGTGAAATCATGGAGTACGTCGACAACCTGGTCAATCGGGGAGATTTCGACGACGCATATGCGTGTATTTGGCCGCTGGAGGAGTATCGTCGCAACGGATGGGCCGAGGAGATGATCTTTGCTTTTCCAAACGAGTGTTTGGAATTCGTCGACATGGTGCACGCTCGCCAGAAGACGAGTTAGGATGGCGATGACCCCAAGAATCTGTCTTCAGAACATTGATTGTCACATTGATCGCATATTCTCTGCCATCACCGTGATGCATGGGTTAGACAAGGAGCGATCAGCCAGCACACTTAGTCCCGTCAGCACTGAAAATCAGGCAAGAAAGGAACATTAATTAATTTTGGACCGACTCGGCAGAGTTTGAACGGTCCCTCAACTCAACATGAAGGTCACCGTCGGAAACGCCTACGACAGCCACTACATCACGGGTCCCCAGATACCAAGTCCGAGCCTGTGAGGGTTCCGGGACGGATGTGATGCTGGATAAGCGTCAGCGTTCACATCCACCCGTTTCGTGTTCAATATCAGACTCAGCCTCAGCATCGTGGAGGTCTCTGTGTGGAAAGGAAATGTCAGGCGAGACACTGCGCCCCCGAAAGGACCGGCACTGGCGAGGAATTCTGGCAGGAGCGTTGTAATGGCCATTGGGAAGAAGAACCTGCCAAAGGCATACACGAAACCACAAAGGTCTCATGTCAGAGCCTGGTACTGTATACTGTGTATGTGTACTTATCATAATACCGAGTGGATTGGGGTGGTGGGTGTCAGCCTGATGCTGATGCTGGCCCTGATATACTGTACTATACAGAGTAGACAGTACAGAGCACATTCGACCACCGGCCTCCTTCCTGCCTTACATAAGCCTCTTCGTTCCCCACTGCGAACCTCGGCACCTTCATGGATTGTCATTGGCTCCTCCACAACTGGGAAGGAGCAACTCCGCCGGCGAGCAATCCGTCGTCGACGTCGCCGGTCAGTTTGTCCTTCCCCGCCAGACATTCTGGTATCCGCATCCTACGTTATCGTTGTTACAGAGAACTACTAGTTACAGAGACTGCAGTGTTGTCCGACCATGGTCCTGGCCATCTTGATGAATCCTCCCATCATCATTTACTAGACCAAAAGGCTCGGATACTAGTACTGGGTTTGACCGTATCCTTGTGTACCTTATGGTGTTCCACTGCCTGCTATCTCGCGACTTGAGAGAATAGAAAAGTATTCCCCTATTCTCAACCATATCAACCCGTCATCATGGCGGCCATACACCGCCCAGCCCATCTCACGCACCATGCCGCCAAACTCGCCTCGGCAGCATGTCTTGAAAAGTCCCAAGCCATAGGCGTGCCCATGAACGTCGCCATCGTCGACGCCTCGCTCTACCTCCTCCACTTCGAGCGCATGCCCGGCGCCAAACTCACCTCCGTCGACATCGCCATCAACAAGGCCTTCACCGCCGCAGGTCATCGTGCCCCAACGTCGGTGTACAAGGAGAACGTGTGGCCCGGCGGGCCGGCGTTCGGGTTGAACAACAGCAACAACGGCAGGTTCATGTATGTGGCTGGAGGGATCCCCGTTGTTGTGGACGGCGAGGTGGTAGGTGCGGTGGGTTGCAGCACGGGCACTCCGGCTCAGGATACGGAGGTGGCACAGGCCGGAGTGGATGCCGTCCTTGAGTACGTGAAGCAACTTCGGGTCAAGCCTAAGCTGTGAAAGAGTGTACTGGAACGGGCCGTTTCTGAATGGATCGATCGGAAAGGAAGAAATGTCAAAGTGAGTGCAGGAGCAGGAGCAAGAGCTATAGGATCAAGGCCACTGGCTCAGAAAGTTCTAGGGTCTATATATGTCTGATACCGGGTGCGCTGCAGAGGGTGTATAATGGAGTGACCTGGAGAAGGTCCGAGAAGATTGGATCCGGCTTGCTCCTCTCCATTGGGTTGTGCGATAACGGTCTCACGGCGAAGAAGGACAAACTCTACCATATGTGAATGGTGTCCCTTGTCGCAGGGTGTATGTGGGCGTCTGTCTATATGTATCTGGATTTGCTGGTCATGGTATGATGGTGGTGGGAACAGGCCTTCTACTTTTGCATATGTCGGCCACACCACGAGCCCCTGACTTGTATCGTGGCAGCAACTTGTTGGTGGCCAGGTCTGGTAATCAAGAGAGTGGGTATTTGCACCCAATTTCCACGTGTCAAGGAGAGAATGCGGCAGTGAGGATGCCATTCGAGAATTGTTAAGGTTCATCGTTCAGACCGTGGTTCCTCCTTGATCCTTGTGCAAGGGTTCAGGCTCATCCGTGAAGGCGCTGTCTGTATATATGCTCCTCAGTCGGAATGTCGAAGAATTGTTACACGCCTTCTTGGCTGGCTGGGCCTCGGGTTTGATAGCTTTAGAGCGGCGTTGGGTCCAGGATTCACATAATGCCGGCACAAGGCGAAGGCGAACCGAACAATCCGGGTGAGAGATGGCACCACAGGCGGTGTGACCACACAGCTTTCTTACCATAACCCGACAGACGGTGGGATCCGTATGCTGTTTGTGTCAGAACATCGTATCAAGGCTGTTGCTGTCTGCCGGCGGCCGAGAACCGGGTCAACACATATGGCAGGATTACTGCCGCATGTCGAGATATCACTGATCGCCCTCCAGTGAACGACCACATGTCGGGAGTGTGATCATGCTCCGCGAGGTCAAGGTAGCTTGAGGGCATTTCATAGACACCTTGTAGCAACACCAGATGCGAGAGCGCTCCGAAGGCGGAATATAGTTGTTGGTATGTGAACCGGGTGCATTTCGCTGGCGAGCCCATCAAGGGTCCATCCTCCACATCTCCGTAGAGGGGCCGCTTTCAAGATCCTTCATACGATGCGTTAATGCTGTTCTGCTGTTCTGAGACGTCTACCCGAGGACTTACTGCGAAGGAGATCCCGGTCGTCGGGAAGCCCAAGTCGACAGGCAGTCTCATTGTGTTTTGGATCGCTGTCTGGAGAGCTTTTAGATTGTTATCGAGCAACCGCAACAGCCTCCCGAATTCTGCCGCGGGTGCATTTCCAGCTGCAATTTGATGACCGAGTAGCTGCAGGGTTATCTCCAGTGCCGAATGGTCATTTGGGGTGAAAGGGAAACCATTGTTCTGAGCAATCTCTGGATAAACCGCAAATGAAAGAGCCCGTCCTATATATAGCGATATAGCAGCGGTGAACGCAAAGCTGGCGCTAAAATAAGTGTAGGTTGCTGCACAAGCATTAGAATCGTGGCCTTTTTGTATCAAACAAAACTTACAGAATGCCCCTTGGCTGCGGAGCCACTGCAGAATGGACGCAGTCTCCCTCGCCGAATGCATCGACGAGGCATATAAGCTTTGGAGCCTGACTTTGAAGTCGGCAGTTTGCGAGTCTCCATTGTTTGTCGATGTCAGCTTTCCGAGCTTTGTCTGCGATTGAAACCAGTCGTTGTATGCGTTGACTAATGCCGGACGGAGAAGGACGAGAATCGACTGCGAAATGGTCAGACGTTGGCCCTCGACGTCTTCGAAGCACTCCAAACCTGGTAGTAGATGAGGTATAACTGAGCATTCACCCGGTTCAGATTTGTCCAGGAGCCGTTCCATCCTCGGACAACCTTCAAGGCCATCGGCAGCTCGTTCTCAAAGCTAACTAATGCTTGGTGAAATTCACTGATTTTGTCCAGGTGCTGTTGCGAAAGAGGGAGGCTGAGCTCAAAATCAAACAATGAGATGTATGAGTAAGGATTGATCGCGGTGCCGGCATACCCATAGAGCGAAGAGTATGCCTGGCTTCGCAGCCGCATGAGTTCTAGATGGATATTCAATTCTTCAGCGTCAAAGAAGTCTAATGCCGCATCACCTGGAAGGCGGCTGGAATCCGCGTAGTCGACAGTAATTTCATCGTCCAGAACGCCCCATGGACGACCGGTGGTAGTGGTGGTCAGACTGCACAAACAGCGGTCAGCTCGCAGGCAGCAGATCAAGAAGGGGTTGGCCCTGTACACACAGATCTTGATAGTAGACAGTCCAAAACAATCTCTTCTGATGCTCCAGTTCGCTAGCAGGTAGATTCAATCTTTCCGAAAGAAAGTCATAAGGGCTTCGATGCAAATCCAGTGCCAAAGCCGCCCGCATACTGACACCCCCGTACATGTAGGCTGTATTGACTCGATTCATAGAGAACGCATAAAGTGATAGTAGACATAAAGTCTCGATGTACTGAACATCTGGGTGTTCGGCCACCTGTTGAAGAAGGCTTACCGACTGATAATAGTACTCTGCCCCTGGTGGTTCAGGACTACCGGCGGATCCGGCTACCGCTGACCCTAAGGGATCTTGGGGATCGACGTCGGTCTCTTTGTCGCTGCTGTAGAGCTCTCCTAGTGCAACTATGGCGAGCCAATGACATAGCCATCCCTGATCTTTACTTTGTGGTGACTCTGGTGACTGGTGCATCTGAGCGACTTTGGCACGAAGATCGTTCCGCCGGAAGTAATGCTGTTCATGGCCAATGGCAGCCTCGAGGACCTGGATCAGATAAATGCTGTGGTTGTATGGAGGGAGGCGGATCTTGACTGGCTTGGACGTCCTGGACTGTACAGGAGGGCGGGACAGTACCGTGTCGATAGAGATTTCCAGGGATGAATCGGCAAGGTCAAAGGATGAATGACCCCAGGCTGCCCAGGATGGATCAAATGAGTTGCCGTCCTGCGAGATCAGCTCTGACCTCTGCATGGCTACCAAGGTGGCAAATTGCTCGACAAATGTCTGACAGGATGGAGTGGCCCGATAGGTGGGCCGACGACGATGCTCATCTTGGCTGTGGTTCGAGCGACCCGAGGTGAAGTCCTTTTCTGATCGACGATAGCTGCCGCTCAGTTGCGGGCTGGAAAGCCGCGGTGTTGTCTCATGGTTGAGAGTTTGTACTGATGGGTCGTCCGCAAGGGAACTTGTCGAAGCGGTTGGATTGTGCTGGCTCGCTGAGATCCTCTGCCTGCGAGACAAAGGGAATACACAGGATGATCCGGAAAGGGCACAGTTCCGGCATGGTACGCCTGGATGACAGGTGATCAGAATCTCAGAATCAGACAAAATGACGGGGGGGGGATTCGTCTACCTCCAAGGCATTTGATACGTTTGGTATGGCATCGCGAGCAACTGTTGTCATCAGCCCAAAGCCCAAAGACATACCTTACCGCTCCGCATATATCAAGGAATTCGGTACATACGCTTGCTTTTTCCGGGGTGCGTAGTAGACCGGCTCTCGATCCTGGGTCAAAACAGGGGTATTGGGCGGTATTTGTTGCCCAAGTACCGATGAGGACTGCGTCTGCCACATATTCGTGGATGCAGCGACAGGCCTTGCATAACTCCCGATGCCTTTGATGTCACGATGGTCTCTCGCCACGTCCAGTGAGGTGAAGCGCCTTATGATGGAGTCTATGTAGCATACGTCGAAGGGAGACACGGTAGATACTTACCTGGTAGGTACAGTAGGGGGTGGTCGAGATAATAGATACCGAGCGGTTAAAGCCGCCCCAAGTAGAAAATCCTGATCACGTAAGCTGCTGTCTACGGCAGAGTATCGACAAAGCGCGTTAAAATCGTTACATGAGCGAAAATCTACGGCGAAGTATCGACGCAGCTGCGACTGATATGCATTTGAAGTTGAAGCTGAAGAGTTCCAAGAAGTCCAAGGCTTCAGAGTGACTACACCTTCATTTTCCTTCTTCAATTGATATACATTTCACTTGTCTAAATACCGGCAAACTCCTTGATGACACTCTTGGGCTCAGTGTAGGTTCCCACAGGCGTGTACTCGATGTTATACCCGAAAGCCTTGGGACCACCGTATTCCAGCCCCCTTGGGGTGTCTGTCCACCGTGGTGAGCAGGCTATTCCGAGCACCGTCACCATGAGCCCATAGCGATACTCTGGGACACCAAGTGCGAGGCCTGACTGGGTGTCGAGCACCGAGATCAAGTCCGGAACAGTCGCAAGGTATGTTTCTTTGCCGTCGTCGCTGATATGCTTTGCATAGATGTTTTCGTTCTTGAACGGGATTTTCACCACGCCACCTTCAACAACGGCCGCACTTGCATGGCCGCTCTCCTCTTCGTCCTCCTGTATTTGCTTGATGGTAATTTCTCCATACGAGTGTCCTTTGAAGAGCCTGCGTTCAACCCCAACAATCTTTCCCCTGAAGAGAATTTTGGCGGTAGAAGGGCCGCCCACGGCGTCAATGATTTGTTCGGCCACGGTGTGAACTGTGTTCTCTTGTTGTGCGCGTGCCACGCATCTGCCGATACGCCAGGCAAGAGACACGGTGTTCAACACTCCATACTTCCTTACACGGTCTGCCGTCGTCGGTCTTGCGGCCATTCCCACGCGAGAACCCATCTCGGAGCAAGACGCACGCAGCGCACGATCAACGATCTCGTCTTCGGGCGACTTGGTCATAATGATTGTCTTGCCATCACCTGAAGCGATGGCGCATGGAGTCAACTGCCCAGGCTCATAGACGGCCAGAGTGGTCTGCCAGTATGTTGGATATGCTCGACCTGAAATTCTGTTAGCATTCATTCTCTATCGCCTGATGGCATGTCCAGGGGAACGAACCCATCCAGTCACCGTCAATGACCGGTCGGTCAAACGCCTTAGACGATCCGATGAGCATAGGTTCAAGTCCATTGGCGCCGCCAATCTCAAGCCCCATAATCGCATCGAAAGATTTATGGCCGAGATATTCCATCAGATCTGCCACAGCATGTAGGCATTCTGCGGAGTTGAGTCGCTCGATTGACACGGCGGGTGAGCCCATCATTCCGCCCCCTGCGCATTCGTCAGTATGGCAGCCATGACGGAGATACCTTGTTTCTCAACTTACAGTATATCAGAGAGTCCTCGGCGAGTGACGAGCTGTCAATAATCCGAACCGAATAACCTGCTCGAACCTGATCTCGAAGCTTCAAAAATTCAGCTTTCGGTGATCCGCCCCCGGCACATCCCAAGATGTAACAACCATCCCTGATCCATTCGAGGTCTTTCTCTGAAAGAAGCCATTCGTCCCTGCGTGTCGTGGGGTTTGCCACAATCTTCGGTCGATACGCATCAAAATCGAAACGTGTTTGTTTCTCCGTTGTCTGGACCGCCGCTGGCTTGATAATGTTTTCTATGAAGGCCTCGTCGCTGCCGTCATCTTCATCACTGAGGCTCTTGCTGTTGGAGATGTAGCTAGTGGACAGGTCGCCGACGGCCTTTACGATCACCCGAATCTGGCCAGCGACATAAGGAATGGGCAATGTCTCTATGTCCACCACGGTGACCGTGTCTGGGTCTGCTCCGGCGGTGACGGCATTTGCTACAGCTTGAACTTTGGCATGTTCCAACGCTTCAGCCACGGTCATATCGGCGGTCACATAGATGGTGTCGACGGTTCCGCAGACGCGGGAGATTGCGGCTCCCACTGCGTTAGCCACGGAGTGAAATTTGGGCACAATGACTTCAGTAACACCCTCTAGCTCCGAGGGGCAGACGATGGATCCTCCGCCTACCAGTAGAACTGGAAGCGGAGCTGGTGTCAGCTTGAGTCTGTCGATCACGTTCTCAAGCATTTTCTTGATTCGGCCTCGTGTCCGACTGACCGACTCAGGACTCAGATCGCTGACCTTCGAGGGGTCGCCTATCTTGAGCCCGCCTGCAACAGCGATATCCGTGGTCGTTAGAACGTCGCCGCCGAAGACTTTTGCTTTTGTCGTGAGCTGATATCCCACGGAATCCGGACCGACTGTGACTTCAGAGTCACGTTCACGGACAATGGATCCTCCACCGAGCCCGATCGACTCAAGATGCGGCATGGGAAAGTTCATAGTAACACCAGCGACTGTAACATAAGCACTGGCTGCTCGCGGAAATCCTGACGGTAACAAGACTCCACAATCCGTGGTCGTCCCTCCGACGTCGGCAACGATTGTCGAGACGCGTTCCTCATCCTTGCGTCCAGATTGTGCCAGACCAAGATATGCTGCACCTCTCATTGAATTCGTGGGTCCCGATGAAAAGGTCTTGATTGGCAGTTTGGCCGCAGAGACAGAATCTATCACTGTGCCATCGTTTTGAGAAATGAATAAGGAACAGTCCAGTCCTAGTCGCCTCATGGCCGCTCGGAAACCTCGGATTGTACGTCTGGCGAACTTGAGAATTGATGCGTTCAGGATGGAAGCATTCTCTCTTTCCAACAGACCGATATTGGATACTTCACATGAGCAGACAATATCCACCCCTGGCAACTTCTCCTGCATGATTTTCCTGACACGGATTTCCTGTTCGAAATGCTTGTCGATAGGAGAGAATACGCCGGAAAGAACCACTGCGTCGAGCCCGAGTTCCTTGATCTTGTCGCATTGCTGAAGAATTTGCTCCTCGTTAATTGGCGCTTCTTCTGAACCATCAATGTGGAGACCTCCGTCAACGAAGCCACAATAGCCCTTCAGAAGTTGAGTAAGGTCTGGCGGAAAATCTGAAAAAGGAGGAATGTCCTTAGTAAAGCTCTTGGACAGCCTCACCACTGCGACTCGGGATAGTCGGCGGGTGTCGCGTTCGATGACAGCGTTCAAGAAGTGAGTCGTGCCGATGATTAGACAAGAAATTTCCGACGCGGTGTCTCCTCCAAGTTGGGCCAATACATTGCCCACAGCCGTCTCAATACCAGCCGTCACGTTTGGACTGGTCGTCGGCGTCTTGTGCCAGGCGAGCACTCCGCGATTCGGTTGATCCACGGCGTCCAAGTCAAGAATGACTGCGTCAGTATTGGTGCCGCCAACGTCCACCCCGACCCTGAGAGCCCTCGGCTGCCGGATTGATCCCATCTTGTCGTGGCTGCACAATGCTTTCCTGATGATATGACGACCCAGGGCCCCCGAGAACGGACCGCTGTTTTAATTTATATCGAGACAAATCCAACACGTACAATGCTTGTCGGAAGTCCCGATCAGTATGAAAGTCGCACGCCTAGCGGCCGACGCTAGGTTTTCAGAGTCCACAAACTCAGGGTGATGATGTTGGCCGTGACTCCTACTATGCTACTGACACATGGCCATTGAGCCACAAAAGTGAACTCGGGGCAAATCTTTTTAACCAGGGTGTTTCTCTTACGACGACAAACCAGTCTGGAACCATCCCCGTGGGCAAGTTTACCTAATTATCTGGCATATAAACCATAAACCCCACAGATAGGTGAGATAGGCTTTGATATTCCCATCCGTCCCTGCGATTGGTTGTACTGACTATAAGATAGGGACCGACCTTGGGAGCACGGAGATGTCCCGGAATCCGAAGCCAATCAGGCCACAAGAGCCTTCACGATGGGTACCATTGTCTCCACCATACATTGGACCTCTTCTCTGTACAGAGTGCAACACCACACACCGGTGTTCCACGAAAGGTCCAGAAGACGGTGTTTCTCTTGGCCCAGCGATGATATCCGTTCTGGCCAGCTTATCGTTCCCTCGTTCCAAGACTCTATGCACCGCTTCGGGACTCTTGAACCTTTCTCAGCAGATAATTATGGGTTGGTTTCTTGACGCCATCGCACTGTGGCTGCCCGATCGGGCAACCTGGTAAGTTCGCGGCAAACGCCCAGGTAGAGAGAGATACGAGAAACTTTTTACATATTTATCTTTATAACTCACATGGAAGCATTCGAACCACCTTCGCCATCTCACTTTCAACAGCCCTGGAGCGCTCTATACGAGCAACACTAGACAGTTCTCCTCCCTCCAAACCGACCCCGACTCAGTGTCTCTTTTTGCTGCGAGTTGAACCACAACAAGCAGTCCATCAAAATGTCGTTTGGAAAGCGAATCCGCGCACTCCATCCCAGGCCCTTCCAATTACGGCTCCCAGGTGAAACATCCATCTGGATCAACGATGATATCCGACCAATGCCCCCTTCCCGTCGTCTCTGGGACATGTGGGCATACATATCGTTCTGGGCTATCAACCAGATTGCTCTGAGTAACTGGCAGATTGGTGCCTCGCTGATTGCGGTTGGGCTATCGGTCTGGCAAACTATGATTGCAGTCATCATTGGAAAGATCATAATATCGGCGGTGGCTATCTGCAACGGCGCTATCGGTGCTCGTTGGCACATCGGATTCCCTGTCCTTTCCCGTGGGATCTGGGGCGTCTACGGATCATATATCATCATCGTCCAACGCATCGTTCTCAGCTTGACCTGGTTCGCGGTCCAGTCGTGGACAGGAGGACTTTGCGTCACGGCGGTCTTGAGTTCGATCTTCTCCTCCTTTCACCATATGCACAACACCCTTCCCGCGTCGGCCAACACGACCACGAAGAACCTTGTCGGTTGGGTGGTATACAATATCATCACAATTCCTATACTCTACATTCCCCCAGAGAAGACTCGACGCATGCTGTTCGCCATGAACACCATCTCTGTGATCACGCTCATTTCGATCATGATTTATGTCTTGTCAAGCGCAGGCGGTGCCGGGCCCTTGCTTTCGGCTCCAGCCACTGCCAAATCGGGCAGTGAACTAGGCTGGGCCATTGTTCAAGGCATCACAACTGTGATTGGTGGTATCGCGGTCGGCCTAACCAATCAAGCCGACTACTCTCGATTTGCTCGCCGACCTGGCGATCAGGTCTTCGGCCAGTGGTTCTCCATCCTTACCTTGGGCACGATTTTGCCGCTCTTCGGATGTCTGACCAGTTCCGCGTCGATGAAGCTGTATGGTGAGGCCTACTGGAACCCGCCGGATCTACTGCTGCGATGGCTGCAAGATGACTACAACTCCAAAGCTCGGGCTGGCGCTTTTTTCGCCGGCGTCGGGCTTGTAGTGTGCCAGTTGGCCATCAATACCATCGACAACGCCTTCTCTGCGGGGATGGACATGGCTGGATTTGTGCCCAAATTCTTCAACATCCGCCGCGGCGCTTACTTTGCACTCGTTCTCTCGATTGCCATGTGTCCATGGGAACTGCTGGCTTCGGCAGGGACCTTCATCAGCGTCATGAGCGCGTATTCTGTCTTCTTGGGCCCGATGTGCGGCATCCAGATCTGCGATTATTTCCTGATCCGACGTCGCCATGTGAAACTCTCGGATCTCTACAGCCCATCCTCGTCCGGCATCTACTACTACTTCCACGGTTTCAACCTGCGTGCATTCGCAGCCTGGGTTTGTGGCTGGGCGCCGCAGCTACCGGGTTTCATTGCCGATGTCAACGCCAGTGTCACGGTGCCCAAGGCGAGCATGGACATGTTTTATCTTGCTTTCCCCCTGGGTCTGGCTATCAGCTTCACCATCTATTATGCGCTGAACAGGGTGTTTCCCCCTCAGGGAGTCGGCGAGTACGATGATGTCGATTACTACGGAACGTTCAGTCCTGAAGAAGCGACCAAGCTTGGAGTCACGCCTTTGGAAGAAGCCAGTGGAGGGGATATGATGAGGGAAAAGGGTGTGATGAATGAAGAAATCACTGCGGAAAAATGACGAGTTCAGGCATTAGAAGACGAAGGTGATTGGGACCATATACGAAGCATACATATTGTCTGGCCCACAGGAAGACTTCTAGGATAGTTGTTTTTATTGATAATATCACAAAGAACACGAGTCCGTTTCGTTCGCCCCCTATTTTCTCTCTGCCAGTTTGGGCACCATTCATTATCCCCTTTGGTTTTCTTCTCTCCTTTGTCAAAGAGAAACGTTCGTCGATACGGGGGACGCTGATAGAAGTTCGAGTGATCGTTTTGCTCGCTTTGGAATATGGGGAGAGTCTGACTGAAGGCTTCCCGGTCACATCGTTCCAAAAGCCGTCGGCAGGTCTTTCTTAAGCCTGTGCCCATAATACCCATATTCAAGCGATACGAAGTGAATTTGTCTCAGTTGCTTCAGTTTGTCGAGAGGATACGTACCTGGCTAGCAAGATTTGGTACGTACATAAAGCAAGCTAGACGCGGATCAGAGTTAGTGACTGGGTTTCTTGCAGCCCTTACTTCCATATTTTGGACATTCAATAAGGCCAACCATGCAGAAATGTTGTTCGTGAATTGATTACTTAGGTATCTTAGCTAGCACGGCCCCATTTGGGTACATCGGTCAGCTAGAAGAGGACACCATAGCACTCTGGAAGGCAATACACGACTCAGCTTGACTATTTCTCATCGAGCAGGAATATGTAACCGACAAACATGATTTCACAAGTCTCGCTTTCCTCTGAAGGAGTGAGGTTGTATTTGTTAGACTTTATAGTGATGTCGAAATGTTCAATTAGCGTCGATTGAAGCAGAGATCTTGACATAATGCCTAATTCGGTTAGCATGCAAACTCGTAGGACGGCGACTGTTTCTGACAGATTGGGTTTCGTTGTTTGGCTCGTCTCGGGAATGTTTACTCCACGCCTTCGATCGTGCATGCGAATCGTATTCAGATAGAATTGCAGTACAAACCCACCATTATCAACTATTACCAGTGATTTTGTGCTTCGGACCGATGGGAAGGCTTCCACCTCGATCTGGCGTCCTGCACGTCTAAATCTCAAACTGAGCAACAAGAGAAGCCTCGACACAAACAACCATGGCTGCCCGCGGGTCTGCTTCACCATCACCCGCGCCAGAGGCACCTGTAGCAGCCGCACCGGGGCCTCGCGCTGCAGCCCTTCAGAAGGTCTTCGCAGGTGCTCTGTCGTCGTCGATCAGAGCCAACTCATACGCCAACTTCAGCTCATGCTTCCCGACCCCTGCCAAATACTGTCCGACGGCGCTGGAAGGAGTGTGGAAGCAGTTGAATGCGCGACTGGAAGAGGAATGCACGCGCGACTTCGAGAAAATACTTGAAGAGAGACATGTCATTGAAGGCTTGAACCAGTGGGACAGCATGATAGAGGAGGCACGGAGAAGAAAGAATCGCGCCGTGGACGGTGAAATGCCGGCTCGACCGTAAGTGAGCTTTGTCTCCAGGTGTTGGCTTTGCGAGCTGACCTGTAGTAGACTCCATACACTTTCGGCACAGGAGTTATACATCGCCAATGTCACCCCCTATCTACAGCAAGCCACAGACGAGCTGGCCTCGAAACTACAGGCCGCGCAGGAGGACAATTCAACCATCATGGCCACCATCCGTGAGCAACGAGTCGAGCTGGAACAACTATTGAATGGCTTAGAAATGGTGGTGGAAGATATCGAAGGGAGCGTTCAAGCAATGCAATCGGGTGAAGACGGTGGATTAACCGAATTGAGGACTGACGTGTGGCAAATGGAACAAGAGCTGGCCGCAACGAGATAAACTCGCGTGCAGATTGCGCAGACGATGATGATCTGTGATTCTAATGTTAGCGATGGCGTTGGTGGAGTCTGTGTTGCCTTCAACTGTTGTATAGGTCTGGAAAGTCCGTACAGGCACCAACGGCATGTCTCAGCGATTTTGGGCAGTGACATACAGACACGGCGACGGTTGCAGACATACGTCCTTTCTTGTGCAAATGATGGGTGTTACAATGTGCCGGCGCCTGGTAGTGATAGGCTGCTAAAGAGTCAGCAGGGTATCCGAACATTGATGTGGCGCCGTTTGACAGCCTGAGCCAAGAGTGTATAAACCCTTGGAAGGCTTTTCCGGATTTTGCCAGCTGAATACAAGCACGTTTTCTTTGATCCGACTGCGACAGGAGCAGACTCTGGCCGAAGCGTAGGAAACGAAATTCGGATACTCGCCGAGCCTTGCTGGATGATGTACTGGGGGATTCTGGTGATCAGGCAGGCAAGGCTGACCACTCACAGCGCATGCACGTGCCAAGGCCCGAGCTAATCTCCGCGTCGAATTCGCGTTGCAAGGCTTCAGCTTCCTTGCTACCACGGCGTCTCCGTCTTCCATCCAATACTCCATGAAGCTTACGTAAAGCGATGATGGGAAAAATCAGAAAGAGACCCTCTCTCGGCTGAGACTGTCTCTGACAGTTGCTAGTTCTGTGCTACCAGAATGGCCGGAGGCATGTCCTGCGGTGAAGCCGGGGCGAGCTGCGGCTCTCGCCCAACCAAAGGTCAGTCTGATCATGTTCTGTTCGCCACAATGCTGTATGGTCTACAGAGTATGGTCAGCAGCGGGCGACACTTCACCATCAGGATCTACGAGTGGGCTAGGGTTCTTTGCGACTAGCTCAACGTGGTTATTTATTTATGTGCGGATGGAAATTGAGGCTCCAAGAGGGGCGACAAATCTCAGCGATTGAACCCCATTTGCAGGACATGCAATTAAGGTTTGATATTGAGATTGCACGGTCGCCCTCCGCCATCAACAAACAGCCACACCTATCCAACTTCTCCCATCTTCTCATCGCTGCCATCCATCCGCGCCAGTGTAACGCCATCTTGGCCAACCCGTCCCACTGGTTTTGTCGCTTGCGGGACCGATGGTTTTGCGCTCGCTTGTCAGCTTTGATACTTCCGAAGTCTGCTTTCCCCCGGCTTCGATGGACCCTCGACCCTGGGCTTTTCGCGAACATGACACGCCAACATATCACCCGGTCCATGCTAGGTGATTCGAAGAGTCTTGCGCAACACTGTTACAGACGCGTGCCACCGGTTCGTGAGGTGTCATGTTCTGTCTCAATTGTACGTATGTCAAGAAGTGCCTCTTCCTCTGCTACAAGAATTCCGACTCCTCCTGCCACTGACATCTCCACGCTCTATTTTCATTCTATTCCACCCTCTTGCATACATCTGCATATATAATTTCGGTATCTCCACAAACTCTGACAACTGTCTCCGCCTTGATTGGCTTGATCGAGGAGAGTCTCGGCCTCTGCCCCTCCTTGGCTTTGTCTTCCATCTCTTCTTCCTTTTTGTGGCTCAAGCCTCATCGTGACTTTTCCGTGAAGAACAAGGCATAACCCGGCACGGCTGGTGGTCAAGGATTTGAACAGCGCGTCCCAAATTAACAATTCCATCCGCTCGTCAAGTGGCTTGCCCATATCAAGACACGTCCTTCACCTATGCCGTCGACTTCGTCTTCCTTGAACCGCATACTACTCACCTATCTCAGGACCGGCGGTTCACCCGGCAATTCTGTATAGAAGGGTGCGTGTCACTTGACGGGGCCTCTCCTCGACGCCGCCTTTCACATCTAGATGGACAGTCAATCATCCTTGTTCAGCACGCACCAACCCGTCATACACACCGATGGAGAGACGTGTCAGAATCTGGACATTTGGACTTCTTGCTGGTGTCTTCAGCACGGCTACCAGTATCCTGAACCTCATCATCGCCTTCAACATCATCAACATCACTGTGCTACTGGCTTTACGGATCCTACTCTTCGTCGCCTTTGGAATTAGCTTACTGAATCTCACCAACCTTGCCTACTTCTCCATATTCTACGTCAAGGAGCTCAACAGTCACTCACTTGGCTTGAAGTCCAAGACATGGGGCCTTTTCACCGGAGGTACATTTGCCGCTACAGTGAGCATCGCCGTCCCCGGCGTAGCACTGATTTGGATGGTTCTAAGACGCCACGATCTTCCTCAGCGGATCTTGCATACCGATCCTCTCACGTTGATCGGGGTTAGCCTTGGGACATGGGCTGTCTCCGCCATTGCGCAGGCTGTACTCTATTGTCTACTCTGGTTCTGGACCAAGAGCGTGCTCAGAACGCGACGGGCCAGCAGAATGGACCTGGACTTCGGGATCAGGATACCATCGGCGTCGATGGCCAAGAGGCCCAGCACTCGACGCAATGCGTCTTTCGGCTCGCAAGATCCTACGGTGAACTCACCTCCGACAACACCCCTATCAAGAGCCCTGTCTACTCCACGGAGGTCTTCCTCCACAAAGATTGGCCAAAAGTCATCGAGGAGCAAGCTCATTCGGCATTCTAATCGGTCATCATATGACGACAGTCCTTTTCCGGTGGGAGAGGCCATCACGACTGACAGTGCATTTGATAACTGGGACACGTCTTCCGTCCATTACGAGATGCGGGCTGTCATACACTCTTCACCCCCGGTTACACGATCAGGTCTAGAGACGATCCCAGGCAGCAGGCCAGAGTCTCCAGCCAATGCTTTAGATGGGCCATTCCTCCCAGAAGCAAATGTCTCCAGCTCGCCACAGGCACCAACCTCGGACTCGGCGACGATGGTGGGATGGAGCTCATCTCCACGACAACTCAAATCGTCGCCGCCCTCAAGTCCCCCCAACTTCTCGCGACCTACATCTTTATCATACAATAAAACGCCTCCTAGGCCTGAACGGTTCGATCCTTCCATGCACGAGTTGGTCCATCCACTGTTCCGGCCGACTAGCCCTGGACCCCCTCCTATTCCATTGGGCGCGACGGCTGTGACTGTGTCACCATTGGCAGACCATCTGAACAGTCCACAAACGCTCAGTCGATTGCGGAGTGGGTCAGTTCCGCCACAAGGACGTTGGAGAGCAATGCTCAGTATAAACCGATCTGAGACTCAAAGCGCGGACGACCCGATACCGGACAGTCCAACGCTGGGCAGTCCAGGCCCATCTATTGTCGATGATGATGAGCTACCCCCCATCCTCCCGGGGTTTGTACTCTCGGCTGGGTCGCGCACTAGCCTCATGGTCTACGGGAAACGCAAAGGTCTTGGGCGGAATCAATCAAGCCCTCAAGCGTCAAATTGGGATCCTTTCGATGGTCATATGATCTGATCGTCCTATTGTTCTGCAATAGCGGCTTCAGATACCGCTTGAATTTGGATATGGTGTTATGTCTAAGTAATGAAGGGCTTTGTTTTAGCAAGGAGTTGGCGGTTATTTGTGACAGGGTATATTGATGTATTGTATTGCAGAGTGATACGGGCTCACTGTTGCCCTTGTACCAAGGATTCATATAATCTATATAACTACTCTGAATGACCGAGGGCGTGCTGTACCTTAGCTTTGTTGTTCAATCGTTGTTAGTATCAGCTTCAGGTGCATGGACAGAACTGCCATTTCCAATCGGATGCTCCGCAGTTTTGCCAGGCGACTGGCGTCGGGACACTGCGGCTCGAGCCGTAATGCTGCTAGCTGTAACGGGCTAAGTCAACCTTGCACCACTGTCCGAACCTGAAAGCAGCAGGGGTGCCAGCCCTGAATAGTACTGAGCGTCTATCACTAATCCTCGTTTAGTGCGCCGCATCAGCGCTTTAGTGGGTTGGTCGCTTACAGCGGCGCGACACAGAAAATGCTTCAACTTCCATTCTCTTACTTCAGCTTCACCATTACTATGACTATTGAATGAGACAGTCGCCATTCGCAACACAACGCGCGCGTCCTTTATTCACTACCATTGGCAGTCCCGTACACCATCATGGAACTCTGCCGCACCCTTCAGCCCCCGGGCTTGAACAGGATCAATGGCCCCGACACTTCCTATTGTCTAGCAGCTGGTACAAATACCTCGTCTGTCGAATGCTTCCATCTCTTCCCTTGTACCCCAACCATCCGCCCTCAAACCTGGATCTCCAGCAAAGCTTCTCCCTTGTGGTTGCAGTATCTCTCACAGCTCCTTTCTCATTCCACCACTCAATCATCCTTGTCGGGGCCGTCGTTGTCCTCGGCATGTGCCCGTTTCCATATCCACCGATCCTTGCGTTCAGGGACGACCATCAAGAAAAGTTCTTGTATCTCAACCTCAAAATCCATCTACCACAGGTCGAGGATCCAGCGAGTGCCGGGTGCATCAGCAAAAATTCTCTCATCAAAGTACCAGGCACAGCGACCGCTTCATAAGAGGAAGCATTTCAGGTAAGTTGGCACCCAAAGTTCCCCTCCTCCTATTCTGCTTCATTCCCAGCTTGCCAGCCCCAATCGTTACAACACCTGCTCTGCTATTCCTACTTGATTTATCAACCTCCATCATCAAAGCAATGATGACCCACATTCTACAAGCATTTCTTATCTCCCATTATTCATACAGTCGGACGCCCGCTAAACTTCATTTCCAGCATCATGGCAGTCAAGTCGATGGTTCAGCCGGCTACCGCCTTCCACATGACAACTCAGAGCTGTGCTACGCGGAAGCAGGCGCCAGAGGCGAGCTCGTCTTCGGACAGTTTGCCCCTGTCGTCGAGCCCCTCCTCGTCAGCAACGGCGGCCAGTTCTCAGACGAAGGGCAAGAAGAGGAAGGCCGCGGAGATGCGGTCGGATAGTCCTGATGAGGTCATAGAGGCCAAAAGACAACGGCCAGATCCAGAAGAAAGGGCGTCTGGCCAGGGCGAGCAGCCCACCGACCTTGACTACAACAAAGAACAGCAGTACTGGCCACAGTACAATCCGAAGAAGCCGGTGTACTATACCAGCGCCGGGACCAGGTACCGGCCGGGGTCCGCCGGCGGTGGCTCGGAGACACGGTCGCCCAAGAAGTCCACCCGGGGAGGTGGCCGTGGCCGTGGGGGTGGTCACGCGAACAGCGGTGGCCGGAAGGGCAGACAGAAGGGCAAAGGGGCCCGGGGCGGAGAAAGCCCAGAACCACCAAACCGGCGGCGTCCCTTGACGCAGGATGACCGGGTGGAGATCTCCATGCTCAAGGCAAGGCAGCAAGAACTCAAGCGGTTCTTTAAGGTTGTCGGGGCCCAACAGATCGACATCCTTGACCAGCTGGCGTCCGGGGATCTGTCCAAGATCGCGCGGAAGCCTAAAGCCCACAAGCATGTCCCAGAGCATGACATGGCTACGGAAACTCTGGAACAGCTCATGGAAAGCGCTCAAGACACAATCACGGCGAGATACCGGGTGCAGGTGGAGCACGAGGTACGGCGGATGATGCAAGAGAAGGAGGTGATCGAACGGCAGTTCAAGGTATGATAAAGCCCCGGCATTGTATCAGATACCCTTTCTAACATGAAACAGACACACGTTGCCGAAGCCCGCAAAGAGCACCTCGCTGGTGCCGAAGGAGACATCATCCTCTTCGAGCGAGCCTATCGTGCAGCACATGATGACACCCATACCGAATCCGGTTCTGATATGGACTATTTCCCTCACTACCACGAATTACCTGAAGCAGACAGGCAGCCACGAGGTTATGTCTCCAGCAAAATCATGGATGAAAAGCCATTCAAGCAACAGCTGGCCTCTTTCGACGAGCAGGCACGGCAGGAAGTACTGAATGAAGATGTTATCAGGCCTCTCCTGAAACAGATGGAACGACGCAACAATGAGTGGCGGGAAGAGCTCATTCGCAAGAAGTCACAGAACCTCGACGCGCTCTCAGCAGAAGCCATCAAGGAGCTGGAGAACATCAAGGGCTACCTTGTGCCGAGACCCTTCAAGATGGGTGACAGCGGATCTTATGCGTTGTCAGCCCTGGCCGACGTTTCCGAGTGGATTGCACAACAGCAACCGGAGCGACAGTACATATACATGCCACTGGCGCCTGGCGATAGCTTTCCTCGTGAAGCATTGGACTTCTCTCCTCTTCCCGGACAGGCGCCTCAAGTGGGACGTCCAACATCATCGAACCAGAACCATTTCCAATATCCAGCCAACAACAGACTGTTCTCGACACTGCCGCCGCCTCCGGCTCCTATACCCGCCACCGGACCTGGTGACCGAACTCTACCTCGGATTGTAACAAGTGCACCTGGTGATCCTACTCTCCCTAGAATTCTGCCCAACGGACCGGGCGAGACAAACATGACTCTGCCTCGCATAGTGTCAAGTGGACCTGGTCAGCCCATTGCTCCGGCACCACCAAAACAGCCTGCTCCTCGCGCATCCGGTCCGTCCCTGTTTCGATACAGCACACGGATGAGCGCACAGCCGCAACAACCTTCTCCGACAATGACGAATGGACCACAACAATTCATCTTCCAACCACCACAACAGCCCTACCAACACCAGCCTGCTCCGGGGCCTCTCTCGACGCCGCAATATGGTCCGACCGGTGCAGGAGCTCCGATTGGACAGCAGACCAAGATCCCGATAACTTTCGTCAATCAGACGATCGCGAGTCGGAATGCAGCAGCTGCATCGGCCGCGTCTGCGGGAAACGGAAACGGAAACGCCAATGCCAACGGTAAGGGCGGACAGAGGATATTGTTGCCCAAAGTCTGAACTAGGACGAGCGTGAATGAAAGCGGCATAGCATATGGCTCGATGTGCAAAGCACAGTGAAACATATTGTTGATAGGGCAGGAGATGGCCATGAACCAGCGGCATAAAAGAGATGCAATGCCTTCCCTAGGGGGACCATACCGAGGTTCGCGAGGCAGCCGAGACCCGAAATGGTACAAGGATGAGACACGACGACAACGAACACAGATGAGGACTCTAGGTACTGATAGACTTGATGAAGCTCAAGCAGAGTCAGAGATAGCAGTGGCTACATTACGCAAGGCTGAGAGCTTTACGGCACTATGGCCCAAGGATACTGGCTAGTCACAGCGATGAGATACCTACTATCAAGGTATTCAGATTAGCCTGATCAGATCATGATGAGCTTGAACCCATGAACTCATGCCTTTCAAACATAATACAGTGCCATACTTGTAGATGTTCTAATAGATGCTGAAGTGAAATGGATTTTCCAATCATATAGTAGACGACTAGTTGTCCAAGCTCGAGGAGGAGATGAGGTCGAAAAGTAGTATTGAATCAAACACACAATCACATTGGAGCAAGCCACCGACATCATAAAGGCATCTTATCTGAGAGCATTCTATCTATCTATCTATGTATCCATCCATCCATCTATTTATCCACCGTCTGGGTCATCCAGATCCTATCTCAGTGTTTACAAAAGGGAGAGGACTATCCAGCATCTCTCTCTCTCCCTCCCCCCCCCTCTCTCTACGCGAACACAAGGTATTCCGGCCCCCAGCTCTCCAACGTGTCGACATCCAAGGACAGGACAGGACATGACATGACAAGGACTGGACTAGACCAACCACCAGACTTGTCACTTTTGTGTCTCGCATTCTTTCAGGCTCCTTAGGCATTAGGCCCTGCCCACGCGACCCGCCCCGGCGCCCCCAGATTTTCGCGACATCCATGTTCGCTTCTTGTCAGTGGTGCCCGCGGCTCATACCCTGTCTGTGGCTCGGGAGTCATGCAAGATGAAGTCACCTCTTGCCCATGCCAAAGCGAAATGGCATGCAGAGTTCGAGTTGCTGCTATCCGTCCCCTAATCTCATACACCCTCCAGCGAGGCCAGCTACCCATCTCTCTCTTACTATCTTGAAGCTGCCAGGTCACTGGTCGGCCTTCCCATGGTCATCTGGACGTTATACGCCGATCACCCAATTGGCATTGCAGACTGGGACGTTGTCAAGGGGAGGCAGGCCAGGCAGGCAGACAGGTAGGCCTTTTATTCAGTTCTGACATGACATGGAAGAAAAAGGAGGGGAGGGGAGTTTTGTTCAAGATCATTTGTGCCGTGTCGCAAGTATCCCTATAGCCTCAGGTTTGTTCTTTTTACTTTTTCATCCTCATTGCTTCTTTTGTTGGGAAGCTCTGCACTCTGGCGGCGGGGTCTCTGCCGTCGTTGCTCATCTTCTGTGCCACCCTATGCTGCGGCCTTGCTGTTGTATCTCGTCTAGGGTTACTGTTGCTCCATTCGCCGTTGTCGTGGCTGTGGATCGAGTGATATTCGAGTACTGATATACTTATTGGAGGACGACCCCTTCGACCGGATACTAGTCTTACGTCCAGGAGCTTCTCAAGAGTGAAGATATCAGTCCCACAGAACAGACTTCAAGAGATACAGTACCATTTCCAGACCAGATACACACTTTCCTATCCAGAACCGTCGTTGGCAAGCTCCCTCACCCACAAGCACCATCATGTCGATATCCGACCGATCATCCATCACCAACGGCGGCGCCACACGCGAGATCGAGAATGAGAATGAGAATGAGAAATCAGTCAATGAGGCTACCGCCGGGAGAGGAAAACATCTCGGCGTCACCGGCCCCGAATTAGAAGCCTACAATATGGACGCAGGGCGATCCAAACAAAGCGACGGCAAAGTCGAACTGACCGAAGACGACGCGTACGACAAACTAGGCTACGCATTCCCCGACTGGAAGAAATGGATGATCCTGGTCGTGATCCTCCTGATCCAGACCTCCATGAACCTCAATGCCAGCATCTACGCCAACGGGGTCGACGGCATGGCGTCGAAATACAGCATCAGCAAACAAAAGGCCCGCGTCGGCCAGATGGTGTTCTTGGTCTGCTACGCCTTCGGCTGTGAGCTGTGGGCGCCGTGGTCCGAGGAAATCGGGCGCTGGCCGACCCAGCAGCTGTCCCTGTTTCTCGTGAATATCTGGCAACTCCCGGCCGCGCTGGCGCCCAATTTCGCCACCATTGTCGTCGCCAGGGGTCTCGCCGGCCTCTCCACCGCCGGCGGGTCCGTCACTCTCGGTGTCATCGCCGACCTGTACCAGCCAGAAGACTCCGGGTTCCAATACGCCGTCGCCTTCGTGGTGCTGTCGTCCGTCGGCGGTGCTCCTGTGGGCGCCGTGATCGGCGGCTTTGTCGGCCAGTATCTGTCTCTGCCCTGGATCTTTTGGATGCAGCTGTGCATCGGCGCTGCTGTGCAACTCATCCATTTCTTCCTGGTGCCTGAGACCCGCGCCACCATTCTGTTGGATCGCGAAGCCAAGCGCCGTCGCAAGAAAGGCGAAGCTCACATCTACGGGCCGGACGAGCTGAAGAAGCCGCGCTTCCCGATGCACGAGTTCGTGCGCATCTGGGCCCGGCCGTTCCAGATGTTTGCTACGGAACCTATCGTTCTGGCGTTGTCGCTGCTTAGTGGGTTTAGTGATGCGCTTCTGTTTACCTTTCTCGAGGCCTTCACTCCTGTTTTCAAACAGTGGGGGTTCCAGCCGTATCAGGTCGGATTGGCTTTCTTGTCGTAAGTCTGAGAACCTTGAATGAAAGTTGAGCTGCGCGGGAGAGGACGGTTGGGACTGGATTGAATCAGCGAAGAGATTGTCGACTGACAGTGACAACTTTCTGATTTAGGTCCCTCATCGGCTATCTCCTTGCATATTTCACTTACCTGCCCGTCATTCGACACCATAACAAGATCCGAGCCAATGACCCGGACAAGCTGTCGCCCGAGTCGAGGCTGTGGTGGCTACTGTTCCGTAAGTCGTCTACACCACAGCCATTCCACGTCTTCATTCTTCGTTGTGTTCATACTGTCCCATTCGGATGGTCTTCAATTTACAGGCAGATACTCTATGCTACGTTGTAGGACAAGAATGATAGAAGGATACTGTATCTGAGATGATGCATATCCTTGTGTCCTCGAGGCGCTCGAGTACCAGCCTCTCTCCAGTCCCCTGTGGCAGCACCTAGCATCCACTGAGTTACTGACCCTTGCTTACTCTGGCTCCTGGCTCAGTACAATGCTGACCTTTCTGTCTGTGTATTATACAGTGGCTCCTCTTGAGACAATCGGTCTCTTCGGATTTTCATGGACAAGTCTCGGTCCGGACTACGGCATCCCATGGATCGCGCCACTGATATTCACCGTTCTCATTGCGATGGCGAATTACGGAATCTATAAGGTGTGTTCACTGTCCAGCCTTAAAGGCCTCCTATCCTCTTCCTGCTTTCGTCTGTCTTATCCGTAAAACAGAGTTCCATCGACTACATGATCGCCGCCTACGGGCCTTACGCGGCATCAGCCACGGGGGGCAATGACCTGGCTCGAGATTTTCTTGCAGGCATTGCCGCGTTGTATAGTACGCCATGTAAGTACGGCTTCTTTTTTTCTTTTTCTTACACTTGTTGAAGTTCTATTCCGTTGTCGTTGTTTCCAACTCGTTCAGTTCGTTGAAAATGTGCTGTTCTATAGTCTACGAAAACATCGGCTCGACATATAAACTCGAACTACCCTCCACCATCCTCGCCTGTCTGTCCGTCGTCGTCATCGTCCCAATCTACATCTTCTACTGGAAAGGCCAGTGGTTCCGCGACCGCAGCCAGTTCGCGCAGCAGCTGAACCTGGGTCGGAAGGACGCGGTGCAGAGACGGCGAAGCACGGTGTTGGGCATAAAAGGGAGAAATGAATTATCGGGTGGTGGAGAGATTCATGATGAGAAAAAGACAGGAAACCCTGGAGATAGAGAGCGGCGGAATCTGGGGAGTACTGCGGATAGTACTGCTGCTACTGGAGACGGCGGAGAAGGAGGAGTGAGACATGTTGAGAGGGTTTGATGGGGTGTGTCTACGTATCCCTTTATCGCTTACCCTTTTTGTTCTGTTGTCTTTGTTCTTTCTTTTTCTTTGTCTTTGGAAGGTGCAGTGGGTTCGAAGATAAGTGGGACAAGGGGGTTCGTCGTCTGGTGTCTCTGTATCTATCTACCTAGGTATAGTATACTTACTATCCTACCATATATTACCAAATCCTGGTGTATTGCAATGCATTGGCATTGTACTGTACTCTACTTGTTGATCTTTTCATACTATACCTACCCAAGGTATATTGTGGTCTTGCAAAGGTATGTATAACTTCCTGGGAGTGGTCTTGTCCAGATGCAGACTGTAAGAATCAAACTGAAGTACCTAAGGTACCTATGTGTCAGTCTCGTTTGGGGTGTTTGGAAACGGCTTCTGTTCAGAGTTCTTAAGTAGCTAGTACTACCTACCTACCTATCTAGCTATGGTGGAGGATATAAGCAAGACCTTAGGGAAAAGTCGGGATACTCAAGATTCAACACTAGGAACATCCATTCGCCCATGCTGTGCTGTGGAAAGATAGAGGCAAGTTGCTATCTGTACTTTATAATGTATATCATAGATTTCTGCTTCTCAACTACTGGTTCCATGAGGTTATAGACGACAACCCTATGTTATCTTCTCTTGACGAAATTGTTCTTCAAATTGTGTTTGATCAGCCACCAGCTCTGGGATCTATCTGTTGTATTTGATACCTGGCAGTCTCCGCCACCACTCATGGGGATACTATAGTCCACAGTGGAGACCCCGTCAACTTGATAGTCAGGATTGGGGAAGACAACAGGATAGCCCTTCAGGTCGATCCTGTGGTTGGCACCCACAAACTCACAACCAGAAGTTTGATTGGAGACACGGTCAATCAGAGTCGTCTATGACGGTCGTCTTCACGTGTTCCGTTGACTGCGGATGTAGTCCACTACTCCAGGCAAGATCTCTTCGGCAGGTAGGCTGGCACGGACGAGGTCTCTTCGGAGAGAGTTCCAGCCGTCGTTGCTGCCGTTCTGGCCTGTGTGTTGCCCTGCACCTGCTTTTGCATCTGCAGCCGACAATGCAGTCAAATCCGAGCTCGTGGAATGAGAATGACCCGCATGAGACGCCACCTCTCCAAAGAAAGTCTCTTCATTCCGCACCCCGCCCATATTCAAGATCCCAATGCCCATACCTCGTTCATGCGCGTGCTTAACCAACCGCCAGGCCGAGTACGTCGCCAACGAGGACCCCACGACAAGGATCTTGCTGGCTGCGTCAACGGCGGCTTCAGCTGCAGCCTTGACAGCCGCCGGGATGGATTCACCGAACATGATAACATTCGGCTTGAGGATGCCGACACCTCCACCTCCACCTCCACCTCCACCTCCACCTCCACCGTTACTAGCCGACGATTTGACGGGCGGAACCCAAGCACCATCGGCATCGACATCGACAAGGCCCTTGGACCCATCGCTCAGGATGGGCGGCCTCTTCAAGCAATGCGGACAAGCGGGATATCTGAACATGGTATACGGCGCGCCAGGAACATCGGCATCACCGTCGGGGTTTGTTCTGAACCCCTTCCGTCGACGTTCCGCTGGATCCTCGGTATCAAGGGCTCCCGATTGCAGAAGTTCGTGCAAGAAATCAGTCCAGGCGGGATTCAACGCCGCCAGCTTCGCCTGGAACGCCTCTCGATCCATCAACCGCCGACAGCTCAAACATATCAGGCTCCTCAGGAAGCCGTGCAGTTCGATGGTCGGCAGTGTGGGATGGGCCATGTGGTGGAAAGAATCGACGTTCTGCGTGATCACGCTGTCCACCACGCCCAAACGGCCAAGGTCGCGGATCGCATAGTGTGTGGCATTGGGTGCGGCACGGTGCAGTCCTCGCCAGCCTAGAAATGACCGCGCCCAGTATCGTTTGCGGGCTTCGTGGCTGGCCACGAACTCGTGGAAGTAGATGGGTCGGAAGCTCTTGTTTTGCGTGTATGTCCCTTTTTCGCCGCGGTAGTCGGCCAGGCCGGATGCCACGCTGATTCCGGCGCCCGTCAAAAGCACGGTTTTGCCGGTGGATGCACTTCGGGCGACCACCGAAGACTCGGCTTTGTTCGTATGGACATCTCCTGCAGCGCCAGACCCGGCGGGTGTCGATGCTATATTTGTATCTGCAACAGACGCGCTGATCCTTGTAGGTATATCCCTCCCAGATGCATCTTTGATATTGCCATTGCTATTAGAGTGGCCGGCACCGTTGGTATGCGGTGGCGTATTCCCTGCGGCAGGAGCAGAGACGTGAGAGGTCAAGAAATGCGCGAGCGCAGTGATGGCTCCTTGTCTGCTCGCGGCGGACGGTGGGACGATCAATGGAGGCGGGAGGGGCCCTGTATAGGGGATACGCATAAGCGGTTTGGACATACGCGGCGCATGGTTCGAAACGAAACAAACGAGAAGTAAGAAGGCAGCTTATAGGAGTGGTTTGGAGTAAGCTGGGTTGTATCTGTCATAATTCATTGACGGGCGGGCCAGAATGTCGCTGTCATACAATAAATCGCGGACATCAGTGGTCCGCGAGGCAACCAATCACAGTTCTCCAAGATTCTTGGTTGCAGCCTTGCGTGTCTGGTGTGGTCGCAAGGCTGAGAACCAACCACCTTAAAAGGGGATTTCGAATGACTCTCTTTTGTAAGATATAGTGGACATTGGGATCCCGCCGACGAGACGTGATTAATGTCAGCTATGCAGCTCGTAGGTCCCTTTCCAGTATATATGCTCTGAGATATAACGTCACTGAGTCAAAGCCAAATACACCCTGAACATCAAACTTGCCGTATCCCCGTCACCACATGCTGGCGGAGGGTAGGCGAAGCGCATATCGAGCAATTTGGCCAGAGATTACGGTCAAGTCATCGAGCTTGCAGACGGCGTAGGGACAGGGCTAAGCCTTGCTCTCATCCGGATAAAAACAAAAAGAGAAATGCTGGCCGTTCATATCCCTTCATTTCATTCCCACATTAGACTCACAACACCAATGCACCCAAGCCCACGGCAACCATGAGAGCTCTTGCATCTGGCAAGGGCCCTGTGCCACTGCCACTGGTCGACCCAGTCGACCCAGTCGACCCAGTCGCTGCCGAAGCGGTCGTCCTGGTCGAACCAGTAGTGACCAGGAATCCGCGGGTGGAAGTGGCACTTTCAGTGTCGATACTATCACCAGATGTAGGCAGTGCGGTGGCGTAAGAAGACGTTGACATCAGGGTACCACCGAGGCCGCTGCTGCTGCTCGAACCGGAACCGGACCCGGACCCGGACCCGGAGCACGAGGAGGAGGTGGAGCCCTAGTAGTCATGTCAGCCGAAGGCTCGAAGCATACACGACACCTGATATTGGGGAATCCTTACAGCAGGACAGCATTTGCCAACGATGCTTGAACAAGTATCGCCACCTTCGCAATGGTCTAACAACACAGTCAGCTCCTGGTGATCTAGTACAGAATGATAGCCGAGTATGCACTCACATCCATCTTGACAGCAAACGTCTCCTTCGTCAGGGTTGTAGCAAGCATCTGTACCGCAAGGGATGCTTCCAGCACCAAATTGAGACTCGCATGCTGATGTCGACGAGGTACCGCCACTTCCTGTGCTTCCTCCTGTTCCTGAAGAGCCGCTGTCACTGTCATCATCTGGACAGGTATCGAACTGAGGGTCACTTGGGTCGTAGCAGTGCACGCCATCGGGGCATTCGAGGTAGGATGACCCAAAACAGGATGCGCAAGTTGCGCCGGTTTGGGAGCAAACGTCGTCCGTCCCAGTAGAAGACGACGTGGAAGTGGCTGCTGCTGCCGATGCGCTGGCAGTTCCGCTCGATCCACTGGAAAAACCCGGGCAAGAGTCAAGGCCGTAGGAGACGTCTCCTGGTAGATAGCAGTATAGACTACTTTCGGGGCATAGAGTGTAGCCGGTGCCGAAGCATTCTTCGCAGCTTCCCGAGCAACGCTTGTCCAGGGATCGTGACATGAGCTTGCTGGTGGTCGTGGACACTTTCGAGAGACCGGGGATCAAGGTCTTGTGAACAGCATCCACGGGCTCCTGCGCAGAAGCAAGGAGGATGAGAGACGACATGCCCAAGGCAGCCTTGACAAACAACATGCCGACTTCTTTTAATTGGAAAAGAATGTGAGAGAGATGAGTGTAAAGAGTGTCACAAATGCAAGACCGGTTCAAATGTTGTGGGTCGGTAGATGAGACAGAGAAAGAGAAGAGAAGTGAGTAGAGCACAGTGCAGAGGAGGACTCCCAAATATATACTCAGAAGGGATGCAGTCAGCCTTACCATTTGTGCAGAAGACCAGAGTACGGATATGTTCCACTGTTCTGGAGCCAGTTTAGGGACGCCCTTCTCCCAGTCATGCCCATAGATCCCGAGGACAAGCAGACGGCGGGTCACAATCATGGGTCGGCGCAGCCTTGTAGCGACTGATGGGCCTGTTGCAGCAGATTCTTTCTTTAGACCATGAGGTGGCTGTTTCTGGAGCGAAAAGGCCTCTCATTGGTGGTAAAGAAGTTGAAAGGGTACCTGCATGAAGAAAAGAGACCACATCCGAAGAGGCCTTCTGGATTGAGACTGCCTCTCGTGTAGGGCAGAATACACGAGAAAGCGAACATGGGTCCAGGAAAAGGCCGACGAGCTGAAAGGGTAAAATTGGACCGCCGATCCTCGCTTGTTTTTTTGCTCGCAGGGCGTAGAAGCTCGCGTCGCAAACGACGGGCCCGCAAAGGAGGGTTGGAGGGGAAAAGGCGGAGGATGAAAGGCAGAAAGGCAGCAAATAAAGGGCGGGGCTGTTGGCCGCCTCCTCATGAGTGACTGAGCCCGATCGAGTATCCAGCTTCAGCTTCGGCTTCGGCTTCAAGTGACCGGCGCCGGAATTCAGGGGCAGTGTCTTGGGATATGCTTGGCACGGTGGGGGCGGAATCAAGCCACCAACAATGCATCAGGCTGAATCCCACATAGTAAGTCGTAGTGGCCTCCCCTGCCCTCCCCTCCCCTCCCCTCCCCTCCCCTCCCTCTGACAGCGGGTATATGTCACACAGAGATGAGACCCCGAAGAGATTGTGTCTGGATTCAGAAGACTCTGTGCTTCAGTCTTGCAGAATAATGGTGCTCTTTCCCAGGTGCAATTTCCGACCTCGTATCGACGACAAGGCTGCGTCCCTGTACTCACATACCCAGGTTCCTGGCCACGCGACCCTCCGCAAAATCGGCCGGTCCAGGATCCAGGGTCCAGTGACTGCTTTAGTACAAGTCAAAACAAGCTGTCCGTTCCCAAAATGAATAGAATCAATGCTTCCGAGGCTGAACAGCGCTCACATCCGATCGTTGTGTCCAGCAGGTTCCACGCGTGGGTGTTAGTTAGCCTCTGGAAGGTCCAGGCTTGGTTCATGTATAGAGCATTGCCATCTGCGGGTCCTCCACTTTCTCAATATTGCATCGTATACTGGTCAATAGTCTCTGTTGGCGGCGTCAGGCATATATATGGTGGGTTCCAGTGACAACGATGGGTTTGCTATTTCGCCGACCTATCATGTACCTAATGTGAGAGACACGCTCGTGTATGCCGGTCGCCTCGCCTTCTCATTTCGTTGTTCCTAGCCGTCCTTGTAAAGTGTGCTCATTTCAATGGCGTGACTTCGTGTAAGGACAACGGGCGCTGTATTGGAGGCATTTGCTTCAGCTCCCATGGTCCTGACAAATCCAGCCTGAGACCATGTCTGTGACCACCTGAGCCCAAGCCACCAAAAGAAGAACACCGACCTTGTTATACTTCTGACCTGGTCGGGTCGCAATCTGCGCGCGGCTGGGTGGATATGGGCTTTTCGACATGCCTAGAATGTTGGGCCCAACCTTTCAACCCAATTCCCACATCTATCATTGACTGAACTTCAGGTCCTTGAACTCCTTGGTAATGTTGGCGATGGCGACTTCCACAGGCAGTCTTTCCATGCTACTGGCCCCAATGAACCCATGGAGACCTTTGGTACGGCTGAGGACATATTCGGCATCTTTAGGCTCAGCAATAGGCCCGCCATGACACAAGACGAGAATATCTCTGTTGATCTTCACGGCAGCGTCCCTCATGTCTTGAATTAACTGGACACAGTCATCCAGTGACTTTCCGGTCTTTGCACCAATGCTCCCCGAAGTTGTCAAGCCCATATGGCACACAATCACATCCGCTCCAACCTCGGTCATTTTCTGTGCATCTTCGACATTGAACACATAGGGCATGGTTAGGAGATCCAGCTCATGTGCTTGAGCAATCATGGCCACTTCTTTGTCGTAGCCCATTCCCGTCTCTTCCAGATTTGCTCGGAATGTGCCGTCGATGAGACCAACGGTAGGGAAGTTCTGCACCCCACAAAAACCCATGCTTTTCAACTGCTCGAGGAATTTGGGGATGATTCGAAACGGATCGGTCCCACAGACTCCGGCCAAAACCCCGATCTGGTTGACAATGGGGAGTACCTCTCGGGCCATGTCGACAACCACGGCGTTGGCATCACCGTAAGGCATCAGGCCAGCGAGAGACCCTAGACCGGCCATTCGGAATCGACCCGAATTGTATATGATGATCAAGTCAGCGCCCCCGGCTTCGCTGAACTTGGCTGAGAGGCCTGTCCCTGCTCCTGCTACAATGATAGGCTTGCCATTTTTGACTTGTTCTCGGAGGTGGGCAAGGACATCGGCTCGCGACGATGGAGGAGGCATGGTCTTTGTCGATGATAGATGTCGATGAGGAAAAGAAGTAGAAGGGATTCGAATGGCCTTCAGATTTTCTGCAGTCGTCGTACTCACGTCATTGTTGCTTCAAACTTGAACCTGCGGATGTTGCATGGAGAAGTGCGGGGATGACTGTTCTCTTTCGAGCACCGTCAACACCCAGCGATCGGATGTTATACGAGGAGCAGGGAACAGAACAGCAGAAGGAGGGGCAACCCGTTCATCACCTCTCGCCTCTCACAGCTACACAGACACTCGTGCCTGCTCTCGTCGGGCTTTCCAGAGCTCCAACTTGATCGGCTATGTCTTATTGTGAGTGTCTGGATGTTGGATCAACATCATCCTCCCTCCCCGGATCTCCTCTACCACCTCTTCTTGACGACTGCTGCTGCTGATCCACCATGCCTCATCCTACCGTCCTCATTGTTGGCACCACTGACACCAAGCTTGATGAAATCCTCCTTTTGCGAGACCGAATCCTCGACCAAAAGCCTTGTCAGACCAAGATACTTGATATAAGCCACACTGCGGCCAAGTCACCAGCCTTGGGCGAACTCCCCTCCCATGAACTTCTCTCACCTCTCCGCGAGCAGAGCTCAGCCCTGAAGTCACTGCAGCGCGGGGAATATATCAACAGGGCGATTGAGATGTGTCTGCCAGTAGTCAAAGACCTTGTCTCCAAGTCCCAGATCCAGGGAATCGTGTCGGCGGGTGGCAGCAGTGCTTCTTCTCTTGCTACAACACTAATGCGCAAAGCATGTCCGGTGGGTTTCCCCAAACTCATGGTGTCGACAATGGCAAGCGGTGATATCAGACACTATATTGAAGAAACAGACATCACCATGATGTACAGTGTGGTCGATATTGCAGGCATCAATTCCATCCTCGGGCGGATCTTGTCGAATGCAGCGGCGGCCATCGCTGCCATGACCATATCATACGCAAAGTCTCTTGTTGATGCATCAGTGCCAGAGGCAAAAGGCAAGCGCATTGCCATTACCATGTTTGGGAACACCACCCCTTGCGTTGACCAGATCCGTCGTATATTGACGTCCACTCCGCACGACGTGTCGGAGCATGAGATCTATGTCTTCCATGCCACGGGTGCGGGCGGACGTGCGATGGAGCGACTCATAGCCGAGGGCCAGGTCGACGCTGTAATCGATTTGACCACGACCGAGATCGCCGATGAGCTTTTTGGTGGAGTTCTCTCCGCTGGCCCAGAGCGATTTGAGATGGCTGCTAAGAGGGGAATCCCTCTGATCGTTTCGGTCGGAGCATGCGACATGGTCAATTTCGGCCCAAAGGATACGGTACCCGAGAAATACAAGGACCGAAAGCTGTTGATGCATAACCCGGCAGTGACATTAATGCGCACGACACCGGGGGAGAACAAACAGATTGGCCAATTCATTACTTCCAAACTCACCACTCATGCCACCAATCCAAGTGCCGTTCGAGTTCTGTTCCCTCTGGGTGGAATTAGTATGCTTGACGCTCCCAGCAAGCCTTTCCATGATCCCGACGCAGACAACATTCTGTTCCAGACCATCGAGGAGGGCTTGGAGGGCTCCGGGATCGAGATCGAGAAACATCAGCTGAACATCAATGACGAGCAGTTCGCTGGACATGTTGCTTCTGCCATTCTGCAAGTCATGGGGATCTCACCCAGGAAATACAGGCTGGCCAATGCGAGACGGCGAAAATGGAGTTTTGACCATGGTCCTAGCGTGATGGCAGCGAGAAGGAACAGTCAGATTGAGATACCTGATGCCGCTTGATAGGCAAGGGGTACCGAGCCAGAAAAGAGTGTGCCCGTTCACGGCCCTCGAAGTCTGTTTTCAATGAGCATATTTGAGTGCTGCGCAAGTGGTTTCTTTTCTCTTCTACCACATATTTATCAACGACAATGACAACGACACTTGCATCCAATATCCTGCATTGTCCAAGCATTGTAGGAAGGTCAGGAATGCGGCGGTGATTCTGAGCTTTATCTTATCTTGTGGTCTGAGGTGGACGGTGTGAAGAATGGGGGACAAGGCTGCCTGTCCTTGCTGAGTCATCCTCGGGCCGGATCATCAATATCCCGCCAAGGCTGCGATTATTAGCGACGACGCATGTTTGCTCATACTTCTACATACTGTGATACTACGTAGAACACCTTACATAGCATCTTCGACTTCTTTACGATCTCACATATCCTCAATTCCAAGCAGAGCTTGTTCCACAGCGCACATCATGCCTCACGCTGCGCCTTCCCGCTTCCCTCCCACCGCCACCTCCGACCTCGAAGCCGGCGCCGTCCTCAAACTCGGCGAATTCCAGAACGAAGTCACGCTCAACCTCTCCGAAGCCAGAATCATCCTGCAAAAGACCCTCGCCACCCGAGCCGCCCGCGGCGGACGCTACGAGGAGACCGAAACCACGGCCAAGACGCGCGACTACCTTGAGATCTTCGCCGTCTTCAAAGAACTCGCTGAGGCGCAACAGGTCGAAGGAATTATCAATTCATACGGCGAGAACTTGGAACGCTTCGAGAAGAGCCAGCTGGGGAGTCTGGTGCCCACGTGCTCGGACGAGGCCAAGGCTCTGGTCCCGAGTCTGGAGAAGAAGGTGGAGGATGGCGTTGTCTCGGAAGCAGAGTTGGAGGGCATCTGTAGGGAATTGCAGAGGTTGAAGAGACAGGCGCAGTTGTGAGGGGACTATGATTGTCTGCGGGAGCTGAGTTGATTAGCTGCCGGTGGTTAATCCATTACGAAGAAGGTACGACTATGGGAGACTGGCCGATATGCAGCCGTCATCGCATGTGATATCCTTCACCTTGCTGCACGAGATATCTTCAGCGTGAGCGACACTATGCATCGGCGACATTCAGCCTGGCCAGCACGGAGTGAGCGAAAAGACCAACATGCAAGGCTTGCTGCCGGGCAGGGCAGTATTTGCCATCTGGCACAGAAAGCGAGACATGCTGGTGGATATCACGGGGACATCAGCGACAGCCTTCGCGGGTCTTGCGGATGCTCTACTACGGCCCTTTTTGTCTGGAGAGCAGCCCAGATATTTTGATATGTGGTGGTAGGTGAAGCCCCTTCACTTCACTAGTCTACCACAGCAGCTGTCCTGCCTCCAGTCAGCAACTACGCCGCCATTACGTCTTCAGCGCTGTGTTGTTGGAAACTCCGGTCGAAGCTGAGTGGGATCAGCAATACGATACGGAAGTATTGCCGTTAGCGCTTGAACAATTATGAGCATGAAATAGGTGAATTGTCATGAGGCAGATTCCTCGCAACTGCAAAGGAATCCATGTCTTGATGCCAACTATATGTCTCCCTCCTTTTTCCTATCTTCTTTCTCCAAATGAGTCTCAATGCTTCAAAGTGTTTCTGAGGAGAACGAAAAGCTAGCCAATGGATGCTATGCTGCCTGGCTGCATTTATCACTGCAATTCATGGAACCTGAACGCCGCAATAGCAATTCATTAGGCAGATCCGGCCAAGTGATCATGGTTCGCGATGCATCTTCGTTTGACTTCATCACAAGATCGAGGTTAAGCGTCCCTGTGTGAGATGCACCGATCATTGAGCTCAGTCTCTGCCGTTCGTTCTGCTTTACCCCTGAACCACCTCCTTTGTACTTCTGTACCTGGCAAAACAAGACCCGAAGCCATTGACACAAGATATCACAATCAAGCAATTGTGCACCAATACCAGTTCATGAGACCAAGTTTCATCAAGCCGATCTACACCATTGTCGACCTGGTCCCTGACAGCCTCTTCCCTGGTGCTCAGTTCTGGATACCTTGGACCTGAGACATCGACAATTGTTATACTGATAGCCCACAGCCAACAGCCAACATCCAAGGTCCAACACCAACGCTTCTTCCATGAGCAAGTTCTAGCCACCACCCCTACTATTTCCGGTCCGATGCCTCGTTCCAGTCTATCACGAGTGCGTTCACTTCCCTCTCCCCTGCACCTATATCAGACATGCCATACTAAAATATCAGTAGAAGAAGGTGACAACCTACAAGGTGATAACCACAACCATTACACAGCCACCGCCGGGTAGCGAGACTCATCGCAGCAGTGGATCAAGTTCGACTACCAGTCCACCGCGACATTATCGCAAAGTCGAGGAGATTCGGATCCGCACTGGTGGTACCCGATCTCCATCGCCTTCATCAGTATTTGGCCATGAGCTACGAAATCGCAGTCCGTCTCCAGCAAGGATATCGACACGGTATACATCTCCAGTCAGGATCCGGCGGATCTCTCCACTAAGGCTAGAGGACGGTACGAGCTCGAGACTCCGGAGGCCCTCTCCATCTCCAGTACGGCAATCCCGTTCATCCTCGCTGAGAATTCGATCTATTCCACGTTCACCATCACCAGTCATTCGAAGACCATCTCCGGTCCATCTTCGCCTTCCGTACAGCCATACTCGACCACGCAGTCCATCTACACTGCCATTGAGGCTCCGATATTTTTCGCCTACGCCTTCGTCCTCAACTATTCGGAGACCGTCGCCAGTCCACCTACGCAGTCCATCCCCGTCGAGAACTCGCCACCGACAACCCCTTCCATCACGTATCCGCAGTCCGTCGCCTACCGCGCGACGCGGAGGGAATGACGAAGCTCACAACTCCAGATATCCTAATCATCGACGGAGCTCGAATTCACGCGACCGGGGCAGGCAGCATTCTCGCCCGGGGTTGCGCCATCATGATCAGATACGGCTTCCGCCTCGACATCAATCTCGGCCCCGTTCGCGTGTATCAAGCCGCCATCATCTGAGCAATGGTTCGAAGTGGCCGTCTCCTGCTGTCCGCGTCGAGAGATATCGTAGTCGAAGCCGGGGTTGGGAGCGTGAATGGGCTAATCCGTCATATGGAGGAAGACTCCGATAAAGTCCAAGATACGTCGCAGGCTGGGTTATTCCTTTGGGCCAAGGACGAGGGTAAGGCGCGATATCGATCTCGGAGTTAAAGTTGGACGAAGTCCTCGTCGAAGTGGGAATAGCCGCCCTCGCGCATTCAGTTTCCTTTGTTGCAAAAGGAGACAAACTACTTGCTGGGGTTTTTAACTGCCATGGTTGCCCTAAATCTGGCTCTGAGCTGGATTCATTGACGAGAGACAGTATGGGAGAATGTCGGACAGCGCGAAAGCGACATACATGAAGCGAGCTGTGGGACGAACGGACAATCGTAGAATGTCGCTTGGTGGTGAAACAAGGTCACTTCGGCAGTAGAGCAGGTTCAGAGAAGACCTGAAGGGTGGTAGACAGCGTAGGAGGTCACCAGAATGCTTTTCCTGACCGCTTATCCTGCTGAGCTGGATATTCAAGCAGAAGTGTACTTGTCTTGTGATTGAGATATATCCCTGGAGTCTGTGATCTGTGCTTGCGTACAGGGATATACTCTACCCTTCCAAGGCGATGTATGTTCCTATTCATATGGAAGCAGGATACATAGTAGAATCTAGATGCGAGTGTGTATATCACTGATTAGCAATCGCCAACCGGTGACAGTGACAGAATGATACCGCGCTCAGAGTGTTGGAGGGAGAGAAAAGCAGAGCTGATGGCTCTCGGTGAACTTGCAAAGAAAGAGAGAGACACGATCTTGATCTCCCACCAGTGACGAGTCACGATAATAGTGAACAGTAGCCAGCAAGAAAAAAGGGATGGCTTCTGGACAAGCGCATGAAGCAGGAGACCATTCTCTCTATTCTATTCTCATACTTTCAATATTGGACTTCTCTCGTGGAAGCAACATCATCCGGCCTCCAAGACCTGACCAAGCCTCTCTATTTCAAGTGTCAAGGCCTCATCTTCAGACACGGCCGAACTGTCAAAGAGACCACTAGCCTCGCCGTCACATCCTGTGTCTTACCCTCCCCCGAAGACTCCAACCAGATTCATCCATCATCCTTTCTTGAGTCCATTGGCCCTGCCACTGGCTTGGCTTGTATAACGACTTCGGATCCCAACGACACAGAAAGGAACGAACCGCATCTTCCTTCCTCTCTTGAGTTCAGTGAAACAATATGTGCAATGAAATAGACCACCCGATTCCAGCGAACAGAATCCTCAGAACAACGACGTGGTCTGTCCATAGCGAACCACGACACGATTTCGAGCGAGGCTTGCACGGTGGAGATGCGTGGGCCCCGTCAGCAGAATGGCATATAGTTGCTGACCACAAAGATCATGGCAGGAGGTGTTGGGGGTGTGTGCTCATGTAGACCTGGACTTGAAAGATTGAGCAAGCTGGAGCTGGAGCTGGGGCTGGGAAGAGTGGAACTTTGAAGATGAAGCGAAGCCAAGCTGACGATGCCAACCATGACCACGGAGATTACGACAATGTGGAATGTCATAACCTAGACCTGCGCCAGGGGTGAAGATAACCAGTGGCAAGACATTGGTCGCAAGATAGACCTTTGTGTTAATAATGGGTATGGTTGAATATCTTGCTCCTCGTTGCTGTATTATGCTGTAAGATAGAGGAGAGGCTGTTTGTTGTAGCAGATCCATATCAACACCGAGTTCGGGGAGATCGCAACTCCAGATGGTGTTATTTTCAATAACATGCACAGCCGAGACATCTGATTGATGAGTATGTCCGTCATTACCGAGTACTCGGCTACTCAGTTCCGCTGGGTGATCTGTTCGTTCGCTGCGAAATGGAGAGCACGTGTGGGACATCGTACTTCAAGCTGCTGAGCACATGGGAAGTGAACAAAATCCATAATTTCCTTGATCTGCCGCAAACGAAGGTTTGTCCTTGCTCTTGTTTCTTCCGAGGCCTTTTCTGTTCTGATTCTTGAGGGCTCCAAGGACTGCGTGACCTTTTTTCACTCGTGAGTTGGCTGTGAATCTCAAATTTGGTCACCGGAATCCTTGTTGGAAATAATGGAGAGTTTGGTGACTGATTCGCCGAGCCATCTCTGGAAGTCCTGACTCATGCATGTGTGATGATGATCACTCATCGTACCAATGGTACCCAAGGTCATCATTCGGATAGGTGGGTCAAGCTCGGCTTGACTTTGGTTAGGAGGAAGCGTATATCCCAGTCTTGCTCGTCGAAACTGAGTCATATAAGTCTTTCCGGTGACATATTATGAAGGAAGCCCTCTTCTTTCTGTATTTCTCTCTTTCTCTCTCTCTGTCTCTCTCTTTCTTTCCCTCTTCCTTGCTGGTCTTCTCCAAGCTCCTGAACCAACACATGACAACAACGACATCAGTGTCGCTCATCAGGACAGCTCCCTGACGTACATGCAGATTTCTCTTCCTCTCCGGCTACCACTTCCGTAGGCGTGGCACCTGCATTTACGCTTCGACCATTAAGCTGATAAAGGCTTCAATAAACAGACCAGGACAATGATAGACGCACCAACCATGACTACGTCGACAGATACCGCAGCAAGCAGTATTGCCCACGCCATTGCCCTTACCCATATGCCGAGCACGACAAGCTCACAGTCTGTTTCGCCCCCATCGAGCAAGGAACAGAAGATTCTGGATCGTGAACGGCAGATTTTCGCGGCACAGCCGCACGAGCATGCCGAAGTCGGAAAGAAGGCTCCGGAGCCGGACAGTTGGTCGATTGACAGTTGGGATCCGAATTATCGCGAAAAGTATATCACAGTGTCGCTGTCATGCTGTAAATGTGTCTTGATGTGAGACAATACACATTTCAGCTTCCATGATAATGCCCGCCACTTGTCCAAGATGGGACACAGACAAAAGTGTCGTCCTTCACTCTTCAACGACCACTGTCCTACATGGTCGCTATCCGTAACGTTCTCGACTCTGGAATGCAAGGATCAGAGATCAATCCTGGCGAAATATGAGTCGAGCTCTTTGGACAGGCAGGGCAACCGGTCTACTTCTTTCACCGTTGTTGGAGTTTTTGGCGGTAATGCGCCTATGATGGATGTCATTAAGGTGTTATCCAACAGACCAGCATGGAGGCTTAAGGCTGCGCAAAGGCAACGCTTGCTGGCAATCGAAATGTGGCGCAAAACATCTTCTTTTTGGGAGCCACAAGCCGAACGTATCGGATATCCATTTCAAGCTCTGGATCATCAAGTCTGACTTCAGCTCCAACGTGTGTGGAGATCCGCTCACAGATTTCCTGCAATTCGGCTTCTTCTTCGGCATGCTTAGCTTGGAAGAGATATAAATGTATCAAAGGCAGCTTCGTCTCAGTGACCGGCGCGAACTCGGCTTCGCGGCCATAATAGGTACCTTTAAAAGCATCCAAAAATTCGATAGCGCTGGCTGGTAGATTCATTACATAGTGGGAGAAAGCTGTTGGCTCTTGAATCATTCTGGCAGACTTTTTGGCGGCTTCTTGTGCTGCCTTCTTTTCTTCATCAGTGGCACTGCGTGAAATCTTGGGTTTCGAAGCCAGTATGACTGTTCGTGGATTTTTTGCGAGTTCGGTCGTTGCTCGGTGAATGAAATTCCTTCCATCTTCGCAAGACGCTGTAACAAAGTCGGCGACTTTGTTGCGTTTGATGGCATCTTGAAGGCTGATGTATGAATCAGGATTCAGGTCGTTCGCTCGCACAAAGACGTTCCTTTTCCCCGCGGGGACAGCAAAAGGTCCTACTCCCGCCATGACGTCGCAGACGGCCTCGCCTTCTTTGAATGTCTCGAAGACCCGGGCGTGTTCCGTCCCTAGTCGAGAGTTCCAGTACACTTTGCCGAAGTTGAATTTGAACTCGCATCCTGCTTCATGAACAATGACGTCGAGATCATCAGGACCGGCAAGGACTTCGTAGGGAAATGTTCGAAACACGGATTCCGTGCCGACATCGAAAGTCTTATTGATGACTGTTCGGATAGTGGGATTTTTGTCGAGCAGTACTTGACCGATCAAATGCTTATATGGCAGATATGGCGTGCGTAAGTTTACATGAGCTTATACAGATTAGCAAAGACCGGTTGTCGTCGCCGCCACACTCACCAACATGTCCGACCTGGGCGAAGCCTGCAGGGGTTTCTTTCTCGTCTTCCGGGATCTCTGGGAGAATGGCCTCAAGAATATTGTCTAGAGTGATATGTCAGATACCGGATTCCAATCCACAATTAATCCCAGAGACTCACTTACGCATGGTCCAATCATCATATGTCAAGGTCAGGTCGTACGGTCGGACCTTCGCCAGATGCGCTTCCACGAGTTTTGAGACAGTCGGTGTCCATGTAGACGGTACTGACAAAGTGTGAGTATATTGTTGCCCAGAATGTGGACGATCAGAAATACCCCTGGCATCAATACCCGGTTTTAGTAGGAAACATTTCCCCCCCGGGTTAGATTCATCGTCCCGCAGAGGTCTGATCGGATGCAGCCGAAGCATGTCCCCAGATTTGTCCAATTCTTTCCGCACATTAGAAATTTGCTTCAAGTCAGAAACGGTGGCAGCAGCTAGTGGGACCACTTTGCGAAAGAACGATCTATCAAGAGTTCGCATGGAACGGTTAATAGGGGGCCGGAAAATTTCAGGCAGGTCTGAAGAATTCATATTCGTCTTTTTCAGGGTTGGCAGCACTTCTGCAGATGATATACTGGGGAACAACCGTCGAAGAAGGCTTGCCATGCAGTATGAAGATAGACGCCTCACCGACTTATTACCAGCATGAGGATCTCACAAGGCTCTAACCAGAAATTTTGAGGCGCGATCATTTCGAGGGCGAGGCTCATCATGTGACTGCGCGAGACGCTGCCGCGCCAAAGGCTCTCAGACGCGTAAAGTGATACGCGCATACTTACAGCCTGGAATAAGCATAAGCTTAAATTTAAGCCCGAGTGATGACGTCGTTCAAAAGACAAAGAACAAAAGTACATGCAACATGCCGAAGTCAGACATGGCAATGGCGCCCTGTTCATCAATCTCAACGTCCAGCAAATCCATCCTCTGGAAATCGCTCTCAATAAGCAGGGCTGCGCCGTGTAATTTGAGTTGATTTACGAGGCTTTGTCTAAGAATCATGTCCAAACGCACCCTCGACACATTCTTTTCATCAACGCCGAAAAAGGCACGCGTGGTTGGACTCTCGCCACTTCCCAGCCTTGAGACGACGAACGACCGTAAGTATGGCATCGAAAACGAGGTGGAAGCAACATCTGTACCTATGAAGACGACAAACCACCCAACGTATCCATGGCCCATACCCCACCTCCCGAGGCATATCGCCGAAGAGATGGAACTTCTCGTGACGGCGCAAGGAACAGAAATGCGAGACCAACCCGACCTTGACCTTCTCTATTTCCAGCCATTCATCCCTAAGTCAATCGCAAGAGACCTGTTCGAATTTCTGCGCTCCGAGCTATTCTTCTATCGTGTCAGCTACACCATCAAGCGCTTCGGCAAAGAAACTGTGATCAACACGCCCCGATTTACCACCGTGTTCGGCCTTGACGAGACCAGTCTATTCCAGCCAGATAAACACGACGCGAACTCGTTTCCAACCGGCAATGCGTCAAAACTGCCATCCATCTTGGAGGCGTCTGACCCATCCAGACCCGTCCGGAGGGATAAATATAAATGCAAGCCTCGTCCGATCCCTGAATGTCTGGACCTTCTGCGCCGGGTGACCGAGGCGTGTACAGACACGAAGTACAATTTCTGTCTGGTGAACTACTATGCCTCTGGTAGTGATAGCATCTCGTACCATAGCGACGACGAGTATTTCCTCGGTCCGAACCCGGCAATTGCATCGTTTACGCTAGGTGCGAGACGCGACTTCTTGATGAGGCACAAGCCGCCTAAAGACAAGGGCAGCGAGCCGGGTGTAGAGACCAACGCCAAAGATGTCAAGTTGTCTCTGAGCAGTGGAGATATGGTTCTCATGCGTGGTCCGACCCAGCCGAATTGGCTGCATAGTATTCCGAAGCGCAAGGGAGGTGAGGCCGACAATGGCAGGATCAATATCACCTTGCGTCGCGCGATGATACCAGCAGGTACAGAGAACTATTATCGCTATAATGTCGGTGATGGCAGCGTGTATAGATGGGATACTGTCCGAAGGGAGATGGTCCTTTCGACGAAAGCGACAGATTCATGATAATCGGATTGCTTGCTGCATGTCGGCAAAACCAAGATCGATGTCTCGATTCGTTTTGGAGACATATGCTACGCAATCCCGGAGCGGTCGGGGGATCCATTTGATATAAGGCACGGGTCATACAACACCAGTCCTCAATAGGGAAACCTGCTACTGCTTTTTCCGCTTGCTCTTGCCCTTGTCCCAGAGCATTCGGGTGATTGACTTATAGATCGTCTTGCCCTCGACGGTGTGTGTTGTGACGCCGAAGACCAGCAAGAATGCAATGGACAGGATAGCGACGACCAAGAACGTCAACCAGTACGTCTTGAGGGTATACAGTTCCGTGATCTCCGGAAGTTGGACGGAGAAATACGCCGTCATCAGACTCACGGGGAGGAACAGGATCGTCGCCTTGGCCAGCAGAATGGTGGTCCTGGTGAGTCTTTCGACTGCCTGAGACTCCTTGAGAGCCACCAGATTGAAGTTCTACAAAGAAAAAGGAGGTCGTTAGCCAAGTCAACCGCGATAAACCTCAAGGCCTTGGACAAACGCACCATAAGCACCAATGACTCCTTCTCTTTCAAACACTCCTCGATCTCAGTCAAAGCGTACAGTCTGATCCGATCGAGGAGTCTTTCGAACCGTACAATGGCGGACAGACTCAACTTGACGCTCAAATGGGACTCTTCACCCCACGAAGATAACAGTGCGTCTTGAGCCGGTCCAGACATGTCGTCGCTACGGAGGTGTTCCCAGGAGTCATTGCCCGGTGAGAATGTGTTGGCATTGGCATTGGCATGGACGACACTCAATCGATGCCGATAGAGCAGTCGCGAGACAATGAGTTCGTAGCTCTGGTACATCAATTTCAAAACAGTCAATTGCCTTCCGACATCGTGCACCTGCTTGATCAGCGACACATCGGCAGCCTCAAACATCAGCTGGCGCAGCTCCTCGAGCCTTCTGCGGTAGGGATGTTCGACCCGGGCGATCAGAGCGTAGGTCGAAAGCCAGTCGTCGAAAAGATAGTAAAGCAAAAGACTGGCCGCCTCCGTGGCGGAATACTCGTTGCCGGATTTGCTCGACTGTTCGTTCCACCGGACACGCACTTTCATCAGAGTGTCCAGTGCGGCGCCGCCGTCCTTGTCGTGCAGTTTGGAGAGATGGCGAAAGATGTTAAGGACATTGCGCCTCGTCACTGCGGTTGCTGTGGGATCGGTCGGGCTCTCAAAGACCGAGACGACAGTGCCGTCGTCGCAGAAGAGCAACGACGTCCATATTTTCTGTCCCGAGGGTTTGTCGCTTTCGTTGTTGTCGTCGCTACCAGGAAGGGAGAAAAGAGCATTGAACCCCACGTAGATGTAGTGTCGCCCAAAGTCGACGGAGCAGAAATGCCAGAGGTTGTTGACCACGTCGGCGAAACTGAGCGCTTCCAGCCCTCCAGAGGCAACGGGTTGCTGTTGTCCGAGTACTCTTTGGGACGGTATCGAAATGCCCTTCTCGAGGTCGGTTGAAGGGATCTGAGTCGTCCCTGTCGCTACGCCGTTGCTGGCGGTTGCACATGGACTGGCTGGGTTCTTGATCATCGTCCTTAATGATCGCGGAGGGCAGAACAGGGCACTGAGGCGAGGCGAGAGGTCGTACTTCTTCGCAACGGCAGCAATGATGGGCCTCTGCGAGTCACAGGCCCAGAAATTGAACCAGACTGGCTGGCTGGGAAGCCGATGATCGGAATGCAGCCATGCTATCGCCTCCTGTTGGTCAACGTCGACCCCGCAGTGTGCGTTGTCGCTGTTGAAGCGGACAACGAAGTTTTCGGTGTCCGGGTGCTTCAACTTTGAGACACAGTTGTTGTAGGCGGTATTGTCGTCGAGGTCGTACCCCATGTGGGATAGATGCCTCGCTTCGTCTTTGGCCGCTCGGTTCCAACGTCAAGAAGGGGAGGGCGTCCGCTGTTTTTCTTACTGATGGTCAATGGGTGGATGGACTCTGATCAGACTGGACAGGAGACGACACAAGACGAGACAGGTTGTCCCAGCCATCCATCTTTTGAATGGCGCTTCTTCATGATGGCTGGCCGCAGACGTTACAGCCCCTGAGCCGCTCAGGGGGGCTGAAATACTGCCTATTGTAGCGATGGTGCAGAAAGCGAGACCGGGATGGTCTGGGTTGCGATTTAGCCGCCGGCCGCCAGTGATTTTATGCCCTCGTCTTGGGCTTCGGTGTGTATAACAAGATAGACATGCTGAGGGAATACTGATCCGTTCACGGCTTATCATCTTGGATATCAGCGCCCAGATTAATCATGCGTAATTCCTGCCGGATTTCCACTCCCTATTTTCCCTACAGAAAGGAGCAAAGAGAACTACAATGATCAGTTATTCATCATTTCCATATCTCATCAGGCTACTCGTTACCTCGTCAAGTCTCCGATGAAGAGCTTCCTGGCCTTGATACTCAGGGCCAGGCTGAGCTTCATTCCAGACGAGTCAAGACTTGACTCAACTGTTCAGGAGCATATTGTGAGAATGATGGATACACTATCAAAAGCATTGATGCTCAGATACCTTAAGTATACCATGTGCTGCTTGTAACTGTACTCACGTTGCCGTCCTGCTGTGCATATCTTCGTACCAGTAAGTGTGTGAGTTCTCGCGGTGCTGGTTCATCAGTCATCTCGTTCCAATCTCACTGACTCAGCAATTTAATTCACGCTAAGTTCCCTCCGCATGCCTCGGTTCTGTGCGCCTTCCTGGAGAGTTTCTCAACACTTTTTGCGCCTTCAAGTTTGGCACCCGCAACTGGTTCTCTTCACAAGCACTTTGCACCGGTGAGCCAACTGCTTTCCTCCATGATGTGTACTGACTTGGGTGGTTCATCTGGGAACTGGTCAATTATGAGAGGTCGACGCCTATTTACCTTCAGCCCTAGCGATGGCAGCCAGTTAATGGGGCGTTTCGATCAACAATCCACGGCCCATTCTGCTTGTATTGCGTTGATGCAACGACCGGATAAACAGGGTCAGCGGCACCATAGTCATGCCCAAAGCTGGGTCAAACGGTCCGAGCCACTTAGCTACTCCCTGGCAGGTCAGCCTTGCCAAGTATGAGCCATTCAAGTTCGAGCTTGCGGCCCGGTGACTGTGACCTTGGCGCGAAGTGTAAGACCCTGTAGCCTTGCATTGCAGCGGGTCAGGAATGGGGACAAGCCGGGGTCGAGTTCAGGCACAGAAAGTTGCAAGGACGAGCCTCTCTTCATGCGCATCCATCTGTCATCTCTGGGCTCTGCATGAACATGCAATGAGGAATGGACGACACCCAATGAACTAACCATTGAGGCTTCATTGCTGCCATGCCGCCACTTTCCGCTTGAATATCTGGCGCCTAGCCGGACCGTGCCTTTTAAGGCTTCCCATCCTGTTGAGATGATAAGATCCGCTAAGAAAGCTCCCATGAACACGGTCACCCCCGCCTGCGTCTTACCGAATCGACTGGACGAACGAGCCAAATCCGAATTGGGTTTGTTCTTGGGTGGCCTTTGACAAGGTATCTAATCATACTAGTAGGGCACGATGGAGCTGCTGCGGTACATTGACCAGAGCACAGCCCCAGATGGTAGGTATACTGGAAGCAAGTCATGCTAACGGAGATTGAGCTGCACGCAAGCCAGCGGATCGAGACTAGACTGGCATGACTGAGATACACTTTACCAACAAAGATACTTCAGTAGGTGGTGATATGACAACAATAGACTTGGGCAGTGCTGACAAACCGGTCGAGCGGTCCTTGAGCCTCCTTAGCCACGACGACGCCACAACAAGCTCGAGAATGTGTCCGGTTCGAGTCAACTCGTGATGACTACAGAGTAGTAGTACTACGTACTGTACAAAATGTCCTGGGGCTTGCACAGCCACAAGACGGTTGCTGGGGGCCATAAACAAGACAGGGACGGGCCAGTAGCAAGGGAGCTTCAGGCTTAGGAGGCTCTCATCTCTACTACTAACTGTCAAAGTCAGGGTCAATTCTGACACCGCTCTTGTGGCAGCCCCTTCCACATTTCTCCCTCATCTCCAAGTTGCCGGTCCTTGAGGCTGACGTTCAATATTTGGCCCCCTTTTCAAATTCCGCTCACTACAGACAAGGACAGAGATGGAGCCAAAGGGTGATGGATACATCCGCGCTGCCTACAGAAGAACAAAAACACAGCCGGATCGCTGACATCATTGGCTGCCACAAGCATGCGACCGCCGAATGACCGCGACTGGAATGGGTCTACCATTAGGCAAACGAAACATTGGCATCTTGCTGACGGGACCAGGGAACGGCAGTAGCCCCCAGATTGCTTGCCCCGGGGAGAGAAAGAAAGGGAGAGAAAAGGAGTCACGTTCTGGGTGTATGTGGTCCCCAACGGTCAGAGACCTCTCAATGCGGGCCACCGCCATGCTACTGGATAACCCTGCCAGCCTTGCGTCGAGATGTCTCTGTCTTTGGGAACCCCACAGCCCAAATCCCCGGCTGCCTGATTTTCTCTTCCCATTAGGCATCATACGGACCAGGACAGCCGTCGCCCCAGATGCGGTCACGCCGTGAGCCATTAAACTTCTCTGCACTTCGCTCAGCCGTGCATTGCGCGGAAGACAGATCCCTGAGCCCCCTTGCATTTTGGTGCAGAACTTCCCGACAAATGCATTTCTACCGTTCCCTGTTACTCACCACTGAACCCATTCAAGATCCAATACACCGTTGTTCAGAGCCGGTCTGTGGGTTGAGGCTACTTGCGCAACGAATCACCGGACCAGTGCCACAGCCTTGAGAAACGACCAGGAAAGTCAATCGCGGCGAGTACCAGCACTTCCTCCACCGGGTCGACCATGGTTGTGGTCATTCATCACCTCTTCTCGTCCTGAACGCTCTTGCAGGATGGATATAAGTCCAGGGAAATCCCCCAGAATGACGAAGGCCCGTCGTCATATAAGGTTCTAGGCATCCATTTGCCTTCCCACTTCTTACCGTTCTGCTCCCAAAGCCAACCGCTTGACTTGCTCGAACTACTGTTCATCTCGAGTCTTCTTCGCTATTACCATTCCGGCACACGCTCTTGAGATCCCTTCCTGCCTTCTATAGTCTGCCAACAACAAACCATCGTGGCCACTGTCGACACCATCCTCCAGCCACTCTACCTGCTTTTCTTGTATGTCAAGTCGACGTCATGAGATTGACCACTACTCACCGGAACCCATTGTGATCGAAAGGAGTCCTCAGGTGTGTACATACCGCACATTGCGACCAAAGTCACCAAAAGGAAGGTGATTGACCATTGGTTCCAAGCTGTACAATCTGTTCCGCCGAACCCGGAAGAAAAGAGTCCACATCATCGAAGAATCCCCCGTACGAAGTCGACGCCAGGGTCGTCTTATTCGGACCCCGTCCCCATCTCCTTCTCCATCGCCATCTCCTCCCCCCCCTTTGCCGCCAAGGGCCCCCTACTACACCATGTCTTCGAAGTGTGAAGATGGCATCTATACCCCGCTACCACCCAAACTGCCACCGAAAGGAAAACAGCGTGAGGACGATCCATCCGACCACATCAACGGAAAAAAGTCTCCTCGACTGCGTAGAGTGAAAGTCATTCACAGGGATCCTGACGACGAAGATGCCTATCCTCAGGTCGAAAGTCCACCGCCCAGACCCAAGCGGGATAGTGGCAAATACTATGTCGTCGAACCGGCAGGATCCAGTGGCGTTCGACGCGAATACGAACGTCGTCGGCCAGATCCTGAGGTTCAGAGACTGGTTGATGACCTCGAGAGGGAGAGACGAGAGCGGCGCGAGGCAGAAAGGGCCGCCGTTGCAGCCCAAGAGGCAGCCGAGAGACTGAGGGCTGACCTGGCCCGTGAAAAGCATCAGAGGACACTCGACCGGCGTGAATGCGCGCTGAGGGACTCTCAGAAACGACTCGGCCAAGAGCAACCTCGACTTGTTGAGGTACGACGCCCTCACGACCGGCATGAGGTCGTCGTCGTTCACAATCCTCCGCCGACCTTGCCTATTGTCGAGGCTAGTTCAGCATTGAATCGAGCCCAGGCCGATTATCGACGCTCGCATCCCGAGCATGACCTGGTCCGTGGTGATCAACGCCCAGGAACGGCCGAGAGGCGTCCCCGCCGGCAAAGTGTAATCATCGTCGAGCGCGACAGATCTCGTGACCGCGACCGAGGTTGGAGACGCCGATAGTTTTCGTTTGACTACAGGTTGTACAGACATCTTGTGGTACACGAGGGGAGCACGGATATGCGGGCGTCGAACAGGGTGACAGAAGGAAAACAGACATGATATATTGGGGCAAAGCTGCAAAGCAGGGAACAAGGATGTAAGGCGTTTTTCTGCGGGATAAGGATAGGAGCCTTGCCGGTCGATGGTTCAAGGTTATGGCGAACTTGCATCGATTCACACTACGTTCCAACTATTCGTCCGTCGTTATATCCTCCAGGCGTCAAGGTTTGGTGTACAATGCTGGCGTCAAGGGCGGACTCATGTTCAAGACAGGTCAGGTCAGGTTAGGCCGTCGAAGATGCGGAGATCAATCAACCAAGATACTGCTGTGCGACCTAGATATAGATCGGTATTAGGCAGAGAGAGACACATAGATGAAGAGAATCACAATCATCCATCCAGTTTTTTAATGAACAGCACAGCCCGACCATATCGTTTGCTGCTATGCCCAATCAGATGCTGCTATGTCGTGCAGCATTGAGATCGGGCCTGGTCGACGATCCCCTCTAGTGAGATGGCAAGATACCATCTGGTGGATCTTCTGTAGAGCGCGGAGTAATCGGATGTGGCGGCCCTCAGCGCCTCAATCAAATAAAGACCCTTTTTTGGACGCGGCCAGCCCAGGCCTCCAAGTGGATATACCACTGCCACAGTTCTCTGTACGTACATGTAACAGAGACCCAGATGAGGCGCGTGACCATGTTGACCATTTTTCTCTGGGGCCGATTGAATAATTAAAAATCTAATCAGGGCGAACGATGCGGAGGCCGAACAAATAAATGAGTAACAAACATTACAGTACTGTTGTAATTGTCCGTTGGTGTTCGTCGCCTCTATACAAGACTTCGACTGAACGTGCTGTTGGACTGGAACTGTCTGCCTCTGCGTTTTGTTCGACAGGTTCTTGTGCTTGTTCGTGATTTTCATTCTTCAAGCCTGGCGTTAGAAAAGAGAAGGAACAATTACAACTCCCACCTACTCTGTATAGCTTCAGCGAGCGGCGCACTGATCCCTCAAGGGCCAAAGCCTGACCAGCAAGAACAGCGAGACCAGCAAACCACTGAACGAACGGCGCGTCATCTTCTATCCTTGGTATCCCTGTCTTTACACCTCTTGTCGCGCTCATAGCCGAAGTCAAAAGCCATCCTGCTCTCCGAGTCCCTCATCCTCCCGTCGCCGTCTGACACTGCAGGCGGCAGACAAGGTGAAGACTCTTCCCGCTCGGCTCGACGTCACACCTCCCGACTTGTCCCAAAAGAGCTCGGTACATATCACGAACGACTTTGGGAGCTACTTCTGCTCGCGCGGGAAGATAAGTGCAGAGCTATCTGCCTCGCCTACTAGAATACTTCATCCCTACACGACACACTTGGAACGGCTGCCCACTATTCCATTGGGGTTTGGCGAAGCGACGCAGACTTTCTCTCGAGAAGCTCTCACGCTCCGAGGAGCAGCCCATCCTTGCTCTCCTTGCCCATACAGGGTTGACCATGTGGCAGCCGGCCAGCGAGCCACAGACGCAACCGACATCTGCCCTCTCCGCGTCGAAGCTGATCGAGGAGGGCTGAAGCGAGGAGATCAAGAGCAAAGCCCCCAATACAATATACGACCAGCACACTTTTACGCCGCACATTGCACAAATGGGTGCCTCTGAATGTCAAGAGCAAGGAACAGGCACACATACACCCAGATTACCTGCGCCGCCCGAGCCCGAAAATGACAAAGGAATCTTCCCTCCCTCCATCAAGAGTCCCTCGCTGGAGGGCTTGGAAGGAATCACCCCGGAGAATGTGGACATCTTCAAACTCGACGCGGTGGCCGCGTTGAAACTGCTATGCCGCAGTATCGACAGCCTTGTCCAAATGACCGGCGACGTACCTCCCACTCCGCCAGCACGCAGTCGCGGCGCGTCTCCCGTACGCGGCGGCTCGAAACTACGTGAAACGACAACAGCAGACGCCACAACAACGATGGAGACTCCGAGAAAGGAAAACATGGCGCTGCGCACAGGTCTACACCCCCAGCAGCAGCAAGAACAACAACAGGAACATATCGACGGAGTATCCATTGTGAACACGCACATCGGGTCTCCCGAGGCCCAGGCCCACGAACCCACCACCGTGGAGCAGATTGTCGGAGCGCACGCGCAGCCCGTGTACATGCAGCACGGCGCGCTCGCGCGGAAGTTCTACTCGAAACGACCGCCGCCCATCTCGATCGAAGACTACCTGATGCGCATGCACAAGTACTGTCCGACGTCGACGGCCGTCTATCTCGCCTCGTCACTGTACATTACGCGCCTTGCCGTGCAGGAGCAGATCTTGCCTGTCACGCCGCGCAACGTGCACCGGCTGCTGCTGGCCTGCTTGCGCGTGGCCATGAAGGCGCTGGAGGATCTGTCGTGGCCGCACGGCCGGGTCAGCAAGGTCGGCGGGGTCTCCGAGGTCGAGCTGGGCCGGCTGGAGATCACGTTCTGCTATCTCACCGACTTCAATCTGAAGGTCGACGCGGCCATGTTGCAGCGCGAGGCTGAGAATCTGTGTCGTCACAATCGCTTCGATCATGCTGTCTTGCTCGATAGCCCGCTCAGTCCGATGGACAGGCGCCTTCCGGAAGAGGTAGACAGGAAGGCCAGGACGGCTGAGAAGAGGAAGGCGAGCAGCACCTTGGGTGGCAGACCTGTTGTGCAAGTGGGCACGGGTATCGAAGTCATGGGCCAGTCGTGATGTCTCAAGTTGGGAGGGCGATAAGAAATTGACGTTCTCTATAATCTCCGCTTTTGGTCTGGGAATCTTTTTATGTCTGATGGGTTTGGATGTCCAACAAAAAGCGCATGCGGTCACAACATAGGCGCCATATTTGAGCGAAAGAGCGAGGCTTGGATTTTGGTGTTTCTCTGAGGCGCGGGAGCGATCTGATCGGTATGACTGGTCGAGTAGGCGGCGATACATGTCTGCGTGACTGGACATGAAACAGCTGGCTCCTAATAGTCGATGGACACAATGTACAGGGGCAAGCCCAGTCTGCTATCCACCTGAGGCGATCAGAAATTTCATGTCTCTGCAGCTATGTGTCAACAGTAAGGTCCTGGGGGAGCGACAGAGAGACGGCTGTATCATGGCCATGGACCTCAAGCCACCGAAATACATAAGAGGACGCATAGAGTACATTGCCTTTATTGAGGCTGGAAAACTCTTAGAGGCAGCGACATGGTAACTAGAATGTACGATTGAGTGTTCCCATCAGACTGCCGCGCATTGAGGGCAGGCTTTGTCACGCGTGCATAGGCAGTCATATTTGAAACCGTCAAGCGCCTCCTCCATCGGGACGCTGCTCGCTTGCTTGTTACTAGGAAGCCAATATCTCTTCACATTGTTTCCACATCGTAGAGCACTGCATCATAATACCAAACCCCTACCTTTCCGAAAATGTGGGGGAATGTGGTGAAGGACGGTTTCCAGTCGTGTTTGACCTCGACTTCCCCGACTCGATGGCATGGTGATCCTCGGAGTGGAGAAATTGTAGTCTGTCTTTTAGCTTGATTCAAAACCGGTCTTGTCTGACGGCGCCTTGGCAAAAACACTTGTCGCCAGCAGAAATCTCCCTCCAAAACATTATTTAATTTTTGGTCAGACATGAAGTATTATTAGATTGACACTTGCGTCCACGATCTGTGGTCGAGGCCAAGGACGAGTCCCCGTGGTACGATTAGGATGCATGGCATCGGTGCCGGCGTTGATCCCGCCAATGCTCCCAAGGATATAACCTGCATTGTAGAAACCACCAAGCCTCGGCAACAACCCCGGCAGTTCATCACGATGCTGGGGTTCTGGTATCAATGATTCTACAATGCTCAAGGTGAAGCAAAGGCCGAGACACGGCAGCAGTAGCTTGACCTGGACGAAGCACTGCATCGCAGGCTTGACACCATCTCAGCCTTTCCCAGTTTTTAACTAGTGTCTCTGGGCATTGAACGGCGTCTTCAAGTTCCTCTCGTCGCTTCACCAGGTCAGGACAGGAAACTGTCTGCGGCTGCATTTGAGGAGTCGAAATCTATTTAGCTGTCCGAGCTGAGAGGCGAGCCTCGGCAATAGACTTCAGATGGTCATGGGACGTTAGATAAACTGATGGAATGAATGCAGTGCAACACTCTGCACCACTGCACAGACTAGAATCCGGGGTTCCTGACGTGTCGTTAGAGAAGGAAGGATACTAGAAACATACCTAGGAAACGGCAGGTGCGACGGGCGTCATATCCAGAGCCAATCACAATCAGGCAGAATAACGCGGTCTGAATTCTCGCGTCGCGTTCGTTCGTCGCCCACATTTCTCTTTTCCACTTTCTTTCTCCCACCCACAATCACAATCCTTGCATGCAAAAATGCGTTTATCGTTTACCCATTTCCGCCATTCTTCGCCCGTTGTGCCCGATGCCACCTCACTAGTAAAACCCGCCTTCACCTACCGCCTCGCCGCCACGCACAACGCCTCCGATTCTATTTTATCCTCATCTCCACAAGATCCAGAACGAGCAAGATTAGTTCCTTCCGGCCGCAATCTCATTGGCACCGCAAGTAAAACGATGTCCTTCTCGACGGTGCCTGGCCCTCTTCCTGCCCCTCTGTTGTGGACCTGCAATTCGGTGAATCGAAGCGTGTGTGACACGCTACTTTGACAGCTCGATGGCCACCTCCTCTCTTCTCTCAAATTTGGCAATTGCTTCGCTCTGCCGCACCAAACTTAACCCCAGTCCAGACATACTGACCCCGGACTCGTGGGGTGTAACATTGACGGTCGGTCTGTAGGATAGCATACTCTCTCTCGCCAATCGCCAGTGGGCGCTGTCCCGGACCCCGGACGAGAGAAAGAGTATAAAGATCAGCTGATCGCACCGTCGAGAGCTCCCAATTGTTCCCTGGTTGGGATCATATATCCGTTTTTCCGCCCTTCAGGATCGTGTCGCGGTGCCCGAGCTTCGCGGTGTGGCAGCCCAGCTTCGCGCTTGACTGCTGAGCATCTGTGACCAACGCCCGCAAATACAGATATCTCGATTCAACTCATCTTCTGTTCTTCTCAGACGGGTTGTCCAGTCGGCCCAAATTCCCGCTCCTGGCCGCTGGCCGCTGGCCCCTGGGAAGCGTAACAGTTCACACAATCGCCATCATGACTGAAAAAGTCGTCGACGACAACAGAATTGAGCCTCAATCGTCCAATGGCGACCGTGAGCATCCTCTTCACTTCCCCCAGAAGGACCACCTGGACACCACTTCTTCCAAAGCCGTGGACGATGTGGTTCATAATGCGCAAAAGGCCACTGAGAAGGAACACCGAATGACGCTGTGGCAAGGCATCAAGTTGTACCCGAAAGCTGTGGGCTGGAGCGTTCTGATCTCCACGTGCATCTGCATGGAGGGTTATGATATTTGCTTACTGAGCAATTTCTGTGAGTCCAGCAATCCTATCCAGTCTTACTCATGATCGCTGTTCTAACCATTTGCGTCAGATGCCTTCCCTCAGTTCCGCAAGAAGTACGGTGAACAGCTGCCCGACGGAAGCTACCAGATCACTGCACCATGGCAGGCCGGTCTCAGCAACGGTGCCAATGTCGGCGAGATCATCGGACTCTTCATCAACGGCTACGTCTCGGAACGGTTTGGCTATCGGTATACTGTCATGACATGTCTGATATTGATCATCATTTTCACTGCTGTTTTCTTTACCGCTCAAACCGTCGTCTCGCTACAAGTGGCCGAGGTCTTGTGCGGCATTCCCTGGGGTGTCTTCCAGACCTTGACCATCACGTACGCCAGTGAGGTCTGCCCTGTTGCCCTTCGAGGATACCTCACCACTTACGTCAACTTCTGCTGGGGACTGGGCCAGGTCGTTGGCATCGGCGTCATCAAAGCCATGCTTCCCCGCGACGACCAGTGGTCATATCGCATCCCGTACGCGCTGCAGTGGATGTGGCCCGTCCCATTACTCGTTGGTGTCCTCCTCGCACCAGAATCTCCATGGTGGCTTGTTCGAAAGGGTCGGCTCGAGGCAGCAAAGAAGTCTTTGTTACGCCTAACCTCTTTAAACCGTGAGACGGACTTCGATGCGGATGAAACGGTGGCTATGATGGTCCACACGACCGCGTTGGAAGAGAAAATCACCATGGGGGCTTCATACCTGGATTGCTTTAGAGGCACCGATTTGCGACGGACCGAGATTGTGTGTATGGTTTGGGCCATCCAAAACCTCTCAGGCAACTCCTTTTCCAGTTATTCAACCTACTTCCTGGAACAAGCCGGTCTCAACGACAGTAAGGCGTATGATTTCGCCCTGGGTCAGTACGGAATCAACATGGCGGGTGTGTTTGGAGCCTGGTTTCTCATGACGTGTGGCATTGGTCGACGAGCTCTCTACCTGTGGGGTCTCTGTGGACTGTGCATTATGCTCTTCGTCATGGGCTTTCTGGGGCTTGTCCCGGAGGCGCATCGCAAAGAGGCTTCCTTGGCCACCGGTTCCATGATGTTGGTTTGGGCGCTTTGTTACCAACTCACGGTCGGAACCGTGTGTTACTCGCTCGTCGCCGAGCTGTCCACCCGCCGTCTACAGATCAAGACGGTCGTATTAGGCCGCAACCTTTACAACATCGTGGGGATCGTCTGCTCGGTCTTGACGCCATACATGCTCAACCCAGGCGAATGGAATTGGCGCAACTACGCCGGCTTCTTCTGGGGTGGCATGTGCTTCTGCTGCATCATCTACACCTACTACCGTGTTCCAGAGCCGGCTGGCCGTAGCTTTGCCGAGTTGGATCTCCTCTTCGAACAGCGTGTGAGTGCGAGGAAATTCGCAAGCACCAATGTCGATGTCTTCGACGAGACGACGGTGCATGACACAGTCGAAGGAACGGGCACTTTGCGAAACTACGAACAGAAGCGTGGCAGTCTTGTGCACGGGGACGAGAGTGGTATGCCTTCACGATTGGTGCACTGAAGAGGAGACGACTACCCTGGAAAACAAAAACAAAACATCAAGAGTTTCCAAGGCGAGACATTCTCCCGGGAGAAAACTCATCGAGGACACAAGGGGACAAGAGGAAAGTCCCAAATATAAATATGCCACGGAAGGCGCCCAAGGGCTTTAAAGGTGATCCCGCGCCCTAAGTTGGGCGAATGCGTCACAAAAAGGATGGGTCACCAGGCATCAGACCCTTGCGAGTGATAGCATCCACCTTGGAATGTGTCATGAAGTGATGACCATTTACAGAGAGGGCTTCAAGCTGATCACAAGAGACAGATGCGTTGAATTGGTCCGTGATGACAGATAGGAACCAGTTCACCAACGTGATATGGATACTACAGGTCGATTACACGACACACAAAAGTCTACAATGCCGGACCAGAAGCCAAGCACCGGAAAGGAGACTTGAGCATGGAGGCCAGGTGCTGAGGTCGGGAAAGTCTAACACGCTCCGCCTCATCTTCGGCTTCCATTTCCGCTTTGGCTTCGGCTTCGGCTGTGGCACTTGAAGACAAAGAAAGACTCGGACGGAGCCAGGAAGAAAGCAAGATATGAGAAGGTGCAAGGAGGCAGACAAGGCTGAAGGAGGAGGTGAAGTTGAGATGAGTGGGCAGTTGTTCACCGAAAAACACTGCACATTATACTATCATACTATATACATGTACTATTATACACATATACTATACTATATACACATATGTGGATGGGATCCAATCCGACCCAGATTCTAAAGCTAAAATGAGCCACAGGAGCCAGACAAAATGGATTTTTGACTAACCATAACAACAACAGAGATGAATGAAATCAACCCATCGAACCAGGAATAAAGAGATTCTTCACAGGGTCAGGCCCAGTCAGACCAGACCAGACTAGACAGGATAAAACAACCATCAATAGGTAAATATAATATAACATTCTGTAGTTCTGTATACTCGTTGGACTCGTCGTATGGCACCTGCAGTGCCTGCTCGTTCTGGCTTCCTTTCGCCCTTGTACGAAGATGCCCAGGCAACCTGTTTTTATATGATTCTTCGACGCCCCTTCGCGAGTCAAGACTTAAAATCCCCAACTGCCCTTTCGGGCCCGGGAACCCCAGTCATCATTGGCACTGACGACGACGGGCCCCATGGATTCATGCATGAAGTGGGGGCTCTGGCGAGCCCATTCGCGAACGTATAATCTCAGGGCTTCCCATCGTTTACATTTCCCGACGACTTCGCTTTCGGCGGCGCCGTCGCCCTCGGGCGCGCCGACATAGCCTTTGGCGTCCACGAGGTTATCGTCCTTTCTCAACTCCTCGACGGGGATCCGGCTGATTTTGCTCAATTCCTCGTCGAACATGTGGGCCAGGCTGGGATACCCCAGACTCAGATAGTTGTAGATCTGCGTGATGACGCGCGGGGGGAACTCCTCGTCAATCTGCTTCTCCAACGACAGCTTCTTGTCGATCGTGGTGGTGAACCCGTCGTCTCCGTTGCTGCTTTGAGGAGGCGTCAGAGGCAAGAAGTTCATGCCCGAATAAGGCCGCTGTCTGCCAGAGGTCTGTTTATCTCGACCGGGTGTCATGGATTCAAAGGGATTGTTCCTTTCCAACACAGGACTCAAGGCAGCGGGCGTTTGAATGCCGCTTCTCAATCCATCCGCTGCATGATTTACGGGTTGCCACGTGCCTGCTTGACACATTCCCATCCAGAGTCCACCGTCGGCGTTGTTCTGAGGTCCCTTATTTGAGGTCCACAATCTGGGCGTGACCGGGTCCGTAGATTCGTCGTGACTCTCTATGTTCCGTGGCCTCGGAGGCTGATCGGGGTCACACCGCGTCATTTTGGGCGTGATTGTGAAGGGGAAAACGAGGCTCCCACCCAACATGGGCGGGGCTGCGGCTGCCATCATACGAGCGAGTTCCGAATCCTCCTCTGCGGCCCTGGCTTTTTTGGCCTTGTTCAGCTGCTTGGCCTCAACGGCCTGGCGACTGGCCAATGCAGCAGCGCTGAAACGACTGGGAACGGGCGTGTCGTCCGCGTTCCGGTCTTTCTTGGCCGAATCTAGCTGTTCATGATGTTTCTGCATACTCTGCAATTCTAGATGGAGGTCTGCGACCGATGAGCGTCGGAATGTCTGGGCATCCACCCCTTGTTCCCCTTGAAACTTGGGGACAGCGAGGGGTGGATCGTCGTCGTCGGCATCGATGGCGAAGTGGTCGACGGGTTCGTGCGGTCGTTCATTGATGTAGGCGGCCATGGCTTGCTCTTGTAATTCCGATTCACTCACGGTCTCGGAGGCCAGCTGAAGGACATAATCCGTGTAGCTGCTTTGTATCGGTGGTCGACCGGTATCTTGCCTGCTCACCGTCGACACCGACGAAGGAGACTCACTTAACGACGGGGTCTCCGATGAATCTTCTTCCGTGGTGGACTCGATCATGGGCAGATCCGGTACCACGAAGGAATGCTGTCGAACGACCTCGGTCCGTCTGCGAGCAATGGCAGCTGCTGAAAATGGAGATTCCTCAAGCCCCGTTGCTTGATCCACCTGGACCTCCTGTGATGGACGCGGCGAGGCCGGGCGTCGAGGAGGAAGGGACTCTTTGGGATCGGATGTAGACGGATGAACACGTCTGTACGAGCCTTTGGCCGTCTCCAACAGCTCCGGCGAGAACTTTCGCGGTCCGCTAGACGCTCTGCTGGAAGCCGACGAGTCTGCTGACTTGGACAGCTCTTCTTCTGCGTTGTCTATATCGGTGTTCCGTCTCCTTCTTGTGGTGGTCTCGATGGGTTCGGGGAGGAATTTGCGTCGGGGTCGCGCGGTCTGGGTTTCTTGCTCGCCAGGGCTCGTTTTGTCCTTGCTGATCCTCGTCGATGTTTCCATGGGCTCAGGAGCGAATTTCCGGCGTGGTTTGGATGGAGCGTCGTCCGGGGGATTATCCCTGTCCTTGCTGTGCCTTGTACTTGTCTCAATCGGCTGAGGGGGAGACCGCCTCCTCGAAGAATGAGAGCTGGTCTCTATCGGCTCCGGGGCAAAGCGTCTGGGCGTCGTTGAGGGCCTGCTGACGGCAGCATCAGGAACGGCAGGTTCTTGTGTAGATAACTGTGTATAAAGTCCATCCGACTCTTCCTTGGAGGGTGAGTCCTCGACATGCTCCATAGCCTTCTTCCTGGAACTTCGGGTACTTTCTTCCACCGGCTGAGGCAGAAACCTGCGAGGTTTGGTCTGTGGCGGTGTCGGACTGGTATCTGAGGTCTGGGCTTTGGCTGAAGAGCCATGACTGGACGCGAGATCCGGAGATGGGCCATGTACAGATTTTGAACTCCTGGTTGTGGTCTCGAGGGGCTCGGGGAGGAACCGCCGCGGCGGAGGCGGGGAAGTCGACATGATTGCGGTCCGGCGGTATGGGTTGTTCAGGCCATAGTCCTTCTCTTTTTTAGTCTGGTGGCTTTGCCTTGCTGGCTGGTCAAGAGCACTCGAGCATGAATGCAAGGATGAGAACGCGAGGCCACCGAATGCGGGGAGGTGAGATGCAGCGGGTGGGTTGGTAGGAGTGATCGGGAGTAGACGGAGGGCGTCGAGGAGGAGGGTGAGGAGTCGGGGATTGAAGAACGGGTAGGTGTAGGAGTGGGAGTAGGATTAGAAGATAGGATAGCGAAGACAGGTCGCAGGCAGAGGGATGAAGTGGAAGATTGACCACTCGAGAGAGTTTCAGATGATTGACCTGACGGACGCACGGGACATGGGAAGGACGTGAGGCGGGATGCGATGGCGATGGGTATGGGATTTGTTGTGTGGGCAGCCAGGACGGGACGGACGGACGATCGAGGGCGAGACCAGAGATGTGGATCGCATGTACGCAGGTAGTGAGTGATACCTAGTAAGTAGTGGTAGGTGCTAGTAGGTAGTAGGTACGTAGTAGGTACCTAAGTAGAGTAATACCGTAGCCGACAGCGAATGGGATATGAATGCCATGCCAGTGTGGTATGATTATTTCATAGAAATCGAACGGCAGCCACTGACTCACGCAGTGTGGTGACCAGATCAGGTACTGATTGATAACAAGTTGTCACTCATCGAGGGTGTTCGGCGGTCAGTGGTCAGTAGTCAGCAGTCAGCGGTGAAACTTGCAAGAACTGGAAGCACTGCATGGCGGCGCCCATCGACGATGACATGGGCGGCGCGACCACTGCCAGTGGGTAGAGATGGTATTGGCACGGGGCAAATCCGGAGACCCGAGCTCGCGCATCTTGGGATCTTGAGACGCTGGTTCCTACCTACCTAGACAGGTAGATCTGGTCAAGGGCCAGGCGGTCTCGGGGCAGATCCAATAATGGGCTAAGAAGTCGGGCTAAGGAGGCGGTCTGTCCGCCTGGAGTCTAAACATCTTGGGGTAATTATGGGCGAGGACGAGGGCAGCCGGGGAGAGATGCTAGTAGATTGTACTATGTACTTGAACACCACCTACTACCTAAACCTAGATACTATCAACAGCCTCTATTGAATCAAAAGAGGTGTTAACTCACCGTTCCTCGCCTCAACACATATGAGGAGGTACCTGACCAATGTACCTAGGTAGACATAAATCATGCCTACAGCAAGGTACTGGTAACTCAATCCCCTGAGCTACTTTACTGCTGAGACCTCCAACCTCTGCATCGCCAGCGGGGATACCTGCATCTCAACCCTGTGAACCTACCTATAGTACCTGATGACTGCTCTCCTTCCTGAATACGGTTTCAGTTTCGAGTTCAGCCACGCAGTTCAACATCCAACATCCAACAGTTAGCTTCCAACAATTAGAATCCAACAATCGAGGTAAACACGATGGCAGGAGCTGATATGTGCATTGGTCTCTATGTCTCTGCTTCTTTGGCAGTAGAATGACGGGCTCGGCTCTCCAGATCGACTCTCCGCTTGCTACCGCTCACCAGGAAACCAGGAAGAGCTAGATTCAAGCATCTTCCCCAGAATACTAGTACTATGATGATACGCCTGAAAGAGTGAAAGATGACAGAGTGAAAGAGTGCCTCAGGCCCTAAGCACTTGCTACTATAGCTAGTAGTACCGGTCGTGAGCGACTCAACTTTGCTTCTGCATCTCAAAACCCTCAATACACCCCGATTTCCCCCGATCCTCGGGCGTCGTTCTTACCTACCATGCTCTTCACGCATGATCTTTACTCATGCACTGCACAGCAGTACTCATGCATCCTTCCGACCTAGCATAACAAGTAACCACACAACATACTGCCTAAGCCAGAGCCAGAGCCAGAGCCAGAGCTAAACCAGACGAGACTTAAAACTCAAAACCAAAACCAAAACCAAGAACAAAACCAACATGGCGGTCAATGCTGCACGCCCTACAAGACGCTCATGACGCTCACGAAACCCGGGTCCGATCCCAAACACAATCCAAGCTTTCCCTTTTCTTCGCTTCAATCTGATTGCTCCATCTGCGCAGACAACTCGGAATCTTCCCGGGCCCTGAATTTCGCCAACGCCGGCTCCATATGCTGACTGGAACTCATACTCCGGGTCCTACTCGCACCCATGGAATCCGGGGCCGCCATGTCCGACGTACTCGAGCTGACTCTCAAGCTGCGTCTCCGCTCGCGCTGGTGCACGACGCCGGGGAAAGCGCGTGGCTCTTGCCCCGAGATGTGCGTGTCCGGATGCGACGCCGCGGAATACAGAGCACTCGACATGGTCCGGGGTCGAGTGGGAGATGTGTTGGTCGTGTTACTGCGATCGAGGGCCGTCATACTCGATCTCGAGCGTGGCCATCTCGCACTCTGCTGCTGCTGGTGGTGGTGGTGGTGGTTGTTGCTGTTGCTGTTATTAGCTGCCGCCGATGGCGCGACCGGATTGGAAAAGGTCGAATAAAACTGTCTCGGAGACTCAAGTCCTTTGTAGACCTCCTCGATCGGCGTGAGCGGGTCGGACGGATCCGGGAAGTCAGGAGTGCAGCGGTTGAAATGGGTATAGTCCTGGGTGTATTTGGCAATGAAGGCGTGTTCGGCCTTCAATGTCTCGTGGCGGAATGCTTCCCGGACGTCCGGCACGTTGCACTTGGCCACGTCGTTGCCCAGCACTCCCGGAAGGTAGCAGTACTTCCCCAGCCAGCGTTGTTTCAGCGTCAACTCGAAGCCGCATTGGTCGACGGAATGTTTGGCCAGCTCGCACATTTCTACGTTGCTCAGCTTGTAGATCTGCGCGGCCACCGAATATTCTTCGATCAACGGCTCCTTGGTGAACGCGAACTGCAGCGGATCATCGGTCGACAGCGAAACGTTCAGCCCCTTTTTGTAGTAGCTGATGAACGGGTTGCGGTCATACGTCAGGAACAGTGCATTGTTGCTCAAGGGCGACATGGCGATTCCGATCTGCTCCAGGTAAAAGACGTATTGGATCAAGGGCACTTTGCGGAGCGTGATGCCGTGCGCAATGCTGTGGCAGCACAGGAATGCCGCCGCCAGATGGTCCGTGTCTCCGGCCTCGCCGCAGTGCGGTCGCAGCAAGAACGTATTGAACCCTCTCTTCTTGCGCCATGCGTTGAGAGAAGTCAAGTTCGCAAACAGGTAATAGATCCAGTATCCGTACGGCGGGTTCTGTTTCGTGTTCCAGTCCTTCGGAATGGGAAACTTCCGATACAGGCGCCGTTCCACCTTGCTCTCGTCATCAACACTGTCGAACCCAATCACTCGTTGCAGAAAGATGTGCAGTTTCGGGTGGGTGGAGGGATCCTGGGTGACTTCGAACAACGGCTGGAAGACATTCTTCAAGACACCCTCAAAGTTGTCGACCGACTTCAGCGATTTATACAACGCATACAGGCGCGGGATCTGGATGAGCCAGCGAACGTTGTGCGAGAAGAGCTTGTTGTCAACCACCCAAGCGGCCAGCTTATCCCATTCATCGATACTGCGGCCATAGATGCTGATCCGCCATTCGACCTGGACACCCACGTCAGCGGCTATACTTTTTCAAGTCCGAGGTCAGCGCCTTACCATTTGGTACTTGCTAGATTCCAGATCGCAAATGACTTCACGCGTGATCTCCGCAAGATACCTACCTTTGATGAAATTGTCCGTCTTGAGGAAGATCTCTCTCAGTCGAGACTGACCGATGGGATTGTACTTCAGGTTGAACTTGTCGAAACGGTGGAACGAGTCGGTATGGGCGTGCATGTCCAAGGTGTCAATGCTCAAATCGTACGCCGTGAGGTTGATACTTTCAAACACCTCTCTCAGGGTCAACGTCTTCCCGTCGCGGTCGATCACCACTTCATCAGGACATCTCTTCATTTTGCTCTTGATGAACCGCAACAAATGCTTTTGGTTCATGCACGCCGAGTGGTGGACGTGGGTGTCAACTTTCCGCACGTTATAGAAATCACGGTGAGGCACTTTCTTGGTATCCGCCACTTCCTGATATTCGTTGAGCAGGGTGTACAGGTTATACCGTCCTTCCAGATACTGCAGACGGCGATATGCGAAGCTCTTCGCTGGACCGTCGGAAGCAAGATCAAGAATGGTGTCGAGGGCGATGTAGTAATCTCTCAACGTGGGCACCTCCACCAGCGGCTGGTCATGTTCATCATACACCTGAAAGACACTGCCGTCGTCCATTTCATACCGTACGTTCCCATCCTTCGGAGGGATATAGCAGTCGTTGATGTGAAAGTCTTCTCCGATGGCCTGGCCAGGCTTTCGCGTCTTTTTGGAATTGGTAGGTGAAGGAGGCGCCCTGTCTGGCTCTGCCTGGCTACCTCCCGGCGCCCCTCTGTTCCCATCGCCAGCACTCCCCGAGCCCTGTGCCTTGGTGTCGGCCATGTACAGACTGCTCGACGTGCTGTTGGGAGGGATGTAGTCTTGCGTCGGTTCTCGAGCCTTTTGCTCGTTCCAGACTGGGTTTGGCGGCGGTGGATAGACCTCCCAAGTTTCCTCATCTTTGGGGTTCACTCCGGGGCACTGAAGAGAGATCTTCATGTACTTCTGCCGCAAGTCCAGCAGCGTCTTGATCTTGTCGCAGATGGCCTCCACCTCGCTGACGATGCTCTCATCACTGGAAGCCATTCCCCCGGGACCACTGCCCAGGCCTACACCAGCGCCTGCACCATGGACACCCTCGTGAGCCAGTAAAGGATCCTTGAACTCGTGCGGCAGACGTGGATGGTGTCGATGGCTCCGAGCAGCGGCATCGGCAGCAAGGCTAGGGTCTGGATGACCATCTGCAGCGAGACCGCTATGAATTTGCAGACCAGATAAAGATTCTTTGGGAGGGTCCATTTGCTGGCCGCTTGGAGCGGTCCCGCGCTGGCTAAGACGTGATTGTCGCGAGGTGGTGCTGGGGGTGCGGTGCAAGACTGTATCGGCGCCTTCCAGGGAAGAGGGCATTGTGAACGATCTCCCCAGCGACATCGGACTCCCGGCTAGGTCCTTTTCGGACTTGGTGTCCATGCGATGCCGTTGATAGATGAGCTTTGCATCGGCATAAGTGTCGCGTTTTTCGGCAGCATAATGATAGAACGGATGGCGGACCTGGTCGTCTTCTTGAAGCTCGTCGGAGGAATGTGTGTCACCGGTCGCCGGGGTATTTGTGTTTTGGTCTTCACCAGTCTCGGTGTGTTGAGGGAATGCACTACCAGTGACGGTGTTCTCAGCTCCAGAGTCGTCCTGCATGCCCGTCATGCGCGATTTCCAGTCGTAGACATCGTCTTCCTCGTCCGAATCTGCTGTCAGACCATTTGGTGCGATGGGTAGTGCAGGATTGCGGCTATCCATGGCCCTTGAATGGGCTGGTTGTATTTGCTGGCTGCAGACAGCCGACGGCCAATGCTATGCTGTGTGGTCAAGATGGCCTCGATTGACAGCTGGACCGAGGGTCAACCAAAGCTGTTGCGAAGGGCACGACTGGCAAGGAAAGCTCTTCCCGTTCCTTGACTTTATCGTCCACTGATACTCTGTAGAGTATGGAACTTGTAGCAGTTGAAAATGTTCAAGTTGAGATTGAAGTTCGACGTCGATATTGAAAATGTCTTGGCGCTTTCACCGCTGTGAATAACTGACAAAGAGTGTCAAAATCACAGACACCTTGGTGACATGCGACATCTACCTAGAACCTGGTAGATACCGTATCTATTTAGGTATTCACATAAGGTGTCGCTGGTAGTAACAGTCTCGAGGGGGACTGACTTGTCAGAGTAGGTGATGGTCAACTCCCTTGTTATCGTCCTCGACCCTCCACATCCTCGCTCAGCAAGGGATGAGTCAAGTTCAAATCTCACCCTGTGCTCTGCCTATGGATGCCAGTCATCCTCCTGCACAAAGTTTGGATCTCCACACACATACTAGTATGGCGGTGTCAGATTGTCGATGGCTCATGGCCCGGCAGCCTCCGAACCATAGCCTGAGACGACGACTGTCCGGTGTTGGTTCAAAGACGTCGGTTGCCTATTCGAGACATAACGATATATACAAAATACTAGTACACAAAGCGCTTCCTGATAGCACACTCACTTGTAAACAAACATAGTCATAGTCATAGTAGGACATCATTCCTGATCCAAATATAATCCCAAACTAGCTCTTGCAATGCTCGCTTGCCGATTGCAGAAAATGCCTTCGTGGAAAATACATCTTTAAGGACCCGAAGCGCCTCAGCCTGGTTCGATCAACATGCTCGACTCCCCATCACAGCTCGGCTTTGGCCGCGTTCACTTCCGACCCCAGCGGTCTCCCGTCCAGCTTCCACCCTTTGATCGTAGCTTTCGCCTTTGGCGGCGGGTCCTGGGGTCCAAGGGTACCCTTTTTCCAGCCGCCAGATATACTGGTAGCATGCCCCGTGCTGCCTGTCACGCAGTACCTGGAATTGAATTGTGTGCCCCGTCGATCTTTGAAGGCCATCCTGGCCACACGCGCCCAAAGAAATGAAGGGTCATACAGCATTTCATGGGTCCACCACATTCGACAGTCTGCTGCTTCGTATACAAATTGGAGAGGTGTTTGCGTGTCGTCGCCCATGCGGAAATGATTGCGTCCATTGACTCCCACGCCGTTCGCTCGCGAAATCAGTTCGGTCGTGAAGTTTTCCCAAATCGTGCCGTTGGCTTGGTTCAAAAACATGTTTTGCGGACTGTGGAACAGGTCGACCCAGCTCGCGAGCACCTCCTGGTCGAATCCTTGAGCGCCCTTGACACCGCCAATGGCTTGCATCGGGCCTTGCTGTGGCCGGCCCCCAATGACTATGAACTGGACATGGCCATAAGTTTTCAGCAACTCGGAAAACACCGTGCAAGTTCCCGCACAAAGGCCATCGGTGAGCACCACAATATCATGTGGTGCAAAGGGTTGTCGGAATCCAGTTCTGTTGTTTGTCCCTGTGACGACAAGCCCTTGTCCATGATAGTCAGAGGACACTGGATCAGTGTAGTTGTTCTGGAAAAAGGACGTAAATTGGCCGCCGTGCAACGGTTGCGGGCCATAGAACGATTGGAGATCAGCAAAATTGTGAAACTGCGGATCAACTATGGTTTGGAATGCCAGCGGCACATACGTCGTTTTCGCATCATGTTCGTTGTCTGTGTCGGCCGTCAACTCTGCAGCGCTGACATCCAGTGAGGCAACATTTGCAAGTGCCCAGAGACCCAAGTGATCTCGCATGTTCGACTTGCTGTTTGGCGGAGTTGATGGAAAGAGCTGCGTAAACAAATCGGTGCCGAGATCAACAAAGCCACCTAAAGTCAAGAGTTAGCACCAACATACAGGTATGTACCACTGCGTGACGGTGCACACCTAGGTTTCCTTGAAGGTCCAAGATCAACCTCCGCTTCCCAGTCCGCACAGCCGCATCAAAAAACTTCTGCACTACAGTCTGAAATTCTTTCTCGTAGCCTGCTGGAGTATCGAACCGAGGTCTGAAGTCGTTGACTCGCAGTATCGCAATGTCAGTCAGCCCGGGCTCATCAAGGTAATATCCAGCGACTGAATCCGCACCGTGCTTGATCACGGGCTGAGCATGACCGAGAATAGTAGGCGAACTCGAGGGAACCCCGCTTTCTGTAGAGGATGAGACAGCCTTGCGAACACTGCCAGAAGCTATCGCTGTGTCCTGAGCGCGTGGACAGAAAGCATTGTAGGCATCATCTCCAATAGACACCCCATCCAGGGCGACATTCACAACTGCGATATTCCTATACTCGCGTGTGGTCCCGTTCAAAAATGTCACGTTAGTTGAAGATCCTGAATAGGAACTCGGAGAAGCGAAAGTGCCCGAGCGGAATGGACCCCCAAGCAGTCCGTTCCACTGTGCATCGGGGTCATTAAACGGTGCCGTCAGAGATTGAGATAACAAAAAGGAAACAACGTCCACACTATCGATGCTTTCAACGGGCGATGGGGTGTATCCGGTGACAGGAACAACGTTCCCCTGTATGTTGTCGCGGATAAGATCACCTGGCCTCCATAAGACAGAGTGGGGGTAGCTGTGGCAGAAGGGCACTCACTGGAAATGTACATCTGAGGTGTCTGTTCTCCGTCCGAAGAGACCATGACCAGATTTTCAGACCTCGTGAATGTAAACGTCCCCATCAGATCCCCAGACCAGTAGAGGTTGCCATCGTGCGCTGCGGCCAGCAATCCGACTATGTCGGCCTGCATATCATACTCGCTGTCGTACCGTCCTCCTTTCACCTTCTCCAGAATATCATCTAGACCGGCATCAAGGTCCACTCCGGAGAAGAGATATCCCGACGGCGGGTCACGCAAGTATTCCTTAGTGCTCTGGAATTCCAGATATGTTCGTAAGGAGCTCAGGAGACGCGAGGCTGGTTCCTGGTGATTGGGGACAGTTTTGAGGCATGCGTAGGCCAGCTCAGCATCGATCACGACTTGAGTCGCTGTCTTGGTCAGCTTCAGGTGTGCCTGGCATCAATGAGCACTCGCCTCCAGCATGAGCGGTCATATAGGACTTCGAAGCCTGCGAAGCCAATGCACACGCGGTATTCGTCGACGAAGGGTCACTCGTATCGGTGGCACGCAGCTCATGGGCATTGGGAGCTGTCACCACGGAGGCAGCCAGGAATGGGACAAGGAGGAAGCATGCGAAGATAAACACATGCTCCCAGCGCATGGCTATTATAGGGACCATACGCACGCGAGTAGGTTCTGAACGTGCAGTCAACTGTGACACCAGCGCTTCGGCGCTCAACGGGTCTTTGGAGGGAATGCGGTCGAACACATATTGTCCAGATCCATGTGGGGAGGAGAATCAGTAGGAGGCGGCCTCTATAGAACTGGGGTTGAGGCACCAAGCTGAGCAACCTACTGGCAAAGAGACAAGCCATGATGATGGGAGAGCTGCTCACGCTCGCGTTATCTCGCTCTGCCCTACCAGGGGGCTTGTGGCGGTCTGGTTAGACTGCACCTTTGTTGGGGGCTGAGGATGAACTTTGGCAACCGAGGCTAAGCCTTGAGGTCCTGAAACACACCTGAACCTCAGCCTCAGCCTCAAATGTGCAGTGATGATGGTGGATGGTGGACGGTAATATTTGGCGAACTTTGAGTAAATCACCATTGCACCACCGTAAAAGCAGCGTCGGCCCAATCTATGGATTTGACCCTTGAAGAGCGCTCCTTGCCCTTCAAGGTTGCGACGACCGAATCCCATACGAAGTATTGTTATCACTACCCATCTAAAGGTTGGATAGGGTAGACTTTGACAATAGCATGCCTCTTCCAACTATACCATTTGCAGTGGTGAAGATGGGTTGTGGACTACCGTCATCGCGGTCGCCGTTCGCATTATTGAAGCAACACAGTCGTTCGAGGCCGGAAACGTACGACGACAAGACTATACAGTGCAAGTACTCCGGTATCCACTCAAGGGGTTCAGCACAGCCGCTTTTGCAAGAACTTCACATTGCCCAAGGCTGTCTGTCATTGACGTTACTTTATTACTTTACAAGTCCCAAACATCCATCAGCCCATGAAAGACCCCGACCCCCCAGACCGTGCTCGCATTCAGACAAAACAAGCAACATTCAAATCATCCACTCCCCCTCCGCATTCGTCTGCGAGAGCGTTGGCTCACTCTGATTGCCTCTTCGGTAAGGATGTCATCCGGCGGTTCGAAGTCCTTCTCGGTAAACTCAGGCACGGGATGCCCGAAGGCCAGAACAGTACGGCCTCTTTGGCGACCGGCAACGGCAGCATCCCGAAGATGCCTCTTTTCGAAGAAGGACACAAAAGGTTTAGGAGGAGCAGGTTCTGCTACCGGCGGGGCGGCGGGTTTCTTCCGTTTGTTGGCAATCTTCGCCTCCTCGATGAGTTGTTGCGAGGCAAGTGCATCGATCTCGCTGGAGTTGGGCGCCTCAGTCGACTCAGACTCATCACTGACGACGCTCGCCTGCTCGTCTGACGAAGAAGTCTCAACATCCTCCTCGTCTTCCATAGCCTGTTCCAGGAGCGCCTGCTCTTTCTCCAGCTTTCTGCGCTTCTCTTCTTCCTTCCATCGTTTGAACTTGTCGATGAGCGCTTGCGTCTCCCGTATGAACAGCAACCGCTTGGGTTCGTATCGTTTCTTCTCTGTATCAGTCACGCCGCTGATTCCCAGAGTCTTGAGCCAGTCCGGTCCACGGAGATCGTCCAGTAGTTTCTCCAACTGGTACTTTTCATGTTGCGCCCGCTCTCTGTCGCTGTTCTTCATCTGTTTTTCATGCCGCTCAGCTTTGGCATGTATTCTCGAGTAAACCTCCTCGCCCAAAGGGTCATGAGAAGCATCTCCTATTGAGATAGAGCGACGATCGAGCTGGACGACTTGAGTATTGTGCAGCGCTTTCTGCGCACCAAATGGGTCTGTTCTGGGAGGGTTTGGTTGAAAATCAGGTGTGTCGTCAACGAGGACGATTTTCGAACGTACGGTCAAGATTTCTGACTCAACATGAGTGAGTGAGCGGCAAAGGGGGGAAACGAAGACTGACCTGGATCGGGAGGCTTCAGACTGAGCATCTCCTCGAAGTCCGGGAAGTATTGTGCCAACTCGGTTTTGGCACGAGACCCTCCATCTTCAGAGCGCAGCTTTCGTCGTTCAGCCTGAGGCGTCGACAATGACCCTTCTCGAACCGCGGCTTTGGCTCTTTCTTCGATGATCTTGATCTGATCATATTGTGGTTTGCCGCTGGGCGAGTCGAGGGGTCTCGCGGTTGGTGATGTGTTTACAGCGAGCTTAGGTAGCGACGCGTCCGGAGCAACGCCCGAAGGTGGTGAGACGACTTTAGATACTCCCCCTCGACTCCGTAACGGGATACGTAATCGTTGTACCTCGCCCTTGTGAGTCGAGAGACGACGTCTTTTCAGATCTGGCTCCTGTCCCGAGAGTGTAGAGGTACGGGCGCGCTTTGATCGGGGTGCAATCGCACTCTCATCGGACTGCGGGAGCAGAAGTGGCGTGTCGTCGTTCGGCGGACTGCTCGACCTGGTTGACTTGTGACCTCGTAACGTAGGACGCCTCAATGACGACCTGGAGCCGGCCACCATGGTATATGTCGTGTTGGAGGGCTCATGATGCTGCAATTGCAGTCTTTTCGGGAGTTTTCATTCGTGGCTAGATCATGGACAATTGGATCATTGATTGCACCGCACCGGTCCTGCTGGAGTTGAAGCAGACTGCGCGCGCCTCCCGCTGTCATGAATATCTGTCATTTGAAACCAATTTCCGCAGCATACCAGATCACACGAAATACCTAATTCTTCTCCCCAGGGCATGGTAAGGTAGGTTAGGTACCTCTATGGGTGCGGCAGGTACTAAGATAAGGTAGGTATTAACCCCCTGGATCGATCTTACTACGAGACACGGCAAAAGCCCGTTTCAGTGCATCTCACAACTTCGATTGGCTTGCCTCCGATATTACTCATGTCGTCCGGAGGAATAAGCTGCTCAAGGCATAAACCAGGTCCATGTAGATACATACCTACAGACGACACGCCTTGGCCATGATCTCGTTGCATATCCAGGCGCACTCAGAACTGTCTATTCCTAGTAGTAAGTTGGAGAGCTATTAGGTGGTAGGTACCTTCCACCGGTACTTCGTGGACAGTCAAAATGTTTTGTGGCCGTTATCAAGATACAGGTATTTTAACTGTACTGGCTCAGCTCTGATGCACAGGCACTGTGATGGCTGGGGAGCTGGACTTTCCGAATCTCTATTGCTTCTGGCCCTGTTCACCTTTCTGGGCCTTCAAAGCTGCCAGACCTCGAACCTGTTCCCGTGTCATTGCTAGGCGTGTCCTGGTAGGTCTCTTCGTCGCTGTAGAGGTCATCATCACTCTCACCAGCAAAAGCGTCGTATAGCTCCCCACCACGTCGAGCTCGTCCTTTGCCGCGCCCAGCCCGTGTGTTCGGGCCCTGCTGTTCATCGTCATCGGCATCACCAACCATCTCGAACTCGTATGCGTCACGGGGGTCGTTCCGCAGTCTCTTTCTCCGCTGGACGAGGAAGTAGAGGCCCAGACCGGAACAGAAGACGACAATCAACCCAATCGAGCCATATATCCAGATTTGAGTTCGCTTGGAAACTCCAAATGTCGGGAAGAAGGCGGGAAGGAAGCTGTCCGAATAGGTGTGAGTGGGCTCGGCGACCTTTGTTGTCGTTGCAGCTGGCACAGATACGGTTTGGGTGGGTGTGACAGCCGGAGTCGTAGTATCAGTGGCCTCGCTTGGTTTGGGCCTGGTGGGCCGCTCGATATGATCAGTCGGTGTCGCCGGTAGCGGAGTTGATGGACTTCCTGCATCGACACTGGTCGTGCTTACAATAGCGGTTGCTGTTTCATGATCGTCGTCGTGCTCCTCGGGTAGCGGATGAAGGCCTTGGATTTGAGGATCGATACATTCACCCCACAGGTTCAGGCGCCAGTCGATGAAAGTGCCATTGAACTCATTTTCTTTGGTATCTTTGACGACGACGGTCCAGTTCCCGATGCCAGACTCACCCCTACACTTAATTAGTCCCAATACATACGACAGAAACGCTCCAAGGAGATGAGCTTACCAATGGACTACCGACATGAACGTCCAATCGTCATAGCCTGTTGTAGCCCCGTCCGGACGACGTGCGGTTGCAATGTGACTCACGACGCCATTTGGGCTGATCAGATCAGCGCTCAGATCACCCCTCCTGCCATGCTCGACATTCATAGTCACTGTGACATGCTCGAGCCTCTCCAGGTTGGCTTTTCTCAGCATCTCTCCTGTCACCTGGAAACTCGCAGCAAGTCCACGGTCGCCTTCAGGGATCGCGTGCTGAACGCTGATCCAAGGCGAGTGAAACCAGGCTTGTGGCTTGACCGATTCGAATGATTTGGCGGCCTCGACAAAACGATACGCGTCAATCTTGCCGTAGCCATAAACGTGGCTGAACTTCTTCCCGATTGTCGTATTCTGCCAACTGCCATCCTCTAAATGGACGGGCACAGCAGTGTCCACGCATAGGTACTGTAAGTCTCGCCATGATAGATCTGGTCTGACGCTGAGTGCAAGAGCAACGGTCCCCACAACCAGTGGGCCAGCAGCAGAAGTGCCTCCATGGCCATTGTAGCATTTTTCGGTGCCAACGTCCGTGGTATGGATAGCATCTTGGGTCCCCGAGCTGTACGTCACCACCAGCTGAGCGGAGCAATGCTCAGAGTAGTACGGATGATTACCATCCCGATCAATGCCTCCAACAGTAATGGAGTAGATGCTGTTGGTATATCCGTCAAAGTTGCAGTTGTCTTCACTTGCAGCTCCGTTGCCAGCCGCAAAAACGAAAACCGACCCCAGCCCATCGCGGCCGCTCTGCACACCGTTGACCAGGGCACGCTGTATGAGAATCCCGGGAGCTTCCATGGTTGCGCCGTCGTCGGGTGGACCCCAGGAGCAAGAATAGATCTGATTCTCTTGGAAGTGGTAATTGATAGCACTAGCTTCGTCCTCGTCACTGATAGGCTTTGACAAGATCCGGATCCCAGCGACCTTGCTGTCGTAAGCCATTCCGACTCCACAGACATTGTTCCTGACCGCAGCGATTTCGCCGGCACATCGAGTGCCATGTTTATCATCGAAGAGACGTGGTCTGGGTTCAGCTTCTCTTTCGTTAAAGTCGTAGGATCCTTCTGCATAGTAGTTGTCCTTGAGGTCATTACTATACAGATCCAACCCGTCGTCAATGACGGCAGAGATACTACCGTTGCCTGTTATTCCGTCCAGCCAAACTCCCGTCACGTTCAGATCGTGGCCCAACTGTTCTGTGTTGAACAAGTGCCATTGCTCCTTGAAGATTGGGTCTTTTATGTCTAGTGTCTGTGCAATCGAGTCCAAGCGTTGGCTTGCTTCCTGCTGTTGCTGGTTTTGATCCGACCCCTGAGGGACATCCGAATCGGCGGCCTGTTGGGGGGTGCGGGTATCAAGACGTGATGGAGGGGCTCGCTTCACAAAGCGCTGACGAAGCTGCTGTTTTTCCGACCATAGAACACCACTCAGGTCAACCGATATTGCGCTTCTGTGGTCGTATCTGTCGCTCCCATCCCGCCGCCGCCGGCGCCTCCGCTTCTTCCGCCGCTGCAATTCTTGAAGTGAGTCCTCCAAATCCGAGCAGGAATTCTTCGGACAAGAGAAAGTGTGGTGATTGGATAATTCCCCCACTTGTCCTTCATACTGTATTCCCAATCGTTGAGCCACCTCTTGAGGAACGGCGGTTGGATCGAGGTGGATGGCAAAATAGTCGTATCGTTCGTAATCGCGTGGAGGAGTGGCGTTGATGTTTCTGGCCCAAAGCAAGAAGAAGAGCCATGATCGCAACCGCATCGTAAGAATCGTATTAAAAAAGGACGACCAGCATGCCTTGCGTTTTGGAGGTTCCCGAGAAGTCTTGCGATGGATCGAGTTGAGCCTCGAGAGACCGATATGTACGCCACTGAGAGTTCTGGACTACCAAGCGAACCTGAGCGCTCAACAGTAACCCAGTGTCATCCGCAGGCTGATGCGATGTCGAGTGACAGGCAGGCCGTACTCCGATCAAAGGAAGCAGAAACGACCAAGTAAAAAGAAAGAATGATACAAAGAATGTAAGTTGAGTTGTATGGAACACAGGAATAATGCAAATGCAGGACGATGCACAACGGAACCGGCCTGTCGACCCCTTGAAAAACAGTTAATTCTGTCTGGTATTGTGCATGTCGACTTTCTGACAGATTTGACTCTGCCTCAATATTGCAGTCAGTTGCAGTTGCAAAGTTGTCCTCTCCCCTGCTGCGCCGTTGGAGCTCGGGCTTGGGCTACTAGAACGACTGAACCCTGCCTAAAGTTGGGCTAGGCGCCGGCCTGATCCAAGGAGAGGTGCCAATTCCAAGATCCTCGGCCTATACTACAGGTGTCACTGGTGGGTTTCCACCTGTTAACAGAGAACTAAGGAGCCTAGGCGGCCCCTAAGCGTCTATCCTGCGGGCCGCCTTCTCTCCACGTCAATCGACAAATCCCGGGTGGCCGACGCAAGTTCCTGGGACTTTGTTTGGTGCAACTCGTTATTTTTGTCTTACTACTCAAAACATGGTCGACGACGCAGCCAGCTGGATTTACCAGCCACACAGAAACCATCGTTCCATTCCTTGATGTCCGCTTCCTCAACTCAATCTGCTTTGCCTGCTGCGTTTTGTTCATTCATTAGGTTTGCTCAGTCTTCTCTTGTACATAATGTCGCCATCATATAGCTCTTCTATCAATTGACGTTCTCCGCCTGTTTGTCCTACATCTTACCTCCGATCCAGGCACTTGTGCGCCAGTCGTGCCAGTCCGGACCTGTTTGCTACCTCCCATTTACCTCAGTTGGCATGCCACCTGCTTCCTAGCCCTGTACCTTATGCTCGAATGTCCTCTTCCATGACCGCTTGAGTTGACGTTGGAACTTCTTACTATCTTCTGTTGCAGTGGCTTGTCCTTCCGCCTAACCTTACAAGAAAATGGCTACCTCGATGAATCCTGTCGAACTCTACCATGATCCTTCCTTGGACGGACTCGTCCTGCCCAACAGAAATAGGATCTCGAACAATGGCACAAGCCGTCGACAGAGCAAGCGCTCGGACTCGGAAACCTCAGACTCCTCCGTTCAACCGCTCCCTGCTGCGCCAGAGGTTCCCCGTGGACCACCGATATCCTATCGAGGCCACGGTCAAGATGAGGGCAATATCCAGAGATCGTTTTCTCAGAGAGCCAAGGGGAAACCTTTTCATCGGGAAGCTTTCGCCGATGTGGAGGAGGATGACACAGAGGAAAACGTGAGAGCAAAGCAGCGAATGTCAACAGAGGCAAACCAGAGGGACATTCCCACCAAAGCTCCCAGAAAACCGGTGCCACTGGGTGCGCTGCACGTGGACACTGCAAACCTCAGTGGTGTTACGACCACCAAGCCCCCTGAGCGAGTGAGTCAGTCAGCTCGCGACACCATGGGCGATCGAGATAGAATGGCTCAGAAGCCTCGGCGCGCTTCCGAAAGTCGTCGATTAAGTGAAGAACCAGCTTCCGCTATCAGCAGGTCCAGTGCTTTTCGAGACGAGACCTATAGACGCGATTGGGCGCCTGATCGATCACCACTTCAGAAGCTGGAGGTCACTCTAAACGACATAAGCAAGGAAGAGAAGCGGGCAAGAGTGCAAGAGGCCGAAATGCTTTTGCGGGAACGTGCTGCGAAAGCTGCCCATGGCCTGGGACGGTCACCTCAAGAAGGGGCATCTTCAAACAGACGGTCGATATCGAAGCGACAACATCCAACCGAGTCTGGAGGCGGTACCCTGGAGGATGCCGGGCTTGTCCGAAACTTGAGCAATACTCATCGACAACGACTACAACAAAGCACAACAATAGATAGCCGTCGGCCTGATGTGCGAAGCTTGTCGGGCGAGGGTTATCCCGGTTTCGATTATACGCGCTCAGATCCAGCCCAATCGGGGATGCCAGGACAGGCTCGTGAGTCAAACAGCAAATATCGGAGGGAAAACGAGCTTGATGAAGACACAACTGAGGAGCTGTCAATCCAGCCCAGGCAGATCCGATCTGGGAAGCAACGTGATCTGGTGCCTTCAAACAACGAAGCCGGGCTGACTGACAACCTTGTACCTCAGAGCTTTACTCGTGCCTCAAGGTCGCAAACCGCGCATGCTCCTGTTCCGCATGACCTCGCCGATCGTCAACGAAACGCATCACACAAGGCGGCCCTGGAAAAGCTGACTGGAGTATCACCGCCAGTCAACGTTGCCAGGGGCAATTCTCGGAAGCTTCACAAAAACCCTCCTGCGTCTGCGGACCAGAGAAAGTCATCAGCTGGCAGCGTGCCCAGTAGGATTCCGGTACCGACTGCGGTAACAACATCAAGAGCTATCAAGCCACAAGTTCTAGGTAACGGTGTTCTTCAGCATGGTTTCGATATATCTCGTGCTCACCAACAACCCACGACGTCTCCGGCAGGGTCAGGGCTTCAATCATCTCCACATCCAAGTAGTCCACGATCGCCACCGGCCAAAGTGGCCGACGCAACACGTCACAGACAACATAAATCAAGCGTCTCATTCAAGGAACCTATCCCTCGTCATCCCGTGGATGAGTGGAAAGAAGCTGGAACCGCTAGGCTCACACTTACCGACCTCTCTACAGAGAATGCCACTGGTTCTGAGAGAGGCAAAGCTTGGTGGGAGCAGCCTGGTACTTCGTCCACCCGCCGAAGGAGCAGGTCGACCAACCCGTCAGATCAAAGTGCCTTTGATGGTCCAGTTGATGACAACACCGCCGAGTTCAAGCCGAAGCTGTATCTGCGATGTGGGCCACTGCTTCGGTACACGGGCATGAAAAGACAGAAGTCCGAGCAAGGGGAGGATCGCGAGTTCTGGCGAGGCAGCGTGTTGATCGTCACTCAAGATTCCTATTCCTCATATGATCCTCCGCCTGTTTTGCGTCTGTTCTCACAGCCGCATAGGTTGTTCCCCCCACCCCCTCATCATGTCACGGGAGACGAACTCAAGCCTGAGTACGTCGATCCTATTGCCGGCTTATCCAAGCTCTCAAGGACAGGTAGGGCATCATACGTACGCCCGGTCGATCACCTCGAAGAGGGCAAAGACTTGTCGCAGATTGAGACTGATGAGGGGCTTTTTGAGAGCGCTCCCAGCCCGGCAGACTCTGCGAACAACCGAGCGCTCGACACAGATGGTGAGCGAGTAGGCAGATTTCAAGAGGTCGCAGGGGCAAGGTTATATGCAGACCCCGACCGTGACGTGACTTTCTGGCGATTCAACCTCGAGGTTGAACTTGGTGCGGACCAGCAACGCATCGGCTATCGGATCAATCGAGGTGCTTCGATTGGCTTTTGGGTTCCCGGCCGTGGGCAAACAATGAACATCATGTTTCACAGCTGCAACGGTTTTAGCCTGTCTGTCAATCCGGACAATTTCAGTGGACCTGATCCTATGTGGAGAGACGTGTTGAACACCCATCAGACACGCCCATTCCATGTGATGATCGGTGGGGGTGACCAAATCTACAATGACCGAGTCATGCTCGAGTCTCAACATTTCGGTGAGTGGACCAGGCTGCGGAATCCCAATCACAAACACCATGCGCCTTTCACGAATGAAATGAAAGAAGAACTGGAAAGCTTCTATCTCAACAGATACGCAATGTGGTTCTCTCAAGGTCTCTTTGGCATGGCGGCCAGTCAGATCCCGATGGTCAATATCTGGGACGACCATGACATTATCGACGGATTTGGGTCTTATCCCCATCATTTCATGGAGACGCCCGTATTCTCCGGACTTGGGAACGTCGCTTTCAAATATTACATGCTCTTTCAACATCAGAGCGTGGCCGAGGAGACCACGGCCCATGAACCCAGCTGGGTGCTCGGTCGGGAGCCTGGTCCGTATATCCAACAGCTCAGTAGAAGTGTCTTTCTGCGCCTGGGCAAGCACGTAGCATTTATGGGTGTGGATTGTCGTACGGAACGAATGCGAGACGAAGTATTGAGCGTGGACACTTTTGAGGTCATTCTCGAGCGATGTCGCAAAGAACTGGTGGAAGGAGAAACCAAACATCTCATCGTCTTACTTGGAGTTCCGCTGGCATACCCTCGATTGGTCTGGTTGGAAAATGTCTTGACCAGTCGTCTTATGGACCCAGTCAAGGCTCTAGGAAGGGTGGGCGTTTTGAAAGGCGGGTTCCTCAACAAGTTTGATGGAGGGGTTGAGATTCTCGACGACCTGGATGATCATTGGACTGCAACCCATCATAAACGCGAACGCAACGATCTTGTCCAGGAATTGCAAGACCTTGCAGCAGAGAAGTCTTGCCGCATCACCATGCTGAGCGGCGATGTGCATCTTGCCGCGGTCGGCCAATTCCATTCGAATCCGAAGCTGAAGATCCCCAAGGACAAAGACCATCGATACATGCCGAACATAATCTCTTCGGCCATCGTGAACACTCCGCCATCAGACATGTTGGCAGACATCCTCAACAAACGCAATAAGACCCATCATCTAGACAAGTATACCGACGAAAACATGATTCCCATGTTTACTCATGACGTGGACGACAAGAGACGAAACAACAAACACATGTTACCAAGGCGGAATTGGTGTTCTATTCGGGAATATATGCCGGGTTCGACACCTCCTCCAACGCCACCGGAAAGTCCAAGCCTGACAGACTCGGAAGAAGACGATGAAGAAGAAGAACAGCAGGAAAAATCAGAGCGGCCTCGTCCGCGTCGATTCTCATTCTCCAAGGAGGATGTCAATCCACGGACTCTCTTCCGTAGATTGAGTTCGCGGAACGCACCTCCATCGTCATTTCATGATATGATGTATGAACAGGGCCGCTCTGCATCTCACGATGGCACAACACGGCCAGGGTCTGACTCCTATCAGAACAGAAATGCTTCGGGCTCACGGCAATCTTCAGGCGACTTCCAGGTCCACCCCAATCGGCATGCTTCCTCTTTTGATCACCCATCCTCTGGCGCTCCGGTTCGACCAGGGATGTTACGTCGACCGACCAACCTGTCGGAGAAAGCTGCCAGGAAGGGCAACGTGCCTGCAATCGATGCTGAAGGAAACGAATTTGATGTCAACGACCGTGTGAACCTCGAGGGAGGCTTGGACATTGTTCTGAATGTCGAGGTCAATCAGAAAGATCCGTCTGGGATCACGGTGCCATATCGTCTGCTGGTTCCAGCGCTATGGTATGACGGTAGTTCCGACCGTGAAAAGCTCGAGGAAGCATCGGGTGTACATCGAAAGCAGACGTTGTTGAACCGGCTTGTTGTTGGAAGACGACCGAGTCATAAGCCTGCGAGACAAGGAGAGGGTAACTGGGGTCAAGAGCAGAGTGACGAAGAAATCTACAGCGAAGGCGAAGATGTGCAGAAGCGAGCACCACCCAGGAGAAGGTTCAGCCTTTTCGGAAGTCGGACGCAGAAGAGGGTTGAGCCTTTTAGTGACTCCGACTCGGATTCGGTTTTCGACGAGACCCCAGACCCGGGCACTTCTGGAACCGTCCCTCAGGCGTGGCAGCAGCAGCAACAGCAGCAGCAACAACGACAACCCACCACGAGTCGGTTGGTCGCAGACTCTCAGTCTAGACCGTTAGATCACCAGGTGTCTCCTAACATGACGGGTCCACCCAGCCATGACATGCTCTACGATACAGAACGCCCTCCACCAGCAAGCCACAGTCTCGAGCCCTCGCACCACCCAAGCGTCCGTCGCTCGTTGATCATCCGGTCTGCAAGTGGCCCGGGCCCTCAACTGAGTCAGCCTACCAGGCCGGCAGGGAGAAACGTCAGTGACGGTTATCCAACAACTCAATACCCATCGTCATCAACACAGGCGGCTGCAGGGATGCCTCAACGCAAACTTAGCAAGCAAGAACGGATTCTGGGTATCTCGGCCTCAGACCCTCAGCCTCGTGAGCCGCCACATCAACTGAGAGGTAACGGAATTCTGGGCAAAGAATATCCGCCATCGGCCTACGATAGTCATCCACAGATGCAACCGCCGCCACCGCAGCAGCAGCAATATCGAGGGTATTCCGGGATTGAGGCGTACAAGGAACCGAAACCACGCAGGACGTTTAGTTTGAGAAAAGCGCGGCAATGGTTGGATGGGCGGAGGGAGGAGCAGGTCGAGTACGATTAGATTAGGTTTGATGGGAACTAATCAACGAGAAGATGAAGAAGAAGAAGAAGAAGCTGATGCTAGTGAATATATTGAGAAGAGAAAGACAAATCGGGGGTGGATGCAGTTCGCCATTTCACCGATTGTGAACTTGTTTGGCTATTTCTCAGCAAGATCACTCGAGCGACACCGCCTGCAGTGGTCAGTGTTTGGGATATCATCCGATCTTCGCTGCTGGGCGGCACTCTCTTGGCTTGGATTTTCTGTCATATGTACCTACGTGCGATGCCTCTATTGGAATACCAGCATCCCGGTCTTATGGCCAGGCTAATAGTCCGCGGGAGTCCTGTCTTCTGAGTTCTGGTCCAAGGACAATGCATAATAATGGTTTCTTTGCAACTTGGATTTCCTCTTCCTCTTCCTCTTACTGTGTAATATGGGAGCACTTCTAAATGTTTCGAGTAAGAGACAACGACACTCACTCTCAACTCCCACACAATCTCCCTTAGGTTGCCCATCAAGGCAAAGATAAGGTCAATGAGTGGCAGTGGCCTCCTGCATTTCAAGTTGCCAGTGCGCGGTCCCACACAAGACTAGACTAAGTCCATATTAGGAAATCGGATTCCACTTTCAGAAATCCCGAGAATTGCTGCAACGACAACGCAGTTTGAGGACCTACATACCTTCTCACAAAGGCCCATTTTATTTAGGGGTTTGGCCAACTTGAAGTTCGTGATTGTGGAAGCTCTATCGAGCTATTAAATAAATCTTGTTAAAGTCGGCGGGCTTTAGCTGATATTCGGCATTGAGTAGCAACAACCTCCATATAGCTGTCTACGTGTGGTTGCACGCAGCAACTTGAGAAATGAAAAACTTGCTCATTTTTTTCTTTTCATGTCGTACTTCGCGCCGATTGCTTCGAACCGAAAGCATCCAGCTCACAACATTCACAGTCTACACGGCTGACCATGCCAGCCATGACCGTTCCCCATACTAACACAGGACACCAGCTACAATCAAATCTCATTCCTCGAAAAATTTTTCGGGGCATGAAGACCTACTAGGTACCATTTCACGCCGGCACTCCCAAAGCCTCACGCGCTCTCTTCCAATACTGGACCCTCTCATCGGTAACAGTGGTCCCGACACAGCCCGTGACAAACGCGCTCTCCCACCCTTGCTGGCCTCCCGTCCTCACCAGCCCCTTCTGCTCCTTGGTACAATGCACTCCATAATACCAAGCCGCAGCGGCAAACGAGAACCGATCCGGCATGACCAACTGCAACACTTTATCAGGATCCGTCCCGGCCGCAGCAACTTGGTTCTTCAACTCCTTAATGCTGCCGGCGTACTCCTGCACAAAGTTCGGCATGAGCATCACGCGGGTCCCCTGGCCCGGGCGCCCGGGCGCCGGGAAGTGGTTGTGGTTGAACTTGAATTCGCCGGATTCGAACGCCATCCAGGACAGTAGCGCCGCTTGTTCTTCCGCCGTGGTCACGTTGTATTTGGCGAACCCGTCGACCATGGCTTGCACCATGGCGATGGATGAGACGGCGCACTCGGCAGGGAACTGGGCACCCGCGCAGGTGTTGGATGTTGGAGCGATCTGGAGGAGTTGGTTGACTGGGTTGGGTCGTTTGCTTGTGGCAGCTCTAGTTCGACGCCGAGACGAGTGGAGGGCATGGTTGTGTTCGCGGCCGTGTTCGCGACCATGGAGGTGGAGGTGAAGCGTGTTGGGGCCGAAAGAGGGTGGGGATGGGACGGCGAGAGCGAGAGTGAGAGCGGATATGGTGAAGAGGAGGGAAAGATTGAGGAAGAGGAGATGCATTGTTGATATGCTGGTTGGCAGGTTTGCTTCTTGCCGTCGATTAGTTGAGGTTGAGGTTTCCGATGCAATTGTCCTTAGCGATCTGAAGACGAGAAGACCGTGGTTCAGGTTATCTTCGACTCTGGGAAGACGAACAAGTTGTGTGTGATCTGATATCAGAGATTTGCAATTGAGTGTTGTAGAGTATGTGAGCTGCGATGAGCAACGAACTTGATCGATGAGGAGAAGTAGATCCAGCTACTTTCTTTTTGTTTTCGTTTTCGTTCTCGCAAAATGCACAAAATGACTGGTGACTGGTGATATATCAAGAATAAAGGGTGACTTTCGCAACGTCAGATCGTAGAATCCCAAACAGCGTAGTCTGGGTTTTCAATAGTTAGTGTCAAGTAACAAACGAAATGACAGACACCAGGTCCGGCCCGTGAGTCAAAGAAGTACAAGCGACAGTTGATCTGGTCTGATAGCACTGGTTCTTTGACTGTTTGGTTTGATGAACAATGAACCAGAACTGACTGGGCGACAGTGATAAAGAAACGATAGTGACAAACACCTGATAATCAAGCAAAAGATTAAAAACCGTTTGTTGCTTCAGAAGACTGACTGTGACAAAGAAGGCAGCAAGCAATAAAGACTCTGGTGGTCGAAGCAGTGAATGAAATATAGTTATTGACACAAAGGCTGTGGATTCAGGGGTAGCCGCAAAAATATGAATGATGGTGCAGAAGAAAAGTAAATTCAAGTAGAAAACGAACGAACGAACAAAGAAAGAGTATTTTCTAGACGAGATCGGTTTGAAAGGTTTCTGTCAGGAAATGAGTGAAACAAACACAAACACAGACACGGGCGCATAGATATGATAGATACCCGAATACAGACCATCAAGACATGACTTTGCACTTCTCGTGTGTGCGTGGAAATTGGCCCATCTTCAGCGAACAGATTGAATTGCAGTTTGAGCTTAAGGCCACAAACCCAAAAGATAGGCTGTTTGAGCGCCACGATCAAGTAAGTCTCCAGACTCCAGTCAGTTGTGGTAGGACATTGGCAGGCCGAAACACAATCTATGCGAACTCCCTTCTCCAATCAAGATTCAAGTGACTGACTCGGTGGCTTAGAGAGGAGAATATAGAGGGGAAAAGGAAAAGGAAAAAGGAAAAGACAAAGGATCAACCCACTATTACTGCTCACCTCGCACTCCTCGATTGGCCGAATCTGATCGCTCGATGGCATATCTGGAAGAAGCGATTGTCAAACAAACTGGGTAAGATCAAGGACAGATGAGTACAGAGATAACTATATCGGGTATCATTATATTCCACCAAAACACAAACAAGTTCACACACATTATATTCCAATCCTTATTGCCCCCAACCCTTGTCGAAAGAAAGTCAGATGTCACGCCTTGCTGCAAGTTCTTTACTCCTTCCACCGAGATCAAACGATCTGGAAAGGTGCGGTAGTCAATGGTCATCAGCCCATACATCGTCAGTATACACCATACTCCCTTCTTGGTTACCACGGGCACCCATTCTCGGAAGCGGCATAGTGTCACTCTTCCTCACATTCAGCATCGCTGTCAGAAGCGTCTTCCTCGCCTGAAGTCTCACCAGCGCCCTTCATGGCGACATCGCCATCCTCTTCAGCAGGGGGTTCAGTTGACAGTGATTGTTTCTTATCATCCTCGTCAACATCGACGTCATTTTCGTCTTCGTCTTCATCTTCATCCTCCTCTGTGATGTGTCTTCTCCCAACAAGCCTTCCGCTCCTCCTTCGACCCGTCGACATTGCCCGGCTAGGTGCGGCACCGGCACGTTCGAGAGCGACGAGCAAAAAGCCGCCCTTCCTTTTCCCGGCTCGAATGACCCCTTCGGCAAGGGCCCACCGCCGAAGCCCGTCATCAACTTCTTCCTCTTCGACCCCGGATCCATTCTTTTCCAGATGTCGGCCAACGTGTTCCATTCGCTCCTCCCAGGCTTTGCCCCCGTCGCTATCAACAAACTCCTCGCCGCAGAACCCGCAGCTACTCTCCTTAGGCGGCTTTCTGCGATCGACCCAGCAACGCGTGCGAATGACCTCGAGTTCTTTTTCAAAGTTGTCCCGTTCTTTCTTGCTGACGCTGTCGTCGCCCTTGCCAGCCACCACCCATGGTGCATGCATCCTTCGACAGTGTTGGGTGAAGAGATCCTTGCGGTTAAAGTCGTTGTACCCTCGATGATGTTCGCCCGCAACTTCAGGTGAACAGATCCCAAGGTCACAGCGGTAATAACCCAACTGCAGGTGTTGAGATGCCACATGCCGTTTCCATTCATTCTTGCTAGCAAAGACGGCGTGGCAACCGTAGTGATGAAAGGTGCAAACGAAAGACTTGAACAACGACACGCCGTGGGACGGTGGAGGTCTCTTGAACTTGGATCGCGATTTGACGGCGTGTGTAGCCGTTCGGCTAGTCGGCTGCTTGTGTACGCGAGGCTGTTTATCAGCCACCCCTCTCGCAGCTGGGTATTGGGACGATTGTAATGATTGTCGCATGGCACTGACGCAATGGCGCCTCGGTCGTGTTGTAGGAACAAAGTCGAAATCATGGTCGTCGTCAAGGGCACCACAATCTTCCCCTTCTCCTTCTTCTTTGATCTCGTCATCAATGGATTGACCAAGACCAGAGTCGGCCTGACTGGCCACTTCTTCGGACAAATCCAGCTCTTCGGGAAGGCTAATTCTGGAGGGGAGGATGTCTCTCTCGTCCATGGCCTCGTCTTCACCTTGAGGGTCTGGCGTGACCTGGAGGTCCCTCATACTCAACGCTCCCTGATGAAGGGGGACGGGTGTAGATGGAAGCGGCGGTACGAAGGTCTGTGAAGGCCCAGGACTCCAACCCTGACCACCCGGAGAAGAGAACGCATACGGCGAGGCATCAAAGTCGTCGTTCATGTGATAGCCAGAGAGGTCGTGTAAGCTCCCGCCGACGTCCGGGCTAATGGCATAATCGCTGGTGGAGGATTCGTTGCTGGAGAGGGCAAATCCCGCCGGAGCGGTTGGCGATAGGTAGCGCATGTATCGGGCCTGGTCGAAATCGTTCACCCAAGGATGTGTGAGTGCATTGGGATAGGGCATACTCTCCACATTCTGTGGTTGAAAGGAAGGGTGACCGAAGCCGTGGGCCACGCGATCGTAGGCCGTGTAGTGATGTGGAGGTTCAATCGAGCAGTGGTGCTGGTAACTTGTGTACATGTGGTGCCCTTGTAAAGGTCGAAGTTCGGGATCGATGCAGCTCAAGTGTGTGTTGCTCTCCGAGTAGGGTTCATGAGCCTCGTACCCGTATGTGTACCCTTCTTGGGACTCGGAGCACCCGTGGCACTCGCTTGTCAAGCTGTCGTGGTAGTGCGGGTACATATTGCCCACATCAAAGGGTCCAATGTCACGGTAGAGGGAGCGATGTCAACACAACAATAAGGAGAACGCCACGTGGAGATAGTCAGCAGACTTTGGCTGGCACCGATAGACAGTCGGTTGGAGGACAGATGCAATGTACTTTGGGGGAGAGTGGTCGGCTTGTATAAGATCAAAATCTACCCGAGCAGATGAGTTGTAGCAGTCTGGGCCACAAAGCGACCACTACTTCAGTGGCGCACCAAAGTAAGGAAAAGGGGGCCCAGAGTATCCTAGATCGCGATGTTGTCGATTGTCTAGTGACTTGACACGAGCATTCCCTCCCTGCAAAATCATCTGCTGCCCTTGAATACATGGATGACCGGCCACATCACAACGACTTGGGCATTGCAGAGCCTCAATACCACCCACAAGACAAGGGCAGCTTCACATTAGCCCAACAGGACTAGTTCGGTAGCGGTGTTGGCCTTGAGCAGGCGACGGGAAACGGATGGATGATGCGCGTTCCAGTGTCCTGGGTTTCAATTGTCCAAAAGATGGTCTGGAAAAGATCCTAGTCATAACCTCGCAAGCTGGTTGGTTATTGCATCACAACCGGTGTATGGATGTGTATTGGGGGTCTAAATCATGAGCCCTTCCGGAATCGACGTTCTTTCAGGCGGACCGCCCAAAAGTCGGCACCTGCAGTGCGCTGCCATCCACTCCCATTCCTAGAAGTCAAGCGCTTGCGCCGTGCAGGTCTCGAGCAATGTTTGGCTGCGTGCTGCATGCTAATCGTCCGCAGTGGCCAGCCCCTGCATGGTTCTAGCATGCCCGCAGGCAACCAGGTCACTGACTGTTTCGTTGGCCTGATCTGTGCTGGGATGGCCCTGTACGCCCGTCGAGGCGTTCGGCAAATTCCTGTCTAGACAATCTCCTACATGGACTTGTGACAAGAGCATCCTATTCAGGTAATGCATTGGCTTTCAGGTCTAGGTCGTCACGGCAGATCAACTCAACTGGACTGAGGAAGCTATGTCGCCAAAACAGGACATTAAGCAAAGGAGCAGGTTGTTGAACTGATTTGGGCGGAGCCTATCTCTTGGTGTGGCCGAGGAACCACACAAGTCTGGCTCGTACCTTAGTGTGCAGAAGTCCATCTGGAGGGCAGATTTGGCTCCAATACTCGGGTGGAACGAGGAGAAGGGTCGGCCCAGGTCGGCTGCTAGTACGTGGGTCGATCGGCATCGAAAGCTGTCGACGACGCAAACGATGGGAGAAGGAAGCTTGTTGAAACCAGACTCGTTTTCCCACCTTCGAGATTCGCCAGACCGCAAGCCACAAAGCCGAATGCTGCAATGGTGTGTGTGTGAGCATACAGAGGTACTATGAATATGCGCTCAGTTTGTTCAAATATGGAAAGGCGCTCTGCAATGGCATGGGCCGGCTCCCACGGATCCGTTCTAGGGCGATTGTGGCTGAAAGTACTCGGCGGAAATAGTCAGACGCCCTTGAGACATCTTGTGCATTCCTGACAGGGGTAATCGTGGTTTGTGGACCCATTTAACCTTGTAGTATATGCAGTGATGCGGCCCCAACCTAGGAAGGCAACCTCCCAAGCCAGTGGAAAAAAGTAGTGTTCGAAAAGAATTGGCGTACGCGAGGCAAAAGGCGACCGACCAAGTCAGACTTCGGAAGGCACAGTGGGAAGTAGCTGGTAGAGGTCAGGTATTATTGATTACTAGGACGCAGCTATCGTAGCAGAACCGGGATCCCAACATCATCACTGCCGACCATCGACCGGGGCGTCAGTGGAGGGATGGCCATCTCTGGGGCCAGCTAGTCGTTAGGGCTTGTGTCAAGGATGGGGGCCGATCGTTGATGACTCAAGACATGGTCGCCGGAGAGGGGACTACGGCCATTGCACATGTAAGGATACAGTGTTCGTTGTTCCAGGACTCGAGCTGGTGGTGTGAGGTGGCTGACTGAAGGTGGAAACGGCGCGCAGGTTGGCCTCATGGCGGCAGGAAATGGTCGGTCGAGGCGCAGGCAGGGAAGAAGACGTCGAGAAGGATGCTGGTATGGGACTAAAAGGCAGCAAAGAAAGACTTCTTGCAGAAACTACCTTGATCCTTGAATCTACCGCGTCATCTCTCAGGGAGAAAACATCGGTTGGGCATAAGGATGTGCCAAGGTATAACTGTGCAATCTCCTGTAAGTCTCTAGTGACGCTGCCGACGTGGCAGGCTTGAACTGCTAGGCGGCCACTGCAGGAAGATACAAAGCAATGTAGAGGTGCATGGTATGTAGTAGGTGAGTTGTTTGTAGGAGTGTCAAATTCCTGTGAGAGGCACAACAGTCACATTCCATCTTCCACTGCTGACGCCTTATTACGACTACCTTCAACTTACTATGAACCAACATCCCGAGAAATTACGTGCCGATAGTAGTATCAGATCTCTTGCCCCCGTCTATCTCTAGAGTTTGTAGGTGGATAGGCTGCTCAGCCTGATGAGCCCCAGCCCCTGTCGCTCACCCTTGCGGTCCGCGGCGGCTTCTTCCTCGTCTCCAGCCTTCAAAGCCAGCCTTCAAAGCCGGCCTCCTCCAACCTGCAGTTTCAATACTTTCGAAGATGGACGACTTGTCTCCCTTATGCATACCTGGATTAGCTCCCTCATTGGATCAGATCAACGACTGGCAGCCTCTCAGTGGTTTAGCATCCATCTAGCGCACGCAGTTGTGATGGTCCACGTTCAAGGATTAAGTCGCCCAGCTGCCTCAAAGAATCGACTATTTGCTCTGGTAGACGAGTCTTCCCTGGATGGTCCAGTCTCGCTACCGCCGCTGTCCCTCGTCACCCGCCGCTCGTTTCCACCGCCTGTCACTCTCGCTCCATGGTTGCAGACAGGGGCATGATCAGTGTGGAGATCCAAAAGAAGAGCAGGAGTCAGGAGAAAGAAAACCACATCGGCTTGTTGCCCTCGCTTACAATCTCACTACTGGCATGAAGGACCCTGGTTTCTGCCATCCCGGCCATCCTAGAACCTAGGTATTTCTGGCTTCTCGAATCTATCGGACCCTGTCCTTCCGAAGTCTCAGCATCCAGCAACCTCACGTTCGTCGTCTCCCCATGATCCAACAAGACAATCACTGGCCTGCCTAGATCTCTTTTCCACGTGGCCTCCTTGCAAGCCTCTTTGATCAGATCGAGTCGCCAGTCTTTGGCCCGTGTAGACCTCCCTACACCCTGATACCCTTTGTTTCGGCCTACCTAGGACGCTCTGGCGGAATCAACGTCAACCCCTGCCATTTACGTGATGCTTGTCGCTATTCCAGAAGGGAGGACGAGGGTTTCTCATCACGTCGTATGCTAGTCTCTCCCACTTGAACTGGTCTCACTCTAAGCCTTGGATCTCTCTCGTCCTCTCAACCATGCGTGTCAATTGCTGAATGCCCGTTTCGGTTGCATGCCTGACATGTACCCCATCTGTTCAGCACCGCCAGTGTCGTCCTCTTTTAGACCTACTAGGCTCATTCGCACCACAAAGGAAGGACATTCCTTTCCCGAAAGGTGGTAGCCCCTTTAACCGGCCGTAGTTTCTTCTTACTGATCATTGACCTTGGGCCCTGTGCCATAGTTTAGATGATGCTCACAACCATGTGTATGCATTTTGGCTTCGGCCTTGGAGTTTGTCGGTGGCCGAGGTGTCAAATTTCGCGCACCCTCACTCGGATTCCCTCATTGTCGTACCAATCGTAGTCCTGGCTGTGTCGTGGCGCGTGTCTTTCAACAACTGTTAACTCATCCCCGGGCTTCAGGATACTTCGGCCTCTTGGTTGTCCCTCCAGGGGTCGAGACCTAGATCGCCGACGCTGAGGACCACCATATGGCGTTTGATCGCGGTCGTTTTCATCCATTTCCAGTCCTGCCATGTACCCCAGGGATGATGAAGGAGCCGGAGGTGGGCTTGGTGCATACACCAACTGGCGCCCGCGTCTATCATGGCGTAAAGCTGCAGTTCCCTCGTCAGTCTCCTCATCCACCTGCTCTGAAATGGCAGCCTTTGGAAGAGTCATCATACCACCATTATCGTCGACATTAGTCTCCCTGCTTCTCAGACGACCACGTCGAGCCGATCTGGATCGTGTTCTTCTGTGTGTTTCTTCACCATCTCCCTCGTAATGATCGGCTGCATGGTAGTGATCGGAGTGCAGACGACGTTCGTGGACATGTGGTGGCATCGCTCTCACTTGGGCCAGAGGTGGCCCCTGCTGTGGCGGGTATCTCTGTTGAAAAGGCCTGACGGGAGGCTGTGCGATGTATTCGTACCGTTCAACATGATGCTCTGCCTCTTGTGGGATCTCTACGTAGACGTTCGAATATTGTTGTCGGATGGTTCTCCGCCCTCGCGACGAGGCCCTCGATGGGATACGTACACTGCCCCTGTCAGTCCGTATGTCCCTAAAGAGATAAAACTCCGTCCTCACCGTCTAGGGATCTCATACTCATATTCTTCTTCGTCAAGGTCTCTGGGATCATCGAAAGTCCTTCGGTCACGAGGGTCATCCTGGTACGATACTCTGGCACCTCGAGGCGACAGTCGCAATCTCCGTCTATGTGACACCGAGGCGGCACGACTACGACGACGTTCTTTGTCGTGGACTCGGTCTCGTTCTAGTTCTACCGAGTCCGAGTCCGAACCTGTAGAGTTTCCGTACCTTGAGTAGCCGTCATCGGGCGATCGGCCACGGCGCGTGGAATGGGCCCGCCTGCGAGACTGATGGTCTTGCCTTCTATACACCGACTTGCTTCTCTGTCTCAGGCGGCGGGGACGGCGATGCAGTGAATTGCTTGATCGATAGCTGTCGGAGCTACTGTAATCTTCGCTGTCGGTAGCTTGTTCCCGGCATTTCCGACATATTGTCTTACAAGGGAGCTGGCCAGTGGGTATCGGATGTTGGTAGTGATATCTTGTAGACCTGAATCTTCCGCAGACATCACACTTGTATCTCATATCGGATGGCGTGATGACAGGAGGCATTGGAGTGGCGTGAAGCCCTTGGGGTTGGCTGCGAATAGGAATTGTACCAGGAGGAGCTGCAGCGAAATGTGAAGGATGACTTTGAAACGGGACCGGTTGCTGGAACGAAGGTTGGGGTTGTGCTGTCATGGGATGAGGCGGTATGGGATACATCGAAGGAGGCTGTACAAATGGAAATAAATGTGGCGGCGGGTGTGCAAAGTGCGCTGGCTTGTCGTGGCTTTGGAGTTGAGGAGGTTCTGGGTTCTGTGGAGGAGGCAGGAGGTACATGTTCACAGGCTGAGCTTGGGCTTGTGAGGTAGGATCCATGGGACCGGGATTGTTCGTTGGGCCAGAAGGAGGATACGGTGAACTGGGCGCAGGCAAAGCGAGAAAGTTGCCAGACGTAGAAACGCCCTGAACCTGGACATGTCGACCCAGGCGCGAGTCCCTGAAAGACAAGAGTGAGCGAGCATTCCGAGGAAGCAAAGCTTCGAGCAAAAGTCTTCTGGTAGAAGGTAGCTTCGGCTTCCGTCTGACAAAATATGCACGGCCATCGCGACCACGCTCAATCCAGATCGAGGAGCGATCCATGATCAGGGATCAGTTGCTGTCTTCGTGTTGGCAAAATGAAACGCGGAAGGAAGTCAGGTATAGGTGATGGCAGGGTAGAAACTCACCCAGTGGTAGAATTGTCGTCGTCCCGCCACCCGAAGTAGGCGTCGTATGAAGGATAGTACACGCGCGAGTTCGCTGGGTTCGAGCAGCTGCCGTTGCCAGGTACTTGCCACATGATGATAGAGCAGGATGGGGAAATCAAGGAGGCAGGTGGGTGCGGTGGACTTGAAGAGGAGGGATAGACAGCGCAGGTGCCTGTTTTACCAGACTGCTACACAAATCCTGCGCAGGCTGTTCTAGTCAACTGGTGGTGCAAGAGGCTGGATTTCCCAATACAAGACCATATCATTTGAGAAACCCGTGGCTATGAGTGAAGAAGAGCAACTTGTTCCTACAGGGAAACCGATGCTTAAGTGAAGTAAATGTAGTAGCAAGGCGGCATGGTATCAAGGATTCAAGAAGTGATTCCCATACTCTGCGTTATTCATTGCGTTGAGCACCACCAAATCCCACCTTACCTTCACTCATATGCCAGTCAAAGAGAGCAAAAAACTTTTCCACAAACCCCGCTGATATGGGGGTTGTGGGAAGAGAAACCCTAGGTATGTTGAGATAGGATTTTTCCGTAGGTGTTGTGCCATCAGGTCGAGTCAATATTGTAGTCCTTGGTGCCGAAAAGTCGGCCGGCCGGTCATGATCATGAATCGAACCGAAGTCTTCGCAGGGTTTCGCCTAGAGCATGCCTTCCACTTAGCTGTCGACTTCCCAACTCTCCTTTTGCTTGACGGTTGAGCTATCATGGCTGAATTTCCTCCACTAAGTGGCGCGCTTCGAACTCATAGGGGTCTTTGCGTTATGACCATTCTTTGGTGGAAGATAGTTATAACCCTTTAATTCTCTGGTCATGTGGTCACTGATGCTCCCTCGATGTTCACCTGGTTGCCTCCCCAGGTATGTTTCGCATCGGTGCTTGTCCTGCATTCTTTGGCCTTCATGCCGCTGCTTCGAGGTCCATCAATAGCGCTTTCCGTCGTTCCGGCCGCATTGAAGGCTGCCGCTGTTCTTGTGCATCATAGATTCTGTGCTTGGGCTGGTGATTGTTCTCAAGGCGAGTATCGGTGTCATCGAGTACACGCACTCCGTGATCCCTCTGCGGCCTCGAGGGACAAACCCTGAGCGGATAGCATCGTGGCTCGAGATCAGCCACTGAGTACATCAGTCAAAAACCTACCGGTCGGCGTCTTTCTCAATCCGCTACGATTTTAGAGGGGTCATCCTTCATCCAGGTCGACGTTCAACAGGACCACGTCATACATAGTAGGCAGGATACCTCCAGCGGAGGTCTTTTATTGACCAGATCGAATCTCGTCATGGGCCCTAAGCGAAAAAGTACAACAGACACGAATATGCTGTCTACACAGTACTAAGGAGTGGTAAGAAGGTCATCGTTGCAGACGCGGAAGGAGCTTATGACGAAGATGTGGCCTTCAAGTTGGTGGATTGTCGTCCCTTGGCAGGTGTCATTTCGAATAACCCCCGATTGGCGGATTGATCTCCTCGCCGTTGTTGCGCCACAGCCTTGATTGAAACGCAACTCCATCTTTCCAAGAAGAAGTTGGCGAGCTACGTGTACAGAGGCTTGGATTTGACAAGTACGTGGTGTGCATTTACCTCTGGAGTGGCTTCTGTCTTTGCTATGTCACTGTTGTTCCTATAATCTCAGAAACTATTGCCGTTTACATACAGCGGTGTCATGCCGCCGCTGTTTGCTGTCTACAACTTTAGTAACAAATAAACGATGGCACCCGTCACCAAGAACGATGTCTCTCTCTACCGCAAAGATGTGGCCTCCGGAGGCCGCGCACTCACACCTGCAGAGCGTGAAAAGCTCCTGCGGCCATACCTCCCACCTCCGCAATCAGAATCCAACAAGATGAAATCAGGATTGTCCGCGACTGCGACGCAGAAAAGGCACAGGGGCCACAGACCTAGGCTTCGGCCATTCCTCAAATCGAAGCTTCATTTCATCTTGTTCTTCCTCATTCAGTTGGTTTTTGGCATCTACATCCGCCTGCGTCAAATCTACCATGCCATTCTCGACCGCTTATTAGCCATCCGACATTACCATCACCGCAGCCCCGAACTCATATTGAGAGATGTGCAAAACCTCGAACGGATACCCGAGCATTTGAGTGTGATACTCAAATTCAAGTCGGAGGAAGATGGCGGACTAGAGGCCCTGATGGACGAGGTTGCTGAGCTCTGTGCCTGGTCGGCGGCAGCAGGAATCCCGTTATTGAGTGTCTATGAAAAGTCGGGTATTCTAAAGACATATATGTCGTCTCTACAGAAAATGGTGGAGCAGAAGCTTGTCGCCTATTTCGGCCGTCCTCCTGCAGCACCAATTTTGAGCGTCTTTGCTCCGAACCACCCATCTACCGGTTCATCGCCTTTCCCCTCGCCTCAAACATCGGTCCAATCGACCGACAGGCATCCCTCAACGGTTGACCAACGCCAGCGCTTCAATCTCCTTCTACTGTCGGCAAGTGACGGGAGAGATACTCTGGTTGACCTGACCAGAACTCTAGCGGAGATGTCTCAAACCCACAAGCTCAACCCTAAGGATATCACGTCAAATCTAATCAACACCGAAATAAACGCCACCACATCCATCTCGGGTCTACGAGAGAGAGACGGTCACAGCGTTAAGCCTCCGGGTAAAGAAGTCGACCCAGCAGAGCCTGACCTCGTCATCGTTTTCGGGCCCTACGTCAAGCTCGATGGATACCCACCCTGGCAAATCCGACTCAGCGAGATTTTCTGCGTGGGTGACTCTGGCGGAGATGTCTCTGGCAGCCGTAGCACGAGGGTGGAATATCAGGCCTTATTGAGGGGTCTATGGAGATATGCTGGCGCGGAAATGAGGTTCGGGAGATAGCAGGAGACTTGTATCGGCAAGCATTTCTACAATACAAGTAGACGGCTGCCTGATATTCAATCGTCTCGGCTACATGAGTCCATTTGAAGCTCTCTGGGGAATATCTGATCTCTCCTAAGCTAAAATGGAGGAGCAAGCGCGCGACCTGATCATCACGCCGTCCTCGTTGCATCCGTAAGCGGGCCATGATTTTGGCCCTTTGACGATGTCCTCACCAACAGACATGCTTTCCGCACGAAGGGAAATCTAAAAGAAAGCGGTAATGCTCCCTCCCGCAACATCATTTGCAAGCGAGACATTTCTGTTTAAGACGGTGGTGTTCGCCGGGTTGAGCCTATTGATGCTCTGTCCATCTCACCCTCCAAGTCGTGCACTTAGATGGCCTCGGAGACGTAAAGGGGATTGGAAGGAGATAGGCGGATCCTGCGTCTGTCAATCCACAGCTACTTCCCCCGATACGACCAAAACTGAACTTACGTCGTCATACTAGTATATCAATCCCAGTCATCATTGACCCGTGGGCTGCAGCCGCGAGTCGACATCGGTCTGTTGCGGGTGAAAGATCGGACATGCTTGATGGAGCATCATCACCTGTTCGGCCATGGGGTTCGAGCTGGATAGACGACAACATACAGCCACAGCAGCGAAGTGGGCTGCCGTGCCTTCTCAATTGGAACATGTGCTGGTATGTTGTATTCAAAAAGGTTGACCTGGCCAATGCCAGCTAGCGCCTGTTCGAGTCTCAGTCATCACAATCATCATCATAACCAGTATACATTTCCCACAGCTCGTCATTCTTGTCCGTTGTAATCAACGCGTGGAGGACCCGCTCGTATGTCCACATTGTGACCGCGGATGCTGGAGCAGCCTACATGTTCTCGGGTCAGAATCATCACGCCATTCAAACCATGGTCCTTGCGTTTGTGCCTTACCTTGATCAGACTGACGGTCAGGCCGCGGTACCAGCCCCTAAAGCCTTCTCTCTTCCAAATCATCGCTAGACCGCGTATCACACCCTTGTATTCGGGGATGTTCGTATGAACGTAATGCGTTCTCGTGGGGCCCTGCACCTGGAGTCTCTTCCTCATCAGATCCAGTGGGAAGACAGCCGTCTTGGCACATATGCTGGCAAGGATCCCTGCACTAGCATCGCCCGACCCGAACGGCAAGGTCTTGCCACCGATGTGCTGGTGTAGGAACTCGTAGCTGCTGAAAAAGAGGCCCATGTACGGCACGATCTGGCCCACAGCGGCACTCAGGCCCCTGAAGAATCCGCGAAAGCCTTCTCTCCGACTGATGTCTCGTACGGCATAAAACAAGCCTTTGTAGACTCGTTCGGGCCCTTGCGCGGCGAACCTCGTCCGGAGAAGATCCAGGGGGTACGTAGCCGTGGTTGCGCAAGCCCCGGCCCCGGCACCACTGATAAATGACTCGACAGACGGTGGAGCGCGTTTTGGCAAGAGACTCTGAGCCTGGGTGATGGAGCGGTAGGCCGTGAACTGCACGCCGCCGTAGCAGACATACATCAGCTCCGCTGGGATGTTGCCTTTCCATAAGGCGCGGACCCCTTCTTGCCGGACGATTGCTCTCAGAGTCGAAAAGGCCCCTTTGTAGATGGGACCTTTGATGCCATCGCACGACAGGGGATCCGAGAGCGAATGCGGCTGAAGCTGCAGTCTGATCTTGACGACGTCGAGAGGTGAGATGCAGAACCGGGACACGAGGCCTGCTACTCCGCCAGCGATTACAACCTGCTGTTTCGTGCCCTGTGAGGTGATGAGTATTGCGATGGGTGTTGGGGGTTTGTCGATAGGATAACTCCGTCATCACTCACCTCATCCTTCAGCCGCTCGATGTCGCCGGGCATGCGTTCGAGTTGTCTGGTTATCTGCTGCCCTGCACAGTGGCGATGAGCTGTACAGAGAAGACACCCAGCTGATATTTGGAGAGATGGAAATGAGATTGGACGAGTAGATGACGTTGCATCCTTTTTGTTTATCAAGGTTGCATCTTGCACGCAAATGGAATAGTTGAAGTTCGTCACAGAGTCGGCGAGTCGGAGGATCGGGGCTTAATTGCGCGATGAAGTCGGTGGTGGCACGTGACTGCGCGTTAAGTGCAAATTATGGGCGCGATCCTTTCTCTCGACAACTTGAACTTGACATAGCATTAGGCATCTACTAATAGGTATCCATCCGTATACTCCTCAATCCTGGTCAATGGCATGGGCAAACTATGGCGCAATACATACGCGTGTAGCCAGGCAGATCTCCATCTGCAACAGGTCAACCATTCCAGCCCTGTTGGGGGTGTTCTCTATTTCATGTCTTTTCGCCACCTGATGGCAATGTTCGATATGGACATCCGCATAGCTGCCTGCCTTTCACTTGTCTCTCGTACCTCCTCGGATATTATGCTTATGTTCCGAAGAAACGAGCTCCGAAAGAATGAACTTTAGCAAAGTTAACTTGTCTGCTTGAGTCGAAGATAGGCCTCAAAGCGCCACTCGAACGCCTCGAGCTGCCATGGATGTCCTCCGAGCAGACAACAGGGTTGTTTGTCTTTCATTACCGCCTAGACAAGACTCTCGTAGTCACTTTGTTTGTGCCATTTGCGCGTTGACATGTCTGCAGTAGTAAATAGAAATGTGGTGAAGCGCGTAGGAACAAATAAAGAGCCCTTTGAAGTCAAGGCTCCGCATGATATCCAACCGCAACTTTGTTGTAACCGCGTCATGAGTTCCTGCGAATTTTGACCCCCACCGCCGCGCTCTTCTCTCGTTATCTGTATGCGCAAGCCCTACTATATAGCATTTTACCATTGTCGCGTTGTCATTTTCTGATGATGGTTGCCGTGAAGGCCTTGCTGCCATGTTCCGAAACCCTCGCGACAAGGTGGCTGTAGACGCTGCCGGTGCAGTTTTGCCCTCAACCGGTCGTCCTCCCACTCCGCCTACCAACCGCAACAACAACCAACCGCACCGCTCCCCCTACTTCTCTCTTACACCTGCAAAACCAAAGAAAGTGGTCCCAATGGTGAACACTCCGCTTCTCGGTCGGCAATTGGGTATCAAACCTTCCAGCACAAAGAAAGAGACCATGCGCCAGAATTCCATCCTCAGTTTCTTCAATAAGCCCGACAAGAAGGATGAACCTCAAAAACACACTGCAGCCAGCGCTCCCTTGTTTTTCCAGGATGGTCGAAGCAGACCTGAAGATCCGGTAGTTGCCGAGACAGTATCCCGCCGCTGCAATGTTTCGGACCAAGAACGCTTTAATGAGCTGGAAGGGCCCGTGAAGAGGAGGCGAACTCTTGAGGAGGACTCGGACTTCATTGTTCGCACGCCCTCTCCAGAACTAAGACTAGGTACCAACGACCCGAACGGGCTCAAGGATTCGGATACCGGGGTCACACATCAGCCAAAGCCGCAGAAGCGGCGAGGCGGGTTCCTGGCAGATTCGAGCGACGAAGAAGATGACAGCTGGGACGCTGTCCTGCACAACGCCAGTAACCAGCTCGATAATGCGGGCGAAGCACAGGAGAACGACCTGCTTGACTCGGCCGGCAGTGACATCGAAACGAAACCCGGGGTAACCAATTCTTCGTTGAAGCCCGCTGATCTCGACGACATCGAACCTAACGGCTATGATAGGCATGAGCGCACCCGAAGTAAACCGACCACCGTACCCGGCCTGAATCATGAGGCAACGAGCATGTTCGCCGCAGATGAATTCGGCGAGGAGGATGATTTTGAGAACGATGAGTTCTTTGAGGGGGGCGAGGAATACATGGAAAGACGCTGGATGCAAGAGCAGCGTGAACTGGAAATGGGTCTGGACGAAGACTCGAGATCGGAAAGTGGCGCGGAGGGTATCAGAACACCCCGGAGTTACGTCGAAGGCGACGTCCAGGCCCAAGGTGAAGAAGGTGATGGTCTCTCAGTCTGTCCGATCTGTAACGGGAGCATGAAGGGCCTTTCCGAAGCTCAGGCTTCTTCTCATGTCAACGCCTGCCTTGATGGCCATGCCGAACCACTACCACCAAAAGAAGCCGAGCTCAGCAAAATAGTTCCAAAAGACACGGCAGATGGACCTTCCCGTCATGGCACCCCTGCCGACAATTTCGATGGCCCAACTCCAAAACGCTTCCAGCGTGCTGCGATTGCGCGCCCTGCGCAATCCAACCCGTTCGCCGTCGGAAGCAATGCGAAGGGGGGCTCTGCCTTTACTCGCTTGATGTCTGGACATGCCGAGGATACTGCCTGGGCAGAGGCAGCAGCAAATGAGGTGCATTCTCGGGGCAAGCCTGCGTACCAGCGGACCTGTCCCTTTTACAAGATCATGCCGGGGTTTTCTATCTGCGTTGATGCGTTCCGCTATGGCAAGGTTGAAGGCCAGAATGCCTACTTTCTCAGTCACTTCCACAGTGACCACTATATTGGTCTTACCTCGTCCTGGCGTCACGGCCCGATCTACGCCAGCAAGGTTACCTGTAATCTCATGGTACAGCAGCTGAAGGTTGATCCGAAATGGGTTGTACCGCTCGAATTCGACGAAAAGGTCGAAGTACCCAACACGAATGGAGTGCACGTTACCATGATCCCTGCCAACCACTGTCCTGGATCATCACTCTACTTGTTCGAGAAGGTCACCGGTAAAAATAGGGACGGGTCCACAAAGACGACTCGAATCCTTCATTGTGGGGATTTCCGCGCATGTCCTGCGCACGTTGGCCATCCTCTTCTGCGACCTGATGTCGTTGACAGCCTCTCCGGGCAGATCAAGCAGCAAGTCATTGACACGTGTTACCTCGACACCACATATTTGACACCCAAATACTCCTTTCCCAGCCAACAAGACGTGATCGATGCCTGCGCTCAGATGTGCGTGAGTCTGTCCAAGGAGATCGTCGATACAAAGGACAGCTGGGAGAAGACTAAAGCAGACCGAGCTGGCAGCACGATGAAACGGTTTCTGGAACAGGGCGAGAGCAATCTAGCCAAAGACGCTGACCACGAGGACAAGACGGTAAAGCCCCGGGGTCGTCTCCTTGTTGTCATCGGCACCTACTCGATTGGCAAGGAGAGAATATGCCTGGGAATCGCGAAAGCCCTGAACTCCAAGATCTACGCGCCCCCCTCGAAAATGCGCATATGCGCCTGTCTGGAGGACGACGACTTGAATGCACGACTGACCTCGAACCCTCTCGAAGCACAGGTCCACATGCAGACACTGATGGAGATCCGAGCCGAAACACTGCACGAGTACATGACATCCTACAAGGGTCATTTTGCCCGCGTTGTTGGTTTCCGACCTACCGGCTGGTCCTATCGTCCACCTACTTCACGCTTCACAGAAAATCCGGCAGTAAGCACGGTTCTACATTCCGACGGGTGGAAGACACGTTACACAATGCGTGATCTGGCACCTCAACGCGGAAGCACAAGAGAATCCAACTGTTTTGGGGTGCCCTATTCTGAACATAGCTCGTTTAGAGAGCTCACCATGTTTTGCTGCGCGCTACGAATCAATCGAATCGTGCCCACTGTCAACGTCGGCAGTGCCAAGAACCGGGAGAAGATGAAGGCCTGGATCGAAAAATGGGACGCGGAGAAGCGTAAGAACGGACTCTTCAAGGTTGAGGTCGGGGCTGAAGGCTGGGGCAGTGGAGATGGCAAGCTGCAGTATGGAGTGTAAGAAGATTGAAGTTGATTCAGATGCCAAAAAACGTCACATATGTAGACATGCAACTCTGTTAGACGTCAATTGCTCGAGAGCGATACAAGCTTCTGTAATAAAAGAAGCGACCCGAGAGTATCGGGATTGCGGCTCCATTGCGCGGAATCGCCTCCTATGGTCATGCAAGTCCATTGGAGGACTCGCCAACAGTTGTATGCTTGGGCTGCATCAATCCAACCATCGTCCGGTTAACTTTGGCCCTCTGCTTGCAACTCCAGTCTCCGGGGAAGGGGACGAAATCCTCTGCTCGCCCCCTTCTCTGCTCTGCATTCCCACTTTTTAGAATTGTTGAGCAAATCTGGTTCAACTTGCATGGTGATTGCGTACTAGCAGTTCGTGCAAATTCACACACGAGAAGCTGCGCCGTTGCTGGCTCTCCGGGGCAGCAGATCTGATTATAGCCACCCGGGTCCCGTGTCCCGAGCACCTGAGAGTGCTACCAAGGTTGTCACCCGCAGGACATCCCTTTCTCTTGGGAACGCGTCGCATCGTAAGGCCGACTCCTTTTTATTCCATATTTCGCAGAACGACATGCCATGAAACCTCATCATGATCATGCAGCTTTCCCTTTCTGTGCCATCGCCTCCCGACGACACGCATCCTCAAGAAGCCCACGGTCGACCTTGTCCGGGGGCAGATGGACGTATCGTACCACAGAGCCGCGGATGAAGATGTTCTTCACGGAGCTCAAGTGAGGGTATTTGAGTTCGTCGAGGACCACGATGTCGTCGAGTTTGATGTTTAGGTACTGGTCGACGGATTTCAAGGTCCCGCGGATGGAAATGTCGTTCTTCAACTCGACGGTCACGGTTTGCTGGGTCAACGTCTTGAAGAAGCTATTGTTCGATGGGGAGTCAGTTGTAGTGAACTTGGTGTTTTGAATGGGGTAATGCGACGGGTTTGATTTACCTGAAGAACAACATATTGGCGGTGGTGTAGGTGAAACTGTCGCGAAAAAGAGATTGGGACTTGCGCCCTACAGCATAAGGAGGAGTTCGTCTGGCGGAATGATTGATCGTGAGCCAGTAGCAGCGCAATATCACAGAGCCTCGTCCCGTTCGATGAGCTGCGGACTGGGATCGGAGTCGTGCAAAATAATGCCAAGACCAAGGCGATGATCATTGGATCTATCCTAGTTAGGTGCTACTAACTTGAAGTAGTTAGGTACATACTGATACAGTACTGGTGCTACTAGCAGCGTGAAGATAAGTACTAATCCGTCCCAACTCATTCTAATTCGGAACTTGAAGGAGGCCGATGCCGTCCAAGGTAGTACTAGTGGGTACCTGGTAGATAGGATACCTATGATGTCATCTGTCGGTTTCCTCAACCTCGACTGCGACCCTTTTGCACCTTTTTCGTCTCATTCAATAGTACTGTACTTCCATGTGTAGGTCCCTGTTTTCAGAGGCTGAGGCGAAGAGCGATCTGAAGCATGGGGAGCGATCTCGAGCTCGCAGACTCCTTGCAGCCAACTTGAACCCTTCAAAAGGACAAGCAAGGTCACAACGGTTACGTACCCTGGTTCAGGGCCCCAAACCGCCGCTCGTTGGAGGACGACTTCAAGTTGCCACTTAATTGTGGCGCTTCCCACGATCGGGTGATGGTTGTCTGATTCGCGCGCACAATCCATGTATGATGTCGTCTCTGCCGGTACAGAAAGAACCCTGAACAGATGCCTTGGTCAACGAGTCTATCTCTGCTCCAGGCGGCTCTGGTTTGTTCGTTTCCCAGATCAACAGGTTCCACCCAACTCCGCCTCAGCCATCTGGCCAGTGAGAGAGGCTGCGCAAGATTGCCGGCCCTCACTCATGTTTGCGACATGTGCCTGGTTTTAGTTCTGCATCAAGTCGCATTCTCTACCTTGAACTGTGTGTTGTTCTTCTCGTTTCCCCAAGTTCTCGCTATAACTGTTCCTTTCTCTAATCCCCTGTGGGATCAGATAACGCGTGCTCCATCAATTAGAAGACAGGATCACATTCGTTCGCCAATAGAGCCAGATGCCATTGAATATCAACAAACCCTCCTTGCTACGCCCGCAATCTCATCGCCTATAGATGTCGGAGACTCAGCTTCGCACTCGTGCACACGCAGGTGTTGAATATGCCCTCCAGTCGGAGAAACTGTCCCTCGAGTCCTCCAGTCAGACTGTCGACGGTGAGGACCATGGCGTCGCCGTTGAAGCCAAATTCATCACCCCCCTAGACCCGGTCATCGAAACCGCGGACGGCAACAGATTGCCTTCTGTCCCTGTTCCGGAGGCGCACAAGATCAATTTACTGAAACACAAGGCTGAAGGCCGATCGTACCGTCCCACCCCAGTGCGACCAAGAGGGCTGAGCAGGTTCAACTTGGGTGAAGATGCGAAGCCTACACAGGCGGAGCAGGAAGTACAAGCAGATGCTGCTCAAGAGGAAGAGAAACAAGCGGACCGTGAAAGCACAGATACCCATCTGGACGAGGCAATCCCGCCGTCGCATACACACCCTCTCTTCCCTCCCCTCCCTTTGTATGGGCCTCCATCGTTCACACGTCAACTACAATGTGCAATTTTCCGGACCACGTCCTTCTTTCTATCAAACGCTTTCTTAGCTGTTATTGTTCTGGGGGCGGTCTTCACCTCCATCCCAACGCTGTTACATCGCTGTTGGCTGTGGTTGACATTTCGCAATCCCGATTCTCAAAGACCCTTCTACGACGAAGAACTCAAGCGGGCGGAAATACGCAAACAGCAAGACGCTCAATGGCTCACGAGACAACGAAAGTCCGGACAGACTCAGCCTGACAAGGCGAGGCTGCCGTCACTCTCAAATGATACCTACGAACCACTCGAGGGCGGGCCTGACAAGCTTATCTGCGACATTCGCTACTATGCGCGTCGAGTTGGGCTAGACGCGGAAGAGTTTAAAGTGCAAACCGAGGATGGCTTCATTATCACACTGTGGCACGTTTACAATCCCACCGAATATACACCAGCCACCGAGTCTGTGCGGAAGCCCACCTCTCCTGAAGTATTCACTGGTGAGGGAGACGGTCTTCATGGACACGTGCAGCAGCAGTACCACGACGGCAATCGGAGATACCCAGTGCTCCTGATTCATGGCCTGCTGCAAAGCGCCGGGGCGTATTGCACAAATGATGATGGCAGTTTAGCTTTCTTCCTCTGCAAATCTGGCTACGATGTATGGTTGGGCAACAATAGATGCGGGTTCAACCCTGAGCACAGCCTCCTGCAGTACAACGACCCACGGATGTGGGCCTGGAATATTCGACAGATGGGTGTCATGGACCTACCGGCGCTGATGTCACGGGTGCTTGAGGAGACCGGCTTCGAAAAGCTCGGTCTAGTTTGTCATAGTCAGGGCACGACGCAGACCTTTGTGGCACTGGCGAAAGAGCAGCGACCCGATCTAGGGGACAAGATTAGTGTGTTCTGTGCTCTTGCACCGGCCGTGTATGCCGGGCCGTTGATCGGGAAGATGTACTTCAAGTTCATGCGGGTGATCTCACCAGGCATGTTCAGAGTCTTCTTCGGCATCCACAGTTTCATACCCTTCATGCTCACCATGCATCGAATATTGCCAGGCAAACTTTATGGCGCGATGGGATATTTGGTATTCTCTTTTCTCTTTAACTGGACCGACACTCGGTGGGACCGAGGACTACGAGACCGACTATTTCAATTCTCACCCGTGTACGTGAGTGCCGAGAGTATGCGATGGTGGCTGGGTCGCGAATGCTTCGCGAAACACAAGTGCGTGCTGGCTACTCAGGAGGAAGGGCACCAGGAGGAGATAGAAGACGAATCCGAGGAAGAACAGCAAGAAGATTGCATGGCGCAGCGATCCGACCGGGCCAAAACTGCGTGGTATGACGAACACGTTCCGCCGATGGCCTTGTGGGTAGCTGGGAGCGATGACCTGGTCGACGGAAGGAGGCTCCTGAGGAGATTCGAGCGAGGCCGTGAGCCCCACGTGAATGTGGTGCACAGCAAGGTAATTGAAGAGTATGAGCATCTCGACGTGATTTGGGCTTTGGACGCAGTAGAGCAAGTCGGCAAGGAAGTTCGAGATGTCTTGTGGAAGACGATGCCAGAGGAGGCGAAAAAGATTTGCAGAACGATATCCGGCGTGGACAACAGCGATCCAGACGCTGATCCCGGAAGCCCAAAATCGGAGGCGCAGGAGGAGAAATCACCATGAGCATTCTTTGGATGTCTCTTGAGGGAGAGGCATGATGATGACTTTTCTTCAACTGGCCCGCATAGAGCTAGAGCACACGACATATGTTTTGATAGATACCCAGCGACGCCACAAACCCCGTACAGTATATGATTGTCCTCAATTCCGGGTCTCGTGTATTTCGCTTCACTTCCCTCTGCTTTATTTTGCTTTGCTTCAACGGCACCCTCCCGGGTTCCAACAGCCTGACACAATGCAGTGCTAATATATTTTCCCAACATAATTCCCTTCAACAATCAGCTTGCAACCAACCTTGTTAGGGCCCGCTGGTGTATGTGGTAACTGCGTCAAGTTTCCGACTACTCCTCAGAGGCGACGGCTAAGGAACGAAGTTCAACTGATTTGTTACTCGCCTTCCCCTTCCCCCGGCCCAAAAAAAAACCCGCCCAACGAGGGTTTTCACTTATCTCCAAATGCACCGCGATCTAATGTGGCTGCTTTGGAGGAAAAAGTTTTTGAGGTATCCATTGAACTTGTATTTCGAACACGGCGGTAGTGTGGGTTGACTGACAGTGAATCACGGCAGCACGTGTTGTGCAGGATGCACGCTTGGAATCGGGCGCTTCACTCGAGTAGGAGGTGAGTCGGAAGTTCAGCTTGAAGCATGAAGCATGAAGCATGAAGTGTGAAGTGTGAAGTGTGGATTGTAGTACGTAGTATTTTGTTTACTTGCTCGATTTGGAAGGGCCATGCGAGAAGACAAAAGCTTCGCCTGCCGTGACATACTAGTACGTACTAATACAACCTGCCAGTGGTACACTACTCCATAAGATAAGGTGGTAGATAGGTACGCGACGGATACGAGCCGCATACCGATGGATATGGAACAGTCCAGGTTGTCTGTGTTCTAATTGAGTGGTACGAGAGTCTTGCAGGAGAAGAAGCAACGACGTCTACAATTAAGAGTTTAGACAGACCATGGCCGAGACAGAAACGGCAATGCCATATGGCAACATATCAGAGGGAGATAAATGCTAGCTTCTCTTACAGGTTTCACAGCGGTATTATTTCAATAAGCTGGATAACATGTTTTGTGTCAGCAGCATCGAGCAACTGATAAGGCACGGTACCAATGTACAATCAATCATCGAAGCCATCTGTCCATTTTCGTCCTCTTTTGATGCAGTGCAGTGTGACATTGATCGGGTTCCTCCATTGTTAGATCGTCAAGACTAGGTACCTCATATAGATACCCAAGTTGGACTTGGACTGGTTCCGCGACGTAACTATCCTGCCATCGCCTGTAGTCAACCATCTTATCGATGGATCTCAGTTGACGACAACGTCCTCGTGGGAGAACTGTCAAAGCAGGGATGACGGGCGATAAATGATTCTACTGGTTGAAGGCATCCCCCGGGGAGCCTCCTGAGCCATCACTTTAATGAGGCGGGAGTTACGTAGTAGTAGTAGTACGGACGATGCCTCCCAAAAAAGCCCGAGGAAGAATCCCAGGCGTCGTAGTACAAAGTAGTAGGGGGCTAAGGAGGCCAGGCACTAGTATCGCTAAGGGCAAGGAGACCCTTAGGCCCCTTATTTAGCCCTTACGTGTTCTCCTCACTCTCCTCAACTGCGATAACTCGTATGACGATGTATCATTTGCTTTCTTCTTGCTGCTCCATCTTCCTTATCTCTTGACCTTCGCCAACCATCAGCCACTCACCATCCATCAACACCTGGTCATTCGCTCCAGCATCGTTGATGGCCGGTGGAAACTGAACTTGTCCTCCGATAACCAGCATCAACTTGCCCGATACGGACCTAGTTTCGTCCATCCCACGAGCGAACCATGCCTTGTCTCCTCCCAAGGTCCCTGCGCCTGTCGCCTGGATTGTATGAGGCACACGAGGTCAGACCCATGCTCATCGACTGCTGCTCAATCAGCTAGCGATGCGATGGCCTTCAAGTTTGGGACCATCCTTCCTCTTGGATTCTAATCTGAGATATTATATGGACACGGGCGCGGCCACCTTTCCAGCCCAGCTCGCTCCTCGTGGTATTTCCGTCGATTCAAGTCTGTATCTATCGGGTGGCTATACTGTGTTGCCATTGACCATATTACTTACAAGGGCAACGTCGCACACAAAGGTTCTGTCTGACCTTATCCCGATACCATTCCCGGTCCATGAGTGTAAGCAGTGGCCGGTTTTGGACTGAAAACATATACATCGACGGGCCGCAAACATGAGTGCACCGCGCAACCTAAGTACTGCCTCTGGCATGCACCGCAAATCGGTCGCAGAGGAACCCGTCACCTCGGTTCTTGCGCCTGGAGAGATCCCGATCTTGGATCAAGACTTGACCGCCGATGAGGAGATTCTGGCAGCTCTGGGTTACAAGTATGTTACACGCCGTGCTATGCGCAGAGAAAGCTTGATTCTAATATATCGCAAAGACCCGAGTTTAAACGCGAATTCTCTCTATGGACCTCCTTTTGTGTTTCTTTCGCCGTCCTCGGCCTGCTGCCGTCCTTTGCCTCGACTATCTACTATGGCATGGGTTACGCGGGCACTCCTGGTATGGTTTGGGGATGGTTGATTGCAATGGCATTCATCCAATGCGTCGCAATGGGAATGGGTCAGTCAATCAATGTTCGAGCATGCCCACACTATATGAGACTGACAGACAACCAGCTGAACTCTGCTCCTCCATGCCTACTAGCGGAGGCCTCTATTATGCCTCAGCTGTCCTGGCACCTCCAGGATACGGCCCTCTTGCTGCATGGATCACCGGATGGTCGAACTGGCTCGTCCAAATCACCGGTGCCCCTTCCGTCGATTACGCTCTGGCTTCGATGATTCTGGCTGCGGGGTCCATCAACGACCCTTCTTATGTTCCCCAAAACTACCAGGTCTTCCTTTTGACCACTCTGATTATGATTCTCCACGCCGCTATCTCCTCGATGCCAACCCGGTGGATTGCGACCTTCAACTCCTACGGTAGCACATTCAACATCATTGCGTTGGTGATTACAATCATCGCCATCCCAGCCGGGACCAATCGCACTGAGCAAGGGCTGCCACGGTTCACCAAAAGCAGCACGGTTTGGGGGAATTTCTATGAAGGAACTGACTTCCCAAACGGCGTGGCTGTTCTCATGTCCTTCATTGCTGTCATCTGGACCATGTCAGGATATGACGCCCCCTTTCACCTGTCGGAAGAATGCAGCAATGCCAACATTGCCAGTCCTCGAGCCATTGTCCTGACTTCAGGAGTGGGTGGTTTGATGGGTTGGTTCTTGCAATTGATCGTGGCATATACCGTGATCGATATCGACGAAGTCCTCGATTCCGAAATCGGCCAGCCTTGGGCTTCTTACTTGATGCAGGTCTTGCCCAAGAATACCGCCTTGGCCCTTTTGGCAATGACCATCGTTTGTGGATTCTCCATGGGTCAAGGTTGCATGGTCGCTGCGTCGCGAGTCACTTACGCCTACGCACGCGATGGCTGCTTCCCATTCTCAAATCTCTGGAAGCAAGTCCATCCCTGGACGAAGACACCTGTCAACGCTGTATGGTTCAATTGTGTCATAGGCATTCTTTTGACCTTGCTTCTCTTTGGGGGAGAGGCATCCATCGGTGCCATTTTCAGTGTTGGAGCCCTGGGGGCATTTGTGGCCTTTACTATCCCTATCACGATCCGTACTTTCTTTGTGGGCGGCCGGTTTCGACGTGGTCCCTGGCATCTGGGCAAATTCTCCTATCCTATTGGTGTTGCATCTACTTGCTTCACCTTGCTCATGATTCCCATCCTTTGCCTGCCGAGTGTGACCGGGTCGGACTTGGACGCCTCCTTGATGAACTGGACCTGCCTTGTCTGGGGTGGTCCGATGTTGATGGTGCTGGTTTGGTGGGTTGTCGACGCCCATAAGTGGTTCACCGGACCCAAAGTCAATGTCGAGCACACCATGCTTGGGAGAGACGGCAACGTTCTTGAAGCCAAAGAAGGAGGGTCAGATACCGGCTCGCAAACCTCTCCCGCTCCTGCCAAGGAGGTGGGTAAGGATTCTGAAGTGTAGGGTGACCTTGTTGTCGGATGTCCATATTTTTCTTTCGAAGCGTTTATGAGCGATGCGCCCGCGGCTGGAAGCGAATGACGTTGCTCTAGTTGAAAGCTGTCCACCAGATAGAAAGGTTTCTATCCGATAGACCTCGATGGGATGTGTCTTAGGATCAAATAGAAGGACCAGTATGTATCAAATTGTATAATTGATTGATGTCCATCTGTTGCCCATACAGCTATCTAAGGTATAAAGGTCATTAATACCAACCACTTTAACTCATCCCGTGACTGCGCGCGTCCTGCGCGACACGTTCTGAGCCCAAGAGACCTCACCTTTACTCGGGAATTTTCCCCGCGTCCGATCGATAACGTCAAATACTCCAGTTTTCGTTTGTCCACGATCTCTGAAATGATGGCTCTGGGCCGTGTATGCGTATACTATGGTCCTTCAACCAAGGACCTCATCAATGCATAACCGTCTGATGGGGACCAAGATCCCGCATCCTCCCTCGACCAATTTCGACGTCACGGACGAATTTCGCTCTCCCCCTGCGAAGCGGGTGAAAACCACAACCCCGAAGGGTGGCGACAACAGTCCCAGTCGAGGGTCGCCTAGGAGAAAAGCTGTGAGAAGGGTCATCAGGAATGAAGTTCCAGACTCGGAGGATGAGGATCAAGACACAGAAGATGGAGGAGTTGAATTGTACGCTGCTCCCAACGCCACGCAACTCGAAGCGACGCTGCCCCCGGTGCAGACGGATGAAGACGCCATAGAGGCTTATGAAGCCTATAAGGCAGGGGAGCAGGCTTCAGAAACACAGAAGCAATATGACGGCAGTCAAACTATGGCTCGACTGGAGTCACGGACATGGACAAGGGGCCGCAGCTCCATCTACGTGGACGCCTTCAACCTTGCTCTGGACACGGTGCTTGACGAAGAAGGCCATCTCTTCGATGAGGCTGAGCTGGGACTGTTTCAGATATGGAGAGAGTTGGGCTACGAAGCACAATATCTCTATGTCAGGTTGTTTCTCAGGAAGACCAGCAAGTGGTTTCGAGTCAAGGATTTGCAATACTACAGCGATGTAGCAGACATCGATGCCGCAGTCAAAGAATTGCAGAAGGAGAGGTCTCTGCCCAAAACCGAGTCTGACCCCGGTCTTCATCCAGGAGAGCTGGAACCGCCTGAAGGTTTGGTCTTGGGTGACATATTTGCATTTGCCGAGTGTTCTTCTGAACATATCACGAGCCTGGACGAGGCGAGCAGCCTGCTGCTTCTTGATGAGCTGAAAAGCCTGGCGAAAGAAGTCAAAGTACAGGGAAAGAATAAACGTGAGCTGTTGCAGAACTTCCGGCGCGCCAGCGGCAAGCAGACCGGGCTTGGGTTCAGAGATCTAAGACGCGCCGAGACTGAGGAGTCCATAGCTAGTGCGATGTCTGAGGATGGCCGGTCTGTCTGTGCAGACGAGGAGGATGAAAGTAGCGGGTCACGGACACCAACAGTGGCCGCCATCAACAACCGAGATTCCCATTTCACCAAGAAGATCCTCGACCAGACCGGACGATGTATCCGACTTTCCCTGACGCCGTTGAGGCTATTCGAACGAGTACATCTTGTCTTTTATCGCAGCACAGAGTGGACGGAGAAGAGTCTGACGACGCTGATCTTGGCTAAGATCTCGCGGCGCAATTTCCCGGAATACTTGGTCAGCCGATCGAGCACGATCTTCGAGTCGAGGGCTCTGCTGCTCGAGTTTGAAGCGAGCCTCCGTACGCAGTTCCGGGTTGACAATATCCTGGAGTTCAACGGCACTCCTGGCCGCAAATCGCTCGAGGAAGTCAAGGACATCTTCGAGGCCGTCTATCCGCGGTGGAAGGCTCTGCTGCTTGAAGAACAGCGGAAAGAAGATCGCGTATATGAGAGTGGTGAGGGAGCATATCTTCGCCGGTTCAGTCCGGCTTGGGTATATACCCGCATCGTGCATAAAGCACTCCATGCTCTGGCCAGGTTCAAGGAACATGTCCGCGAACATGACATCCTGACAGAGCTTCTGGACCAGCGGCTCTTTCATGCTGCGAGACGAGGGGCGTGGTATCAGCGCAAAGCACTTCTTGAAGAACACTACATGTACGCCCTGACAACGAATGAAACCCAAAGCGTCGAGGCAACTCGGAAACATTGGAAAAGGACGGCACTGCGTACTTGCGAGCAAGGCCTTCAGGATAAAGAATGCCATGTCATCTACCATTACGACTTGCAGAAGCGGATCAAGAAGCTGGAGAAACAGCTCCACCTGCCGTTGAGGGAACAGCACGATTTCGGCCACGTCAGGCTTAGCAAGCCCGTGGAGCGAGATGTGGTGGGAATCAAGATCGAGCGCGAAGAAACTCCGGCCAGAAATTTGCCTCTGAGCAGGAAGAACAGCGCCGGGGCATCTAGTGCCAATTCGACCGTCCCTGCTTCTGGTTCTGCTTCTGAGCTCACCAACAAACCACCGACACTGGTCCACCAGTCCAGCACGTCAGGCGGGGCCCCGGGATCGAAAACAGTCTGGCTCGACACTCTGGACACCAATCTCCCCGTGAGCGTGGAAGCCATGTGTCTCTCACACTACCGCCACGTCCTAGGCTACAAGGGATACCACAGCGAAGGCGGGATCCTGCGCACACTCTTCGGCCTGCTATTCTACGACATCTTGTTTTTCAACCCCTACATCCCCAATGTATTCCAGACCGCGTACCAGACGTGCCCGCTGGATCTGCACACGGACAGTTTCTTTTCGTCTCGACTTCCCGAGATCCTCGGCCGAATCAATCAGATCTCGAATGGCGAAGCGGTGTCTATTGCTCGCGGAGTCTGGGACGAACACTACGAACGGAAGACGTGCATTGTCGGTGTCCAGTGGGACGGGTTTGCGCGGGACGATCTGCTCGAATTGCTGGAGTGCTGGGACGGGCAGGCGTTGGGGACTGTCATGTTGATCATGGCTCAGGAGTATCAGAGTCGTGGTGGCGGTGTGCCGGATCTGGTGTTGTGGAAAAGGTTGGATACTAGTGATCAAGACAAGATGGAGGGTGAGCTGGAGGGTGTGCCGCAGACGACAGACGATGTTACTCAAGCTGGCAGAGGCGACGACGGGACAAATACGCACCAGCACCAGCACCAGCACCAGCACCAGCACCAGCACCAGCACCAGCACCAGCACCAGCACCAGCATCAGCACCAGCATCAGTCGAATAAACAACAACAAGACGGCGAGAATGGCCCAAGGGTGGCGCGGGCTGGAGAGGGAGAGGGAGGGAACGAGGACTTGAACAGCACCAAAAGTGAACAGGCTGGACACGGTGTACACGGGGGAAATGTCGGAAAAGGTGAAATCCTCTTCGCAGAAGTCAAATCAGCCAACGACCGGCTCAGCGACACCCAACGTCTCTGGATCTCCGCGTTGCTCGGCGCCGGTGTCAAAGTCGAACTCTGCCATGCCGTTGCTGGAGAAGTCAGGAGAGAGTAGTTAAGTATTTGATGCGGAGATGTCGAGAGCTAGTAGTGGTAAGATCTCTCTCTATACATACGTATCCCATATAGTAGTACTATAGTACTAGTATAATCGTGGAGACCTCCCCCTTCTATATGGGCGTGTGGATCCTCCTGCCTGATCTATATAGATGCATACTAAATAGATAGACCTTCAACCATAGTACCTTCCTTCTGAATCATTATATGTTATTGAATATATAAAATCTGATATATAGATACTAGTATCTACCGTAGGTATGTCTACCTTAGTTCCATGTCCATGGTCGCTTATGCCTCACTTTTCACTTGCAAGTTCCACCCTCAGTTTCTCCTCTCCATCACTAACAGTAACAGTGCGGCAGTCTAGGTGTGCACTTTGATTTATTCTCTGATTGCTCAGCTCAGCCCAGGGTCAAGAATCTAAAATCTAAAATCTAGGTAATCAATCCAATGTGAAAGTCAGCCCGAACTCAGATCCAGCCCGGCCCAGTCCAGCCCATGCATGCATGCAATGCCGCCAATCTTGCTATGACTTTACCACTTTGATGATGACCGCAGAAATGCCCGACTTGAGAGCAAAAGGGAAGAGAAGAGAAGAAAAGACAACGGAAACCCAACACAAGCAAGGAAAATAAAAGCACAAGACCCGAGAGAATCTAAAACGTTTGGCATCATCATCCTTTTTTTTTAGTACACACTTCACCCAGCTCAGCTCAGCTCAGCCTAGCCTAGCTCAGCCAACTAGCCAAATCACCCAGCAACGAAGCTTTCTTCTCTTCTGTCTTCGTCTTTCTGTACTTCTTATCTTGGCTTGCCTTTTGTCAAAGTAGCAAGCGTCGAGAAGCGACTCACTTCTTCGACGCCGGCGATGAGAAGAACCTCGACCCCTCCAGGCTGGCAGGAACACGGACGCGGCCGAAACTGTTATCCAGATCCAACAGGATCTTCAACGCATTCCGACTGCGCAGGTACGGCAGCGGAGCCTTGGTCTCTCTAAGACCGACGCCCGGCTCCATCTTCCCAGCAGTCGAATGGACCTCAGCCTCCTCGCCGCCGAGCGGGAATAGCTTGCTCAACACCTCGTACGAGGCCAGGGTGAATCCGAACTGCGGCGACGAGCGCAAGATCCGGGCCGGCCCACCCTTGAAGAACGCGCGGAATCCTTCTTGCTGCCAGATCTTGCGGGCGCAGTCTGTCAGGCCGTTGTAGACCACGTCGCCTTTGCGCGCTTCGACTTGCAGCCGCGTCTTGATCACGTCGCACGGCGTGGTGAGGTACGCGGCCGGCATGCCTGCGATGGCACCCGCCGTCAGGAGCTGGAGGACGCCGAGTCTCTTCTGCTGCGACTCGCCGAACATGTCGCGTTTCAGGTGGTTGTAGGTGGGGAAATAGATCGCCGAGAATGGAACGTCACGCAATAGACACGCCGATGCACCTTTGTACAGGCCTAAGATGCCCAGATTGCGCACAATCCACATCGCCGATCGTTTAGGCACGGCATCAGACTTCTTGGCCAGTTCGCCTTGCACTTGGAGACGGATTTTGACGATTTCGAGAGGGTTGGTGAAGACCTGAACCCAGACGGACCCCAGTGTTAGTAGGAGAACCCACTATATGAGACATAAGGTAGAGAAGGTAGAGAGGGAGAGGACAAAGATGGAGAAAGATAGATGGGTGCGTAACGTACCACTTGACATGCACCGGCAGATCCACCGGCAAGAATCTCCGCAGGCAAAGGAATTGCATTTGTCTGTTTGTCGGTGAACCGGCCGCGTATAAGGTCGTTGACTGTTAATTTAATCGCCTTTTCTGGAGCGACTCCGACAAGTTGGGGAAGGACACCAGAGTACAGGCCTCGAAAACCTTCATTTCGAATGACCTTGCGTGCGCAGTCTATTGAGTTCTCGTAGAGACGTTCGCCGGGCAGCACACTTCGTTGATTCTGCATGCGAGTTTTGACGAGATCGATCGGATAGACCATGAAAGCACCAAACGCGCCCGCGATACTACCGAGGCCGAAATGGTGAGCAGACTCGAGGAGGCTGTGGAGGAAGTGCTGAGACTTGGACACGACGCGGTCTGCTGCATCGTTGATTGCGCCTAACTTGGCTCCTGTATTCTGCCAGCTTGCATCCAGAACTTTGGTGAAATCATCCAGAGCCAACCGTCCAGAGGGGACATCGAGACCGGCAAAGTGGAACAGAATGTCGGCCTCCATAGGGGTGTAGAGGGAAAAGCGGGTCATTCGTGAGGCTTCGTTGAGGAAGTCGGACCGGTCGATTCTACCATCGGAGGTTTTGGCGGTGGCATTTTGGAGGATGAGATCCAGCAGGTCCATTTCCCGAATGACGTTCTGGAATGCTCGGACGGTGGCATACGAGATTTTGGTTCCGGTAGAGATGTTGCACAATGTCGGGAGATTCTCCAGGACGTGATCTGACAACTTGTGTCCAGAGGTGTCTCGGATGATGCGCTCAAACTCCTCAGGCTCAATGTATCCATCCTTGTCCTTGTCAAAGAGGTGGAACGCCTGTCGTATCCGCTCCCCCTGCAGACCACGCATCATCTGTGCGAACTGGGGGTATGTCATTTCATGTCTCTTGCTCTTGCCGCCAATGTACAGCGACGCCCACTCCGAGTTGAAGTCGAAGGGAATGCTTTCTCGACCTCGGTTCTGCTCATAGATTCGCTGCAATGCATCTGACTTGATCAAACCAGTGCCGTCGACGTCGAACAGTCTGAAGGCGATTTCATACTCGGCGTCGGCTTTGGCAAGCAAGTTCTCAAAGGCGGCCCATTCGGACATTGTAATCCTGCCGTGTTTGTGTCGATCTGCGACATTGAACAGGATGCCATATTGTTCTCTCTTGATTTTGTGCTGCGACGCGACAAGCGAGAAGCGTTAGGACAATGACAACGCAATCAGATCGGTCAGGTAGGCACGACTTACATAGTCTTCTTCAGGCGGCGCGATGGCGTTGATGAAATCCTCCTCGTTCATGTAGAGCTCACCATCATCGTCCCGGCGCGAGTGTTTGAGAAAGCTCATTCGTGCCTCAGTTGACAAACTCTCTGGCTGCGTCGTGCCTACAAGCGACTCTTTGACGGACTCTGTGACGGTCGCCATGGCTCAAAGGGCTGTTCTCGGCGATGGTAGAGGAAAAAGGTAGAGGAGGAAGAGGATCGCCGAGATCGGTTGGAGTTGTGCGCAGTTGGAGTCACAGTCACAGTCGCGCAGTGTGAGAAAGGAGGTCAACAGAGGATAAGAGGTGAAGGGAGTTCGTGTTCAAAGACCGTCACGAGTAGTCGCCATGCGACAAGAGCATGAGTAAAGACTAGGAGAAAGGTTCGGAGACAAGGACAGGAGTTCGAGGAGAGGCCCGTCAGGTCGTAGTGGTGAGAGGTCAGATGTCAGAGCAATCTGGGGAACTGCCAGTGCAGTGGGAATGTTGGACTGACTTGACTGACTTCGTGGAGAAATAATTAATTATTCGAGATTCTCACATTGCGAGAACGGACTACAGTGCTAGCATACTAGTACAGTACTACTTACCGTATAGGTACTGTATTGGATTTCTCCTATGGTACGATACGCTGACTATAGTACGTACGTACCTACTATTTAAGAATGCACTGCGTACTGCGGTGTCTGAGACAGTAGCATACCTTATCAACAGCTGGCCACCGACTATTAGTGTCGTTATCAAGTTACAGAGAGTATACGGTGTTTAGCACAGCTCGAAAAATTAACGCGGCCCGCCTCGAGGACTTAGCCGCCAACTAACCCCGATTAGCAATCCGCTGCAGGCACAATCAGCTCGACTATTCCTGGAGTGGTTAAAGCTTTCGGGGATTCGGTGCCATTTCCGCGAGCCGCAGGACTTTAACCCCGTTCGTGGAAACGGGTCAGAACACAATGACAGTAAAAGAACGATATCGGGACTAGGCGCCGATATTCGACGAATCTCGGATGAAGGGAGAAGAGACAGAGCTGGATAGACAGCTAGACAGATACGGTCGCTAGCAACCCGAGAGAGATATAGACGGTTACGGCGTGCAGTGGTCAATTGCTTGTCTCTTGCCCGTGTCGTCGCCATTTCTATTCCCAGATGTTCCGCTGTATTCTGACATCCTGACACTATCTGTACATATACCGATGAGGCTCCAAACACAGGTATCGTATAGCAAGGCCTCGCCAGAAACGCCAGACAAATAACCTGCCGAAGTCATCATATCATGCATAGACAATTCCTCGATGGACAGTGGCCGCCTCACCGACTCGCTATCATGTCTTCCTAGCATTTTCCCGGGTTATGCGGTGTACTGATAACCCCCATCAACCTTATAAGCCCCTTCAGCATCCGAGAGAATATGACCGACGCCAGGAAGACACTGTTGCTGGATATTCCCAATCTCGCTGGCGCGGCGACTGTGACCAACCAGTCCCATACCAATCCCACTGTCGTCTGCATTGTCGTACTCATCGGTGGAAGAAACATGTTCGGATTCCAACAATCCCGTCTGGCTGGAACTGGCACCCGACTTACGTCGGATATGACGAGGACGGGTGATCCCCAGACGTCGAAAGCCTTGTTGGAGTATCTATGTCTCGTGTTAGAACTCCAAGGCGCCCCAAAGACATATCAATGCTGAGTGTTGAATGCTGGGACGGCTTACCATCTTTTCCACTTCATCCCACCTCTCCCCAACCTGCTCACTAAGATCGCGCCAGAACTGTTCGCGGTGGCGGTTGTAGCATGCCACCACCCGCTGGATCCTTGCTTCATCCCAATGTCCCCGAGCCTTCTGTTGCAGCCTTTCGTGTCGTTTGCGGCACGCATTGCCCGTCTTGTTGGGGAAGAATTGGGTGTGGATCTCGTCCCATGACATGTCCTGACTCTTGGCCTCCAGCAGCGCGTTGTCCTCCTCCGGTGTCCAAGGAAGACTCTGTCCCGGCCGGGGCAGCGGCTCAGGCTGGAGTGGCTGGTGCATCGACATGGAAGGAGCATGGGGTCGCACAGGCCCTCCCTGCATGTACGCCTGCATCATGGGTTGCTGAGCGTATTGTAGGTGGTGATCCGGCCAAGCGATGCTGGTGCTCGCTTGGCTATGCGGCCATGCTGCCATGTTGGTCACCATGGTGGTCGAGCCTCGTATATGGTACGGAGCCGGTCTTTTGGTGGCACGTAGTGCTGTGAGTTGCTTTGGCATTCCTTGCCCGCGGGGGAAAAGTCTGCGATCTGGAGAACCTCGGTCAACAACCAGGCTGACCGAAGGGACGTAAAGGAAAGGACTGGGATTGGGATTGGGATTGGGATTATGACTATGAGAACCCGAAGTTGGAACGAAGGGCCGGGGAACAGATGCAGCCAAAAGAAGACGGAAAACGACCGAAGTGAGTGTCTAACCCGGTCAGGGACTGGACAGAATGAAGATGTGGGAACGCCTGGATGCCTTGAGCTCGACCACCGTCTTATGAAGGTTTGTATCCAGCACACGGAAGCCACCAGAGGATCCTCAAACACGCGGGCGTCAATTTCAGATGGAAAGAGGCGCGGAATCTCATGCTTCAGATCGGGTCTCAAGAGTATCATAAGTCAGCACTCTCCGAGCTTCCTCTGCAGACGCAGTATGCGCAAAAAAGTTGGCTTCATCCATTGCGTGAGGTTTGCGTCTTTGGAGGATGCGTCGGGACCTTCATTGGAGGGATATCCGTTGCAGTGCATCTGAAACTCGAGCCTTGCGACGGTGGACGAGACTGTGGGTCAGAGATATGCGGCTCAACCGCGTATACTTCATGCCCAACCCTACATCAGCTTCGATGCGAGCCATTAAAATCAGGAACCGAGCGGCTGTTGACGGAATGAATTTCAGTAGCCGCCGGATGACATGGGCTGCCATGTAGCCGCTGGTTTGGTATGGAGTTTCGGGCATTTTTATCCTCCATACAGCCTGGAGGATATAAATGTATCTGTGGCTACTGCACACGCTCCCAGACTGACACTATGCTGATTGTCCGTGTTGAATTGAATGGTGACGGTGGCAGTGGCATCTGTTCAACCTGCTGCAACCAGGTACTCGCTCACCTTCAGTAAGCAGCAAGTAACAACGCCATTGGTATCCTCCCGCACGCCTTCTCAAAGCATTTGGTAGTACCTTAGCAACGAAAACAATAGAATCTGTTTTCGCAAACATCTTATTGATCCATGATCTTCGTTTGATTGCACTGTACAAGTCTTGCTGAGAAAACATGAAACCTAGATAGCATAGAGGCGCTTATATGACGCCGTTCGAGGCTAAATATAGAGAACCGAGCGATCTGACACACTGGTTTTCCCCGGAACGAGTGGCTCTCTCAGGCAGAAGAATCGTCGCATTTGGGGGCTTGGAGTCGGTTACTTGAGAAACGGAACACGGCTCTCAGTGGTGCTAGTGTCGAGCTGCCGGTGGGAGAGAGTTCTATTGATATACGACCCCGCTGACGCTGGGTTGACAACGAGCAAACTCCAGAGGGACCCTGAACAGATCATCTGTATCTGGGTAGACTAGAAGCTCTCTCTGTTCAACACCAATGGCTACTTCCTCACTGTCGATGTGGCGACCGATTGGAGGGCTCCTTGTCCCTCGGAGGCTATATCAAAATGCGAATACGAAATGACGTTGACAGGAACAGTGCTCGTTTCTGGGGATATACATCTGATTGCCTATTTTAACGAGTCTCAGGTAGAAGATGACCATCTCCCTGCAACACATCCACAAAGGTATGGCCAGCCTCTGAAACACCTGACGGCAGCGTCGAGTATCAGTGCTGGCGTCATCCATCTGCTATATCATGAAGGAGACAAATGTCATTAACCAGTTGGTGCCTGTTCTGTTTTTCGAGTCATTCAAGTCGTCACATCAAAGTCAAAAGTCGCTCTGCATCATCGCATGATCATCTCCGTTGCCACCTTCGCTCCTCCCGGGACATCTTGTTATGCGTGCCGTAGTAACCTTCGTCCTCAATTGGAGTCACACAGTACACGACTGGAGTCTCTGCAAAGGACAACTGTCGTGCTCCGGATGCAGGAGACTTGGAGGACTTCTTCAAGATACTTCTTGAGGAGCTGGAGTTGACATATGCATACGTTGGCTGCTGCATGGTGGAATAGCCTCGTTGGTTCAGGCGCGTGTTCCGTGCAGTCGGGCTGATGGGAGATGGGGGGATGGGTGACCTCAAGGGGCTCATGGGTGACTTCAACGCCAATGTTGAGCGTGCTGTTGAAGGGGTGCTGCTGGTGGAGATGCTCAGAGACAACTTGGGCTTTGCAACGCGGGAGGCAAGCATCTTGAGGGTGGTAGAGACGAAAGATAGCTGCTATGATATTTGACCTCAGTTGATGGATGCTTATGTGTTGTTCTTGAGCCTTGCAGCGGGCCGAAGGACTGGAAATTGTGGCTGGACTGGTAGTGTCTTGATATACAAAAGGATGATGGAAGTGGTCAAGTGGAGCCACGGGGATTGTAAGAATAGGACAGATGGGATGCAGAAGAATAGCAATTGGACCAGCCAATTGTAGAGACCTTAGAGGCTTAAAGTGTATGAAAGAAGACGGATAGGAATGGCGTCAAGACAATCAATGTTTGGCGTGAAGAAGAGAAAGAAGAAGATCAGTCGTCGAGGCGGTTGGGAGGGCGGCTATGTATATCTTTGAAACATGGAGAACTTTGCTTGCGGGAGGTTGAAGCGAGGGCTTCATTCGTTCACTCTCTCAATGCCGTTGTGGTGATTATGGAAAGCGCCACTGCGCCAACACCCAATCAGTATGCTTGTAGAGGCGCTCACCGTGTGATACTTGTGCTTCTTTATGACCAGCATCCAATCGATCGTGCAGATCTCTTCCAGCACAAGGTACTGTTTGTGCTTCATATTGCATGCCGAATGTATCCCCAGGCTCTTCTTTTCAATATCACCATGAGGAACGGGCCAAGACCTGCGAAAAGATGCTTTGTGGTAGGCTGACTTGCAAACGTTGGTCTTCTTTGGCCGTCTGTCATATATACACTATCGATTTTCTGCGTGGTTCTCCTCACCTTTCCTGTGCCACTGCATTATCACCCGGTGTGACGAGCACAGTCTAGCATGCCGGCAATGCCTTTCATCACCGCAAAGCAGGCTGTTCGGCGATATCGTTGTTGACAGCCAAAGTCTAATGATCTAGTCATGACAGAGTGAGAAATATCGAAGGATGATTGACTTCGTGACATTGTCAGGAAGGCATACCACTTGCCCCGGGCAGAACTAACTGAATTAGTGAGCTCAATGTGAGTCCACAGAACTGCCATAGAAGCGAGATAGTTCTCTAGCCCAGGACCTGCAGATATCTCAACGTGATGAGCTAACTGAGGCTAGAGGGTCGGTCGAAGATTACCATGAAGGGGATATACATCTGAGAGTCGCTCACCTGGAATGGACTATTATGGTGGGCATCGAGGAATTGATGTCACATGGCGTCAGAGTCCGATCACTTACCGTTAAGGCAAACGAACCATCTCAAGTCCGTTTCAGTTCAGAGATAGACACGATTGTCTTTGAGCACTTGTTGCTCCAGCAGGCGACTTGAAGTTTGGTGAACACCTAGCAGCGGTTGCACCATGACCTCAATTTGTCTCTGGATAAACTGTGGTCGACGCAAAAGCGCTCATAAGGGCACATGGGCACAAATGGTGGGTCTCAGTGCCAACTCCCTCCGAGATGAAAGACGGCGCCTGAAAGTAGGGAGATCTCGTCATGGAAAGCTGCCGGTCTGAAGCCTCCATGAGGCAGAAGGTGAATGGTTTGTGCTCCCGTCAATGTTGGCAGCATCCGAGGAGTACATACTCCCACAAAACACCAACCCGTCGAAGACACTGCCAGATCTGGCAATTAGTCGTTCAGAGACTTACCTTGAAACAGTTTCGTTGACATGTCGGGTGGTTGCACATGAGCCAGCGGCACCTTACACATCGACGACCTGCCCACTTGACAGGAGGCCCGTGCCAATGTGCACTTAATTGTCTGACATGCCCTAGCATGGTGTGGTAATGGACGGAAGACTGGAGCTGGGCGATGCAGCGAACGTTAGGCGGGACTACTGGTGTATAGATTCATGGCGTATACGGCGAGGCAGTGATTTTGTCATTTTGGATTGCAATGTGCGTAAGGCAAGAATGTGGGTCGATGTTGACGCCGAGGTTGCGCGACAAGCCGGACTATCGAGCTGAAGCAAGGCGATGAATGAAAGTATGTTGACTGCCGCAAAAGATCATGATGACGCAGTCGAAAACGAGAAAGGTACCCCCAAGCCGACGTTGCTGTGTACATGTCGACCATCGTTGCCGTCATTCAGTAGCAAACTCGGCCTGGTAGCCACTTGCCCCGTTCATGAACTGTGTTTCCTGCTGCACCGATATTGGAATATGACCTTTTCTTGAGTCGAAAGGACCTTCTGTCTCGGAATAACAAGTGACTTTTTTTCGTAGCCGCAGCTAGAATAGACCATAGCGCAAATACATGGAGGAAATCGAAATCAAGGCCAGGTCCCGGATGCCAGTAATTCGCAACATCGTGGAGAAGGGTGTGCTGAAGACAAGAGTCCAGTGCCGCCGCGTCCAAGCTGCTTATCTGCCCGCATAGCGATCCTCACGGCCGTACTCACGACCACCACCACTGGCAGCGTAGTCACGAGGAGCAGCATCTTCACGTGCTGGTGGAGCGTAGGCGCGGTCATCGCTGCGGTCATAGTAGCCACGTCGGTCTCCACGGTCGCCACGGCCGCTGTAGCCATCGTCACGTCTACTCTCGTATCGATCAATACCGCGACCGCCGTATCCGCCGTCTTCTTTGTCACGTCTGCCGCCGTAGCCGCGACGTTCGCCATATTCTTCGTGGCGAGAAGAGCCTCGGTCATAGTCTTCATGACGGGAGCCGCCACGGTAGTCGTCACGACGTGGTGGGTATCCCCCTCGACGGTCGTCGTAACGGTCACGGTAGCCACCACGTGGCGGGCCACGGAAATCGCCTAAAAACGTCAGTCCTAGTCCAACGAGACATCATTGAGGGACTTACCACGCTTGGGAGGACCAAAGTATTTTCCTGGGGTCGGAGTGCGAGGACGGGCACGACGAGCTTTCTCAATGCTCAAGGTACGGCCTTCAATGACTTCACCTTGTAGACCTTCCTTGGCAGCTTCAGCTTGATCCGATGTCACCATCTTGACGAAGCCAAATCCGCGAGACTCCTTGGTGTGAGGATCAAGCATGATGGAACAGCTTTCGACTTCACCGTACTTCTCGAACAGGCGAGAGACATCGGCTTCGGTGAGGCGGGGATGTATGCCAGTGACGAAAAGATTTGAGCCAGTGTTAATTGCACCTTCTTCTTCAACATCTTTCATGCGGGTGTCAGAGGGAGGTGGGGGCCTGCGGAATAGTCAGTTCAGCACTCCTGGTAGGATGAGATTGGGAAACCCACGGTCGGTCGCGTCCATTTGGCGAGCGACTGCGATTACGTTCATCACGGTCCCCGCGAGGCGATGCCGATCTATCACGACGTTCGTAGCCGCGATCATCTGTGGTATATGCAGTCAGGATCTATGCCTTGAATGTCATCAGCGCAGCGCTATACCTTCATATCGGGCAGCGGAATCTTCGAAGTCAGCCATTGTAGTAGTAGGCGCAGCTGGTCGACTAAAAGGGGCTTGCGCGTCGAATCTTTGCGCGACGCACGATCAGCGTCCGGGAAGTGTGTCAAATGGAAACGGCAAGGAGGATTGCGTTATGATACAGGTACAGGAGGAAAGAAAAGCCTGGCCGCAGCGATTAAGAGATGGGGTAGCAGGTGGTTTGTTTGTGAGGCGTTGAGGCCAGGATTAGGCGAAAATTAAGGACACGCTCCAGAAAAGACATTAGCGTCAATCAGGACCGGTGAATACAGTACTGGCAACATACTCCGCAGTATTCGCCAAGCATGATACAGCGGCGCACAAGCCCGCCATAGCACTTCGCATCGGCACGTGATCGTCAAGGCCAGGACAACACTGGGAGGAGGGTCAGTACGGACAAGACTTTTTACATCAGTTCCGCAGGCACAGGTATCTCGGCCAAAGAGGGAGACTTCCAGATCCTGCTGCTTTGAGTATATCGATGTATTCCAAGGCAGAAAATGCAGCTCATCGAGGCTCGCCCTCTAGAGACCAGGCAGCCCTCCGGTCATTGCCAACTTCTCAGCGAGCATATGACCAGGCTGCAGGAACCTTACAACTATCTAAGTACCTATACAATCCAGAAACAAGTCTTCTCATCTCCGAAGCCGAAAAGATCTTGTACCCCATTCGGAGCCCCGCGCACGCTTGCTAACCCTCTTCGAGCCCTTCCTCTTGGCCATCGAATCCACGGATGTGGGTTCAACCTCAATGCCGGAGGGCGCGCCATCGATGCCTTCTGCCATGTCGTCGCCGGCACCCAGGCCTTGGAGTTCGTCCTCATCCATCTCACTCAACTCTTCGCTCAGTTCTCGCAAGACCTCTGGCCCGGTCCAGCGTTCCTCGAAGATTGTGGTGCCATCGGGGTCAAAGGGAGCAGCATACCAGGGAATCCCGCCTTGAGACGGAGGTATTTGAGAGTGGCCTTGAAGACTCATCGGGGGTGTTGGGGGCTCAATCCGCTGAGCATGTCCCATTATGATGTCGCCATTCGTCAGTCGGTCATGCCTGAAGCCATTTGTGGACGCGGGCGGTGTATCCGCCGACAGCCCTCCGGCTTCTGCCCGAAGTCCATCCGCCTTGAAGATGTCTGCTTTCTCCGCGAGACCCTTAGTACCTTCCACTGTCCCGCGGTCAACATTCGTCTCGGTACCAGACAGAGTAGAGTCCAGCATCTCGACATCACCATCGTCCGGACTTGCCATGCCAGTCTCATGCTTGGTCTCGACAGAATCGAGCAAGGGGACTCCCGCTGGCTCAGTCAGGGAATCTCGCCGGGACAGAAGTGCCTCGTCCAGTTCTCTGATCTGCTGTGCGTATGGCCGGCCGTTCAATTCTGCCTCCTTGCGCGTGGCATCGTCAATGAGCGGTTCAATTGCCTTCACAATACGTCGAGCAAGCGTACGACGATCTCGATCTTCAGGACTCATATCCTCAGCTCTACCACTAACGAGGGCGACCAACTCGGAGAGAGTTCCTGCGTCATTGCCAAACTGTGAATTGATAACCCGGACAACATCCTGGGCGAAGCTCGCGACGGAAGTGTGCTCTTTTCTGAGGACTCGGGCGCGAAGCTCAAGCAGCTCGTTCCGGAAAAGACCACGGTCAAGCCTGGTAGTAAGTCAGCATGCGCGCACGAATCTATGAAGGAGGGAAATGTACTTGAGCGCTTTATCCACAATCGGCTCCAACAAGTGCGGAACGGGAAAGTAGACCGTGTCTACGACATCCTGCAACATGCGTGCTTCCTGCAACCGCACTACTTCGCGTTGCTTGATCAAATCGCAGAGTTGAACGATCTGCTCCATGTCCGTGGCTAACATCTCAGCGAATTCGATGCGCCGGTCCAGTCTGGCACGACCCGCTGCGCCTTGGGCCTTGTAATCACGACGAGTGACCTCAAAAGAGCTGAATGTGTCCATTTGCAATTGTAATCGCTTCAACAAAGCAGCGCCTCGCCGTGCCTCGCGCTTGAGAGTCCAATACCTGCAAATCTCCGAGACAAACTCTTTTTTCTTCTGCACCGTGAACCTGACCAGGGAATCTTCGATTGATTTAAGAATTACTTCTGGGATAACAGGGGCGCCCGACGGTAACCGCCAGATAGTTTTCTGTTTCTGTCCTTTCTTGTTCGTGAGCGTCACCTTAAGATGACCTTTATCGGTGTTAGGTGTGTCCTGTGTGTCGTTGATGGCCAGAGCGGAGGAGCGACTGTCGGCCCAGATCTGGCCTCGGAAGTGCTCTCTGAAGTATTTTGTCGCTTCCTCGTAAGCTCTGTCAGTATTGTGCTCGTGCTTCCAGTCCGCAGGGGTGTGTTTGTGGCAGTATGCACGAAGCTGCGACTTATCCATGAGGGTGTTTTGACCACCTCCCGTCTTCATCCGTAGGTATAAACCTGCTTGACGGGCGCATGTTAGGTGAAAAGCCTCATAGCAGCGGCCGTCGCTGCACTGGATGCTAGCACCCATTTCCTGCTTGCAAATATAACACACAAGCTTCCACCGCCCAGGAGGCACTTTTTCGACATCTGTGATAGGCTCCATGAGAGATGGATTGCCAATAGTAACTTCCGGAATCCAGGTGGCACAGAAGAGGTGTGCCCATTTTGAGTTATTGGTTTGTTTGAATGCGCCTCCCTCGTTGGGGCAGAAAATGCAGCTCGGCCGGGAATTCCCTACCAGCTGGCATTTTCTGCACAACCATTGACCTTCAGGGATGTACGGCACACCATAACACTCTTGATGTACTGCCAGGTCACAGCCGTCGCAAAAGACGATGGCGTTGGCGTTCTCGCAATCACCGTCGTCACATATCGCACATTTGCTGTCGGGCTCCTCCCCAGCTGGTTCGCCGTTGACGGCTGCGGCAGAGCTTGACCGCGGCCGCTGCGTTTGAGGCGCTTTAGGATTCGGCTTCGGGATTCTCTTCTCCAGTGCGTGCCATTCCTTTTCAATCTTGGTCATTGTTATTTCGAATATTGCAGGCTTGATGGTCTGAACTCCATCTTTGCTGCGTCCTCTGTTGAGCGCCTCCAGCCACTTGACGTCCTGTTCATCCATGTCATACTCGACACGACCGACACCGTTACTGCCGATGGCCGAGTTCTCTCCGTTGGTGATAAGGTCGGGGCTCAAGTCGAGATCTTCCTCGGCGGAGCCTTCTGTTTGCCTAATGTAGTTACGAGCCGGACGCACAAATATCTCACTCTCTTGATATCCCACATGTGCCATGGATTTGTCCACAAAATCCACTTGTGCGAAGTCCTTTTGCTCGTAGGATAGAAACGGGTCCAGTATGCGGTATGAAGGCTTGGGCAAGGTCAACCTTTCCCGGGGATTGGGACCAGGCATCGGAACCAGTTTGGGAGCTTCTGGTGTGAGTAGTGCGTGGATCATGGAATTTTGCGTGCGGTGAGGTCTCCCAGGCTTTCTCTTAGGAGGGGGCGTGCTTCCCAAAATAGCAGGGACTCCATCCACAGACGGACTGGCATCTTCCTGACCCTCATTGTTTGTAGGTTTCTTCACAATCCCATCAACCTCCTCTGACGGTATGACCGCAAAGTCTGCCTCGAGGTCCAGGTCCGGATGAAACTCTTCCCAGCCTCGCTCCTCTCTTGGCTTGTACCCATCCCCGTGTGCCACGGCGGCAGAAGCTGCAGCGGCGGTGCTGTACCGAGGACGCGCGGAACCACGGTTTCGACTCCTGGCCGAATATCGGGGCGCTGTTGTCATCGTTCTTCGTCGATCGCGGCTTGCACGAGGGCGCGTCCGAGGATGTACATATTCATCGCCCGCGCGGGGTGTCCTTGTGCCCGAAGGAGTGCGTTCATTATCAACATGTCGTCCTCCTCCTCCACGACCTCCTGGAATCCATTTGGACGGTTGTTGGGCTTTGCGCGAGGTTCGTATTCGCTTCGAGGGGGGTTCAACGCCTTGAAAATCGGCAAGGTCTTCGCGCTCCGAATCGTCAAACTCGCTGGCAGGTTTCTTTGTTTCTCGGCGCAGGCGTGTTCTTCCCTGCACATTCCTCAGTGGTCCCATCCTACCAGTACCCGGCCAGAAATTGACGCGACTGTCTATTGAGGGCTCGAGACTAGGTGGCGCAGTTCGGAATTAAAGCAGGTGCAGCCGCCGGACTTGCCATTCAGATGGTTCAGACCGTGCTGAGAGCGATGGAGTCTTTGACCTGCCAACAGACATGCAGATACAAGTCTTGTAGAGTTAAAAGGTAGTCTTCTGTTGATAGCCTCTGCAGGGCACATCTACGGTCGTCGTCTCCTTCAAGATGGGGTTAAGCGCGACTCGGGCGACAAGGGTGGGTCTCCTGACTTGGCACCGATCTGCCTCCGCCGCGGGCGACAATAATTCACCCCTATCTGGAAAACGGGTGACGCCGTCCTAATTCATCAGTGCGCTCGTGCGGTAACTTCGCGTTTAAAGCGGCACAGTCCAAGTGAGGTGCGAGTACGGCGCTTTCACATCTACAGGTTACTGTATTGCGGGTGCATTGTGTTAACATCCATGATGCAGTAACAGCGCAGTTACAACGCATATTGCTGTCGCCACCCTCAATGAACGAAGAGTAAGTTCGCTTCTGTGTGTGCTTCAACAAACAATATCCCATCATCATCACGCTTCTTCTCCTCGGTTACATGCTTACAGGATGCCTGGACACAGGAATCGCAACGGCCGCCGAGGAAACGATCCTAGAGGCACCAACCCCCAGCGCCAGTCTACAGGACCACGAGCTGGGACTCCGAATGCGTCGCAAGCCAGAAGAGGTGCGAAGGCAGGATCGAATATGAATAGGTCAATAGACTCGGTCCACAACGGCTCGGCGAGACAAGCTACACCTCCTCCCGAACAACATGTCGCCATGGCGGGCTTCAACTCCGATGCAGTCGAAGCCGTTCTTAGGCAGGGGTTGGATACCAAGGCGCCTGTTTACAAGCCAGAAACTACTCCTCAAACAACTAAACCGGAAAGTCCCTGGGGCCTGAAACGTGGGTGATCTCCTTTCTGTTGACGTGAGCCATGACTAACGATGACCGAAGCCGGTGCGATGGCAAATGGCAAGGATTTCTGGCTCGACTTACGCAAACAAGTCGCCGCCCTCCAGCAGACAGGTGGCACCAGTCAGGGAGGTTGACAAAGAAACGTAAAGGACGTTCATATCTTTCCATGGTTCAGCGGCATTCACAGAGACGGTGTTTGTTTGGGTTGTCAAGATACCCCGGTGTAGGCGCGTTTCCAGCATGCTTAGCATTCTCTGCTGGCGATCGACCATCAGTCTACTGTTTTTTTGAAGAATGACTTCCCGAATCCAGAGTTGGCGAGGATCTGTAAGGGTCGGTACTGTGCAATGCTGCTACTGGATCTCGTGCTAGCGCCTGTTCTGGCTTTTGCCCACATCTGGTTCTTCCACTCAACACCCGTGCCGCTGACTACTCGGGAGTCCCTTCCAATCCAGCTCTCCGACTTCAGCACCTTTTGCCGGATGTGGTGCCATGGTAGGAACATGGTACCGGCTCTGTCACCCTGGTATTCCGAAAGAGAGAAGAAGCGAGACTACACAGAGTTCTGTCTGCGCAAGGCGATCCGACTCTTCAGCCGCGACATATGCTCAAATAACTAGGGCTGGACGTTCCATAACCGTGACTAGGTACCTGATCCTGGGACGATGAACAATCAGGTCGAATCAAGTCACCCATCATAAGAAGTCGACCTGTATTCAGCCAATACAAACCTTCGAAACTTTCCATTCTGTTCGGCATCTTGTAAAACATCTATCCACAGAAATGACTCTGACCAGGTGCGCATAACATGGGACTTGCCGGCCTCCTGGGTGCAACAAATAACGTAGTTCAAATATACGGACTATACTTTCCTTTGCGCGCAACTTTTCAAAAATTTCACAGGCAACAGAACCAATGTTAATCCAAGATTGGAGTAACAAGCACATGAAAGGGTATAAGCTTCCGGAACATCAAGTAGCACAATACGAAGACAGGTGTCATGACGGTCTCTTTTTCCCGGGTCTGGAATTTGACCCCCGGGTCTATGTAAAGCATCACTCCAGATGCAGCGCAGCATCAAGAAATGCCTGCGGCGGTACGTCTTCTCTGAGACTCACCCGCATTGATCCTTCCCCATTCTCGATTGATGGCTCGACCTGCCAGTCAAGCGCCGAGACAATTTCACAGATTCATATCTCCAAGAAATTACTTATGCGACCATGGTGCTGGCGGTTGCGCTCTCGTACTTCCAGTTGGGTTGCAGGACGCCGACGGTCTTGTAGTATCTGCTGAGACGGTGGATTCTCGACTCGATGAGAATGAGACGGAACTTGGAGTCCTTGTCCTTTCGGTTGCGCTCGAGGTGCTTGCGGACGGCGACGGCCTAAATGAGGATAATTAACATCCCAACTCTACCTCTATTTGCTGTATTCGAATGCTTACCTTCTTGATCAGGAAGTAAAGGTCTTCTGGGATTTCCGGTGCAAGACCTATTGTCACTCTGTCAGTCTGATGGACCAATGCAGAGGCAGTGCTGGACCATTTGGTAATGGCTAGCGATATGACGGGATAGCCAGAAGATCCAGATGGAGGCGAATCCTCATCTTTCTTTTCTATCTTTTATCTTTTTCTCGTGTCGCGAAAATGGGTATCTTTTCATGTCGGGGTAAAGCGAAGAGGTCTGCGCATACCGTTTGACTTGAGGATTCTCAGGATCTTGTTACCTGCACGCGACCATGAATCAGCAATTTATCCAGCAACGCATACAATATGACTCTTTCGTACCAGTAACGACTTTAACTTGGGCAACACCATGGCTGTCTCGAAGAACAACACCGATCTGGGAAGGAGTTGCGCCCTTTCTGGCGAGCTTGCAGATGTTGTCGACGACCGTCTCCGGGGTGCTCTTGAACCACGTGGGCACGGATCGCGAGTATGGGATGGCCGAAGCACTGATACCCTTTCCCTTGCTGTGAAGACGACCCATGACGGCTGTTGTCGAGTTTGTCGAATTGTCGGAGAAATTGTATCCGTCGTCGTTGATCGCACGATGTTGTAGTCGAGGTTGAGGCCGCAAGATGATTTTGTGTGAGATTGCCAAGACTTGCAATCTTGGCGCGTAGGCAGGGCCCCTTCAGGAACTTTTTCAGGTTCGCGGTTCTCCGACCTCATTGAACTCCATCCCATCGTGATGTGGCATTATTATTATCAGCAGTTCTCACTTTGCTTCGCCAGCATTTCATCCACCGGGCTGGCTTGAATGTCTCGAGTGCCAAAGAGGATAGCTCGGTTGCATCGCACTTGATGCGGAGGTACGGAAATACTTACTGATGTCGTTTGTAACAGCAGACAAGCCTTTCTGTACGTATAACCCCTGGTTTGCATTCCTCTTTACGAGTTCTTTTTTATGATGACACACTACGAAAAAATTACAATATTTCTGGTACCTCTTATGTCAGAAGAGCTTGCTGCAAAGCGGGTTTTCTTCGATGATCTATATGGACTTCTGACTTGGCTTCTGCTTCATCTTGCATTCATATCGTGGCTTGGGTTCGAGACAAGGGCTAATATGTCTATAGCAGGTTGAAAAATATCTCCGAGGAGTAATGTAAAGGAAGGCAGACAAATGCATGACAGTTGCAAGCTTGCTTCGATACCTACGACAGGCTGTCATTACTGCCCGCTGTTTCTTTCACTGCAGAGCCCTTCTACTGTGATGTGTGCGAATGCATGTCTTTCTAGCAGTCGGAGATCGTTTTCGCAGTATAACACGTGTGTAATCCAGATTTCCGCCCTTCCCAAGGGTCTACTTTTCGCGCATACCGCCCATGCCGTAGTAGTGAGCACCGAATCAACGCCAACGCTACCCAATTGACCTGGAGTATAATAGCCTCTGGATCATGATATGCCTCCCATCTCCGTATCATCATCCCTCGGTGTATTCTGCTCTTCCTTCTTTTCTTCCTGCTTCATGCCATTGGTGGCTGGCATATCTTGTCCAGAAGGCGTTTCTGGCACAGGAACTTCGGAGGTTGCTACCGGCTCCAACGCGGGCTGGATGGGCTCATCTACCACGACCTGTGGACGTTCAGACTCCGGCTTGTCTTGCTGCGTTTCCTGGGGTTCTGACGGCGCAGTTGGCTGGGTTGTCTCTTGGTGAGGTGCCGGAGCCTCGAATTTGTACAAGAATCTTTCGCGGATGTTGGTTCGGTCCGGGTTGCCTTCGTATAGGATTGACTGATGGATTAGGCATTCTCCCAGCCATTGAAGAGGAAACTCTGCTCTAAAGAGAAGAGGGAAGCAATCAGTCGGCAAGCTTGACACGAAATTACAATGCGGGAGACACGCGTTTCTAAGGTGTATTGACTCCTCACGTACTCGACGCCTAGACTCTCTGTGATGGCTTTCTTCAAGAATGGCGCAACTCTCGCATTCAAGTAGTCCCGTAGCGGGACTTGTTGCTTGTTGTTGGTCCCGTTCACGACCACGGAAGGAGTGTTAGGGGCAGCCTGCGACATGCTGACTGATAGTCCCCAGACTTTGTTGTAAAAAGGGGATAGGATCTGTCCCACGTACACAAACCGGGCGCGCAGTCCAGTCCAACTCCAAAAGTGATCTTTTCCGCTTCAACCTCGCATACGGAAGGTTGCCCGGGTGGAAGTCACGTGTTGGTTCCACATCCTGAAGGGCCGAGACGGTTAGTTCGAGGATGAAGTCGCAGACATGTGTCGTACGTACTTGGCAATGTCAGAGCGGCACTACAGTGGTGAGACCCCGAAGACATTATATGCGATCATTCAGTGCCAGATTCTTGTCCAAGGTGATTTCTCCAAAACACTGAGTTTGTGGGATGTTGCGGCAAATGCTAGGGCAGCGGAACGCGAGAGCTGTAGCAGCCGACAAGAGAGATTCAGCACAACGGCGAGAATATAGATAGAGACTCTGGCGCCGTATGAGCTCGGCTTGTGGGAAAAGGTGATCACAGATGCGAAATAGTTGCCCAATCCACAGTTCTGTTGGACATGGGTGGACTTGGTACAATGAATGATAAAAGAAGCACAAATCATAACGATTTGCAACGGATGGATGCCCGCTATGCCTTGTAATGTTGCAGATACGACCACCACCGAGTACGATTCTTCAGTGGGCGGAGGAACGAAGAAGCTCAGTAAGGTCAATTCCCATCTGTTCGCATCATGTACCACATACCTTAAGTAAGGACAATGAATGGGCTGTTTCTCGTGGGACATGTTATTCTGATCATATCAGATCACCCGAATGCCTCGATTGCTGCTTGTAGGATAGATACCCATGTGTTGACCTGGCGTACATTTCCCCGCCTATACTCAACCTTGTAGCATCATTCTTCCGGGTATTTATCACCCCTTGAGAGTCCTTATGAGGCGCAGTGTTGGGAAAGACAGACATCCTCTAGACGTCAGCCACGTGTCGATACGACAGGTGGCAGTGGTAGAACAGACTAACTTGCCGCAGAGCGGATTCTGCGGAAGTATACAGTGCAGCTTTCACAGCACCTGCCGTGCATTGGACATTGGCGACACCTGACTGTATTTCAATGCATTGTTGGGTCGCTTGACACCACTAGCGCAGCTCTTTGTGCGGCGTGTATGCTTGCTAGAGTGAGGCGACTGTTGTTTAGCTCCCGCAATCGTAAACGGGCAAGACTTTGTAGGGCGCAACGTGGCTCTGCAAAAGTGCCCGACGTTCGTCATTGATGCGTTGGCAAGAGTTGGCGTAGCCGACGCACGCGGCAAATAGCGGTCAGAGCGACGATGGGATCTATATAAATGGGCGATATCGCAGAACGTTGTCAACGGGCGAAGGGGGCAAAGGATGAGAGAAAAGGAGAAACGCCTGCCAGGCACTAGGGCATCTTGTCAGCTGGGACATTTCAACAGGTAAGGCAGGCTTCATGTTTGGGCACAAGCGTCGATACCGCTCGGTTCAAACTCATCACTGGGGACAATAATGACAACTGCTGTGTCTTGACACATTCCAGCATGGTGCTCCATCAAGACGGGTGTCGACCAATGCTTGTAGACGAGGCTGCGACACTGAGGGTCCATGTGTTTTCGAGAACGACTGTTGGGACGCCAGGCAACGAGGCAGACAGTTGCGATTGAAATGTATGTGGAGGAGTAGCACTGGCATGGAGGAGGGAGAGACGCACGAGGCAGGATCCCAGCCGCCCGCAGCCGCGTTGAAGCTTGGGCGACTTCTAGGCGCTGATTCGGTGGCCGGGGCACATCGTCCAGGTATCTCATTCGACACTCCGCAGTCTGCTACGGGATGGCGCCGTCTCTCAAGACCTTAGGATCCCTGGAGTGCGCCCGGTTCTATCCACTCTCCTCTATCAAAACGCAGTGGATGGAGAGAGGAATTGTGAGCCAAAGTCCGCCGTCGCGCAGACAGGAAATCCAAACATATTGCACGGTCTCAGCAGAAGCTGGGAACCAACTCAATCTGAGGCATGCTGCAGGGGCGCGCAGGACGAAAAGCTTCAGACTGCGCGGCCCTAATCTTGCGAGCATGAACCAGCAGCACCAAGACCTGCCTGGCTAAGCCTGTTCGACTCTGGGACAGGTGCAGGAGACCAGATTCCCACCATTCACCACCTCGTCGAGCTCCATCCCGACCACGATCCATACCTATCTCCTCTGCGCCTGCATCCACCATCCCGCTCTAGCTCTGCATAGCTCTCCAATGCTGCAGCTGCAAATCGATCAGAGAAATCTCCCAGACCCAAGGCGTGGTCTGCTGGTCGACCTCCAACGGAACCTGCCCTGGGGCAGACAAGACACAGAGCCCTCCCTCATGGTTTAGATGGCCGTAACCGGCCACTCACAGCGCGCCGTTACATGTCTTGCAGCTGCGACCTACATTGGCCTGCCCGCGCCCTCCTGATCATCTGCCTCCTTTGCTGGCCAGTCAATTGCTCGATGTAGATGGCTCCTGAGTCCTTCTGTGCCTGGAGCAGTAGGAGCAGGATTTTTTCTTACTACAATTGCGACTAGTCGACCCCGAAAAAGATTCCCCAGAGATCGAAACGGGCTCAGCTGAGTTGCCTCCAGTCTTTTCCGTCTTTGCACCGAAAGTTTGCGATTCCCGCGATACAGTCCTCTCTGAATGAACAGTGTGCAGGCGCCCTATGCTGTCCGCTGTTGCGCTTGAGGACGGTCACATGCAGTCCTCTTTTCGCCAGAGCCAGCAGTCCTCTCCTTTCCACCCACCTCGATGTCAAATTTGTTCGGGTCGCCATGGACAGTTTCGGAGAAAATCGTCCTCTTGACCAACATCATTCAAGATGCCGGGCACGATGTTCCCTCCTTGCTCCTTCAGAGTATAGCCGAGCGCAATATACAACCTAGGTGGACTGAAGTCGCCTTGCCAACAGGTATGCTTGGAAGATGCAAACGAGTGTGCGCGCAATGATAGAAGCGTCTTGAAATGCCGCTGCTTGATCTGCAGAAATAGATCCTTGTTGCTCCTGTGGGCGACGCTGTAGACTGGACTGACTCTGTGGTGCGCGTAGGTCGATCCCTTAGTGCTTGCCAGAAACTCTACCAGGAGATGCTACGCGTCCCTATACAACAGTCTCGCTCGTTCTCTGCGATTGGCCCTCCTGGATATACTCCCCAGTCTTTTGGACCCAATCTACCCCAAGTAAGAGCTGTGTCTGAGCATGAGTTGCAACCTCCAGCCCATCGTTCGATACAACCGCGTCCTCCACGGGCCACTGATTCGCCGATGCCTTCTGTCACCAATGGAGAAGCGTTCACAATCCTGCGCCCATTCGCGCCTGAGATAGGCGTGGAACGGCGAAGGAAACGGGGTAGGCCGACGAGGGAAGAGGCCGAGGAGCGCGACAGGAGGCTTGCAGCGGCTGGCCAAATCTACGAGCCAAAGAAACGGTCAGCGAAGAAGGCCAGGCTTTCAGGCACACCCGGTTCGTTCACCGACCCTCGGCCTGGCACGTCCCCTGGTATGGAGACTCCATTGTCGCAGCATGCCGAACACTTGGGGGAGGCTTCAGGCGGGAGGCGACGCCCAAAACAGCAACTCGAGAAGGAGGGTTCTCCCCGACACGCCGCCCCTCAATCTCCGTTGGACGATTCCGGCAATGAAAGGAGTACCGATGCCGCTCACAGTCCTTCAGACCGATTGCTCTTGAGGTCCGGCGAACGCGCTCAAGCAGCGGCTCTCGTCTCCAGGTCTACAGGGGAGGCGCAAAGTTCCAGCTTTGAGCAAGCAGAACCGGAGCAGAAGCACGGTAAGATACAGACCGGCTCGCCTTCGGTCTAAGTCCTCGCCCACGACGCCGTAGCGCAACCGCCGACATCCTATAGCCCACAGTGCTGGCCATTCTCTGCACCTATATTCTCGAAACAGCAGCGCACGATACACGAACGAGGCATGACAATAGAAAAAGGAGCAACACATGTGTCAACGATACCCACGGGCTCGACGTACAGACCAGAGAGGGGCTACATTTCTCTGCGCACTTGACTATATTCGATTCAATTCCGGTCCATCTTCCAACACAGGTGATCGCATAGCGACCAGCACACAAGTCGCAGCCTGCATGAGCACAGCAACTAATACAACAACAACAACTACTACTTATTTCTGATGTACAACTATAATTAAGGGGCGAGATGGAAATCCTGCCGGTTGGGATGGCTCCATGCAGTTTTCCGCAGGAGGGCCAGGCATGGTTGAAACATTGTGTCTGGTTCCTCTGAGTGGGAACCAAAAGAAACAATAATTGCTAATACGAACATATTTGTGTTATCTGGATGGGTGAACGGGGGAGAAGAGTCGGAACGAGAACGGGAAAGTTCGTTCAGTATACGTACTTCGATCTATCCAAGGCAATGCTGGACGTTATAACATGACACCTTGGGCAATCGTGAAGATGTAGCAAGTATAGGTGGTCTACCCACACAGGAATATATACCTATAATATGTCGCGGATCCCTTGGTTACCTTGGGCAGAGATATAATATAGGTATATTCGAATTTCAGATTATACTGTATGCCAGAGAACCAAGGGCATCAATAGCCCCAAATTTTTCGTTTCCCTCGCCCATCGAAGTAGAAGACTTTTTTGGCACAGGATGCAGACAGTCCTGCGTACGCGCTTCCCAGGCGCATGACAGAAACTGAGTGAGCACAACATAGCAGGACATACAATTTGCGGCTGCATTGGCAGATTGAAGGCATGGATAGATGACTCGATGAAGGAATCAATGCATCGATCAATCGTCGTACAGTCCGTCATCGTCGCCTTCCACGTCATTCGAAAACCCATCCCGCTCCGCGTCGATTCCAGTATCATGCGAAGACCAAGAGTTGTCTTTTGCCTTGCCCTTGCCCTTCCCCTTGTCCATACCGCTCCCGTTCACCACGGACCCGTTCAGATGATGGGTCATGCTGACTCCATAATCGTCGTCCGCGTCCGCATCCGAAGAGGCACCAGAGTCCGGGTTACCGATCCGCACTGCCGGTTGAACTTGCCTCTGCAAGTGGGCGGGATACGGATTGTCGGTGGTTGATGGTGGCGTGTATGCTTTCTGCTTAACCCTGCCTTTGGCCTGCAGGAAGGACATGTTCGGGAGTGGCTGCGCAGGAGGGTTGGGGACGTCTTGACGTGGTGACTGTACCTGTCGAGCTTGGTCCACTCGCAAAGAGGTTGGCGTAGATGCGGGTGGGTTTGGCCGGTATGGCAATCTCGTTTGCTCGGCGTCGGTACCATGCTGATGATGGCCACCATCCTTGGACGGAACCGTAATATCCTGCTCCTCGAACATGTTACGGATCCTTTCGAAATGCTCCAGCTCCTTCTTGCTGACACTGCCGACCAACTCGGTCTGGGCGGCGGTGAAATCCTCCTCGCCCACCACGACCTGGACGTCCTCCTCCGAAGCCAAGTGGTCGAAGAAGTAGCCTGTGCTGATCTCCTCACCGCGCGCCATGCTGATCTGGCTGACCTTCTCATCCACGGCCTGTGTCTTGCGTGTGATTGCCTTCAGCATGGCGTCGCTGCAGAGTGCGTACAGGTCTGCGCCGGTGTAGGTGAAGGGCAATCGGCTGGCAACCCGCTTCAGGTCGACGTCTGGCGCTAGCGTAAAGTTCCGAGTCAAGGCTTTCAGGATTGTCGTTTGTTGATCGTGGGTGTCAGCAACTCCCAAGTACAACATCTTGTCGAACCGGCCTGGTCGCAGCAAAGCGGGATCGAGAAGATCTGGCCTGTTCGTTGCACCAATGACAAACACGCCACCCGCATTCGAGGGCGAACTGTCATCCGCGCTGTCGTCGCTGCCACCACCGGTCGACATTCCATCCAACTCGGCCAGAAGCTGAGAGACGATGCGGTCCATAACGCCTCCACTATCACCTTGGTTTCCTCGTTTCGGCGCAACCGAGTCCAACTCATCAAAGAAGACGACGCATGGGCGAGCGTCTCGAGCACGTTGGAAAACTCGTCGTACATTTGCCTCCGACTCACCAATGTACATGTTGAGCAATTCGGGCCCTTTGACGCTGAAAAAATTGAGGCTGAATTCGGTGGCGATAGCTTTCGCCAGAAGAGTCTTACCGGTCCCGGGCGGGCCATAAAACAGGATACCAGAACGTTTTCTGATACCATTGGCGAACAGCTCGGGATGCGTAAGAGGTAAGGAGATGGTTTCCATGATTGCATCTTTTTGCGACGACAGACCGCCAACATCTTGCCAGGTGACCGTAGGGATCTTTGGAGCACCAATCGCATCAGAAAAGGTTGACCGAGCGGTAGTTATCGCGCGACTGAAATCACTGGTGAGAAGATGTGTGGCTGCTTGGCCCCCAGATATGTATACATCGGAAGGATGACAAGATTGGACGTCGGCAAGAGCCAAAAGACGTGCAGATCGCGCCAGTGAAGCACGGCTGACAACGTCAAGCAGGTCCCCTGCCACAAGGGCAGCGGTCTGAAGGGCAATGGTTTTCAGATTGATGCTGGGCGAGAGCGGCGTCGAACTAGACGTACAAGCGTTCCGCAAAATGAGCTCACGAGCTGTTTCGTCCGGCGCCATAACCTCGAACTCATGAGAAAACAGGCTTCGAAGGGCTGCCGGGATGTCATCGACTTTTGTTGTTGTCGCGACCACTACTCGGGACCAAGAAATAATCTCCTGCAACACGGGCACCATCCTATCGGCAGTCAAAGCATCGATGTGTTGAATCAGCAGCGCAGTTTGCTGGGGGCCTCCAGAAAGAGCACGCTCCGCCCGAGTTCGTAGTAGAGCCTCGGTTTTCACGTCGCCCCCGCCTGTTGTTGAAGCATTTTCGGAAAGCAGGTCGTGTGCAGAGATGGTGAAGGTGTGCACTCCAACGGCCGAGCAAGCGGAGTTGGCAATGTAGGACTTCCCAACCTGCCGCTGGGTGGAGTATAACAGTATCACCAGAGGAGGGAGGCCTAGATTGATGGCCCGGGTGCTGATTGACGCCGATATCAAGCCTGACAGACGCTTTTCCAATGGTAGTCTCTCCAGCGTCGGTAGATCTGACGCAGTTGCAATTTGATCAATTTTATGCACCTGTCGCTGGGAGACCTTGTTGATTCCAAACCAATACCTGCTCCAGCATTCTGTCAAATGCGACACTGAATGAATGCTGCTGCCACTCTGCGAGACTCTGGCCTGTGAAGTATCGAGTGTGACCACGCCTCCCCACGTGTTTTGCTCCCCGTCTCCTTCATCATTGGGAGCTTCCACATCGATTTGCTCTACCGAGAACCAAGCAATAGCGAATCGAGCAGCGCCAGAAGCATCCGGCACGTTGAGTTTTGTTATGGTCTCCTCATCTCCCGGACTATCGTCCGAAGCAGCCGACGAGGAAACGGCCTTCCCTAGTTCCCGATCCACAGGAACGGCAATGAGATCGCCTTTCTTGAGCTGGCGTCTTTTGCTTTCCAGGTGATGCTTTAAGGAAGAGAATAGCGTCGACTGCAGGACAGGATTGGTCGTTATTGGATCGGACAACTTCGAAAAGACGACCTCCTTGGCAAGGGGAGGCGATTTGGACGCGCTTGAACGAGGCAGTTGGCCGAATCTGGCATCATGGTGGCGTGGAGCTGGTGGCAATGAACCAACTTTGACATACGGGGCATTGGACAGATTGGCGAGCAGTATGGGCGAGAGATAGATTACTGGTGACAAGGGCATGGCGAGGTCTCTTTGTGTAAAGCTTGACCTTCTGTCACCAGTTTTGTCAACAGCATACCGCGGCTGCAGAGCTGACAGACCTGATAAGCCAAAGACCCTCACAGTGCGCCAGTCCGATTCTTCGTCATCAGCAAATGCAAGAGTCCTGAGCGCCGATGGCGGAAGCCCCTGAAAGCTTACATTCCGGGACACCTCGATACGGACCCAGTCGCCAGAGAAACATCCGATCTTCGCCAACGTGCTGGTGTCAATAAATACAAAAGATTCATCATCATCCAATGGATCAGGTTTGGGATGCATCAGCTCTAGAGGGACCTTCCGCAGGAGAGCCTCGGTCCTGAAGACTTTGCCCAGTCGCGTACCACCTCCGGCGGTTGCCGACGTAAAACTCGAATAGAGGGAGCCAGGCGTGTGCGTGCCTGTTGTCCTCTTCCCACCAGCACGTGGGGTTGCAGCAGTCATTGACGAGAGCGTCCCAGCTTGCTGAGGTGGCAGGCCTGGAGCACTGAGCGAGATCATATCATCCATGGAATCCGAATCGTCGTCACTTTCTTCGTGGACTGAGAGGTCAGACTCGGTTTCACCATCAGATACTCCATCTCCATCCGATCCCGTCCCTGCCTGCCCGTCCTCTGCCGCCGAGAAGAACTGGTCATTGGAAGTGTCTTCTGCGGTATCCTCGAGCGACTCTTCGATAATGGGTTGCACTGGAGCTAACCTTTTCAGGGCTTTCTCCTGGGATGAGCCAGTTTGTATCAAAATAATCTTTGTCTTGGGGGACAGCAGCCCTTGAGACACAGGTTCGCATTCGACTATGATGGCGGGAGGTGCCCGAACGTGGGTGATAGGGTGAGCGGGCAGCGGCAAGGGAAATACATCACCTGTATGGATGATGGGAAGGTGAGAGAGCGCCTCCCGGACAAGAGAGGTCATGCGAGAAATCTGAGCAGGCACATTGTGTAACACTCCGTTCGCTGTCCCTGGCCTTTTGTCGACTTTAATAGTTCTCGCATATTGGAAACCTCCGCCGAATTTTGTCTGCACATCATCCACCCGGTCGAGTAACCCCTTTTCCACAGACACGTAGAGAGTTTCGAGAACAAGAGGCTTCGTAGCAATTACCCTGATCTCGATTGACTTTGGAATGTGGCCGGGATGACGGTCTCGATCGACCGCGGCGTATGTCTTCAGAATGGACTGGCAGGCAGAGGAACTGGGCGAAAGTTTGACCACGTTGGATTCGCCAGAAGGACCCGTGGAAATTTGAGGATCGGAAGGCTGCGCCGGTAGGACAGTCCATGTCGAGTCTTGCAAGTCGATGTGCAAAGGGGACCACGGCGTCAAAGCCACGAAGGGCGCCGTATTGAGAGGACTTGTACCTGCAATGCTGGTTAGAGAGTGTGTTCCCTGCAAAGAGCGGTTCGGCGAATCTGTAGCCATACCCTCTTCTTTGCACGCGAGCTTTGCCCAGAGACTCTCCGAAAGGAATGCGGCGCTGCCTTTGACTGTTTCGTCGAACACCAGTCGAGCGGACAACGGCCGCCGCTGAACCTCGCGCCTCCGACGCTTTTTAGGGTGCTCAAGCTCATGTTGAAGGCTGTCCATGACGGCTCAATTGCTGACAACAAGCCTCGGCATGGTCATGCAGACAGCGGACAATCGACTTTGGAGGTCAACCAGAATGCCTGCTTTTGGCGGGAAAGATGTCGATAGTATACTGTAGGTCTTGGTCCGCAGTTGGGACGGAATGTTACGAGACGTGGTTCAAGTTCGGCTGCGCTCTCGTTCAAGTTCAAGTCCAAGTTGGACCAAAAAGGAAACCGATTCTGCCGAGGCACAAATCGAGGTCGACGAAAAGCAGTATCACCACTGCATACTTACCTAGTATTCATGCTCTCCAACCTTGCTACGATAGTATCTCACTCACAAGCCTACAGGATGTTTTGGAAAGGCCATATGACTATCTACAACTCGCTTCCGTCGAGAGAACAGGCTGACTTAGTGGTCCCAAGTCCTGGCCTTGCCCCCAGCCTTTACCCCAGGCGAAACCCGCAGTTGACAACCCCGAGGCGACTCTCAATCTGGTAGTAATGTCGAGCAACCAGACAGCTCCCTTGCGTTCTCGCGGGCTGATTGTATGCATTAATCATTGTGTTTGCGGAGGTGGCGTCCATACAGGACAAAATAGTGGTCGTCTCACGAGGCCTGCTTAGACAAATATAAAGGGTATATTGATGCGTCAATCACGATGTCTTTGGGGGAACGCCTCCTGCCGGTCCCGGTGCTGGAGGCAAGCGACTGCTGATTGCATCTACCTCGAACAGCAGACGCTGTGTGACATGACTGTCACATTGCACCATCTCAATGGCCACCCAGCCTGAAGTCGCGCCCAAAGATAGAATCTACCATTTCTCCGCTGCGTGTGGACAGGATTGACAGCAGTGAGTCTGACAGACCATGAGTACTCTCGTTGCAACCCTGTAGCCAAATGCCCATGCCTTCCTCCACAGCTTCCGGACTCATTTTCAAGCCATAGTCCCGCCCAGGTTGCCACACCCCATTCTTGTTTGCGTTGATGCACTGACAATCCCTGAGCATGTCAATGTGCGCGTCCCGTCGGTACCCAGTGGCCAGCACGACAGCGTCGAAAGCTAGAGTCTCCTGGGACATATTGCTCAACGGGTCCAAGTTGGTAAGAGTCAGGCTGAGTTTTTTGGTCACTGGATCCTCGGCAACGGCGGTGACCTCTCGGGTTGGCATGACCTGGTGCTGCCATTGAGTCTTGTCTGGTTGCTTGATCCCTTGGAGATATAGATCATCGTATATCTTTTCAATGAGCTCCAACCTGACCACACTGTAATTGGTCGCCTTGTTTCGCTTCAGAGTATGGTAACGCACATCCTCTGGTTGCTCGAAGAAGGTGTCGACAGCTTCGGGATTGAACACTTCGTTGACAAATGGCGAGTCATCACTTGGTCGCAGAGCGGTATCACGGAAGATCAATCTCGTCGCGGCATTGGGGTATCGGCTGTGAAGATCATTGAAAACCTCAGCGCCGCTTTGACCGGCTCCGACTATGGCAATATTGTAGGCCTTGTCCTTGTCCGGTAGGATCTGCGCGATCCTCGTCTGGTACTCGGATGAGTGCAAAATGCGCTCATGGTAGGCAGGGAAGATGGCCGGCCTTGCTGGTCTGCCGCCCGCCGCAATAACCACGTTCCGAGACAAGATCGTGTTCAGTTGGCCAGTGGACAGATTGCGCGAGACCACCTCGAAGCAATCGTACTTCCCCGTAGTTCCCAATTTCCGAGGATGTATTGACTCAACCTGCCGGCTATATTCCACCACATTACCAAAATGACCCGCCGCCCACTGCAAATAATCGTCGAATTCGAGGCGGGATGGCAAGAAGGTGCAGAGATTGGTGAACTGAACTAGCCGGTCGTGCTCTTTCAGGTAATTAAGAAAGGTGAAATGGCTGCATGGATCCCGGAGGGTGGCCAGATCTTTGATGAAGGATATCTGCATTTTGGCACCCGGGAGCAACATTCCTGCGTGCCATTTGAACGACTTCTGTCGTTCAAGGAAACGCACTTTGGGACTGTCAATCCCATGTCCGATTTCTGCTTGGGCTTGCAGCCGGTCGCTCAGAGCTATAGCAATGGCCAGAGAGGCCGGCCCAAACCCTACACCGACCAGGTCGTGAACCTCCTCCAGGGCGGCGGAATACAGGTTCGCGGGAGAGCGGAGCAGTCGAGAGGAGCTCCCATTGTTCAGTTCCGTAGAATCCCAGGCACTAGTACCCGGGACTGGCCTCGTCGAGTCCAGGCTCTGATTCACAGCACCTGGAGCCATAGGGGTCGTCGACGATACACTCGGGTCTTCAACGGTTGCGATATTCTCACCTGGGAAACGCTGAGAAGTTTGTCAGTCAAGGAACAAGTGACCTACGGCAGACTATAAAAGACGACGGGATGGACCATGCATGTGAGCCGCGTGCCAGGCCATCGGACGCTCCTTGTGTCATTGGGAGAGCTGTCAGAGCGGACACGCCCGCCGAGCTGTTTATCCCGGCTGGCCTTGTTCTCACCGGATTGGATAGAGTCACCCTCGGAGGCTTCAATCATCCAACAACACAGGTTTCATCGTCGCAGGAGAGGGTCTTGACAGCAGTAGAAGCAACGCTGCAGCGAGAATGCCCAGCATTAACCACGCCGGTTTGGGGAAAACGCAGGATGAGGATGGAGAGGACAAAATGCGCGCACCACTTTCCGGCAGCCGATGACGGAGAGCCAAGATGTGATGCCGGGCGATTATCTGATAATATGCATCTGATTGTGAAAATTTTATCTGATAATCGGAGATCAGGCCAGAGGATCGCACAGCGGCACAGCCGATGCTTCCTCCAGCCCCAGTTTCTCTCCACTGCCTTCACTACTACTTGGTGGGCTACAAGCAAGTCCCCCGAAGGGCTTGTTCGCCGGCGTTCAACCTTGACACCTCTTGAACTCTGCTACGGTGGAAACGAAAAATTCTCTTCCTCGCCGGCCCCTGTGACCTTCGGCTGTGATTCGTCCTCTGTCGATCGAACGTGCAGCTACGGTGTTCTGACCATATTGCTGTTTGCATGGGGACTGGGGCTCCTCTAACAACGTGGGACACACAGTGGTGGTGACCATGTCAGTCGCCCTGCGCATGGTGGAACAACTTCCTATTGCAAAGCCAGCTGTTGTTTAAGCGCGATGTGGACAATTGTCGCTCATAAACATCGTCAGCCGCAGGGAGATCGGCCGAGTCACGGAGACAGTCGCTTCTTCTGGCCACCGTGAGTGAGCACTTAGGGTATCAGAATCGCAGACATTATGCTTGCTGCATCTCCAATCCGATATTATCAGCGAGATCAATTCATTCATGTCTATGACGTCTGACCTTCGCGGATAGAGTCCATCGGCCTTCTCATCTGATGCTCCAACATTCTCTTCTGGCTCCTCGCTTCGAGTCGATATTTCGGGCACATTGGTCGATCGGTTGCTAACGGTTCAACTGTTGGCCTGAATCTGTCCCTAGCCCTGGCGGACGATGGCTTCGTTGGCCAATGGCAGGCAAGCTGCACGTGATCTGTCAATAGTCAACCAAGACCGGCGGACATTACCTGGACCGCAACTACTGCATGAGTTGGTCGCCGTGCCAGACAAGGACACTTTGATCCTGGACTTCTTGCTCGCGGATGGAGAGCGCGTGGAGCTCACCTACGACCGTTTCCACCGCTTGACTGATGTCCTTGCCGGCGATATCAGCCATGCACTACCAAGCAAACAGAGTGGCAATCATGTCGTTCCCGTCATCATACCGCAATGTCCAGAGCTTTACATTGCCTGGGTGGCTGTATTGAAAGCTGGGGCAGCGTTCTGTCCTGTCAGCCACGATGTCCCCCCGGAGAGATTGAAGTTCATTGTGAAGGATGTCGAGGCGTCCTTCGCATTGACCACGTCCGGCACATTACGAGCAGTCCGACAAGTGCTTCCAGAGTTCAAACTCATGTCTTTGACATTGCAGGACCTCCATGACAGAGTGGTCTACCTGTCAGATCATGGCTGCATTCCTAGCAGTCTCCCGGATGTGCATCCTAGCCGACCAGCCTATGTGATGTATACTTCTGGCTCCACGGGCATGCCGAAAGGGGTTCTGGTGTCACATTTGTCGGTAACCCAGTCGCTACTTGCTCACGAGGAACATATACCTCCCTTTAGAAGGTTTCTTCAATTTGCTTCGCCCACGTTCGATGTATCAATATTTGAGATATTCTTTCCTTTCTTTCGCGGCGTGACACTCGTGGGCTGCGACCGCGAGCGTATGCTTTCTGATCTTCCTGCCATCATTCGACTGCTCGATGCGGATGCCGCCGAGCTCACCCCCACCGTGGCAGGGACTTTGCTGAAAAGCAGAGAGGCCGCGCCATGCCTGTACACGCTACTCACCATCGGAGAAATGCTGACACCTCAAGTGGTCTCCGAATTTGGAGGAAGCAAAGAGAGGCCGAGCATGTTGTATGCAATGTATGGGCCTACAGAGGCCGCAATCCACTGCACAGTCGCACCCAGATTAGCGTCCGATGCCTCCGTACGCAGCATTGGACGACCCCTCCAGACGGCCACGGCCTTTATATTGGAAGACTCCGACCATGGCAAGATAGCACCCATTGGCGAATCCGGTGAGCTCGCCATTGCAGGCCAGCTCGCTGATGGATACCTGAACCGGCCCGACCAGAACAAGCTGGCCTTTGTCGACCTGCCTGGACACGGGCCTGTCTACCGAACTGGCGACCGGGCCAGATGTCGTGCTGACGGGGAATTGGAGATTATGGGGCGAATGACGACCGGCCAAGTCAAACTCAGGGGTCAAAGAGTTGAGCTGGGTGAGGTGGAGGAGGTTGCCGCAAAGACTCCTGGTGTGCAAATCGCCGTCGCAAACATCATCGATGATGTCCTAGTCTTATTCTGTTCTGCCGCCCAGGAGCTCCGAACTCACGATGTCCTCAATACGTGCAAGTCGTGGTTACCGCCATACATGCGGCCTGGCGAAATAGTGATTTTACCAGGAGCCATTCCTCGGTTGCCTTCTGGAAAGTTGGACAGGAAGGCACTTGAGCGCGATTTCCGAAATTCCCGTGGTTCCCTTCGAGATGATAAGTTCTTGGACGACACAGAACGGAATGTGGCCAGGATCGTCGGGGACGAACTGGGTCGCAGGGTGGATGGATCGACCTCGCTCTGGTCCCTAGGGATGGATTCCCTTCGAGCCATCAAGGTCGCTTCCCGACTTCGCCTGGACCATGATCGAATAAGTGCCGCTGTGGTCATGGATGCCGAAAATGTGGCGGAGCTGTCAAACTGGATCACAAATTCCATGTCTGCACCGGAATCAGTTCATTCTGGATCGAACTATGAGATGTCTGCCGAATGGGTCGCAACTGAGTCTTCAATACGCACACAGCCCGAGTTTGCGGACCTCTGGACAATGTGGGAGAAGATCGTGCCGTGCAGTAGCATGCAGATAGCAATGCTCGTGGAGACTGCCTCAAATGAATGCTTGAACTTTAATGATATCCAACTTCAGCTCGCCCCCGAAGTGAGCTTTGACGACTTTCGTCGAGCATTCGACCTTGTTGCCGAACAAAACGAGATTCTTCGATCAGGGTTCGTTCCTACTGGACAACAGGGCTTCCCTTTTGCCCAGGTTGTATGGCAACACATACCCCACGGTGATCTGAGCGTGCTCCGACCGTTACAATTGCAAACTGTCGACAGTCAAAACGACAGAGAAGTATTGATACGTCTCCATCATGCTTTGTACGACGGCTGGTCCTGGGATCTGGTCTTGGACGATCTGAACGCAATTCTGTGTGGAAAGGGTATACCACATCGAGCTCCCTTCAGAGAATACGCCTCGTATCAGAACACTTTGCTCGACACTGATAGCGCCAATACCATGGAATACTGGCGTCAACTTCTTGCAGATTTCGTCCCTTCGGCTTTTCCTACTTTCTGTTCCACTCGACCACAGTCTCCGTCAAAAGACCGCTTAGTTGTGCCTTTGTCCATGTCTTACGACCAGCTATCGGAGACTGCGAAGGCGCTGCATTGCAGCCGAGAAACAATCTTAGAAGCGGCATGGACAGTCTTAATGTCGTCCTACGTCGACAGTATCGATGTCGCCATCGGGGTTGTCTTTGCCGGCCGTCACGTTCCTTTCCCCGACATCGAATCCACCATTGGGCCATGCTTGTCTACCTTCCCAGTGCGTGTGGACTTTGATGGGTTGAGGACAGTACGAGACCTTTACAGTTACATACAAAGACAACGCACCAGATGCTTGAGAAATGGGAACATCACACTCCGGGATATTCATCGGGCAGCAGCCCTAGGGGCTGGGAAGAGGATTTTTGATACGTTATGCGTGTGGCAAGAAAGCAATGACTCCCACAATCGAAATCGGTCCAAAGTGGCCACGGGTGAGACTCACGATGCATTGGACTATGCCCTTGTACTCGAGTTCGAGCCTCGTGACGGGAGGATAGACCTGAAGCTGACCTTCGACACGAAACATATATCTGATGCTCATGCAAGGCTTCTAGCTGCACAGCTGGATCACATCACGATGGAGATGCTGGAGAATGTTGAGATGGACTTGCACCATTTGTGGGAAAGCTCAAGCAAGGATATCCTTTCGCTCTCAAATGCACAGCCTGAAAAGTTCAGTAAAAGGTTCGGCCTTACAACGACCATTTCCACCCTTGCCAAAACTGATCCCGCAAGGGTGGCTGTCGATTTTATTCATGCGTTTGATCTTGACACCGGTCGAATCGAAAGATCCACCCTCACGTACCACGACCTATTCGAGAAAGCTTCAACTATAGCATCAGCATTGCAAGAGTCATTTAGGATTGGAGTAGACGATATTGTGGCTTTCCTCGCTCCAAAATCAGTCGATCTTTATATCGGCATCCTAGGAGCAATCATCAGCGGCGCCGGGTATTTATACATCGACCCGCGGACCCCTACGGAACGAATCAGACATATAACTAGGGAGTCTGCTTGTCGTGTTATTCTGACTGCACATGAGTCGAATGTCCAACTTCAGGACGGCTCGGCAACGTTTGCATCTATAGCAGAACTTCTACAACACCATTCAATCCCCACCGGACGGCACTGGCCTGATGTACGGGACGACCAACTGGCGTACGCTGTCTTCACGTCTGGCAGCACTGGTGTTCCAAAAGGCGTCCTCATCACTCGGAACAACCTGCTGAGCAACATCGATGATCTTTCTCACCTTTATCCCTGCTCTCCTGAAAAAGATCGACTTTTGCAAGCATGCTCTCTAGCATTTGATGTATCCGTCTTTGAGATCTTTTGGACTTGGCATATGGGAATGACCTTATGCTCGGCCTCGAATGACGTTCTTTTCAAAGACCTTGAACGCATTATCAATGACTTAAAAATTACACATCTCAGCATGACGCCCTCCGTGGCCGCGCTTGTCCATCCTGATCGTGTTCCACATGTAAAAATGCTGGTCACGGCAGGGGAGCCGATGAATTCGAGAGTTTTCACGGACTGGGCTGATCGTGGTTTATTCCAGGGTTACGGTCCAAGCGAGACTACGAACATATGCAACGTTCGGCCCCATGTCAGGAAACTAGATGCATCTAACAATGTTGGTCCTGCACTACCCAATACTTCCATCTTCGTCTGCAGAAGACAAGAGATTTCCTCCACGGATCGCAGTGATTCGAGATCTGCAGCCCCTCTGACTTTCAAACTAGTACCGAAAGGCGGAGTGGGCGAAATATGGATTGGTGGTGAGCAGGTAGGTCGCGGTTACATTGACGCAGCGCTCACTGCAAGATCATTCCTCAACCATTCTGAATACGGCCGCTTATATCGCTCTGGAGACATTGGAAGACTTCTTGTGGATGGCTCTCTGATGATCCTAGGGCGAGAGGACGACCAAGTCAAGCTTAGAGGCCAGCGTATTGAGCTGGGAGAAATCAATTCGTCCCTGATCAACTGTGAGGAAGTGGAAGACGCGGTCTCCGTGATCATCGACGAAGGTAAGAATGCAAGGCTGGTCGCTTTCTGGACCGAGCGCCAATTCGAAAGATATCAATCTTCGTCAAAGGTCACAAGGGCTTTGTTCCAGAAGTTGGAAAATCTACTCCCAAGTTACATGGTCCCCGATGCTCTGGTCCGGCTTGCACAGATTCCTTTAACCAGGCAAGGCAAAGTTGATCGAAGGGCTTTGGGCGAGGCTTATCACACCCTCGCACAAGAGGATCTTCAAGAATCTTCAAGGAACAATGCCTCTTCGGATACTGCAGACCAACTTTCCCAAAATGAGACACTCGTTGCTCAAGCCATATCCAGTGTGCTTGGTGTGCCTTCTGAGGCTATCCGTCGCAATAGTTCTTTCTATGCGCTCGGATTGGACTCAATTAGCGCCATACACGTCGCTGGGTCACTCCGGGACCACTTTCCTTCCGTGCAAGTATCTATGATTCTGCAATATCCGTCAATTGGTCAACTTGTGGCTGCTTTGGAGGCAAGAAAGGGCGATCGCCCAAAGATACAGCGGCGAGATAACATGGATGGCCTGTTTGACGTCAAGTGGAAGGCTACGGTAGTCGCTACCTACGCACGAGCAGGCCTCCTGGTGGATAGGTTTCTGCCTTGCACGCCTTTGCAAGAAGCAATGGCGAGCAGCTCCTTAAACTCGTCATCTCGTGGATATCAAAATACTCTACGATTCGAGGTCTACGGCGATGTCTACAAGCTGCGAGACGCGTGGGTCCACGCAATGGCTAGACATCAGCTCCTTCGAACCGGCTTTGTCTCTACGGAGTCAGCTGACACACCTTTCGCCCAGGTTGTCTTGAAGAGATTGGAACTACCATGGGTGGACGTCGGCATGCATGATATCTCAACGCCTGACTTGCCATTCTTGATGTTGCCTCCGTGGAAGTTGGAATTGAGTCGACGAGAGAGCAATCGCTATGAATTACGTCTTGAAATTCACCACTGTCTATACGACGCAGAGGCCATGTCCGTCCTCCTGACCGATATCCAATCCTTGTATCTTGGCCAAGAGGTACAGGTCCCAGTCCCATTCGACCACTATTTAAGTTTCATGCAGTCGCCTCAATCGGATGACACCGATGAATTTTGGCGCGAAAGGCTAGTAGGACTCTTTCCCACCAGGCTTACTGAGCTGGTCAAGGTTGAAGACAGAACCTTCATGAGCAAGACGGCGATATCGGAACGCAAAGCTACCCTCAGTCTCTCTGAGTTCCTCAAGTGCGTGCGCAGAAGCTCTTCGACGCCACTGTCACTGTTGCAGGCTTCGTGGAGTCGAATCCTGTCTTGTATCTTCGACCGACAAGATGTTTGTTTCGGCAACGTGTTCAGTGGGCGAAATCTACCCATTGATGGTGTTGAACGGATTGTCGCTCCATGTTTCAATACTCTCCCATTAAGGGTCAAGCTCCGGTTCGAGCAATCCAACCTTGATTTGAGCAAGGACATTCAGCAAGTGAACTTGAAAATGTTGCCGTATCAATCTAGCCCTCTTCGACGGATCCAGCGACATGTTAGCCATGATGGCAAAGCCTTGTTTGACACATTGCTATTGTTTCAGCAAAAGGAATTGCAGTTGGACAAGCAGATTTGGACACTGCTTGAAGAGTCCGGTGATATGCCCTTCCCCTTCATCCTAGAGATTTCGATACATGAGTCCGCTGATGCGATAACCCTCAAATTACACTCACAGTTTGCAAATGAGGGCCTTTTGACGCGACTCTTGCATTGCTTTGATGCTGCACTCACACATACAACGAGGTTCCCTCAGGCCAGAGCCCTAGACCATTCACCTTTCATCCAGATGTTGCCTGAACTGAAGCCGAAGGATGAAACGAAAGTGGCTGCTCACTCAGCGCCTGAAGTGCAGACGGACGGGGTGGAAGATGCAAGCCATGAGCTGTCAGGTACAGAAAGACTGGTCGGAGATGTGCTGGTGCAATTGAAATCCGATGGTTCAACTGGCATCACCAAAAATACCAGTATCTATCGGCTAGGATTCGACAGCATCGGCGCTGTACAGGTCGCTGCGAGGCTTCGGAAACACGGATTCAACATTTCTCGTGCGGACATTCTGGAAGCTGTCACTGTCGAGGAGATAGCGGCAGTGTGCGACTCCAGAAACGAATCTACGCCTTCAACCCAGGCGTTCGACCTTGAGGCATTTGACCGAGAATATCGACGATCGATATGCCTGACTAATAAGATTGACGAAGAAAGAGTGCAGTCTATCCGCCCTTGTACTCCCACTCAGTCAGGCATACTTTCCCAATATCTTCGTTCCGGGTGCCGCATGTACTTCAATCGCGTGGAGCTTCAGCTGGAGGACGATGTGGATTACCGCAAGCTGAAGGCGTCGTGGACAACTGCCCAACGTCTCCATGAGATGCTCAGAACAGGATTTGTGGAGACTGACGATCCACGATATCCATTCGCCATGGTAACGTATCGTGCGAACGCAGTTCAGCTGCCTTGGGTCGACAGTGTGACCAAGGGAGACTATACTGAAGCAAAACCGGACTACAGAGGAAGTCAGATGAGGCTACCATGGCATTTGCACTTGTCTAAGGGTGCATCACCCGCCACGCTGGAGCTGTCCATGCTGCATGCTCTTTACGATGCAACATCCCTCGATATAATGTTAAAAGACGTGGCCTCCATTTATCGAGGCATTTGGCCCAAGGAACCCGTTGCCCTCTCCCCTATCATCTCAGGCATTCTCGCCTTGGGCAATGACGAAGGCTCGAGGAGGTTCTGGTCAGAACTCTCTGCGGATCTTTGCCCGACCCACTTCCCTGATATGCGGATCTATACCAGACAAGATGTGCGTTTTCACACAGCCTCTCACCGGGCAAAGCTGTCTCTTGCAGCCGCAGAAAAGGCATGCGCCCTTATGGGAGCAAGTCTGCAAGCTGTGTGCGCTGGTGCATGGGCTCTTCTGCTTTCTGCTTATACTGCGCAGGATCATGTCACATTCGGCATCATCATGTCCGGTCGAGACTTTGATCAAGAGGAGCAAAACATGGCCGCCTTTCCCTGCATCAATACCGTTCCATTTGCAATCAAAGTTTCCCAGGACTTGCCTGAGCTTCTTGGACGGTCCACGAGACGATGTGCGGGAGTGATGCGGCATCAACATACCCCGCTGAGTGCAATCAAGCGCTGGGCAGGGGTTGAAGGCGACCTCTGCGACACCGTCATTGTTCTGCAAAAATACGATACTGAATCAGGACCCAAACGACCATGGTCACTCACCAACGACGATGCTACTGCCGAGTATGCCGTCTCGTTGGAAATCATTCCTACCGCCCACAATCATTTGGACCTGCAGCTCACATTTCAGGATAGTGTCATTCCTCAAGAGCAGGGCCGCCACATCCTCCTGGCTTTCGACACCCTCTTCACGAGCATCTTGGGATTCACGAGTGATGTAGACTCCTCACGGTCTGTTGTTCCTCCCAAAGATAAGCGGCTCGTCACCGACGTGTCTTACCTTCACGAACTCGTGGAGGTGACTGCGAGGCAAAAGCCCCAAAGTACGGCGCTGGAGTTCGTTACAAGTCTCGACGATGCAAATCCGATGAAACGGACTTGGACATACTCCGAATTGAATTCGAATGGCAACCGGATTGCTCATCTGCTTTTAAGCAAGGGCGCAAAGGTCGGAGAGCTGGTGGCAGTGTGTTTTGATAAATGTCCTGAAGCATCGTTCGCCATATTGGGAGTCTTAAAAGCCGGATGCGGCTATGTTGCTATCGATCCTGGCGCCCCCAAAGCGAGAAAGGAGTTCATCCTTCGTGACTCGAATTGCAAAATTATCCTCACAACGACGGATAAGATGCTAGAATTCTCCTCTGATGCCGACTCTGCCCTTGCCCTCGATGAAGGTACTTGGCAACAGCTCCCAGATGATACTCCTATGCTTTCAAAGTATCTCGAAGCGCGAGATACCTGTTACTGTCTATACACCTCTGGCACGACTGGAACTCCCAAAGGCTGTCTGATCAGCCATGACAGTGCAGTTCAGGCAATGCTATCATTCCAACGTATTTTTCAGGGAAGGTGGAATGCGACATCCCGATGGCTACAGTTTGCATCATTTCACTTTGATGTCAGCGTCCTGGAACAATTTTGGAGCTGGAGCGTGGGAATCTGCCTCACGTCAGCTCCTCGAGACCTACTATTCGAAGATCTTGCAGGGTTTATCAGTGCGCTCAAGATCACCCATCTGGATCTCACTCCAAGTCTGGCACGGTTGCTTACGCCCAAGGATGTCCCTAGCCTATGTGAAGGAGTCTTCATCGTCGGCGGTGAGCAAGTCAGGCAGGACATTCTCGACACTTGGGGGGATACGCACTGCTTGTACAACTTCTATGGGCCTAGTGAAGTGACAATCGGCTGTACAGTTCACCCACAAGTTCCCAAGAATGCAAAGCCAACCAATATTGGCCAACAATGGGACAATGTAGGCTCTTTCGTGCTGGAGCCAACCTCACAGAAGCCAGTCTTGCGCGGTGCTGTGGGTGAACTGTGCTTGTCAGGCCCTCTTGTTGGAAAGGGTTATCTCAACCGTCCTGAGCTCACTGCAGAAAAGTTCGTCACCCTGGCCGAGTACAAAACAAGGGTATACCGAACGGGTGATCTTGTGCGACTTTTGCATGACAACAGTTTTGATTTCTTGGGCAGAATTGATGACCAAGTCAAACTACGTGGGCAACGTCTGGAAATCGGCGAAATCAACCATGTGGCACTGAGTGCTGCGCCGAATCTCAAAGATGTGGTCACCATGGTGATCAAGCATCCGACGCAGCAGAAAGACCAACTTGTGACCTTTTTCTCCACGGAGCAAAGGGCAAAGAATGGAAAACCGTCCGTTGTGTCCAGCAAAGAGACGAAGGAGCTCTCCAGGAATATACAACAGAGATGCGCAGACAGGCTACCAGCATATATGGTGCCCACCTTTTTTATAGGTGTCTCTTCTATTCCGCTCTCAGTCAACAACAAAGTCGATCATAAGGCTTTGAAAGCATTCTTCGACTGGTCGGCAATAAATCCGCAGCAACTAACCTATGGTGATGTGGTACAAGCGGAGACTGAGACTCCAAGAGAGGTTCAGGAGGTGATCGAGGTGCTGTCAACCTATTTACAGATTCCTACGTCTTCCGTCAAACCTGAATCAAGGCTGTTTGAGCTTGGCTTAGACTCGGTCTCTGCGATTGGGGTTGCCCGAGCCTTCAAAAGGCATGGTTTCAACACCTCTGATGTGGCCACGATTCTTAGACACCCTGTGGTCCGCGATCTGGCGCGGGCCTTGAATCAGAGAACCACATCTAATCACGGCCAGCTAGTTGCGGCTGCTCGAGACACAATCAATTCATTCGCGACAACTCGCCTTCAAGCCATCATGCAGTCTCTAGGCGTCGTCGAGAAGGATATTGAGCACATTGCGCCATGCTCTCCGCTACAGGAAGGCATGATTTCGAAGGTCTTGCGCAGTGAACCTGATGATGTGCTCTATTTCACCCGTTTCACTTTTGACACCAGCAGTGAGGTCGACCTTGAACGTCTGACAAAAGCTTGGGAGTTAACCCAGCAATCGGTCTCAATTCTCCGAACCCATTTTGTGCCTACTGCAGATGGAGTTGCCCAAGTGGTGCTTCGCAGCGGTCACAAGGGTGTTGCCCTCGTTTCTCCCGAGAGCGAGAAGAAACAATCTCGTGCCTTCACTAGTTCGTCGTTCAAAGCATGGGTGGGATCTGTCAGATCACTAACGAAAGCATTGCCATGGAAGGTCAAAATCTTCCACTCCGGCGAGAGAAAATACATGGTCCTGGATCTCTTCCATGGACTTTATGACGGTGTCAGCCTACCACTGCTTCTGGATGTCGTGGCCAGGTACTACGACAGTCCCGATGAGATTGTCAAAGTCGGCCTGCAATTTTATGAGACCTTGCCCTACGGCCCTCTGCGTCCCATCCCTGATGGAAAAGACTTCTGGTCATCGAGTCTAGAGACGTTACAACCTCTCCGATTGCCCTTGGATGAATCTGGACAAGGGGCCGCAACAAAGCACATCAATCTGAGCCAGAACATGATAATTGCTGGGATACAAGACATTTGTACGCAGCTCGACGTTACCACCTCAGCATATTTCCAAGCATCCTTTCTATACATCCTGCAAAAGATGTACAAGGTCCGCCCAATGATAGGGGTTGTAGTATCAGGGCGAGCGTTGAACGACATAAACGCCGAAGATGTGATCGGTCCGATGTTCAACACTATTCCTTTTGGCATTGGGCATCTCAAAAAAGACTCAGCTTTCGTTGATCTTGTGCGCGCCTGTCATCAATTTAACGTCGATGTCGTTCCATATCAGCATACACCGTTACGGAAGGTCGCCAAATACCTCGGGCATGCTACCAGCACAGACTTGTTTGATGCGCTTTTCGTTTTCCAAAAGCCGAGACTGGAGTTGGGACAGAACCATCCGTGGCATGAAATCCCTTCCCAGAGCCCGCCGGATTACCCGCTCAACATGGAGGTGGAGCAGCAGAAAGACAGCTTCACTGTTACTCTTGTTGCCAAAACACGGTATCTCGATGAGGAAAATGCCAGATTGTTGCTCGATATGTACTGCAAGATTGTGCAAGATGGAGAGATGATGCAACTAAAACTTGCCGAAGATTTCTGCTCAGGACAGCCTGCCCCTACCGATCAAGAGATGCATGAGGATGAGAACACGCACTCAGTCAACGCCATGGATGGGGATTCTGGAGACATTAAATGGACCGACACAGAACTGGCTGTTCGGAGTCAAATCGCTGGGCTAGCCTCGATGGCTGAAGAGACTATCCATCTGAACCGACCAACTCTCTTCGAACTTGGCCTTGATAGCATCGAAGCAATGAAGCTTTCCGCTCGTCTTAAAAATGATGGATTGAAGGTCCCGGTTAGTGCGATTATGAGGTCTCCCACGGTGGCAGGCATTGCAAGGGAAAGCAAGGCTGCTGCAGAGCGATCTACCGTGGCAAATCCTGACGCCGAAGTCAGTGCTCATATATCTGACATGCAGACCACCTATAGGCGGATCCTACGCGAGCAGGGCATCGACCTCAACGACATGGAAAAGATATTGCCTGTAACTCCTATGCAGGAGGGTCTACTTCTCGAGTCAGAGAAGTACCTGAATACCATGGTGTTTGAACTGAGGCCTCAGATCGACGTGGCGAGACTCATTGAGGTCTGGAAGCGCTTGTCTCGGCAAGAGCCCGTTCTGAGGACTCGCTTTGTGCCTGTTGAGACGGTGGAACTAGAAGCAGGTTTCGTCCAGTACGTAAGGAAACAAAACGATGTTGTGCAAGTCTTCCATGACAGGACTTTGACGGAAATGCTTCAGAGCATGGTGGAAGAAGCTGCTGGGAAAGACTTGAGACACCAAAGGACGCGCGTGCATATACTCACAGATCCCAGCGGAAAGACCTTTTTGGTGCTTGCTATGCCTCATGCACTGTACGATGCATGGTCAATGAACTTGCTTCATCAGCAGGTTGCAAAGCTTTACCATGGATCTGCCGACAACGAAGGACCATCCATGGCCGTCCCTTATGAGAAGCACCTTCAGGAGATCTTCAACCAAGCACAAAGTTCCACCTCAAAAGACTTTTGGGACAACCTTCTGTCGCACATCAAGTCCAGCCTTTTGAAAGAGAGCTTGCCTCCATCACAACAATCCATGCCTGGCTTCCTGCTGCAGACACGTTCATCTAGGACCCTCGCCGAGACACTGAAGTTTTGCCAACAACAGGGAGTGACCCTGCAGTCTCTAGGGCTTGCTTGCTGGAGCGTCGTCTTAGCGCACTATCTCCGCAGACTTGATGTTTGTTTCGGTTTAGTTCTCTCCGGCCGCACAACTGAAGGCTCCGATCGACTCATATTTCCGACTTTCAACACAGTTGTCTTCCGGCCAATGATCCGTGACGGATCCACTATACGGGAGGCACTCAAAAAAGTGCACGATGCTAGTGTTCGTGCGTTGGAACACCAGCAGTATCCATTGCGTGAGGCTCTCCGCGCGGCCAGAGTACAAGGAGCTGATGCCGCGTTGTTCGACACCCTGTTTACTTTCCAGAAGTTGCCAGAATCAGAGGGTGACACAACGAGTCTCTATGACGAGATCGAGCTCGCAGGAACTCCGACTCAGCCGCCATATCCAGTCAACATTGAATTGGAGGGTCAGGACAATGCTCTCGTTTGGACAGTCGCCGTGCAGTCCGGGGTAACCGAGAAGCAAGCCGCAGAGGATTTGCTACAAAAGCTTGAGTCTGTCATATCCTCCTTCATGGATGCACCTGAGGATCCTCTTCTACGAAAGGACAACACCGAGGTGTCCATCTGTGGCTTGCCTAATATTGAACTGACGACTCAGCGTCCAGCCGTTGCAACAACCGACGGCCGAACCTCTCCTGAGGAGGAGACAAATGAAGAACCAGAAGCTTGGGGCCCGACAGAAGCCAGGATCAGAGATGTCCTGGCAGAAGTCTCAGGATTAGATAAACAGCGCATCAAGAAGACCACAGGCATCTTCCACCTGGGTCTGGACAGTGTCAGTGCGATCAAAGTCGCAGGCCTCCTAAAGAAGCAAGATCTGAGGCTTCCAGTCAGCGAGATGATCAAGGCGCAAACAGTTCAACGAATGGCTGCCATCGCAGACAATTTGAAGGCCAGCAGCAGCCGTGGAGTCGTTCCACCGACGCCCAAAGAGTCTCACAAAATCGGTCATGTCTACGAGGCTATCAAGAACCGATTTGCGGTGCCCGAACATCATGTCGAAGACATTTTGCCCTGCACTGGCGGCCAGGCATATATGCTTGATATGTGGTCTGCAAGCCAGGGCCGTTTATTCTATCCCACCTTCTGGTTGAGGGTGACTGGCACGACTGTCATCGCTCTGCGGACCGCATTGGACAAGGTTGCCGAGCAGATCCCACTCCTCAGAACCACTTTCGTCAATCTGGGAGACGATGGCTACGAAAAAACATGGCAAGTTGTATTGAGACCTGGGGTTGCTCGTGACTATGAGTTACCCTGGTCGACGCGTGTCGAAGAACACGACGACGGAATACTGTTGACTCTCAGGCTGCACCATGCTCTCTACGATGCAGTGAGCTTTGAACTGATCGTATCTACGATACAAACGCTATGCAAGGACGTTGCATTTCCAGTACAATTGAACACGTCAATGCATGATTTCATCTCAAGAACCAACACGGACCAGGAGAAGATAAAAGGGTTCTGGTCATCGTACCTAGATTCAGACCATCACTTTCATTCCACTTTGAGAGCAGGCTTCTATGGAAGTTCTCGCTTTGAGAAGTTCAACGGTCGTGTCCTCGAGACAGCACATCTTAGTGAAAAGATCAGACATCACGGGATCAGCCTACAATCCGTCTTCTTCGCCGCCTACGCTCATGTCTACTCTGCCCTGCACCAGCCTCCGAGATCGAACGCACAGGACGGTGACAAACCAGCAAACGGTGCCGTGATTCTGGGAATCTACCTGGCCAACCGATCACTTGATATTGAAGGTCTGACAGAGTTGATTGCTCCGACGTTCAATATCGTGCCGCTCAAAGTCCAGGTCAGCGCGGAGATGACCCTTGTCGACACGGCGTTACAGATACAGCGCGATCTGGCGGAGATCACGAAAGCCGAGCACTGCGGAGTGAGTATGCGAGATATTCACGCATGGACAGGCGTCAAAATCGATACCTTTGTCAATTTTCTCGCTTTGCCAGACAACGACAGCAGTGATCGATCCGTGGAAGGTATCGAACTGCCATCAGAAGCAGACAACCCCAATCAACAGGGCCCAGGGACTGGTGACTCAAGCCAGCAGGTAAAGGTGACGCATGCACAGCTTGACCCAAAAGATAAGAGTCAGCTTGAGCATCATGTCGAGGCTGCATCGCCCTTCTTGAATGGCTCCAAGCAACAAGAATCCACAACAGAATGGCGTCTGGTAAGTCTCTCCACCCCTATGAAATCCTGCTTTTCTTCCAAATCCACATCCACATCCCCATTGATATCAACTCTGGTTCGGATCTCGACGGCTAACCTTTTGTTTTTGTTTTTTTCTAAAGCCTGCAATCGACATCGAAGCGAAAGTCGCAGATGGATATCTTGGGATCGGTGTCTTTGCTCCACAGGACATGCTTGATGCATCGCAGGTGGATTGGATCATGGAGCAGATGAACAGCTTGCTGATGAGCATCCCTGAAGCGTGAATCTCTAGATATAGTGTTTTAGATTGCTTCTTTTCACATGACTTGTTAGATGGAGTGCTATATTGGATTGGGCGCGCTTGCCGGCGTTCGGCATTTTATGACAAGATACACGCCAACAGAGATATGGAATTGTGGAAAGCAGATATCAGACTATAGATGATAGAGCCTTGATCTCGGCAAATGGTATTACAGGATAGCCAAAGCTCGATTAATATATAAATATGTCATATCCATTCACAGGCTTAACCCGCTGTACTGTACGGCGTAGGGGGCTCACAGCCTGACATGTGACCTCTAAGGCAGGAGCTTAGTCATGCTCTTGTGCTGTTCGGTAAAGCTTCATATAGCTTCATTCAGCCTTATTACTGCGAACATTCACCTCTTCTTTCCTACTTCTCCCTCGTATCGGCCATGGCTAGGTATGATGAACCGAACCGAACCGAATCCATACGCGCCCAACCAGATCCATTATTGAACGCCAGGACTCTCCAAATGGACGCCGACTTCCAACTCTAGTCTCTTCCGTCATTGACAGAACAGCCCGTCACGTCGTGGCAGGCAACCATTCCACCTGTACACCGCTTTCCGATTTCGTTTCGTAAGCGGTGAATGAGCGATGTCTTACTGGTCTGATCCGGTCTGAATTTGGTCTGGTCTGATCGTATCAAGCTCCCATCCCTCGCTCGGCCCGCTCGGTCGTATGTTCGGTTATTTGGTGGGTCGGTCGGGCAGCAAGAGCCATCATCGACTCCTAGCTAACGCTACCTAACCTACCGCAATTCAGCGTTGTCGGGCTTAGAGTTCACGCCAAAATTCTGACGTGCATATTGACAACTGGTACGTTCAAAGCACCATGTGAAAGAAACGGAGAATCTCGGAAAAAGGAAAAGAAGGCCAGAGAGGGCTATCTGATTAAGAGTGAGGCATTGTAAGATCTAATCTGATGCAGTGGACGGGGGGGAGGACTCCGATTTCGGCGACAAAGGAGGGGCCAGCAATGCTATATGCTATATACTAGATGCTAGATGCTATATTCTATATGCCAGGTGCCGTAGTATGTACTATGCTATGCAGTTTGAAAAGTCCTGTTCGGGGTGTGCCCCTGAACGAGCGAGCAAGCGAGCGAGGACTTGCCATGACAACTAGCAGTACATTTCCAGGTCAGACAGGGTAGAAACTGGTTGGAGTCTATCGCGTTCGTGAGTGCCAGCAGCGAGTAGTGAACGTATTCATTTGACGCTTTTCATGATAAGACCTTCTAGATGAGTACCGATTCCAAAGATCCTGCTGGAACACAGGGTCTCTCCGGCAGAAAACGGCATTCCACCGTCAAGAACACGTCTGATGTCTGTAACTGTTGGAGGCTATTCGATGATGGAAATGTGTTTTATGGTATCTCTTCGAGTATATGAAAACAACTGGTCCGTCCTCAGAGCCAATCCGTATGCTATTATAGTATCTCTTCTTCCCGGTCTGCTGCGTAGTGTATTGCTTCATCACCGTGATAAGACGGCCCACTCCATCGCTGTGAGCATGTCCAGTGCTCAGCGAGGCACCTTCTCATAGGCTTCAAGTTCATGTCATGGTCTCATAGGCACTGGAGTACGATATATAACTTAGAGGCTGTACACGAACTCCGGATTCTCTTTATCGGTCAGATCGAGCCACCTGCAATTGTGAACTTCAGTCAGCTTTCAGATCTTGTTGGAATCGAAAAGAGGGTATGATGTGACCGGTTAAGGCCGAGATGGGGGCAAAGCAGTGGATTCCTCATGAATTCACAGCAATGCAGTGCGGTGCAGTGCAGTGAACACGGTGTAGACAAATCGGTAAGACTCACTCTTGATTCTCCAGCTTGACGTAGCCAGGCTCCGCCCTAGCCTCAGCCTTGCGCTTATTCATGCGCTTGCAATAAAACCAAATGAAAACCAGATCGACCAGACAAACCCCCCAACACACAATGATGGTGATCTCTGCCGGTACGTATCTCGGGGCGTCCTTGGGCCGGAAGGTCTGCGGCCCGATTATGTTACCGACGCAGTACGCGATCAGGTACAGCGCCGCCACGGTGGTTTTCTTGGTGTAGCCGGCAACATTTGTGGCGACGAGACTCAAGAGCGCAACGAAGGGAGTCGGCGATGCTTGGGTGAGATAGTAGCCGGCAAGACGGCCCGAGTTGTTGTCGAGAGGGAGAGCGACAATGAGGATCATGCCGAGTAATGCGACGATCAACCCTCCCATGGACACCAAGATCCGTTGTCCGAGCCGGTCGCCCAGCCAGCCGCAGAACATCAAAGAAACGACCTCGACGGCGCCGCCAGGCGTCCCGTACAGCAGAGATTCTTCGGGAGTGTAGCCGAATGAGACGATCTAAGACACACGAAGACAACGTTAGTCTGGCGTTTGATAAGGCCCATAAGGGGCATTGGGAATGGGATAACCTCACCAGTTGTGAAAAGAAGTTGGAAATACCTCCATTTGGGATATCGGCGGTCAAGGCGTAGAACGCAAAGGCCCATGTCAGAGGGTCAGTCAAGGCTTCCCGGAATTGGTACATCTTGAAATGTCGATTACCCACTCCCTGGACGTTGCAGCGAATACGCTCGACCGCCAACACACGATCACGCGGCTTCAGCCATCTAGCGTTGAGCTGGTTGTCCGGCATGACGAAGAAGAAGACGACTCCCAAGACGGCCGTCAGGCAGCCGTTGACCAAGAAGACGATTTTCCAGGGTGCAATGGCCGAGCCGTGCTTTCGGGAGCCGACTGCAATGCCGTACGAAACCAGCCCGCCAAAGATCTGGCCGAAGCCGTTGAAAGAAAACCAGAACCCTGTCCGAGCACCCTGCTCAGATTTAGTCCACCACTGACTGGTCAGGAGAGCGAAGCCGGGGGTGACGGCGGCTTCGAAGACTCCGAGGAAAACTGCCACCGGATTAGAATACTGCGACAACAGGGAGCTCACGGAAAAGTGGCAGCTTGAACTGGGTCTTAGTAAAAGGATTGCATTCCTCAGGACTTGACTCATAACAGAAGCATAACTTGTTCTGGAAGAAGCAGCAGGGGTAATCAAGGCAACTCACATCTGACAGCCACTGCTCCGCCAAAATTCGACACGGTCGCGAATAGAGCGAGCACGATCCCCCAAGCGCAGATGCAGAAGGCAGAGTACTTGGCGAGAGGAAGTCTCTGGAGGAGTCTGTTCGTGGGGTACTCCCAAGCGAGGTATCCAAAGTAAAACATACTTCCCAACCACTGATAGTCGTCACCGACCAGGCCGATATCTTTTTTGATGCCCATGATACTGGCATAAGACAAGGTGGTCTTGTCGAGATAGTTGAGGCCATAGATGACGCACATAAGAGGCATGAGATGCCAGTCGATGATGCGAAGGAGTCGCTTGTTGGTGGCCTCGTCAATCTCCAAGACCTCCCCATCGGCAAACGCCTTCATGGCCTCGTCGGCATCGTTACTGTGGGCAAGGATCTTTTGTCCCACGCGTGTAGAGGCAAGCGAGGCGCGCTTTTCATCCAAATTGACGGGCGACACTGTCCGGCCTCCAGGAAGCGTGTGGACTGGCACGCCCTTCTCGTCCGTTTGAATTTCCGCCATTTTTGCACCGTTAGATCACGGCGTCTTCAATATTCTGGCGCTTCGACCACAAACCGAAGGGAACAAAGGTTGGCTCAGAAGAAGGGGGATACTACGTCGAACAGAGTCCGCCTTCAGCAAGTTACCTGTCCTTGACTCTAGTATTTATTGAGAAGAGAAGCAGACAGATCCGATAGATACCGTACCACAAGGAGAGCTCAAGAGACCCATGAGCAAACGGCAATTGGGTGATGGAACAAGATACCGTCATGTTATCTCGACCGGCAACCACAGGCTTGCCACCTGCCCTCAGACAATGCCGTATCATGAAGCACGGCGTCAAGCGTTGCATCAGGAGCCACGTCGAGGCCAGGGTAGGATAAGCATCCCTGGCAACTCTTATGTCAACGCTTGAGATTGTCGTTGGACGTCGATCAACCAACAGAACGCGACAGGTCGAGTGGCGCCCACGCAGGGATGGATGTGATGGAGTTGTGCGATACGCATCAACACGTAGGATAGGAGAGGATAGGAATGATGGGGAGGGGCTTGGTTGATAGACCCTCGCAGCAATATCGAGACGTCAATGGCGCTGTTGCAGCGAAGAAGCATCTCTCTTCGTGTCCCAACCTGTTTCTGGAAGGTCGCTGGAGCAGATATCATATCGAGCACCAATCCCCGGACGAAGATCGCCCCAGGGTGCCACATTGACACTGGATCCTCCTGCCAGATAAAGCTGGGGTGTGGTTGTTTTCCTTAGATAACAGTGATTGCTCGGAGGTGATGGAGACTTACGTTACATGGCTTGACTTCAACTTCAACGTCAAGCCATTGAATGCCACGTAAAGATATACTATATCGTGTCCACGCACAGTGCGGTCTCCAGCAGCCAAGATAGACTGATAACGGACAGTCGTTGGAGACGGAGAGGATAGGATTGCTTGTCCTGGAATGGACACCATGCCGGGCTCCTGATATCCATCCAGCATGCGCGACCTGGGCAAATGCCAAAGGTTGGCTTTTCTCCTTCCAACATTTTCAACGTGAATGTATCAATCGAGACGAGATATATTGATAAAGCGGTGTCTTGAATCAATCTGTAAGGGGCCTGGGGCAATTGTCCCCACCTGATTATCATTGTTAATGCCAGCCTTGGGCGAGGCTCGGGATTGCCACCTGGGAGTGGAATGTGTATAAGGCTGTGCTGAAGATAGAATGCCACAGCGAGGCATTTTTAGCTGCAATGCGAACTGCCATCATTTTGAGCCGGTACATGATCCACTCTTCAATAACGACTACAGTAGATACAGTACAGCTCGATGCTTGAGTTGAACCTCTTGTTGTAGTACTGAGGACTCCTTATCACGAGAACAATACCGACTTTTCACTCTTGATATTGACATCCCATTAAACCGGTCTAGAACAATAGGGTATCTCAAGCTGGCGACGAGCTCTAACTCCCAGATATATCTTATCTCCTTTTGTGTAAGCAGCCACCGAACCGGCCCCATGCACCCCTTTGCCAGACTTGCCGGCATATAGTTGCAAGACGGCGTGCCAGGCTGTGATCAGGGCCAACCAACACCAAAACTAGACAGCACAAGGTGGAGGAGGCATCCTCTGACAAGCACTCGTGCTTGATGGCCTCAAATATCAAAGTAATAGTCTTCATCCAATCCTTCTCTGCTTGGAATCTCAGGACCATCCATCCCATCCATCCCCTCCACGATTCCTTCTTCATCGTTGAACCGCACATTGAGCAGTCGAACTTTGAGCCCATAGTCAGTGATCATGTTGATTAGCTTGTTGGTCTCGGCTGTGATCGGCTGTTGGTCCAAAAGCAAGAGAAGTCCATCGAGCCACTCCGAAGCCGCACGGTGACTTTGAGGGTGGAATGTCAACAATACCGATTCTTTCGATCCACTTCGGGCTGACGACGTTTTGGAAGAGGTTCGAGAATGTCCCTCGCGCCCACCACGCGATCTTGGTACATATCCGTGTATCGTGATCTTGGTCGTTGTGAACTTGTCATGCGGCAACTCCTTCAGTGTCGAGTCTGAGGTGATTGACGACCGGTCATTCGCAGTCACGTTGGAAACGACGGACGAGACAATGGACAGGTCGATCTTGTCCCGCAGATTTGACATAATCGGTGCCTGCTCTTCCTTTTCGTCAAAATCGCCCCAATGGAGGTATTTGCGGTTTTCTGAAAGTCTGATAAACCGATGGCTCTCTGGCCCCCTCTGCTGCAGCGAGCTTTCCGTGACCGGGCCCCCTGTCTCCTGACCAGAATACGTGGCACCGGTGGGAAACCAGGCTCCCTCCAGAAGACAACGGATTCTCTGTTCCTTGACAAACTGCAAGGCTTCACTTCGAAGCTCGTCCTTCACCCCTCGTAAGTGCCGACCCCAGACGTCTTCATACGTCAATTCTAGTAGTTCCATCTGAAGTTCACGGAGCTTGCTATATTCGAAAGCAGCCATCTCTTTCTCGATTTCTTCGATGCCTTTGGCACGGTCTGCGCCACCCACGACACTCTCCACCAAGATCCGTACCAGCTCCACGATCTTATCGAAATCCTCCGTCTCGGCACCGGTTGCCTTCCATAGCCTGAGGAACGCATGCAACCCAGCACCATGGAGCCGGCTCCAGTGTAACAACAACGGCTTGAAGACTTTATCAAGGTTGGTCCGACTTTCGAGGGCGAGGTAGCTCTTGGAATCTTCCAAATCCATTTTATCCACTTCGAAATGCTCAAAGAGAATTGCGGTCAGCGTCAGACTTGCTCTCGCCAGAGGGATCCTTTTTTGCTCCGGGGAGACCGATTGCTCCAAAAGAATTCTCTGGAACTCGTCCTCGTGCTTACGAACATAGTCCGAAAGATCCATCATGCCGAGAAACCCCATATCCGCAAAATCAGGTTCGGGATTTTCTGTGGAGAAACCGAGTCGTCGCCATTTGTACGGATTGTGTTTGTGTTTTGTTTCATCATTTCGGGCTTCCTGTTGGAGCCCTTTGTCGGGGTTGCTGGAGAGATGCACAGCTTTGATCGTCCGCCGGTGTTCAGGCTTCAACAAGTCTACCGGAACATCTCTCCAGCGTCTGAGGAGAATTTTGGTCAAGGCCTGGAATTCCAGTAAAGGATGCGCCAGGTCTTGAAGAGCAGAGCTTTGCATGAGCACATACACGGCTTTGATCACGCCAAGGTCCTGGATTCGTTTTATGAACTTGGGCCATTCGCTTTCGTTGTCATTTGTGATGGCATCGCGCATGAGGGAGTTGATCAATTGTAGGGCATTTGCGCACAGAGCATGGTCGGCAGATGATAGCCTCGCAACAAGCATCTCCAGGAACTGCGGGTAAACCGCAATGGCGGGTTTCAGCGCCTGGAACCCTCCGGCATTGTTCCATGTGTTCATCTGTGATGACCAGTCGACATGGTAAGGCCGCGAAACAATGGACACCAGTATAGCCATAGCCCCTCGCAGAATATTCACCAGCGGTTGGCATACAACGAGCTCCACAACCTGGACAGTCCGACCGTCAGCCATTCTTCTTCTCTTAGGGCGTGTGTATTCTTCTTGCCTTTTCGACTACCCGATCATCAACGGCCTCCCAACCCTGATCCACTTCTAGCAACCTTGCAAAACTGGCGAGACTGTAGGCAAGGGTATTGCCAGTGCTCTCGAGGACGAGGGCGCGTAGGCGTGGAAGACCACCAGCCAGCACAAAGTGCTCGGCGAATGAAGGATCATTGATCAGCGACTGCAGCTTGAAAGCTGCCATCTTGCGACTTGCATCTTCATCGCTGGACAGACTGGTGAGGAGGTCGGCCATGTTGGGACTCTGGGTTAGGTTACTGGGATCCATGCTGGGGATGTCGGTCCAGTCCTGCGCGTGCAGGAGCAACGGCGGACAAGTCAGCGGTGGGGAGGGGGGAAGATAGATTCGCGACGTCTCTTCGGTAACGCCATGCTGGGCGGCGAGTGTTCTGTCTAGCAGAGAGGGTTTGCTGCGGCGGCAGCGTGGTTTCGCTTTGGAGGCAGTAGTAGTAGTACATGACCGGTCGCGCTGGGTGGGAGCCTCCAAAATTTGAGACACCTCCGACCAGGGCTTGTTGTTCAGGCTTGATAGCGACACTGGCACTCCTGTCCCGGGTTCGGGCTGAACCGTAGGCGTCCTACTGGTAGGTGCGGCCCCAGCAAGGGCGTTGGCGTTGGCATCATTGGCACTGGCAGGAGTAGCCGGGCCTGGGCCAGGCACACGATCCACGCCTAGGGCGCCTAACCAGGAGCCTAGGGTGCCTGAGGAGTCCCTATCCTTGACCTTGTGGCTATTGTTGTGGCCTGTCAATGCGGAGACCAGCGACCTCGGGCGGAAGCGTGAGAATGACGTCAACCATGAATTCCGTTTCAACGTCGAGAACACGCCAATATTGGTGTCGACAACATCACTAACATTCAAGTGGGAGGAAGAAGAGCTGCTGCTGTACGAGACCCAGTCAGACTCAGACGAGTCGTCTGAAGACAAGCGGACCTGCTCGACCATGTCTGCTGCGATACAAAAAGTAGGAGTTTCAGGTTAAGTAGAGTAGTAGTCGAGGAATTAAGTTATTGCAAGTCTCAAGAGTGAGATGAAACGGAGGACAGGTGAACGGCGAGGGATAATACTGCACGCAGGACATAGACACCAGCTCTGTGCCGCAGACTGTTCACTTGGTCACCTTTTTGTGAGCAACCAATATTCGGCCATTCGCCTGATGGCACGCATGTACACACGACGAGCGTCCTTCATCCTTTCTTCTTTACTTCATCCTTCATATCCAGGTTGTCCTCTGGAATCTCAGGATACTTCTCCTGCAGCCAGTCATAGAGATCATCGCTGACATCTCCTTGTACTGTAATTTCTTCTCCCCCTGCCGGTGTCTTCGTGACACTACTCCCTGTCGCAAACTTCTTGCCCAGCTCCTTGGCCACCTTCTTTAAATCCAGCCCGTGTTCTTCGAGACCCGAAACAACCGTGACATATTTCCGCTTGTTGCGTTCCACTCTTTTTATGAGCACGATAGCCTCGGCCTTTCTCTCTGCCTCACGTTGCTCCGCTGCCGCAGCTTTGGCGGTCTTCTTGGCTGCGTCCTTTTCTGCTCGTTTCTGGGCATCCACCGAAAGGGCGGACATATTGGCGCTCAGGGTTTCTGTCCAGGGAGATGGGTCAGAGCCATGTGTGTCTTATGCCAGGGATAGGCCACATACCGGCCGAGTATAGCCTCTGGTGCATATCAGGGTGGTTTTTCTGAAGCCATTCCTCACATTTCTTGGCCGTTCCGCCAAACTCGCAATACTGTCATCGGAAAGGTCAGCGGCCATGGATGATGAGCGGGTAGATACTAGGATGGATGCGGGACTCATACCTCTGGAGGGAGACTGCAAACTGTAGAATCTCATGGTTAGCATTTGATCCTTGGGTGTGTCACAGCGATCGCTCACCTCCACAGTAGACTACTTGTCTGGCTGCAGGTGCGACAAGTTCTGTCGCTGTGTCCGCCATGGACTCGGGCTGATATGTAGGAAGAACGTCAAGTCACGCCCGTTGAATATGAACAGTTGCGTAGAGGGCGACGTGGCATAGGTATGGTCTATTGTCTACCCACTCGCTGTCGCCGTCACAAAACTAGCCAAACATTTGGCTGGCTCGTACTGTGGATGCGTCGCCGCCGCAAGAAGGGATTTGCCAAGAGGAGTAAAAGCAGCTCGCAGGTTATCCAGATTAGGAATAGCCGCTATGCCGCCCTATTTTCGCCCCTTTACTCAGGCGCCTTGTCACGTCTGCACTATCACGGCCATTGATCTCCTGCTGGAACGTTGCACCACGAAGATACGCCCTTGGACACGTATTGACCTCACGGACTGTCGAATGGTTTTGGAAGTACTTCACTGGAACTCCTGAGTCATAAGCTTCGCAGGTTTGCAGGTCTGATCTTTGAAAGCTGTACGCTTGTTGCCCCTCACCCAAGCGGATGCGAATGAGAGGATGAGTTGTGCAGAGACACCATGGGCATCACATGTATTACGATACACTGCTCTTTCTGACTCAGCACATACCTTATCCTGTAACAAGCAAGCTCATTCACCGGTCTCAAATGGCTCCTCCTCCTGATCTGGTGTTAACCTCTCTCTCTGCTCACCCTGGCGCCTACCACGGATTTTGCTCGGCCGGACCAAGTGTCGCCCTCTCCCTGTCTCTCGCTCTGTGCGTGGGCGCAGTTTCTTTTTGAACAAGGACCTGTTTAGGGGGTAAGGGCGTCCTCCATGATCTCAAGATCAAAGGGGATCTTGTTGCTCAGCGTCCAGACGCAAATGAAAGGGCACAATGGTCGGTCCACGGGAAGCCCCGGATTAGTGCTTCGGCGAATGGGAGAGGGGGCATGAAGATATAGCTCTTCCTACCCGAATCTTGTGTGGTCGTCATTCTGAGCAACCAATAGATCCGGACAGCATGCATACTGGCCATCACTGGGCTTGCATGTATTCTCTCAAGCACGAGAGTAAAGCATGGTTGAGAGGTCCTTCACCTAGGATACTCCATGTTGATGTGCGCATCAGGTGAGTCTGGCACTTCATCCCATGTGCCAATTTCAACGCGGGAATAACCCCATACTTCCTAGTACGTAGGGAGAAAGTTGCCTTCGTCGACAATCCCAGAAAGACAACCTCTATGTCGCAAAGTCCAGGTGTAGAGTCATCTTTGACTGGCAGAAAAGAGCGGGGAAATGACAGGGGAACAAGGCGAAGTATGCCTTCCTCATTTCTCGCATATGGTTCATTGGCAGCCGTGCCGAGCTTCTTAAGAGCCACGTCTTTGCATTGCTGACGCGAGAATTACTCTCACTGATACTTCCGGTACAAGTACGTGTTTGGTAATTGACGTAGCTTTGGGACAAGATGGCGTGAGCAACGACGGATCTCCCGGTATCTGACATAAATATGATCTAGCCAGCACGGGTACGCAATGAGATTGTCCTCTGACTTACCTTGTGTCCGATCAAGTTCAGAGCCAGGACGAGCGAGACCTTGCCCAGTGGCTTCCTGCATGCAACTAACCTATCTTTAGAGATTCCTCCGTGAGGCAATGGCGTCAACCATTATTGCCAATCTTTGCCTCGGCGAACGTGACGAGACAAGCACAGGTCAGGATCGAAGGGAGCCGCAATTTGTGCCGGCTTCATGCCTCGTTGTTGCCACCTTCGGCTGCGTCGTCATTTGATTAAAGCTGCAAAGACCGTTATCTGTCTGTGTAACAATAGCGCATCGCTGCCCAAGATTTGTGTGATGGAGCGGCGGCAGCTAAGTGATCACCTTTGGCTATACCGCTTTGCGGATGGTCCTGAAGAGGTATCAAGGGTTGGCGTGCCGCAGAACCACCAATATCAGCTTCGCTTACCATGAATCGAACCAGCGGACGAAAGCATTATCTTTGGGGAAGATTGCGCCAAAGCACGGGGTACATTTCCAAAACACCTGAAGAAGACGAGGAGTCATTGGGTAGATACCTAGATAGCCATATAACAGCTCTTGAATCGGTGAAGCTTCGTTCTTAAGGCGGTCTGCGATGCTGTGATGATAGGCGTAGAGGGCGGCAGCTTATCTCGAGGTTGATGCGAACGGGAGCTAGAGCACTAGTGATGATATCCCTAGCGTGTCAACAGTACGTTTTCCTTGGTATTTGGGTGAGGATGATAAGAAGACAGTGTCGCCCCCCCAGAGACATGCTTGGGTTGCATATCTAGACGCTTCTAATTTAGAACTCGGGCAAAGAAGGCTTGAAACCGCCGGGCGGTCGAGGGGGCAGCAGCTGGGTGCCATGGTTTTGGGTACAAGGTCTAGATCGCGGAATAGTAACACGGTCCAGGGATAAATGGAAGACGAAGTTCAATTTTCCGTATCAACCCGGTGGTCAAGGTCGATGAAATTCGTAAGATGACCGCACAGGCACTGCTAGTTTGTCTCAATCCAGCCACCGTGGTGCGGGCGCGAGATGATGCATCCGACTTGCATACATAGTAAGATTGTTTCCTGCAGAAACGCCTTTTGCGAGGATGTGGCAGGCTTCCTTCCAGGTGAATAACAACGGTAGCGTCGAACAGCGGCGGCTGTAACGGTCGATGAGACCATAGATTGAGCACGTTGTCAGAAGGCGAGGCCCGCTAGTAGCATAGGACTGTGGGAAGGGGGAACAAGGGGATACCCTACGCCTGCTCCAAGTAATTGCGAAATATGCGCTCGCTGTCGTGACAGAGTTGTTCTCAGAGGCGAAGAGATGTACTCTTAGTATGCATCGGTTCAGCATGGAGGCAGAACCAAGCAGAGTCCCTGCAGGTGGCAGTGGTAACAGTCTGGGAAAAGACTTGGGCGATATCGAAGAGCACCAACAGTATCACAGTTTGAGCTGTCGATCTTCCCTGCACAAGCGGGGCGGCGCCGATGTTGATACCGTGCAAAAGCCACGCGGTAGTACAGAATAGTAAGTGGCAGAAATGTTTCACCGAGTGCAAACAGTGAAGTAAGCACATTAAGGGATATGTGGTGATAGAGCGAGGAGGAGAGGAGGAGGACTGGGGACCGTGAGGGAGTTTCCGGGTGGAGTGGCGGTGGGCATTTCAAGGTTAACTGTGGCTTCTGCACCCTTTGCATGGGCAGCTTAGGCTGAAGGGAACTGTAACGTGCCTGAGGTAAGTCATGGACAGGATTGTCAACCTCGCTGAAGGACCCTGCTCATGGTACGTAGGATGTACTTACTTCGCTGGTCAGATCAGCTTATTGCGTCCATCATTGGGCTCGAGTTCGGCGGTGTCAGGGGGTTCACGAGAGGGTAATCAGACCAACGGTAGGCCAAGAGGGACAGGTTTGGGGCTTGCTTGTATGCGAACGAGCAGCCCGTCGGATAGAAGGTGAGCAACCAGGGTGCGTGGGCTCGCGTGGGATGGTGGTAGGAATACGAGTCGCATGGTAACGAGGGGTTCGAAGAATTCTTTTGCGACGAACAAAGGTTGCAGGTGTGTTGCATGCTGAACAGGGTTGTTGTAGAGTCAAGCATCAGCTCGGGGGGCAGTCGCAGTCGCAGTTCGTATGGCTGGCTTATAGGTACTTGAGATTTGAGATACAGGATGTAGTGATGGCGGCCCAGCTGAACGATACCAGGCCAAACTCTATCATGGAATGCAATGCAAGCATGTCTACCTACGTGCCTTATTGATTAGTATCTGCCTTGGATCGTGCTGGACAGCGGATTTGATAAAATACCATATAAGCCGATGGCTTCCCACGGTACCGTTGCTTTCTCCCCCGCAATCCGTCGCTGACTGTCAAGAAGACGCCTATCGAAGGCGCCATCGGGGGAGATTGTGTTAGCTGCAACGTGCTATCTCATAGGCTGTTGTATAGGAGATGCCCCTCCTAGAAATGTGTGACGCAAACCAAAAAATCCTGGTTCCAAGTTTTGATGGTGGAGCGCCAACCCCTTGAATGAGCATCGATCTACTAGGTACATACGTAGCTTAGTAGCCCTCCATAGGTACCTCAAGGGGATGAACTGGAACCTGGTTGCGCTCGGACAGACGCTCGCTGATATTATCGTTATCATCTCCAGTCTTTCTGGTCGAACACGCCTGTAGATGTCTCCAATCTTGTTATCGAGTCGACTGTCGCCTTGATCTTCCTTTTCGCCTACCATCATTAGTACTAGCAGGGGGTCTCGGCTCGCCCAGTCCAGCGAAGATGCTGGTGTGGGATCACAACGTGCGGTGATTTGTCTCTTGATTTATGTCTGCTGTCAGTTGTCCAGGGTTCCTCGCTCCTCCCCACGCCGCCAAGTCAGATTTGTTGCCGCCCACGATTCCCCCGGCGCAGGGTGCTATCCCCGACTTGGCCATTTACTTTATTGGAGGAATGCACCTAAATCAACTAAAAATGCCATCTTCGCAGCCGGTGGGAAAGCATGTCCTGAACTTACCTTATGTAGTACGCGAGTAGACGGTGAACGGGAACGGGAAAGACCAGAAAATCGCAAGGGAGCCACCCGTCCTGTCTAGCGATATGGTTCAGTTTGATTCATTCAGTCTGGCGGGTCTAGATCTTCCCTAGCCGTCCAAGCTGCCAATGCATCGTCAATTGAGAAACGGCTCTCTTTTCCTTCTACCCGCTCTTTGAGAGCTGAGATACCGGCGACCCGTCAACTACTACTAGTATCTAAGTACAAAGGACTTGTTTGCGTGGCGGGAGAATACGGTTCTTTAGCCAGAGTAGGCAGTTGTATGTGTGCTACTGTGGTGCGAACGCAGTCTGCAGGGTTCCCTGTTCAAGTTTGCCGTATGTTGCCAGTGGCTGATCTTCGCATTGTCGATTGTATGCCATGGCAGGGCTCCCCTCGTCCAGATTTTCGCGTTCTTTGAACTCTCGTGCCTCGCCCGGGCTGACTCCACACCTTCTTACTGCTCCTCCTCCTCCAAAACTCCACCCCCATCGCAGCACTGGAACCTCGATGACCGTGCCGACCAGGTATCTTGCCTCTGCCGCACTAGTACTGCGTACAAACCTGCGGCCGAATACTCCACTCCTCCTCCCACAAATCCTTCCTACGCGGCACCATTTGCACCTTTGCAATCCCGCCTCCCTCACCCTGCTCCCGTTACCTGCGATCCACGGCTCTCGGTCTTCTATCCTCTCTGATCCTTTGTTCCATAGTATTGCAGCTCATTGGGAACCCTCGATCTTCGAACGTTGCCGCTTAGTATACCACCCACCCTCCACGCCATTGCCAGTCGAGCTTTCAACCGCCGTACGCCTACCTATACCGAGCTGCATAACCGAATAATGCCTCAACATCTATAGACTTGAGGAAAAGACACACCCCTCTGGAGGCAAATACACGATCGGTCCAGAGACGTTGATCGTTATATCTCTGTCGCCTTTGTTGTCGAGAGAGCCCTCCACGAACCCTTGCACGTCGTCTTCGCCTCCTCCTCGCGTTGGAAACACCTGCTCGACAGAGACAGCAAGGGGTTAAACAGCTCATGAGGTCGTCCTCATGACGACCATTCTACACGCTCCTCTGCCTGGAGCCTCTCACTTCTCCTCGAGCCCGATCGATTCACCCTCATATCAGGACTTGTCTGCTCTGAACGATTCATTGTCGTTCGGTCAACCTCACGACAGACACGCTTCCTACTCCTCTCACAGTTATGCAGAGTCATTCCCAGACTCGTCACCCTCCACCGCCCCTTCGTCTCCGCGGCTGACGCACTCAAATTCGTCGAGGAGGGATTCCTATGCCTCAACACCGGCCAGTAGCTTATCCTTGGACCACAGGGATAGCATTGATGAGGATGGGGACATGGCATTTCCCGCCTTCGAGAGCTCGGGGCTCTCAAGCAAACCAGGCCAAGCTGGCAATACATCAATGGGACATGAAGACACGGCCACTTCGATACCGGGCCCTGTGGTCGAAGACCCCTCTCTTTCAGAGAAGAAAACCCAGGATGATCAAGCCATAGAACCAGAACCTACCAGACATGTTGATTATCTGTCTCATGAATGGAAGGAGGAAGATATCTGGTTGTCTTGGAGCTACGTTACTCACCGACGCGGTGGTCTAACTAACGGTACTCGGCTGGAAAATGCTTCATGGCGATCATGGACGAAGACCAAAAACCAGCTCAAGACCGTGTCACCGGAGACGCTCAATTGGCTGAAGGACTGCGATGTGACATGGCTGTATGGGCCATTACAAACCAACAAAAACATCGGTCAGTCAGTAGAGAACACATCCCCTCTCCCAAGCCGCCTCTCTCACTCCTCCTCGTTTATCTGCAAGAAACCGATTCTCAAGAAGAAGTCGGCCTCGGCCGTTATTTTGGAGAGATCGCGGTCACAACACTCGCTGCTGCAACGAGCCGGCGACATCATCCGGGTGCAACAATCCAGTCCTGCTGTTCTGGGCCGCCCGATATTGAGACGTGGCAATTCGGAATTCGTCTTGCCCCGGTACAACAGCAGCTCGGTGGCCAATACTCCTGCTGAGCATGACATGCCTGGGTTTATTGGCCCACGTGCATCGTTTGCTTTCGGCGACGTTCCCACACCCTCAGAGTGCAAACATGTTCTGTTCGACGAGGAAGTTCGCCAAGTACAGGCCATTGATTCGGAAGATGACGATAAGCCGGAGGAAGAAGACGAGTCGAGCTTCGAGGACGACGAAGATGACGACGGTGGACTGATGATGGCGCCCTCGCACCGAACGGCCAATGGTAACGACCGAACTACGCCTCGCGGCAGTTTCAGCAACGAATCGAAAACGATTGTGCCATTACCGTCTACAACACTCAAATACAGAACTGACACCCCCGAGCCTCCGGAGGTGCCCAATGCCTCAAGTTTCACCTGGCCCAATTCACGGAAACTGTCTCCTTCAGCGTCCCAAGAGACTTTGAGACCCTCGAGGCCGCACCAGAACTTCTTGATCGATGACGACCCCGAAGTGGTGGACGAACCATGGCAGCCATCGAGCAGATTAGGCGCCGGACGGTCTCCTTACGACGATGATAGTGAAGATAGTGACTCGCACCCGCACCTGAGGCGAACCGAGTCGGGCATGTTTATGCCGTATGATGACAACGAAGAAGAAGTGGCCATGAACAAGACGTTATTTGGTCAAGCCGCCTATGCCGTCAACACATTCAAGGATATAGCCCACGTGATATGGAACGTGGGTTGGAATCGAAACTGAATCGAATGGAACATAATGATCGATGAGGCGGAAAACTGCGACATTTTCTACAGCATAGCGCGGTTGTTTGTTTGGGTTTGGGACTTTAGGCCTTTGTGCTTATGAGATTATGCTCACGGCACATTTGGAGAGTCTCACGAGCAAATCCTGGCTCTACTTGGCTACGACATTTTACAACATGAAGTTCTGGCGAGAGATGTGGACCACAGGAACCCCAATTCTCGACCGCCATGTCCACTGGAGGATGGACGACGATCAAGTTGAATATGGACTGTTCTGTATATGCGAAAGGACACATTGGAGCTGTTGATCGGTCCGATTCGAAAGAGGACAATGTCTTGGGTGCACATATAGACCACTCGGTATGGTTATGGGTATAGACGAGCCAAATGACTCAGGTGGAACGAGGTTGTCCATCCGGACTGTTCAGGGCGGGGGCGGAATTCTCTCGGCCCAGAGCTAGCCAAAAGGAAGAGCAAGGCGGCGAATATCGAAAACATTGCACGGAACATTTCTTCAATCCAGTTCCCGATCAATTATCGTGAGCCCGAGCCGAGCATGCAGCAGAGGGAGACGACGGAACAAAGAAGACAAAGAAACAGTCCAGCCAGCCAGCCAGCCAGCCAGCCAGCCAGGCCTCCGATAATGACCGGTGTTTTGCATTGATTGCATCAGGTACTACCAGGTTGGTGCAGGGCCTCACTGCAGACTCTGCGGATCTTTTGCCAGCTGGACTCATTCTACACAACAATGTGGTTGTTACTTCACACTTTGTATGTTTCTCCTTACACAACGATAATACCCCTACGGGACAAGAGCCAACACTCAGAGAATGAAGTCATGCCAATAATACAAACTGACAAGCGAGAACTCTCTCCGCTTTTCCCTGTTATCAATGTACCAGTACCTAGGTATGTAGGACAGGCTCAGCCTGAGGTGAATAAGCATACCTACCTACCCACCTAAGGTTTCCGTCAATCTATCGGTCAACGATCTCATCGTCATATCAAGCTCCCTTCGTTTGGCATTGTGCCTAGTTCCTTTATTCCCTTCGATCATCGATGATCTTCAGGGAGTCAGGTTCAAGGGGTTATGTGGCAATGGATGATGATGACAGGTTGGGTTGATCGTTACTGGTCTGCAGTGCAGTGGGTAAAAACGAGGGGTTGAGGAGGCCCCCCAAGTTCCCAGTTTTTTTACTTTGCGGGGTGGCGTGCTAGTACTAGGTATTTTCTACTAGTAGTTCGGTACCTAGATGTACGTAGGATGTACCTTGGCATCTAGGTACCGGGTACCTTAGTTAGTAGGACCTTAGGTACCTGGGTACAGTACTTAGTAAGGCACCTAGAAACACTGCAGTGGTAGAGCACACTCCTGATTTCTCTTGATAAGAATAAACGAATGCTCGGGATCAGATCTACAGGGGCCAACCAAAGTTTGATTCTGACAGAGTACTAACACCGCTTATTATTAATGTGATTGATTGATGCGTGATGACGACGATGGCTGTTCTACTACTCAGATGATATAGGGAAAGGAGGGTGAGAAGAAAAGACAAACGGTTCTCAGTGTAGATACTACGGTGTCATGGTAAGCACTGCAACTGTGACTGGAAGTGTAGCACTATCTACAACTCCTGCTAAGGCGGACGGAGTATCCTCGGTACCTTTGACACAGATGAAGACGGAGTACGTACTCACCTATACTTCTGGACCGGCTGAATTTCGGATGCTTGTCGTTCAACTGTTCAGGCATTATTGAACAGTGGTTCGCGGATTTGGGTACAGTACCTTACGGTCCCATATGACTCCAGCATATGGTACCTGGTAGGTAATTCTCCAATCTTCGATTCCTCAGGGATGGGCTTCAGGTACGTTGTCCGGTCGGGAACTGTTCCTTATCAGCAGTCCCCTGCTTGGTAGATTCTGTAAGCCTGCCTGACGTGGACAAGCATTGAGGTATGGGCTTTTCACCGAGTCATGCGTGTTTACAAGGATGATGATGGATACGGCAAAGCCATCCGTCGACCTGCCGGGATACTGAATAGATGGGCCGGACTGGACTGGCTGGATTGCCGATCACGGATTGTCGTCCCACAACCAGTCAGTTGCCTGTACCTTCTTCATACGAAAAGCGTTGGGGGATCTCGAAAATAAACGCACCGGCAGTGGGCCTTGCAACGAAGGGTTTCAAATGCCACAATGCGCTGTTCATTATCAGCTTGCAGGCATCCATTTCCCTAATGCAGGATGGGAATGAATGGCGTGCGAATGCGTGGCGGACAGGTAGCAGCAGGGTTAACTCCTGTGTGACATCTGCATAATAGTAGTACTGCATACTGCATATTGCATACTGCAACCTGCAATATGCATGTCGCATTAATTGACTGCACTGCATGGCATGTTCAATGCTATCGTGTTGCGTGTTGCGAGTCGCGAGATGCGTGGCGCATGTGTGTCTTTCTTGCCGTTGTCGTTGCCGTTGCCTTCTGCTTGCGCAATCCTGTCACCACTAAACCCATCGGCGATGCTCGATTCGATGCGTTGATATCGTCAGTCAGTCCGAAGGAAGGTCGGATCTCTGGGCCGGTTTTGTTCGGGGAAGTTTCAACCGGCCGTCGGCGCCTCTTCCCGTCCTTCAAGGTTATTGTCCACGTAACTTGCCTCTCGGGTATTGTACACTGCACTGCATGGGTTTATCACTGCAGTGATAAGGTAGGAAGATCAGACAGGAGAGGGGGGCCACAATTGAATGGATTTGATGTGATGTTGGCATGTGAAAACAGGACACGAACATGTAGATAGGCACAGTGCGGGTATATATATGGTAGGAAGTGACAAATGTGGTACCTCCGCAGCTGCCTATCTATCTAAGGTCCATATGTATCTATATGTACGCACCCGAACGTCCTTCATGCACCTGGTCTCGAAACTTCCCAATTGTCGACACTCTATTCCCGTTATCGAGGTTTCAGCTGCACCAAGTTCAATAAACACCGTATAGAAGATGGCAATGATGTTGATTTGGTCCACTGCGCCGTTGTGATTGCGAGTGTGCTTGCGTGGACAGTGGAACTCTGGCACACTGCACTGGCAGGTAAAAAGGGTCCTTATCCAGGCACACGATGCAACTTGAAGCAAGGGGAAGGCACAAACAGTGTTGTCGACTTCCACTGGCAGTTCGCTTTGCCGTTGTCGTCCTGGCTACTGCACACATTCCATTCTTTGTGGGATTCGACTTTTCGGTCTCCTTTCCCGACTTGTTCCTTGCCCATGGACTACTACTGTTCGTCCCACAAGTCACCTTTTGGTCCTTCGACGTGTAGCGTGGGCGGGCTACTTGATGAAGAGCAACTTCCATCCCGACCTCTGCACCATATCATTTCGGCACCATGTTGGGCCAAAGTGGTGAGAAACGTCAATGTGCAAGGCGATATCTGCTATTGATACCAGGTGACTTGAACACCAGCGTAGAATCGAGATCCATGCAAAGCATTGCTTGCACGGCTCGTATGTTGATGCTGACCACAGAGCTAGCACTGACATTTTAGAGCGATCTCTCGGACCGATTTGGAGTACCAGTTTTCGAATTCGACTTAGGCTCACACGCTACCTATACAGATTGTCCATCCAACCCTCCCAAGCCGTACCGAAGTCTTCCTTTTGTCCGGGTCGGAAAGGTGTACAAGAGAAGAAGAATGTGACAAGGATAACAAGATGCTATATACACAAGCCGTTACCGAGCTGCGAAAGAACTTCGGCCAGGTAGAAGAGAGTGCAAATGTACAGAGAATGGACGCCGGAATATGATAACTGCAACCGCATCATCCCCCATGACACCAGGGGCGCTCTCCTGAGAGTGTGACGGGTTGTCCTGGGGTGTTCTTTCGAGCATTTACAACACTGCAAGCAGGCCAACAGCCATTGCGAGGAGGCCTCCCTGAACCTTCAAGCTGCCGGCAGCATTGTCGTTGCTGTTTGGGACAGAGGTGGTCTCGGTTGCAGCAGCAGAAGAAGACGAAGCGCTCGATGAACCGGACTGGGAGGATGTTGCACTCGCAGAAGCTGAAGCGCTGCTGCTGCTGGCGCCGCTGGTTGTAGCGGCGGCGGCGGAGGATGATGTAGCCGCTGCTGACGACGAGGCGGCTGACGACGAGGTCGAGTCAGTAGCCGTGGAGTTGGAGGCACTGCTGGATGCAGCGCTCGCGCTAGCGCTACCGGTGGAAGAAGCGGTGGACGCAACTCCGGTCTGAGTTCCCGTGGCACCTTTGATGCCAAAGTTTGGGGAGAAGTTTATGTTGGTGGAGTCGGTATCATCGATAATCTCGATTGTGTATACGTGGGAGTTAACATCGTTGGCCGGGGGGATTTGAACGGTCGCTTCTTCGTCAGACGCAGGAACATTGGCTGCGCAAAGGTCTGTCAGTATATCTGCTTGGTGTGTGTCGATCGAGCGCAGGCAAAATGCTTACCAGCCAGAACAACGCCCGATTGAGGGGTGATGGGATCCTGCTGCAGCTTGATCGTGACGGTGTCGCTTGAAGGATTGGTCCAGTGAATGGTTAGAGGCTTCCCGGCAGTGACATCCAAGGTGGACTGGCCTGCTGGGATGGCGATGGCATTGTTTGCCTGGGCAGACACGACAGTTGCGCAGAGAGCTGCAACCACGGTGGCGAGGAGACGCATGTTGGAAGTTGTGAAACAGAACACGGTCCGAGAAAGTAACACGGCAATCAGTTAATTGCGTTTGCAGGTTATGTGAGACTGGGTAATGTTATGCAGACAGGGTTTCAGTGGTTGAAGTGATGATGAGAGTAAATAGTGGAAAAGTGTGATCTGACGATGGCAACATAGAATAGTCTACAGCTATTTGGGGTGATTTACGGGGCGAATGTGTATTCTGGCGCCTCCTTGTGTTTGATGGCGGCGGCGGCGGTTGTTTGCGACACTTTGGGAGGAGCTGAAGGGGCCGCGGAGGGAGAATCGCGTAGTCACGTTGTCAAGAAGTTGTGCGCGACAACCAAAAGCTTAGAGACCTTAGGGGCCATTAGGCGGTATTTTAGGGCTTACGGGGCCCAATGGGCGCGAGGGTTCGAGGCACCATTGAGAGCTGGCTAAACGGAATAGGGCAAAGTAGGCGTCTTCTCGCCTTCTAATTGGCATCTCAGCCTCCCACTGCCATTCCGTCGCCCCCGAGATCCGAGACCTTGTTCCAGGCACGGAGTCATGGTTGGTCCGCTGATCTGCCTCGTTGCCTCGCGCTTGGTACGTTCAAAGAGTGCCCACCGAATTTTTCTTCGGTCATCAGGCTCGAGGAAAGCTGCGGCTTGTGGCGTCCAGCCTTGCTCTATACTGGCTGATGGGATCTGATTCCGCCACAGGGTGCAAGGTTCTGCCGGAAGAGTGGTTCGGAGGTGAGTCCTCCTCCCTCAGATGAGCTTTAGCGACGGATTGTTCCGGAAGGTTGTCATGACTGTTGCTGCTTTCATTGTTTCTCGGATGGTCTGTTGTTCTTCATTTGCACCATCGTGCTCGTCGAGAACTGTTGAGACTCTGATTATCCTCGCAGGAACCCTGTGAAGTGCTCATCCGTTCGACTGTCGGCATCGTCTTTCAGCTCTCGAACACTCAATCTCTCCGCGGCCGTGCCTTTGTGCATGAAATGACAGAGGGGAGTGCAGGTCTATCTGAGGTGATTGCATGGAAGGGGTCTGGAAAGATTCGTCAAGGAGTACCCTAGAGTGTCAAGCCTTGTGGCTGAAGCGAGAGCTGTATTCAAAAGCCATCACCGCCGACAGCCCTGGACCGGGGCTCCTCTAGCGGGCAACGAGCTGAATGTGATAAACTTCCAATATGCCCCCTTGATTTAATTCATCCCTTCTTTACCCAAGTCTCCAAAGCTGGAAGGCCTGGATACACCGACACCGTCAAGCCAGCTTTGCGCCAAAGAGGGCTTATTTTCTCCGTCTCAACAATCGGGCTGGCAATCTTATACCCGCTGCTACCGGGAGATTAGTACAACCCTCTGAGCGGAAGTCATCAGCAGGCGTCAAGCCACCTTACAAAATATGTGGCACCGCGAAAATGATATAGGTACCTACCTGGTAGGTAAGCGGTCCGTAGGGTTGATACAATAGGCGTTCTCCTTCAATGTAGGTGTACCTACCGCCAATTAAATCTTTGAAGGGCGCCCCTACCGAGATCTGGCCATGCCACTTATTTTGTAGGGTGGCTCGGCGTGTCCTTCCGGCATATTTGCCTGGCTTCAGAAGGGCTCGGAAACAGAACACAGTTCAAGTTTGGTTCTCTAAGAGAAGCAAAAGAAGACAACACCTGCATTCGATGTCGATTGAATTCCATGGAAATGCACTAGAGAATATTCTTGCGCCACTGCTACCTGAATATGCATCCAAGGCTGTCAGCCAACTTGAGAACCAATCGCAGCAGATCACGAACCAGGAGATGACATGATTCAGGTCAGTCTGAAATAGAATCTGCCCATACTCTGTAACCGGAGAAGCAGATGATGAACCCTTCCGCGGCATGCCTTCCAGACCGTAACACAAACGTTGGAACTTCCAATTCTAGATTGCCCTCGAAAAGGAGACCCTGCCGCCAACACACTTCCACCACAGGACCAGCCATGGGGGGCTAGCAACTGTTCACTTACCTGACCAGGGCTGGTGTCAGAGAGAGTCCCCTCTCGTCAGTTCTGCTGAGTTCCCTTGGCTTTCCTTTTGTTCTTTCCGTTTTCTGTGAGACCTCATGCAAGCCACTAATCGAGTTCTGTGCTCGCGGAAGCGGAAACATGAGCCACGACTTGAGCCCCGTGTCATGGACTTGCTCGACCTCCTAGCCTGAAGACGCGCAGCCGGTGTGCCAGGATATTGACATGTGGCGTCATATACGATATGTATCTCAGCCTGGAGGACCATACGCCCGGTTAGGCTGAAGCCAATCAGCCACATGGCATAATCAGAGGACACACTTCCACAGTGTCGAAAAGTCAAGCAACATAAACTGGCGAGCCGGGAGTGGAAGGCCGTAGAGACTCTCTTCAATCTTACGGAAAGAAAGGGAACGGCCAAAGTATGCCCTCAGCTCCTGAAAATCGTCCCGCGTGTCATGAAGCGGTTGTCTTCTAAAGAGGCTCGGGAATTCTGGACTATGCCGATGTTTTGGTGGGACAAGCATTTCAGTGGTGGCCATAACCATAGACCTCCTGCAGTTCATTTGTTGACGGCAACATGATGGCAGCCCCCTGTCAGTTCATCGGGTGCTCACCGCCTGGTCCCCTTTTTCTCGCGTGGCGGCATGAACTTCTGGCGACAACCTTGTAGAGACTTGCTAGGCAGGGCGGCCGCAGAGGACTTATTTTGTATCTGAAGCATATCAGAGGGAGAGGAGGTGCGCAGGAATGTAACATGTGGCGAGTAAAGGCAAGGGTTTTGGCGAGAGGTGTGCCCTATGAAGAATGTAAGCGGGATCGAGAGGCGCCACGAGATTGCCAGACAATGCAGGGGATGATGGTACGTACAAAGCGAGAGAGGAAGAGGACTGACACATGCGTCGCCCGTTAGGCTTGTGGTCCAATCTCAAGCACGGGTTTGAGAATGCTGTCAACCTGTCTCCTTGCGTGACAGGCTTCATAAAAGTAATAAATCCATGAACGGCGCAACACTTCAATCCGTCATTTATGTCAGTTTGTTCCCCGTCTCGTAGTCCATGCAGTGGGTTGTTGTTTTTATACTTGTTGCTCTCTTACAACCTTTCCTAATGTCTTTTCTCCCCTTGTCTTCGTTTTTGGTCCCTGCCGAACCCATTCAATAGTCGTCTATGAACAACTTGAATATCTAGGTCCGTTCCTACTACCAAGCGGCACTACTCCAAACTGGTTTCTATATGGGTATGCAGGATTAATAGCTGACCCTTTAGACTACAGGCAGCCAAACTATCGAAGTTCACCTCAGGTCATCAACCTATTTCCTGTGCAGCGCTTGTCGAACGTGGCATACCAACCTACGGACTACTGTACGCCGCAGAAGGAACACGAATCTGACGGCGGACGGAACAAACTATGCTGTGTAAACGACTTTAACTCGGCAAAGAAGAGTCACTTTTGAATTCACCGAATATGCGGACCACCCACCGACGCTCCCTCACCAACGAGGTCGCGTTTGAATCTCTTCCACCAGCACTGCGCCGAAAAGTGAGTTCCATTTGTCACATTGGTCTGTTTTCGCTTGTCTGCACATCCCCCGGATGGAAGATATCCCAAAGAGGCGGCATCAGGACGACCTCCTTGACCGATGGGCAAGCTACGATCTCTGAAACAGACAGAAAGGAGAAAGGAGAGGCATATTATTACGAGCAGCCCATCCACAAGTCCCCCATTGGATACCTTCCAGAGGATTGTCCACGTCACGACTCCAGAGACCCTCCGGCCTCAAGCACTCGTCAGGGACGGTGAGCACGCCGCCTGTGTCTGTTTGGATGCTTGGGGTTAGGCTTGCCGTTCCCTACCTGAATGAGGAACCCCGGGCGCCCTTAGCAGCTGTCAATCCCCTGCTCACGGCACGGTCCTTGCAAGTCCAGGGGCGCCACTCCAACCGACCAACCCCATTCATCCGACCATTCAAGTCTGTGCACATACCAGCTTGTTTCGCGTGACCGTTGACATCTTGTCGATCACTTGTTCTGCAGGTTTACTGAGAGGGCTAACACATGTGCTGCACCAGTATTTTAGCAGCTTAGAACGTCTCAGATTAGCACAAGATGGCAGCAGCCCCCCGCATCCTCGTCGTCCTCGTCCATCCATCCTCCAGCCGAAAAGCACTGGGACGGTCGCAGATTCCTCAGACAATTCAACCATCCTAACCGCCGGCATCCGACAGCCTTCGCTGCTGCTCCCGGGAAACAGACTCCGCAAGAGACGAGCCTCCTCGCACAACAACCAAGCTGCTCCTTCGACGGTTGCGTGGTTTGCCTCCTTGCCTCCTGCGGTCCAGAGAAGGCTCTTCTCGAAGGAAGAGTGCTCGTTTTATACACTGGGGAGAAACACCATAATTCTGGACGCCGCCGACGAACTCCTTCGTCGGCGCAGTTCTCATACCAAACAGTCGGCTGCTTTCGAACCACGCAGCTCTGACGACGAGACTGTCGTGGATTTGGAAGACCGCAAGGACGAGGAGCGGGCAGACTCTGCCATCGACATGCGTAACTATTTCGCCGACGGGTTTCGCTGGTTGGATGACGAAGCAGAGCTCGATCTCAAATTGGACGATTATCATGAAGCCATTGCCGAGACAGCGCGGAGGACGGCGTCACTGTCGGAACCCGTGAGACATCCTTTCAGACGGAACCCATCACTCTCAAGCCTTTCCGTTCGACCAGGCCGGAACTCAACGTCCTCTCCGCGTAGTCAGGTTGAACCTTCGAGTGCACCGGCGTTGCCGACGAAACCCATTCACTCTTCGTCATCTACCTTCTCGCTCAGACACTTGCGGTCCCAAGCAAGTTTATCATCCATCGATCCCCGTGCCACCCACTACCAAGATCCCTCCGCTCGAATGAAGCTGAGGCTGTACCTGGCTTCTCCGCAGAAGTTCGACGAGGCCATCGAGTTCGGTTTCCCTTCCGTCGGACAGAAAACACAGCAATTCGATCATACAAGACCAATGACTAGCCCCCAACCAACGCCCGAAGTGAATCGGACGTTCTTCCGCGATGATACGCCGTCGTTGTCCGGAGATGATGATGATGATGTGGATGAGCCTGACACTCTTTACGACCCCAGAACTCCGGAGGACGCTGATTTTCATATGCACCGCCCATCCACGAGGCCTAGTATGGACGGAAGCACTGGACTAAGGTCGCCCACCACGAGAAGGCATCCAGAGGTATACGCACGTGGCGTCACCGCAGATCGGGAAATGACGCTACATATGACATTGACCCGACCCGACCTACGGACACCAGAGTCACAACCGATCTACAAGAAGAGCATCAATGAGCTGCCTCTTGAGCGACCTGAACTGGTATTGGATGGCCAGGGTATCACGATCTGGGACACATTACCCCCCGAGGAATCGAGGATGAAGAGATTTCTACGGAAGTTGAGGCTGAAGTAAGTCAGCCATGTGCTGTCTCACAGACTTCTAGTGCTCTGTAGACACGCAGGGAGGATCATCCACTTCCGTGTATCACCATGGCATTGAGCGTAAGAGTTCAGGAGTGACTGCTGCAGCCTGTTGAGGCTGCTGGGAAAAGGGGTAACGCAATGCGTTTGGAGAGCGAGCATAACAACTTTTGGTGGATGAAAATTATAATTCACCTCGTATTCACCTCGATCCTATAGTTGCACCCTGTAAAGCACCAAGTGAATGAGAAATCATGATCTATAGTAGTCGACAACGCCGTATACCAGTAACAGCGTCCGAGGTCTGGAGACGTGTCAGCATCCAGCCTCGAAGGTCGCCGTGACACGCTAGGTTCCAGGACAATTGCCGCATCGGGGATTGTGCTTGGGCCTCGTAATAATTGTTGGCCGCAGGCAACTTGTAACTGAGGTGCCACGCAAACCATCAAGCTCTCCGATCTATCTTTCTATCGCTCTTTCTAGTCTTCCTACACATCGGTACTGAGGACTGCTTCTCCTTAGTAGTAGTCCGGATGCGGTGATCAAATATGATAACCCGGTCTTTTGTTCGTTGCGCGGTTGCCTCGTCATTTGCCCTGCTCCTCCTGTTGCTGGCCTTTTCGCCGCAGCCTACGCAAGCGAAGAAAGATGGGCCTGCCATCACCTCCACGAAGTTCGAGAACGCCCTCGAGAACGTCTTCTACTTCGATGACACAGATATTATCATCGGGCAAGATAGAGAGCTGAACACGGTCTGGCGCAGCGCAGACGCCGGCGAGACGTGGCAAGAGGTCAATGATGAGGGACAGTCGGGAAACGCCTGGGAGCTCTACCCTCATCCCTGGGACAATCAGCGGGCTTACATCTTGGGTCTTTCTTTCGAGCATTGGATGACAACAGACCAAGGGGAGACGTGGAGGAAATTCAGTAGTGCTGGTTCCGGTCTGGCCTTGTTCCGCAGCAGTCCCTTGAGCTTCCACGGCCGTGATCCCCAACGGGTCATCTGGAATGGTGAGCAATGTGTCGGCTTGTCATGCAGCGAGGTGGCCTTGTATACGGACGATGATTTCAAGACTGTCACCAAGATAGGCAGCCAAACTAGAGGATGCCAATGGGCTGTCGGCACTCCAGAGTTTGCCAAAGAAATCGCCGCCGAAGTCGACAATCGGGTATTTTGCATTGTGGAAGGTTTATACTCTCCTTGGCCTAAGGACAACCGGCTGGTGGCCTCCGACGACTTCTTCGCGGAGGATGAAATCGAGCCTGCGTTGGACGATGGCCGCGCGGTAACTGGTATCATCAGCATGGCTGCCGTCAAGGGCTTCCTGGTTGCTGCGGCAAAGTCTGACGGCACGGATGAGCTGGCTCTATACGTGACCAAAGATGCCTCACAATGGCACCGGGCTGAGTTCGGACAGCATCGAGTCAATGAAGATGCTTACACTATCCTCGAAAGCACCAACTACAGCATGCAGGTTGATGTCCTTGGGTCAAGACCTTCCAATCCCATGGGATACCTGTTCACATCGAACTCGAATGGCACCTACTTTACCCGCAATATCGATCACACCAACCGAAACCTGTACGGCCGAGTCGACTTTGAAAAGGTGCAGAACATCCAAGGGATTGTTCTAGTGAATACTGTGGACAATTGGCAAGAGGTCGAGGCTTCAACGATCGCCGACAAGAAAATCATGTCGCAGATCAGCTTTGACGACGGTCGGACGTTCCAGGATCTTATGGCAGGCGACAAGAAGCTACATCTTCACTCGGTGACCGATGCAAAGCAGGCAGGCAGAATCTTCTCGAGTCCGGCCCCGGGCATTGTCATGGGCGTGGGGAACACTGGGAAGTACTTGAGAGATTACAGCGATGGGGACCTGTTCGTCTCAGATGATGCTGGCGTCACATGGTACAAGGGCCTCGATGGAGCTCATCTCTACGAGTTCGGGAATCAAGGAGCTGTCATCGTCGCCATTGAAGACGGAGATACTACCAGTCACATTAGGTATTCGGTGGACCATGGCAAAACCTGGGCGAAGGCAGACCTGGGGGAGAAGATCCGTGCCAGGTTCATCACGACAGTCCCTGACTCCACGACACTCAAATTTCTTCTAATGGGCGCTCGCGGTTCGGGTGCCAAGCTTGAATGGCTTCTGTTCAAGATCGACTTTGACGGACTCCATGAACGGGCGTGCAAGAAGAGCGACTTCGAACGCTGGCCCGCCCGAGTTGACGCTGATGGAAAGCCTAGCTGTCTCATGGGACACAAGCAGTTCTTCCGCCGGCGCAAGGCTGACGCTGAATGCTTCATTGACGACGAATTCAAGGATCCGGTCCCGGAGTTCGAGCCTTGCGTTTGCACTATTGCAGACTTTGAATGTGACTACAACTTTGTTCGGGATGCGCACGATCGAACGAAGTGTATTCCTGCCACGCCACTCCCTGTTCCACCAGGAGAGTGCAAGGACGTCAAGGACACATTCAGAGGTCCCTCTGGATGGCGCTTGATTCCTGGGGATGAGTGCATCCGCAAAGGCGGCGAAGAACTCGACAAGGAAATCGAGTGGCCTTGCTCAGACTCGGCCAAGAAGCCTGCGTCGGGTAAGATCGTTGCTGACAAGACCAATTTCGATGCCGACCGCTTTTCCGAGTGGTATTATTTGGAAAGAGGTGACACTTCGCTGGGAAGCGACGAAACAATCATCATGCGGACGAGCGAGCAGGATATCTTCCTCAGCCGGGACCATGGCAAGGTCTGGGAGCCAATTCTCGAGGGAGAACCTATTACTGCCATTGCTCCCAATCCTCATCACCATGATGTGGTTTTCTTCCTGACTAACTCCAAGACCGTACATTACACCATCGATCGAGGTGATCGATTTGAGCAGTTCGTCGCACCAGAACGGCCTAGCAACTTGAGATTGCCGACCTTGAGATTCCATCCAGACTACAAGGACTGGTTGCTGTGGTCTGGCTCGGTTGGCAACGATGACCACACCAATATCTTCTATTCGAGAGATCGTGGCGACAATTGGCAGACTTTGGTCCGGTATGCGAGGAAGTGCGAGTTTATCACCAGAGAAGGCCGAGCCAACTCGGTCCAACTCATCTACTGCGAACAATATGAAGACGAGAATCCGGACAAGAACCTCATGCTCTTGTCCAGTGACAGCTTCTTTAGCGACTCCACCGTCCATTTCCCGGACATCCTGGACTTTGCGACCATGTCTGAGTTCATCATTGTTGCAGCAAAGACCGAGGATCGGCAGGGATTGAAAGTTGATGCAAGTGTGGATGGCCGGACCTTTGCTCCTGCAGAGTTCCCCAAGAACTTCCAGGTCGCACATCAACAAGCATACACTGTTTTGGACAGTTCCACGCACGCAGTCTTTCTCCACGTCACCGTCAATGCTGCTCCAGATCGTGAGTACGGAGCCATCATCAAGTCCAACAGCAATGGCACTTCATATGTATTTACGCTCGATGCTGTCAACCGGGATCAGGAAGGGTACGTGGATTTCGAGAAAATGCAAGGCCTTGAAGGAGTTGCCACGGTCAATGTCGTTGCCAACGTCGACGAGCTCAGCGACGGCGCAATGAAGAAACTCAAGTCGATGATTACACACAATGATGGCGCAGAGTGGGCTTTGCTGCCACCGCCCAAGAAAGACGCCCTGGGAAATGACTACAAATGTGTTTCGGAAGCCAACAAGGCGACGAAGAAATGTTCTCTACACATTCACAGCTACACTGAGCGGGCCGATAAGTCAGCCACATTCTCCAGCCCCAGTGCAGTTGGTCTTATGATGGCCGTCGGTAATGTTGGGGAGTATCTAGTTCCGAAGAGTGACGAAAGCACTGACACATTCATCACGCGGGATGCTGGTATTACCTGGTCATCCGTCCAGAAGGGAAGCTATATGTGGGAGTACGGCGACCAGGGCAGCATCATTGTCATTGTCAAGGAATCCAAGCCCACAAAAAGCCTGTTCTACACGCTCGACGAGGGTCAGACGTGGAAAGAGTTTGAATTCTCCCCGGATGTGGACATGCAAATCGATGCAATCACTACAGTTCCTTCGGACAACTCGCGCCAGTTCCTTCTCTGGGGTCGTGAAGTTGGCACGGGTGCCAAACCTGGCATCTTTACAGTCCATCTTGATTTCAGTGGTCTCGAGGAACGACAGCGCAAATGTGCACTGGACGAGGAGCACCCGATCAACGACGATTACACTTTGTGGGAACCGAAGCATCCCATGCAAGATTCGAACTGCTTGTTTGGGCACGTGGCGCAATACCACCGTAAGCGGGTCGATGCCGAATGCTACAATGGAAAGAAGATCGATCATCTCCACAACATCGCCCTCAACTGCACCTGCACTCGACAGGACTTTGAGTGCGATTACAACTACCAGATGCAACCTGACGGCACGTGTCAGCTCGTGCCCGGTATGAAACCCCAGGATCACGAACAGAATTGTCGCGACAATCCAGATCAGGTCGAATTCTGGTATCCTACAGGCTACCGACGTATTCCGCTCACTACGTGTCAAGGAGGTGTGGAGCTTGACAAGCTGGAGAGCCGACCTTGTCCTGGCCACGAGAAAGAATACCACAAGAAGCACGGCATCAGTGGAGTGGCTCTGTTCTTTGCCATTTTCATCCCCATTGCCGTTGCAGTGGGCATTGGCTATTGGGTCTACACGCACTGGCGCTCAGGATTTGGTGGGTTCGGCCAGATCAGACTCGGGGAGAGTATGGGAGGTGGCTCCGCCTCGGGAGAATCGCCTTGGATCACCGTACCTGTTGCGATCGTTAGTGCTGTCGTCGCTGTTGCCAAGGCCACGCCCTTGCTTTTCATGAGCCTGTGGAGGAGCCTCAGGGGATACATGCCGGTACGATCTGGCAACAGTGGAGGCGGAGGTAGATTCGGCCTCGGCAGAGGGCCCTCTGCCGATGGATACGGAGCGCCGTACCGGTCGAGAGATGCCTTTGCTAGACGTGGTCAGGATTATTCCCAGGTCGTCGAGGACGATGAGTTGCTTGGAGATGGACTGGACGATGAAGAAGAGGTCTGAGAGAGACTGAGAGAGAAAGAGAGCCCGAAACGGAGTTTGGAAGGGTGAGCTCACATACATGTACACATACACACGCGCACACAGAACGGAGGCGACGGTCGTGGGTGGCCAGGGGGCTGCAACGCCTCGGAAACGGAGATGGGACACGACCGGAGCCTTGCTTGCTTCGTCGATAGCGATAGATACCTAAGATGGGTAATCAGGGTAGGCTTCTTGACGTAATATTTGGACCGTGTCAGTTTCGGATCCTGGCTCTGGTCAATTGTGCTATGATGCGTGTCTTCGCTCTCTTCTCTTCTCTTTCTTGCCGGTCCTGCCTGGTTACTGTTCCTCCCGATGCCAGAGATCGTAGCTGGCGAGAGCAATTGGGTATTTTGGCTACGAGCAAAGAAAAGAGGAGAAGGCGGAGTAAGGGTATATATGCTGGGGATGCAATATAACTCTCTGAACAGCAAGACAAGGAGAACTGCTTCAGCATAGACGTAATGGCTGGAGCAGGGGAGAAGCATGGTGCTCGACATGCATGCTTCCCCCGAGTTCTTCATCTGGAATGCTTGACGTAGCAGGATCAGGAAAGCATTGCTGTGCAACAAACAGTGTAGGAGAGGAGAGGATGAGCAGACGAGGGAGCAAACAGGTCTCTTTCTGCGAATGCCAAATGTCTTCCTGCTCTATCGAATCTGTATGGATGTGACTCCCCCCTCCTCCCGCTATGAGTAACCAGGTTCATCTTGTCCCCCTTGTTTTGAGAAATTCCTCCAACGTCTCTCCCATGTCGTCAGTCTCTTCTACTTTTTCACCGGGCAAACAAGAAGTGGCTTGAAAAAGGGTGCCCGCGTGTGGAGGAGACGAAAGGTCGAGGCTGCGGTGGTATGGTTGTCGGACAAGGAGGAGGAGTGCAAGAAATGAATGAATGGTTCGGTGTCGTTTATTTGGCGAAAGCGGCTTCGACCTGCTTGACGGCTTCCTCCTTGGAGATACCGTAGGCGGCGGCGACCTTGTCGGCGAGGCCATCCTTGTTGCCGGCAACAGAGGCAAAGTCCTGGGGAGTGAGCTTGTCGAAGGTGGCTCGGATCTTGGCCTTGGTAGCTTCGTCGGCCATTGTGATTGATTTGTTGTTGGTGTAGTAGGTGGGTGAAAGAGTTCTTCGAGGGGATTGAAGAGGCCGGTGACCTTGGTTATTCGAGTAAAGACGTTGTAGAGGAAGCCTTTGAACTTGGTGGGCGGAAAGGGATGAGAGAAGTCAAAACCTGTTCCTTACCGTGAAACGTGTTGTTTATATAGATACCCAAGATATCTTTGTATAACAAGCACCAACACACCGCTGGATCCGCTTGCCCCTCCTGGAGACTCGGCCCCCCCTCTCCTCGCGCCCTGAAGCCCTAGGCCCGAATAATGCGGGCATCCGTTGTCTAATTGACATTTGGTATGGTGCTATCATTTATCATCGCCAAATGTCTCGAACCCCCCTTCGGCGAGGCCCCACGTCTCCACGAATAGCAGGGCCAAAAGACCGAAAAGGCCACGTCGTGCGTGCAAGTCCCAATCAGCCGTGATCGTCACACCGAGTTCTCGTCGACGTCGAATCACGAGGCGTGACGGAAAGTGACGGCCCGCTGGATCGAGCATGGCGCCAGGACGCGGTTCGTCTTTAGCCTCGAACGATGGATGCAGTGGACGCCCGAGGTGTACAGGATCGGGGTGTTGCATGTTGCATGAACTCGACCCACGTTCACAGTTGGACAGTTCAAGTTGGCGGTGAGGGAAGGTCATTTTACTGCGAGACCAGAATACTTGAGAGCCGCGAGATTGACCGGGCTGCCTTACATGGTTCGTTCAGTATTGTTGTCCTCAAAGCCCAAGGGAGCCTGAAACTTCGGTCGATTTGTCTCATAACACCCTCGGTCACCAATTTAGTTTCGGTTTTTGCTTGTGCTGTCATGTCTGCATGTCCGATCCTCAATCCCTACCGTGCCAGGTTGGCGTCCGGTGTCAGTGCGTGTGCAAGGGCCCAGGGGAAGTCGGGCCTTTGACATCCATGGATTGTGACCAGCCTCCATCGCTGAACGCCACAAAGTGACTAGAGAACGCTTCATGCCCCCTCCAAGGCTGTTTGGTGGATATTCCTCGCTTGTATCGAGCAGGACTCGGCCCAGTTTTCGAGGTCTAAGTCCGCGGCTTGAGCATGATTGCTTGGAGGACCTTTGACCACTGTAGTTCAACTTGTGTCCAACCTTGGTAGACCGCTTCGAACCGGTGTGAAAAAGCCTTTCTGGCATAGTCAAAGAGGAAGCTCGTTTATCAACTGCACGGAGAGGTCTGGCGCCTTTTAGCCTCGGTTCGAAGGCACGGTAGTAGTACTATTGTCGGTACCTATGCGAGGGCGTTCCTTGGCGTATACAACGGTGAGGTGCTGCTAAGAGGACTAGAAGGATAGTGCATAGTGGTTAGGGGTCGGAGAGGTGTCTATAGCTTTAGAGATAGAAGGAGCAGTTCGCGAGTCATGCATGAAAGTCGTTTAGTATCGTGTGCTTCAAGTTCTTCATAAAACAGACGCAGGCGCAGGCGAGGGTCATCGATAGCTGTGAGACACATATGGGGTTGCACTTGAACTTGAAGGAAGTAGTAGTATACCAACTACCCAAGTAGACAAAAGGACCGCATGTCAGCTACATGTAGTCCAGAGAGCAGATGGCTGCATCCGTCCATCAGTCTGCTTACTAGACTAGCACCACAGGTAGTCGACTGGGCACATCGGCTGGTAATCGCAGTCTAGTACGGTGTTGGCTTGCTGTTGAGTCTCCCTTGCAAAGGATGAGTGTAGTGGATGAAAGGGCAATTCTGAGAGATGATGTCTATCAGTCGTGATGCATCGTTAGATCCTTTTCGGCACGATACCCCAGCTCAGAAGCCGGTCTATATGGCCATCTCTCTATTCACTCCGTCCCTTGTCCATTCCTTCGATTCGGGAGAATGCTATTGTCCTGCGATGGGGAGAAGGAGCGTGTCGCCGTTATGGGCAGGCGAAGGTGCATTACCTCGCTGGTGGCTGGTGTAAGACTGCGACGGAGTGAAGGCAACTGTGTCGGCGTGGACTCGCTCAAAGCCGAAACCCCAGGAGTGGCCTCGAGGTTACAGGAGACTGAGGTTCCTCACAACAGTGAGCAGCAAGCCCTGCTCGAATTTAGACAAAGGAAGATACTAGAGTACCTTCTAGGGAGTAGGTAGAGAGTAGATACTATAATAGGTACAGCATCCAACCAAGACGCCGTCATTCCTTCCGGTCGAAAGTAGCTCCGATCCGATAGGTGACAGGAGCGACACCAACACCAACAACAACATCATCGTATCGCCAACACATCACCATTCCTGATTGTAATGGAACCATCTCTTATAGACTGCTCTTCCATCAGGTGCCCCTTATTTTGGTTGTGCCTATAACAGTGCAGCTGAGAGAAAGAGTAACATGGTGTGACTGCTGAGTAGAATACTGCTGAGGGATGATGACTTGGGCGTTCACAATGTCGAGATTGTCCTGGAGACTGACAACAGAGACGAGCTGGTGCTGGTCACAATGTGGATGTGGGTGTTGCGCAGGACTTCACAGTTGGCTGCCTCCAGCTTGAATTGGGCTTGCAGTGAAGACTCTACGCGTACCAACCAACGCGTCCTGCCTCATGCAAGCCGCCAAGGTTGTACAGCAGTTACAGTGCCAGAGCCAGTGATGTGCCTGTGTCTGGTTCTGATTCAAGTTCAGCCTGAGGTTGGTCTAAAGCCGCTTCACTTCCTCTTCACAACCTCTTCTTCTACCTTGTGAAAATCCTTTCTGTCCTCTTGAACCACCAACCTGAAACCTCTCATCCTCCTCGTACAATCCAATCTTTCCTCTACCTATCCCTCTGATATCCCCATCTCCACGTCTCTGCTGCGCAAGGCTGAGACAGCAGAGACGCTTCTACCCTATCACCTGCGCACAAGATCTCCCACCTTCTGTCTACAGACCAGTCGATCTACCTAATCCAACAAGCCTGCGGGCCCTGGCGACGTTACCGTTTCCTTCACCACCATCCTACTACCTCTTCCTCCTTCTGGTTCTCAGCGTCTCCTAAGATGGCTGGACCCACCAATCCTAAACAGAAGATCACAAGATCGTTGGACGAAAGAGTCGCTGATGCCTTACGAGCACGTGGCCCTTTCTTCCAACGTTCAGAGACGCACCTTTCCCGCGAACCTGTCCAGACTGAGCCGACTGTCACGCTGCGCAGAACAGCCCCGACAGATGGGCGAAGCTTTGCCCAGCAAGCGGCCCAGTTGACGCGTTTCTGGAACGGGGCCACGGACACAATCACCCTATCTGGAGTAGAAGTCGTGCCTACAAGAGCTACGGAGCCTCAATCTGGAGCAACAAACAATACGGTTGATACTGCGAATCGGCACGATCAGGACAATATGCTCGGCCGTGGAATGATGGACTTTGAAACCCAAGATGGAGGTAACAGCGTGACCGCGACACAAGGCACTCCTCAGTTTCCTCCTAGCTCTGTCTGGAACGACATCACCACCTGGACCCCGCCCTACGACGATGTCTTTGCAGACTTTGAATTCCTGAATGATGGCTTTCCCGATGTCAACTTTCCAGCGATTCCGGAGATCGACCGCGCAGCTACTCTTGATCCACGTCAGGCTCTTCCAGCTCGACTTCCTACTCCTCCTCGCATGCCTCACATCCCATTCTTCGGAGTGCGTGGTACGGGACAAAACCGTGATCCTTATCGATTCGCCAGTGGCCAGCCCTTTCTACCCCGTCCAGACAGCCCCACGAGTTGTAGAGCATGTATGGAAGATCTGGAAAGTCCGATTTTCCTTTCTTGCGGTCATGGGTACTGCCAGCCGTGTCTCAACCACTTGGTGCGTTCCGGCCTTGCGAACAAGATGTCTTTCCCGCCAAGATGTTGCACTGGCCGTCGAGGTATAGACATGGCTTCTATCCAGGCGCATCTGGACCAGGATGTTCTCACACGGTACCTTGACGTGGTTGAAGAGTTCTCTACCCCCAACCCAGTCTATTGCGCCAATCCAGTCTGCAGCCGGTATATTGAACAGAGCCGTGTTCGAGACACTCCGGGAAAGTTCGTACAGTGTGGCCAATGTCAGACGCCAACCTGTACTGAATGCAAACAAGGCCACCGAGAGCACACTGGTCGTGACGCAATGACTTGTAAGAAGGTGGAAGAGTTGATGAACCCTGGTGATCGGAAACTTGCGCAGAATAACCAGTGGAAGCAATGCCCAGGTATGTCACAAACATGAGAAAACTCTCTGCCGGCCACTAACTACAACCAGGCTGCAAGAACCTCGTCGAGAAGACCGAAGGCTGTAACCACATGATTTGCGAATGCGGCACAGACTTCTGCTACAGATGTGGCACGAAGCAAGATGGGTATGCACAATGCGACTGCTACGGCGGTGGATATGAATTTCCCATGCCCACGTCCAATGCACTGGACGCCACACAATTGCAACCAGGCCCGATACGACCTGGGGCACTCTATGATGCCATACGCACCACCCAAGCCTTACGCCAGAGCAACACACGCCGGGCTGAGGCGGCCGAACCAGCAGGCACAGGCCGCGGTCATCTCTCTCATCTCTCTCATCTACGCCAAGCAGCAACCGCAGCAGGACAGCTGATGAAGAGTCTGAGACGAGACCATGCCACCGTCCAGCAAGCAGTTGGAACCAATGGACAACAGGCGAGGGACGATCTGGTCGAGGCTGAGAGACGTCGTGCAGCTTCTTCGCGCGATAGACGCAACGACCTCCTCCTACGCGACGGTCCGATCTTCCACACCGATCCGATCCGCAACGATCCAATCATGCGTCGCTCAACTGAGCCCGTCCCTAACACACGCTATCACTATCGCACAGACATCACCTATGAGCCCGCAGCAGAACCGACCCAGCATGGTTCACTTCGACCACTTCAGAACGGCTCGGCTTCCACCATCTATGAGTCCTACATTGGTGCAATGCGCACAATGCGCGGTCAAATGGCAGACTGGGATGCATTGTTCCAAACTCCGCGTAGTCAGGGCGAGGAGTCCCGTGGTTTGAAGCGCGAAATCGCCATGACCGAGCCTCTAGACATGGGTTCAGGGCCAGCCCTCAGAATGCGTCTTCCTCCCCAAACCGAGGACAGACCAGAACCTAACGCCATGGTAAGCCCAAACCTCAGTCCCGTCCGTGAAGCAGTATCACCAGACCGAGCGCAGCCATACAGTCATTTCACCTTGCCATACTCAAACACGCCACCTGCACCGACCGGACGTCAAGCACGTGCAATGATAGACGAGAATAACCCACCAGCATGGTTGGTCTCGAAGCGCGCCGATGTTCGCCAGGCAGAGGAAAGAGAGGCATGGCTTGAGGAGAATGGTATCTTCCCGGGAGACGACCTCGGTTTCTATCTCGACGGCAGAATCTCCCCGCGTCTCACAAGAAGTGGTCGTGGAAATCAAGACAATCCCGTTACAGGATCCTTACGAGCCATCAACAATGCGCCAAGAGGTCAAGGTTCCAAGCCAATGAAAGGCAACGAGCGGCCCTAGACTATGGTCTCTTCTTGCTATTGAATAGTCAGGCCCGACCAGATGAACGGCGAGACTACGGAGCTGGGGTTGGATTCGGAGCTGGGGTGACGACGAGACGAAGCAAGCCGACAATGGAACGCAGTGCAGTGGACATAGCTGGTTAGACAAGGGACAGATGCGTGCAGGAAGTGCGAGCTCCAGCAGTCGCGAGAGATCAGGGGAGAACAAGGGCACTAGTGTGTGTGCGTGAAGCAGCCTGGAGTTTTCTCTTTTTCATGTTGTCGTGAAGAGTACAATCGGTCCTTGCACGCTGGGTGAACAGAGTATTTAGCTCCCCTACCCTATTCTCCAGCGACTTGGATCCAGCGCATCGCAACAGCAGACGAGCTCAGAATCCGGAGAGACACAATGAGCTATCCGGACAGACCAGCTATCAGAGAAGAAAAAACAAAATGAAAAAAAAAAAGATTGTAAGATTACTAGGTTGGATTCTTGTTCTTCTTCTTCTCCTCTCAGTCCTCCCCTTTCCTGGCAGGTGATGTGGAATTCAGATATCATGCATGGCCTTAAATCCAGATGCTGCAGTGTGTAAACGAATGATTTGGCCCCTTCGAAGACCGCCATTGATGGCACCGGGTCAACGTAGACTTGTACCTTGGTTGTAAGCATTAATACAATGTATGGTGCAGTGCCACGCGGTCGAATTAGATCTTCATCTTCATCTTCATCTTCTCATTCCGACATTGGCATGGAGATTGAGATTAAGATTGAGATCTAGATCTAGAGGAGATTCAGCCTCGCACGTGCCCGATTGATTGATTGATTATACGACGTCACCACTTTTCGAGATCGAACCACATCAGGAGGATGCTTTCTCGATCACTGAAAAAGGAGTCCGTAACACCTGAAAAGGACGATATAATACAATTGTCCAAGGTGTACCAGGACTGACTGTAATTCTCTTTCTCTTTATGAAGAGAATCCAAAGTCAGTGAAGTCGACAATGAGCAGTTCTTATTCTCCTTTACTGTCATCCGCTATGTCTATGTCCATTTTCTAGTCATACTTGGTGATACAGAGACCCAGAATCCGGAAATATATCCCAGTGATGGAACGATGAAGAATGATGATAAACATCACCGTTTGATGCTTTCAGTGGACCTTAAGATCGGTTATTTGGGCTGATCAACAATTTCGGATGCTACGTCGTTCTTGAGAACAAGACCAAAGTCGACAGTCGACACGAACTATTATCTGTTATAAGAGGAGCAGGAGAAAAAGGAAAAGAGAAAGAAGGAGAAGGAGAAGGAGAAGCAAAGAGAGGACATATGAGTACCATCGAACGAAAGGTTCACGAGGAGTCAGAGCCAGAGTCAACGATGAACACGAACACGGGAACGAGGATGGGATAGACAGTGGTAGTGGAACATCAAGATCAACACCATCACCGGTATGAACAACAGCACCCACAACACCATCAACCCAAACCCGTCACGACAACAAGCTCGACAACACAACCTTCTTGTCTGTCTATCTCTCCAACTCAAGTGCCGCACTGGCCGTCGGAAGGGGAAAGGAGCAAAGGAACACAATGCCAAAAGCCACACAAGTGACCACCCGCACCGATTTGTCTCTTCTTTACAGACTGTTACGGTGGACGATTCGTCCCCTGCGGCCCCGGCTCGTGGAACCACCGAAGAAGCCATATCCGGCGGGTTCTCCAAGGTTGTTCGGGATCAAGAATCCGACGCAGAAACAGAGGCAGAGGCAGAGGCAGGGGCAGGGGCAGGGGCAGAGGCAGAGGCACAAGAAATGGGGTTGTGAAGTAGAAGAAGCCCGCCGAGAGGATATCTGGGAGTGTACCTTTCGTCCTGACCCTGATTTTGGGCCTCGATCTGGATCTGGGCCTGAGTCTCAATCTCGTCAACGAGGCCCGAAGGTGAATGATCGAGAGAAGAGAAGATCGGATGCTGGAGACCAGGGGAGGACGTCGAATGACCAGGACATTGCGACACTGGACGACGACGACGACCGTGCAAAGAACCATCAGATCGATCAGCATCAACACGGCAATGAACAAGATAGTATGGCCTCAAGCAGGGGCAGGAGGAGTACGAGTATGAGTATAAAAAAGAAAAGGAAAAGAAAAAGAAAAAGAAAAAGAGAATGTACAGACGGAAAAATCGGGTATATTATTTCGCCGGGGGAGGATTTCAAGCTCCTCCGTCGGGCGAGCATTGGCTGTTTCTGGCTCAGTTGGCTAAAAAATGTGCGGCAGGCATGGTCAAGGTCAAGGTCAAGGTCAATCCAGACGACCCGAGAAAGCCGTCTAGGAAAGAAACTGCTTCACCACGATTGGGTGATAGTGACGAGGGTGTGTCTCGACCAGAACCGGCGGGTGACGATATTTCATCTCAAGTCAATGATTATAGTCAACATAGACAAAGACGAGGATCAGATCCAGTGACAGAGCCAGACTCAGAGTCAAAATCAGACCACAGAGATGCACAAGATGTTGATATCGAGATCACTCTAGTGTCACATCCGCTTGCTCCAGCTTCCCCGGCCTCAGAAACTCTCCCGGCTCTGCGCAGATGGCTGAGTCAAATTCTCGACGATGCAGCTGCCCAAGGAGACGCGGTGACATTGATGGGCGATAGTAGTGGCGGCAATCTCGCGCCGAGTCTGGGGTTTTGGGCCGTTGAGAATTACCACGCCACGACTTCCACGGACAACAATCCGGACAGGGTTCGCACACACCAAGCGGAACAGACAGATCAGGATGTCAACTTTCCATTGGCTTCACTGATCTGCATATCTCCTCCGGTGGACATGCGAAATATAAACCCTTGCATTTCCGAATCCAATAAACACGATCCCGTCCTGACCATGGAGTTGACCTCGCGGGTTGCCCGGGACTGGACGGCAGATACCACCCCTTCTTCTCCGTCGACGAAGGCATCGTCAGTCTCAGCTGCGCCTCGCATGTTTGTGCCGTTCTCTGCCGAGGACCCTAGCACTTCGCCGTTGTTGATACCAGTTTCGGCCTTCCATATGTTGAAGCAGAGAGGCGTGGCTAGTCATGGTGTGATAGGCACACATGATGTGCTCGCTCCAGATGCGTTGGAGTTCATGCGACGCTGCGAAAGTCTTGAGGTCGTGGGCCGGTGGCTGGTGTGGGAGGGACATATGCATTGTTTCCCACTCGCGTGTGGATGGAGGAGGCTTGGATTGAGACAAGGACGAGAGGGCAGGGGCTTTGTAGTAAGCCTGCTCAAGGACGACGCGGCAGGCTGCTGAGTGGCGCAGCGGTATTGAGGTTGTTCATCGGTAATCATGGTTCGTTGGCTGCCGAGTGAACGTGGTCCTTCTGAGTGTAGTGTTGTAGTAAGAGAGTCGATTCTCGCAACACTATATCGCTCATCCGCCAGCGGATGCTGTCGTTGCAGGCTCATCAAGCAGACAATTCTCACCAAGCGTAATGATGGCTTCCAGCAGCCTTCTTCTTTCCTCCTCCTGCTCCTTTTCCACCATCAGTTGAAAAAGACCTTTCCTCCTCTTGTTGCCTGACGCTTGACTCGACGAATCCTTTTTCTTCCCTCTCGCGTCCGTCTTCGCATTGTCTAGGTTCTTGCCACCATCGACACTATCCTTGGGCCTTTCGTGAGAGAATCGACAACGGGCGCCAAATTTGCATCGACCATATTTCAGCATGTTTTTACATGGGCGTGATGGAGGAATGGTTCTTTTCGTGGGCGGAAGAGTGGTATGGTCGACAGCTCGAGCGGCTTGTTTCGTGCTCACGACTTCTGGAGCCGAGTCGGAGTCGGAAACTTCGTTGGAGACGGAATCATCCTCTGAGTCGGTGTCTGTTTCTGATGAGCCGGAGGATGATGTGTATTCAGGGTCGCTGAGTCTGGGGCCGACAGAGTCAGCATGAAGTTCGCTTCCCGCAGCCTTGGAGTCTGTAGCGGTATTATCAGAAGGCTGAGGGTTGGTAGCATCTTGATTGCCAGAAGCCTGCGCGTCCGCCATAGCCAGCCGTAATGCTTCCTTCGCTTTGGCCAGCTGGCGTTCGGCTTTGAGTGCTCTCTTTTGAAGCTTCTCTGCTTTCGACTTTGCCAGGGCAGCGGGATCCAGTGTCGTGCCGTTCTCTAATGCTTGCTGCTCCTTCTTTTGCTGCTCCAATTCTCTCTTTTGAACCCTCGCCTTTTCCAGCTCCTTCCGTTCTTGGTCTCTCTGTGCCCATGCCTCCTTTTTCGCATCCAGCCTTGTCTGCTTTTCCTCTTCCCATTTTCGTTTCTTCTCTGCGGCCTCTTTCTTCGCCGCTTCCACTTTGGCCTTTGTTGGATAACGTCTCTTCCTCTCTGCAATCCATGCGGCAATCTCCTCTGGACTGCCAAGTGTGGCAACGCTGCCCCTGTACTCGAACTGCAGGGTTTGTCCGCTCGATTTTATCTGCGCTGCAAGGCGCTCTTCCTCGCCCTCATCATCCTCCGAGTCTGAGGTCTGGTCTACAGAAGCAGGGGTCAAACCAAGCAGATTCTGCTTCCGAGGTTTCGGAGCAGGAGCAGAAGTAGGAGCAATTTCGCCTCTTGTCTCGGGGGTCTCTTTGCGGGGCAGAAGATGCTCGATGGACGCATTAAAGCTCGGGACTGGGGGAGGTGCTACGGGTCGAGGTCGGGTCTGGGTTGCCGTGTTGAATGCAGCGGCATGATCTCTTTTCTGCGGACCGTTCATGAAAGAACCACGACGCGCAGCATTGTCGAACGGTCTTGCTGGAGGTCGCTGGTAACCGCCAGGCGGATTGTAGGCGGCGTTGAACGAGGCATGTTGCCCTCCTCCGTACCCACCGCGCCCGCCTCTGGTGCTGGCTCTGAAAGAATGGCCGCCTCTGAATGAACCTCTGTTATTTTGAAACCCATTGCTTTGTTGAGGTGGTCCTTGGGTGTTTCGCTTTGGAGGCGGTGGTGGAGGTGGAGGGAAGGAGAACGGTTGGGTCGACATATCGAGGATGAAAGCGAACACACGCGTGCATCGCTATTCAACTTAAGGATGTAGATGAATCCGCTTTGTCTGAGGATACGATACGATTGTCATTGCCGATGTCTTTGCAGGTTGTTCGTGAGTGAAACACATACTCCGCAGGGATTTGTTCACCTCCTCTCCAAGAAATTTTGGCTTTAGAAACTTGAACGACGTCAGGGCCGCACCGAAGTTTACTACTCTGTACATGTCTGCTTTAGCGGCGGTGGTTCCCCAGAGGCTCCCTAGGCTAGCGCCTAAACCCTAAATCGTCCATGCCTATAAGAGCTAGACATTAGCTTATGGGCCATCCTGGTAGGCTGGGGCTCCCTAGGGCCTAGGCTGCTGACCCTTGGATGAATGGGGTTCTTCAGGCTCTTCAGGCGCCGGACTTTTTCCTGCTTCGCTGCTTACCTTAAGCAGATCCACCGTAAATCTTCACTTGGGATTCTATTCCGAATCTTTTGTATCAAAGCGACCATCCTCTCACAAACTCAATATATCGTGCCAACGGGCTCTGAAACGGCATAGTATCATGCGTATACCATTGTTGCCAGCGTCAACTCCTCAAACCCCACAAATTGGATAACACCATGTTCATACTTGTATGGCTTTTTCTCGTTTGTCTTGCCTCGTTACTGACCTGGTAGTCTACTTTCGAGGATCTTGTTCAGATTCCCCCATATGGATTTCTCAACAACCAGATAACCAGACAGGATCTTGAGGACAGGATCAATGAGAAGTACTCCAACAAGGTCCGCACTTAGGTCGACATGCTGGTCTGGAGCATATCTGATAGCGATCACAGGTTGTGCAGAAGATCGGACTCTGTATTTGCATGTACGACCTCCTCAAGGCTTCAGATGGCTTGATCGGGAATGGCACAGGCAATGCCAACGTCAATGGTATGATGGATAGGTCCAACGAGGTTGCGGCTGAATATGCTCACGCGCTGCAGTTCGGTTTCGAATGATTGTCTTCCGGCCGTTCAAGGGCGAGATCATTACCGGTACTGTGCAGAAGTGCACGCCTACAGGCATTCAAAGTGAGCAAGACTATCATTCTTCACGGAGTCAGTCTAACATCAAGCGGTTACTACGCGATTCTTCGAAGATATCTTCGTACCCCAAACCATGCTTTTCGAGGGCTGTGTTTTGTGAGTACAGTCTATAAAGCCTCAATGGTAGTCAATACGGCGGGCGTATACTGATACATCAATAGCGACGAGGGCGAGCAGACATGGGTGTGGAAGACAGAAGAATCCGAGCTCTGGTTTGATCAAGGGACTGTTGTCAATCTCCGGGTCGAGGCAGAGAAATGGCATGATCAAGCGCCGAAAGGGCCCAGCGCGAATGGCGAGGCTGAAAAGCAGACGGAGCGCAAGGTCCCTTATGCTATTGAGGTATGGGTTGGCATGTCTCATCGGTTGGGGAGTATTCTAACCTTGACAGGCTTCGATGGCTGAGGCCGGACTGGGAGGTGTCGAATGGTGGTGAAAGTGTCTTCAGGAAGCCAGACAGGATAAAAGTCTGCCTCACAATACCCTCTTACACGCCCAGCAGCCAACTTTTCCTGCGCTGCCTGAACTGCTACGAATCCCACCGTGACCTGCCAGTCCTTCGGTCCCACGAGACCACGGCTTTACGCAGCACACGGCTCCGACCTGGTCTATCCGGTGGCCAGGCACTACGATCATGGCAGGAAAGCAAATCGTTCGCTGCAGGAAGGCCCGTTCTAGTATGCTGACGGCTGGAGATTGCAAGGCTGCAAGAGAGGCCGAACAGAGGAACAGAGGGTCAACATCAGATCGAGGACGATGGACGTGGAGGCTTGTGGTAGTGCGTACGACTGCTGAACATCTCGAGGTGAAGAGCCACAGCAAGATTTCGGGTATCATTCAACACCAGCATGCGTTGTGCCATGCAGTGAGCAACAAACTGCGCCCCTTGGATGCGCGCAGAACCTTTACAAAATGCAAATACAAGTCAAGGAAACAATGAGAAAATAGAACTCTCCCTTCAATTGAAGCCAATCAGGGCGGCAGACGTTTTCCGTAGTGACAAAGAGAGATAGAGAGAGAGAGAGATGCCTGACACTGAAGGCATCTTAGAAAGCACGTCATTATTGCTGTTTCATGGTTTCACTTCCATCGCCATACCATCAGATTCTTTTTCAGATGGATTGGTAACAGACTCCTACTGGTGTTGCTCATCACGAACCCTAGAATCCCTCATAATATCTTCTGGATCAGCTCCGGTCTTGCGTCGTCTTCGTCCTTTCTTGTATTATTCCCGTAAGCCCCGGTGCCGTTCCGCCATCACAGATCTCACGAACACTCGACCGCTCTCGTACTATTGCTCAGCGCTGCTATCCTCCTCTAGATACTCTACTCAGCATGACTGTATCAAGTCCTCATTCCCCGCGGCCTCTACGCCCGAACGAGCGCATCCTGACCAACGAAGACGGCGGCATCGACACCCCTGCCCGCGCTCCGTCTCCAGTCCACAAGTTTGGCACGCTCGCCGTCCACGCAGGATCACCTCATGATCCCACAACGGGCGCAGTCATCGAACCTATCTCCTTGTCCACTACATTCGCTCAAACCGCTGTCGGCAAGCCGATCGGACAGTACGAGTACAGCCGCAGTTCGAACCCGAACCGCGACAACTTTGAAGATGCGGTCGCTGCGCTCGAACATGCCCGATACGCCCTGGCATTCGCTTCAGGCTCCGCGACGACCGCGACGATCCTCCAGTCCTTGGCCGCTGGCTCACATGTGATTTCCGTGTCGGACGTCTATGGCGGAACCCATCGATACTTTACAAAAGTCGCCCTTGCGCACGGAGTCGAAGTGACTTTCTCCCCCTCAATAGAGCTGGACGTTGAAGAGTTGATTCGGGAACAAACAAAACTCATTTGGATTGAAAGCCCGTCAAACCCGACCTTGAGTCTGGTTGATATTCGAAACGTGGCTACCGTTGCCCATCGGCATGGCATCTTGGTGGTCGTCGACAACACATTCCTGTCCCCATACGTGCAGAATCCTCTTGATCATGGCGCCGACATCGTGGTCCACTCCGTGACAAAATACATCAACGGGCACTCCGATGTGGTGATGGGCGTTGCGGCGTTCAACTCGGACGAGCTCAAAGAACGATTGTCGTTCTTACAGAACGCAATCGGAGCGGTTCCTTCTCCATTCGACTGCTGGCTCGCCCATCGCGGTCTGAAAACACTGCATCTCCGCGCTCGCGAGGCAAGCAAGAACGCCCTTACTGTTGCCAAAGCTCTCGAAGCGTCACCTCATGTCATTGCGGTCAACTATCCTGGTCTCGACTCCCATAAGCAGAGGGCCATTGCCATCAAACAACACCGAGAGGGACTAGGCGGCGGTATGCTCAGTTTCAGACTAAAGGGCGGACACGCTGCTGCTGAACGGTTCTGCCAGCAAACCAGGATCTTCACTCTGGCAGAAAGTCTAGGCGGTGTTGAAAGTCTCTGCGAGGTCCCCAGTGCGATGACCCATGCTGGCATTCCCAAGGAACAGCGCGAGGCTATTGGAGTCTTCGATGATCTTGTCAGATTGAGTTGCGGTGTTGAGGACGCCGACGACTTAAAGAAGGACGTGCTGCAGGCTCTGGAGAAGGCTGTGGTTGGACCAAAGATCTCCAATGGTGTCAACGCTGCCAATGGACCATTGCCGAAGAGATAGAGCAATGGAATGAATGCTGAGGTTGGACAGACGCAATCTCTCTACCCGTCTTCCCGGCTCCTGATTCATCCTCGCCCTGCCTTACACAGTTGAAGAAAGATCTGTCGTTTTCTAGACTGCGACTTACGAGACGTTTGGAAGCCATCCTCATCAGAGATGTCTAGAGGAAGGCTTCTTGTCGCCCCTTTCGCGCTCCGCCTTGAAAGCGCGGATCTCAGAGAACGGTACATCCTCCCCAGCCTTCAACCGCCATCTGACCCAGAATCTCGTCCCAACGGCACAGGTCCAGAATATCTGGGTCCATTTGAGATGGACCACTGCAAGGAAAAGCTCGGTCCAGCTTCATACGTTCTCCTCGTCCCCTATAGAAGGCGAACCGGGAAGTAATGTGCCCCGCGACATCCTCAGCGATTCGCAGCTAGACTGCTTGCTAGGGCTGACGACGTACGGTCTCTGGGTGACGGCCACATCCGACAATGTCCGAGGCATTAGAGGTCGGGATCACTCAAGTACGGCCGTCCATCCCATATACAGGACTTCAGGACGCTGGTCAGGAATTGCATGCACCGATAACGCCATCATCTCGCTGTCAAATAGAAAGAGAATCTGAAGCTGGAATGGATAGGCGACGGATATCTGCTTTTCAGGGCATTACATCTCTGGGCGGAAGCGGAAGACGAATAAGGGATAATGCAGACAGAAAGGGCGTTGGGCTATAGTTCTTGTTACTGGCCAATATTGTCATAATACACGCTGTAGAAATGTCTTCGAACTAAAATAGATCAATCTATAACAAAGGGGGGTATCTTTAAACGTTCCAGTAAAAACTGATATGACTCTGCCCGTCAACCTCCGCAAGCTTCATGGTCAAACCTGTGCTGACTTACTCACGCACATTTCTTACGGGTTGTTCGTGGCCGAGTGATGAATGTCCAGTGTGCATGAGCCACCACAGGCGGTACTATAACTCATCCAGCATCCTCAATCTAGGATCTTCGGTCCTTTGATCACCAGACCCGGCCCTATCCCACGAGAGGAAAGACGGCAATGGGAAAGGAAGGGAGAACGGCATTGTCTTTCCGCTTTTTGTCGACCCTGTCAATCCGTGTGCGGTCTTCACGCACTCCTCGGCCTCGGGGCACCCGCGAACAATCTCTTTCGGCACAGCAGGAAGCACGAGCTTGCAGCGGCGGTTCTTCTCCACGATATCGAGCAAAAGCCGCCTCACATCCTCGGGCACTTTGGGAGGGCTTTCCTTTCCATCCGGGTCCGGCTCCAGTAAAAGCCTCTGATTTCGCGCCGCAACGGAGTCCGGACCATTCCCACCGAGGCGTAGCGAGCGGTTCCAACTGCCTTCGCTGTGTGCGTGCAGGCCGGCTTTGACGGGGTCTCCGCGAAACCACCACTCCCTGCCCAGCACCAGGGCGACCACGAGGACGACGACAGTGATGGACGTCCACCAAACGACGCCAAACACGCGGCCCCAGACCTTCTTGACCTGGTCTTCGCGCTTTTCCCAGTTCTGCACGATGAGCCGGGCATTCTCGAGCCGGGCACTCAGGTCCTCGGCCTTGGCGCCGGCTCTTTGGCCGCGCTCGACGAGGGCCTGGGCTTTCTGGTCTCGAGTCTCGAAATCGGTCTTGAATCTCTCGACTCGCTCCCTCGTGTCCGCGTCAAGTCGGTGCGTTTCCTTGTCGAAGTTCACAGTGAGCTGCTCGCTCTGCTTGCTGAGGGCTTGGAAGCTGGTGATGATGGCGACCAGGCTGCCCACCGTCTCGAGGAGATTGTAGTAGCCGTAGTCCAGCCGGCGGGTGATCTCGACGCCTTTGGCCGTGATGCTGGCAACGCGTGCGCGCATTTCTTCCTCCGCCGCTGCGATCTCCGCGTCTCGCTTCAGAATGTCCGCCTTCTTCACGTGTAGGCGGCGGGCGATGCGTAACTCGTCGCCACGCTCGAGGGCCATTTCGAACGACGTCTTGGGTCGGGGAGTAGGCCGGCTTGGGTCAGAGGCTGCCCGCTGCTGCGGGTCGTAGCGTCCTCCTTCGTTGTAGTCATTGCTGGTGGTCCCGGAAGGGCCAAAGGCTTGTTGCTGTTGTTGCTGCTGCTGCTGCTGCTGTTGCGGTTGTTGTTGCGGTTGTTGTCCTGGCCGGGAGGCGGAGGGCCCTTGCAGACGCTTTTCTCGTTCCGCATTCAATCCCGCCACGAGATGAGGTAGATTGGACATTGCCTCTTTCGATTGTTGACGCTGGGTCAGCTTTGGCCGTGCCTGTACGTCGCTCTGTGTTGGCCGGTGGTGCTTGTGCGATGGCGCTTCATCGTGTTGGTTCAATGGCGATCGAGAGTGGGAGTAGGAGTGGCGTTGGCTGTGTCGGTGCGATGAGCCCGGCAGATGGATGCGTGGGAGTTTCTCTGCGGTCTTTTCGAGGGCGCTCGCTGCGGGGAGCGTCACTGCGCTTCGAGGCTTCGGGTCTGCCGGCGAGAGAAAGGATTTCGAGCGCACATGACTCGGCCTATTCCCTGCGACACTGGCTCCCACGCTCTGAGGCTCCGTCATCGAGACGCCGGGCCGGCTCGGATCAGTAGACGAGCGTGTGCGGGAGGGCGTCGGCCGCCGTTGGGCGTCCATGGTAGGACAGGACGATTGCACTCGAAGGTGCACACGGGCCCATGAGGGTCAACTTAGGAGTGTGGTCGTGGCCGCTATTCAATTCTCGTGATCGAGAAGCAACTTCTGTCGTCAATACAGGGTAGACCGTTTCATGATGCTGCTTGTGGTACAGAGTACACTGCAGTCCAAGTCCCTCATATGACGCCCTCGTCAGGAGAGGTCGGAGCCAATCATGACGACTGCGGAAAAATCATCCCCGGAAGGCTGTCACGTGGTCATATTTCGCGCGCAAGGCTGAAGATTGCTTACTACGTGTTATTGAGAGAACGATGGAGTAAGTTTGGAACAGCAATCTCATGGCGATATACTGGAGCGCGCCTACAGGATGTGGGCTCTGAGAAGAGTTACTTATTCCCAGGATGGATTCAAAGCTTGTATTACTCAATTTCTGCATAGGGGGGTCGTGCTGTCATGTTCAGTCATCCTGCTTCCATCCGCTCACGCAACAGCTGCTCTTCTGTCTGTCCGCTGAAGGTGAATTCGGATCCAATGCCCCAGCTGGCACTCAGTGACAAACAAACGCCACTGTCAGGATGCCTGATCCATCAGTTCAAAGACAACTTGCGCAATCTTGCTCGACTCAATCATATCAATCTCTGGCTCATGGCTTGTTTAGTACTCAGCACCATCGTCTTCGATTTCCAGGCTGTCGCTTGCAACTTCCTCATAATCCTTTTCCAGTGCAGCAAGGTCTTCTCTGGCCTCGGAAAATTCACCCTCCTCCATACCCTCACCAACATACCAGTGGACAAAGGCGCGTTTGGAGTACATGAGATCAAACTTGTGGTCAAGTCGGCTCCAAGCCTCGGCAATTGCGGTAGTGTTGGAGAGCATGCTGACGGATCGGTCGACTTTGGCGAGTTCTCCTCCTGGAACAGGCATAGCTAGAATCGGGGTCAGCATGGTAATCAGGAGATAGTCGGTCATAGAAGCTTACGTGGTTGATAGTTGATTCCAACCTTGAAACCAGTAGGACACCAGTCAACCAAGTGGAAGCTGGATTTGGCTTTCAGAGAAGCAATAGCGGCGTTTGCGTCGCGAGGGACGACGTCACCACGGTAGAGAAGTGCGACAGCCATGTATTTGCCATTGTGGGGATTACAGACGACCATCTGGTTATGAGGCTCGAAGCATTGCAGTGTCAGGTCTTGGGTCTTGAAGCTTTCATGGGAAGAGCGCTTTGTAGAAACAACCGGGGCATAGCTGATCAAAGGATAGTGAATACGAGGATACGGGACCAAGTTCGTCTGGAATTCGTTCAAGTCGACATTCAATGCCCCGTCGAAGCGCAGAGAGGATGTGACGGAGGAAACGACCTGGGCAATCAGGCGGTTCAAGTGCTCATAGTCCGGTCGAGGGATATCCAGGTTCCGGCGACAGATGTCGTAGACAGCTTCGTTGTCCACCAGGAATGTACAGTCAGCGTGTTCGATGGTGCTGTGCGTCGACAGGACAGCATTGTAGGGTTCGACAACAGACGACGACACCTGCGGAGCAGGGTAGACGGCAAACTCCAACTTGGACTTCTTGCCATAGTCAACGGAAAGTCGCTCGAGGAGGAGAGCGCCAAAGCCAGAGCCAGTACCACCACCGAAAGAGTGGAAAATCAAAAAGCCCTGCAATGATGAGCAGTTGTCTGTTACTCAGGGTCAGTCACTCCTCTCGGTCCTCAACAGCAGCGCGGTCCCGTACCTGCCACGCGGCGGATCTTATCTAGAACGTCGTCAACCAGCTCCTTTCCGACGGTGTAATGACCTCGGGCATAGTTGTTCGCCGCGTCTTCTTTGCCACTGATCAACAATTCAGGATGGAAAAGTTGTCTGTATTTGCCAGTTCGGATTTCGTCGATTGGGGAGGGGTCGAGGTCGACGAAGATGGAACGAGGGACATGCTTGTTGCCGCTTGTTTCCGTGAAGAAGGTCTCGAATGATCCGGGATCACCGACATTGGCTTCAGGGTCAGGGCGACCATCAGCCTTCAGGCCGTGCTCGAGAAGATACCTGTAGGGAAGATTAGCAATCGAGATGGGAAATGGCGGTGGGCGATGTCAACAACTCACAATTCCCAGGCAGCATTGCCGAGCTGGGTGCCAGCCTGCCCGATATGCAGGTGGCAGACCTATTGTAGAAGTCAGCATGCCATGAAGACAGTTGTGAGATGGCCACAGCGCCGTAGGGTCATTTGTTGACTCCCTCAGGAGGGGCATGACACGAAAACCATAAACAACTTACTTCCCCACGCATCTTGATGCTTTTTGCTGTTTGAAGAGCTGATTCTGCGGTTTCGGGTCAAGTTGCGCTGAGGCAGACAGGTTCTGGAGCAGCCAAGGGAGGTGTTGATGTGTAGGATGCGAACGTGACAGAAGATGAAAGACTTGGAACCTGTGCAGGACAGAAGCAGGGGGTGAGTTGTGTGCTGAAGTTGGAGTTGTTTTCAAGTTTGGGCTGTTATGCTGCGATTGGCGCGTGGTCGAGAGCAGCCAAAACACACGCCAAGCCTGCGCTTTCAGGGGACCCGTGACTCGGAGTTCGAGAGGGACTCTGACTTCCATGTTGAGAGTTAACTGCGCGAAAACAACACGCGCACTCCATGGTACAACTTGCCTAGTATTTGTCCTTGTATACTAGTACCTCTAGTACTAGTACCTCAATGTGCAAGGTATACTCCGTACCTGCAGCCTTCTGCATCTCAGAATGTTTATTTGACACTCAAATATCCCTTCAGGTACTCCAATGCGACTAGGCACCGGGATGCGGCCTTGAGCCCTGAATGCCGTTGTCTCTTGCTATGGCCATATCAATTCCGAGATACTTCGCTGGAATGCAGGTATCTGAGGGGATGAACGAATGCTATCGGGCTCCTGTTCGGTCCTTATTTGTTGTAGAGGCGTGATTGTTCCCTGACAATTTTGCATTTGCAGCAAGGCGATCCTCGTCACTCACGACGCGAAGTGTTTGTTCAACCCACCTTACGCACGGAACCTGGAGCTGCCGCTGCACCTCATTCACCTACAGGAGTAAAACCAACGTGTTTTGCAGAGACCAAAATCCACGAATGTCAAGAGTGACACCATACCACAATGCAGTGGTCCTGACCAGCATCTGCCCAAGGCCTATATGCCCAATATTTGCACCTCGCTCTCTGGTATGCTATCGACCTCTGCTCCTGTCTGCCTGAGGAAGACCGACTGCACGCACAAACTACGCCGTGCCGGACAGCTATAGTTGTCGGTAAGCTCCTGCACGGCCATAACCCCGTGGAAGGAGCCACTACAGAGATCATGGGACAAGAGGAGGGCGAGAAGGAAAGCACATGAAAGTGATACCTCTCGCTAATGCTTGGTGTTCTTAACGGACCGTTGTGTCGCTGATTGACACAATACCCTGGCGCGCGCCACAGCCGGTCAAGACATGCCAGTCGACAGCGGCGGTGTTTCAAGCCGAAGTTGACACCCTTAACGTGCGAGCAGGAGAGACGATCCTCAGGGCAAATCACTCACTCAATCAATCAAATAATCAAAAGATGCCGTCTCCCTAGATAGCACACCTTGGATGTGCACAAGCATTCCGACCAGGATCATATCCGCTTCCGAAAGTCAAAAACATGCAAGCTCAGTTTTCGCTATACTGTATCTCTCGGAATCATGTGCACGACGTTGCAATTCAGATACATGATTGTTTCTCTCTTCAGTACACTAGTAGCCGAGATCACATTGCATGGGGCATGTCGTCAATACTGGCCAGCAACAACGGGATATTGAAAACTCGGCTTCAGGGGACTTCAAACGCAATGTTGTTGGGGCGCTGGCTACGCGATGCTGGCTTACTGCACGTCATCTGCATAAGGGAACTTGAGATTGAGAGGTACGATGATGAACATGTCCTGCGCAGAGATAGCTACCTAGCTCTAGGTATCTACCTACGTAGATGTCTCTGCTGAAAGAATATCTTGATCAGCGATGATGCAAGAGAGGAGTTGTCCCACTTGGACTCGATCGAATGGAGCAAATCTGCGAACACTGCCTCATTCCCCGCTGGTGGAGGTTGTAGCGGAGGTATGTCCGTGTATGTGCAGGATGAGAGGTTGTTCTGAAACAACGGCCCGGCCAAAACTTGATACGCCCAGCTGGTAGGGACCTACACAAATCTCGCAGCGGTAGCAGAGAAAAGGGAGTTCCGGCTACGTAGCAGGCCCACCAGGGGCAGTTACAGGGTAGAAGTTAGAAGATATAGCACACAGAACACGGCAGAGCGCACGGGCGGCGCCTCTGGGGCTGCTCAGCCTGAGGACTTGTTACTGGCCGGCCTACGGAGGTTTAGGGGCCTTAGGGGCCCCGAGGGTTAAGTGTGGGCCTAAAGATCCTTAGGAGCATCTCTTTACCCTTTACAGGTTATGCCTATCGAAGATTTCGGGGCTTGGAAGGTCCCCTTTACCCACCCTTAGCAAGGCTTTAGGCCGCAAACAAACCTTGGCTCATTCCCCACCGTTGATTGAACACGATACAGAGAGGTCTCAACCCAGTTAGCAAACCAAACTTTCCCTGTCATCGGCCAAAAATGCATACAACATCCCTGAAATCGTCATACCCTGGTAGGAGTTAACGAGCGCGAATCACTCCTCAACACGCGCCCCAAATCGTGTGGAGGTGGAACGGAGGATCCAGCAAAAATACTTATGAGCCGCTCCAGATGCAGCAACCAGCAGCGCTTCGGTGTCAGACCTTCTCACACCTCGTTCCTTTCAGCACACGACTAGCATACATGTCTTTGTCATCTCTCACGTCGTCCTCGCCCTCATCCTCTTTGTTTGCAGAGTCCTGTCCTGCTGGACTCAACTCGTTGTCATAATAGGCCTTTCCCATTATCTAGCGACTTCATTTCCACCGTGCCTATTCAGCAGTCAACATTCTTTGAAAGGCTTACACTGTCGCTTTTGCCATCCTAGAGCTGCTGGCTGGCTCTAAAGGCACACAATTCCACTTCGAGATCGGTCTCTAGAAGAGAACGTCTCCGCCTTCCACGTTGCCCTCGTTTCGTCTCGATCGAACCGGCAATGACCACTCCAACTCAGGAACTGCCTCGTTTGGAGATCGCTCCCCCGTCTCACCGATCCTCCGACGACGACAGCACTGCTGTTGGCCAGGATAGACAAGATGGAAGCGTGGACAGCAAGCTACTACACCAGCGCTTGATGGTTGAGACAAGTCGGGATCCCAATATGCACTTCGAGGATTCCAGACCATCTCCATCTCAAACAAGGGAAGAGGCCTACCGTCTGGACGATGAGATCCTGCTACAAAAGGCCGAGAGGCTTACGTCTATGGAGTCTCGGCCATCAGACGCAGGACGGGACTCTACAAACCTACATCGAACGCGCTCCAGAGTACCAGAACCACTGGACGAATTCGATACCGCCACAAATCCTATCCACGAACGTACTGCCATATACAAGCCACCGGAGAATCCTAGCACCAAGGTTGCGAGATTCTTCAAATACATCCACCAGTCTAGTTTTGTGATTCGCTATTTCACCTACATTGTTCCTGTCACAGTTCTCTTGTTGATCCCTGTGTTGATGGGAGCTCTACTACCGGCAGGGAAACGCGCAAGTGTTGGAGGGGTGGAGCTGCTCTGGTTCGGTGTCTGGCTCGAAATCATCTGGCTGACGCTGTGGGCTGGTCGAATCTCCGCCAGACTGATCCCCTATCCTCTTGGGCTTATCGCCAGCCTGTTCACCAATAATGCTAAAAAGTGGCGAGACTTGGGCAAGGCGCTTGAGATCCCGGCCACTCTCTTCTTCTGGTGGCTTGGTATTGAGATTTCGTTCTTGCCTACAATGACAAATCACCACATCAATGGCAATCGACACACGCAGCATTGGGAAGTGGTTCTCAACAAGGTCATCGTTTCGGTCTTCGTGGGCATGACTCTGAACTTTATTGAAAAAATCATCATCCAGCTGATCGCGATTTCGTTCCACCTACGAACTTATGCCGACCGTATCGAGATCAACAAGTTCCAGATTGGCAGTCTTACGAAATTGTACATCTTCTCGAAGGCTCAAATCGCTATGGAAGACACAGAGTTCGAGGAAAAACCAACAGGACCAGGGTCGGGTGCCCGAACGCCTGCCAAATACGCAGCTCAAGCTCAGCATGTCATCAACAAAGCTTTCGCGAAAGTGGGTGATGTGGCCGGAACAGTTGCGGGCGACTTCACGGGCAAGAGTATCGCCAAAAGTGGCCATCCGTCACAAGTGGTCTTGACCCTTCTCAATACCACAACTGGCTCTCAAGTGCTGGCGCGCCGTCTATATCGGACATTTGTCCGTGAAGGAAGCGAGACAGTCGCGTCAGACGACTTGAAAGCGGCGTTTGACAACGACGATGAAGCCGATGCAGCCTTCAGCATGTTTGACAAGGACATGAATGGCGACATCTCGATGGAAGAGCTTGAGGCTGTGTGTGTGGAAATTGGCCGAGAACGGAAATCGATCACCGCCTCTCTCAAAGATTTGGATTCTGTGGTCAGCAAGTTGGATAATGTTTTATTCTTCATCGTCGCCGTCATCACCATCCTCGTCCTAATCTCTCTCATATCGACTTCGGCGGCTGGCGTTCTCACCTCTGCTGGCTCGGCTGTTCTAGCCCTGTCGTGGTTGTTTTCCGCCACCGCGCAGGAATTCCTCCAATCTTGCATCTTTGTCTTCGTCAAGCATCCTTTTGATGTAGGAGATCGAGTTAGTATCTACGGCAACACCGGTGCTTCACTCCAAGGTGACGATTATTTTGTCAAGGAAATATCTCTTCTTTTCACGGAGTTCAAGAAGATGGAAGGACATGTTGTGCAGGCACCCAACTCCTACCTCAACACGCTTTTCATCCTCAACATGCGGCGCACAGGTGGACTCGCCGAAGCGGTGCCGATTGTGATCAGATTTGGCACGACTCTTGAACAGATTGAAGGCTTGCGCAACGCACTTCTCGAATTCGTCAGGTCAGAAAAGCGTGAGTACCAGGGCAACATCTTGACCGAACTCCGTGAGGTTCACGAAGCATACTCGTTGACATTGAACGTGGTCTTCTTCTACAAATCCAACTGGCAAAACGAGTTGCTTCGTCTGCAGCGAAGAAACAAATTCATCTGCGCCTTGATGGTATCGATGCAAGATCTTGGTATCGAAGGGCCCCGCCGCAATCAAGCTGGTTGGAGGCCAGATGTACCATATTTCATGCAATTGCCTCCAGGTGCTCCGCCTCTGGTTCAGCTGGGTAATGCGGCTGGTCCGGATGGCGGCGCACCAGGCGGGAGCATGACCGGCGGAGCAATCCACCAGACACCCATCAGCGGAACCTCCTTGGATCACCCCTCGATCTTGCGACGTCGACCCAGCACCGGCCAGCTTGGACGTCCTCGGGGCGAGTCTCTGTCCAGTCTAGCGAAGCGAGTCGATTTCTCGCTCGGAATGAAGGATGTCAGCTCTGGAGAGCAGTTATCTGACGTGTATGAAGATCGACGACGTCCGGAATTTGATGAGGTGATCCGGCAAACAAACCGGATCGAGGAAGAACGACGAGTTGCGGAGTCTCAAGATCGCGAGAGCACTGGAAGATCTACGTCTCGTGATCAGCAGCCCCATACGATGAGTGGAATCTTGAGGAGATCGACTACACAAAGCGTCGCTGGCAGTCAGCGGACCGCTTCAGTGGCGACCCATCGAGCTTCGATCAGCAGTCAAGAGACGCACCGGAATCGATTCCTGCAGCGGTTCAATCGTACAGGACGAAGCATCGATCTCCCCCGCGACTCCCTAGCCGAGGAAGGTCATGCCCCTCCACTTTCGCCCATTGACGCAAGGTCTGGTCATGTCAGCTCTCAGGCTGTGCGCATGAATTCTGCTCTTTCTGGTCCGACCGAACCTTTTCCTGCCGTGGCTCCAGCATCCACGCACGCCGAGGACTTTGAAGCTCGCAGGACTGGGCAGAATGGCGCTTGAGTAAGGGTGTACGTTTTGTTATCGCGGCCATCTTGTTCATGCTACAGCAATCGTCGCTTAGATGAGCTTGACTCGGGTTCTCCTTTCGAATCTTCAGGCCAAGTTTTGCTGGACAAAATGAGCATTTGCGTGGCTCATCTGGGCTTATTGTGTTTGATATCTAGGGATCGGTCCGACGTTTAGCGAACCTTTGTATTCTATTTGCTCGACAGCAAAGTTACGATCACAGAAGATAGAAGTTATGAAAGCGTGTTGGCTATTTCAATGCCACTGTGAAGAATAGACTGTCCAAATACCAGACTTGATATTGAATTTGATTGGAAGGCCTGGTCTGTTATTTTCCGATTGGACAAATATCAACTTATATCATGGATATTGGCGCTATGCTCGATCGGATGAAACGTGTTGTCCCATATCTCCGCTTGCTCTTCAAGTCCAAATCTCAAGTTCTTATTGGCGACCCCTGGGTCCTGGCTCAACGTGATAGAGAGCAGCTGTGAGCTGTCCAGGTGGCGGCGCATCCGTGGCATAGTCTCTGGACTGACTTGGTGTTATTCTCCTGCCACAATGCCGCCCTGGCGGGTGTTGTCTTGAGTTTGAGCGTTGTCGATGCTAGCTACTCCGCCGGCGTATAAGCACGGTGTGTTTGGTCCTGGCTATGGACATCGCTGTCCGCCTACCTGGTATGCCACCAATGACTTCTTGTTCAACCATGAAAGCATCCCATCTCCTTAACCTGTGATCTTTGCCCAACTTTAAAGTGTGAAAAACGACGGAGTTCTGGACGGGGCGGATCGTGCTTGCCATCATGTCATCGAAGTATTATCAGCTAATGTGTTTGCAGTCATGGAGGCGCTCAGGGGCACAGAATACCCAGGTAGGCTCGCTCGGTGGCAAAAGGGTTATGTTGCAATGGTCGTGGCATCAAGGTGCTGGAGAGCACTATTGCTCCGCTCCCCTGTGTATGGGTAATGAACGTTTGTCAGCGCAGTCTGCAAGGAGATTCGGGAGAGATTCGGGAAGGACAGTGGACAAATGAAGATGTTATGATGCAGCTCCAGAGGATCGATACCGCTATCAAAGCTGCTACACTTACCGCACAAAACAGACTTGCCCGCGGGTAGTCCAAATCAGTCAATGGTCACTGATGCCTCAGCCATGGCTCTTGAGCTGCTGGACAGAAGTCACCGTTGCTTGTTTCGGCCAAGGGAAGAGCGTGGTGCTCGACACTGTACACAGTGAAGATAGATGGGGTGCCTGTGAGCCAAAGCACTGAATGGCAGAGTGAGTGACAGATATGGCCGGTGAAGCCACGATGCGCAGTTGTCTGCTTGCTATAAATCTCTCCCTGTTTCTCTCCATCTTCACCTCTCTTGCTGGCACCCAACCCTCCCACTTTCTCTACCTACTCTTCAGCATTGTCCTTGGTCCATAGACCTCTTCCTCCTTTATCGAGACTTTCTTTCACAACAGCAACAGTGCTCTCCTTTTGCTGCATTCGTTTTGTGTGTGTGTTTCGATCCGCAACTGCTGCTCAGCGGCTCGCTCTGCATGATGACGGCTGCGATGAAAGGTATGATGCCTGCGCCTGCGTGCTTTCAAGTTGGTTTGCGCAGGAGACTGACCCGTCTTTCAGACTGGCCTCCGGGCGCTGTCTCCTACCTCGTCGTCATTCTGTGCCTACTCACAAGTTTCATTAACGCTGGTCCTGTTCACAAGAGCCTCACTTCAGTTGTCTCCAGTCTGCCATCAACCGCCTCTTTCCATACAGGATACCCTGTGCCAACTCTCATCGCTGAGCCCGCTGGTCCACTCAAGAATATCTTGCTCAAGTCTCCAGAACTCATCGCTGAACGTGACCTAGACGGTTTGGCTGATCTCGCACCGGACCTTTCCCAGAGAGACTCAGACGAAGGACTACATGATTACGCTTTGGTCTGCGACAACAAGAAAGCGACAGACATCTGTGCTAAGGCTCCTCTGAGCTATAGCTGCAACTCCAATGGCAAAGTCACTTTCACGGACCCCGAACTGTTCTGCTCTGTGGCTTGCGAATGTATCAATCTCAAACCAGCTCAACGCTGCATCATCCAGCCGCAGGTGGTCACTTGTGTCACCAGGAATGGCGTCGTCTACAAGGACGATGGTCAGAAGATCGGACTTGTAACTGAAGCTTTGGTTCATGCCAATGGTACGCTGGACTTCTCTCACGCCCTGTCCAAGCGAGATGACGGCGTGGTACATAATTTTGCCCTGGTATGCAAGGACAAGTCCAGCACCTCGCTCTGCTCGAAGAAGCCCTTTGAGTACTACTGCAAAGACTCCGGCGCAGTCGCGAGGAAAGGCAAGTATGTGAAATTCTGCGGCTACGCTTGCGAATGTGTCAACCTCGCTCCACGCCGTTGCGTTGACCGACTTTTTGAGGTCGCATGCAAAGTCCTGGGCGGCCTTGCTCTTGCGGGTAATGGTACTGTTCTTGGCCGCGTCGAAGATGCCCAAGTTTTCCCTAATGGTACCTTGGACTTCTCTCACGCGAGTGCTAAGCAGGAAACGAGCAAAGTTCCTGACCCGGTAGGCAACGCCCTCGAGTCCGTTCCTGCAACTGCAAAGCGTGATTCTTTAGCGGCGGCACACTCTTATGCACTGGTCTGTGGGCAGAACCAGGCCTGGACCAACCTTTGCCTGAAGCACGCTTATGGATACTATTGCACCTCGAATGGTGCGTTGCGCAATTCTGGCAAAGAAGTCACGCTCTGCGAGCAGACCTGTGAATGCGTTGACTTGAATCCGAAGCCTAAGTGCATACTCAGCCCGTTCCTCGGTGTCACTTGTTCTGTCAATGGCGATATGGTATACGATGATGAGGGCCAGCCTCTTGGTAACGTTTCAGACGCCGTGGTTCATCCCAATGGCACCATTGATTTCACCGCTTCAACAATCGTCACCAGAGAAGCAGACGACACCTCTGACAATTGGGCCCTGTTATGTTACAATCCGCATCATACTCGGACTTGCCATGGCTCGTCTTTCGGTTACTCCTGCGCCAACCAGAACATGACTTTCACGAGCCATGATTCAGTCTGTAGTGAGATCTGCCAATGTTCAAACATCAAGTCAATGTACCGATGCATCACCCGAAGCAGCAAACATACCGGCTGCCATATTGACGATAACAATGCTTACGAGGTCAATGGACCACTCATTGGAGATGTTCTTGGGCGCCTTGCTGATGCAATCATCCATCCGGATGCCACCATCGACTTTTCTGGAAACAATGGCGCTACAAATGCTCCAAAGATCCCATCGGACACGATCGTCCAGGACGTGGAGATCGAGGATATTTCCCCAGCACTGCCAAAGCGAGACGAGGATGTCAGCATGGACCATTGGGTTCTCTGGTGCTCGAACCGACAGCATACCTTGACCTGCGGGTCGGCGCCGATCAGTTACCGCTGCCATCAAGCTCTTATTGTACACGATCATGACGAAGCCGATTGGGTCTGCGATAAGATCTGCCACTGCATCGATCAATATCCAACCCAGCAATGCATTCCTACCAAAGGCTATGTCGCTCTTTGTCCCATGCAGGGCAACGTCGTTCTCCATCCCAACGGAACAATCCTCGGCAATCTGTCAGATGCCTACATCCATCCAAATGGCACATTGGACTTCACTCGGCTTCCAGCGAAGCACGATGTCTCACCACGCCTCTTGGGGCTTCTGCATATGCACTGCGTGACAGCTGGTGGACACCAAGACGATTTGTTGACCCAACACTGCAGTGAACACGGGTATTCGTGCGTCGCGGATCCAGAAGGTCTCCTCTCCCATCTGCAGCATGACTCTCAAGTTTTGAAACAGTGCTCCGACAATTGTCGCTGTCCGCGACCGTTTGTTCATGAACCCAAGATGTCTATTGAAGACCGGTCGGCGTCACTGAAGCACTTCAAAGTCGAGAACGACATTGTCCAGTTGAACATCAGTGCTCCCGCCAGCGGCATACCACACAATCAATCTTCCGACACCTACCAGCTCGACTGTGGCCATCTCCCAGAAGGACCAAGCTTTTGCTCGACCGCTGACATGGGTTACTTCTGTCGAGCCAACGCCACGGTGGTGAGATCTTCTACTGAGCGAAGCCCAGGCGTTACCTGGTGCGACTTCTACTGCAAATGCATCTTTCGCCATCCAATCCCTTGCCTGAACGAATGGAACATCCCTTTCTGCCAGGAAATGATCGACGGCAGTATTCGTGACGCTTCGAATCTCTCCACTGTCATCGGAACCATCGACAATTCATGGGTCATGCCGAACGGGACTCTGTTGATAGATCGTGGCACCCCTTATGTGGTACAGAGCTACGTCAACATCACCCAGGTTGAGCCACCATCGACCTGAGTTCCCGGGAACAGCCAGCCACATCCAGCAGATGTCATGATGCCCGGCATCAAGAATTGCTGGTATTTGCTGACCAACGTAACATGCTCTCAATCCCCAGATCTCTCAGCAAGTGTGCTATTCCAATTACCCTCCTCACCTGTGGCGTCACGACGTGCTTGTGCTTTCAACATCCGGCATCACAATTGCTGTCTCATCAGAATCAGAGCTTCATCATCGACCGGAGAATTCTCGCTGCCTAATGATCATACCGAGCTAGTCAAGACAATTAACACCTTCAGTGTCTGGAATTAGGGACAGGGACCGGAACCAAGGTTCCTAGCATGGATTGGCGAGTGAGACCGAGACTGATCGAGGACATGAGAAATGGCGACTGTGTGGCGTTGAGAGATGATGATAGTAGTACGTAGTTCCGTCTACAGTAGACACAATAATGGGAATGACTTCCAAAAAAGAACATGAAATAAACCTGTGGTGATTTGCCTTGTATACGTGCTAATAAACTTCTAGCCTATTTCGTATAGCCCTGCAGACGAGTCGACGAATAGAACATAGCAAATAGTGTTCAGATTCATGCTGCGACAGGAGAAAGCCGGTAATCTAGGTCTCCTGGACTGGCCCTTTGGGTGAGGTGAGTAGTGATATGGATGCTCTGAAACTGATATTCGCACTTGGGTTCAATTGGTTCTCTATCCTTCAAACTACTAGTATCTCACGGCCGTGTTGACCCTGTCCGGTTTCCTTTCCTTTCCCGGCCCCGGCCCCGGCCCCGGGAATCAGTCTCACCGAGCGAGCGTGCATCTCGCAGCTCATCCGGTCTCATACCGTCCGGGACGAACAATGCCTTCGTCGAAAGAAGACATTCATTCACACGGCCAATACCTGAGAAAGAAGACCACCTGAGAAACACGGCATCTCATCTCACCCCACCTCGCCTAACGGCATCTGACTGCATCTAACTGCATCTGATCTGTGCCGCCACTCCTCCAATGAGTTCTGGAGTCCAAGGAAAACGAAAAGAACAAAAAAAGAAAGGCCGGCATAAGAAGAGGCAACAAGACAGGACAGGACGCCTGAGCAATCCTTCCTTCTTCCAAAGCTAACGTTCTCATTCTTGGTCTTTCTACCAATCTTCCTCCTCATCCTTCTCATGTCGGCCACTCATAGCACTTTGTCTTGCTCGCAACACCTCGGCCAGACCCTCAGCAAGACTCGCCCCACCGGTACTGTTGGGCGTGGCGCGGCCCGAGTCCGTCCCGCTGCCGTGGTTGTTGTTGGTGCCGAGACTCATCCCGCTATCCCGGGCGGGCGAGGCGGTCGGTTTCCTGCCCGTCGCCGGCACCGGTCTTTTGGCCGGCGGTGCGGGCGGCGTCGGTTTGGGTTTGGGTTTCGCTACCACGGGCGGTGTGGCGGGTTTGGAGTGTCCGTTGACCACGACGGACGGGGTCGAAGCAGATGTAGAATTAGGAAATGTGCGTGCAGGCCCTGCTGCCGGAGGAGGCGGTGGTGGAGGCGGAGGAGCAGCTGTTCGAGATTGTTCGATTTCTTCGACATAGGCGGATGGAGTCCAGCCTTGGGCGTTGGTGTGCGGGTTTTTGCAGAGCCACCATCCTGAAAGAAACGAATGTTAGTTCTTCAAAGCTGTTCTTTTCGGTTGAACACGAATAAACAACACAACCTCGTCAATTTTGATGAGGGTACAAAAGAGAATGCGAAGAGTGCGAGGGTGGGATGTGTTTTCTGCAGACGTTGTGGACCAATAACTTACCATTTCCTTCTTTCTGGACGATTTCTATGATTTCTCCCGCTTTGATCGATAATTCGTTCGCGTTGGGCGAGTTGAAGTCGTATTTGACTTTGGCTTGAGGTTTCGTGGGAACAGCTGCAGCAGCCGCCGGAGGAGCGGGAGGCGGGGGAGGAGGAGGAGCTGCACGGTGACTTGTTGACGACGTTGAGTCGTTTCGCGCGTGGGATGATGATGATAGACCATTCATGGCGTGTGATGTGGGTGCAGTGGTCACGGCTGTATGTACAGGACGAGGAGTCTGAGCGGCAGGTCTTGCTGCCGGGACAGGTCTGCGTGTGGCTGTTTTGGAGGGCTGGCTGCCTGGACCGCCGGGTCGAAGTAATTTACCTGTGGTGATAGGTCGCGCGACGGCCTTCCCACGCGGCGTCGGTCTTGAGACCGAGTTGGGAGGTTCTCCCGGAGGAACGTGGATCACTCCAGATTTATACATATCGTCTCGAGGAATGGATGGATCTTTCTGAACCTTGACAACGGCCGGTTTGCCTGGCTTCTTGTTGTACTCGATATTGCTGGAGATTCGGAGGTCTAGTCCACCCGGGGCAACGGTCTTGAATTGGAGAAAGAATTCCGTTTTGAACACACAGTTGATCAGAGGATCCGGTTCCGAGTGTGATCCGACCCCTAAGGCGAACCAGTCGTCTCGCAGATTGGATGTCGAAATGTATTTGACCGCGCCGATGGGGATTGTTCTCTCCGCTTGGATTTGAAGCTGATTGTTCACCAGAAGTTGATTGACGATGTACACTGCTTTGCTTGTAAGAACCAGGATCCGCGGCATCGGCTTCGACGATCGTCCGAACTTGGTGATCAGAACATCGCAACGAGAGGAGAACACAACCCGCTCTTGAGAGCTAAGGTTGATCGAGTCTCTGAGCACGCGACCAGACCCGCCTGGCATATTGAGCCCAAGATAGTCACCAAAGAAACGCCTCGATCCAAGCAGACTGTATCTGCGACGCTCTTTGCGGCCTGCCAGTAATCGGTGGCCTTGATCCCGGAATTCCACCTCTTTGACACCCACTTTGGATTTGCGCCAAAACCGCTGGATTCGGGTGGCAGCCTCGGCACGGTAGCGGAGATAGTTTCTCCAAGCTCGCTGGATACGGACTGCCATATTGTGCCAATAGCGGTCGCGCATGTGTTCTAGTCCAAACAAGGTTTCGGGTGTCTTGATGAATACCTTGGACACACCCATCTGGAACTCTTCTTTTGGGATGCTCGTGTCCTTGAAGATGATCTCAGACGCAGTTCTCACATCGCCAGTATAGGTGTATTCTCCAGCATAAGACAGTCGAGGCGACAACAAAGCAAACCTTTCCACAAATTTGTCGAACGTTTGCCGGTATGCGAATCCTGCTCGTCGAATGCGGACGTTCTCCTGAAGACCGAGATACTTGATCTGATGCATGACGTTGTGGTCGTTGTATTCTTTCGGCGACTTGTTCTCGTTGGGCTTGATAGTTCGAATATAGGATGGTTGTGCGCGCATCAAGGTTTCCACAAGTTCATTCGCAGATTGTTTGATCTTGTCTCCCGCAGTGGGAGGACGACGGCGGTCGTCCTGATCGACGCGGTTCGGGAACAACTCGTGCAAAAAGCTGTTCGAGCTCTCACCGATCAAATTGAGAAGATCCTTCAGCAACTGATCTTTGTTCTTGTCCGTCATCCCAGCAACCTGGTAATTCACATCACCGGCATAGTGCTTGATGATAAACTGGCCCTGCCTGTTTTCGAAGTTGGGGTTGCTGGACAGGAAATTCAGACGGCCGACGAAGGTCTGATCGGCAGCTGTAGAGTCTGCGTGTGCCGTCGCACAAGCATCGTTCAGAGCGGCAAACACCCCGGGCGGTCTTTTGTCTTCAATCAGGGAACAGACAACCTTGTTATCAAAGTACTTGATGGGGGTCCATTGGATCTGTTCCCGCGCGTACTCTTCTTGTTCAGCCTTGAGGGTTAATTGGATGAAAATCTGTTGCAGCTTCTCGTTGACATAATTGATACACAGCTGCTCAAAAGAGTTCTTTTCGAAGATCTCAAAGCCGTAGATGTCGAGAATACCGATTGTGTTCTTCACGAGCCCTTGCGACCTCAAGGAAGCATTTGTTCGAGAAACAATCCAATCGAAAAGGTTGAAATAGATGGCCATCGCCAAAGCGTCCCGGACGGCGCCAGCTTGCACTGGATTGAGAGGAGATTCGTAGATCGATCCACGTCGCCCTCCACCTCGGGAAGTTTCGACGATTCGCACCGTAAGAGCTTTGTGAACGTGCGACGGATCAACTTCAAGCAAATAAGCCACAAAGTCCACCACGGAAGAGTCTGCAATATCAACTCCTCCATTGTCGTTCTCTCGGAAGGTGATGTTTCCAATCCATAAGATGGCCGAAAGCATCCGGAAGATGTTGTCCTGCTCAGGCTTCGACAGACCGATAATCTGCATGGCTTGAAGTGTATCCTTGAATTCGCTTGTGTCGTCTATCCCGGGGACGTCGAAACATTTGGACTTGCTCGTGTAGACGTAGGACTGAGGCGGTTGGACCCCGAATGTCTCCCGGTATTCCTTTGGCGCGGATTTGGTGAATTGGTAGAAGATGTGGAAGTTTCTCTCGTTGGTGATCTGTCCGACCACTCGTGTCTTCTCCAACAGGTAATTTGTGATTTTGGCCCCAACCGGCTCACCACCTTCGTTGAATTCCAGCTCCAGGTACTTTCCGAACCGGGACGAGTTGTTATTTCGGAGTGTTTTAGCGTTGCCGAAGGATTCAAGAAGAGGATTGGTGGCGAGGACCATATCTTTAGTTCGCTGGATTCTCGAGTCGGTGCCGCCGGAAACACTGGCGATGTACTGCATAAGCCGTTTGGCAGCTTCGGTTTTGCCTGCACCTGACTCGCCCGAGATGATGACACATTGGTTGTCTTTGTATGCTTTCATGTTGTAATACGACGATTCCGCGACCGCGAAGACATGCGGGGGGACCTCGAGTCGATTCCGACCTCGATACGACTCCAGCACTTGATCGGTGTAGATTCCCAGATCTCTAAACGGGTTGACGGAGACCAACACATGGCCGATATAGGTGTAGATTTCGCCATGTTCGAAGCGCTTCTTCAGGTTTTCGTTGATGGCTTCGTTGGACACCTTGCTCAGCAGGGTGAGATCTGAAACTCCCACTTCCTTCTTCTTGGTGATCTCGAATGCCGCCTTTTTGATCTGGGGTTGCCCGGATTCTCCCTCTCTGGACTTGCCACCCCCGAAGAGTGAGGATTTGGGAGGGCGAGATGACTTGCCATCACGGCGTTTTGTTTGACCCTGGGAGTGGAATGTGAGTATGTCTCAAGGTGCGATATAGTGATAGCGCGGAGACTCACCATCCTGGAGGAAGTCGTTGATCAGGACATGCGCGCGGGGAGATGAGTTGGGTAAGGGAGGAGGTTCGATAGCGATGGACAAGCACAGGCGACGGACATGCGCCTATGGTTAGGAATTGTAAAAGGATGAGTTGTGGGCAACGACAGATCGGTGGCCTGGTTACTTCAGATTGCAGCGGTGATTATACGGTGCCTGCGGCTGTGATCCGTGAATGATCGAATTAGGTAGAGATGGGCTGGTGAAGGGCCCTTGGGCTCCAAGCCTATGACATACCGCCAACTGCAGTGGCCCAGCGCTAAGAGTACCTAGAGTGGACTCTGCAGTTACTACTGTAACGATTGATGAGCAGGAGGCTGACAGAAAGATTCGGTATCCATCTCCAAATAATCGCCAACCTTGCCACGCAAACGTCTATGTGGTGGCTGTGAACAATCGAACACGCAATCAACAATGGGTGGCTCTACTGCCATGCGTCTTTTATAGCATGCAGCAATATTGCGAAAAGTTTACCCTTTACCATCGTGGATTGGAACAGGCACCCGAGTTTCATCTTGACTGTCCCACGTAGCTGCGCCTGGAGGTGTCTATCACTACCCTGTTGCCGGCGTATTGAAGCCCAAAAGTAGATACTGTTTTCTTCAGCTGGGTGGTGAACTCTCAGCTCAAAGGCCAGCAGAAACCCTCGGTAGGTATTCTTTGGCAAGATCTTGGTGTAGTATTATGCAATCCACTCATTCTCCCAGAAGTCAACGATGTTCTTCGCTGCCACCGGACCTAGATACTCATATATCCTGTTCTTTCCGGGATTGGTTCTTGTGGCTTCTTCGAGCAAACGTATCGAGGGAAAGAGACCGGTCAAGGTATTCGCCGCGTGTGCCGACAGTGGCTGTACTGGCGCTGTGGCGGTTGCATGGGCAATCAACATTGTTGGAGAGGTTCCCGATTGTGGTTTCGTCTCAGACACCTTGTCTACTTCTTGAACGTACTTCTCCAGTGTAGGTACGACGCTTTCAACTGACGGTGAGATAAGTATGGGAACAGTGTGCGAATCCAGCAATCTGCTCATTGATCAGAGAGTTCACTGGTGGGCAATAACGATCATTTGTACCCGTCGTGCAAGGCGCAGAACTGTTGCATGAAATGCAAACTTCTGGCTGGGTTGGACACCGACTGCACCAGCATCACAATGTCCATCTCTTTGCGAAGCCCTGGGACAGGTAAGTGTGATTGAATTCGTGCTTGATTGAAGGCTGTGGAGTCTGAAGACCACACAAGAAGGACATCGAGTGCTGCAGGGTTGGCATTTCTTGAGATGTTGATGCTGAGATCAAAAGCAAGAACCTCCTCCTCTGCTTCAAGCATTAGCAGACTCTGCACCGCGGGCACCCTGGATACCTTTGAACGAAACCACTGTTGAAGACTTCAAGCAACGTCCGAGACGATCCCATTCTGGTCGACAATGGAGCGATTTCGCAAATTTCGCACAAATCATATTGAGAGCTGGAGTTGGGTATCTTGAGAGAATATATAAAACTGGAGTTGGGAGTTTGTTCTCGCACTTCCAGGCAGCAACTGGCACAAGCAGGGCGAAGCTCATGCCAAGATGACGGGCAATGAGCCACCATAAACTGCAGTTGCAGGTGGTAGCCGTCAGCGAGGAAACACGTAGATGCTATCTTCCGAGCATTCTACCGTTTCTTCTGAGTCTCCTCAGCGTTCACCTTTTCATTAGCCTGACTGGCCTGCTGCTTATGCTTCTCTTCTATCGCCTTTTCAGATTCAACAAGCAGTCTCTCTGCTGGTCCCGGGGCATTTTGTGCCAGAGCCTCTTGCGCCTCCGCCTCCGCCTTGTTTTGAGAGATCCAAGACCCTATCCGGGCAAACCAGCCTCCCGGCTTCTCCTCCAATCCCTCCTCTTTCTCCTCGTATATCTCCCGCGGCAGGATCCGTATGGGACCGTTGGGTGTCCCATTCTGCTCCTTGGCCCGGAGGCGTAGGACCTCTCTCTCCAACTGGATGAGGGCTTTCCGAGTAGCCTTTTCGGTTTCCTCCAGATCGTTCAATCGGTCGTCCACATCATCTCTGCGGCTGCTCTCTTTCCGACGTGATCTCCAAGACTCAAGCAATATCAGGCTAGCCGCAACACTGAAGAGGAAAGCCTCACTTATAAAGCTGGCACCGGCATCGATGGCTTTGGCTTCGGAAAGGGGTCTGATCTTGGGTTTCGGTCGAGGCTTCGGGGGCTCGGCCGACTCTTTTGTCGCTTTTGCAGCCGCTTCTTCTTCCGCCTTTGTCTGGGCCTCTGTTTTGACCGTGGGTATGCTGTGCTTGTGTTTCTTGGCCGCATCCTGTGCGGCTTCCTTTGCGGCTTGTTTTTCTATCGCTGCTGCATCCTGTAAGAGACCAATCCGCCATCGCATGTCAATTCTGTGAAGCCTCTGGGCGAAGGAAATGCATGTTCGGCGGAAGCCTTCATGCTCGCGTGCTTGTCGCTTGATAAAGTTCTTCAACAGTCAGCATGTCAACCTGCGAAATTGCCCACGTCACTCACAGCTATGGGTTTGGCGAGCGTCCGGATAGCGAGAGAGGTGAATTTGAGAGCGAGCGACATTTCGAGATGAGATGTTGCGTGATGTTGAGGGGTCAATATGTTCAATAGCTGCCATTAACGGACCGGTTGGCCCTGGGCGGGGAGGCTTTCACATGGATACGTCTTGCATCATTACAGTATTATGTCGTGGAGAATCGAAAGGATGGCACAACCATGAGTGTAGGTAGGCATCATTTCGGTTTCGAGTTCATATCGCTATCCGGACAAGGCTCGGGGAAGTGGGAGCCCAATTGACCGAAACGACGTTTTAATGGGGCCTGACGAGTGACTCAGGCACCTGTCAGGGGTCTGTTAGGCATCCTTAAGCCTTGTAGCCTGCGCTTCAAGCTCCAATGCTTCGCCCGGAGCTGCCCCGGAGTGTCCATGTCACTGCATGCCAAGCCAGGCGCTCCCCGTCACTTCCCTTTCCGGTTAATTGTAAACATTGGGTTTTTGGATACAGACTGAGCTGTGACCGTTTGTTTGTGTCGCGCACATAAGGTAACCACCTCTCTTTCAGGTCGTTATTGATCCACTAGTACTCCATGCTTTTGATTGCGCAAGAGCTGTTCTTCCACGCATCCCGCCCTCACAGATTGTTGCGATAGCCTAGCCTGAACAACAGGGCCGCAACCTCAAATGGAGGTTCTCTCCCCCCGGTCAGCGAACATCCCAATGCCTCCTCCGAGGGCTATGAAAAAGCCTAAGCCGGACTTGAAGCCAAGGTCGGAGGAGAAGCCTACGAACCCAGATCGTATCGACGACAAATGGCGGCCGCCCGTGACCATCACCGAGCCGGGCTCTTCGCCAGAGACGTACGCGATGGGTAGGAAGCTGGGTAAAGGAGGGTTTGCTGTCTGTTTCGAAGGAAGATCTAGAAAAACAGCCGAGATATTTGCTCTCAAGGTGGTCAAGGCAAAGGTCGAACAGAGGAAGATGATGGAGAAATTCCGTACCGAGCTACAAATCCACGCCAAAATGCATCATCCGAACATTGTGGAATTCCTCCGAGCCTTCACCATTGGCGACCACACATACGTCGTGCTCGAGTTGTGTCCCAATGGGAGTCTGACGGAGATGGTGAAGGTACGCACCTGCTTGAGTCTACCAGAGGTTCGACGATTCATGATCCAAATCTGTGGAGGGGTGAAGTACATGCATAAGCGATCCGTGATACACCGGGATCTGAAAATGGGCAATATTTTCTTAGATTCACGCATGAATATCAAGATTGGCGACTTCGGGCTGGCTGCTGTCATGGCAGACGAACAAGACCGAAGAACCACTCTATGTGGGACGCCAAACTATATTGCCCCGGAGATTTTGAGCAAGTCTGGCACCCGAGGACATGACAACAAGGTCGACACATGGGCGGTAGGAGTTATCTGCTATGCCATGCTTATGGGTGCTCCTCCGTTTCAGTCCAAGACGCAACAGGAAATCTATTCCAAGTTGAGGACGCTGGAGTACGAGTGGAAAATCGACAGCAAGAATTACATTCCTCAGCAAGCCAAGGACTTTGTCGCCTCTTGTTTGAATCTGAACTCGGCGGAGAGACCGGAGATGGATGATCTTGTGGAACACGAATTCTTCACAATGGGGGCTATTGCCGACGAGCTGGACACGTCAACACTGAAGATGACGCCTTTGTGGCTTGAGAACGCAGATCCGAGAGGCGACAGGGTAAGATCCGGCTACGGAATCGGCCACAATCGGATATGTCGAGAATGTGGTGTCGGGACAGGCTCTGACGGACGTCCTCGCGCCGGAGTTGGTGTTGGAGCGAACATATCTGCTTTGCTGGAAATCGAGGCCGAGAATCGAGAAGGGTGTGCCCCAGTCATTCCTCTGCCGGCAGGAGTGCTGTACAAACAGTTTTCAGATGCGCATGCCGAATGGGTTGCGCGTCAAAAACATCCACTACTGCCCACACGAGTCCGGAGCCGGAAGCCAGTCGTGGAGAAAGGAGAACCATCGCCGCCTATGAACGAGGCCCAAACAGGAGACGAGCAACGGCTCACGGCTGCTTCCAAGGCCTCAGTAGCTCCAGCTGGAATGAATTCGCGTCGATTTCAGAGCTTCGCCGCTCAGCAACGACAGCAGGCCCTACCGGTGGGACTGTCTAGAAAAACAGAAAGAATCCAGGATGATATGCAAAAGCCCAGTGAGCCCAAGCATGTCGACCATCCTGGGCAAGCGCTTTTGAGAGAACGACCTGTCAGAGCAGCCACCATTCGGGCGACTAGAAGCACCACTTTGCGGGAGACAGGCTCTCAGAAGTCCAGGACTCTGCCTAGATCCAACACCATGCCGGACGCTATCGATGGGCTTGCGAGACAAATTGAAGGAAGTCTTGAGCGGTCCGAATCGCGAAAATCCAAAGAGACAACCGTGTCCAGCAATCGAAGTGCAGGGGACATGATGAACAAAAAGCCAGTACGATCAGGTATAGTGGCAGACAATGCAACCACACGGCCACCATCTTCCTCATCTATATCCTCTACATCGTCCGGAGAAGTTTCTGCCCGTGTTCTTCGACCGACGACCGCAAACGATCGACGACCGAAGGGAGAAGTGGTCGACAAGCACCAGCAGCCCGTCAGACTGCCACAAAGAGAGCGTTCAGCATCAGATTCAATAACAAAGGCTAGGACATCACTTCCCAAACACCAGCCTCGAATCATCTCGCCGGGGGATCCTGCTATGCGGGTGTCCAACTCGACCGGCAGGGACGTGTTGATGTCACTCCAGTCGTTGCACCGTGCACTCGATGTCCGAAGATATGATGAAGCTGTCAGACGACCCAGGTCCGGATACGGCACGCGCAAAGCCCGGGCTATATCGACCTACCCGAGGGTTGACAAATGGGTTGATTATTCGACCCGTCACGGAATCGCTTATATCCTATCTGACGCCACGGTCGGCATGATCCTGAAGTCGTCTGAGGATAATTCGATCCCCAGCAGCTGTGTTGTGATCAGAGATGCTAGTAACCATACGATCAAACGCGCCAAGGGGCTCGAGTACCAATTTGTGCCACAAGGTCAAGGGGCTCGTGACGTCGAATTCTACGAACAAAGCGACTATGAGGTTGGCATGAAGCGTCTGGACGTTCCGGCTCGACAGTTTTGGCTGGATCTCGAAAGACACCCCAGTCAAATTGCCGCAGCCAACGCGGTTCAGGCTGGGTTGGAGGGCAGCGAAGCCGAGCGCATGAAAGAGGTTGCGCTTCTGGACAAATTCGGCAAGTACATGAACAAGCAGTCGGGGAGCTCTGGTGCAGAAGGCAAAGACATAGGCAAAAGCGGGCATTTTGTGCATTTCTACCAACGAGTAGGGAACGTGGGTGTCTGGCGGTTCGCAGATGGCGGATTGCAGTTCAATTTCCCCGACCATACCAAGCTTACGGTCCATCAACAGAACTTGTCTCAAGACGGCAGCCAGCAGTATGTCGTCGATTGCGTGTACCTTGTGCCGACCGACGCGACCAATGTGGCTCGTCATGGACTCATCACCGCCGAAGCAATGGAGCGACGAGATCAACTTAGTCTGCCGTTGGAGGATATCATGACCGACGTGTTGCGGCGGTCCGAGACGGAGATCATCCGGACAAACGAGATCAAGGAGAAATTGTGCTGGATTCGAGCCGTCCTCGGATGTTGGATCAAGGAAGGTGGATTGGGCAGGATGGGAGAAGAGCGATTGGGGTGGAGTGGTCTACAGGAACGACGCGACGACAAGAGAATCAAGTTGCAATGGGTGACTGTTGGGAGATACGGGGGGGATGGGGATGGGGATGGACGGAAGCATTGAGTATTGGAGTGAGCAGGCGTTCATCTTTGGACGAGAGCGATGGTGTTGACGAGGTGTCTGGAGTCTGGTATTTGGTATTTGGTATCTGTTCAGGCTCTTCTGGTCTGTTTATTTATGGTTGACGTTGTTATTGTTCCATGATATTGCGTTGTGTCTGTCGTTCTTAGACACTCGAGGTCGAAGGCTGATGGTGCTGGTCATTGGTATTGGAAGAACAAGTACTTGCCTTTAGCATCTATAGCGAACGGCATGATGAGTGTTCAGTGTTTAGTTGAAGTGCAGTGTTGATTGAATTGCAGTCGTCAATATTCATACCAGTCAGGATGTGAATATCATAGTGTGATAATGTGATGGTTGTTTGTATATCATTAATCAGCAACAACGTCGTTTATCGAATGGATGGCGACATCATCGATATCACCATCACCATCACCACCTTTCTCTCACCTTCAACCTCTCCTTGAACCTTTACTTTCTACCTCTACCTCACCAGTCATTGGTTATCAGCATATTATCCCTTTCCCTTCTGAGTACACAGAGCTAGCTGGGCACCCATCTAGCCGACGATCCCAGCCTGGACTTCTCCTTTCTGTCCTGTGAAGTTGTGAGAGTCTAGAGAGCCATATCCCAGATCTGGATTCTGCCAATCCAACCATGGGCGGCGGACCAGACAAAGAACACGTCCTCATCACCCTCTTCGACCCCGAACCCAAGGACATCACCGGCGAATTGAGGCGTCGGTTTCCGCATTTCGAAGTGACATATGTCCAGGTGTCGCCGTCGAGAAAGGATGCTGAGAAGGCTGGGAATGAAATATCTGATGGTGAGTTGAGTGTTGGACTTCAAAGCAATTCGATTCGATTCGGTTCGATTTCATATTTGGGATCTATGAGAATGCAATGCTGCATTTCCTTGGTTTGGTGTCTGTTGTATGAGGTATCGAGCTGCATTTCCTTCTTTTGGTGGTCTTGTTGTATGAGGTATCGGCTTCGATGAATGGTTGAAGAGGGATGAATGGTTGAAGAGGGATGAATTGTTGAACACTGGAAGATGGAGAAAGAGAAAGAGAAAGAGAGCGAAGAAGAAAGAAGAATGATAGATATTCAGTCCCCGTGAAGATACGACCGTGCCTAGGTATCGATATCAGGTCATGGAGACAAGACTACAATAGTACAAGAGTACAAGAGCAGGAGCTTGATGACTGACTGACTGACTGAACCTCCAACCAGCCGGGCTACTTACTCTTCAACTCGTTGTCTATTGGACTGACTGACTGACTTCTTGCGTATCGTATCTAGACCTCTGGAAATCCGCCACGATTCTGATCACACTGTTCACGCTTCCTGCCAAACCGGAATTGGTTCCCAAGTGAGTTATATACCGACTTTACTACCTGTGCTACCTACTTTACTGCTTTACTACCCTACTACCCTACTACCTTGGTCCTTGACTCCTTGCATACAACTCTATCGCGATATCCTGTGATACATCCATCATCCAGCAGCCCTCTGTTTTTGAAGGAATATACCTTCTATACCTGTCCATCCATATGGTGGTTCTGGTTCTGGCATAGTCTCACGAAGGAATGCCATATACCAAGGGCATCAATCAGGCTTGGATTACTCTCACTACTACAACACTCCCATGGTCCATGGTCCACACTATCTATCTATCCCCTATATCCCTCGGGGCCACTGGTGTCTTTGATACCAGGTATTCAAGTTCCACGCATACATACCTGGGTGGACACTCTGATTCTTCGACCGAATGACTGATCAAATTGACTGCACGCATGAATCAAATGAATGGATATATCGTTTCATTAGTCCCCCCTTCTAACTTTCGACATCACAGTCTCAAACTCATCCACCTCTTCTCCGCCGGCATCGACAGTCTTGCCAACCACCCGATCCTCACAGACAGCGCGATCCCCATCACCACGTCGTCGGGCATCCACGGACCCCCGATCGCCGAATGGGTGATCCTGACCACGCTGGTCGCCAGCAAACACTACGCCACGCAGTACGAGTGGCAGAAACAGCATCGCTGGGCCACAGACCGGTCCGAGTTGCGTGGCACAACGGACTGGGTGGGCAAGACTGTTGGGATTGCTGGCTATGGAAGTATAGGTCGACAAGGTGAGTTGAGTTGAATTGAGTTGAGTTAGTAAGTAACTTACTCTAACATCTTCTCTTTTTTTTTTTTCTAGTCGCCCGCGTCTTCTCCGCCCTGGGAGCCAATATCCACGCATACACCGCCTCTCCTCGTCCCACGCCCTCGTCCCGCGCCGACACGGGCTACTTCGTCCCCGGAACGGGCGATCCCTCCGGTAGCATCCCTCGAGCGTGGTACAGCGGGACCAGCAAGACGTCACTGCACACGTTTCTCGCCTCAGGGCTGGATGCGTTGGTGATTGCGTTGCCATTGACGCCTGCGACGAGACATCTTTTCGGGGAGGAGGAGTTTAACGTGTTGGGAAGGAGGGCGCTGCCAGCACCAACTTCTACTTCTACTCCAACAGGTTCTTCAACAGGTTCTTCAACTTCAACGCCTTCTTCAACAGCTTCTCCAACTTCAATTCCAAAAACTTCTTTCTTAATCAATATCGCCCGCGGCCCCCTCATCGACCAAGCCGCGCTCATCAAAGCCCTGAACGACGGAACTCTCTCCGGAGCCGCGCTGGACGTGGCAGATCCGGAACCGCTGCCGGCGGACGATCCGCTATGGGACGCGAAGAACGTCATCATCACGCCGCACGCCAGTTCGCTGGGATTGGAGTACGTGCGGCGATCGTATGATTTGTTCATGACGAATTGGGAGAGAAGGGAGAGGGGGGAGAGGTTGTTTAACTTGGTGGATCGGAAGAAGGGGTATTAATAAGTAACAAACTTACATACATGTACCTAAGGTACCTATTTTCACTGTTTCAGGGGGTAGCTTTGAGGAGTGGTAGCCTGGTAGGATTAGAAGAAGAATGGCTGGCAGTAAGATATCTCAGAGCAGAGGAGAATCAAGAATGGAATATCAAAACCCCTTTCAATGAATTGCTCGAGTGTCAATCCGGTTAAACCCGGTTTCAAGCTGTGACTTTCTAAGCTACCTACTACTGACCAGGCTGCCACTGGTACAAATCTGTTGTCTCGGCCGAAGAACATCCTAGAGGAACAAGAAGAGAGAATAAAATGAAATAGAATAAGGGGAATGGATCGTGGGATATACACTGCCAATATCCTGCCAGACTCTAATTGAACTTGCATAGTTGCGTTGCCTCTGTGCATGTAGTGTCCAGCTCTAATAACACAACAAAACAGTCTTCATTGCCTGTATAGAGATCCTGTCATCACCGCCGTAGCCGTGATCACCTCGTCTCGGTACGGCCATCCATAATTGCCGTTTGATATAGATATAGACGTCTCCTGCGAGGTCTTGCCAACTACTCTTCGCCCCGTCACCTACCGAAGCACTGCGACCAGAACTGCCTTCTAGACTTCGTATTCCTCGTCGTCTTCGACCTAGCCATGCCGTTCAAGACCTTGCCGCCATCAAAGGCCTCGCCATCAAGCCAAAACAAAGTGTCCAAAACCTCATTTCCAAACCTCATTCTAGCATCTTCGACTCTCCAGCCATCCCTCGCCGCCAGATCGCCAACTAAGCCTCTCCACTCTGCAATCTCCTTCTTGAATCCACCGTTTTGACTCTCTTCCGTCTTGAGAACTTCTTCCCACTTTCGTCCTCGGATCGTATAGCCATACCATTCTTTTGCCCAGTGCGGGCGGACCGGGACGAACTTCCCCTGCGGATCTCGATAGTTGGACCATTTGTCCAGCACCTTCTGCGCGTAAGGTTGCCAGATATCCGCTACGGAGTGCAGAGTGAGGATCTCGATCGAACACGTCCCCAACTGGTGGCCCCGTTGTGGAGCCAATGTGACTTGAGACGACGACATGATACGCATTTCGAGAGGCATGCGTTGAGGACACTCCTCGATCACACTGTAACAGGAGATGATGGCGTCCCACCATGCCCGCTGGACGAGCGTTAGGTCGACTTGCTTTTGCGTACCAACAGTTTGACCGTTCGCAACACCGTTCACGATGGTCCCATCCTCAAACGACGTTTGTTTGGGTTGGAGTGGAAACTCAACTTCCAAATCCCTGACTCTTATGTTCTGCACACCTCTCTGGAAATGTAGAGCGTCAGGGAGCCATGCCTTGATGTTCTTGCCGTTCTGGCCTATGTCGTCCAGATTCTTCATAGCCAGCCACGTTAAGAGTTTCGTCTGCTTCTCCGGCAAGAATTCCGTGGCTTCCAACAAACTTGTGGCGTTCTGGGCAATGTTCATCATGATGGTTCCGAAGACTTGGAGAATGGTCTTAGCATCGCTCGGATATGTCACGGCGTTTGTTGTATCTGACGTCATGTGCCAACTGTTCACCCATACTTCGCTAGAGTAAGGGAACCAAAACCATTCCGCATAGTCGGTGGTGAGAGCACGTGTTTCGAAGTCGTGCTGGAGTTGTGCCCTTCGTTCTGCGCTTAGAGGTTGCTGAGGTCGCAGAGGGCTGGGAATCGCCAAATCAGGCAGATCCGGAGGCGGTGGGATGGCCTCAATGACTGGGAGTTTCCGTGGTTCCAGCAGCGCACAAGACATTGGATCGCATTCCAGGACAAGATGGGTGACAACACCAATCAAGCCAAAACAACCGGCTGCAGCCCGCAGGATGTCAGGTGTTGACATATCAACCTTGCGTAATGTCCCGCTTGCGTCGACATATTCTATGCAGCGGACCAGGTCGGAGAGTGTAGGGTTGTTGATACCTGCTCCATGACTTGGAAATGCAGTCAGCTTCACGCAAGAGGAGCACACTTGGTGGAACAAACCATATCGTCGCGTTCGCTCCGCCCATGGTAATCTCGACCTCGATGATGTTCATGGGCAAAGTGACTTTGCCGGTGTCGATGCACCATCGCCGGAACTGCTCGTTGGTTGTCGACGTCCCTACACGGACGTATTTCTTGCCACCGGAGAGTTTGGGGCCCTTGGTATAGTCGTTGCCAACAACGATGATCGAGTTTAGATCCTTCGCCCTAGGTTCGAAGATATCTGCGGGTAGCGAGGTGAAGTTTGGCAGTACACTGGCATCAACAAGCCCCAGAGACGAAATCAAGATGTCGCCTCTGGTCTCACTGCCTGTTTGTTGTGAACGTCCAAACACTGGAGACCACGAATGACCTGAAATCGGCATGAGCAGAGAACATTAACTATCACAATGTGTAGCTTACGGAAACCAGCCACTCGCACACCCATCCTCTGCCGCTTCGCGTATCTGACAATGTCGGCAACATCTTGAGCGGTGCTTGGTACACAAGTGTATGCTGGGATGTTTATGACTGTTCGACCCCAGTTCTGAAACTCGAGATTTTTAAAAGACTGAGCTGGACTCAATAAATGTTCGCTTGTGTCTCGAGCTGCCTGTGACTTACCGGAACATAGAGCGCCCGTGTAGGAAACTTCATCGCTGGAATAAGCTTCGCGACAAATGATCGAATTCGTGAAAGGATGCTGGTCGGTAACGCTTTGAGTAGTCCAGTATGCTCCTCCAGCACGTTGCGCTCTCCAGGGATGATCGTCGAGATCTCACCCTTGCGAAAGGTGCCGAACTTCTTGGGCAGACCAGCGACGGTGTAGGGATGATACCTCTTGGCCGCATCCTGAGCATTGATTTTACCATCAACGAAGTCGTTGAAGATACTCTTGAGGTCATCGTCGTAACCTGCAATGATTTGCTCGTAGGTGAAGTCCTGATCAGATGATTTGAAGGCATGAAGAAAGCGACGGACAAATTGCTCTTCATCCACCTCGGTGTCCGGATCAAACCAGTCCTCGATGAGATCTGTAAAACCTGGAAGTTTGCTGCTATCGATTTTCTGTTTCAACCCTAAGATGCAATCAGTAACAGATGTGAACGAGTCATGCTGATGGTTCCCATGGTTGACGCTAGCCATGGCGACCGACTCCAACAGTTCTACACCAGCACGAAAGACACAAACATGAATTCTGAAGATATGAAATGGATGAATCTTAACGCAGCAGCAGCCTGCTCCTCGCGTTCGTGCTGGGAATAGGGCATAATGAGCGGCGCGAAGAACAGCACAGTGCCGATTGAGCGGTGATGCTGATCCAGCTGTAGACCAGCAACGCCTTGGGCAGGCATGGCATCGTCATCCGGCAACCTCAAAGTGAGGTGCAGTAGCCAGCGGAAGCTTCAAGCAGCAAACCAACCATTTACCGGGCATCAGAGGGAGCTGAGAGCTGGACAGAATTGAAACGCCAGTGACACGAAGCCAGACACGAACAAGTCCGGCGGCTGCTGCGTTGTCATTTCGCTTAGGGTGGGTGATCGATACTGGTAATCTCTCACGAAAGCGTGTTTGTCTTCTCCTCGTATGCAACTCTTTAGTAGGGAATGCTCGGAGCAGGCTTGGGCGTCAAAGGACTGTCATAGAGCCGACCGCACAGGCTTAGGCTTCAGGCCGGGATTCGGGGAGAAGCATTGGTCGGGAGAGAAGGAAGAGCTGGCTTCATGTAGGTCGTGCGTTGGCTTCGCACCATGGTCCCAAGCGTAGGGGTCGACTCCAATCGGCACCACACCGCCTAGAACTGTCTGGAGTCATAGTCAGAGACGGCTGCGTAGTGTAGCAGTTCAAGTTCAGAGCCGAGGTGAAGGAGTGAGGAGCGAGGAGCGAGTAGATGTTGTGTTGGAGGACAGTTGGATAAATCTATACTGAGTAGAGGATGAGATCACAATGCCAGGCTGCAGCAGGAGAGAAGAGCGACAAACTCCCAGCCCAGGCGAATCATTCGCCTTTTTGCAACACTCTAAGCCGGGATCAGCACTCTGATCTCAGTCATTTGTATTTTCCGTAGACTGTGATAGCATTGAATAGTAGGTGAGATATATCTGGGGCGAGAAGTGCGTGGCTTCGCTTTTGTTGAGTCAGGGACGCTGCACGCAATTTGAAGGCGCAGTTTCTGGTCAGCTTCTGGCACAACTGCGCCTCTACACTCAATGCTGATATGATCCAAGCCCGCTTCCCAAGCATCTCGTGAAGACGGGCATGCTCAGAAAGTACCCCTAGATTCAACATCCTGCATTCCCCAGGAATCATACCCAATCCTGCCGAGAACTAAACCACCCTGATATCAACGCTTTACAATGTCTTCTCCAACTCAACCGCTTCCCTCAGCATGTCTTCATATCTGGCAATATCCTCCTTGCTAGGCTTGGGCAGTGGTCGCCTCGCGTAGCCACCATATCCGAAATATGATTCCAACGCACTCTTCGTACCTGTCACACCACCAGAGATGACTCCCCAATCACCCCGAGCGACGATCGCCTGGATCTTCTGCGCTTCCTCGATCTTGCCCTCCGCATAGAGGTTAAACACCTTAACGCAAGCCTTGGGAACGATATTGCCCAACCCGGTGATGATCCCGGACCCTCCAGCGATCATCGTCTGCAGGGTGAAATCTGCCGAACCACCCAGACACATCCATCCCGACCCCGTTGACGTGGCGGTAGCGGCGTTGACAGCGTTGGCAATGCGATTGAGCTTGCCGGTGTTTCCGCACGTGAGCTTGCACCCGACAATCTTGGGATGTTTGGCCAGTTTGACGATGGTGTCAGAGTCGAGATCAACTCCCGCCGCAGCTCCGGGGTAGTTGTAGATGAGAATAGGGATGGGAGACTCCGTGGCCACGTCTTGGAAGAATTCGATAAAGTTGGCCGTCGTAAGAGACGGTTTGTAGTATGAAGGCGGGAGAACCAGTGCATAGTCCCCTCCGGAAGAATAGGCGTCTTTGCAGAACTCGACCGTCTCGCGGACGGACTGTGCACCACATCCGACGACAATGGGCATTTCTGAGAAACCGGCATCATCTAATGCTTTTCGCGTGGTCTGCACGACTTGAATTCGCTCTTGTTTGGTCAGGTGGACCGCTTCGCCGTTCGAGCCTTGACAGGTGATAGAGGTGAGGCCAGCCTTTGCAAGTCTAACAGCATGCTTCGCAATGGCTTCCAGGTCTAGATCTTCGGTATCCTTCTTGAAAATGGTGACCATCGGGACATTGATTCCGGGCTTCAGAGTCCGGGTCGCGTGATGTCCGTTCATCTTGAAAGAGTACAAGTTTTATATTCTGCTGGACAGATTGGCGATCAGCGTTGTTGCACGGGATATACGGATGGCAGTCTTTGTAGTCTCGTCTCCGGAGATGACTGTCCTCTAGTGATGCTCAAGACGTTTGATTGTCACCTAAAGTCAAAAGAACTCGGCGGAGAGTATCAGGATATATATGACGGGGGTCTTCGCCCGGTAATGTGCCGACCATGGCGACTCTGGGTTGCTCTTCATCCAATGGAAACATTCGATACCGGCGTTGCCCCTCAGAATGTGGAGGCGTGGGGCGCCGGCTTCCCACCGCGACAGGGCGTGCCGGGCAATCGTATCCAAGGGAGTCTGTCCGGAATCATATATCATGAACAGGCGGGGTAAGAAATTCAGAGGCTCAACGTCTCTCTTTACAGGAAAATAGTTGTCAATATGGCACAACTGGGAACCATCGTTCAGTGACACCAACGAGTATACAGCAGAGAAAGCTCACCGTCACAGCGCATCTTCCTCAGCCCGCCCACCACCAACTGAATGCCTGGAGGTCGGAAGACTCCATTCAGGCAACGGAGCATCGTTTTGGTTTATGCATATCTTGTATAGCCAGTCGAGAGACCAGGCTCAAACGCAGCCGAAGCTCAATATGTCTTCATTGAAGCCAGAGATTGCCACAGTAGTAGCCATGCGAACACGCAAAGGGTACTCCAGACGAGCTGCATCACGATCATCACTTTGGACAAGGAGCCCGCTGGCAAGGCATCTGGCAAGATTCCCACCCTGGAAGGATGATATTTGGGCCGTGTCCGGACACGTGGGGGCTGACGTGACACCCCCACGAGGTTGAGTTGCACCCCCAAACTCGTCTCCAAATCGGGCATTGACGGCTATTCGGCCTTCTCCCAGAGCGCATCAGGGCAACTTTTGTAGTCGTCGGATAAAATGCGTTCTCTGTTTCATTCCTGTGTGGCGGCGGCGACACGGTCGGGTCAATTGGTACCGTGCAGGGCCCTTAAGCCTCGGTCGTAACTGCACGTCCTTCCTTACGTCGCAGCAATTCAGCTATAGGGAGGTTGTCTTCATCATAGAACTCGACATCCTCGTCCACGCCATAGTCTTTCAATCGGTTGCCCCCTGAATCTTGCCAGCCTTCCTCGCCGCTACTGTCATCTTGTGGCATGTAGTCATCCATGACAGGCACGAAATTATCCTCTTGAAAGCGCTCGTGGAATGGCTTTCGGCGCTGCACTCCATAGTGGTCGGGACGTCGTTGAAAGTCTGCCTGTTGCCGCTCTTTGAAAGCTGCAATTTCCTGCTCTGCAGAGAGCTTGGTCCGATCGTGGACAAAAGCATCTTGAAGCTCTGCAGCACGGTTGAGTCGTGGCATCCGGTCAGGATCCGGCGGAGGCCAACTGGTACCGGGATCTTCGAATCCATTCGTCTCAAACACCAAGCCATTGGTTCGTGGAGTTGCAGCAAATGGCCAAAACCAGGCAAGAATATTGGCGGTACCCATGCCTTGAACAATATTGTTCCAGATTCCAATGTCGTACGGGAATTCTTGCCTCGTCAACTTGATTCTAATACCGTCCGGGCCATCCAAGTACCCTCCAAGCACACGGGCTCGACGAAGGAGCTGTTCATGGCGTTCAATCTCCCAGCTCTCAATTGTTGTGACGTTGCCTCCCAAGCCCCAGACCGTGCGAACGAACGTGATTGACACCAGAAACAACGTGAGAGAATTGACAATGATGAGAATGAAGAGGTGCACCAGTTGCGACAGAGACGGTCCTAGATACTAACACATGCTATGTCAACGCGTGTCCAGCAGAGATGCAGTGGTCTTACACTAGGTAGATTCCGATTTTGCCAAATGACTTCCGCTCGGAGGTACAAGAAGTACTCGAGATAGGTCATTGCCGACACAGCGTAGAACAGAAAGCGTATGAAATGCGGAAATGTGAAATGAGACACGCAATTGACCGTCCATGGACAATGGTGGTCCATTTTCGGTATACATCTTGGGACATTAGCAAAGAGTTGTCCATGAGCCCGTTTCAGGAGGCATACCTCTTGCAAACTTTGCAATGATGTGCCCTTGGAGGTTTGAAAGCGCTGCACTTGCGACAATACCTTTGTCTGGCAAGCGTCTTCACTACAGGCAATGCTGTGTCCGCAACTCCAACATGTTCGGGGTTCCAGTTCGCAGGCACATGTCCAGGATCCGTAGTACAGGCACGGAAGTAGCTGACCCATATTCCAGCAACCAGTGCATTGAATTGGAGGAACTCCCGTTGACTGAGTGGGCCCGGCTCAATCTTCTTGAAAAGGTACTGGGATGAATATGAGAGAAAGGCGATCAGAGAGACAACGGCTGGCAAAGCAAACTTCGACACCGTACTTGGATCCATTCCTTGCGGCAGGAAGTCAGGCACTCAGCCAACTCGACGGATGGAAGATCATTTCCTTATAGGCATTGTCCAGGATATCTTTCAGCCACCAGGAGGTTCTTCGCACTTCATAGCTCGTTCAGAAGGAGAAACAGTACGTATAGATTGAATGGAACAGCGCCTCCGAGTCCGACACGTCCTGATGCCAAGATTCTACAGTTTAAAACGGCGCCTGTTGGTTGCCCAATCTGAAAACGGGCGACGCCGCTCTAAGCAACGAGAGCCGGTGAGTGAACATCCGAACTGGAAGAAGTTGGAGTCTGTGTACTTCCAACACCTTTGTTCTCAGTCCTTGCCATCAAGTCAGAACTCAGCCCCAAAACACCCCGAGTATCAGATTGGCGATCGGGTCACAGTCCGGACGACTCAAAAATAAAACATATCCGACATCTATTAAAGCAGCAACTAAGCACCAACCCCTATCACGTGCCTACGTGACGAGACGCCCGACGCGTGTCGCGGGTGATAATGACGCGCAGGTGGCAGATGTCTTTCACCACCCTGAACTTGAATGTGTTCTTTGATATCGTCAGAATCCATCAATCGACCTATAATACCCCCTTCACTGCTCCCATGGACTCAACATGACAATCCAGCCTCTGCCGGAGAAGACAAGCCGCCACATCATCTCTTCGCTTGCCCTTAACGACGCCAAATCTGTCGTCAAAGAGCTGGTCGACAACGCCCTTGACGCCCGTGCCTCCGCCATCAACATCGAGATCTCCGCCAATACTCTGGATGTCATTCAGGTTAAGGACAATGGCACGGGTATTGGGGTGGAGGACAGACAGCTCCTCTGTAGACGAGGATGTACATCCAAGATCAGAACCATGGACGACCTCAGTCGACTGGGAGGCACATTCCTAGGATTTCGAGGAGAGGCGCTCGCCAGCATGGCCGAACTCAGTCAAGCCGTGATCGTCACTACTCGGGTAGACGGCGAGACTGCTGGGACATCTTTGAAATACGGTGTCTCGGGAATGCTCAGGTAGGTGTGGTAGTGTTCCTTTCTCGGCTTATCATGTCATGACCATTTCAGCTCCTCCTCGGCATCCCATCCTGTCGGGACTACAATGCGTATACAAAATTTCCTTGCGAACATTCCTGTAAGAAAACAAACTGCACTGAAGAGCACCGGCAAGACCTTGCAAGCTATAAAAGCAGTACTTCTTGCGTTCGCCTTTGCTAGGCCAGACGTTCGCTTCTCCTTGAAGGTTCTCAGAGGCAAGAATGACAAGATGAACTGGACGTATGCTGCAAACTCAAGTGACAATTTGACCGAAGTTGGTGCAAAGATCGTGGGGAAGGATGTTGCTTCTCAATGCACAGCATTCAGTATTTCATCATCTGATCCAGATGTTGACATTGAAGAAGGGTGGGAAATTGATGCTCTTCTGATCTCTCCAGGTGCAGGCACGTATTAAAACATCACCTACTTTCCTTGGGGGGCACTGACATTCTTAGATGTGGACAAAGTACGCATCAGTCACCAGTACATTTCTATCGACGGCAGGCCCGTGAGCCGTGACCGCAAGACGATGAAAGACATTGTGAAGACTTATAAGCACCATTTACAACAGACAATCGGCTGTCCAAAAATGTCTCATATTTCCAAACCGTTCCTCGCCATGCGTATCCGATGCCCTCCCGAGAGCTATGACGTGAATATTGAACCAGCAAAAGATGAAGTACTTTTCGGTCGACCTGATTTATTGTTATCACTTGTGGAGAAGCTATTTCAGAGAGCCTACGGAACTTCTGAAATCCAGGCGAACGAACCTCAGAGATTGAGGACAAACTCTGAAACTGCCTTCGATGTCCACAACAACCCTTTCGCGGCTGATCTGGATGACTTAGAGATCCTCGAGACTCCTGTACGGCACAACAACCGGGCCGAATCAATAGAGATCGAAGATGAGCTCACACGAAAACCAGCCTTCGTGAACCCCTTCATTATTGCTGCAATGAACGCAAAAGTGGGCCCAAAGAAAATGGAGGCCGTCGGACAGGATAACACACCTTTGCTCAACTCGACTGCGTTGCCAGGTCGACTCTCGATAGTATCGAACGATTCAGAACGAGTCATAGGGAATTCGCATAGAACCCCGCTGGGATTGGAGGCACATCTGCCCTCACCTAGTGCCTCTGAGTCGAGTCCAACAAAGAAAAACAACCTCAGGCCAGGCACGACGCGACGAGCATCCGATGGTGAACCTACGGAAGACGAGGAGGTACTCGCGCGAGAGCAAGATTGTGATATCCAAGTTTTACAGAGGAATCCGACCGGTCTACGAACATGGCTTACGCCGGACTCTGCTGTGCGTATCCCTCGTAAGGAAGGTGCCTCGAATCGGATTCGCCCAGCAGAAGCTGACTCTAGGGTGCTCCCCTTCGAGCCATTGCAGAGTCCACTTGAATCTCGACCGAAACCGAACCTTTCTATCGGGAGCCCTCACAGTGGCTTCCAATGGGGCCCGGGACAGAAACCTTTCAGATCTCCCTTAATGACCCTTCCTCACAAGCATTATTCGCAGGTGGCTCGTCGCGAGCTTCGCGCTGATGGTGCAAATCAGGCTGGTCCGCATGAGAGCCAGCAGGATCATGGCCCTTCTGAATCGAACACAGACCTTCACCGAGACGATGTCTCTCATCGGCGTCTGTCATTGGTATCAAGCCACCCAAAAACCTCTTCTGCCTCGAACACCGAGTTGAGCGATATCATGGACTTTGAGTATCGCAAGAAAGCTGCCATAGCCCACCAAAGACGACTTGCAGGAGGCCTCCAGCAGGCATCTCTCAAGGAGATACTTGGCAGATCATCACAAACTCCGGGTTTGCCTCGTTCAGCAGAGTCAAACGACTCTTCGACCACCGAATCTCAAGATTACGCCACCAGATTCAGCCCTAGTCAACTGCCGGCTCCTACCTCAACAGGCTCAAATCCTCACCGAAACCGATATCAAGCTGCACTCCGAGGTCTAGCTCATTCTCATTGCCATCCAAACGAGCCCTCGGCCGAGGGCAACGATCCACCTTCGGAAACCCTTACAACTGCCGCGGAAACCAGTCCTCCCGGGTTCGCCAAAGACGATCCAAGAGCATACTTCATACGGCAGCGTCGACAAAGCGGCAATTCCAAATTCTACCGGACAAAGTCGTCACGGCTTCCGCTTGAATCGATACCCGGGGATGCCGTGACTATGCATCTCGTCCTGACAACTGGGATATTCGAGAACATGGCAGCCTTGAAAAGACAATTGCAGGTCCTTGCCGCTTCCGATCGATACGTCACGCACGGCGAGATTGAATATACAGACTTATCTGACACCCCAGTGTCCAATGACTGGGAATCTATCCTGCGCGAGATGGTCAAGACGAAGTACCGCTATAAAGCTGAAGACGGCAGGGCGCTGGTGCCGCATTTGAAGATTGCAATCTCGAAATCTGTCGAATAACGAGCAATCCGCTGTCGAAATGAATATATCACTATCACGTTACCATATTGTTTACCGATCAAAAGGAAGGCTGAGGCTGTGAGATCTGTGTTTGCTTTGCATGCGTGGTGCCTAGGGTGTGGACCCTTCTCGGTAGCATCATTGACGTTGTTTCCTGACGTGGATCGACTTTGTTTTCGTCCACCCATCTGGGCTGGATTTGCCTGTCTTTTGTTTGTTCATCAGAGCTGGATCTGTCCAGTCTTCTGTTATCCGGCATATCACGACACGGCTGCCATGATTTGATGATACACATTTCATAGAGATGACGAAGCGAGTATAGTTTGTGGAGGAAACACAATGCTAAGACATCACCTTCACAGACTCTATTTTGCTTTTTTTACCATCGCATGTTCCTATCAGATGTAGCACTTTGCGTTTTCCTTTTTTGTGAAGTTCGATGGCAGTTACCGCCATCGTCTTCCTCTCTCTCTGTTCTCTCTCTATAAAATTCAATACAGTAAACAAACTCCCTCACGCCTCAGTCGCTTTATCCCTAACTCCCTCCAATACCCTCATTGCCTCCTCAGCCCTGTCGACAGGCACGAAGAGATGATCATGAAAGAAGCCACTCACCGGATTCACACTGATTCCTCGTTCAGCCAACCTTGTGGCCAGAACCGCGATGAACCCCACAGCCGCAAGGCTCGAGTTGACATTACAGGTGATCATGCGGCAGGGATACTGATAATAGTATTGACGTTGATGGGTATGATGATGATGATTCTCGTGTTCGTGTTCATGCTCATGATCATACTCATATTCGTACTCATGCAACTCCTCCTCAGTCTGCAGGCTTCTTCTGTCTTCGTTCTCAGCAGCAGAGGAATCTGTATACCGATCCCTAAAGAGTGATGGACAGTCAGTATCAACAACTTTTGCATTTTCCTATATCAAGTACAATCATACCTTTCTCCAGATTGATATTCTGTGAAATGATATCGTTCAGCAATACCGATCTCCACGACCAACGTCACACCCTCTCCTAGTTCTCGGAGGAATAAAAGAATGTCGTCAACTGGAACCGGAAATCCTGATTGGGAATTCGTGGAAATCGAATCAGTCTCTGAGGATGGAATGTTTAGAAATACATAGGTCGGTGGGTGAAGCGTTAATGTCAAGATTGAGAGGAGCGTTGGGAGAGATGTTTCGCCTGAGAATGTGGTTGTTGAAGACATGGATGGATGGGATTGGATCGAAAGAGTTGATAGGATGTCAGGGCAAGCAACACTGGCGTGGGAATGAGATATATTATGTATATCTATCTCGGCTGTTGGATTGCTTTCAGCTTGCAGTGGTGTGTAGAAATGATGCATTGCATTGGTATTAGGTCTCAAAGGTAGACAGACGTCTCAATTGGGGAACGTTTTCTACTCCGCTTATTTAGTGAAAGGTAAAGAAGGAACATCGTTTCATTTATGGAGTGGACATCCTCCTTCATTTACCAGTATCTATCAATGAAGATATTCGCATGCTGTCTGGTCTGTCAAGATCAGGACCTTAGAGAATCTATCCTGTTGCGGCACCTTTGTGATACATGCTACCGCTCTGGAAAGGTGAGAAGCTTAGTATGCTGTAAAGACTGATCATGGTGACAACTCTTGAGACTAAGCGGCTCGTATACAAGACCGTCAAGCTGGTCCAGTTGAAGTCAAATACATAGAGCAGATCTCGTTGGAACTCAGGAAAGCTGTGGGAGGATCTCAACGCTCGAAAGCGTGATTGAAGCGTTCGATTCGTCTAGAAGCCCTTATATTAGAGCTCGAAGCCTTGTTGTAAGACCCTGCTGGGCAGAACTCATGCTGCAGATGTACCTATAGGGACGATAGATATACCAAAGGACAGTAGTTAACCATGACCTGCAGCAACAGCCGCCTGCACCATCCTCTTTCTAGGATCCACCACATCGGCTTTGGAAGTCGGTGGACTCTTCAGGCCATTCGGTTTCGTCTCTTCCTGTGTACCTTCCTCCTTCTTGGGCTGTCCCGCTTGGTCCAAGAAGCCTGGCCTCCATTTCGCTAGAACTTTGGCCGTTGCGTTCTTCGCCTGCGCATCGCCGTCGTACCATATCGACTCAATCGTGTCCAGCACAATGTCCCGTACCGGCGGGCGCATCATCAAGAGATACTGCATGGCCAGAATACACATGCTGATTCTCTCGGGGTCTCTCGCCAGACTCTTGACACGGTCCAAGATGTCGCGATCGATGGCTGGAATCTCGGACAAGAATCGAATCAGCAGGTTCTTGTCCCTGGCGTCCAGATAAGGCAGCAGCCGATCAATCAGGCGATGCACCCATCGGGTATAGTTTGGGAGATGTCCCAACTCTGGATGTGTCTTGGCCGTCATCTTGTCCGCGTACCACTCTTCCGAGAGCCAGGAGATGGCGACATTCAGCCGGGGTCGGAAGTCGTCCAGGATATACATGAAAAGAGTCTGCCGGATCCGGTTGGCAACATTACGTTCTTCGGTCTCTTCCGACTTGACGATTTGGTTAGATTCAGCGTCCCCTGTTAGTGCAGCCACAACATCATCCAGTCCAGCAGGCGCTCGAGTTGCCAGCCGCATGAGGATGGTAACCCAAGAGTCGCGGTCGTTGGTACTTGCAGCAAGACGGTTGAGACCCAATTTCTGTTTGGCATGTGTCTGTCCAGCAGCCTCGAGGGATGCGACCAGCTGGAAGACATGGCCAACCGTCTGATCGGACAACACGGCAACTTCTGTGCCCGTCAATGGAGGAGGTTTCGGCAGCTCGAATGGACCCAAATCGATAGCCGGCTGCGCAAGTTCCTCCAGCGCCTTTTCCGTCGTGGCTTCCACCACCATTTCTCCACTGGTGAGGAATTCGGGGTCGTAATCATCATCGTCATCGATGCCTGTTGGGCCGGCCATAGGCACATCGGGCACAGGAGTGGGTTGACTGGCCTTTTGTAGATGGGTATATCTCGCGCGGATGGCATTGACGGCTTCGTCCAATGAGTTGGAATCGAGATGTTGCAAGAACACAGCTGTTACTGTGCTGACAATATCGGCGGGAAGGAGGCTGACGTCAAATTGTTGAAGGGCAGGGTCTTCCGTAAGCGTGAAGAGTTGTGCAACAGAATTCGGAGGTGGTGGCATGGGAGGGAACTTGCGTGGTCCCGAAAGCCTTTGTCTTTTCGCATCATCCAAGCCGTCGGTGGGTTCTGCAGGACGCTTCTGAGCTGTACTGTCCGAAAACAACGTTGACCGCGATTGTTGCAACCTCATAAGGTATGCCTGTATCTTCGGTTCGAGTGGATGATTCGGCACAGAGCGGAGAACCCATCTCAGGAGAGCTCTAGTAGTCCTCTCCATCGACCTTACGATGACCATGAGCCGCGGCGTCATCGGCGAGTTCGCTTGTTTGAACGGATTGAAGTTGAGGATAGCTGACACGATCTTCGTGGAGATTGAAGGCCTGGTTTTGATCAGAATAGCAAGGCAGTTGAGTGTGGCATCGACGACGATGGGGTCGCTATATTCGTTAGCAATGGTCCAGCGAAAGCCAGGCAAACTTACATTGAATTTTCCTGGAATATGCTCAAGAGCCTATCCAGCAACCCCGATGCTTCAGCTTCGAGGTTTTGTAGTTGCAATAAAGGATGATTTCGAGGGACGAGAGCAATAGAAGTCTCATTTTGATCCGGACGCTGACCCGAATTAGTACCGGGGGATGAGTGAAAGACGAAGTATGTCGACTTACTCGAGGATCTGCAATCACACCGGGTGTCTCTACGTGCACGACTTTCTGCACGAACTTGATGCAGCAGATTCTGATAGGGACTGGGAATGAGTCCATTCGCTGCAAAATGTTCAACTTCATGCTAGTCATGTCCTGCCAGAGTGCGATCTCATTGGGATGCGATATTCTAGACAGTCTGTTAGAGGCAATTCTGATGCTCTGCCAGGGGCTTGAAGAGCCTGGTGTGTGCACTCAAGCGTAGCGATCACATACATTCTTCTGAATACCAATGGGTATAGACTAGCTGCCGCCTGAACCACGCTCTTGATCACTTCAAGATCCTCCCCTGGTCCCTCCAGCATGGCCCGAAGCGTGGGCATAACCTCTGGCGACAATTGTTCTTTCTGCGCATTCGACAGCGACGGGCTCGCAAAAGCTTCGGCAAGGAAGTCGGCTCCCCATCTTCGAACTTCGATATGGGCGGCGGGACCGATGATAGGTAGAATCCCCGGTAGGACTTGATTGTATACTTGCGAATCGGCGAGGGCGAGCTTACGCGCCGCCTCAAGCTGCGAGATCATCTCCGCGGCCGAAGTAGTGGCTCCGGCCATGTTGTAGATACAAGGGCGACTGAGCTAGGGCAAGCGACTGGATGCGGTCATGAATCTACGACAAGAGCAAAGTCGAGGTTGGATGATGTCGAGAAAACAGCGCGGTCGTCGGCATGGGTGCGTTTCCTGAGGAGTAGACTATCTAGGACACATAACACGCGTTGAGAGAAGTGAGAAGGTGGTGTATGATGGTCCCCAAGGGTGAAATGAAGAATATGATGTCGGGGTGTGATGTTCAGGTTAAGAGGCAGTCTCTCAGATCATGGTCAAACTGGCAGTAGAAGTCGAAGATGAAGATGAAGTTGCAGTTGCAGTCGCAGCCTCATCACCGCAGCTGCAAATGACGGAGCGCGGAGTCTCCAGCCTTGGCGGAAATTCATTTGACAACTGATGTTCAACTTCAAGGTGAACTGGCAGAACAGGGGCATTGCTGGCACTTTAGCAAGAGTCATTGGGTTAAGCACGACTTTACTACCAGGTCGTCTCCTGCTCAAGGTGTCCAAGTGCTATCCCTCCAACAAAGCTCTATCAGGCCCCCGCGGTCTGATCTAGCCCGCCACGATGATGCACCCTTCGCGTCAGGCATATGTGGAGGAGGAGCGTCAGGTAAGATACCCTGCAAGCCCGTCCTTGTGTATCTCTTTATTCACACTTGGCTTTAAGGCCCGACTCTTCCTCTGGAACATGTTTGGCGGAGAGAAACAGAAGACTGACGGCAATGGCTGAGGACAGGATGTTGAAATGGGCGTAGATCTGGCAAACATACGTGAGATTTCCCGCTGCCGGGCATGATCATCGCTAACTTATCGTCAGCCCTTGACCGGAATTATGAAATGCCATCTGCTGGTGGGGTGGCCCCTGAGAAGGCCTCAGCTATCCTTTCACAATTCGACCGGAAACGAAGGCTTGCGCAAGTAGCAGTACCTACGGACGACGCAAAAGTGAAAGCACGTCTGCGCGAACTCGGAGAACCTATAACACTATTCGGAGAAGGACCAGCCGACAGAAGGGACAGGTTACGCGAACTTCTCTTAGACAAAGAGGAGGCGGCGGGCCAGAATGGGGCTGTTGCCGATGTGCAGATGCGAGAAGCGGAAGACGACGCAGACCAGGAGGAAGAGTTCTACACCGAAGGCGTCCCCGAACTCCTGGAAGCGAGGAGAGACATTGCCAGATATTCGTTACCAAGAGCGAGAGCTCGCATCAGGAGACAGAAGGAAGATTCCACCATTCCACTACGAACGCACATTAAACATCGCAAGGAAATCAAAGAAAAGCTGCAAGGTTTTGAACTTTTCGGTACGCAGATTGCAGGAGAACGACCGGTCAGCATTACGCGGTTTTCGCCCAACGGAGAGATCATTGCGGCTGGAAACTGGGGTGGTGGGATCAAGTTGCTGGATGTACCCAATCTTGACGAGAGAGTCACACTGAGAGGTCATACGGGTATTGTGGGAGGAGTCGCGTGGTACCCCGGAGCAACATTGTCAACGTCGAACGTTTCGGCAGACTCGGTCAACCTTGCCAGCGGCGCGGGTGGGCAAGGCGGTGCACCCGAGATTCATTTGTGGTCGCTGAACAAGGAAACACCATTAGCAACCCTGCAAGGGCACACCGACCGTGTATGCCGCGTCGAGTTCCATCCATCAGGGAAATACCTGGCTTCAGCCTCGTTCGACACGACATGGCGATTGTGGGACGTCGAAACAACCACCGAGTTGCTCTTGCAAGAAGGACACTCCCGACAGGTGTTTACCGTCAGTTTCAATACGGATGGCTCCCTTCTGGCGAGCGGAGGATTCGACAGCATGGGACGCATCTGGGATTTGAGAACAGGACGCACAGTCATGATCTTGGACGGTCACATCCGGGAGATATTCTGCCTGGACTGGGGAATTGACGGTCATCGAGTCCTATCTGGTTCTGGCGATGGATGGGTCAAATGCTGGGACATTCGACAAGTCCGGAATACCGGTGGGATCGGTGCTCATAACGGCAATGTGTCTGATTTGAAATGGTTCAAAGGTCTCGACGGCGACATGTCGTCACTGGTCGAGTCGGACGGCGTCGGACAAGAACACAAGCCACGCAAAGCAGGCACCTTCTTTGTCTCGAGCGGATTTGACAAGAATGTCAATATCTACTCGGCTGACGACTGGTCATTGGCGAAACAGCTAAGCGGTCATTCAGGAAACGTGCTGAGTGTTGATGTTACGGACGATGCCAAATGGATTGCCAGTAGTGGCCATGATCGGACTGTCAAACTATGGGGTCGTGAGGATGGACAGGGCATTTGAGACGACACCAGATTCTGTTTTCAGCAGAGAGGAATTCCGAGTTACTGTCACGGTCGGATTAGCTCCTCTCAAGAACTTTTGGCATGCTTTTGCCGACTGCAAGGCAAGACCATCAGTCATCTTGAATAAGGTCTCCTGGGCAGTTTGTTCAATACTGAATGATGGCCATTGATCGTCTCCAACACTTAAGAGGGTTTGGAGTGCCAAAAGTGAGAGCCCTGGGATACCAGTGTTCTTCTGGGGTCTGCTTGAATGTTTTGTCTTCGATCTGGAGATACCACAATGTGCTTGTGTCTTGGTCTTTGCGACGGCGAGGCATGGAGTTATACTTGCAGAAGCATGATCAGGTGTCAACCATGCTGGAAAGATCCGTCTCAACCTGGCCGGCAGACGAGGCGCTGCTATACTCCAGCATTACAACCACACCACGTCTGTCAAGGGTGCAAGGATGGAGCAGACCGACCTTACGAATGGAAATGCCGAGGCCAAAAGGAGTGCTTCTTTCTATATTGATATTTTGACCATCTCTGCTGAGATTCGGTCATGGCCTCGACATCTTCGCCTGGAGATTCATTCCACCACAGCTCCCCAGCACATCAGCTTCGCTGCTTGACATCCAACCAGTGCTCCGATCCTTCTGAGACATGTGTTGTCCGCTGCTTTAAATGCTGGTGACAGCGAGACTCCAGACGATGAATGCAACCTGTACCATACCATGCCAGGAACGGTTCCGTCCGTCCGTCCGTCCGTCCGTCCGTCCGTCTGTCGCTCTCTGACTTCTGATGTACGATCCCTTTTCTGCAAGCTGGTTACCCTGCTACATCCCTCAGCTGAGGAGGAGCTGGGTTCACGAATAGAAGGAGCTCGGTCCTTGAGAGGCCAGCCGGCGCCAACAGACCAGGCCAAATACCTCGCACAACTTTTGTGAGTATGAAACGAAGTACAGGCTAGCCTTATAATTCTATCACATACCTATATATACTTCCAAACCTCCAAGTACCATGGATTGATTACCAGATCCCAGATCAAGTTGGTGGCACTGATCACCTTCAGCCTCGTCAAACCATAAGCCCCACACGCAGAAAAAAGGGGGAGAATCAATACATACTAGTTACATGTAAGACGTAACTTGCTCAAACTTGCTCATATTCACCACCGCATCAACCCACTGCATTACCAAGAGTGAAACACTGCATACAGATTACGGTATATACATGGAAAGGAGCACGTCAAGAGAACACTGCCCGCTCATCCAGCCCAATGGCGCCAGACTGGTAACTTGCTCAGTTGGATCCTGCTCTTGTTCTTGCTCTGTCTCGCTCTTGCTCTTACGGTTGCTCTTACGGCTCTCCCCAGCGCTGGCATCATGTCTGAGCCACAAATCACAATGTCAAGAACGTCAATTTCAGGTTCAATCTCAATCTCAACCTCAATTTAGGATCAATAGCAATTTCAAATCCATCGCCGCTGTCTTGTCGTTCTGGGTCTGGTTGTGGTTGTGATTGTCCTCGAAAAATTCACGCATGGTACATATTTCTATTTCTATTTCAAGCACGGCTGCTCGAGATGGATCTTGGCTCTGAGCAGGTTTTCCGTCCCCAGAGATCCAGATTTGGTAGAGTAGAGTAGAGTAGAGTACATATAACTATACAAAGTAAGGAGGAAAGGAAAGGAAAGGAAAGGAGATCCAAAGACCTCGCCATTCCCTTTTCTCTCCAAAACCATAAGAGGCTCCCATTCCCTATTCCTTATCCCTACTCTTGTTCCTACTCCTCGTTCCTCATTCCTCATTCTTCAGTCTTCACTCCTCATTCCTCAGTCCGCCGTATAGCTAGCTATAGCTTTGCTATATATAACCTCCTTGAACAGACCTCCTTCCTAATCCTGATCGACATCTTCGAAAACCTCAAGTGCAGACTCCGGGGTATATTAGTATTACATATCAAGCAGCAAGCCAAACCCAAATCCAATTCCAGTAGCCGCACGGCATTGGCAAACAGAGACAAAACAAAACCGACCGAACCTTGTACGCCGAAGAGGGGATTCAAGTCCAGGATTCTCAACGCAACCTAGTCCTGTCGATTTCCACCCTGCGATTCCAGTCCATTCCATTCCGTCAAGACCACCAGAAACACAAGCCAGGGTCAGTGGCAGAGGATCAGTGGTTCCAGTGGTTCCAGCGTTTCCAGCAAGACTCCCCTCGGGCCGGTCAAAGGAGCATACTTCTTGGAGAGCTTAACCTTTCTCGTGTCTTCTCCCAGTCTTGTTCGGCTCGGATTCAACTTCAAATTCAAATTCAAAACCCCTACCTCAGCAATCGACAATCATGTGCGGCGACTCTCATCTCCCTCCGGCCCGTGAGTCAGGTGATCTGATAGCCGTCATCCACCCAACCGAGCTCCAATCTCTAGAGCGAGACCCAAGTCCCAACGAGACCCAGCGATCATCGACGTTTCGAGGAAGATTGAGATTGTCGAATCGACGACCAGGAGCAACGATCTCGACGTTGCAGTGCGAGAGTGATGGCGAGAGTGATAGTGATCCCCATGATAACGGGTATGGTGATGGCTTCGGGGATCGACGTCTCCATGTGCGGATCCAGTACGTTTGGTCCCCTGTCGGATTTCCTCTGGAGCTGAGACTGAGAATATTTGTGATGTGCTGTGCTGTGCTGACCTTTTCACGTCAACCAGTAAATTCGGCCAACCGCTGACAATGTGCTACGCCTCGGCCGGTCTTTCGTTCGACACAGAAAGCATCTCAAACTCGTCCAACCCTGTCTTGCATTCTTTTTTTGTGGATCTTGCAAGCAGCACTTCCACCACCGGTGATGTGAGATTGAACCTCGGCGTGGGAGGCGACGGAGTGGTCGGAAGGACGGTGTCGATCTCTGATGGACATACTAGACGAGTTCTCGGAGAAGGTGTTATTGGATGGAGCTGACTGCAACTGTAGTGACATAGCTGACTCTGTCTTTGTCGGATTCGTTCGCATCGTCGTAGGCGTTGAGGTGTTCGGAGTCTGCGGTGGAAGTCATGATCGATGGTTCCAACTCGCTTGGTGGTGACTATGATGATGATGAAACAGGCACGGCGCCAAATCGCAGCCCGTGGATAGTATAGCATCGCATATCGAACTTCGAGTTCCTGTCGTGTTCTGTTCTGTTCAATGCATTGCAAAAGTCATGTATTAAACCAACTTCTTTAAAGAAGATACCCCATCCAGCCGTTATTGTTCATATACACATCAAACAAATCCATCTCTTCGGTGCTGAAATTGAACTGTTCCCAATTGGTGTTTCCATAACTGGCAGCCTCGTAAGCAGCATTCAAATTCGAACCCAATTTGTCTGGAGCTGCCCACTGTCCAGGAAAAATGCCCGGTAAAGTGGTATATGACTGTGGCAGCGGTGACCCCAAAGTGCGCGGCCCGAGGTCTTTGGCCGACTCAAAGATTGACGTCGTGTCCTTCCGCAGCAGATCAGATGCCTGATTGCGTCGCGAATCGGGGTCGCCACCCGGTTCGTCATCTGAGAGATGTCCTGCACGATGCTGATGCCAGGTTTTGAGTTTCTTGAACACAAACCCGAACGCTTCGGCGAACGGAGAGTGCCCTGACGCCGACAATTCAGCGAGTCGATTGATCATGGTGTCCAAATAGTGTTCGGTGCGGAAATCGGCGAGGAAGATGGATCCGAATTGCGAGTCGGGAGTATGGATGATCCAATGTAGCTTGATCAATATCACCATGGCATAGGCGTTCCACACGAGGTACATGTTGGTCAGAGCTCGTGCGAGAGGAACTTCAAGGGACAGCCAACTGTCAAGCACTCGGTGGGCACTTTCGAAAAGCGTGGTGAGAGCTTCGACGTGGCTCGAGGTGATGACGTTGGGGAGTTTGCGATCGTTGTGGAGAACTCCTGGTCGGAAATCGTCGACGTTGTGATCACAGTGAATGGCTATCTCGTGGATATACAGGTTGATACAGGCCGCTTGATGCTGTATCAGTCCTTCAGGCATGTTAGCCGAATGGACTATCAGCCGGCATATCGGAGAATACTTACTTGGGTCCAAATCGACGTTCACGGATCTCTCCCACTGCTGCAATTGACGTTGGAAGTATTTCAGTTGATGCTGTGTTCTGGGCTCGGTGAAATTCAACTCGGCGCCAGGATCATCCATGTTGAACATGATGGACACTTCTTCGGCAATGTGAAGCAGGCGCACGAGCTTGCAAAGCCACTTGTCGCTCGGCACCACGAAGGGGCTGGTGGACAGGATCATTAGACATTCTTCAATGCGCGAGTTGAATTTGATGAATGAAGGTATCCGAAGAATCGTCGAGACACTGGCCAGAGTCAGAGTCAATCAGTCTTAGAGACCGTCGGTGATCTCTACTTACCCGATCGCGCAGACATATGCACCCAACCAAGTCCGTGCCAGTTCCGTTCTCTCAGAGGGACGTCGGCTCCTGTCGACTTTGGATCTCTTACCGATGCCCAAATCCAAACACATGACGATCGCGCAGTGGATATATTGGTTGAAGGAAAGGTCTCTTGCTCCACGAGGTCGCATATAATTTTGACAGTGAATCAGCAGCGCTTGGGTGAGATCCAACGACTTGTCGCCGTGGAAAAGTACCCTTTCCGACAATTGACGGTTCAACTCGACGGACAGAGTTGGCTGCACAGAAGGCTCGATCAATGGACTGACCACCGACACGATCGCGAGGAAAGTCATGGGACGCTGGAGACGAACATCCTTCGCCTCGGTGCCAGGACAGAAGACCACAGTCGGACAGATCTTTGTGATGTTGTGTGCCCAATAATCGAACATGGCCGTGGCAGACTCCATGCTCAGCACGCCCTGATCGATCACGTCCACATAGGTTTCTCGGGCAGAAGGTATGTTTTCTGGGATAGGACATGCCCTCTCGAATTCAGGCGTCTGCGGTAATACCTTTTTAATTGTCTTGGGGTCGTAGTCGAAGCTGGTGTTGGAGGTGGTGTCAGTCCTGGGATGATCGGAGCTCGCACTGGTGAGTTGGTCCTTGTCGGGCGACTCATAAGACGATGAAGCCGGATCGGCCCGTTGTCCCTTGGCTAGGAGGGCATCTGTCAACGCGTTGATTTTCTTTTCCAACTCGGCCACTTTATGGACGGTTCTCTGTCGTTTCCGGGGCGGTCCAGGCATGATACACTGCCTGTTGACTTTGGCACAGCTACTACATGCCTCTTGGCCTTCGACTGCGAGACATCGGATTTTCATATTTCGACACGCCACGCAGGCACGCGACCGTTTTGGACGCTTTCGTTTGTCGGTCCCCGACGCTTCCTCTTCTTCGAAGCTGTCGGGTGACTGGCTGGTGGTGTTGGTGTTTTGCGATTCTCGTCGCTGGACATCTTGTTGGGCGGACAGGGTTTCAGGCGAGCGATGTTGCTGAGGCGGCAGCGTGTCGAACACGAGCGGTCTTTTTGCTGCCATACTAGTACTTGTGGCAGCGTGGTGACGGAAAGAACAGAAGCCTGACAAGGCTGGATGGGAATTGTCTTGTGGTGACTCGTACTAATTGACTCGGGGCATCTTCTATACGAGATGACGATCTTGATTTGTAAACACCTTGAAGCTTGGTATAATTATAGCCACGTCTGGCCACCTGGGTTGTTCTTGGGCCTGACCAGCAGGGGAGATTCGTCTCGAGGAGTAACGTTGAAGACGTCGATACTGGCCTGCAAACTGTTGGTGGTCTTGATTGACGTTGTAAATGGGGCACTGCAGTGGTCATTGACATCGAAATGCAGTGGGAAAAGTTGTCGGATTCGGACGGCAAAACTGCATCGGACTTTAGCAGCGGCCCCTCGGCTCCGAAGTGCCGTGGGCCAATCGCAGTGCAGTCAAGTGTACTGGTGCCTGGTAATGACTAAGCGGTAGCTCGCAATAAGGTATCACTCTAGCCGCCGTGATGAATGTACTACGATGATACGAACATGACATTAACTGGGAAGCTTGATGTGTCCAGCATTGTACAATGGCGAAGAAGACACACCCTCAACGGACGTATCTACATAGTAGTAGTCCACGCTGGGCTCATCAGCCATCTCTCCGTGCTAGAGTATTCGAGAGTTGCCGTCCTTTCTCAAGCTGAAATTCCACCAAGTTGCAGGAAGGTGGAAGTGAGCCTTCACCAAAGCGAAGGATGGAAATCAACCGGAAGGGTCCGTCAGTCTCGAATCAGCTTCAGTGTTCATCCACTGATCCCCGAATAGTGGTTGATCCAGTCGAAGATCTCCCGGTGCCAGACGATACTATTCTCCCTGTTGAGGACCCTACGAATATCTGTTAGCCTAACTTGACTCCGTTGTTGCTGGCACCGTCGATACTTAGTACTTACCAGTGGTTCTCATCAGCAAAATTCAGGAATTTACTCGGAACACCTCTCTCTTGCAAGATATTGAACAGCATCAGTCCCTCCGACACCGGCAGCCTGAAGTCGAGATCATTGTGTACCACGAAATGCGGTGTCGCCCAGTTGTGAATGTGATTGATCGGGTTCCAGCGCTCAAAGTGGTCTCGATTGTCCCACAGAGTTCCGTTCATCTGCTCCGTTGTCAGCTTCGCTTCCCAGGGGGCGCCCAGTTAACGCACATCGTGTTGGGTGAACCATAGTTCCTCCGTCGCATATTGTCCAACCATGTTCGTGACACCGTCATGAGTAACAAGAGCCTTGAACTTTCTCCCAAGGTCATGGCCTTGGATCCAGTTGGTCATGTATCCGCCATACGAGGCGCCAGCCTCGATGCCGTTCTGGGTGTCGATATAATCCAGATTGCTGTCAACGTAATTCCAGACGGCAACCAAATCTTCATACGGGTAACTTCCCCAGTTGTTCTGGATTGCGTCTTGGAACGCCATACCCCATCCCGTGGAGCCTGTTGGGTTCGGTGCGACCACCACATAGCCTTGATCCGCCCACACCTTGAAGTTCCATCGGGTGCTCCAGGAATTGTAATGGCCCCCTTGCGGACCACCGTGCACGATGAATGCTAAGGGGTACGTTTTGTTTGCGTCAAATCCTTCTGGAAAGATCAACCAGCTCTGGACCTGGGTAAAGTTCCCTTGAGTGTAGAATTCAGACACATCTTCTGGGCCTAGACCGGCAAGCTCGGGATCAACCAAGTTGGCACGGAAAAGGTCGGTGACGAGAGCCCCCTCGGGCGAAATAATGTAGAAATCGCGGGAGGTCCAGATCTTGGAGTCGGATACCAGGAGATTCCCGTCAGGCAAGACATAGTATGACGCAACAACGCCTGCATCCGTGATATTTGTCGGTTCGAAGTCGGCGGGCGCCGACAATGGGATCTCAAAAATGCGCTCGTTCCCAAGATCGGGCGCCGCGACAAAGAGCGAACTGGCATCCCCAGACCATGCCATTTGATCAGGAGTGCTATCCCAGTCCTCTGCCAGCACGGTGATGTTGAAGTTCTCATAGTCGACGTCGGCCACATAGATCTTGTTTTTGTCTGATTCGTATGAAATACCGTCCATCTGGAAGTAGGCAATCTTCGAGCCATCGGGAGAAAAATGGGGTTGTGCTGAAGCACCACGAGCGTTGGGAGGAGTGGAAGCGCCTGAGAACCCGTTGATGGGAATGGCTCCTGATGAACCATTGTGGGGGACGAGATAGATCTGGGAGGATGTAAAATTGGCCAGAGGAAGGTCAACGTTCTTGGTCAAGAAGGCCACTGTGCTGCCATCAGGAGAAATGTCGTAGTCTCCGGAGTCGCCGAAAGGCTGCACAGGGCTCTCAGCGCGGGTGACATTGGAAATGCCGGAGACCAGGTTTGTCAGGTTTCCGGAGAAAGAATATTGGTACCCTCCAGTCAACGTGCCGGCGAAGACCGCATACTTTCGCTCGGTAAGCCATGTATCCCAATGTCGGACGTAGATACTGTCATATATACGCGCCGTGCTCAAGGGCTCCTCCACCACAGCTTCATTGTACGCTGTTCCGTTCGGCCAAGCCAGGCTATTGAGGAGGAAATTAATGTCCCCTGAAGGAGTGACGACGGCTTTCAGGCCAGAGTATGGGGCAGGTAGGGAAGTGATGAGATAGCTGTAGAGGTCAGCTTGACATCTGCATCGCATGTAGCAAGGTCAACGTACGCATCGTCCAGGGCGGTAATGTCCCCGCCGTATATGCTAATGCCACCATCATCCTCTTCATTGGTGCCGTTGATGTAGAGAATGCTTGTATTGGTTGGTCCAACAAAAACAATTTCCGATATGTCTGATCCATTGTATAGCAGCGAGATTTCCCCCGTCGTCAAGTTCATTATGTTCCACACAGTTTCTGCCTCGTGTAACTCCCACAAGTAAGTCGTCGAAGTGAAGATGCCAATCTCCTGTACAGAGAATCAGTCTTGTGATTGCCCGTCCTCGCCTGTCGACTTACACCTGCTGGGTTCGGAGACAAGTCGCTTCGCCTCGGGGCAGCAAGCATGTCCCTGCACCGGTGGTCAGTGATTGTTACTGTGTATCTGGCGATGGAAGCAGTGCATACTCCGGGGTGATTGCGCTTGCAATTGGCAGCACAGCCAGGGCTGCTGCCAGGGCTTTTCGCGAAACCATCTTCGAGACAGCGAATGTAGTACTGGAAGAGTTAGTCTGACAAGGCCGACCATCTGAGCTTCATCAGAGTGCTTTTAAAGAAGAAGGCTCTCCAGTCTCCTCGGGCTTCCCAACGTCCATGGCCCAGTCGCTGAGCTCCCCACTCCAGCTCTTTGGGCCACATCCACCCGCTGAGACCTGCATGTAGCCATGTTGCATCCCGCAGATGGTGGTATCACGGGCATCACTCGTTCAAGAATGATGGGGTCTAACAAAGCGTGATCGCTACGTCAACGTTGCTATAACGAACAACGTTAAGTATGTGTGCCGACATGGGACAGCAGTTCTGGTCCGACTCGGAGCTTGCAGGATGCTCCTTGGGTTCAGGAACACCACTCAAGTTCAACCATTAGGGCCAGGTGCATCAACCGTCAGTTACCATCAGTAGCGTTGGATAATCGGTAGCATCGAGTGAGACCTTGTTATCAAGCACCATTCTCCACACTGAATACCCATGGAGGGGACGACTCTTCAAAACAACTATGTTGCCATCGACATGTCGGACCCAAAGCAAGAAGGTGATGGCCAAGGTGCAAGCTTCTCAGTGGTACCAAGAACTGTCAAGCCTTTGGCACTCCCTTGGCTTTGATATAGCGGTCTTGGTAGCGTAGGACAGAGTTGCATTGTCTTGCAATAAGGCCATTTCGTGCTACCTCGAAAGCATCGTGCAATCGGTAATCCAGGGCCAAGACAGCCAGCTCATATTAAATCAACGGAGAGGTTGAAACCGTGATAAGGGCTATTCGATACGCTCACAACACAGCGGTGTTGCAACCAAGATGTGAGAGAGAGAGAGAGAAGAGAGGGCAGGGTTCCTTCTGTCCACCACAACTCGGAGTACTAGCTGCCACCCAACAGATGTGGGGCGCAACCGACCACGTGATGGGAAACATTCCATTGGTCATCTAACGCGGGAACGTCCCGTCGATCCCGGAGCTAGTGACTTGGCAAACATCCTATCACGTGAGTCGGATCCACTATCAAATTGCGGCCTGCGCTGCCACGTCTGTCTTCTCTTCCTCACGGCTTATGCAGTGGTGGACCATCGAACCACTTACCGTGATACACTTCGCTATCCTAAACCAGTTCTACTGTGTGGCACAGTGTTCTGTAGGTGGACGACTTTGCTTACCTCGGTCCAGCTTGCCTTGTGAAATTCTGCGATCCCGCGAGGCCTGAGATAGCGAACACGCGGAGTCATGTCCTTTCCATCAGAATCAGTCGTTTCCGACATCAACCTAGTGTCCAGCTTTCTTTCCTGCCCGCAGATACCTTCGCTTCAGTCAGGCCCTCCCGTTGACGTGATAGTCTTGTGCGCCAGTGCCGTCCTTGCCGTCGCCGACAATGTATTCTCAGCCTTGCAGTCTCGGCCGGGTCTCGCGAAAGTATTGGTCCTTTGTGGTGGCATTGGCCATTCGACCGGATTCCTGTACGAAGCCGTTGGTAAGAGCAAGAGATACGGTTCGCTCGCAAACAAGGTCGATGGCCTACCCGAAGCCGATGTCCTCAACCTGATACTCGAAGAGTTCTATCCACGGCTCCGTGAACAAATCAAGTCCAGTACTCTGAAGCTCCTCATCGAGAACAAATCTACCAATTGTGGAGCCAATGCCATTGAAACCAGAAGGCTTCTCGAACATCATGAAACACCCCCTCCCAACTCCGTCATCATTGTTCAAGACCCTACAATGTCTCTGCGCACTCTAGCATCGTTCAAACACAGTTACGCGGATGTCTCACCTCTGCCGACATTTGCTGCCTGCCCAACTTTCGTCCCCGTCATGTCAGTTTCACCATCTGCTACCGCCGACCAAAGCAAATCCAGTCTACATTTCAGCGTCCCAGGTATTCAGGAATCAGAGCTTTGGGCTCATGACCGCTTCTTCGATCTAATAATGGGCGAGATCCCGCGACTGAGAGACGATGAACACGGCTACGGGCCCAAAGGCAAGGGGTATATTGCCTATGTGGACATACCGGCCGAAGTGGAAGACGCATGGACGAGGCTCAAGGATGTATTAAATTCCAACCGTTGACAAATCGGCATTTATTCTGCATGTTTGTGACAAGCTGATCCGCCACTACGACAGTGTGGCACTGTCCAAGCAAGTACCTGGGCTATATTGTCAATGATAGCAGGTGTCTAGGTACCGCTGCTGAGCCATCTCCCACGAAGTTCCTGAATGTCGATATGACAGCCCAGCTGCTGTGCAGACTAATCAGGCTCGTCGAATTCTGATTATCGACCGCTCTAGCCGACCTCACTTGCTCAGACAATCAACGCTTTCTGGCTCCGTGGCAGATAAACCTCCACCATTGATGTCTGCACAGTACAACTTAATCCCACCAACCCGGATTCCCTCGGCCACTGTCTCCCTCGTACTTCTGTCGTCGATGAAAGGTACATTCCTTCGTGTCCACGACCACAGTGCGCGTTTTGTTGTTGGCACAGGGCTTGTTCATTTTTGAGTGGTGGCAGAGATTCGTTTTCACCGTTTCCGAACCCTTGCAATCGCGGGTTGGGCAGTGCACGTGCTTCTTCGTGGTTTCGCACATGACTGGATGGATCGTATTTTTGAATAGGGCACGGAAAGAGATGTACCAGCGGTGAGGAGATCTGGAGAAATAATCAACGGGTCTTTGGATCGATGTAGGTGTGATCTGGAATCTATATCAATATCCTGATTGTTGGTGCGGTCTGGAAATGGAGGCAGGGTACCAGACGTCGAAATGGTCCGCCTTTATATATGAAGGTATTTGCCGAAAGTGAAGTCTGTCGCTGAACAGCACCGAGGCATCGTTTGAGGACGTGTCACAACTACAAGAACCTGTCTCGCGACCATTGATACCAGCACAAACGCGGTGGTTGGCAGACACCAGATTCTGGTTTGTTTGACCGTTTGATCGGACACGGGCTGGGCTTGTCGGGCAAACAATTCTCGATCGTACCTCCCGGGGATCTCGGCAACGCACCGATATCTGCGATTGTGTTGCAGACATATCTCGGTTCCACGTCTACATACAGCTTGATCTTGTTTCGTGTGAGTAAAGCACGGTGACACAAACCGACCTAGGCTCGTTTGAGGCGGGAGATGGCGTTGGTGACTCAAGCCATGAGTGGCGGTGAGCACTGAACCCATGACAATGGTTACGGGATGAAGCAGATCTCGAGCACAACAGAGCAGAAAAGAGAGAAGACCTGCCGGAATGTCCCAAGGCTGGTTCTGGTATACTGTCATGATCATATCTCATTGTCGTCATCAATTACATGCTTGAAGGGGCTATATGCAGGGTATCAAATGGTGGCAGTGCAAAGAAAGATGCCAGAAGGCCAAATGCCAAAATGTCACGGCCACAAGCAACTCCTTGGAGACGTCCGAACGTCAAACTCCAGTGTCGAGCTTATTCCTGCTTGGTATGTCTCGGGTCTGGTTCACCATTCATATGCCGATGAGAATGCAGTCCAAGACGCCATCGTCAAGGAAGAGCCAGAGGGAGAGCTTCGCGCACTGACCTATAGCGACCCCACGTCAAGAAACACCAACATCGATCCTCGAGCAGGACGCCATGGTGGCACGCACTCTTTGGTGAAAGCCGCCATCAGCAGCAGTATCGTACATATCGCCGAGACGACGAGGCAAGATACCGACGCGGCTGATTCGTTGTTTGACAGCGTCGTTGGCAGGGCCGAGAGCATTGACGACACCGTCGACTCCGATGCGAAGGTTGTAGCAGATCAACTTGTCATGCTTGAAGCCAGGGTAGTCATGTGATGAGGCGGCGACGGAGAACTTGAGTTTCGATGTGGCAAAGGCCATGGCGGCGGAAGGCGTGAAGCAATATTGTTCCATCACCGCGGCGTGGATGGCCGACATGTCTCGCTCCGGCTGCGGTTCCAGGTCCGGCACCAGTTCCGAACAAGGCGACGAGCACGCAGAGGCTGGCGAGACCCTGCCGCTTTCGCTGCAGACGGAGCTCCGTGGCGAACCACGAGGTGAGCGAGGGCAACGGGGCGATGGTGGCGCGTTCATGTCGGCGTCCAGTCCGTCAAAGGCCAGGGCGAGCGTGTTGAAGTGTGATGATGTGCAGGTGTCCAGGGTACGGGCATAGAAGCGGGTTTCTAGAGCTCTCAGTCGAGGCAGCGTTCCGACACAGCTGTCGACGAGGCTGATGTGGTCCTTGAGGATGGCGTCAGCGTCGGTGCTGTCGCCAAAGTCGACGGCAACGTGCGCAAGCGATGGTCTGATCGACGGGTGAATCTGTGGGTCGGACATGAATGCCAGCACATGTTCTGTCGAGCGGAACACGAGGGCATTCAGGCTATAGTAGAGCGGGATGGCCTCTTGACGGATCATGCGACAACTGTCGAGCAAACCTCGCGCGTCGTCTCTGGGAGGCCGCGATGGTCGCAGCCGTCTTTCCGACGGGGACCGCAGTTGAATCGGCTGTGGCAGCTGGAAAGCGAAGGTGTAGATGAGATTTCTGACCTCGGGGGGTAAAGTCAGGAAAGACGAGGGAGTGAGCGCGACTGTGGACAGCATGACCGGCGCAACGGTTGTTATTGTTGTTATTGTTGTTATTGTTGTTATTGTTGTTATTGTTGTCATTGTTGTCGTTGTTGTCGTCGTCGTCGCCATCTTTCCACCTTATCCGCTGTCGAATCCAAAATTATACCTGGGTGCAACGAAGGTATGTGGTGATCAATATCATTCCAGCCCAGAGCATTCAAAGAGTGTTCGACTTTGCCGTGTAGTGAGCGGTTCACCGCGCGATGTCGCGAATCTCGGAGATGGTATAGCTGTAAGCTGCTGCTACCTATCCCCCTAAATACGAAGCGGTGGCGGTCTCGACGTTCTAAAGAACAGCCCGAGCCGTTCGTTTGATTGCGTCTCTTAGCGTGATATGTGGGCAGGGCGTCAACATCTGTTACGCCTGACTGCCAATTCCTTATTAAGGGGCACGTCCGCTAATCTTGTGGCTTCCAGCCACGCAAACGCAAGGCTCGAGTGTAGAAATCCGGGGAAGCGCGACTGCATTAACGAGTGCGAAAAGGAGTCGAAGCGTGGAACGTGGAGAGAGAGAGCGAGAGAGAGAGCGAGAGGACATATCAACAACCCCAGGAAATAGAAAAATGGCGAGGTTGGTGACTATGATGATCTATGATGATCATTAGTATTGTCGCTCGAAGCAAGATAAAATAAATTAAACAAGGTACGGGGTACATACTGCACGGACAAGGGTATCACACACTCACACACTCCTTTACCAGTAACCGCAGGCCTCGATCCACGGTGACGGTGACGGCGGTGGTGTTGATGATGGGTGGATGATGCTTTCTGCAGTGTGTCACGGCCGCAACAAGGCGTCGGTGATTTGTCCAGCAGGGACAATGTCTCAGTTTAGGCGGTGCGCAGGCCAGCTGCTAGGGGCACCCTAGGCACCCTAGGCACCCTAGGCGCTCTTAGGCTCCATTTTAAGAGTCTAAGCATCTGATGTGCCAGTGATTCGGCCCCCCTTTGAAGCTACCCTGGTCACCCAGCAGCGCCCCCAGGTTCAGGTCCGGGAAGCTCTTTCTTGAACAGCACTGCACTGCGCCCATCACTTTTAACAGAGTCGTTGGGGCCGCGGATCAAGGCACAGGCACTGCGGTTGGTTGGGGGCAAATCACAGTGGCTTAGGAGTTCTGGAGAATGGAAACAAACACGAAGCCTGATTGATCTCTTTCTCTTTTCTCTTGGGTGCTGCTTGAACTGCGAATAGTAATAGGCAAACGATAGAAACGCAGCGACCTTAGTAGGGCTAATAAGGAGGCCCTAGCCCCGCAAAGTCCAACTCTACCACCTCCTCAACCCTGGTCAGTATAGTGCTGTAGCCCTGATCTCACATTCAAGTTAGCGAACAAGAAAAGAATAATAGGTACCTTAGCCACCTACTACTACCTAGTACATACTAACTCTCCGCCTAGAATTAAAAATATCCGACGCCAACTGCAAGCCTCCCCTCCAGGATCTGCGATCCCAAGCCCTGCTTTGTTCCTCCAACCAATCTTTGCTTCTCCGTCAAACTCGCCCCAGCCACGGCCTTTGCGAGGAATCCTGATCTGTCAAGGTCTCCCATCATGATCTCCGTCCTTCACCCCTGTCTCCGATCCAGTCTGTCCTCTACGTCAGTGGCATTCCTTGACGTGCATATCGAGCATTCCGAGCGGGCAGATGCCACAAGAACTCACACAAAGCCTGTATACTTTACAGAGTACAAGGAAAAGGAACATGAAGCTACATACTCTCGCTGTACGTACATCTTGTCTTGCCCGTAAGCTAGGAACGACAAAGGACACGGCACGAAGTCTAACTGGTTGATACTCTTACGTCTTGCATGTAGCAACTCGATCAAGGTACCGGTATGCTTGAAGGGCATCATCACTCGTCCGTCGGTGAGATAGACATACCATTTATGCTTTGACGACGTTCTCCATCATGGTCTACAGAGTAAGTTTCCGCTTGTCCACCACATGGCTAACCCAACTTTAAGGGAACTGTTTTTAGAACGTCGTAATCGCATATGTGGTCGCTGCCAGTGTGCTGTCTACCTTTTAACCTCCCACTGTGGCTCTTCTGCCCAGACGTTCACCGTCAGCTCATGTCGCTGCTTTGGTGTGGCATCACTACTTCATCATCGAACAACGCATTGGTCTCTTCCAACGTGAGGCCTCTAGTCCGCAAACAAACCCCATAGGATTTCATTGCCGACATGAAAAGTAGAGGGCCAAGCATTCATTACCTCGGACACCACAAACTCCAAGATCAAGATCGTCGACGGCATTAACAACCGCCACAGAAGAAGAAAAAATGAAGACGATGTTACAATATTGCAAATTGATGTGTGCACAGTACCATGGCAACGGCTTCGGTATATGCCGGCATCGCCAGTGAGGTCCCGACCAAAGACCAACGGCCGGCCTGGGATCGGATCGGCGTGGGGAAGATCTCCGCTACGAGGTGAGATCAGGCCCGTGTCTCGACTTTCCCAACCCGGGATGGTGGAAGGGCTCTCCATTGTTCAAAAAAGGTGTGGCCTAAGGGCCTTAGGCTACGGTCTCACGATGACGGCCGCCTGATGACTACCTACCTAGGTAGGTGCATGATGCAAGACAACAGGCGTCCTATGGGAGCATTGAGATGCCTCAACGGGCTCCTGTTATGCTGTGCTACCTTTCATCCCACAACGGACTTTTTGGACAACGAAAAAGACTCACAGCAGTAAACATGGCCAACCACGTCGATAGCACCACCGGGAATGCAAGAACATCCCCCATCGAACGTCCGGCCGTATTTGTGGCACAGCGTACTCGGCAATCATGGCTGGCGGTCTCAAGACCATGCCAACTGCATACAATCTGCTCAGGGTGGGGTCTCCCGAAGGTAAGGCAACCATGGCGGCCTCAAGATAGGTCGGACTTCGAAAACTCGGCACGGTAGCGGTGACGGTAGCACAGGATCCAGGCACTCAGCTCCTTCAACAGCAGATGTTTGTCCCACTTTGTCAAGCAGCAGTGCCCGGTAAAACTGGGCAATCGTCGCTACCCTTGCGTACGCCGCGCTCCGAGAATCTGCGGAACTCCGCCAGTGAGCCCGAGGCTTCGGTACAGTAAGATGATGGCATACTGACCAATATCTCAACCTTCTGGAGCAGCATAATCATTGGAAGAATACCGTGTCCAGACTGAATGCAGATATCTGGTACGACTTCCAGGTGAGCATGCCATGCCAAACTTGGTCGTTTCAACCCGGGGCTCGACCATCTGATAGAGCGTTTCTCTGCACATTGCAGGCTGTCGGTCGTTGGAAACCTCGCTCGCCGTGTGAAGTCCCTTGACCACGGCCCACACTCCTCTCTCGCCGCGGTGGTCTTTGCCCCGATCTCGAGTCAGGACTGACCAGACACGATCATGAGAGGCCTAGGGAAATTTAATTTCCATTGAAAGAACAGATGCGATGGATAAATACCATGTTCCAGCCCCCAACCCAGCCAGCAATCGGCATACCGGAGCACGATACCCAAATTCTATACTATGCCACCAGGAAAACCACGAATGGTCTCGGAGATGCTTTGGAGCTGCCATATACGTCAGCTTCCGATATACTTACTACCGGAAAACACGAGATGTTAACCGACGACATACTAGAGGTATGTGTCAAGAACCAGGGGACAACCAAACATGCAACATGAAAACATGGAAACATGGAAACATGGAGAATCACAAAAAGATATCGACGTGATTGAATAGGAATCTCTTGTCCCCCTTTTGCCCTATTGCCCTTTTGCCCTGTTCCCCATTCTCTGTGATTTGGTTCTCTCATTTCAATGTTTAGAGTATACGACACGGGCCCCAAATGTTATGGTATTACCAATATGTTACCCATGACACTTACTATTTTACCTAGAATACTCATATTTATATTCATATACCACTATACCACTATACCACTAATTGTTATCTTTGATATACCTTATGTGTCCTTCCCATCCAATATATGACTATACCCAGCCACTACCAACAGTCTAGTCTAGACTGGCTAGCCGCCTCGATTGTCCCCTTTCCCCCTTTTCACGATGTATGTCAAGTCTTCTTCTCTATCCTGGCGAGAAGAGTGAAACAGGCCATCCACATCCCGAGACCTTGCGAAACTCAGCTGGCTTCCCAAAAGCAGTGTTCATACCTCAGGGTCCTGGGGACCTGGACGAACAGAAGGATGAAACGGTTCACGGACGTTCGCTCGAATTGATACAGAACATGCGGACATCCAGACTGACGGAACCTCGAGACTTGAACCATTCAACTCGTAGGACAAGTCGAGTCCTATAAGAATGTGTACAGTGTCGCTTCTCCCGGTCACCTAGGCTCTTGTAGTAATGTCGAACACCGTAGATCTCGGTCGGTGACTGTCACAAGCATAGCCAGGTCAATGTGCTCTCCTGGGTTCGTGGGGATCACAAACAATCCAACTGGGCAGTGGTATGTTGCAGGAGCAGCCGTCTGACAAGTTGCAGAGCGGACGCAGACATGTCCGAGGCACACGTATAATACTGTTTTGGCAGATGATAAAGTGTAGCTTTCCAGACAGGGACAAACGGTCAACGGCTGATACTTCCACATGCCATATAGGCAGGCGGTAGTCGCTGTCGGGTGAGTCCATCAACCGGACCGAGCGGACCAACTGATGATGCTGTCGTCGAAAAGCTGCGTATGTTTGTACAACGACCAAGCATTGGTCAAGTATACCCGACCAGATCAATACCCAAGGTATACTGTGGCCGCAACCTGTATCCGCATTGTTATATCTTGTGGGATGACGCCGGATATGATTTGGCGCCACGTATAGACATGTATACAACTGTGTAGGCCCAGGATCGAGCCGAATTGCCCACTTCTCCGAGCTGTGTTGTACGTCGTAGCGTTTGCCTGGGAAGTTCAATCCTTTCGTAGAGGGAGAAGATTCTTCTCTTCCGATTTGACTTCGAGATAGAATTTGCCCGTCACCAATCCCTCGAGTTTGGTGGTGATTCTGGCAAAGACCGGTTCGAACTTGACGTTCCAGGAATGACTTGCGCCCGCAATGCAGATGAACAAGACAATCGTCGCCACAGCGCATTGAAAGAACCCCGGAACCGGATATCGGTCGACAAAATCTTCCGTCCCTTCTGGCGTGTACTGTGCAATCGGCTGCTTTTGATGACCGAAATGGAGCACCCACGCGAACACAGTCCGCAGCAAGAGACCATGAAGTAGATAGATTGCGAAACTGACTTTGCCGAGCCACTGGAGGGGTCGACGGCTCAGAAGCCAGCGAGCGTGAGGAGAGATGATGACTCCGACCATCAACAGGAGTCCTCCCACGGACCCGTACATACGATCGACGGTATTGGTGATGTCGCTCGGGACGTATTGAATAGCGAAGTCGTGGAGCCAGGTGGACCAGGCAGAGGCCTGGTAGAAAGAGCCAGGGTACGACATCATGATGAGGGCAAGCAGGATAAGAGGGGGTGAGAGATAGGGTGATATTGCCGAAGCCCTTTGAGGGATGTTGGTAAGACTCACTTCGCCGAGTAAAATGCCCGCGAAACAGCATAGTCCCGTGAAAGCTATGTAGAGCGTCAGTGATGCAGTCATTTGAAGGGGGCGGTTGTAAGTTGACTCACGATCTCCGATGACTCGACTCCAGTTCAATGACCACAATGATAGAATGACCAGTGTCACTGTTCGCCAGAGCGGCGTCATGGATATGACAAGCGACAAAGCACTAATGATCATGACACTTCCCTGAAGCAGGTAAATCAAAGCCCATTGGGGTTGATCGTAGGGGTTCTCGCCATAGTAAAGCCAAGTCCTTTGAAGAGCAGACATGAGATCCTTGACGGCTTGTGGCCAGCCATCGCTTGGTAACGGTGTTGTAGTATTCAACCAGTACGCATCACTTGACTCGGAGATCTTGTAGAGCCCAAGATTGCATATGAACCAGCTGATAATAGTCGCGGCGGTGGCAGGGAGAACCAAACGGAAGATGCGGCTGAACGAAGCTGAGGCCAGTTTGCTGAGCGCCTTATCAATCAGGCCAGATCGTGCCAGTTGAATCGGTTTCAACGCATTGACGAAGCCCATCAGGATGAAGAAGAGCGCCACCCATGAATGACCACTGGCGACTAGGCGAAGGATGGGTCTTTGGAACAAGGACGGGGTAGTACTGTCTTTGGCGCAACATGGTGGAACTACACCTCTGGCGTAACATAGAACAAGATGGGATGAGACGACAAAGACCGCAGCAATTCCTCGTAGACCCTATGCTCATGAAGACGGAACATTAATATAAAAACCCTCTAAAAGCTCCTAGAATAGTCACCAGTGGAGGAAGGAGACTCACATCTGCCCATGCTGTATCTTTCAATGCCCGCTCCTTAGCCTCGGGGCTCAATCGGAGGACACGGAACTTTCCAAGAAGCTCCCTCGCCCGATCCATGGCCATGGTAGACTGCAACAGACGAGAGGACAGGACGACAGGACGACAGGACTTGCAAAGTGTTATATCAGCAGCAATACTGCCGCTGACGCCTTAGATAGACATAGGGCAGAGTTTTTTCCCTTTCTCCTCAAGACTTCAAGGTTAGTTAGACCAAGAACCCGATCATGTCACAGACCCCTGCAGCGGCCGATCACTTGCTGCAGGAAACAAAAGCCCCTGAGTGATGGATCTTGAGTCGAAGGGATGACTTTCAGTCAAAACGTGTCGTTTGTGGACAGCGGCTGATTTATGTAACGACCTTTTCGCTCACTCAGCCCCTGGTCACCACTGACGCGCTGAGGATCGGTCCAGCTGCTTACTGACTGCGTTAGAACGAACGGCTCTATGGCAGTGGTGGCGCTGGGATCCCTCGCTTCGTTTCAGGCGTCTCTCGTTTATGGACCGACCTAGCTGGCTCGGCTGCTAGTTTGACAGCGGCCCCAAGCCACATCCGAACTGCCGGACTCTGTAGAGCGTTGGTTCAAGGGGGAGGACGACCCCTTTCTTCGAGAGACTAGGCTCTGACCATCGTCCATAAAGTCGAGAGAGCAGGCTGGAGAAGATATAATATAGTAGCAATGGTGAACACATTTTCATCTGCAGTGCCCCATCGGGACTCGGTCGAACCTGCCACATTCTTGATTACCACTTTCTGGCGAGGAAAGGACGCCACAGGGAACGCACAAGTCGCTCAAACGCGTTGTTGTTGGTAGTCTATTCAACCACTTTTGAAATTCTCCGATGGAGCATGTCAAAAGGTCAAAAGTACATACAGAATTTGTGAGACGTGGGACGAAGACAACCCAGCGATGTAAGCCATGGACAGGGAGCACTTGGACTTCCATCTGTTTGTGAAACGTCTATTCCAAGCTTGCTGCATTATAAGAATGGAGTCAATGAGCAGCAGAATGGATTTCATACGTTACATACTTGGTGGGAATCATGTTAACTCAAGGTGGAAGAAGTCAAGGCTAACAACAGCACAAATCCAACTACCAACTACCTCCCCACAAGACGCTCCCGACCTTCAACTCCTATGTAAAGATGGCTTTCTCAAACGCCTCCACGTCCCCTCCAGCCACCTTCACCGCCTTCAATGCGGCTTCGCTCAGTTTCTTCCGCTTCTCCCTCGCCTCCAACTCCCGTCGTGCTCTTGTCTTGGAACTGCCACTGGGTGCAACGTCGTTCAGTAGCTTGGCCGAGTCTCTGGGCGTAAAGTTCACAAAGTCGATCACCGTTCCACCCGTCGGCGTCTTTGGCGTCTTTGGCGTCTTTGGCGTACGGGGCGGACGCGAGGCTGATCTCGTTCGGGGAGGCGGAAATGGCTCCGACGCTGCCATATCCCTTATAGGACCTTGTTTGTGGATCGATTTCCGCCGGCTGTGGCTGTACTCTGTCACATTCCTGTTTGGCGACCGGCGAGGATTACGACGAGGACTGACGTTCGTGGGTGAGACTGACGGCGATGGGGATCGAGATGGTGACCGACGTTGTTTTCGAGGGGTGGTAAACGGGGATGGCTCAGTAAAGACGTAAGACGGTGGAGGTGGGAGAGGTGGCCGTGAAGTCATCGGAGCTGGCACCGGCATCGTCGTAGCTGGATAGAGTACTGCGATGCCTACTGGAGGAGGGGCTTGTCGTAGGTAGGCCTGAGGCTCATAGAAAACTGCCTGGTCCATTTGCTCCAGTTCTGGATATTGAATGCCTAACCCGGTTTGTGCAGATTCGGTAGCCTGGTGCAGAATTTGATGGGCGGTGCGCAGGGGCTTGGGCGCCGCCAAAGCAGGATATGTCTCTTCTGGTGCCAACATGGGAAGCGGCGGATGGGCACTCATCGGAGGTGGCGAAAACATGGCCTGTGAGAGCGTGCTGATATTCGTGCTCGAGGTATGTGTTCGTGCCTCATGAGAATGAGCCGAGCCATCCGATGATGGGAAGCCGCCACTGATGGGAGAGGGCATTGCGTCTAGTCCATGGCTCGTAGCTTGATGCTGGGATACAAGCGAGTCTTGACTACGACCAGATTGAGACTCCTGATATTTGCTTTGGTGTTGATCGATCAACCAAGGGTCAATGGCCGACGTCGATTCTGCATCTCCATACTCCTCTTGATAACCCGAGTCCGGCAGCCATACTGCTTGATTCTGCGCCATGATCCCTGCATTCAGTGCCCTGGCCGAATTTGGATTCGAGACTGGAGACATTGGTTCAGAGGGGTGCTGCATGTGAGACTCATACGGCATGCGCAAGTGGAAGTTCTGGAAATCCTGCTGCCAACCATTGGAGTTGACATGCCCCAGTCGTGGGGAGATTGGGAATTGCGAATACATCGGGCTCGGGGAAAGGGTGACTTCGCGAGAGATTGGAGGTCGTATTGACGATGGATCATACATTTGAGCAGCTGGCGAGGTTGCAAAACGCTTTGTTCGACTGGGAGAGGCGGCCTCAACCGACCAGAATGGCTCATGTGCATTGTCGGTGTAGTGAGGGACCGTTTTCATTGTTTGGATGGGTCCCGGTCGCTTTGTCTCATGTCTCCGTGTTTTTTCGACCACAAACCTTGCAGGTTGTTGCCTCTGCTTCAGACACCAAACACCCTGCCGCCACGGTTGTGGAGGAGAATGTTCGGCTTTGGCTGTGGTGTCGAGTGAGGGAAGTCCGTACTGGTCTTTGGCCAGCACCTGATTGCTGAAGACATCTTCAAAGTCTGCATAGTGTTCTTTGTTCTCCTCATCGCTCCCATCCAGCTTGTACATTTCCTGGTTGAAGAATTCGTCAAACTGACTGCCTTCGTCGACAGTCGTAGGAAACAACATCTTCAATGCCTTGTCTTCTGGTCGAAATAGGCAATCTGGTGAACTGGCTAGAGACATGGTCAATATTGCGGAACGATCCCATCTGCCTGTGCAAATCGCTCCTGTCAGCTACAAGGGAAGGGAAACATTATGCAGATGTATTCCAGACAAGGAAACAAACAACAATTCCTTGGTGCCCCGGAGACCTGCCGCTGAGGCCCAGAATGGTCAGGAATGCTGCAAGAAGGAATTCGTGTCTGTATGGGTCCGAGCTCGGCGGAGGGTATTTGGACATTGGAGCCACAATGAAAGTTGTGGCGAGCATCAATGCGACAGTATAAAGGGCACTTTATAGCTGTACCATTGTCCCTCTTCGACAGTCGGAGTATAGAATGCGGTGGCACAAATTCTCATACCACCAACAATGGTCGAAATTTTGTCATTTTGTCCATGAAGTGATGAGTCGGTCGAGAATAGACCGAAGCTTGCTGCCATTATTTCAGGTCCAGTATAGAGTTACAGCAAACAAAATGGCCTTATCAGGGGAATCATTAAGATTGAAGAGGCATTGTTCCGGCAAGGCTGTCAGTTTTCATAGGCACAAACAATGGTACTGGTTTGTGACATCAATGAAGAACGTCATGCACTTACCTACCATGGACCAAGACCGTCGGTAGTAAAAAGGATGTGGACGAAAGGGTGCCAGCAACCACTCTCAGGTGAGGTTGTTCTTCTGGTAGCCGTCACTTTGGCGCAGTTTGGGCGGGTGCGCGTGGCATTGAGGTACCATTGTCCAGTGAGAGTAACCCTTCCGACCAGAAACTTGGGACAGATCCGTTGGAGGAGTGAGACAGGATGCACCTTCTGAGACCCACAGCTCACCCCTTGTACAAGCATCGTCATCGAGCAGACATCCTTTTGAAGAGCATCACCTCTATGCTGGAAGAGTTACCATGCTCCCGTCCCCTCTGTGGCAAGAGTCGAATACCTTTTTCGAGGAGCAAATAAAAGAGTATGTCGAAGGGGACGAAGTTTGAATGCTCAATGACAAAAGTGATAAATAGAGGGGGAGGGCCCACAAAGGATTCGTTCAAGGTGCGTCAAAGGCTCACCGGCTCCAATGCCTACCAACAAGGTTGTTGAGCATATATGTTTCCGGTCAGATATCCTGGTTCCAGCATGCACTCTGTACGGTAGTGTGCTGACCAACGGAACGCTCGCAGGAGATCCGTACGCTCTTCAACTCCAAGATGCGTTACATCGAGGACGTCTATCACAGTCAATGCAATCATTGGGCCGACCTACCTGTACTTACGACATATGCGCTCTGTCGCGTCAACTAGGATCTCCCCACCAATGTTCCTCCCAGAAGAAGGAGGGGTCATTTGAGGAGGACTCTCTGTGCAAAAAATACAAGATCCATGAGAGCAACACAGACATGAAACCAGGTACTTCAATTTCCATATATCCAGACGTTCAAAGCAAACGAGATGGTCGCCAGGATCCAAAACTGTGTGCGGTGGAATAGTCGTTCACGGCCGAAGCTCGGGACCCATCCAAGCAGACTTTTCCAGGTGGGATATTGTGAGGGAGCTTACAGAGTAGGCTGACGCGAGGCCGTAGGATATTCTCGAACAAAATAAGATTTTCTTGAGATCTAGATTCAATCAATGTAAAGTTTGCACAGACAGTAGACGTCGACATGGCCAGGCCAAAACAGAAATGACAGATGGGACTTCAGGTGCAGTGGCCGTGGAAGCGGAAGTTGAAGCTGAAGCTGAAACTGCGCCCGAAACTGCGCTAGGCTACAGGCGACGTCATTGGGTGGGTTTTGCGGGGGTTGGCGGGCAAACAGCTCCGACAGACGGCCATTCAGTTTGGACTGTTGCGTTATCGATAGTCGTGCGTTGAAATAGACCTTTCGCCTGATCTTGTGAGAGAAAAATCGAGAGTAGACAGTACTGGTCCAATTGAAGTGGCCTCCTTAGCCCATTGGGCTGGAAATCCGTCTGATGGTTGAGGCTTTCTTGATGTCTTATCGCTGATAAGAGGAGAGGTGTATCCTTTTATCATTTGATCCACCGTTATCGGCAACAACACGGAGGGGAACTCCGACGTGGGGGAAGCGGTCACTGGCTGCTGGTCACGTGCATAAGTGGCGATGTCGCAAGTGACTCACTTCTGCACTTAGAACTGCCGAGCATTTTCACTTTTTTTTGCGGGCAAAAAATCTCCTCCTTTGCCTCTGATGGGCAGAAAATGCCAACGCATCTATCAGCAGGATAACTGCAGATACGAGGAAAGTGAAGTGGCTGTAGCAGTAACCAAGTACTATTGAAGACGCCTGGCCACAAGCTGGTGGAGGCTTCGACCGGCTTCTCGATTACCAATACATTATCTTGGCACTAGTCCCAATCCAGTCAAGCGGCGTTACTGCCACTGCGCTTGCCACCTGCGTTGTCGCTCTCCTCAGCCTCCTTCCTCGTACTTAAGCTGCTTCTCACTCATCCATCCACAACCTTCCTTCCTTCCTATCTATCACCACTACTTCCACCTCAAAATCACTCTCTGAGTCTCTTCTCATCATCTCATCTACTTACAACTTCCATCTCTTCACCTCATAACAACCGCAATCATGCAGATCTTCGTCAAGACCCGTAAGTTGACCCCGCGCTTATCTCCCGCCACCTGCAGCTTGATGCTAACATGATCGCAGTCACCGGCAAGACCATCACCCTCGAGGTTGAGTCCAGCGACACTATCGACAACGTCAAATCCAAGATCCAGGACAAGGAAGGCATTCCTCCTGACCAGCAACGTCTTATCTTCGCCGGTAAACAACTTGAGGATGGCCGTACCCTGAGCGATTACAACATCCAGAAAGAGTCGACTCTACACTTGGTCCTCCGTCTCCGTGGCGGTATGCAAATCTTCGTCAAGACCCTCACCGGCAAGACTATCACCCTTGAGGTAGAGTCTAGCGATACCATCGACAATGTCAAGTCGAAGATTCAGGACAAGGAAGGCATTCCCCCTGACCAGCAACGTCTCATTTTCGCTGGCAAGCAACTCGAAGACGGCCGCACCTTGAGCGACTACAACATCCAGAAAGAATCCACTCTCCACCTTGTCCTCCGTCTTCGTGGTGGTATGCAGATCTTCGTCAAGACCCTGACGGGCAAGACTATCACTCTGGAAGTCGAATCATCAGATACCATCGACAACGTGAAGTCAAAAATCCAAGATAAGGAAGGCATTCCTCCTGACCAGCAGCGATTGATCTTCGCCGGCAAGCAACTGGAAGATGGCAGAACACTGTCAGACTACAACATTCAGAAGGAATCCACGCTCCATCTCGTGCTGAGACTGCGGGGTGGTATGCAGATCTTCGTCAAGACACTGACAGGAAAGACGATTACGCTAGAAGTTGAGTCGTCCGACACTATCGACAACGTGAAGTCGAAGATCCAAGACAAGGAGGGTATCCCACCCGACCAACAGCGATTGATCTTTGCAGGCAAGCAGTTGGAGGATGGTCGCACTCTCTCTGACTACAACATTCAGAAGGAGAGCACTCTGCATTTGGTGCTGAGACTTCGTGGCGGTCAGTAGATGACGGACGACCTGGCAAGCATCATGCTTTGACCAAGGGTTATTTCAGTCTTTTGCGAGTCTTGCGACTGGGAGTTGCATCGAGGGTATCACGACATTGCTAGCAAATGAATTCACATGATAGCGTTGGCCACTGGTGCCAAGCAACCTGCTTAGAGAGGTAGACTTCCAACGGAGAATATCATCTTGCATCTCACTTGATCAAACATCTATGCTCTTTTCTTCCCAACTCGTAGCCCGTGCCTCATGAAATAGAATTGCGAATGTTGTGGTGTGACCAAGCAGCCCTCTGGTTGACTCCATTACTGCAGCTGCGATCCAGAGTTGAGTTGGTGGGTTGCCACTGAACTTTCAACTGACCCAAAGATATATCCATGGCCGCGCCGCATCTTTTGCATTTCATCCATCTCTTGTCTCCTTGTCATTTGGAATTCAGTTTTACTCTCATACCCCGCGTTGATTGTTTAATCCTACTCATGTTTGGGCGATATGCCTGATTATTTCTTTCATGTTGTTATCGAACTCTTTGCAGACTTCTCTTCACTCGTGAAACAGCCCGAGCATTCTCAACCTCCGAACTTGACTCCCTTCTTCAAAGCCTTGAAACCGTTCACAAGTTCCTCCGCAAGACGCCGATCTAGGGACCTCGCTACCGATCACAAGAAGGCCTCCTCTGCGCTCCAAGTACGATCCCATCTGACGGCAACCCACGAAGACCTCCCTCTGCCAGTGCCTCATTCCGATCCCAACGACCACCGCCTCGACAGCATCTACCTTGACAGCGCGGATATGTCATCCCAATCTGCAGGCACCGAGCTATCGGGGGGCAATGAAAACATCATCGGGAAAGGAATTGGAACCGCGATATCGGGACGTCATATGAGGGCCAGGTTTGAAGCCTTGCAAAGTCAAGAAGGGTGGGGGATTGTCCATCTTTACCGGGATACCGAAGAGACAACGGGACTGTACAAGGACTCCGCCTACCGATCCAGCGATCTTTGGAGCGACGCGATTCGCAGTTCACCCCCCGGCAGATCTCACCCACCTCCTAAAGACGAAGAATGTACCACGTTATGTATCCTGGCCGTGCCATCATACATGACACCCTCGGATCTCCTTTCATGGGTCGGTCAGGAGACAAGAAGCGAAGTGAGTCATTTCAGGATGGTCCGAACCGCACGGGCAAACCGATACATGGTCTTGATGAAATTCAAAAATGGCAAAAAGGCAAGGGAATGGCAGCATGAATGGAACGGCAAAGTCTTCAACAGTATAGAGCCTGAAACATGCCATGTCGTTTTCTTGAAATCAGTCGAGGTGCTTCAGACTCCCAGCATGGAACCGAGTGGCGCATTGACTTCACAAACCACAACCTATCCACGTATGACCAACGACCCTTTCATCCCAACCTCCACGACTACCAAACCTCTTGCTCCCAGAACACCGTCGCTGGTCGAGTTACCGACATGTCCCGTCTGCCTGGAGCGCATGGACGAAACTACAGGCCTGCTGACCATCCCTTGTCAGCATGTGTTTCACTGTACATGCCTCGAAAAGTGGTCAGGCGGCGGTTGTCCTGTCTGTAGGTACACTCACGACGACTTTTCATCCTTTTTGGGCACCTACAAATCCAAGAACAAGACCCCCGGCGAGACTGAGACCGACCACGGACCCCTGGAGTGCGAAGTCTGTCACGTGGATACAAGTCTTTGGCAATGTCTCATCTGTGGCAAAGTCGGCTGTGGAAGGTATGAAGGGAAACACGCATATGCGCATTTTGAAGAAAGTGGCCATACTTTCAGCATGGACCTGGAAAGTAAACGAGTTTGGGACTATGCGGGAGATGCCTATGTTCATCGCATCATTCAGGATGCCGCCAAACCAGGTGAGAAATTGGTGGAACTTCCAGGCAGGGGACGCGAGCCTACTGCACTACAAGGACAGGAAGATGTCGACTTTGTCAAGCGGCAGAATGACGCCCTGGAATATACTCACCTGTTGACTAGCCAGCTGGAAAGCCAGAGGGTCTATTTCGAAGAGGTCGTCGAAAGAGCTGTTGACAAAGCTGCCGAAGCGACCAAGAAGGCCGAGCGTGCCATGGAAGAGAGTCGTCTCGCAACCGAAAGACTGCGGAGGCTGGAGAGAGAGCATGATATTGTTGCCAAAGGCCGCGTGCCGGAACTGGAAAAGGAGAACGCCCGTCTGGAGAAGCGCAGTGCGAAGTTTGAAGAAATGGCACGCACATTCAATGAAAAGTATCAAGAAGAGAAGGCTCTCAGTGCCAGCCTTATGGAAAGAGTCGAATTCCTTGAAAAGACGCAATTGACCCAACTTAATGAAACCATTCAACGGCTGGAAGAGGAAAAAGCAACCCAGGAGTTGTTGATGGAAGGTCTCCGAGACGAACACCGCGATGCTATGATGCAGATATCCGCACAGAAGAAGTTGCAGGAAATGGTTGCCAACGGTGAACTGGACGCCGAAGACCTGGAAGGTGCCGTCATCGAGGCTGGACCGGCGAAGAAAGTCCCTACCGCCAGGCGTCGGAGGGTGACGAACACAAAGCAGACTGGATTGTCTGGCTCAACATCCGCCCCATCAACTCAACAGCCGCCAGCAACTTCCTCTACCTCCATAGAGAAAACCCGTGACCGCACTGAAGGCGAAGACCTCCTCAACAGCATCTTCGCCCAACTCTCACGCTCCCACGATTGGGACGAACAGAAAGCGAAACAAATCCTCGACGAGTGTCGAACCAAGATGCTCGGTGAGGGTTTGCTTGTTCAGGCGCCGCCCGCGTCGGCCGAGACTGAAGGCAGTGATGCTGAAGCAGTAGACGACGGCGGCAATCAAGCTAAGCCGGCAAATGTTGGCAAAAAGCGCAAGGGCAAGAAGAAGTCCAAGAAGTAAAGTATACGGGGTTAGCCTCAGTACTTGACTTCAAAGACATCCAGTTCCGGGGTCATAGGAGCCCAGGACTATGTTTAATGAGAATGATACCCCCTGATGAAGGAAATGCCTCATCGAAATGTGTGTATGCTTAATGACATAATATCGAGATGAGATGTGCTCCTCTACATTGTTCTGTTCCTTTTGTATGAAAATAAGATCTATCGTGGTGTGTGTGAAGTGACTACTTCAATACTGGTACAATGATACGTATATATACATATGTCTCGAGTCCTGAATTGCATTCATATATTCTACAGGTAGCCGTGACGCATTGTCCCTTTCAGTCCGCTAACCCAATTGGTGCACATCGCTTTTTGAGCCATAACGGGCGGCTGTTGTTAGATCCTAAGGAACAGCAGTAATAGATCCCAAGGAACACAAGTGATAATATACAGCACATGTCGTCAAGGTAGATAGGTAGATAGACAGGGACATCTGAAAAAGTACGCCCATGGAGCGTTGAACACAACTATTTTTCTCAAAGCAAGGAGATCATGTTCTGGTCCGGATGGTACGGGGTATACTGCTACTTGTACTCGGAATGTCCGTCGATGTAGATTGAGGATGAGGAGGAAAGCAAAGATTGGGAACGACGTTCAGAAGCGCATGTTCGTAAGTGGTGATTGAGGTTGTGTGACAGTCGAAGAACAAAGCTCGTGGCTGCTCTTGACTTGTGGTGATGTGGATGTGTGTAACAGTCGAAGTATATAGCTCATGACTGCTCTTGACTGGTGGTCATGTGGATGTGTGACAGTCGAAGTATATAGCTCATGGCTGCTCTTGAGCGGTGGTGATGTGGATGTGGATGTGGGCACGAGCAAAGTGAGGCAAAGTCTGCAGGGCCGGTCTCCCTTCATGGTTTCTCACAAGGATTGTTCGTAGCGGTAGATCTCTCACATGGCGAGCTCGTTATGCAAGGAATGTGACGTGTGCCCATCAGTCTGCCACGCAACGACTTCCAGAAGTTTTAGGGTCAGACTGGCTTCTGAGTTGTAGGCGTGTTTGTTTGCTTCCTTCGAGACCGGACGAGACGAGAGGAGATCAGACATCCCTCTTCATGTGTTTGGACATAGAAGACCCCCCATTGTGGCTCTGTAGGTAGTTCTCCAGCTGGACAGACAGACACCTCAAGTAGGTTGTCGTCCTAGTCAGTAGCGTCCGCTCGTCCAAGCTTCTGGACACCGAAGAAATAATTGCCAAAGTCCTCGCTATTATTGACAAACCTCCAGCCCAGCGCGGGGAGATAGACCACGCCCTGGGTCTGAAACCCACCCCAGACCCCCGGCGCCCGGGTCTCGAAGTACTGGCGCAACTCGGACGGATTGATGTATTTATTCCAATCGTGCGTCCCGGCAGGCACGACGCCAACCAGCGGAGCCTCTGCGATCAGTTTTGTGGTCAAAAACGCCGTGAGAGAGCGGGAGATGGTCGACCCGAAGATCCAGCCACCAGGCTTGACGTGCGGGATGGCAAGGTCGAGGAAAGATGACGGAGAGTCGATGTGTTCGAGGACTTCGAATACCGTCAGGATGTCGACTTTGTCTTTGTCCTCAGGCGGCGTGAGGAGATCTTCAATCGCACAGTTCAGGTACTGTAGTTTCGGGGCGGAGATGGCTGGGTCAGTGCGTTGTTGCGATCGGGCGACTTCGATCACCAGTTCGGTCGGGTCGATCGCGGTCACGGTTGATGTGGATGGGAGCCGTGCGGCAGAGGAGGCGAAGATGCCTCCGCCGCAGCCGATGTCTAGATAGCTGTATGTCGAAGATCGGGATGTGGTCTCTTGTCCTTGTCCTTGTCCTTGTCCTTGTCCTTGTCCTTGTCCTTGTCCTTGTCCTAGTCCTTGTCCGGGTGCTGCTACTGGGGAAGTGGAATTGGAGAAGGAGAAGGAGGCGGAGGTGGAATCGATACATGACCGGATGAAATCATGTCGGAGAGGGTTCATCAGGTGTAATAGCCTCGAAGGGCCGTGAGGATCCCACCATGACGATGCTAGGCGAGAGAAATGTGATACCTCCGAGGGCGAGACGGAGGAAGCAGAGGGCGACGCAGCCGAGACTGTCGAATGCTGGCGTTGGCCTTGTGTGGATAGTATTGTGCTCCCAGCTCTTCGTGATGTCTGTGCCGTTACCCGAGGAGCCACTGAGGACTTCTGTACAGCGCGCAACGGCATCCTCCAGGGCCAGCCCAGAGCCATGGTCAACAAATGCTTGTCGAGCTTGGTTGCATTGAAGAACGTTCAAGGATTCTCGAGGTCGATGAGGCGGGCGGACGCGCGGGCGGGCGCAGTCGGACAATACGACGCCGAGGGGTCTGGGGCTCGCCTGTATTGGTCAGGCTGCTTGCCACGTGCACGGCTGATGGGCAGTTGAGTCAGAAGGCGACACGGAGGCGATGGACCTTGCACATAAGGTCTCACTCACGTTATGCAGGCGGAAAAGCACGAGATTTCCGATACGATTATCAGGTCAGGTATCAGCGGCAATCTGGGCGCCAAGATATGGTTGCATCTCACTGGTCAGGAACTTCTACTGGGCGGCGGCGTCCCGCTTCTCTCCGTCTTTTCGAGTCCCGGCTCGTCCGTCGGAGGAACGGCGATCCTTGGCATTGACTTGGCAGCGCTTGGCCATTCTTTCCACCTGCCATTGCAGTTGCGAACTGTAAGTGTCAAGATAGAGACCTGCCTATCATAATACATTTCCGAGCTGCTCTTTCCTTGACTCATCCAACGTCGTCTCGTAAAAGCTGTATTCAGCTCGTCGAGCCTATCATGAACCTTAAGACGTGCCACGACGGGAAGACAGAGCAGGATTGGACACCTCCGAGTCTCTCGCAACAGCGCGCCTTAGCATCGTCCGTGCGCCAAGATGCAGTGGGTGATGGCAACGCAACCTGCTGTCTCTTGGCCCTCAAGGATAGTCCGTGACGGAACTCTTGGTACTGATATGGGTGGCTAACTTGACGGTAAGTCTGTGTGTCTGGGTGAAGTTCAAATCGCCTTTATCAGCCTATATAACAAGCCATGGTTCCCCAACAAGGGTCCGGCTGTCTTGGTAACCTCGAATCAAATCTCTGGTATTCCCATCATATTCATAGATCTTGACAAGTCATCGTCGCCTTGTCAAGTCGGGCTGTCCTTATTAGCTATCACTTACCACAGAGGACGACTCTGACACACATCACGTTGACGACCAACTGAATCCCCGCTATCCCAAGCACCACCCAGCATGGGTAAAAAGGGTGTAAGGGCGGAACAGAGCTACCCAAAGCACCCGTTCCTCCTCCCGACTGACGAGATTGTCAGCCATCTCGAGACTAACCTTGATCTGGGCTTGACAAGTGCTCAAGTCCAGCAGTATCAACCCAAGTATGGTCCCAACAAACTGGACAGTGATGGAGGAGTCTCCTGGTATGCCATCTTGGGAAAGCAGATTTCCAACGCCATGATATTGGTATGATTTGAAGCTCTGGCTGTTTCCTTGATGATTAGCTGACATTTTGTAGGTTCTGGTGCTCGCCATGGCACTATCCTACGGCGTGGAAGATTTTGTGGAAGGCGCCGTCATCACCGCGGTCATTATCCTCAACGTCCTGATTGGGTTCTATCAGGAATTCCAGGCCGAAAAGAAAATGGATGCTCTCCGATCTCTCTCATCACCCTCTGCCAGTGTGGTCCGCGATGGCAATGAAACGACGATCCCATCGGCTGAAGTCGTTCCCGGTGACATTGTCTCGGTCAAGACCGGGGATACAATCCCCGCTGACCTGAGATTGTTTGAAGTCATGAATTTGGAATGTGACGAAGCAATCTTGACCGGCGAAGCACTGCCGGTAGCGAAAGAAGTGGACTTCGAGGTGAAACACGGTACCGCCAAAGAAGACCTCGGCCTAGGGGACAGGCTCAATATTGCTTATTCGTCCTCGAATGTGACCAAAGGTCGCGGTCGTGGTATTGTCGTCTTTACTGGAATGTCAACTGCCATCGGAGGGATTGCGGCCTCCATGCAGGGGAAGAGACGCAAGCCTAATCGATCCATGTCCCGAAGGAAGTATGGTCCGTTGCAGCCTGTCAAGGGAGGCGCCCTTCGCACGTGGGACGCAGTCCTCAAATTCCTCGGTCTTACTGAAGGTACGCCTCTCCAGATCAAACTCAGCAAATTGGCCTACGTCCTTTTCGGCTGTGCTCTCCTCTTGGCCATCATCGTCTTCGGCGTCAACCAGTTCCATGTCACCAACGAGGTGGCCATCTATGCCATCTCGACCGGCATCGCCATTATTCCGGAATCCCTGATTGCCGTCCTTACCATCACGATGGTGGTCGGGATGACCCAAATGCGGAAACGTAGGGTCGTGGTTCGACAACTCAGTGCTCTTGAAGCGCTTGGAGGCGTCACCAACATCTGCTCGGACAAGACGGGAACTTTGACGCAAGGGAAAATGGTTACTCGGAAGGTCTGGGTTCCAGGAACTGGAATCTATAGCGTCGAGAACTCGAACAATGCATCCGATCCTACTGAAGGGACCATCACTTTTTCGACGGCCCCGAAATCTCGAAAGGAAGTCGAAGCTGAAAGAGTTGCGAGGCAAGAGGCTCTAGACCACAAACGAAGTATTGCCGGCGTCGCCTTTGACGTACCGGACGAGAAGATGCAAAAGGACGCCGAGATGGCTGCAGGACAGGAGAAGTTTCTGGAGGAGGATCCCGATCTTACACCTGGGCTGCAGGCCTTCCTTGAATCAGCCGCTCTGTGCAACCTGGCCACTGTCCGCCAAGTCAACGAAAACGGACAAGAGTCGTGGAAAACTGCGGGTGATCCTACGGAGATTGCCCTGCAAGTATTCTCCCATCGGTTCAACTATGGGAAGAAGATCTTGGAAGAGAAACATGGCTGGTCACAGACGATGGAGTTTCCCTTTGACAGCTCAGTCAAGCGCATGTCTGTAGTGTACCGGAAGCCCGGCATCGAACATTCCGTCATCTTCACGAAAGGAGCGGTGGAACGGATCATTGATCTCTGCACCTCCGCCGGAGTGGGGGAGCATGAACAGAAGATAACGCCGGAGCTGAAAGAAAGCATTCTCGAGCAAATGACCTTCCTGGCCGAACAAGGTCTCCGCGTCCTCGCGGTCGCCCGCAAATTCACTCCCTACGACATCCCCGAACATTCCGACATTGAACGCAGCGAAGTCGAAAAGGATTTGTGTTTACTCGGCCTGGCTGGTCTCTACGATCCACCTCGGCTGGAGACCAAGGGCGCCGTTCAGGCGTGTACCACGGCCGGCATCACCGTGTCGATGTTGACCGGAGACCACCCCTCCACGGCAGCAGCCATTGCCAAGGAAGTGGGCATCATCCCCAAGAACATGGGCACCTTGTCTGCCGAGGTGGCCGCGGCCATCGTAAAGACAGCCACGGAGTTCGACAAGATGAGCGACGCCGAGATCGACGCTCTCCCGACACTCCCACTGGTGGTGGCGCGATGCGCCCCCGAGACCAAGGTGCGCATGATCGAGGCGCTTCACCGCCGACGCAAGTTCGCCGCCATGACGGGTGACGGCGTGAACGACTCGCCGTCCCTGAAACTCGCGGATGTCGGCATCGCCATGGGTCTCAACGGCAGCGATGTGGCGAAATCCGCATCAGACATCGTGCTGACCGACGACAACTTCGCCAGCATCGTCAACGCGGTCGAAGAAGGCCGGCGCATGTTCGACAACATCCAGCGGTTCGTGCTGCACCTGCTCACGTCCAACGTGGGCGAAGTCATCCTCCTGATCTGCGGGCTCGGGTTCCAAGACAGCTCCGGGTTTTCCGTCTTCCCGCTCTCACCGCTCCAGATCCTGTGGATCAACATGCTGACCTCGTCGTTCCCGGCCTTCGGCCTGGGCCGCGAGAAGGCCAGCCCGGACGTGATGGAGCGACCGCCGCACGACAATAAAAAGGGCGTCTTCACGTGGGAGCTGGTGACGGACATGCTCGTCTACGGCACGATTCAGGGCACCTGCTGTCTCATGACGTTTGTGTTTATCGTCTACGGGCCCGGACGCGACGGGCTGGGCATCGACTGCAACCGCCGCTACAGCGACAGCTGCGACGTGGTGTTCCGGGCCCGCGCGGCCGTCTTTGTCGAATTGACCTGGCTCATCCTCATTTCCGCCTGGGAGTTCAAAGCCATGCGCCGCAGCATGTTCCGCATGGACCCGCACTCGACGCGTGCGTTCCCCTTCTTCGCCGACATCTGGGAGAACCAGTTCCTGTTCTGGTCCGTCGTCATCGGCGCCCTGTCGGTGTTCCCCGCCGTCTACATCCCGGGCTTGAACACCAGCGTGTTCAAACACAAGGGTATCTCCTGGGAGTGGGCGCCCGCCATCGTCTGTGTCTTTGTCTTTGTCTCCGGCATGGAGGCTTGGAAATACGTCAAGCGCGCCACCGGCTGGTTCCAGGCCGAAGAGACCGAGGGCATGAAGGCCCGTAAGCACCAGCGCACTGCGTTGGGGTTGAGACAGGGCTTCTTCACCCTCGCCAGGAGTTTCACCAAGTCGCGCTCCGAGGAGAAGAAGACCGCTATGACCGATATGAGTGAATTGAGTTCCCCGTCTACCCGGACAGACGTGGCGGTCATGCCGAATCCGAGGGAGCATGTTTAGGGCTGTGCACCTGAGTGCTCTCTGCGTTCTTTTTGAGGTTTCTGTTGGAGTTATAATCGGTTGGGCTGGATGTCTGACCATTTCCTGCTTTTTCCCCCTGGCAACAGAAGAGGGCCAGTTTTACAGATCTGTTATGGATAGGTTCCTTCCTGGCTTTCGGCTTTGCGGTCGATATGATTAATGTATGTCCAAATTGGCAGAGAAGAGGGCCCAGACAGCGATGCATAGAAATGATGAAAGAGTCCCACTGACAAGAGCAAACTCTGGAATGATGCTGTCCATAATGCATAGTCAGCCTTTTGGTTGGAGATAATGGATGTATAGAGGTTGTGAGCCGACCGCACATCTTGTATTATGTTCAAGTGTCTAGAACGCCGAAGTCTTGGAATCGTCACCTCGTAGCTCCTGTGAGAGCGTCATTACGTCTGTCACATCCACTCCAGATCCAGGCATTGTTCCTCTTCAACGGGAGCGTATGGTTGCAGTCTCCAGCTTCGCCCGGCCCTCCGCAATCTGGTCCTCCAGAGCACGCATCTCAAGGTCAAGATCGGGTTCGGAACGGGTGTTCAATCCCGCCGATAGTCTTTGCAGCGCCGCTTGCCTTTCGCGGACCACAGACCCGGAGATGTCCAGGATCTTGTTGACATCTTCTGCGGACTGGGCAGACAGCGTGGCGGCGAGAGTCTGGATTTGTTCGTGCAGGGGGATGGAAGTTCTCCCGTCACTGTCGGAGGAGAGGCCGAAATGGCCCATCAGGCCGGACGTTGCGGGGTAGGCGGCTTCTCCGTCTCGTCCAAGTTGTGACGATGAAGAAACCAAGGTAGAATTGTGCAGAGGGACATCGCGCCGTGTCGCAGCGGTCGGTACGCTGGGAGGGCGTGCGATGTTTTGACATTGGGACCGGAGGTCGTGAAGCGCAAGCCGACGAGATTGAAGGGTTTTAAGTCTGGTGTACAATGTGTCCAGCGTCTCCGTTAGAGAGCACAATTTGCTGTAGCCCTGTGAATAGTCATATCAGCAAAGTCTGTTTGGAGATGCAGAGAGATCTCGTCCATCGATCAGTTGGTCTCTGGTGAAGAGAATGCTTACCAGCTCAGTGTGGGCGTGCTGCTCTTCGGCGGCGCGTCGGTCGATATCGAAGATCGTGGACTGGATATGCCCACTGTGTTCATGTGAGACAAACATGGTTGCGACATCGTCTATTTCCGTGTACAGCGATCCTAGATCAGTCTGCACGTCCTGCACACCGTCGGTGGATACAGCCTCAGTGGCACCGAGGTCACTGTCTGCCAGGGATTCGAGGTACGTGCGGTCTAGACGGTCTTTGATCGCTTGAGTGTGAAAGTGTTGCAATGCGGCCGTGAGTCTGGCCACACGTTCCTTGGCTGCTTCGGTGTCTGTCCTCGGTTCCGGCCGGCGGCGGGCAGAGAGCTCGTTGAGTTCGTCGAGGGCGCGATCATCCGCGTTCAGGACGTCCGCGACAATGGCATGGACGGATTTCACGTCTTTTGCCACGACGTCAGATTGGTCTTGAAGGTCGGCGCGCACCGTGCCAAGAAGCTGATCATTCTGTGAATGGTGTTAGAACGGCAGCTGATGCCACTGGACACTGTAATGGAGATTCAGGTCGTACGGCAAACTTGACATGCTGCACTTCAGCGGCTTCTTTCTGGTTGAAGTACTGCCTGTGCCTTGACCTTTGTCCCCTACAGGCATTTTCTGAGGTTGCTAATTGGCTTGCAAGTGCGTTCTGGGAGTCGAGGATCCTGGTCCGTCGCTCAAGAGTTCGAGTCGACGCGTTCAGCTCTGCTATTGCCGATCGGAAGTCCTCCTCGGTCGTTGGGATCGATATCTCGTCGACATCCTTCGACGTAGGTGCGAACTGTGTTTCTTCCAGACGTTGCCATCTAGATGTTGCCAGGGTTGATTTAGTACCTTGACATGCTCTATGAATAAAGGCGTCATGGAGAGGGAGGTTTCGCATACAAGGCTAATTCGTCGGCCGACAACAAGGCGTCGTCACTAGCGAAGAGGTTACGATGCGTCCATCGCGCCAACAGAGACTGTGGATGCGTGGCATGGATTTCGTCCAGCTCAGCTTGCGAGAAGACGATGTTACGCTCGCGAGCGGCTTGTAATAATTGGTTCATCCATGAGTGATCCAGAGACATGTCGGAGGAAGGAAAGAAAGCAGCATATTGTGACAATCGCCGATCAGGGGTAGAAATGTAGGGATGGATGGATGTAGAGGATGTAGCAATGGAGGAATGATGGAGTGCGTTTGGAGTTGGAGTTGGCAGCCAAAGCAACGGAAGTGCTGCCGCTTTAATGCCTGCCTTGTATACCATCTGCTCGCAACAGCTTTCGCCGCACCGCAATTGACTCTCCCGCAGCTTATCGTCGTCCGTGAAGAGAACACAATGTCAAGTCTAGGAAATGAGAAGGCCTGCCATAGAGATGGGAGCAGCGAGCCTAAAAAGCGCCGAGAGTTATGACTGCAGTGTTCCATCTGTCGTCCGTCAAGGCTCGGTACTAATAGGGGTGGAAGGATCTGATGGGAAACTACCTTTTTCCTGTCTAGATGATGAAAATACGTGCAGCCGAGAAGGGATGGCCATGACCACCGAGACTGGAATATCGTACATGCTGGCAACGACTGGCCATTTTCTGCCTCTTCACGCCGTCCAACATGCCATTTCGAATCTTGCATTTCCAGAGGACTCGCTGAGAGGCGAGTTGAGACCCTGAGTGACAGAACCCAGGAAAAAAGTTATAGTGCAGAAGAGACCATCTCCGAGAACACAACTCTCAAGAGACTGAGATGGCGCTCAACTGAACCCGAGGACAATACCTATCCTGGAGTCGCATATGCTTCGTGATACACTTCTTGATGTCTTGATGCACTCTGCTCGTGCATTCAAGAGGCCGTCTTCAAGACCCCGTCTCTTGTCGTCTGCCGATGGGCCACAATGGGCAAGCTGGATCCGACACATTCTCATTCTGTCAAGTCGATTCGACTGATATCACTTGCTCCGAGATTCCTTGAAAGCCAGTTTCAGCCACAGTCTTCCATGTCGGAAAGAGATACCTGGCGATGAAACACCTATCTGTGTCTTGCGTCAAGTCGGCGGTAGCATCGGTATCTCGGGATTGGAAATACACGTGTCGGCCGAAGTATGGATTTGTGCCACAACGCTTCCGGCGTTTAGCTCATATGAAATGCAATGTTATGCAACTGAGCTTCATTCCTCCACCTGCTCCATGTTGTCAGCTTTCATGGTTGTTTTGGGTGGCCGTTGGTGTTTACGTTGGTGGTTACACCGGCCTTCTGAGCCTTGGACTCTCGGAATTTGGCGATATCCTCAACCACCATCTTGTCCATGCGGCTTTTTAGCTCCGGCCTGTACCCCAGAGCAAATAGTGTTTCGAGCCAGACAAACAACGGGGCCAGGAAGAATGCTTGGAATATGTTGTCCAGAAGCGCTGGTGCTCGTCCCTCAAACAACCCATGCCCAAGGAATTGTGCGATCCATGAAGCGATAAAGCCTCCCAACGCCCAGTAGTTCGCTGTCATTCCATAGACTGTTGTGAGGTGTTTTGCATACGCAGTGCCCGCCAGAAGTAATGCCGAAAGTGCCGTCCCTGCCACGGGCTCCAACAAGATATATAGCCCACAGTACCATAAGCAGCATATTGTGCCTACGTTGAGATCGAGGTTTGGGATTGTCATCGCCTCAGGTAGTTTCACCAGCGGTGGAGTGTTTGTGCCCTGCCAAAGAGTGAGCTGCAATGTCTTGTATACACGAAAATAGGGTTCGTACGAGCAGGAAGAAGGTCCAGAGGATGATTGGAACGCCGATCAAGTGTATGCCGATGTTGACCTGTTGAATGTGAGCGTTCTATCCGGTGTTCTCCATGTGTCCAGCATAAAACGCACCGAATCATGATGATATGCGCCATACTGTCAACGGTCAGTGGGATGCATTGCTGGACGGCCGGAAGTGAGACTTACGAAGCGCAACTGCCTCTCGAGATCGAGGAACATGGCGGATTACTGTGTCCTGTGTACACTGTCTCTCACACAGGAAAGTCAAAAGCTCGAATCATTGAAAGCAGAGCCGGAGGTTTGGCTGTTTCGGAAGGCCTGGATGGTCTGGAAGGACAGCTGTGAGCGGTGGACTGAGGTAGTAGTAAGGAAGAGACGAGATGATGTACCAGACGGCGTGGAGAGTAATCACGCACCCTGTTGTCGGAGGTTCAAGAGCACACTGGCACGATGCTAACACCTGTGATCATAGCACCACCGCCGAGATCTGAGAACATAGTTATAAATGATGAATGCTACTGGCCCTCAACTCCGGAGACTGGCACTACAATGTCGCAGTTGTCCGTGGTGGTTCCAGGCCGAATGCTCCACCGTCTCTCACAGCAAGTTGTGGTAGCATTGTTAACAGCCCACCGTAGCTGTGGCAGTTAGTAGTGAATATGCACCTCCAGCAAAAAAGGCACATCCACAGCATCTTCGTGTCGCATTTACAACAACTTCAGACTTCAACAACGTATTCAATCCTACTCTCGCATCTCCATAAAAGCAGAAGCTCGTCCGATACCCACCAGTTGATCACGACCTTACCGCCTGCGGCAGACAACCCTTAAGAGAAAGCGCACTGTTGTGTGAGGCTGTTGGAAAGAGAATGAATAGAGGTGCATAAACTGGCCGTTACTCTGGCATCCTTGTGCGGTCGATCAGGGGACGTCGCTGCCTAGAAGAAACCCTCACAATGTTCTTCTTACGGTATCTGGAGAGGGATATCAGTATTCATCCGTCGTTCTTTGGCAATAGTGTGCATCAGCGACTGAAGGATCAACTCTATGCGGACCTCGAGGGCAGCTGTAATGGCGAATATTACATTGTGTGCATAATGGACATCTACAACATCTCTGCTGGACGTGTTCGGCCCGGCTCAGGAGATGCGCATTTCACCATTCTCTACCGCGCCATCTTGTGGAAACCATTCAAGGGCGAGACTGTGAGAACTGCTACTCTACGTTACAGATGGTCGAAATATTGACCGCAAGGCTGACAGATCGATTGCGCCGTCTCCTCAATCAAGCCCCAAGGAGTCTTCTGCGAAGCGGGTCCTCTCACAGTATTTGTGTCCAAACTGGTATGTGCAGAGGAGCTGGGTTGGAAATTTCGGTATTGACTAGAAGCAGCATCTACCGCCAGACATGCGGCACAACCCTGATGCCACTCCGCCGCAGTATTCCAACAACGCAGGAGACGTCATTGAAAAGGGTTCAGCAGTCCGGGTTCAACTCATTGGGTTGCGAAGCGATGTGGGCAACATGTATGCGATCGGGAAGATGTCATCTCAATGGTTTGGGTGAGTGTATTGGCGCCGTGCACACCGATTAGTTGAACTGACCTGAACAGTCCTATATGACCGGTTGAACTCGAAAGATTCGTCCTCGTATCAGCCCGTGAATCGGGGACAACCTTGACTGTGCAGACACACATCCTGCCACTGCTTCAACGCTCAAGGCTGTCATTGCAACGTGCCGCAAGGAAGGAGCTGAACTGTATCAAGTCAAGTGCACAGCTTCCGCATTTTCAATTGGCGAGGAGCACAGAAAGGCCAGATCAACGTGGGAGGGGGGTTGATGAGCAAGGCCTCCCGTTCTCGGAATCCCGTTGCCATTCCCTTCTCGATATTTGAGCGACGACAACGATCAAGGCTGCATTACTAGTATCCCACAATGGGTTGGGACTAACAAGACACCAGAGGGCTCTTGCAAGGGACTTTCCATATTGGACATGGCCCGATGATGAAATCAGGCCGGGATTCCCCCATTATTGCTACTCTAGAACATGAGTACCTTAGGTAGGCGGCTGTGGGGGCCTCAAGCCTCAAACATGGCGCCCCGAGTAAAGAAAAGATGAAACGCGCCCTACTTTAGTACTAGGAAGAATAGTGTCCTCGGATCTTGCGCATCCTTGTTGTTCTGCCTAGTACTACCAACTAAGGTACTACTACGTACTACGGTGCCTGGACGCGATGGCGGGGCAACGCGTCTTCCTTTTATTATTGAAAGAATCAATAGCCAACAGCCAACAGCCAACTGCAGCCTCTCAGGCAACACACTGCATCCTCTCGTCATGTCCTTTGCTCCACGCCTTTGCTCATCACGGACCCCTACAATGTAGTAAGTTCTTCGCTGTCACCGTGCTTTCAGGGTAAACAAGGATATCTTCTATGCAACCCTGTCTCACATGTTGCCATCCTTCTCGTTTGACACTTCTCTACTTCTCTACTTTCTATTCTCGAAGAATCCCTGTTAAAACAACAGTCCCTCTCCCGCATCCGCCGGCCGCAACAACATTCGACCTGAACCAGTCCTTGTGTTTACAACTTGTTCTTTCCGCTCTGGTACTGCCACTCCAGCAATTATCGCACACGCGTTTTCCTCTTGTACAAATCGAAGCCTCTCTTTCTGTGTCCGCATATTCGTCAGAGACTCTCCCCGCCAGGTTCATCGCTTCCTATGACGGATCTCGTCAACATGACGCTCAAAGACATCTACCAGCATTTCCTTGACGTGCCAAATCCTATCAGTCTCTCCGAGAATGCCGCCCTCCACTACATCACAACCTTGACCACCTTCACGCAACCTGGACCTATCGTCCGCCATCTAGAGTCTCAGAATAGCAGGGTGGTCAAGACGAGAAGTGCACAAATTGTTTCGGCGGTGGAGGCGTCGAATGCTGTGGCCTTGGAGGTAGAGACTGTTCTGGAATTCATCTCAGGCGGAGGAACATACTTGCCCGGACTTGAAGACTTCATCCTGGACAAGATAGCCACGATTCCAACGGTAAGATGGCTGTGCTCTTGCTTCACGAGTAGCGACTAATATCAGTGCCAGACTCACATCGTTTATTTTGATTCCGACCGAAAGATCACTCAGATTCGCATCTCGTGGGACCAGGCGTCGCTGCTGAAGCAAGCCGAGGTCCTCGGTTCGAGGGGCAGCAACTGGCCAGTCTTTGACGGCAAAGACCAAATCAGACTGATCAAAACCGGCTCCAATGCTGCTCCGATCGCGGCCTCCCAGGCGACACGGAGCCCGCGCGGTAGGTTCGAGAATGAAAACATCGCGACCTCGCGCAGCGTGTCTCCCAGCAAGAAGCATATCAAGGACCCCTATGCCAGCCTCGATCTTTTCTCCCCGAAGTCCACCGAAGAAAGCCATTCTCGCATGGTCCCTAATAACCCCGTCGCCCCACGCGCGTCAGCCAGACCTCCTCCGCGGGAAATGAGTGAGCTCTTCGCAGCTGGCCATGAAGACAACGAACCCGGTTCTCCAAAGAAGGCTCCGGCCGACGCGGTCGTCGCGCCCAAAGGAGGCGGGACCCAGAAATACGGACCATCACGCTTGTTTGCAGAAGAGTCGGATGAGCCTGCGGCCGTCCCCTACAAGTCCAATCCAGCCAAGTACAATCACTTTGATATAGGCGATATCATTGAGGATGATCCAATGCAGTATCGGGAGGACGCACCAAATCCCGAGACAGCCAGACCGATGCGCGGGAAAACGGGGAAGCACCAGTCCCAATGGAATTTCGAGGACTTTTCGACGCCAGCGAAGGCTGCCCAAAAGGTTCGGGGTCAGGACGTGGTGCATTTCAGCCTGGATGACAATGCGGACAATTTCGAGACTCCTGCCAAAAGGGCAACCGGACAGCCGCGGCGTAACAATGAATCTCATTTCGAACTTCAGGACGGCGGCACCCCTGTGGAACGACAGGTTGTTCCAAAACCTCGGAAGGATGCAGAACCGCATTTTCAATTTCAGGACACTATGACGCCAGCTTCTACCCGCACTTTTGGCCGTCCCACCAGCAAAGCTGGTGAACGTCAGAATCTGTATACAAACAACTTGTATGATGAAACCGCAGAAGACGGACCCCAAGTGAAGGCGCCTTTGTCGGCGATCACCACGAACACTCACCGCAAGACTGACTTCGATAGTCACTGGACCATGAACGACGATTCGACCGCCACCGAGAAGGCGAACAACGAGAACAAGCCAGCTGGTGGCAACCATAAGAAGGCGGTCCAAAATATGGGTTCGCACTGGGATACATACGATCCGTCACTCGACGAGGTGCAGCAGCCACCCACTCATGCTCACTTGAGGAAGGGTACGGAGAGTCATTGGAGCATGGGAGGCGAGGAGACACCGTCCAACATCACCAATGGCAGGGGTCAGGCTCAGAAGAGTTTCTGGGACTTTTGAGCAGGACGAAGTTCAATGAAACTGGATTGATGATGACTTGTATCTGCCATGAATTGAGTATTGATCGAGGACATCAGCCACCCCTGGTGCAGGAGATGCCTTGCGGATGTTTAATGCGATTATTTGACACCTGTAGCGAGACAATGCTGGGTTTAAAGGGAAGGAGTGTAGCTAATTTTTTCAAACCTTCAAGAGGCCTGAAGATGGAACGACAGAAAACAGATGAGTTCACAAGGCTACTAGTATCTGAATACCTAGGTACCAAGGTACCTAGTATCCAGGCAAACCAACGTCCCGGAGATAAGGCGTCCCATGGGATGCTTACCTAAGTCATGGAACCATCCTCCACACCTGTGTGTTCTTACTCCTCACACCCTCACCAACAAAGGTTCTTTGGACGTGCTGAGATGACCCACGTTCCTTCGCTGATAAACTCTGCATCAGCTTGTAGCGTCTGCCTGCACCCCCTCTTAACAGTGTGAGTCATTAACTACCAGTGTAAGAATGCACGTTCCGCTCAGCCTAGCACTGCGATAACGAATGATCAATGTTAGGTACAGAGTACTCGCAGAGATAGTGCTCTGCTCGACCATAATCCCATTGGGTACAGAGCTCTCTTAGTCACTAACTATTGCCGCTAGTACTAATTCTGTAATAGTGCCTCTCTAATCTGCAGTGTCTGCAGTCTGTATCCCACTTCAGGCTTGGCAATTGGCTGCGCTTTCGAGTCCAGAGCCACTGCAATCGTGTTTGGGAGGACTCGAGGCATTGACTTCAATATATTACTTCTTTAAGTCCTCACCTGCTGCGACAATCCCCAACCCTTCTCCCCCCATGGTGTTTTGCCTGTTTTAGCCACCGTGTATCGTGACGCACAGTGTTCATCAAGAGCTCTTGTCGATTAACCAATGCGCCTCGACAGTCTCGCTACTATTCCCTTGCGCATTACTGCTGTCTGCGCAGATAATTCGCGTTAAATCCGAACCTGCGATTCCTCCAGGCTGCCAAAAACGACGACAACTACGAGCTCTCACTCTGTTCCACTGTGGTCAAAGGCCGCTGCAACACGGAGCCCGCATCAAGAGATTGGGCCCTTGGAATTGCTCATCGACTAAGTACTTGCGAGCGGTTCTGGACGAACAGTGATTTCCCAGTGAGGTCGACCGCAAACAAGCGGTTCCTGGTCACAAGAGCGCGTCGCGACTGAATCTACCGTCTTCCATTGGAGACGGAACACTTCAAAATGACACCCACACCTCCCTCGACGAATTCCTCACATTATGGTGCTTCTCCGGACCAGTTCAAGGTTGTTCGGAAACGAAATCGAGTTCCCTTATCATGCGCGCCTTGTCGGCATCGAAAGTTGAAGTGCAATCGACAATCGCCGTGCGACAACTGCACAAAGCGTGGCGACAGCACCTCGTGCGCATATGCTGCTCCGGTTCCCCGGAAAAGGGGGAGTCAGAGTCAGAGTGCCGCAAATGCGACTCCTGATGATATGCAAAATCGAATAGACAGGCTCGAAGGCCTAGTTTTGTCGCTGATGACTAATGGCGCGCAAGCGCCTGGTCCGGCTGCAGCAGAACAGGTGCTGTCTGCCGACCCTACTGCTCTCGGAAGTGGCTCGCGTCGATCGAACCTGGACAATGACCTGGACGAGACGACGATGATGGACGATGCGGACGGACAGGAGCCTGAAAGTGAGACTGATGGGGTGACAAAGAGTTTCGGGATACTGAAAGTCGACGCTGATCAGCAAAAGACTTTCTACATAGGCGAGGCTCATTGGGCTGTTTTGCTGAATGAGATTGGCGAAGTGAAGAACTACTTCGTCGCTCACAAGAAGGAGTACGAAGCTCAGATGGAGAAAGTCGAACAGGCCAGGAAGTCTATGGGCACCGATGTCGGTTCCGGTCCAGCGCTGCTGTTTGGCTCGACTATTCCTCCCAGCCGGCCCGAGATCTTCGCTCAAATACCTTCTCGATACATGTGTGACATCCTCATCGGACGATATTTCAACACCTTCGACCCTGGCACACACATCCTACACGGTCCGACGTTCCAGCGTCAGTACAACCAGCACTGGGCTGACCCTTCCAAAAGCTCCATTGTCTGGGTGGCTATGTTATTCGCAATGATGCGGCTTGCAATGTTATCATACGGCCGCGAGGGAGACGAGCCGCCCGAGTTTCGAGGCAAATCGCAAGACCTTGCAGTCAACTATCGCACGCAGATGGCGCATTGTCTCATCACGGCGGACTACACGAAGCCGCACAACCACCTCATCGAAACGTTGATCTTCCATCTGCACGCGGAATATACTTCGAATCGAGACGCCGAAGCCAGCGTATGGGTACTGGTGGGCATGATTGCGCGACTCGCCATGCGCATGGGCTATCACCGGGATGCAAAGTTCTTTCCCAACTTGAGTCCTTTCCAAGGGGAGATGCGAAGGCGGATCTGGACTTTCGTGAGGGGTGCAGACCTGCTATTCTCGTTTCAGGTGGCACTGCCCTCGATGATCCGCATCGGGGACTCAGATACTGACCTACCGCGGAACATCTATGATGACGAATTCGACGAAGACTCAACATCGCTCCCGCCCGCTCGGCCAGCTTCCGAGGCGACTCCAGTCTCGTATATGATAGCCAAGGGGCGCTTGGCGTTCGGCTTTGGACGGGTGTTGGAGGAAGTCAATGGGGTCAACCGCAAGGGATACGATGAGATTCTCAAAATCGACAGCGGTCTGAGAGAAATTTACGGAAGCATTCCCGAACACCTGAAGCTTCGTCCGATGGCCGAGCAAACGCTGGCCCCAATTTCACTGATCATGGCAAGATTCAGTCTGGCGACCGTGTACCACAAGTCGCAGTGCGTGCTTCATCGAAGATTCCTGCGGCTCGCCAGGCATGGCAACCGTTACATGCACTCGCGAAGGACCTGTTTGGACTCGGCCATGCAGCTTCTGAGCTTCCAGGTGACTCAGCACCAGCAGAGTCAAGAACGGGGTCGCTTGAGGAGTTTACGCAACCACATCAACTCCCTCACGGCACACGACTATCTGTTGGCTGCAACGGTGATATGCAAGGACCTCTATCACCATCGCGAGCGACCTGACCATGATGTGAGCACCCCCAGCACCTCGATCAGTGGCGGCAGCATCAGCCAGGAGAGTAACTCCTCTGACGGCGCTTACATCCCCGGGCTCAGCTACACTCGCGAAGACCTTATTCGCGCGTTGGAGGATAGCAGAGACGTATGGATGGCGAATCGGGATTTTAGCATGGAAGCGTACAAGGCAAGTGAGCTGCTGAGCGTGCTCTTGTACCACCTCAAATTGCCATACTCTCCCAGCAATCCACAGCATCCGCAGGTCTCTACGGGCAGTCGACCAACCCCCGGATCAAGCAACGATGAACAGACGGCGGCAATGACACTGGGCATGCTACAAGCGGGCGGGGCGAATAGCACGGGACAGGGAGTTAATGTTGCATCGGCAGCACCACCGGGAGGACAATGGGACAAGACGGCATTCACCCCAGGATTGGCACCTGGTGGAGATGCCGTCAGCAGCGGAGTGTTTGGATCAGGTGTGACGAACGAGCCCAGCCCTTTCCCAGCGGGATTCTTTGGGGGAGCACTTGGCGAGCTGGGTCAAGGCATGAATCTGGACTGGGTAAGTAGCCGTCTCCGACGTCTTTACTCTACCTTTCTAATGTTTGGTACAGGAAGTATGGGATCAATATATGCAGCCATTGAGCATGCAGCTTGATCCAGCAGCGAACTTGTGGTCGACCAATTCACCGAGCGCCAATCTGTTCACTCAGACGTCGTCACCGGACGGCGTCACAGACGGCACTCTTGGTGCGGCGGCATCGAATCTGTACGCGCAGAACATCGGCGGCATGACAGGAGGACCTCCAGAAATGTCAAAGCCGGAGAACCAGATGCCGCATTTGAGCACGACATCGACGACGACCAGTAACGATAATAGTGCCGGGGAGGTTTTCATGGGTGTGCAGTCGCCGCAGCCGGGAGGGAATCCTGATTGGAGATGGACGGTGATGAGCGAAAAGAAATGAGGACTGACGATGTGTGATGGATTGCCTGATGAATGATACCCGCGAGAAGGAAGCTTTGTAACGATATCTGGGAGGGAAACTTGCCTGAAAACGGTTTTAGAGCACAGGACTCAGAGCAGTAACAAGCTCAATTGGCCTGGTCGTGGGAACACGAAGGATTTGTTGAGTTTGTTGGCGGTCATGACTTCCCTGCTCCAGTATATGCTGAGCCAACGCTGTGTTGTCTCTGCGAATAGTGTCCGTTAGCAATCGATGCCAGTAGTGCCCACCGTCTACTATTACACACAACTTGAACGGGGTCGTGGTACTATGCAGTAAGGCACGTGATACTCCAGATATCGTGGAATGTTTCAATCCGGTATAGCGCATCCAGTGTCGTGCCGAGCCTTCCAAGACGGGTGCTAAGCTCAAAAGGGCGCTGTGAAACAAACATGCACCTGGCGGTTACATCACTGACACCTTCCAGGTTCTCACTCACACACTCACTCACTCACTGTGCAGTGGCATCAGCACTGCCTCCTCTGCCTCTTCAAGTTCTTGACTTCCAGTCATCCATACAGTAACCTTTCCTGGCAAAAAGGGCAACACAAGGCACCGCAGCTGCAACTAAACTGCACCTGTAACTGCTCATCTCCTCCCGACACCACTGGCACTGGCTGGCAGTCAGTGGCTGGCTTTTCGAAAGAGCCAAGCATTCAGATTCCAGGTTTCAACTCCCGCCTTCTGTCATTTCTCTCTTGGCTGGCGTTTGCTTGCCTCGACTTGTCTCTTCTTGACTTCTCCTTGACTGCGATTCTTGTTGTAGCTTATATTCTGCCCCAGGTCTCAATCAAACTGTAGTCGTTCTTCTTCATGTCACCACTGCAGTTCTCCGTCTCTCCCCCTGACGCTCGTCCATTGGTCTTCTTGGTCGAATCTCCTGTTCGCCCTCTCAATTCGTTTCTGTTCCTCGTCCATACTGCGTTTGCCTGCCAACATGCTTCTGTGAAGGCCTGAAGCAAGACTCTGGCCACATTGTCCCTTGCTCCGTCCCCTGCGGTAGTCGCCCGCCTACCTGCCCCAGCGCCCTTGACAGACTGCTGATCTACCTTTGAAAGACCCTCTTAACACCCTCGACGTCGTCCTCACTACGCTGCAGAATATCACACCATGGGACTCTTCAATAGACGCGCCAGAGCTCCCGCTCGCAGACCTACAACCAACAAGAACATGGGCGAAAAGACACGGGGGTCGTCTGGTAGTACTCCTAACGATGGAGTGCTTCCACAATTCAATCATAACGGTGACGAAATTACACGAGGTATTCATCCAGACGGTGAGAGTGGCCGTCGTGGAGTCCATCCCGTCCAGTTTTTCCGCATTATATGGAAGTCGTCCTGCACAGTCTCCAGCTGGGTCAATGTGCTTTGGCCATTCGTCCCAGCCGCCATTGCTCTCCATTTCATCCACGGGGACCATCACCTCTGGACCTTCGCCATCAACTACATTGCCATGATCCCAGCTGCCAATCTCCTGGGGTTTGCGGGACAAGAATTCGCGAGGAAGTTACCCAAGGTGGCCGGCATCATCATCGAGACTACTCTTGGGTCAGTCGTTGAGATTGTCCTCTTCATGGTGTTGATTGCGAAGGACAACGGAACTGGTGAAGCCGGGCATGGGAATAAGATTCAGGTCATCCAAGCCGCCATTCTCGGTTCTATCCTCACCAACCTCTTGTTATGCCTGGGCTCCTGCTTTTTGATTGGCGGTCTCAAGCATAAAGAACAGCGATTTCACGCTGCCATCAGCGAAGTCGGGTCTGGGCTCATCCTCGTGGCAGGATTTGCTCTCATGATTCCATCCGCCTTCTTCTCCTCCCTCATTGGCAGCACGAGTACCGGAGGTGAAGGCTATACCGAGGAACGACTCCGCAGCAACACCTTGAGCATCAGTCATGGTGTCTCCATCATCCTTATGGTGTCGTTCATGCTGTACTTGCTTTACAACTGTGTCTCACACGACAACATTTTCGCCGAAGTCCTCGAGGCCGATGAAGAAGCCGACCGAGACAGGCATATTGATTTGGCGAAGGCCAAGTTGACCATGACGGAGTGTTTGCTGGCCATTGTTCTGGCATTGGCCCTGATCTCCCTGATTGCAGTCTTCCTTGTGGAAGAGATTGAGTATGTGGTAGAGCACGGAATTCCCGACAACTTCTTGGGTTTGATCCTGGTGCCGCTGGTCGAAAAGGCTGCCGAGCATCTTACTGCTGTTGATGAAGCCTATGACAACCAAATTGTAAGTGCTCCCTCACCCGGCCATGGATATGGGGAGCAACTGACATGTGTATGCAGAACTTTGCACTCTACCATTGTCTTGGACCCTCGATCCAGACGGCTCTCTTCAACGCTCCGCTCGTGGTCATTGTTGGCTGGGGGCTCGGCAAACCAATGGATCTCAACTTTGAGATTTTCCAGGTGGTGCTTCTGATTGTGGCCATCTTAGTGGTGGGCAACTTCCTGAGAGATGGATCCTCCAACTATCTTGAGGGCGGGCTTCTCGTGGTATGTTTGTCCCGTCGCGGGCAAAGAAGGTCGTGGCTAATCAACACTCAGATCGTCTACATTATCATTGCTGTCACAGCGTGGTACTATCCCAATGCCGAACTGACATCCTCCAACGGACGCGCCTCAACCGAGAGCGGTGGTGAAGGCACTGAGGCGCTGGCCAGTATTGCGAAGATGTTGATGTCGTGAGCGCTTCTTGTAGGGTGTACTCTTGCGAGCTATACCGAATCATGAGAATCAAAATGAAGGTGTATCATACTACCCCTGCGAGCGAGGCGTTTCGGTGTTGAGCAATTAGTTCTCGAGCATTATACCGAGCTTGGTACTATCCTATTGACAACATTGAGTCCATACGATCAATTGACATGTTCGGGAGCAGCGTGCATATGCGTTCAATCTCTCGCGTAAACTAGACAGAATGACCATGAGACAGACGCCGTCGGTGTGGAAGACGGGTGTCGGTGCACTCCCATCAAGTCTATGATCTGAATTGAACACATCTATGATGCAGTGAGGCTGAATGATATGTATGTTATTCCACGAAAAGGGGTGAAGCCATGCAGCTGAATATTTCAATAGTGGCTGCACATATGTACCTAGGTGCATACCTAGGAACATTGGAACATTGGAACATTGGAACCGCCAGAACCGACTTGGCCGTTGTGGCTGCATAAGAGCAAGGAGATGCCGGTCCGGATTGATATGCCTGTAAGGTCTGGATGCGTGGCAGACTGCGGGCAGATAGATACTCGCCCCAAGCCCCGGGCTCCTCAGGCGGTGGTGGCTGCTGCTTTTATTGCTCCAGTCTCAGGCTGCAGCGCCCGAGGAACCTCTCCAGGCGGGCCTGAGGCTAGAAGGACCAGTTCTGGACTTTGGGGGCGTTCAATCTACTAAAAGGGCACTGGCAGGGCAACAAGTAAGGTGATTTAACTGGAGTTGGCGTCAGACTTGGCAGAGCATCGCTTCGCTGGCAGCTGAACCGCAGTACAACTAGCAGGCAGTAGTGGTAGTAGTACAACTTGTTCGTACGTACAAATACAAAACTTGGAGGTGGAAGTAATGCAGTCCGGCCAACTTGGACTGCTAATTAGAACTCCACTACTACCTAGTAACAGACTTACTCCCTAATAATTATAACCTGCTTAGTCGTTGTAGTGCAGCGCTTCGCTCCGCCGCCTCCATCTCAACTCTGACTGCGACCTCGAACCACTCACTCAATCCTACCACAGCAACTAAACTCACCTACCTACACATTCACCTCCCACCACGTTATTCAGCTTCAGTCGACACATCCCTTGTATTCAAACAGTATCCTCGCAGAAAATAAATACCCTCTCTATACCCCTCGGCGACTTGGTCCCTCGATCTCGGCGTATCTCTACCTACCACTTCTTCGCGGTTCGTCCCAATCCACGGCATCTTCAAATCGCAGTCCAGAAGGCCACCACAAAACCACTTTTCAAGATATGCACTTCCGATATTCAATCCCCCGGTGACCCACTGCCAATGCGAACGTCGACCCCTAGCTCGCAGCCTTTCTGTTGCACCTGAGATGCCATCCGTGGCCGCGGAGCCCCCTCTCTCCGTGCTCTCCAACGGGACCAACTCCTCGTTCGATGGGCCTCCGCGCAAGTCCCACGACAAAACCATCAGCGGCGTCTTTACATATACCAACGGTGCCGACGTGGAAACGGGTCGATCCGATCACAGGCTGGATCAGCTCAAGAACTTCCGGAACAATAGCCATGGCTCCATGACCAACGGTGTTCCCAATGGTAATGGCAATGGCAATATCAAGGCTCCGCGAGACCGGGCGCATTCGAAAGCTGGCAGCACACATTCGCTAGCTAGTGTGCAGGGGAGGAATATCGAAAACGGCTCCAAGGCCGCCGCCTCTGCGGATGGGTTCTCCAAGCTCTCCAGTGTTGAGAACGCTACAGATGAGGTGCCTGATGGTGCTGCGGTCTCCCCGGGCAGGCAAACGCCAGACCACCTCAGACTGAAAACGAATTCTGCCCCAGCTGCACCCGAGCACGACCCTTCACATATGGTCACCGCTTCGACGGTTCCAGATTCACCGCGATCGGATGGACTGATGCTCTCGGCTCGCGCACCGCCGCCCGCGCTATCTCGATTTTCCACCCCCGCGGCAATGTCACCTGGCGCTGCGATCCAGGACCGCTATCCCGACTTGGTGCAGCCTTCAGAAGCGCCGAAACTGACGCACCGCCATACGCTCCAAGTGCCCAAAGCGAACGTTACGACCGGTCGGACGTCGCGCGACTTTTCCTTCTCTGCGGGGCCCTCGGAGGAAGCTCTGTCAACCACCGGTCGCTTTTCGCCTACACGAGACCAATACGATACGTCAATAACGCGGAACAGGAGGGCTTCTCTTGGACTGGTGCGGCGCACGACTCGGTCGATGCAGTCCGACGTCCATCTAGACGAGGTGCCTCCGGACGACGACGCGGCGCGGTGGACGGAATTGATTAAACAGAAAAGAGCGAGCAGACGGAAAAAGAGGGAGGAGGATGATGATGACCGCGTCATCGTTGGCAAGAAGGTAGAGGAGGGCCACGTCAATTGGGTGACCGCGTACAACATGTTGACGGGGATTCGATTCACGGTGTCGAGAACGAACGCAAAGATGGACCGGGAGTTGACGGACGCCGACTTTACCGCCAAGCACAAATTCAGTTTCGATATCACCGGGAATGAACTGACGCCGAGCGCAAAGTACGACTTCAAATTCAAGGATTACAGTCCTTGGGTGTTCCGGCATCTCCGAGCCATCTTCGGCCTCGACCCGGCCGATTACCTCGTCAGTCTGACCAGCAAGTACATCCTGTCTGAACTGGGCAGTCCGGGCAAATCGGGGTCATTCTTCTACTTCTCTCGCGACTACAAATACATCATCAAGACCATCCACCACGCCGAACACAAGCTTCTGAGAAAGATCCTGCGGGATTACTACCGCCATGTCGTGGACAACCCGAACACGCTGATCAGTCAATTCTACGGCTTGCATCGGGTCAAGATCCCCTACGGCCGGAAGATTCATTTCGTCGTGATGAACAATCTCTTCCCGCCTCATCGCGATATCCACCAGATGTTCGACCTCAAGGGTTCGACGATTGGCCGGGACTTCCGAGAAGAGGAGCTGGCCAAGAACCCGCGGGCGACCTTGAAGGACCTCAACTGGTTGCGACGAGGCTTACATCTGGAGTTTGACGCTCGGATCCGGCAGATCTTCCTCGACCAGTTGAGGAAGGACGTGGCGCTGTTGCAGAGGCTGGGGATCATGGACTATTCTCTGTTGGTGGGCATCCACGACCTGGGAAAGGGCAACGAGGAGAACCTTCGCGAAACGACGTTGCGGGTCTTCCAGCCCGGCGGCGAGAGAGACCGGGATGAATACAGCACGGCCATGTTGACGCGGACGCCGTCCCGACTGGAGAGCGCTAGGAAAGCACGAGAGCTGAGATTGACTCTGAAAAAGGAGAAGCCTGTGCCCATGGGCCATTCCAGCACCAGAATGCCGTCCGAGATGTCTTCGGCGGACGAAAGGCGGGATCGCATCTTTTACAGCTACGACGGTGGCATCCGGGCGACGCATGAGGATGGCTCAGGTGGTGATAAGATATACTACCTGGGCGTCATTGACTGTTTGACTCACGTGAGTGATAACTGACTGTTTTTTTCGGTATGTCGCAGCTACTAATCTTTCTTCTGCAGTATGGTTTCATCAAGCGAGTCGAACATTTCTGGAAGGGTCTCTCGGCTCCAAGTACACAAATCTCGCCCATACCTCCGGTGGGATATGGTGAGCGGTTCCTCAATTTCATTACCGGAATCACCATGACGCAGGAGGAGGTTGAGCGTCGGGCAACCCAAGAGAGTTATCGTACAGCAGAGCGGCCACAGACCTCATCTGTGGAAAACCTCGGTCAAGCGTCCACAGCAGCGAACGCGGGGAGCCAAGGTGGTGGCCATCATCATCAACCGGAGTCTACGGAGATGTTCCCGGCCTTCAATCCCGCGGTGGAGAAGACGATGCGAAAGGCTTTCAAACAAGCCGACAAAGCCACGCCCCCGGAAAAGGGGCGGAGGAAGAGTGAGGAAGAAAAGCCCGAACGGATTCTCCGGACGGTGGAAGAGCCAAAGACCTCGGCTCTGTTGCCGGTGGTCTCGGAGGCCGGAGAGAATGGAGAGCCTGGCAGCGAGAAACGCTTCCGGTCTTCAACGGAACCAGAAGAAAATGAAAAGGTCGGATTTTCCGAGGCGGGCCCCTCGGCTGCCCCTGCGACCAACTTCTCGATACCTGGGCTCCGCAAGGTCTCGCCGTCCACGGTGGGCACGGCGACTGACTGGCAAGAAGATGACACAAGTATGTCGAGTCCATCACATGCCATCGACGCGGAATACTACCTGTCGTCGCAACAAGAGGACCACTATGACGACCGTAACGACGAGGGTGAGGGTGATGGTGATGGTGACCATGATGGTGATTCCGGCATCGACTATTTCGGTTCCGAAAAGCGCACGAGAGACAAACCGCCCCGGCTCGCGAGTGATTTGATCCTACCTCAGTCGCCGCTTGGCGAGACGCTTATGAAATCTCTCGACGAGTTGAGTTCAGAGCGGAAATGATGTCCAGGGCGGCGGCAGCATGTGAGTTTGTTATTGATCAAGCCCCGAGGGCAGATATTTGGTCGTTGATTACGGTTGAAGGGGTTGACCGGGGTTGAGTTGACTATCAGCTGTCAACTGCTGGAAAAGGAGAAGGAAGCTTGCTCGTCTGAAGAGACTTAGGGTCGGTCACAAATTACAATCGCAGTCGCCGTCGCCGCCGCCATCCAGGCGATGTTCAAGCAACTTGAAGGGTCGGGTCGGGTCTCGGGTATTCTTGGGAGCGGCGCTTTTTTCAATCTGTTTTACTCCTTTTCTCTCCCTGGATAGGGCTAGGTACCCAAACGTGGGCCTGTATGTACCTTACCTACTGAGGGACCTTATTACCTTATTAGTACCTTTATCTACGGTATCTATGGTAGGTGCCGTGGCGCGTTGTCCTCCCTGCCTTTGTGTCGGTCCCCTCTTGACATACGGGACCAGTAGTAGTGGAACCGGGGTTTAATCTTTGGCAATGGGAGGTGTTTCGTGGTTTTTGTGTTCTGTGGGGTTTCGTTTCTTCATGCGCCGTGGTTAGAAGAGCGGCATGAATGATTGAAAGCGTCGAAGAAAGGAAAGAAGGAAAGACAGTAGAACGAATGGGTTCCGAGAACGAGCCATATATCATTTTCTTCATCTTCTTGACTAGATATCTATTTCCCTCGACCATCGCCGATACTCGTTGATCACCACGATCCAAGAGATGTACCATGCTGCCGCATGCTGTTATTGTTATTGTTGTTCACATGCCCAAAGGTATCGTTTGACGGTATGGTCGAATCTTCCAGTCTATCTATTTGTGAGATCCTATCAACTCTTGTCCCGCCAGATAGGTAGGTAGGTACTCCTCCTCCAGGTACCTCGGAGTAAGAAAGTAAGGCTGGAGATATTGTCTGCCTGCCGATGGTATTATACTAGTATAGTCACAGCTACACTTGATATATACTAGTAGTAGTAGTAGTAGTAGTAGTAGTAGTAGTAGTAGTAGTAGTAGTAGTAGTAGTAGTAGTAGTAGTAGTAGTAGTAGTAGTAGTAGTAGTAGCAGTAGTAGAAGGAGGAAGAGGAGGAGGAGGAGGAGGATCACTGCATGATGTGGTCCGATGGCTTAGAGACCTGGAGATTCGGGGTTTAGTTCAACTTTGAAGCTATTAAGCATCAAGCGGCGATGATCGGAGGAGCTTAAGGAGGCTTGTGGTGCTTAATCTATCTATCGAGCATTTTCATTGGTCAAAGTAGCTGGTTTGGAACGTGTTAGTGTGTCTGCGTCCAATGGCATCACGAGGATGAGAACTGAGCCACAACGTTATACGCAGCAGTGTCCAACACACGTCATCAAGGGTTTCATGGAACGTTACCTGAGGTATCACAGTATACTACTACCTACCTTAGGTACCTATCCACGCAGGCATCAATCATACCTTGATCATATTAGTATCTGCCTGTTACCATCATAGTAGTAGGCAGTGATGAGGTGAAAAAAGGCCGAGGTTTCGTGCCATATATCATCACTGTCATCCTAATGTCCTACTCTTGACGGTTTGATACTCTCACTCCCACCTACGCAAAGTCTGAATCACTGTCATTCCATCCCCATCTCTACACATTTACACAAGAGGAATTGCTTCAACAACTCTTCGCAACTTGACCAATACCCTCGTCCTCCTCCCCTACATCGTCCACAGACTCGGATTCCCAGAGTCCTCGGGCCTCAATGGCAGAACAACCCCAGAATTACAATTACGCACCCTCTGCACAGGACCAGAATTCAGCTCCGCCTGGTAACACTATTGCTAGCACTCAGCCCGCAGCGTCGCTGTCTGCGAACATGTCTTCCTTCGGCCAGCAAGGTCAAGACCAACCTCAGGGCGCAGGAAATTCATATCCGGTGCCGCCGCCGCCACCGCCGCCACCGCGACCACACCAAGGTCAAGGGACCAGTTCTCCAATCCCGTTACCGGTACGGCCAGATACAGGACCGGCGCCGGTAGAGCACGCTTATGAACCTCCTCCACCGCCTCTTCCGCAGCGGCCTCGGGGGAGTTTGGATGTTAAGGGGCAGAATCTTCTTCAACAGCCTCAGCCTCATGGGGATCACTTGAGCGAGTATGCTCAGCAGTATCCTCCATCTCAGCCTCCAGCCTATACACAACAGCCCTCATCATATCAGCCTGCCACCACAGACCAACCACCATTCCAACCAAACCCTCAATCACAATTTCAACCAGGCCAACCACCATTCCAATCAAACCTTCAATCACAATTTCAACCACCCCCACAGCGTCACAAACAAACCTTTGCCGACAACGATGACCCTTCCAACCCGATCCACTATATCCGCGATCCCCACAAGTTGATCGGGTATCTGGTACCGTTCCCACAACCCGATCTACCCAACGTGAAGCCCGAAGACATTCCCGTACGGTTCATGATCTACACGCCACCCCCTCCGCCGCTCCAGAAACCGGCCGAAGGGCAGAAGGAAGGCAAACTGCACAAAGTGCAACGGAAATGGCAGGAGGAAGTGCGGAGTGCCAAAACCAGCACGGCCAAAACGGCATCATGGCAGGGCGTCAAATCCAAGGCCACCAAAGGCATCAGCTGGGCCATGAACAAGACCACATCCTCCAACCTCGACTTCCTGGGCCGCGTGTCACCGGCACATTCCGAAGATGACGGCGAGGACCAGCAAACCCAGACCCACAAGACGGTGGGCGTCGACGAGATGATTCTGGTGTATCCGCCCAGCATGCCTCTCAACGACCAGCAGATGCGCGAGGAGTTTGTCAACACCATGTTGCGGACCAAGTCGAAGGCGCAGCGCGACACCATCATCGCCACGGGTCTGATGCCCGTCGGCTACGGCATCGACATCCTGGCCACCTTCATCTGGCCGTTCGGCGGGCTCGGCGAGATCGACACCGTCTGGGCATATGCGTCCTTCCGCGGCGCCAAAACCGCCCGCAGCGTCACCAAACGTCTGTCATCCAGCACCAGCGGGTCAGGGACAGGGAATCACGGCCAGGATGATCAGCTGAAATTGACCTTTACACATTCGGCCCGCATTGAAGTCTTGAAGCGATACCTCGACGCCGAATGCCACAAGGTCGACGCCAAACTGTTCCCCACCTACACGTCGCGGCCGACCGAGACCGACGTGCTCGAAGTCATCGGCTGGACCCCCAGCGACAGAGGCGGCGCCGACCAAGAGGACAAAAATTGGGAGGATGAGCAGTGGGAGATGGCCGAGGTCAAGGATGACTTGAGGAGCGTGTTTAGTAAGGGGGCCCGCGAGTGGAGGAAATGGTGTTTGTTGCTGGAGAAGAATCCTGAGAAGGCCATGAAGAAGTGATTGACGGCAATCAATATTGAATGAAACTGCTGGCCGGAATTCGAGGACTGTAGTATGTGTGGTACTGGTACAGCGAATAGCGCAACAGCGAACTGATTCGTTTTTCGTTTTTCATTTTCCAATCTCATTCTCATTCTCATTTTCATTCCTTGTTTTTCACATATCACATTTCACTTCTCTATATGTTACTACGTACTCTCACAGCCCTGTACCTGTACCTGTACTGGGATACTGTGGTACTAGGCATATTATGCGGGACTATAATTCTGCCGAAATTGGTACAATGACGAAAAATCAGTCTCGTCTCATCTCATACAGTCCAGGATACAATATCACTCTGGATGTATCTGCCATCATCCACTGCATGCCGCCACCGGCGTACTAGATGATATGTATGACAAGCCCCCCAACCAACAATCTATACAAATACCCCTGTGAAATCGTTCTCAGCCTGTCTCCTCCCACGGCATCGACTCGGAGTAAAAGTCCGGCCAAACAAAGTCGTCCTGATTGAGAAGTTGTTCAAGATTGCCGACACCGACACCGCCAGAGAAAGACAAGGAGAGGCCGTCAGTCCCAAATGTCGAGTTTGGATTCAAACCAAACCCATGATAGACGCCGACACCGACGCTGACTGGCCCGAAAGGCGCTTGTGTTTGCGCCGCACTGCCGCTTGACCAGCCCCAAAGGACCTGGCTGATGTCTCGTGGGAATTGTAAGGGCGACGGGATCGTGATATCGGTATCGGTATACATGGCCTGATCATTAACATTATCAATATCAGGATCAGGATCAAGGTCAGTATCAGTATGAGTGTCATTATTACCGACTCGCTGTTGTCGTTGTTGTCGTTGTCGTTGTTCTTGTCGTTGATGTCGATCCATAGTAGTATCTTCCCTGACAAGAAGTAGACCTTTACCTTGTTGTCCTTTTCTGTCATGCAACGAAATCGAATAGTCCTGTGACGATGAAATCCAGTCTAGATCGGTGTGTCGAGCCTGGACCTGGATTTTATGGTAGAACTGCCGGAGAACCCGCTCGCCGGCTTCCGCTAGGGGACTCCAGTCTTTGATGGTGGCGAGGCGGCCCAGGGCTAGAAGGATGGCGTGCCGGATGCAACGATGGTCGGGTTCGACGAAGTCTGGACTGTGACTGTGGTTCTGGGTTTGATTCTGGTTCGGATTCGCGTTCTGGGTTGCGTACTGGTTCTGGTTCTCGTTCGGGTGCGGATTCGGCACAGGCAACTCCATCATAATCCCGCACAGAAAAACAGCCGCTTCTATAGTCGACAGAGTCGGCGCGTACAGACTGACCTGCGAGTGCGCGTACGGGACAAGATCGAAGACCGAATGCTGCAGATTCAACCCGTCCAGAGCCGCAGTGATCGCGGCGGAGCGGCTCGCGGCGTGGCTTGCGATGAATGGACGGTGTAGCGCCATGAGGACAGCATTTATCGTGCTGAGATAGATTAGTCGGAGCATGGTGAGGCGCAGTCGTGCTGTTTCTGTTGTTGCTGCTGCTGCCTCCTGTGACTGGTCGCTTGATATTGGTATTGGTATTGGTGGTGACTGATCGCTTGGTTTTGGTATTGGTAGTGGTATTGGCGGTGATTGAAGCGTCAAAGCCCAAGTCTCCGCCTTCTCGCGCAGAGAAGATATCTCTCCATGCACGGCGAGGACCTGGTGGTAGTCTCGGGCGAATATGCCGTTTGCTGATAGGGATAACATGGTGTGGATCTTGTGCGCTAGAGCTAGGAAGAGCGCTGCTCCTGTTCCTGCTCCTGCTGCTACTCCTGGTCCTGTGCCTGTGCATGCTCTTCTGGTGGTGCCGGCGCCGTTGTAGTAGGGAGTGCTTGTGTGGATATGTGACCCCGTTGAGTCGGGGTTGGGGTCGTCGCCCGAAAGAATGTCCCTATCACAGCCCCAACTCTGAGGTGCTGGAGTCGAGATATCCTCGCGGTGCAGCAGCCGAGGCCGATCTAGAAGTACGGCGGCACAACTGGAATCCGGACATCAGAGACTTGAGAGGGAGGATTGTCATGGGAGAGAGATAGGTAGGTAGGTAGGTAGGTAGGTACACATCATCGGAGCTAATGTACGTACCTATCCATAGTGAAAAGGCGGGCCCAGATGATTTTCCTTCGTTCAAGATCGCGGGCCCGGGATGAGAGGTCTGAGCAGTCGGCTGATTCGTCGACAGTATGAGGGAGACGGTGCAGTCCTAGTTCTTGGGCTTGTCTGAACACAAACAGATAATCATGCATTAATGAGAAGACTCGATACAAAACTCTTTTTGTCTCCCAAGGCCTCTGCGTCCGGCAAGATTGCGCGGGCAGGAGAGGGAGAGAAAGAAACAGAAAAGGAAAATAACAGACAGAAAAAGAAAAGCCATAACTTACCTCACTGCATCCGCCAGTCGATGCCATGCTTCTGTGCCCCGTCCTGTATCTTTCAGCCACGAACAAGAAACGAGGTCATGCTCTACCGAGCACAAAGTAGGATTCTGCCGGCCGAGGATCGAGATCAATCGACTCCCGGCAAGATGGAACGTCTGTGATAAGCGAGCGCAGTCGGAATCGTTCTTAACCCCCAATGATTTCGCGGCCGGGTGGTGTGTCGACAAGTGCTGCAGGATCCGAGCCAGGACCTGAAACAGCAATGCGGGAAAGTGGACGAGTTCGAGTGCTTCTTCTCGTTCTTTTTCTTTTGGTCTCTGTCTTTGCAGAGTACTCCTGTCCGAACCCGATCGCATCAGCATCAGCACCTGCATCTGCATCTCAGGTGGCCGAAGTAGCCAGTCATGATACATGACCCTCAAATGCTGCTCGTCAATAGGAATGAATGCCCAGTACAGATCGCGCACGCAGGCCGTGAGCAGGGCATGCACGACATCCGGAGGGGGAAGTCTTGCTACCAAGCGCAAATATTCATTTTGGAGGCCCTTGCCTTGTTCTGCTCTAGATGGCAGACCAGTCGGTGGTGCATGGCCAGTAGGCCCAGGAGTTTGGTAGACATCTTCCAGAGAGTTTAATCGAGGGAGAGTATTGCTCTGCCTGTCCGGTGTCGCGGCGTAGCCGGCTCGTCGGACCAGACTGGCCGGTATCGGGCTGGCTTCGTCTGTATCAATGGCATCCAATGGCTCCTGCTCTGCTTGAAGTTGCTGCTGCGTGCGAGGAGTGCCGGAGGAGGAGTAGTTGGGGGTGGGGGAGGATGATTCTTCTCCGCTGAAGAAACACCGCTCAGGGGCTTTTCGGGTACAGCATTGGTTGCACGGTTTGACTCGATTGCATCTCAGTTTTCGGCGGTAGCATTCAAGGCACGACGTGATGGGTCTGCGCCGGCTCGTCAGGTCCACTGCCCGGGCCTTTTGACGGTCTGAAGAGTAGAGCTGGGCCATGTTTGCGCCTTGACCGACGCTGGCGGCTGCTCGATGCAGCCCAAAGTTCATACTGTTTTTGATCTCACCAACGACATGAGGGTCCGCGCAATCTGTAAGTGGATGTTACGGTCTCTGACATCCGATCTCCTGCAGAAATTGCTACCTCGAATGGCTGCTCCAGTTCCTATTCGCCTTTTTGACAAGCCTGAGGACAGAGGACAGGCTCTGCTCTGCATTCACCTATCGGCCGGCCGATCGGGTGGGTCTTAACTCCGTGCAAGACATGGCCTTATTGCATGGCACATCAACGAGTGGATTTGTGTCGCGCAGAGAAAAGGAGTGATGATGGTTTGACACGCCTGTCTCTCCAGAGGATGAAAGCGTCTGATTCGTGCCACTCAATGGTCCAACTTGTAGTTGTATTTGTAGTTGAAGTGGAAGTGGAAGTCGAAGTGGAATTGGCCCGTTTTGTTTCGGCCGGAGTTAGTGCGCCACTCGGCCGATGAGCTCCACAATTCATCCCCGGGGCCGAACAGAAGGAGCATCACTCTGTACAGACATCAGACATCAACAGGCATCACAGTCCATATTGTATGACACTGCAGAATGAAGCAAGACCTTGATGGTCAACTAGCATCACAGTATAGAGGTAGGAGAAGACGACTCGTGCGACAAGTGGACACGAATCTGGTGGGTCAATCCATCACTCACCAATTGATCGAGTATACAGTCAGCTCAACTTGTTGCAATGAAGATGTGAATATAAAAGGACCATGTCCACGTCCTGTGCTGAATCTCTACCTCTGAGAACGACAATACTTGTTGAGCCATTCCACCCACCTTGATTGGTAACGAAGCAAATCTGCATATCCAACCAAGCTGCCATGTCCACCATGGCTAGCAAGAATCCCACCCCCTTGCTGGCTCCTCCCAAGAAGCCCACCTCTTTGCTGGCACGCTACCGCCAATTGTCGGCATCAGCAGCCGTCTTCGTGTCTCCTCTCTGCCTGGGTAACATGACCTTCGGAACCCAATATGCGGCAGTGCTTGGGGAATGCTCGAAAGAGACGGCCTTCGAAATGCTTGACCACTTCGTCGACCAGGGTGGCAACTTCATCGACACCGCCAACTCATACCATGCTGGCCAGACGGAGACTTGGCTCGGTGAATGGATGACAGCGCGGGGAATTCGCGATCAGATTGTGCTCGCCACCAAATATACCGGCCCACATCGAACCACGGACCCCGACATCAAGATTCGGGTCAACTATGGCGGCAATGGCATAAAATCTCTCCGCCTGACCTTGGAGGACTCGCTGAAGAGACTGCAAACCGACTACATCGACATCCTCTACCTCCACTGGTGGAACTTCACGGCCACCATTCCAGAGGTGATGCATGGTCTCAACGATCTCGTGGTCTCGGGCAAGGTCCTCTATCTTGGTATCTCCGACAGTCCCGCCTGGCTGGTGGCCAAAGCCAACCAGTACGCCCGTGACCACGGCTTGCGTCCGTTTGTGGTCTACCAAGGCATGTGGAACGCAGCCATGCGTGACATGGAGCGCGAGATCGTCCCCATGTGCCGTGACGAGGGGATGGGGATCACCGCTTACTCGGTCCTCAACTCGGGAAGATTTCAGACGGAGGCGTCTTTCCAAGAACGTGAGGAAACCAAAACAGGCCGCCAGCAGTTTGCTGTGACGGCTCGAGACAAGCAGGTGTCCAAGGTGTTGGAGTCCATAGCGGTGGCCAAAGACACAACCATCACCAATGTGGCACTGGCATACATCTTGCACAAAGAGCCCTATGTGTTTCCCGTCGTCGGCGGCAGGAAGATCAGCCACATTGAAGGCAACATTGAAGGCTTATCCACGAGTCTGACCACGGAGGAAATCGACAAACTCGACAGGGCCTATGACTTTGACCCGGGATTCCCGTCTACCTTTTTGAGTGGCACAGTTGTGAATCTGGGGACACCGCAGAAGGCGGCTTCCCGCGCGAGCGAAGTCCGATGGACGACGTTCCAAGGGACCATCGACTGGGTGGAGGGCCCCAAACCCATCAGATCTCCTCCTTCGTAGGGCTTCAGAGGTAATAATCCAGGCGAGATGTTTTGAACGCTGCGCTGCG